CCTACATGCTCCAGATACAAGTCATGATATAACAATGAAATACGCTTATCGAGGTTACATCTTTCAACCTAGAGACCCGACTCTCTGGACGATTGATATTTCGTGCATAGGCTAATATAATCTAACCTATTATAAACCCATGAGGGGATTAATACACGCCGATTACAGTTAATACGTCCGTAAGCTCAAATAGTACTTAGAAATAGGTGCTAGGAACTTAATTGCGAGCTTTCTATACCCGACGGTGATATGTCCTCTAAGCCCCATAACGTAAACCGAGGCTACTAGGTAATCAACTTGCTTAGGTGCCTACCTATGGGAGAATCCAAAGACAATGGACCATCCAGCCCGCTAGTAGGGAAACTGATATGAAATTTACTTAGGGCTATCATATTATGCGGTGTGCCCTGATTCCCCAACCGTGCGCAATGTTTGCAACATACTACTAGGTACCTAGGTAAGTAGGTAGATTACAGAAACATTAATACCTGAAACAATGGCTATAAGATATGAAAATGGTGATTGGTGAAGGTATACACGTTAAGAATCGATCGATATTGTCTTCGTGGAAATGTATGTACTAGTACTAGCATCCCACTTTTATTATCACCAAATTTTTGCTTTGAATTATTAAGTCACCTGGATATGGCCCTAACTAATTAACTAATTAGAGCGAGCCATAGCGTTTAAGACACTAAAATTCACTCTTCAGCCTTCTTTAATAAGTATATACCGTGATTTTAAGGAAAGGGTTGCTAGGTGCCTACTACCATCATCTCCACCCGAAAGATTTCAGGGGTCAGGGGGCGTAAGAAGCAAATTTCTACCACCAAGCACCATGGAATGATCATAGCTTGAACAGGTAATTAAGGTTAGTTTATATCTTATTATGCTTTATTAATATTTAAATTTTATTATTTACCTCATACTGTATACCTACCTAGTATATTGCCTAAATTTGCGGATCAGCCCCCACGCACGCCGCAACCGTTAATACCTCCCGAATAATATAGGTAGTCAATGCCATTGTTCGCGTTTTGACACATAATAAACAGACAATAAATTCCCGAATATAACGTAATTGACAATATCGATTGTGAAAAGAAGCATGCTATAATGATCACGGCCCTGGACTGCCTGACCGACACTCAACTCTCTAGGTATACGGGACTTTCCGTTCTCTCGAGAAGGTGTTCTACCTGTCGTCAAACAACGATTGATGACATGTCCCGGTACCTTGGGCGGTTGATTTGAGATCATTACTGGCGCGCTGAATCATCACCATTAAGGCTGGTTTCCTCTATAAACCCAGCACCCTCTGCGCCCTTCTCCCCTTTTCCCTTAGTAGCCCTAAATAGACGCAGCTAGTGGGTTTTCTTTCTAAATTCTCTCCGCTTAATCTTCTAAATTCCTGCTGTGTAACGAGTGAAATTTTGGCGAGAGTGAAAAAACCATCCATGTTACCAAATATTGTGTACAGATCAGCCTCGGTTAATGTGTTTAAGAGCATGGTGTTAGACCATCTACTGGCCTTTACACTACCCTATGCCGATTATCTCGTCAGTTTACCCAATAATCACGTTACTAGGAGAGCACTAAGGAGAGATGTAAAAATTCTAATCTAAGAGTTAGGCGTGAAAAAACGGGTTTCCATGTCATCAAGGAACTAAGCACCCTCACCACACATGGAATGCCCCCCCAACTAGTCTCCAAAGTCCTACCCGGCAGTTAGGTAGGTTCTGTACCTAGTGTCACAGATATAGCAGACCTCAGCCCCCCCTCGAGGCAGATCTCCCAGCTCTGGGGACTTCGGGATTTGCGTAGAGCTTTCTAGGGGTCCTGAAGCTCTCTTTAGCGCCCGACCGACATGCCACGTCCCTGAAAAAGAGGGTGCCAGGATGGCGGTCAACCTCTCCATGTATTGGAAACGGCAGTTGGATTCTGCTTCTGCCTAGCCCTAGCCTAGCACTACCTAATTGCGAAAATGCTTGCTCCTTGCTAACCACGTCGACGACCTAAGAACCCACGTGGTGATCCTCGTAGCACCTTCCAAACAGTACTAAGAGATAAAAATTCACCTTACTAGGTAGTTATAGGAGGCTTATCATAAAGGATTTCTGTATAGCATCGATATCGTTACCCACAACACAGATACGCACGTATCTTACCCTGCCTCCTCAACGTTCCACGTACCGTACCGGCGCAGAGGAAGTTAAGGGGGAGCTGTAGGCCGTCTTCTAACAGTCAATGCTTCCTAGGTCTTGGCCTGCGTCCATAGCTGGGATAGGCTCATCGTTCGTTATTACATCAGGGCCAGCCCCTGTGCGTCTTCGGCAAAGCCTACCGACCCACTAGCATACTAACCTACCTAGTACCTAATCTGCCAATTCCGCCTGCTATAACTAGCACGCTAATGATTAAACACGATGTCCTAGTCGAACGTTTACACTAGTTAGTTAGGTTAGGTGACTCAAGGCTAAGCTAGGGCATTTTACTGAATTAGAGCCCGTTTTATGTCAACGGCTAGGCTAAACTATACTAACTAGTTGGTGCCCGACGTTACATGTTCGTCCACCGACAGACTGGCAGACTACCTAGTAGACAGATAAGCAGACATATATACCTAGATATACATACCTACCTACATACTAGATAGCTACAACAGTACACTAAAAAAACACATACACATCACAGCCCGATGACGATGACGACGGGGGGTCCGTTGGTGCAGACCGGTTCTTGGTTTCGGCTCTCAAAACGCCCCAATTTCGCCTTTGGGGCGGGTAGCGCATCGTCCCTCGATCACGGGGTCTTGTCTGGAAGTCTCGCGATGCAAGCACGTACGATCCAGCCCGTGCGCGATTTTGACAGCTCCAATCCCATGCCGACCTAAACCTGCTTACCTACACTCGATCCATATTCGGTCCCGGCGCACCATCAACGTGGACAGTGTGCGGGCATCCCATTCCCCCAATTTTCTCTCTCTTCGCAGTGGTAGTAGTACATAGGTAATCTGCCTAGGCAACCTACCTATGGACATCCTGGAGAAAGGTATGTGCACGTAACCGCCTAGGCTAGATGGCTACCGAAATGTTCCGAACATACCTTGCCCTAGCACCAAGACATACATACATACATACATACATAGGAATATCCCGTTGACACCACCTACCCACAGATCAACAGATCGATATGTATACACACTAGTTCCACGCACGCCGTATACCTCAATACACGTACATCCATACATCGATAAGTCGACAGAGAAAGAGGGGGACGTAGGTAGCGAGGAGAACCGTCCTCCACGTTTCGGGGCGAACGGGAGCGGAGCGAATTCCAGCGGTCAGGGGCAGTGTTCTGTACCACGTACCTCCATCTACATACATGCATATGCACATACCTAAACACATATATCAATAATCTCCACGGGGTCACAGAGAGATACGTACGGGTGTCGTTATTCAAGAAGACCTAGTCGTGTAACGACAGCTGGGCCTGGATATTGGCTCTAGCATACCCACCTACTGTACCTACATTGCTAAAACCTCCCCTCTCCCCTCCCCCTCTCGTACTCTGCGCCATGCAGATTCTCCTGCGTATCTATTATGTAGGTAGGTACGTCGTGTATGCGATCTCGATTCCTACCTCCCTATCTCCCAGATTAGCAGATCCCGGTATCAAATAAACTACCGACAGATCTCGCACCCTAGACATCATCACTCTTAACACGACATACCTAAGGTACCTACCTAGTCATAAGCGCGCGTAGGAGAAAAAAAAGACTCCAGCCAACCGCATGGTTCGGAATCTGCATCGGGACGACTGGATAGGGCCAAAACGAGGGATTCCCTACGGTAGATCGTTCGTATTCTGCATTTGGCTCTTCGAGAGCACCCTCTAAGAGGAGCCAGACACGTTACACCACGTTGAGAGGTTGCGCAGGGCCTGAGTTCCTGCACTAACTGGCACTACGCACCGGTTCTGGTTGGTCGGGCGGTGCTGGCGTTGGTTTTCTCTTTTCTTTTTCAGTCTTTTTTCGACGTCGCAGGGGATGAGGGGAGGGGGTGACGTCGTGTTAGCCAGCTTTGTACCTACCTACCTACCTAGGTACCTACCATGATAATCTTCCCGCTGTGGATTTTATTGGATATAGGACGTAGTTTGAGTCGCCTTGCCAGTCCCCTAGATTGACACCTGGAGGCCGCTATGGCGTGAAGCCCGGCCATCGTACAGGGCAGCACGGGGTAGCTGTGATCTAGGTACACGACATGGCATCTGGCTAGGTAACTAGGGCACGGCAATTGACGGCGCCATTGGAGAAGCCATGCACCCCTTTGACCTCTTGGCAATGACTAAACTAGATGCTTCCGTCTGATAGGCATAGACCGTGCTGTTCCCTTGCCTGCGCAAAGCCGGATGGTGATTCTTTAGAATGCGTAATGCTCACATGACACGGGATGTTTATTATTGCTACGCCTGATTTGACGCGCTACTATCTTGGCAGTACAGCGTAATTCTTGACGGGCCACGATGAAATATAACGTCTGGTATATTGCGTAATGTGGGAGAAAATTACGTGGGTTTAGTGAAGGGGGTAATAACTTGGAAGTCATAGTATCCTAATCTCATTCTGACACAGAGATTTCAAATAACGTCTCACAATTTGCCAGCCTAAAATTCTCGAATTCTTCTATAACCGACAAGTTGGGATATCAATCTTAATAGAAATTGCCGTGGCGTTTGCCCTTGATAGTAGTTGGGCGAAATACGGAAGGTTCTCGATCGGTATCGACATCTCTGTAAGGGTTCTCGTTCGACTGGATCTAGAAATGATAGAATAAGCGGCAACAATATACATGTATAGGTAATATCTAACTATCCCTCGGAATATAGTTTCATATCAATAAAATACTTGGTCGAATAGCGTGGAATAGCTTCAAGATACACCTTGGGGGCTACAAGGTGTGGCATTCGATCCCAAGAGCGACGATAATAGCATGGGTATCAATACGAACGCCAAGAGTTTGATCCCTAAATATGAATCAAAACCTTCTTTTCTTCTTCGTTGGAGCCGCCGCCTTGCGTTCAAGTTCCTTAGCTAGCTCGGCTCGCCTGCGTCCTGTCTTCTGCTCCTCAGTCTCGGGTTCGACTACTGTTGCTGTTGCTGTTGACGGTGATCCTGATCGCTGTCGTTTCCCATCTGTTGCAGGTTTCTTTCCAATGGTTCCAATTTTTCGTCCCCCGGACTTGGCCGGACTTGAAACGATTTCGGGGCCACCCGCTTTGGAAGCTGTCATGTTCGGCTCTTCAGACGGCTCAGGGGTTACTCGGGGTTTCGATTTGCCACCTATGCATCCTAGTCCAGCCTTTTTTCGCGGGGACGGCGCAGGTGCTTGTGGAGAGGACCGAGAAACAGGCGGCCCTTGATCATCATCTTCAAGGTCAGAGCCGGATGGTGTTTCATCGTCATCCCTAGGTGGAGGCAAAGGTGACGAGGTTTTTGCTGAAGGAGGCTTCGTTAGAGGGGATGAAGGCTCCTTAGATTTTCCAATATTTCCTAAGCGAGTGTTTGGCCGTGTTTGGGGCTGTGGTAGTACCGGTTCCGTGTCAGACTCAGATGGCGTTTCGTCGTCATCTGCATGGATAGTGTGAGAAGATTGGCTTAAGGAATTATCTATAGCCTTACTCTTTCCACCGACGGCACCAATTCGGGAACGTGGTTTCTCCTGTGATGAAACAAGATGGCTATGGGAGGTTTCTACTAGGCTATCGTCACCATTCGTGGTATCTTCATTTGATTTCAACAAACCGAGTTCTCGCCTACGCGACTGCAGATTAGGAGGGAGAGTCTGAATCTGGAAGTCATCGTCGTCTTTCTCTTTGGTTTTCTTGGCATCCTGCGAAGGCTTGTCCTGGGATCTGTTCGGTAACTCTTTCTGGGGTTTGATGGCAGTAATGGCGTGAGACCCAAGCTTGGTCCACCAGTCATCAAGTTGGTTGGAAGAGGACATCTCGGTGTTTATGCCATGGTATAATCTTGTCTCTGCAAACTTCACTTGAATCAGGGATGATATATCTTGAGGAAGTTGCCGGCTCGCGGCGACACCCGATTCCCAGTCAGATTCATTAAACGGTGCGAGACCTTTGACCTTTTCTTCAGCCAACGCGCGGGAAGGTTTTCGCTTCCCAGATAGTGAGTTGAAGACATGCTCTAGTCCAATTTGATTGGCTTCCAACTTGTCAACTAATTTCGTGATGACAGAATCCTTGTCCTTGAGCCGCATTATGAGATCCTGCATCTCTAACGTGCGTGCATGGTGTGTTTGGATGAGAGGTAAAACAAGTTCCGAGGCGATGCTGGCAGGAGGGCACTTTGTCAAGTAGATAGGCCACTTAAGCGGCTTAAGTGGCTCTGGTAGTACACATGTAACGTGGAGAGCGATTTTACCCTTATCCTGGGTATCTGATGACAACGTAGATATACTGATACTAGTGCTATCCTGTTCCTCTTCCCGTAGCGCAGGATCGAAGGCAGTGTTAAGCTTGGAGAGAAAAACAGACCATTGATTGGGATCGCCGTCGCTTAAGTCAATGCTCGTATTCTCTTGCAAGCTCCGTAAGAGTATACCTTTCCGGTCAAGACTCTCTACCCATATGCTAGCAAGATCGGTGACGTAAAAGGTATATGATGAAGAAGCGAAACGCGGTGAAATCATGAGAGCCGGGAGATGTGGAAATGTGGGCAATGGATGCCATTTCAAATCCGGATCCATTTCGGAGGCGTATTGAGTGAATCAATCTCAAAGAAAGAAATCGGTAGATGATATAATACGACCCTGAATGCGGGAAATCACCTTCAATAAGTGTTGCAAGTGAGGCAACGAAAGTTGAAGAGTTGATGCTGAAGCCTGTGGAACGTGTACAGTGCCTTTCATTGCAGCCTAATCATCGCACCGTGAGGTCACGTGTCTGTGATTACATATATTGATTACCTCATCCGTGACTCAAAAGTTCACCTTACGTAAAAACACATTTACGTAAGCGTTCAATCACCCGACACTTACGTAATGAGACTTGCTGACTCATCTTTGCTGATGCAGATTTCGTGACTAATATTGCTGATTAAGATCTGCTAATTCAAAACATCGAAGAAATTCTCAAAGAATTTTCCTCTGTCTCGGCAAATCGCTTTCAGCGGATATACTCACTATATCCAGGGCGTAATCAATGATTACGCACGTAGACAGCGCAATATCGGCAAGGCACTGTTACACCTCAGCTGTCCGTATCCTAAATAGCGGGCCGATTCGTATTTGAGTCCGGGCTAGATCGAAGCCGGAAGACGGGCGTGGAAGTGTTGAAAGCTTCTGGAACGTTACCTCCTTGCGCCTCGCCTGCCGCTATATATCGACTTACCAGCTAGTGTCGCACGGCTGCGGCGCACCGAGCCGCATCTCCGGCGACTACCCTTCCGTGGAGGCTACTTGCGTGCAGCACCGTCTCACGGCATGCGCTAGCATAGCCTGCCAGTCAGCCTAGCGTGGACGAACCGGGACATCCCACATGGTCAGAGATCCTGTCACTGATGTTGAGGATTATTTCCGGTGTCCATTTGAAGACGATTGGTTCCTCCGAAGTAGGTAGGAAATACGCATTCTCGGTCGATCTTGTGTACCGTCTGTTATTTATGACCGCCATCACGCGTGTAACTATTGTTCTACTTCGACACACACACCAACCCAGTCACGCCGCCCGACTTACCGCCTTCCCAGCTAGCGTTGCGTCGCGAGTATACCAGTCGTAGGTGGCCATCTTTAGAAGAGGCTTCTAGAGTTGGTGACGATGCACTTTATTGGGATGGAATCCACTGCCTCATTCATACTTACCTAGCCAAGAGATATGTTCGACACGTTCACCAAGGACAATATCTATGAGATCACACGGTCATGACCCAACATGCAATGCCCCTTTATATAGTACTAACGGCAGCACCGCATGATACTTCTATAATATTATCCACGATAGGTTAGGTAGCAATAAGTAGACACTTATTGCGAATACTATATCCCATACTTATTCACATTCATTTTCCCGATAATTTCGCTCGGCGCATCTACCTACCACCTATCTAGTGTGGGGGAGAATAAGACCCATCGCCTGCCTTACCGAGAGCTGAAGGAGAATAGTTCTGGGGTCCTGATGGTACTATCACTCGACACACCCCCTTTGCGCCCATGTTGAGGCTTGTACAACCATGAGATTTGCCCGTCAGATTGAATAGGACTAGAAAGGAACATTTGAAAATACCCATGGCAATACGAATTGTTAGACATTGGATCCCTATATAATATTTTGATGCCAAAGACCAACGTCGACGCGTTAATACTGGTTCCAATATAAGTGTATACATCTTCCGCCCTTGCCCCTTTTTTCGTCTCTACTTCGCCTCTCGATCAACAATTACCTAACACTCAACTCAAAATATACCCGGGTAAAATAGTGACGATGATCTCGTTATGAGACGAAATGAAAGGTGGGACTATTCACTTCCGTTCATCGCAATCGGCTCGCTAGTTGTCATCTCTCCTCTCTAGCAGGTGACGTTCTTACACGGGACAACCACCTCCACCAGCGATGATGTTAAAGCCGTCCGTGTCAAATTCTTGGGTTCGTTAGCGCATCACCGAATTCGTTAAAGGTTCGTGCTTCATCCTTACCTTGGCCTAGTATAAGGGCTTCACTTCCGCCCCACATTGTGATGCAATCTAGATTACCAATTATGTCTAGGACGTAGGAAGCCATGTCACCGCAGTCTCGGGTGATCTTGTCGGTATTGTCGTTGCACATCCAAATCGACGTTCCCAGGGAGCACCAGAGCATAGCACACTTGCGGGGACCACCGGCTACTTCACAGGGTTGATGAATTTTCTTCAGAAAATCATACCCGCTCAGGAGCTTAGCTCTTCCTCCAGATGGATAGTCGGGGATTTTGCAAACGGTATGCGACTGTTCAATAGGTCAATATAAGACATTTCGACAGAGGTTCTCAGTCACTTTCCTTGCTCCGTTTTGACACATGGCTTCTAGTAGATGGTGAAACAGGATGAAAGTCATCCCACTTGAAGTCTTTATTGGTGGCTTGGATCTGCGCCATGATTTCCTGGGTGGTTTATTTGATAAGCTCAAGAATACAATTCAAATAGACCTCCTACTCACGTTGAGTGTGCCGTTGAAAGCCATCACTTCGCCACCTCGCTCAATAGATCCCTGAATTGAAAAGGGGACAGCAGTGTAACCGTCTGGGAGAATAAATGAAGTGGTAGATGTGTTGGCTATATCCTTGATACAGCAGATTAGCCTTGTCTGCAACGCCGAGGAGCGAGAAAAGGTTACCATAGCCGCCACTCCAGCAATGATACTGGATAGAAGAAAGATGCCGGTTTTCATGGTGAAGGGTTAAGGCAGATTACCCGATCTATGACGGTGACACTGGTGTTGAATTCGATCAATTTAAGATCTCTGGCTAGTCCAAGGCAATAGAAAGGATTCGCTGATTAAAGCAAAAGACATACGTGGAGGTTGAGTGGAAGATGAACTGACCAACAAGTTATGGTGAACAAGGTGGTATTTATATAGCCTTACAAAGTAGCTTCCGGTTCTTCGAATGAGCAAATTTATACAAGTCAACTACCTACCTACCTAGGTAACTTCCCTATTTGCGTATCAAGCGCCTATGAATTAGGCCATAGTTTAGATCAGACTGTTTCGAAGAAGCTAGAAACGTACGCAACGGTAGCTACGTGCAGAAGGTGGAGATCGATGACCGATTTCCATTCCCAAAATCACCTCACGCATATAGTAACTTTAGGTGCCTAGTCGAAACGTACCAAAGAATACTAGGTTTCTTAGGTAAGTACCTACCTACCTACATATGTACATATTACCTATCCATGCTGCCAAACAGATGGATATAGGTAGCAGGAGCCACCAATTACTACATACATAGGTACCTACCTACTAGGTATATAGTATACAGGTTTGCGTTAAAATTTACCTGTTAGGTACCTTCCTAGCAAGTTAATAACTCAACTGCAACTTTATATCCACTTAAAACTCATTTTGGAAGTAGCTGCAGGGAAACACTTATCTTACTAGGGGTAGGTAAACAGTTCTACTTAAGGATATCATGTAAAATACTTTATACCTAGAATTAAATTATCAACTCAACCAGTTTTTTGTCTCTTCGTCTCTCTATCGTCATCTGAAAACGATTCATCTACCCTCCGTTTATTCTCGGAAAATCCTTTCAATGTCAAAGGGTTCGGAGGCGGTTCTGGAGACGCAAATAATTCTTCCAACCCCGAGAATGGCGGACGTGGGGTGGGGGCACTACTGGTTTCCCCCCCTCCAACATCCTGTTCTACTTCTGGACCGACCGGGCTTGTTGTCTTTGCGGGCCCGCTTTGCTGAGGAAGGTTATTTCCGGTTTCCTCGTTTTCAACTTCTCCTGTACCCTGTGTCCTTCCGTCGTCCCCTCCCTGCATTTGCTGTTGAGGACGTTGGTTATCTATTCCAGGTTGGGTTGTGGTCGGAATATTTGGGCCAGAGGGTCTGTTTTCTGGGAGCACTCCGGTACCTTGACCTACCTCCCTACCATCCGCACCACCATCTCCTCCTCCATCTTCTTCCTCATCGACCTCGTCGTCGTCCATGTCCACATCACCATCATCATCTCCGTCATCTCCGTCATCTCCGTCATTCCCATCATTCCCATCATTCCCATCGTCTCCATCGACTCCATCACCATCACCATAACCATCATTTCCACCCCCTCCGCCATTTCCATCGCCTCCATCGCCTCCACCGCCCCCACCACCTCCACCACCTCCACCACCTCCGCCATTTCCGCCGTCTCCATCATCTCCATCATCATCATCATCATCATCATCATCATCATCATCTCCATCATCTCCATCGTCTCCATCTCCAATGACCGGACCAAAAGCCTCGTCATCATCTATCTCCGGTGCTAGATCCACGTTTAAGTCAGCTCGGGCGGGCGGCGCCCAAGATATAGGCCATCCGTTAATGTCCCTACTATCCGGCACATATAAATCCTCATCGAGTTTAGGTTCCAAATCTTCTAGGCGGATTTCCGTTGACCTGTATTCCATACTCCTGATAGGCTCTATAGCTATACGGGTCTTGTATTCCATACGTCCATTAATGTCCTGGGCTATGAGGCTGATCATTTCGGCCCGTACGGCGTCCGGGTTGAACCAACCACTGGTGGGTGCCCAGAAAGTTCTCGCGTGGTATTCCTGGGGGGTACTAGAATAAATATAAACCAGGCGGTCAATCATCTGTCTCGCTATGTGGAAGCAGCGCAGGCCCGAAGAGAAATCTTCACGCTCCTTGCCAAGTTCGAGGCGGTGCTGGACCGGCCACGCCAGTGGATGCCACAGTTCTATAGTATTTTGGTTGTAATTGGGGCCGGCTATGATTCCGCACTCGTCTAACACTTGCACTAGCCTCTGATAGACCAACTGTTTTCTTGCGCCAACATCGTCTGGATCTGGGTCACAGATAGAAATCGCCTCGGCGACATCAAAGAATTGATCTGGTTGCCCTGTGGTCGGATTCGTCCTACGGCTGAGGTAGATGATAATTAACACCCATTGGGGTCTATCATCATCTCCCGCATCCACAGGCCAGAACACATACGGTTTGTCAAATATTTCTCGGATCCTAATTGGTATTCTTTCCTTGGTCCGACGCGGGAAAGCTCTATTCCAGCGGGTTCCATTTAAAAAATTCGACCAACCCGTGGCATCGTTGCCGAAATAACTATTAGCACCCGGCCATAGAATAGTGATATCGTCGTCCACGACTTCGGGTATGTACGTGGTTAATTGAAGTAAAGCATAGGTGAGGCAATCGTCTGTTAGCCAATGATATCTTGTAGACTCTGTAACTCTCTGTCAGCCAATTTATTCTGAGGGACTTTAACTTGTATAGCCGTGCTGAAAAGGTTTGGAGATATTTGAGAGAGGGGGGGGAGATGAACTTACGGAGTAAGTTGAGCGCTCCATATGCTCGAATTATGTCTGCATCAGTTCTCCAATTATTGGGCAGGTTGACGCCGTTAGCGCTGTCCACAGTCTTACTTGGCCAGCGACTTGGATAGGTTACCTGGCCCGGCGCTGGGGGATCTACGACAAGGACGCTTGTGCGATCTAAAGTAAGAGCAGGACCACTAGGTGGATTTTTTTTCACAGCTTGATTATTTTTCGCAGCTGGATTTTTTTTCGCAGCTCCTCTAGTCCTAGGAGGCATCTTGAGAATCTTGTGAGGCTAGTGAGGTAGAACAAATCTGTATACACGGAGTGTTCGGCATATGATTAGAAATAAGGAGATTGATACCAAAAACCGCTCTTTTGAATCCGATGGTGCATAGCGTAATTCACGGCGTAATGTAGGATATTCAATATCCCCCTTAAAGTTTTCGTTTCCTTTGTTTGGTAGTATTTTGTCTCTGGGGCTGATTTCTGAATGCGGAACTCGCTCATTCATGATATGTAAGGAACATTCTCACAATAGCTCTTTGTGCTTTCTATGAGATGTTTGCGGATTCCATTCATTCAATGTTATTACTACTTAGTACATAGTTTTTTTTTTTTAGTTTTCTTGTTAGGAAACCCATTCTCTTGTCACGGTTATTATTTCAAAGAAACCTATCCAGCTGATTCAATCGATAAAATTCTGACTAGTTACTTAGCAGGTAGTTCCTATTAACCTTAATTGAATATATTGTTTAAGGGTATCTTACTGGTAAACAATTAAACATTGCTGTCGATGCTCCGCCCTTTTTTGCTATCATGGGTACTTGGTACCCACTTAACCCCTATATACAAGCCCCACCCCCTTTTCTTCTCTAACCTTCTATGTATCTCCGTATCACATAAACGTATATACCATAAACATAACAAACACATCAAAAAAGCCCATGCTAGAAGCTCCGTGTCCAAACCATAACATCATCCAGGTAATCCTCGCACTCCATCGTCCTCAGCGCCGGCCGCACACACGTCTGATGCTCCTCATCCAGCAACGGCGCAAGCCACGGCCTTAACTCCCTCGCCAGCCCCGGCCGGTCCATCCACGGCGGCAGCGACGCGATATACCGCAACACCCAAGCCAACACCGGAGCGGCAAACGAGTCCCCCCGCTTCATCTGGCTCTGCAGCGCCCGGTTCGCTATGGCGTTTAGCTGTCTTAGCCGCATCTGCGTAGGTACTCGCCCCGGCATGAACTGCGTGCCGACGAGCTTACTCCGGACCGCGCGCTGGCGTGAGAGCTCGTCGGGCTGTGCGCAGGGGGTCGCGATATATGTGCCCCGCGCTGGCTGCTTGTGCTTGTTGAACGCGGATATTGCGTTGCATTGTGGACACCAGTTGTTGACGTGTGTTTCGAGAATGCGGAAACGGCCCAGCTCGCGTGTGCAGATCCCTGGGGTCCGGAAGAGGCAGAAACTGCTTTCGATGGGGTTGGGGGCGACTTCTTCGTGCCCGCAGTTGTAGGTGCAGATTTCCCAGTAGCTGCACATGATTGGTGTGTGATTTTTGTGAAATTCGTAGACGTAAATGATTAATGATGTTAATAGATGTAGATTAGGTGTAGATAGGTACTCTACGAGTAGACCAAACCGAATCCCGACTGGTATTTGGTCAAGAAGAGAAGTCTTAGTGTTCAAGGTATGGTTCCTGCCACCCGCTTGTATGTATATCGTGAAGAATCCTAGTCGGGGAGGCCAGATGAATCACAATGGCCTTCATTCGAGTGTGACTAGGTGGTTTATGTTTGTATTTAACATCACCATGGTAAAGATTGATGCGTGAATTCGCTGCAATAAAGGAAGTTTTAAATAGGTAACAACGGATTGTTTATAAAGACAAAGAAACTCCTCTTTCTCCCCTCAAAAAGGCTGGAGTGCACAAGATACATTTCTTTGTTGTAAGGGGCCATTCAACTTAATACGTTAGGTACCTAGGTCTGTACTTATAACGCATCACACGTCACGCTTCGCCATTTCTGAGTGGTCAGTTCGCAAGTTGGAAGTATCTGTAGTGAAGGTTATATAAAAAAGTACAGTCACAAATTCCTATCGGCGGCAATGACTAATGACCTTGATACACCGTATGGTCTATTGGTTACGTGCCACAGACACCTCATCGATCCTGCTCTGATGACCACTCTGAAATGGGCGGTCTAGGGTTCGATTCCTAAAGATGGCACATTTAGGACCTTGAAAAAGGGTGGCAAAGAAATACCCAATAGCGGGGGCGCAGTAGCTAGGAGCCGATCAACAGATCCTAGGCTGGGCCTAATAGAGTTCAATTATTTATTTCTTTTTCTTTTGCTGTGTGATGCATGTTCTGAATCTGGAACAAAGGATCTAGTGAATATTTCTGAATTTAGATTTTCTAAATGAGTTACAAGGGAAATGTGTATACTTATAATGTTGGAATTACGTATTCAATTCCCCGTCAGTAGAGAAATATTAAATAATCATATCACTGTACATCCAAGTCGAAGGACTCGACACAAGTATGTTGGTTGAGCTCAGGGTGACCACGTGACATAAGTCCGCCAAGGGAAAATATGGGTCGTCTTAAGTAAGCTGGTGTCATTACTAAGCGGATTCGCTGAGTCATGGGTCATAGTTCCCCAGGGATGTAATTTGAACTATTATTCGCTGTATGGCAACTTGCTACAATGGCTAAGTCCCCTGAATTATAATGTATATGCACTACAATCTAGTGGACATATCTTTTTCACAGTAACGCGAAAAGCCTGAAAACTTCAAACCAGCCAAAAAATTGACCTTTAAAGATAACGTCCGATTAGTGGGGTTTATACTGCACACACGCCGTATTTTACCGCTAGAACCCCTGTAAGAATAATCTATTTAGCGCTGTGCCGCGTACTTACCTAGTATTTTAACAACCGTTCAACAACAGCGCAGTGATGGTAGCGAAATCTAATTATAGATTACCTAGCTAAACTTACCTACCTCATTTGACTCCTAGCTGAAATAACTTCACTTTATAAAGGCTTTATCATATACGCTATATCGTAAATATTTTACTGCTTTGTTTCAAGCAGCTGTCGCTGAACCATTCTTAGTACTGGTCGGGGCCGTTTTGATTGGTTCCAGGATGAAATAGCTCACTACATTTTCCACTAAGACCGCCCCAGGCTTAGCGCTCAGTAGCGCAAAGCCCTCATTTCTACGGGGAATTTAGTGGTAAATACAGCGAGTATGCGGTAGAAATACCACCGGTTATTTTCCCAGTTACTAATTTCAGTCACGCATTGGGCAAAGAACACATGCAAAACTTTTAAGCTAAATCATTCAATGCTATAGTGAATCTACATCACATCGCTAATATACGTAAATAAAATCCTCATTCTTCAGATCAGGAAGATCATTCAACCCATTGTCGTCCTCAATATTCGTTCCCGCTTGCTCGTTCTGTTCAATTTCGACGGCCTTGCTTTGTTCCATATCCTTTCTCCTAACCATTGACTCGTCGACTACATTCGCTTGCTTCCCGAGTGCTTCCCGCTTCTTGGCGTGCCATCTATTTAAGACCATAAGATACATGGGGATGAGACTAGTGATAGAAATTAGTATATTACTGACGACAAAGGGTTAAAGAGGGGCAATAGAGAGAAAAGGGGGTGATTAGTAATAACTTACATTCCAAGTACACCACAGGTGACGAACATGACCAAGTTTGCGATCAGCCCAGGGCGGTACAGAGGTGCATCCTTCGTATTATATAAGAGAGGACCAATAATATTTCCTAGCCAGAAGTCAGTCTAACGTGCGAATAATTGGCCTTGACAGTGGAACTGACCAGTGCACATTCCCATGAACATCATAGCCGAACTCGTCTTTTTCTTGGTATCACCACCCGTATTCTGGGCGGACCACGCGTAAACCATCGGAGTAATCGCGCCCAAGCATTGGACAAGATAGTAGCCTAACAGGAGAACTCCCTTGTTTTGCTCATTACGGCTTACCGTCAACATGATGACGGTCCCAATAGTAGGAAGGCAAGAAAGCCCTGTAATAACAATGCCCTTCCGCCCGATCTTAGTAGCTAACCAAGCTGAGCCGATGATAATGACGATCTGAATGGCTCCCGTCGGCATGCTGAAGAGAATAGCATTGAAATTGGTGTAGCCGAAGTCCTTGAGGATAAGATTACCGAACGTGCTTATACCACCACTGGCAATTGAGATCGCGACGATGAGGATGAACCACAACAGCGTCTTAAAGTCTGTGAACGTCTCTTTGACATGGTCCCATCTCCACTGACGGCTCGCTACACCCATCTGGTTCGCGCGAAGACGCTCCACGGCAATAATTCGTTCGCGCTCGTTCAGATACTTGGCCTCCATTGGGGAGTCGGGCATGAATATCAAGAAAATAGCGCCGAAAATAACGGTACAGACACCGCAGAAGATGAAGATCGTCTGGTATCGGTAGATCTTGTCGCTTACGATGTGACCGAGACCGTATGTCACCAGGCTACCAACGATGAAGGTCAAGCCATTCATGGCGTTCCAGTACGAGGCTCGTAAGGTCTGTTCGGAGCGTCGCCACCACATCTGTGTAACGGCTAGCAATGATGGAGCGATCATGGATTCGAATGAACCTAGGAGGAAACGTAGTGCCAGAAGGGATTTGAAGTTAGTGCACGATGCCATAATCGCGGCACAAGCACCCTATTGGGACCTGTTAGCCTAGACTCTTCGTCCCCTAAAGTGAAACGCAACTACATACCCAACCAACAACAGCCGTCCCAATGACTTTACCCGTGGGAAGCTTTACCAACAAGAACGCAGCAAGCGGCTGGAAGATAAGCTGCGCGATGTACAGAACAGATCCAAGCCAGGAGTACTCGATCGACTTGAGATGAGCATCATCCATGATACCGAAGATCGAAACATACGACAGCGAGGACTTGTCCAATTGCTGGAAGAAGTACGCGCCGAGAATCAACGGAAGAATCCGCATATCGATGCGTCGGACGACTTTCCGTTCCTCCTCGTAGTCGAACGCGACCTCGCCATGCTCAGCGATGAACTGCGCTGCCTTATCTGCTCGCGAGTTAACGGCGTGGGTCCGGGTAGTGTTTTCGACAGGCGTTATCGTGTCTGCGGTATTGGCAGCCGCCGAAGCTTGTTGCGATCTTTCCGCCATGATTCATACGTCTGCCGACCCAAGCACCGGAACGACCAATAGTCTAGCAACGGGTGGTGAGACCTAGGGGGTGGGTGGTGGGCATGTAAAGCTTTTTAACGCCACCTACCACGAGGTCAAAGAGCAAGACAAAGGTTAAATTTAACCCCGTAGATGAAAAATAGTCCCAGATATCTGGTTAGATGGCAGGCTGGAGATGCGGAGATCCATGTCGAGGGAACATCGTCAGGCTAGGCGCGTAAGCGTTTCCCGGGATGGCTCCCTGGTATTTTAATTCTCTCATGGGATTACGTGGTCTTGTTCCCCAGATCCGATCTAGTTAATATGATATTCATATGTAGTAGCACTAGAAACCGGGAAATCACCCTGTCACCTTTACCCATTTTGAAGCGCGTAGAACCCCAAGTAGTGACACCGTTCATCATGAGATACACAAGGCGGTTTAATTCGGATTCGGCATTCCGATCTAGACTTCGTAGCTTAGGATCTATAACGGCCGTGGGATGATCTAAGAATTGGTACGTATAGTCATTGGTGGAAATATTGTTTCCTGCTGGTATCTATGCTTAATTGGACGTTCAACAGACCATAATTGGGGGGATGTGAAAGACTAACTTCCATAATTCGTCCATGCTCAGGAGCCTTGGGCGCATGTACAAATGATGAAGACTTAGCGGCTACAACCGACCCCGGGTCATTTAACCGTTGAGGATGTGGTTGGACTAGAAGGATTCGCTAAAGTCGACTATATGGAGACCAGCAATACGGAATCGGCCTAGGACGACGTCGTAGCTCAACCCCAGACCTGGAGTCCCCGCAGCTGGAGTATAACGGGTGTGGGGAAACCCCCAGAAACGGCTAAAAGGGGTCGAACTGACGAATTATCTCCCGCTATTCCCTAAACCCCATTCCCTATCCTCGGCAAGTATATTTCGAATTAGGAAGAGACGTCCCGACTGCTGGTATAATGCTCGGAAAGAGACTAGAAGTACCCCGTTAGCCCCATTCCTATCCAACAAAGAACATGGATGTAATGGATGCCTTTGCTCGCGATCCAGTGATCCTTTTCAAATAAAAACGAATAGAAGCTAAGACTGAACTAAGACCAGTCTAAGCTTTCTTCCTATAGAGAAGGAAGGGGTTCCCCAACCTTCTCCAACTCCTCCCAGATCTCGCAACCAATTATCCCGATAGCGGTTCGAGGGGAGCCAAAAGACGATTCCCTCTCACAGAACCCCATACTATATCCAAAGCTTCAAGAACAGATATCGTCGTCGAAACTATCCCATTGGGAGAACCCTTTTTGTATCAAAGCTCGTGTAATTAAACTTCCTCAACACCCAATCCCCCCCAAAATGGCCGAAACAACCGTGCCCGTCCGCACAGGACGCAAAAAATACGCCATCGTCGGGACCGGCGGGCGCGCCATATTCTTCTACACAGCGATCGCGCGCGACTACAGCGCAACATCCTATATCGTCGGGCTGTGCGACACAAACCAGACACGTCTAACCTACGCCAACACCAAGCTCTCCTCGCTCGGGCACCCATCCGTGCCCACATACCTAGCCAGCGACTTCGAAAAAATGGTGCGCGAAACACAGCCGGACGAAGTGATCGTAACAACAATCGACCGCACGCACAACATCTACATAGTCGCAGCCCTGGACCTAGGGATAAACGTAATAACCGAGAAGCCCATGACAATCGACGCACCACGGTGTCTGTCCATATTCTCCGCCGTAGAGCGGAACCCGGGGAAACGGGTGCGCGTGACGTTCAACTACCGGTACGCGCCGCACAACACCAAGATCTACGAGATCCTGCACTCGGGCGCGATTGGGACCGTGACAAGCGTGCATTTCGAGTGGATGCTGAATACGTCCCACGGCGCGGATTACTTCCGCCGCTGGCACCGCGATAAGCGGAATAGCGGGGGTCTGCTCGTGCACAAGAGCACGCACCACTTCGACCTGGTGAACTTCTGGCTGCGGACGCGGCCGGCGACCGTGTACGCGCAGGGGGATTTGAAGTTCTACGGGCGCGAGAACGCGGAGTTGCGGGGTGTTCCTGCGTCTGCGATGTACACGCGCGCGTACGGGGCAGCGAACTCGAGGGAGGATCCGTTTGCGTTGCAGATGGAGGAGCATCCGCAGCTTAAGGCGATGTATCTCGATGCCGAGCATGAGGACGCTTATTATCGCGACCAGAGCGTGTTTGGGGATGGCATTAGTATTGAAGACACGATGAACTTGCTCGTGAGGTACCGCAATGGTGCGGTGTTGACGTATTCGCTGACGGCGTATGCGCCGTGGGAGGGGTTCCGGGTTAGTTTTAATGGGACTGGGGGGCGCCTTGAGATGGAGGTTGTGGAGAATAGTTATGTGAATTCGGGCGGCGACCAGGCAGCTGAGGGGTCGCTGGAGAAGCGGTCGATTGTGCTGCGGAAGTTATTCGAGAAGCCGCAGGAAATTGCGATAACTGACGGTGTGGGCGCCCATGGCGGCGGGGACACGGTGCTTCTGAACGATCTTTTTGGGGAGCCCACGACCGATGAGTACATGCGGGCGGCGAGCCATGTTGATGGTGCTCTATCGATTCTGACTGGGATTGCTGCTAACAGGTCCATCGCTACGGGACAAGTGGTAAACGTTGATGATGTATTGAGGATACCATGACGGAAACAACCTAGCCTGCCGGGTTAGTAGTTAGGTAATGACTATAGATGAGGAATGATATACATAATATAAGTAAATAATCCTGAGATAATGACCCAATATCGAAGCTTTGTAAGATTCAAGTCCCCGTTGTTCAATGGTTATTACTATACATTAGGTAAAAAGGGGGCAGTGACATATTTTAAATGCTAGATGATACATGAGCTGAACGGTCTGTTTAAAGGGTATCAAAATTGTAATCTAACGCGCCGACTTCCCACCCATGCTCCTAAGAATGCATATGCTTTAGGGAAAGATTGTGTATAACTCAAGAAAATCAGATACCCGCGAAGGTGGTCCCAATGTATTCCGCACCACACACGGCGGACTTCTCTTCCTTACTTAAAGTTACGCCCCATGATCTCAATTCCTCGAGAGTGGCGTCCGATCTAACGGCAATCCATCCAGGTTCAAGGGTTCCATTAGGAGTGGCAATAACATTGCCGTTGCCTCGTTCTTTAGACAGCATACCGAATCGCAAAGCGACCTCGGTCACGGTAACACATATACTGACAATGATGAGAACAATTATGATCCATGTGATAGCGCTCATCTTCGAGTCGGCGACCGAATCCGAGAGGATCTCGGCAAGATCGAGGAAAACACGACATCGCTCATTGAGCACTTTAGTGCGCAGATCAATTTCCAAGTATTCGCGAATAGCGACATATAGTGGATGTAATGTAGGTTCAGAGTCCCAGAAAAAGTTGGGGACATCAAGGATATTTGATGCTATTATAATTATTAGCTCCCGTCAGATCTAATGTATTTCTGGGAGTCGGTTCACTTACATAGATTGATTTCCACGCGACTCTTAAATAAGCGGCCAAGTATCATCACGATCTCAGTCCTCGTCATGTTAAGCTCTCCAGTAAGAGCGAGGCGCTTGGGTACGTGCTGCGCGTTCACCATGGTCTCCGACATCCTCTCCTCGAAGAAAATCAACTTTGTGCTCTGCGCGATAGCATGGCTAATGGTGAGTTTAACCATGTGATCCGACCTCGGAAGAAGAGTGATCATATCATTAAAAATCCTAGGCCGTTTCACATCTGCATTATACTCAAAATGGAATTCCTCTGTCTCGACGTCACTCTGGTCAAAAGGACGTGTGACCAATGAACCTCCAGCTTCGGGTTCTGCGAATGTGATATCGGCCAGAATGGCTTTTTCCTGTGCTTCGGTGAAGTTCCAGAAGACTACCACGCCGTATGAGAAGACGAACATTTCGGCAAATTGCTTGACGTCTGGCGCGAGCCTATTAATCGGACTTAGGGATGAATGGTCTTGTTCGGAATGATGGCTCTCTATATCCCTGCCCCTTTCTTCGGGTGATGGATGATACCCTCCTCCATTTTCGTGACTAGGACTTTCACCCCGTTCACCGTATCCATAGTCGTCATAGTATCCCATATGTTCGTCTCTCTGTTCACTCCGTTCGATCTCGAGGTCAAGAACCGTCTTGCCCGTACCAGGTGTCTTAAGTATTGGCCGGCTCCTCACGCGACATCCATCCAAGCCTGGGAGTAAAGGGATGTGATAGACGGTATATAGGCAATCGTCGTAGAGCTTAGTCTTCGCATCGTGTTTCTTTCGTAAGAATTCCGAGGTCGACTTCATCTTATATGACTGTGCTGTGCAGTATGCCGTGAGCCTGGACAGCTTCTCTGTTCTTTCAAACTTGGGCAACCGTTCAGCATAGCTCTTCCCACGGAGGCCACCTCTTTTCCGTAAAACATCCAATTCCTCATCTTTCAGTGGTCTAGATTCATCCTCGCGAAGAACTGATTCGGCTTCTTCGTCCTCTACTTCCGCGTCATCAGTCGTCTCGGGCAACAGAACTAGTTTTTCGCTAATTCGTGTGGTTCGTGACGGCATATTGTGCTGTCCCGTGCGTGATGCAAGGTTAGGAAGTCCTCTCCCGCTAGGTCGGCGTCCTCCGGGAGTGCTACGCGGCACACGCTGCGGAGGGACGCGTGGTTGACCGGAAGGAATTTCGGAAGCGTATTGTAGGACGTTGTCGACAGAAATGAAGCGCATCGGTGATCGAGGCGGGGTTCCACGGACAGACTCCCCTTTGGCTGCCATGTTGAATCGATGAATCGGTGTATGGGTACTATTAGGTAGTACGTGTTTCTAACCCGACGAAGCGTCAAAACCCTACAGAGATCTTCCAACAACCACTTTCAATCCAGATTACCATATAAGAGCTCCAATATGCATTGGTGATCAGGACTTAGCGAATTGGCTCTGTTGAGTTGGGTTTGTTGGCAGCTCCTGGGTAAGAAGAAGTGAATGTTTACGTCGAAATTTCAATTATACGACGTTTCTTCTAAATTCTCAAGCCGCATTCAATGGGCACGTAAAGAGGAAAGGGCATATGAATAGATAAGTTTATAGACTAGATGAATAGAGTATCTAAAAGTTTTTAGACAAAGAAGAAGTGGAATAACGTGAGAATGTGAAAGTTGGGAAGATGCTATTTGCATGACGTATCGGCTCACTGGAAGAATTTAGAGCTCGGGCAGCTTGCCAATTCTTATCGATAACATGTGTGGGTCATCGTGATGACTAAGTAGCCCCTTTTCAAGATCTGACCCACAATACAGCGACGACGAAGTCATGAATAGGGGCAACCTATGTAACTATGTCATCATAACTTCAAAACATCTTGAAAAGATTATCAATTTCATAGAGTCCCATGAGAGGAAGGTTGTTTGTTATGCATATTGACAAGTCATGCGCGACCTATCGTGATAAAGGGGCTCTGAGGAGTAGCTGATCAAGTTGCGTGCTCATTATCACCTACGAATCCTTTCTTTCACTTGGTATAAGGTCTTGTTATATATCTAACCGACTAATACCGTATCCGCCGAGCACCGTCTGCTTAACATATCTTATGAAAATCCATTGGATTAAAGAGATCACGTCGTAAGATGATACCCCCGAGAAGTCTATGCCTAGTAAGGTAGGGGTGTACTCAAGAATATCGGACTGCCAATTAGCCAATTTTCTCTCAAGGATACCTACGCCGAAACTACCAAGTACAGAATACTCGGCGACAGACGAAAGAAGAGTACATAGTCGACGCCCCTTTTCTTGCCATGCTTCCGCCGCAACACCTCAACTCGTCAGTCAACGACTCATCCACTTAAGCGGACATTGCTTGATTTGGATTACTTGGTCTTTCTCTTTTTCCCTCCTTCCATTCTTCCTTCCTTCTACTTCCCTTCCTCATGGGATTCTAAAATTTCATCCTCATCACCCAAACCTTTCGAGACCTACTTGAAATCTCCAAGTAGCCGCATACATATTTCGTCACTTACCAGACGTTACAACTCATTCACCTAAACTTACAGAAAAAAATAAAAACTTGTCTTTCCTTTGTCTCAATTGAATTCTCGATCCAAGTATCACCACAATGAGGATCATCCGCTTCATCTGTCTGTTCTCGCTCATGCTAGCTTGGGTCGCCGAGCAGCAAACCACCGTCTTCCGGTTCAAGATCCCGCCGCGCAAGGTAATTCCGCATCCCAAGTCCCTCCCCCCAAAACATCGCAACCAGTATTCAAACCCCTCACTAACACCACTCCCTCCAGCCCGACCACCGCGAAGCGCGTCTCTCAGAATTCCTCCGATACCCAGAGAGCATGCCAATCCACATCCCGATCCCAGTCCTCGAGCGCTCCATCTCCACCATTTCAGAGATGCTCGTGCGCCGCGGCTCCAAGCACCATAACCCATCCATGGGACTCTACAACGAGCGCACCAAACCCCCACGCAGACCCTACCCCTGGGTCGAAGAACCCACGGTCTTCGACCTAATCAAGCAATTCAACGCCGACGCGAAGAAGCAGAGCGATGCCAGCGGCTCCAAGAAGCCAGCTGACCCCATCGATCTCATCACGATCTGCTCGTCGTGGGAGGAGCCGCCGCGTCTATACACGCGCTTGCAGGTGCGCAATGCGAAGACCTTCAACATCGATCCGTGTAAGATGCTGCCGTGGTATTGCATGGAGCGCTGTGAGCTCGTGCCTACGATTGGGAATGCGCCGTTTGTGCCGCCGAAGTGCGCGGCGCCGTATAAGGGGATGGATATCTTTTCGGGGTATCCGGAGAAAAAGAATGTTGAGCCTTAGGGCTGTGTTGAGTGGGATAGGGGGTCGTATGATATGGGAGTTCGGGGGTAGGCTGATTGATATGTGGGATTGAGAGATGGGGTTATGTGCTGGTTATGGGTATATGCGGATGAGCTTTTACTGCAAGGAGGAAAAAGGGAAATGGGAAATCGAACATGGTTACTTTGTAGTGTATATAAGTCCGCTGTCTTATACTTGCAGATACTCAAATCTCGATGCGTATGAATCGGTCGTTTACCTGTCATTCACTTCTGATCAGAATTCAAACGTAGTTGTCCGAATAATAGGGCCTAGAAATCTAGATGCCTCATCTTCTGTAGAAGGCCAGTGAGAGCCCCCAGCCAGTCATTAGATTCGTCATACTCTATAGAATAGACACTTTGATGTCTTTTAATCACCCATGAGCGAGTTCTTGGCATATTCATTCCCGATGGCAATTTCATGGGCTGGCTGGAAGTTCCCGGTATCCTTCTTTGATTCACGTCAACATTTGGGCCCCGGACGTGTTCAGCGGTTTGGTCTTGTAGCCGGCCATTAGGTTCACCAGTAGATAACTCATGTACACCCCATGGATCTAACTCACCCATACTATGATCGTCAAGCACCTCAGATTGGCCATTTTCAGAGTCCGGATGATTTATGACGTCTATTGGATTTTAGCGTCCGAAAGAGATCCGAAGGAGTTTTGTATAAGCTAACCTTGATACTTAGCGGTAAGTAAACCCGGAGCAGCCTTCACCATCCTCCTAATCTCATCCAGCACAGTCTCGTATTCCTCCTCGTCTGGTGCATCAAACTTATTCAAGTCGAAATGCGAGCGTTCGAGACCGACGATCTCCGCTCTATCGAGACATCCAGAGGTCTGGTCAACCATCAAAGACTAGTATCCTCGCGTCAGTTACCTACACAGCACATCCTGGGGCATATAAAACTCACCAATTCTCCTTCGAGAGATAGTATCATCATAACATCGACAGGAATTAGCTCGTAAAAGCAAGTAACCATTATCGTGTCGTTATCCCTTCCTCGAATTTTTTCAAAGTCCCGCACAATTTGCATGAGCAACGCGTCGTTTCGGTAAGTTACGCCCAGTATATCTTCGTGAATCGTCCCCTTGTACATAGACTGTGCAGTCAATAGCATCTTCATCTGACTGGCTTCTTCCGTGCCCCGGAATGGTGTGCCAAATAGGAGCATGCCAGTGACATTCTCGTATATATTAGGCCATCGTTTACGGTCGCGTTCAGCTTGTATAACTCCCTAGGCATATTCGTCAGTCGTTTAGAAGAGTGCTAAGGGGGTGAGTTATAATTGAACAAACAGCTAAGGCTACCAGCCCACCAAAACAATGCGCGCCAATCAGCAGTGGTCGTTTCTTGCAAGATGAATCCTGTCAGCTACCGTTAGTCTAGTTAATTTATATATGTGACCTTGAAATTTAGGGATCTGCACCTCTCGTTTGCGCGATAGCGACCTCAGGAAGCGATCTCCCACTCGTAAGACGTTTTGCTGAATTGCGTTGGCGCCATACCAGTTCGATTTATAACCATACCGCATTATACGCGCATTCGGCACGGCCGCAGGCAGCATATCAGGATGTGAAAGCCAATTAATAAATACTGGTTCTTCGGCCGAGCCGGTTCTCTTGCCCCACGTATCGTCGGGATGGGCGCCTATGCCATGGATGAACACAATACTGCATTACGGTTAGCCCGTTTCCCATTGAAAGGTGGGGGAGGATCTATTGTACTCGAGGTCGATTTTGTCTGGTTCATATAGGATCTTAATACCAGTATCCCTATCGGTAACAGGTCGTGGCTAGCGCTATGTTTTAGCGAAGTCCAGTTGTGGGCACGAGTATCTTATTGTTGCTAACTTACAGCCATAGTCAATATTGCTCGTTCCCCACCGGGGAGAGTTTGCTTCCGATTCTGTGATGATATGATGGTTTAAGTAAGTCGATTGTAAAAAGATAAATCAAGGCGATTGAAAGATATGGAGTGCCTAAGATTTCAAGTTGACTGGAAGAGAAATATGTTCTTATTTACTTACCTACCTAGTAGGTAGCTAGTAATTATATAACTACTTCTTCTCTCCCTCCAAAGAAGATATTCTGGACATGTTTATCCCCAAAGTACTCTAGTCACGATCATAACATCTGTCTTACGCGCCGCACAATCTTACGTTGATTCTCTAAGTATATTTCGACTTGGTCTTATGATTAACAGCCTCAAGTAGTGCCGAACAATTTTATCTAACAGCTTTCTGATTAACAGCCAACAATGTCTTGGCAGATATCCCGCGCGATAGTATTGCATTAGACGGAGAAATCAGTTTGAAAACATCTAGTGACTTGGTCGCTTATGGAAAAGAGGTGACTCGTGGGTGACATGAAGTACTTCTGTTATAAAGAACCTATGTTACTTGGGATTAAAATTTATCGTGATTCATCGTGATGAAATCCATAGCCCTGATCAATGAAACCAACATTAGATAGGTCACCGTAAACACTAAAGTGATATCCATACAGTCAACAATTCAAGCAGAAAGGTAAAATGACCTAGAAAAAAAGACCGCCTAAAATAGCAAATCTAGAATTGGCAGAGTAATTTGATAATGGATAGGAAAAGGTCAAAGTTAAGAAATACAAAGGTATCTTCCTTACCTATAGCCGATATCTACTGTGCACCGCGCTTAACCCCTGTCAGACATCGGTCTTCCTCCAGGTTAGTAGCTAGAGGTCTATGGGATCGGGATTCGGCCCGTTGAGTCCCCGTAAGGGTCCTGTTGGCCGCTAGTCCTAGGAGCAGGACAGACAAAGAGCTTCACCTGTATATATACCGTGTTTTCCATAACGAGAGTAGTTGAGAGCTCCTCGCGTAACAACGTCGTTATTTCCCAGTGTTTTGGTTCCGTCTCATGACAATTAACATCGTGTACAGAATAGTATTTTATAAATTTGAGTAATCATAGATAGGTAGTTAGGTCGCATTAATAGGGCTGCATGCTGCGGCACCGCTATATTGCCTCTAGATTTATATAGTGTTTGTGCTTGAGAAGAATATCAACGATGGTTTTATGACCGTTCAATGCGGCCCATGACAGTGGTGTTCGTCCATACTCAAAATCTTGGGAGCCAGGATCCACCCCGTGGTTCTTGAGAAGCATACGAACCACCACATCGTGGCCCCTTCCTGCTGCGTACGATAATGGTGTTCGCCCGCAATTACATTTGGGATCGGGATTGACCATTTCCTTCATCAGTAATAAGCGAACCACCTTCTCGCGCCCAAACCGTGCAGCCCACGTTATAGGTGACAGTCCGTTTTTAGACCGAGAATTGGGATCAACTCGGGTTTCGTTGAGCAGTAGTTGAACTATATCTTCATGCCCATTCGCTGCGGCCCATGAAAGTGACGTTCGTCCATATTCAGGATCCTTAGAATCAGGGTCAACCTCATCTTTCTCAAGTAGTAATTTCAATATAGTCTCGTATCCTTTCTCTGCTGCATATAACAATGGCGTTCGCCCATAAGCAGATTTAGAGTCAGGGTTGACCCCGTCTTTGAGTAGAAGTTTGACTATTTCCACCTGCCCCATCTCAGCTGCACGCCACAGTGGCACTTGGCTGTATTTAGAGTATTCTTGTTCAGGATTCACTCTACTGTTAGCCAGTAATAACTTGACGATTTCTGTATGCCCTCTTTCACTCGCAAACCACAATGGCGTCCGTCCACATTTGGATGTAGAATTTGGATCAACTGTGGTTTTTGCGAGGAATATCTCAACTACGGCCTTTTGACCTCTCTCTGCCGCCCATGAGAGTGGTGTTCGTCCATATTCTAAGTCTTTGGAGTCAGGGTTGACTCCCATCGTGTCGAGCAAGAGCTGAACCACTCTGCGATGTCCACTCGCCGCTGCCCACGAGAGTGGTGTCCGTCCAAAGTCGAAATTTTGAAAATCAGGATCTACGTTGTCCTTTTCGAGTAGCAATTTCACTATTGAGTCGTAGCCTTTCACCGCTGCTAATGACAGCAGTGTTAATCCATATCTGGACTTGGAGTTGAGGTCCTCTAAAGACTTCTCAAGTAGAAGCTTCACTATAGTTGTGTGCCCTTCTGCTACTGCATACCACAATGGTGTCCATCCGTATATAGAATCCTTGAAGTCCAGATTGACATTGCCCTTCTCAAGCAGCAGAGCGACCACCTTTTCATATCCCTTCTCTGCTGCGTATGATAGGGGCGTTCGGTTATATGTGTCCGTGGGATCGAGGTCATTCCCGCTCTCAGATAACGCGAATATCATGTCTTGCAAACCAAAGCATGCGGCAAGGTGGACTCCTGTCATCTGTCTCGGTACATCCTGACTATAGCCGTGGGAACGGTAGTTTTTCGCGGCGATCATCACTTGACTACATCCATCAACCTTGGATTGGCTTTGGAGGAAGCTTAAAATTGGGTTTCTTGTTCTGATGGGAGCTACACGCGCATGATGTCCCCAGTTCTGTGCTGCATAGCTGTAAAGTTGACTTGATCGCAGCTTCTCCTCAAATAGGCTGTCCGTTCGACAAAACCCTTCATCAAATGTGTTGAATGACAGGTATGCGATACAGGTTTCCGTGATATCAGCTTCTGCGTTTGAAAGCCAATGACCTTGCGTTTGTAAAAAATATTCCTGTACCGTATAGTGGACTAATCGGATGACATTTCTTTCTTTATCGACCGTAACTAACCCAGCACATACAGAGATCATATCATTGATATCTGGGAGATTATCCTCATCCAGCTCAGACTTGCCGGCTTCTACCGCAAGAGCGTGCTGAAGTTCCGATGGGGTAAGGGGTCTCTTTGCGCATATAATCCATGACAGAGCTTGCTTAGCAAGTTCTTCTTGGTCCTTAACTTGGCCTTCGATACGCTCTATTGCAGCTCGGTACGCGGAGTTATAGGCGCCTGGCCCAGTTGGCAGTGCTTCCAGAGCTACTCGAATGGCCTTTGGGGATCTCTTTCCAACTAGAGAATCCAGATAAAGTTGTGCAAGCAGAAACCTGAAACATATTAGCGTATTTTTACAGGTAAAAATATCTTCGTATGTTTATGAATAGTTAGATAGAATCCAACGCACATTCCATCTACTGACTGGATAATCCTACTCCTGATTTCAACTTGAAGTTCTTGGTTACGCTGCACAAAACCTGGTAATCGGAACATGTGACCATCAACATATGTTCGCACGTCTTCTCTGGTGGCACAGATCTCTAGGGAAATGCTTTCTTTGAACTGTTCACTAATTTCCGGAATGAACCTTGAAGTAGCACATGTATTGGATCCAGTCTTTGCTTGAAGGTCGGCTATCCCTGCGATGAATCTTGTCCGGCAACTATCTAGAGCTTGGTACTCATCAAGCGCGTCGATAACAATGAACACCCTGGAAAAGGTTTTTATCACAGATTGTAGCGTTCTAGATATTTCTTCAAATTCCGGTCGTGTTTGCTTGCTCTTATGGCGGTTATAAAGAACCTTGACACTGTCTGGTAATGAAAACATTCCCTGGCATAGTTGTTTCAGGAGACATGCAAACAAGTTATCGGCCCTCTGCTCGACCTGTCGTTGGAAAGTACAATATATGTATGCAACACCGATATCTTGGTTGTCGTGAAATCGCGTGGTAAGATCGTCAATTATGACTGATGTTAGGATGGTTTTTCCTGCTCCCGGAATGCCTGGGCAAAACAGTGTTTTTTGGGTTGTCCGTAGCCACCTCTGGTATTCCTCCGAATTTAAAAGCCACTGTCCGGTCCCGGCCTGTCTGCGATTGATGGAGTCACGCTGTTGAGAGGCATAATCGATTGGAGTAAGCCAGTCTAGAATGGCCTTGCGCTCCTCGACAGATTCTTGGCCATCTTGCCGGTCATGAAGACGGTCGATGTCTCTTTTTAGACAAGTCTGCGACCCGTGAATATTTGTTAGGGTGCTTCCCAGACTCAAAAGTTGGCTTTTGTTATCTTTCGAACCCCATTTGACCGCGTCGGTTAGGTTCATGAGCTGCTTGCCATTATCTTCGGCAGTCCTCTTGATATGTTGCATCAATCTTCGGGAATCATTTGCCAATGCCAAATTTAACAAGTTCTTCTCCCGCTCGATCCCGCAAATAATTTTATTCACCTCATTCTCTTGTAGAGGCCATTTTAAAGACCCAAGAACCTTTTTAATTCCTTGTTGAGGATGAAGTTTGGTTTTGATGACATCCAAAGCAGTAGAGAGACGGTCGAGGGGTACACTCAGTGCCTCAAGGGAACCGATCGTCTCCGTCCATTTCTCTTCTTCTATATCATCCATCTCATCTCTTAACTGTTGGAGGATTGATTCACAGCTTAACACTTCGTCACGAAGGCGGATTCGGTCTTTCGTTGCACCGGAGGCATTGCTGATATATTTGACGACTTCGGAAGATAGTTGGATAACAGATATAATATTCGCGACTGCGCTAAGACCATCCATTTTAGCAATGATGTAAACAGCCGAAGTATCCAAGCCTAATTCACACTATTAGTACTAAAAGTTTTATTAGCAAGCTATAGACTGCCTACTAGGCAACTATGGTAAGAGGCGGAATGTCGCTACGTCAAAGTGCAGGTAGCTGATGCTGCATGAATAGGCAAAGCCATTGGTTTTATCTGAGAACGAATCTGAGAACGAATCTATAATACGGAAATCATGTTCGAAGGAGTGCCTCGCCGCAATAAGATGGGTAGGACCGCTTTGATGGTATTTATCCAACAATTCGACGATTGAAAAAAAAATAGTTTAAAAGAGGAAATAATACTAGGTACTACCTGACTACTAGGTACTTCGTAAGCCATAGGCTCCAGGGCTGTTTACAAGGACGGCCACGGCCACGGCCATGGCTGAGCTCCGCGCTTCACAGCCAATTAGGTACAATTATCACTAAGTCCCACTCTAGTTAGTTCACTATACTCACCGAAGATGTGACATTAAGAACACCTAGTCCTCCAAACACCTCTATTTAGTTCTACTTCTATATTTGAAGGTTTTTATATAAAGTTGATAAGTCCTTTTTTCAGAGCATGATTTCATATATAAACTTACTTGTTACCACTTTAATAAAAGTTATAATTAATTCGTTAACGAGGAGCTTTAAACTACTCTCATTGAGGAAATCACTTTTGTTCATAGGGCTGGTGACCAACAGGGCCTTTGGGACTTAACCGACTTCTACGGGCCGGGTGTCACACGGGGATTAGTGCCAAGTATTGTTGGTATCAAAAGATACACTGTTGGATGGTTGTATATCATATTATTGGAGCATAAGAATAACTCATTAGAAGGACATGTTGATGCATACCTACTAGGTAGGTATGGGATTTATGCAAGATGACCAACACGGGATTTTTGGGCGCTTAGGACCTTACTAGATGAAGCTCCAAGGCCGACCGGATAGGTAGATTGTTATTAAGTAGGTACCTAGGTTATTAAATAGGACTCCTAGATCCCCTTCGAAACAAGAGAGGACTACAGACCTTTAAACCTCAGACAATTATTATATTGAATCTGAAAATTATTCCAAGCCCTATTAGCCCTTGTTACACTAAGTCCTAACCCCATAGACTCCTAGCTACTAGTCTCCCCCCAGACCATACTTCTGGCAGTTAACAATATGTCCTATACACCGCAGTTAACCCTAGTAATATGTCAGCTTGAAACTAGAGACATTCAAATGCCAAGGGGAAATCGTCGAAGTATTAGACCCTGACTGTCAAATGGATAATAAAAGTAACTTGCATTTTGGATGTGGGTAATTAGTAGGTACCTAGTAGGTAGGTATGCAATGTAACTTCACCCCGTAGGTTGGGGTTACCGACGGAAAGTCACATGTGAAAGCTGGTATGGGTCTCTCCCGCGTCGTAGGATCTTTCCAAGGATTTAGAGAAGAGGTTATCTGGTTACCTACTAGGTAGGCACTAATCATAAACGCTGGTTCACACATACTACGGATAGATTTGAGGTCGGTATAAGCTTTACGACGTGGTTAATAATGGAGCTTTCCGTCTTACTCACGCTGACCGAAGGATTTGACTGCATATAGCTACTTAGTGGTTTCTCTCGGCGTAAGAGTCTTCAACTATAGCTAGAAAAGTATATACTTATCTGCTGTTGAGTGATAGAGACATGCGACGTATCATTAAGACATGAACTTCGAATACTTGCGTAGGTACCTAGTAGTCAGCCGAAAGTTGGAATCCATTCTTACCGGTAGGCACTCATCCAGGTAACCTAAGCAACTGATGCTCATGCCAGTGTCTATAGATATCTAGTAGCTTGGTCAATGCTCGCAAGAAGTGCGCTCATACTGTGCGTCAAATCATTCGCTTACGTACAAAGACATATAAACCATAAGAAGATTCTAATGTTTCAAGAACCAGCTACTGGTAGGACATAATGGCCGGTGTGGCATGGTGGTGCTTGCAATTGATCTCATGGCTATAGCTCTGGGCTCCCTGGTGAGCTCCGCTCGAGGGTTCGATTCCCTCGACGGCCGAATCAACCTTTTTTTTCGTTAATCAATCGCCTTTTTTTATACCAAACTTCTTAGATACCTAGCTCCACAGCGCTCAGTAGATCTCTAGGCTTATAAATCAGCCTTATCGGCGCATGATGTAAATGCTTCTGCAGCATCTCATGCAGCGCTGTGACACCGAGGTCGTACAGACACCGGGCATGCACAAAAGGACCCGGCAGACGTGCTCAGACCCAGATTTTTCGCTTGGATGGTATGTATAATGATCCTTCTAGGATTTTCATCATTTACCTACTCTAGCACGCCGAGCGCACCTATGAGACTTACGACCTGTACGACGAATGCATGATTTGCTGGTGATGTGTATATGCACTGATCGTATATGATGGCAAAGGAGATCATCAACATTTGAAGACGGTTAAACAAGGAATATTCGAAGATCGTGGAAGAGACAATGTCGATGTGTAATCCAATAGTAGGTCATTACTGTACGATAAAACCATGTCAGCGAAATTGAAATACGGAGACAGATGATGGATAGAATCATGATATAAACCGTAGAACTTCTCTTGTTGAAAATACAATACTCGTTCGATCGGTACCACCACACCCCTATTCCATCTTCAGTTTCACACCCCATCTATAAACCACAATGCCCAGCACAACAAAAGACGATGTCATCAGCTACGACATCAACGTCCCGTACAAGATCACGGACGACACCCGGACCAAAGTCAAGTACCCCGAGTACATGCCCAGCTGGGACAAGATATGGTTCGACCCCCTCCCACCCTTCGAATTCCAGGATCCCGCTCTCCGAGTAAAAGACACCTCTCTCCCCGAGCTCCACAAAGCCGGGCTTAAGATCACCAACATAACCCCAAAGCTCGGAAGCTACATCTCAGGAATCCAGCTAAACAAGCTCAACACCGTCGCAAAAGACGAACTAGCATGGCTCGTGTCCGAGCGGAAAGTCCTCGCCTTTCACGACCAGGACCTCATCGACGACGGACCAGCCGCGCAGCAAGCCTTCATGAACCACTACGGCAAGCCGAACTACCAGCCGGTATCAGGCAGCATCAAGGGGCACCCCGGCTTCCACATTATCCAGCGAGACGGCAACCAAGCCGAGCTGACCAAATTCCTGGACCAGAAATCCACCACGACGCTCTGGCACCAGGACGTAAGCTACGAGATCCAGCCCCCAGGATACGTGATGCTTGGATTCCTAGAAGGCCCGGATATCGGGGGCGATACGGTGTTCGCAGCGACGGATGTTGCGTATAAGTAATAAGAACCTCCCCAACACATCTTCTTCCCCTGTTATGTCTTGTTTAGGGAGGAGCTAACACCCCCAAGACGCCTCTCCCCCGCCCTCCAAACCCTCGTAACCAACCTCACCGCAACGCACACCTCGTCCAAAATGATCGCGCACACCCGACTAGCCGGGGGTCTCGTGCGCAAAGACGCGATCTCCACCGTGCACCCACTGGTGCGCGTCCACCCCGTCACAAACGAAAAATGTCTTTTCATAAACGCGGAGTTCGTGTCGCGGATTGACGGGCTGAAAGAGACAGAGCACAAGATGTTGCTGGACTTCCTGATGCAGCATATAGTGACCGGCCACGATTACCAGGCGCGCGTTAGCTGGGCCCCGCGGTCGGTGGTGGTTTTTGATAATCGGTCGACTTGTCGTAGGTTGATTTCACTTTTCGCTTTGGCTACTCTGCCTTTTTGTTTGGGGATGTGCTAATTGGGTTGTTAGATACGGCTGTGGTGGACTATGTGGATGATGGAGAGAGCTCTAAGGTGAGGCATCTGTTCCGACTTGCGGCCATGGCGGAGAAGCCTATCCCAGTTTCTTCGTAAAGAATTGCGATAGGACTCGGCTCGGTGGGATATATAGTGTAAATCTTCATTTATAGAAGTCACAAAGCGTTGCGCGTCGGGTTGTTGTTATGCGTCTACATCTGTAATGTTGCCGGCCATCCCGGAATGACGTCAAAAGAAAAAGGGCATGTGCGAATGAGGGATAGAGGCACTGTACTGTACTTTGTCTAGCTATCCCCTCATTACTTAATCTGCGGTTACAATATGTGGACGCTACTCAATTAGGTACCCTGAGGGATGCATTTCCACATAATATAAAACAGTGTTACTCGCACATACTCGATTCATTGAACAAGAACTCAGCTTCAAAACCAGAAACGTGATGGGGAAGTCAATTTCTAAGGTATACCATAAAGCCGCATGTCAGGAGTCAACTCATATCGTCGAAATATATCATCTACCTGTATTCTAAGAATACCTTACAAGGTTATGAGTTAACCTCACACCTCCTTAACCCATTCAACGATCAACTTCACATAACCCAGTAATTTAGCTGATTCATCTTATATTAATTCATCTGCGAAATGCAATCGTATCATAGCACGCCCAGTCATTCATCCCAGGCATCGTCCATCCGTAGCTCAAATCCCATAGAGCAGCAAATCGCAAGATCCGTAACGCAGTAGCCGCGATGCAAATTTCCCTAACCCTACGCTCGAATCATAAAGCAACGCTGTACCCACCATCTAGGCTCATCCCCGTCATACCTCCTCATATCTTGATTGGGGATTCCTTAAATTCCGTCATCCCAGCGAGCGGATCAACCGGACGATCTCTCTAAGCCTCCGGTTTATACACGCCGTCCTTGCATAGCAGCACCACCTTCTTGAAGAATCGTCTCCACTCGAGGGGGTCGCCCTTGAGCTTGATGAAGCGCACCTCCAGTAGCTCCTGTGACTCGGGCAGGAAGTACTTGTCGATAAGAATCTCGCCGTGTAGGCCCTGCTTCCGGTCATCCGTGGTCTTGACCTTGAGTGTCGATACGTGTTCTCCCTGGCCGATATACGGGGGCTGGGAAGGTAGCGGCACGTTGAGGTTATGTAACGCGTCACCAATCATTTGCACGAGTAGCCGCGGCGGCATGTGCGAGAAAAAGCGCGTGAATGAGTGTGCGGGGACAATGTCCTTGAACCGTTGTGCGCGCTGGGTGAGGGTTATCGGTACTCCGGGTGTCTGCGAGAACTGGCTCATCGATGGTTCCTCAGCTAAAGCATCATAAAAGTTCGTAGACTGGGTTGCCGAAGGTGGTAGTGTTGCGTCCGCTCGGGACATGGGCTGGGTCGAGGATACGGCTAATGTGCGTAGAGCAGGTCTCTCCCAGTCGAATAGGACGTCGCTTATAGGAGCTTCTGGTTGGGTGGACGATAGCCTGCTAAAGCCGCTGTCTACATCCATAGCATCGGCTGAAGACTGCGATCCGCGTTGAGATGAAGTAGGTTGTTGACTAAAGTCTATACGTAGGTTTTCTAACATCTTCGTTGCAAGGATTATAGGGTCGTTGATCTGACCATCTGAGGCAAGGTGTTCATTGTGGCGGGTGTACCATGGGTGTTGGCGTATCTGAGCGAATGAGAATCGTTTCTTCGGCTCGATGTTCATCATACCTCTGAGCAGCGACAGTGCCTCTGCCGGTACCCTTTTCCATAGGTCATCCGAACTTCGTCCATTAGTCTTCTTGTACTCTACGAACTCCCAACTTTCTCTTGTAGGCTCGTCCCATGGTGTATTGCCTACGAGCAAGACGAAGAGAATGACACCGCATGACCATATGTCTACTAGCTCAGGGGAATACTTGACGAGTTCGGTACCGGTCTTTTTCTCCTGTCGACCGCATACTAAGACTTCGGGGGCAACATAAGGAGGGCTACCGCACATGGTAGCACTTTGCTTCTTCTGACCTCGGTACTCGAACATTGTAGCCATGCCGAAATCCGCAATTTTCAAGTTGCCGTTATCCGACATTAAGATGTTCTCTGGCTTGAGATCTCGATGGGCAACACCCTTGGAGTGAATGAAGCTTACTCCGCTAATGAGTTGATAGAAATAGACCTGGGCAATATCTTCGCTAACACCTACGTCGGCCTCAATCTTGTCGAAGAGATCACCACCCTCGGCATACTCCATCGCTATCCATCTCCAGACATGGTCTTCGTCTGTGGCAAACCACTCAATTACATTTGGATGTTGACCAACGTGGGAATGCAAGGAGACCTCCATGGCGATCTGCTTCGCTGAGATGCGGCCATGCTTGATTGCATAGCCTTTGTGAATTAACTTGACGGCAAAGACGGGTGTTGTTGAATCCAGGGGTACGGCTTTCTTGACCCTGTTGTATTAGTCAGTATTTGATATAAGTGGATACTAGGCATGTAGGCGACGGTGACTCACGATGCATACGCTCCTCGTCCGATAGTCCTGGAAATAAATCTGAAGGGAAGATTATTTGGTAAAGGATCTAATTGAGACTGCATTGTCTTGTTAGTAAATTTGACTTCTAGACTCTCTCATTTTTGATTCTGTAAATTCATATAAATTGATTCGTCGAGATGAATTTGGTTCATAAGTGGGCAAGGAACATGGGGCATCGGATATCACTGAAAATGTAGGAACTGGACGTCGATATAGACATCTAAATCGACCCAGACTGCGCGTAACAGGCTGGCTAAAACAGATGAAAATAACTGATAGTAAAGAAATACCCAATATTCAGAAGAACTTACCATGTTGGCTCATAAACGCGGTTTACCGCGTCAAAATATTAATTAAAATAGAATCGGATGGATGTGTTTAAGTGTTTTTGGTTTGAGATTGTATCGCGACCCGATAAATTTATTGGCTATGAACAGTTCCTTTTTAGGGGATTTAGGCATTCCACAATTGGTTATTTAAGTGACTTGCGTTATGATGCAGCTGCAGTGTGAGCTGTTATTAGTGGCTTGAGCAGTTTGAGTGGCTTATCGGCACTGGCACTGACCAACTTCGGAAGCCGCTGCCCCACAAGATTAGGTGAGATGGCGCTAGACGGGGGGTTTTCTATGGTTGAGCTGGAGGACCCCATCATCGCGGTTGCCATAGGAGTGCTAATCGTGCTAATCGGGCGGGACGTCAGAGTTGTTGTTTACAATTTGAAAATCGATCCTACTCTTTCCTTCAATTCTCTTTTTTCTATCAATCAATTATTAAACCTAACTTTCAATTCCTAAGTACCCTTCGATATAATATCGACTAAATAGGTTCGTACAACATTCCTTAACCTAGAATCTCTTTTTACCTCTAATTGATGATCGTCAATCGGGTGTGGTGCATCTCTAGAGGGCCTTTCATCGCTAACAGACACTACATTCCAGGCCTCGTCTTTCATTTCTCCTTGTACAATTCTCTAGCTACAGGTGCACCGAATCCAGCAGCCACTAACGGCTTGACTCGGTCTTTATTACATTTACATCGTCCATCAACTTCGATAAATTCGAACTTGGCCAATATCATTACCGACGACGAACTTCAATTGCCAGCCAAAATGGAATACCCTACCGAGAACCAGAATGCAGCACCTGACAGCGTCCAAGCTGCTAAGCTCGGCAACACCCGGAGAGGGCCCGATGCACAGAGTGTAACGAAAAGGTACGATTGGGAAATTAATGAAGTTGTATCCGTTATACAACCCATTTCGCTAACAGCAGCAATATGTAGATTGCAGACGGAACTCATGCAGTTGATGACCTCACCGGCTCCTGGTGTTTCAGCATTCCCGTCGGCTGACGGAAACCTGATGTCGTGGTCCGCAACGATCGAGGGACCTGACGATACTCCCTACGCCGGGCTGACCTTCAAGCTGTCCTTCTCCTTCCCATCCAACTACCCCTACGCCCCACCAACTGTTCTGTTCAAGACTCCTATCTACCACCCCAATGTGGATTTCTCTGGGCGTATTTGTCTAGATATCTTGAAAGACAAGTGGACCGCTGCATACAACATCCAGACTGTTCTCCTGAGTCTGCAAAGTCTCCTTGGAGAGCCAAACAAGTATGTTTCTATGTGTTGGATCTGAGAAAATCGGGACCTTACTAACCCACTTTTAGTGCCTCACCATTGAACGGTGAAGCGGCGGAACTGTGGGATAAGGACGCAGAGGAATTCAAGAAGAAGGTTCTTGGGCGTCACCGTGACGTCGATGACGACTAAATTGTCCGTTATACTGTTTATCATGTGTCCGAGTGGACAGTCGGGATCACTCGGTATGGAGAATCGGAGTCAGTACTTGCATAGTTGGTCGGATTGGACCACTGTTGTCTCGGCGCCTTGTACGCGGTGCATTTACAGGTTGTTTTAAGGCTGGGAATAGCTATTCCTCGCGTAGTTCAATGAGAACACGATAGCATTATCACCTACTTCATTACAGCGTTGCCATGATTTACTTCCTATGATATGGTGGATCATGTTGGGAGGGGAAATCGTAATCACCATGTCTCGATCACGACGTAGCAAGTAGCAGATGGGGTGAACAAATAAGAAAAGTGTTGTTCACGGTTCTTGATTCATCAATCAGTGAATCTTAATGTAATGAAGCCAGAAGGAACTCCGAAACCATGCCCTTCTCGAACCCAGCCGGTATCTCAACGAAACATTGCTTTTTCCTTTGCATTGCTTTCCCTTACTCCTCAACGACCACCGTCACGAGACCCTTGGGGTTCTTAACGTTAACGGCTTGGACGTAGCTGTAGAGCTTCTCCTTCGCATCCTCCTCGTCGTTTCGTCGTCGGCTAATTCGGATGCGTAGTCGGTAAGGGACACCCTTGACACCCTGCTCCCACACCTTCTTGTTCAGTTGAGGGTCGAGACGGACATCGGAGGTTTGCTATAATTCAGTTAGCCAAGTTGAAATCGATTATGAGTGACGGCGGATAAATATTGAGCGAAGGAATAATTTAAAGAATCGAATTGTGAATGTGAATATGGATGTGGATGTGGGTGTGGAAGTAATTCGGGTTATTCGTACCATAGCCTTCTCCGCGAATGCCTTGATCTCCTTGATAGCACGGGGAGCGCGCTTCTTGAAGGTAACACCATGCAGCTATTAGAACCATCAGTATTTTTTCACTCCTATAATTAGGATCATGCGCCAGCAAGGACTCGATCCTATTGCGAAATAGACGTACACGCTTGTGGAGGTGGATGGTGTACTCGCGGGACACGACCTGCTCGATGGCCGACTTGGTAGCGGGCTTCTTTCCTTTCGACGACATTTCTAAATAGGTTGCGATGATTAGAATTGTTTATTCGGTCGTGGTGAATTATTTTGGCATATGGTTTGCTTACTGAATGGTTGTCTGGATGTTAGTCGAAAAAGTTCGGTCGTGATGTTGTGAGACTTTGCGAAATTGAAAATTGAGAGGCACTGATGTGGGAAACTGAGGGCAGGAGGTAGCTTTTCGCTAGGCGAACCAATTAAAATTGAATTTGTGCGAAGTGTGCAGGTATTGTTGTGGCTAGTGTTTTTTGTACAGGTGTGGCTTTTTGGATATTTGAGTGGTCTTAGCGGTGGCTTTTGACTTCAACAGAAGTACCAAGGTATTTAATTACTGGGTCGGCCGAATTATGGGTACCTGCACTTTTTGTCTTGCTGAAGCTGTGCAGGCTGTGGCTAACTCTGCAGACAAATTGGTTCCTGGATCAATCATGCTATGTATATAGAACAATCAATCAAAATGACTAGCATTAGGTATGTACCTACATATGCTGCAAATCTTGCGATAGCATCTTAAGACACAAAGACATGAAGTTGTGATGCAAATGCATCTGTATCACTTCAAATTTTATTACCCCATGTCTTTCAATTAATGACTAAATTGTGATTCGTATGACCTCTAATGTGGCTCATAAGTGCACACATGCGATGAACCCAAAACAAAGTTTGAAAACCTGCTTGCCGTGCCACGATTTCAGGTACCCCGGCCCTGTAATTTGGTTGGATAGGTACCTGGCAGGCGACTGCCAGTAATTTATGAACGGGTGGCTTAGGCTCCAGAAACAATCGGCAACCACGACAGACGTCGCAAATCAAATGATCTTACAACTTGCCCAGTTTTTGATTCTAACCCAACGTCGTCTTTCCTTCATCAACATCAACACCCCCCAACCTTGCGCCGAGCGCAATTTCACTCGCTTTTTATTTGTGTCCTCTCCCCGAAGAGATTATTGAAACGATCAAGTTCGTTTCGTGCAATTGATGATTTTTGTGCGCCGACAACAACATTCGCGATAAACCGATCACGTTACTCACGTTACCCCTTCTTTGTAACGTTCAACGCGACACTGAACACCGGCACAAAAAAAAAATTGGCTGCTCCCCAGGGGAGAGCTAGCTTGGCAGTTATTTCGCCATAAAATCGAACATCTACTTTCTCGCAGCCCAATCGACCTACACATACGAACATTATCTCTCACCTCCCATTTAAGCTCCGGATCCTTAAATTCCCTAGCAAGGCTATTTCCTGCAATCCTTCCCATTGACAGCTTATTACTACCATCAAGATGGCATATGCCAGTAGCAATTTAGAGGAGGCGAATACCTCGCCTCTTCCTGACACCATGGTACGAAACCGTTTGCCTACCCTTTTTGAGGTGCTTTGCCGTCGTACACAACCTCCCGTGGATCTGTTCTCGTTTTATATCTACATGCGGGATCAGCAACGATCCGTCGACTATCTTGACTTCTGGTATGTCGTTCTTCTCAGTTAGAATCAATAACCCCTCTTACAATATATTTAGGCTCGATGTTGCACAGCACATGTCACTTTGCCGCCATTACGTCCGAGAACTTCGACGATCTGTGCTAGTCGGCACACCGGATTTAGAGACAGAAGAATCTAAGCGATCATCACGAGTGTTGGATGCAATGGGCGACTTAAGCTATAGCCATGATGGCCCTGCGCGATTTGGCAACGAGAAGGAGCGAGACCAAGATGCAAAGATCTCGAATTATCTAAGAGAACAACAGGCCGAGGACTCACCTGCCAGCAGTCAGGAGCGACGAGCCCGTGCTAGCACCCAACTCAGCTCCAGCACGCCGCAGCAGATCACCGACTCGAACTCTCCAGCACGCGCCTTCACCCGAAATGATATCCAGAGATCAGCGGAGAAAATTCTCTACACCTTCCTCCTCCCTGGCGCTGAGCGTGAGATTACTCTAGACGGCACTATCGCGGCCGATGTTACCAGAGAGATCGAGGAGAACAATCGCGACGACCCTGAACTTTTTGACGTGGCTAAGGATTACGTATTTCAGGCCATGGAGCGAGATGCCTTCCCAGGTTTTCTACGAGCTAGAGCCTTCGGAAACTTGATTCCTCCCACTCTTATCTCGCGATTGATCATCGGTCTCGTTGCTCTCTTTGGAGGCTTCTGGACTGGATTCAATCTTATCTTCCTTGACTACTCCCGCTTGACTCGATGCTGGGTATGTGTATTTTTTCTTTTAGCATCTTTACTACCCGTGAATCGTTAATTAACTTCAATACAGGAAATCCTTCCCTTCACCATCGGCGTCTACCTTCTAGCCTCATACCAGTATTCTCTGGATCCCATCATGGCACTACTTGGTTATACGGAGTTGACACCATTCGAGTTCACCAGTATCCGAGAGCCTTATGTCCGCAAGTTACTATTCCAGCGTTCCTTTGTCGTCCTTGCTGTGACGGCAGTCTTTGATGCGGCACTGTGTGTGCTGTTCATCCTCGTACCTGGACATAGACTTTAGGCAACCAATCGGACCTCCTACTAGTACCCAGACAACTTACATAATGGGGTGACTTTGGTCCCATATTACGACGTCATGATCATTTCTTTCAGGAGTTTCGAGACTTGGCCTACCAAGAGACATTTGCGGGCCTTGAATAATACTCTGCGGCTTGTGTTGGGGAGGATAATGTGATACCATCAAGTACGAGCAAGCACGCATTCATCATTGATTTTTTTCGGCCTCTTTTTTATTATCCAAAGGGGCGTACCCTTTCACAGGTGTGAAGGGAACAGGGCAGTCAGGCATACGGCTTACGGATTCACAAATTCTGTCCTCAAATGATCTCTTTCCACGAGTAGTTCATTTGAGGACTCTTTCACTTCTTTCATCCATATTTAAATGGCTCTATTTTCGATTCCCATCACCCCTTTTTCTACGAAGGACCGAGCCTGGCGACCGCTTCACCCACTCGTCTGGTATTTCACCGGCTTGTGTACACTAGCACTGAGAAACGTAGTTCATCAGCTTGGCTTTTAGGCTCGACGCTGCAAATCGTAACCAATTTTACGATGAATTCTACGTTTTAACTATTATGCTATTATGCTTTAGGCCTGTGATTCGTAGAAATGTTTATTGATTGTGATTTTTATCTGTTTTCATCTGCCAATGGTCTGGGTCTATGTCTATCATACCATAGCAAAGCTAGAATAACCGACCAAAGTTGGTCTTAGCTCTCTCTTTCCCTCTCTAGCTTTTTTCGTAGTCATCTTCCTTCATAAACTTCCCATACGATAAGTTGTCAAAGCTGAAGAATAGATACCAAGTTCAACCCACCCATCCCCCCAACCACGACCAAAACACTCCCAAGCATAATCAGACCCGAACCCTCTTACCCTCCTAAAGCTTCCGTCGACTCTGCCGCTGCTTGCGTCCCTGACCTACATCCCCCTCGTCGGGATCCTCCTCATCCACATCCATCGCCTCGTCCGAGTCCTGGCTCGTCTCCAAGCTCCCGCTTCCACGCTTGCCGCTACGGCTCTGCACACCGAGGCTCGCGGCCCCGCCGCCGCGGAGACGGGCGACGGCGGCGTCGATGATGCGGTTTTGGCCGCGGGTGTGGGCGCCTAAAGCGCTGGCGTTGGTGTCGGCCCGGCGCTGGTCCTCGAGGAGCTTGGCTTGGGTTTGGGATGCGGTTTGTTTCTCGGTTGCGCGGGAGATGGCGGCGCTGCGGACGGTGGTTACCTGGTTCTCGAGGTCCTGGAGCGTGGTCTCGCAGCGTGCGGAGAATGCTCGGAGCGCGGCGAGGGCGGAGGGGATGGAGTTTGGCTCGGGGTCTCGGAGTGGGGCAACGCCTGATACGTGCACGGTTTGGTGGCGCGGGTCGAGCTGGGCTTCGATTAGGCCGGCGTAGATTGCGCTGATTACTAGCTCTTCGACGGCGCGGGGGGAGGGTAGGCCTAGGGTTGTTTGGAGGTTGGTGTAGGTTAGGTTGTGTGGATTGCGGGCGAGGGTTAGGAGGGAGAGCTGGCGTAGTTTGAGGACTTGGGCGTCGTTGAGGGGAGGGAGGGACGGGGTGCTGGTTTGGGCGGTGGTGTAGGTTTGGTAAGTGCCGTGCGAGAAGATCTCGAGCAGTTGTAGGTATGGCGCGTATTCGGGGGTTTGGGATAGGGCTTGGATCTGAGGTGCTTGTAGGAGCTCGGCGAAGACGTAGGTGTTGGGGTTCGAGGTCGCCTGCGTCACTAGGTCGGCTGCTGCGCGGGGAGCTGTGGCGGATTTGGTGAGAGCTAGATAGGGCTGGTGAGGTGGTTAGTTGCTTGCTTGTGATATCCACCAGTACTAAGTAATATATCCCGTATAAAGTCTTGATAATGTGCTTGGAATTGTATGGGGATATGGATTACTTACCTCAAGAGCGTTTAGTGCCTTTGTTTGCTCCATGGTGAAGATAGCCTCGTCCTAAAGACGTTGACAGCGATAGTATCGACAACGTCAGGCTCAGGCAAGGCTGAAAGATAGAAGACAAGGGCCTGGTAGCTAAGCTAACTGGCTAAGCTTCTAGATCGGTTCGCCTTGCTATGGTGAGATGAAACGGCTGAAGACTGTACGGCTTGGCAAGTAGATTGTGGGGTTATTACTCTAATTCGTTTCAATAGAAATGAGTAAGGGTAAAAGAAAACACTCAAAGCTTGTCTGAACGAGAGGCTAGGAAACACGCCGGCAAAGAGACGTGGTATTCTAGAAGTGGATTTGCTGGTGTTTGACGTTGACGTGGTTGAGGTTTTGGTGGTTACCAAGCTTGAACTTTTGAGGTAGTGCCTGTATCATCACTGTTTGAGCTTACACCCGCCAGACCAGGTAGAGCCCCTACCCCAGACGCTGCTAGTGACATCTAGGCTATGGATGTATAGCGGGGCAATTGCACAATAATTCCTTATCTTATCTTTATCTTTCTACATAGTTTGATGTACACCTAAATCTTAACACATCTACGTATCTTGCACATCTTGACTTTTAATGTTGGACAAAGACTTGGTTATTATGTTAGAATGTGAATGCTCCGAAATCCTCATCATACGATGACATAAGTAAGGATTCAAGATCAACTCTTTGCGGTGAACAAGCACGGCATTCGGCTTTGGGGATCATGGTGATCGTGGGGCACTGCTTATTCGACTCTCCGCAATATGAAGCAATTCCTGCAGTCAGCTTATTACTGCCTATTCCTTTCCAAAGTTGACGAAGAAACCAACAACAGTATAACAAACTGATATCTACACGTGGTTGTTAATGGTGCCAGAATGAGTTATGATCATAGAAGAGGAATTGAAAAAATCGGAGATATCGACATGTGAATGAATCCTCCACCCCACCGAGAACAATTCTACCTAGTACTTTTAGAGATTTACCGCATATATTAAAAATCAAGGTAAACTTGGAAGTATCCAATATATCGGAGGTACAACTAATAAAGCTATATATTCCGTACGGTCCGAATTTGTCGCCAAGTTCGAACGTTACTCGGCATATGTATCCAATGTCTGACATAACGCTGACTATTCACTTTTCTGTCTGATTCTTTGATCGATATTCATTTTACATGCACATAGTTGTATAAGAATAAACTAATGTGAATCATTCAAAATTAGTTATGTATGTAAAAAGATGTGCACAGCTTGGTATCTAGATCTACTCATCTTCTAATGATTAGCCAAGATCTAAATAGGAGATGCAAGGTTGCCGAAGATCGCTTTAGTTGCCGCGTTTAGAAGGTTGAGATAGCTGTGGCATGTTTCGTCCTTTAAGCGTCCTTAAGCAATCTATGCCAAGCCTGAAACTACAGTTTACCAGACCCCTGGAATTATGCGCTGCACTGTATTAGATAGTGCAACGTCAGCTCGGTCAAAGCACAATAGTGTCCAGGTTAGTGACCAAGTTAGTGACCAAGTTAATGGCTAGGAGCTGAGTTCGGCTATGTAGCGTACAGTTAGCCCGTGACGTTTGCACAGTCGTAATATTTGACTAAAAACACCCAAAACACCCGATTCGTCCTAGATCGTTCCACTAGTGTTGTACCTTACACCCGATAAGTACTTAGCGGCGGTTCCTTAACCCCGGTAGCTTACAAACCCCTTCCGACCCTAGAACAGAATCGCATCGTTCGACCTTTTCGTTCCCGAATTCCTTCCTCGTCAACTTGCGTCAACTCGTCTATTCCTCATTCAAATCCACACATTACACACCATACCACATACTACTCATACAATTTAAGCCTGTTTTAATATATCTCACTCACTACCCGCCTGGAGCTGGAGTTTGGTCATTTTCACGACGTGTTCTTTTTTACCACCACACGTCACAACTACACGTCAAATCGTCCTTTGTCTCTCAATATCCCGCTTCCAACAATTAGATCATGCCGGCCGTCATATAAAAAAAACTCTCCCGAATTAATCCAAGAGAACCCTTCGGCGACATCTGTTGATTGGTTGCGCCTTTTCCTAGCCTCCAAGAAAACATCGCGCAATTGCGCTCATTCTCGTCAGATATGGCACCAGCAAATATCACAGTCCCTTCTCGAGGGCCTTCCGGGTCTTCCCTACTAAGTCCGACACCTGCACGATGGGCTACCACCACTTTGAGAGTCGGTGGCATGACGTACGATTCTTAATATCCTACACTCAATTTCCCCCCCTTTTACTAATATTGATATAGATGTGGTGCTTGTACTTCATCCATTGAAGCGGGCTTCAAAGATGTTAACGGAGTCGGAAGTGTGTCAGTCAGTCTAGTGATGGAACGAGCCGTAGTAATGCACGACCCCCAACGGATAACCGCCGAGAAAGTACAAGAAATTATTGAGGATCGAGGATTTGAGGCGGAGGTATTGGCAACGGATTTACCTTCCCCCTTACCCACACCAAGACAGGAGATTACCGACGACTACGACGACAGCCCAGCAACCACCGTTACAACAATCGCCGTCGAAGGAATGACTTGTGGAGCGTGCACGTCAGCCATTGAGGGTGGTTTCAAAGACGTGACTGGAGTAAAACATTTCAGTATATCGCTGCTATCCGAGCGAGCGGTCGTGGAACATGATGTGGCCTTATTACCAGTCGACCAGATAATAGAGGTTATTGAGGATCGAGGATTTGGTGCGACCTTAGTTTCCAGCGAAGAATCGAAACCTGTCAAAAAAGGGGTTGAGGGCACGGAAGCAAAGCCCACTACAGCCACAACTACCATTGCCATTGAGGGCATGACATGTGGTGCCTGCACCTCAGCTGTCGAAGGAGCTGTAACTGGCCTAGATGGTATTTTACGGTTTAATATCAGTTTGTTGGCGGAACGAGCTGTTATTACCCACGATACTACGAAAGTCACTGCGGAGAAGATCGCGGAAACTATCGAGGATAGTGGATTCGGTGCTGAAGTCATATCGTCAATTCCCGATACAGCTGATCATTCTGGATCGTCTACTACATCGCAGCTCAAAATATACGGAAATCCCGATGCCGCTGCTGCCAAGGCTATCGAGGAAGCGTTACTCGCTCTTCCCGGTGTCAACTCCGCGAAATTAAACATGTCCACATCGAGGCTCACTGTTTCTCACCAGCCAGGGGTAACGGGCTTACGAGTTCTCGTCGAAGAGGTTGAAAAGATGAAATTCAACGCTCTAGTGGCTGATAGCGATGACAACAATGCGCAGTTAGAATCACTGGCAAAGACGAGGGAGATCCAGGAATGGAGAAGAGCCTTCCAGGTCTCGTTGTCTTTTGCAATTCCGGTATTCTTCATCGGCATGGTTTTCCCTATGGCACTTCCTTTCCTGGATTTCGGTCGTTTGGAATTACTTTCTGGCCTTTTCTTAGGCGATGTTATTTGCTTAGTTCTTACGATACCCATCCAGTTTGGCATTGGCAAACGTTTCTACGTTTCGGCCTATAAGTCCATTAAACACAAGTCTCCAACTATGGACGTACTCGTCGTCCTAGGGACCTCTGCCGCATTTTTCTTCAGCGTTTTCGCCATGGTTGTTTCCTTTTTATTCCCCCCACACACTCGACCCAACACCATCTTCGATACCAGCACCATGCTGATTACCTTCATCACTTTGGGTCGTTTCTTAGAAAACCGTGCAAAGGGCCAAACTTCGAAGGCTCTTTCCCGGCTTATGTCACTAGCCCCATCCATGGCTACTATTTACGCCGATCCGATTGCAGCAGAAAAAGCGGCTGAAAATTGGGACGCGACCACAGATACCGACAAACCAGAGGCACAAGCACAGGAGGGCAATGCGGCCGAAGAGAAGATCATCCCCACAGAACTCATTTCAGTAGGTGACATTGTGATCATCCGCCCTGGAGATAAGATTCCTGCCGACGGAACCATCGTTCGAGGTGAAACATACGTGGACGAAAGTATGGTTACTGGAGAAGCCATCCCCGTACAGAAGAGGAAGGGTAGCAATGTGATTGGTGGCACCGTTAACGGACATGGCCGAGTCGATTTCCGCGTAACTAGAGCAGGCCGAGATACACAACTCAGTCAGATTGTCAAGTTGGTACAAGACGCTCAAACTACCAGAGCTCCTATCCAACGCTTAGCTGATACCCTTGCCGGCTACTTCGTCCCCACGATCTTAGTTCTCGGTTTCCTAACGTTCATCACCTGGATGGTACTGAGCCACGCTCTCAAGAACCCGCCCAAGATTTTCTTGCAAGAGGAAAGTGGTGGTAAGCTGATGGTTTGCGTCAAACTCTGCATTTCTGTCATCGTGTTCGCCTGCCCCTGTGCGCTTGGTCTTGCAACTCCTACTGCGGTGATGGTTGGTACGGGAATAGGCGCAGAGAACGGCATTCTAGTCAAAGGCGGTGCAGCTTTGGAAACCACAACTAAAATCACCCAAGTCGTCCTCGACAAGACAGGAACTCTTACTTACGGCAAGATGAGCGTCGCCAGCATTGAGATGCCATCCATCTGGAAAGACAACGAGTGGCGACGACGTCTCTGGTGGTCGATTGTCGGTCTCGCCGAAATGGGAAGTGAGCATCCAGTTGGTAAAGCTATTTTGGCAGCAGCGCGCAATGATCTCGGGTTGGATGCAGAGGCAGCTATCGACGGTAGCGTTGGCGATTTCAATGCCGTTGTAGGCCGAGGTATCAGTGCACGTGTTGAACCTACTACTAGTGCCGAGCGTACCCGTTACGAAGCACTCGTAGGTAGTGTTCGCTTCTTGCGTGAGAGCAAGGTGGAAGTACCTGAAAACGCAGTGGAAGCATCCGAGGAAATCAACTCTAAGGCAAACAAATCGAAGGCTGCTTCCGCCGGAACAACGAACGTCTTCATCGCTATCGATCGTAAATATGCCGGCCACCTATGCTTGTCCGACACTATCAAGGAAGGAGCAGCAGCCACGATTTCGGTACTACACAGCATGGGAATCAAGACTGCCATTGTTACTGGTGACCAACTGTCTACTGCATTGGCCGTTGCCTCTTCAGTTGGTATCTCGCATGACAATGTCTACGCTGGCGTATCACCAGACCAGAAACAGGACATCGTTCGAGAGATTCAGGGACGAGGTGAATGTGTCGCTATGGTTGGCGATGGTATCAATGACTCTCCTGCCCTGGCCACTGCTGACGTTGGTATCGCCATGGCTAGTGGTACAGATGTTGCCATGGAAGCTGCTGATGTTGTCCTCATGCGACCTAACGACCTAATGGACATCCCTGCTGCTCTCCACCTTGCCCGGACGATATTCCTACGGATCAAGCTTAACCTCACCTGGGCATGCCTCTACAACGTTGTCGGTCTTCCCTTTGCTATGGGAATGTTCCTCCCCCTCGGGTGGCATCTTCACCCTATGGCCGCAGGTGCCGCTATGGCTTGCAGTAGTGTCAGCGTTGTAGTCAGCTCCCTGCTCCTCAAGTTCTGGAAGCGGCCGCAGTGGATGGAAGAGGCACTGCTTGCAGATAAGGGTGGCATTAAGAAGCGTGGCCGTGGTTGGGGCTTAGACGGCATCGTTACCCAGGCACAGAACATCGCGGGTGCTGTGCTCGGCAGAAGATCGCGCAAGGACGAAGGATACGTCCCTTTGCAGACTCTAGATCATGCTGAGGCATAGTAGCCAAGGTATATGTGATAGTAGTCGCTGGGGTTTAGGATTGCTTCGTTGTTATAAAAGGGATGTGGTGCATCGCGATTGGGAGTTGAGGAGCCTATTTGTTTTTTTGCTGACTACTGCACTTTTGCTGTGCGCGATATTCCCCTTGTTTATAATCTGTCTTCGAAATGAATACATTGAATTACATAGTGAATTGCGATTTTACCTAGACTTGGTGTTTGCTACCTAGTAGTGTTTATTTAGAGCCGGCGTTAGCGTCTTAGGGCTGATTAGGTAGGTACCGAGGTGTGAATTATGGGTGACAGGTAGTGGTGGTTTGGAATCGCTAATTTTTAGGCTAGGCTTGGCTTGGCTTGGGTGAATGCGAAATACGATGTTTAGGTGTATGGCGGGCGGTATAAAGGAATATGGTCTATATATACCTACCTAACTAAAAGACGCATTACTTACGCCCGCATTCCAATGAATCTACAACTCCCATCTTGGAATCTCAAGCATTCACATCCGATCTATTTATCTTAAATCGGATGCGCCCGATCCGATCTAACGTAGCATCCAGATCGCGAGCTATACATATATACCTACCTACCTACCTAGGGTATCTTACGTGAGATTCAGCCACTTCACTTACCTCTGATTCATTTGTTCCCTCCCGGCAGGGCATCGGATAGCCGGCTGTACCGCCCCCAAATCAGTCGCAATGCGCGCTTCCGCGCTCCGCGTCATTGTGGCGCTGGCACCGGTCGCGCTGTCGGCTGCGTATTTGTTCTATGCGAAGCGCGCGTTGGCGCGGAAAACTATTTCTCAGGTGCGGGTTTCGCCGCCGGAGGGTTTACTCCCGTTGTTAGGTGGAAATGATAAGGCTACGAATGAGGACGTGATACCGCGCGACGTGCTGAATAACGCGGAAGCGTTTGTTGTTGCGAGGGAGAGGGTGGTTTCATTACCTATCCCGATCGCTGAGCTTCAGGAGGGGTTTATCGCGGGAAATGGGGGTGTGTTGGAGGGGGCGTTGGTAAAGGCGTATCTAGGCGCGACGATGCGGGCTTTTGCGTGGACGCCGCAGGCGCTGGTTATGGCGCGCTTGGGGGCTAAGTTGGAGGGGTATAGTATGACTTTTGAGGCGCGGTATTTGAGCGAGTGTGCGTTTGGGGTTGGGGATCGGGTTTGTGGCGTGTATGTTGTTAAGGCCAGGAGGGAGGGGAGGGCTGTGTTGGGCTGTGAGTTTTGCTTCTTCTTCTTATGTCATTGTGCTGCTACGTTTTTACTTGGGAGGTGGCTGCTAACTTCGTGTTGTGTATTTCAGTATCACCGCCACCGGGATGGACTGGTCCTGTTGTAACTGGAGTGCTAGACGTCGGATTTGATCTTGTAGATGGCGATAAGGTGCAATTCGTGAACGAGACTACGTTGTGGAGAGGGGTGGGTGATAAGCCTACACTCTTAGAGGGGAGTGTTGGTAGATGGCTACATACACTCATGGCGAGCTGGTTGGTGGTTCAAGGGATCAAAGCTGTGACGGTGTGAGTGGAGGAAATATCTGATCATTGATGGAATATTTTATTTCATCCAAATTCTGGGGTTTTGGGGGTTACGTCAGGGGCTCTGGGTAGCGTTACCTCGGAGCTCCCCCACCGGAGGCGTCTTCGGTCGTGAAGGTGAGGCTTTTCATTATGTGGCGTAACCAATACCTTTCCATCAGAGTTATGAATAATTTCCTCTTGTATACCTAGGTATCGATATGTACTAGTTTATGTACGCCGTACGGCATGAAATGAAATAATATTACAAATTTACCACCGGTGCTAGATGTAATAATGACCTGTGTAGTAAACACTTCGGGTATCTTTTTTCTGATCCAGAGATTTTTTATTCGATCGTTTTGGTGGCCTCCTTATGTGCTTGTTAGAGAATTCTGTCGTCACGTAGATGATTTCCAGGCGATCTTCGTAATGGCGCAGGCTATCTTATCGTCTCGCTACCCCCTTTATTCGCTCGAGACAAATATATACAAAACGGTAGGTACCTGTATTCTATTTGACGTATGCTGAGTCTAATAATAGTCAGTATCTCGAACCCATCCAGTTGATATTGTGGCCACTTACGAGATTTCGAATCAAACATGTACAGAAATACCCAGAGTGCTCGGACAGTCGTTCCAACAGCAATAACCAATGATGTGACTTGTCCGACGGCATATAATGGAGATGTCTTCTGTACCATGTTCATGCTCATCGTAACCTCCGCCGAAACCATACTTATTAGTGCTAAGACACTATTTTCCAAGAAATTCGAGCTGACAGTCATTGTAGCTTCGGAAAATCGCTCGCCAGATAGTAGCACTGAGGTGTCCGCATCGAGATTGCTATGTCCACACTTTTTACATCTATAACAACCTGTACAAGTGTCCATATGCAGTAGGACTATGGCGTTATGGGAAGCATTCTGGGTTGGAGCGACCGGCTGATGCGGATGGCAACGAGCCTTCCTCTTGCACACTTTGCAATACAGACATCTCTCGCAAGGATGACACTTGCAAAGGGTGCTCGGCTCCCCCGTGCGGCAGTTATCACAAGGGTCACAGGGGTTTTCTCTATCCCATTTATCGGCATCATCGTAGATAGTGGTACGGGTTATGGCGAAGTAAGATCCATGAAGGATGTTGATAAACCGATATCCAAAGTAAATCCAATAAGGCTCGACGTGATTGGGAGAGACAGATGAGCAGTTGCTGAACCATGTCCACCAGAATACAGAAAAGCAATTACAGCTTTTGGTCGGGAGTCGATTTGTGGTGAAGAAGCCAACGAGGGTGCCTTCTATAAGTAGCCCTAGAAGTTGAGAAATCAGAGCGATTGCCACTTGCCATCGAGCGGCTAGTGTCTCCTTCGTTACCAATTGGATAGAAAGTGAGTTTCCTTGGGCATCTAGAATTAAGGACCCTAGAATTGCGTCGATGGGAGATAACTCGTGGCGAGCTAAAGGGACCAGAAGGGCAATGGCCAAAGACACATGTGTAACAATTAACCCTCCACCAATCTCTTTCACTGCCGTTTTGTAAAAGTGAAATATTCCTGTAAAAGTTATAAAAAATAGGATTCCCACTTGTGTCCATGCCGCCGCCCGGACGCCATCGCCTACAATATCAGCATCTGCATTTTCACATTGCCTAGGCTCTTCCGCTACCCTTGCTCGTAGTCCTACGAACGACACACAGCCAAGTACGAGGGCTAAAAATGCAGAAACACAGCCAGAAACAACGAGAAAAATGGCTTTAGGCTTTCGTATATTGAAGAATATTTCAAGGGCAATTAAGATGACTTTGCAGGCGGCCAGAATGGTGATGGTGTAAAATCCCAGTTGGAAGGACTCCATGATGTCAATAGAACCGTCGAGTTGGGAAGCCTACCATGGGTGTGAATGACCAGAGATTCACTTGAGAATCCAATCATTATACCAATTCCCAACTCGTTCCGGGGACAGACCCCTCCAGAGCCTCAGAGTCAGCATCGGGACACCCCATATTATGCCTTCCTGTATAGCATCAGCAGGCTATAGGTAGGCTCTTTTCATTTTGCTTCTTTCTTCTCTCTCCGCTCCTTCTTCCTCGCATATAATGCTACGACGGACCGCACTGCATATGCGAGAGTAGATACATTCTCTAAGAGGGCAGATTATGGATGTGTCAAATAGCAATTGGCTCGATTTTTGGGGGCTAAGCTCGGAACTGCATTTCTCTGTGGCGTTGCTGCAACTTCTAGATAAGTTCTTTTTCTATGAAAATTTTTTAATTTCCCCCTAGCCAATAATATGGAGGCTTCCTATGTACGGCACCTGGTTCGTTCTACTATAGGAAAAAAATAAAAACAAAAATTGCTTAAGACATTGCCCAAAAGAGTAAAGACGAAGACGAATATTTCAGACAATTATCATAGTCAACATTTTCCCAGATATTTCTCTTTCAACTTGATAAGTTGAACCATTGCTTTGTACCTAGTTTATTAACTCGTTGATTACTAGGTTCCTTTTAATGTTAAATGCCTCCCTAGTAAAAGGGTTAACAAGGTTGGGAATAGCCTCTAATAGTTAACATTCATTAGTAATATGAACATTCGGTTCCAAAGGGAAACAAATACACATACCTACCTACCCAATACAAGTTGCCAAAGTTGCCAGTTGCCAATCCATTATATTGCGCTTGTATGTACCCCTTTAACACCTGCCAACCTATGGCTATCTAGATTCTACTTACTACCGGATTAGGAATAGCGACAATAATTTTTCTCTCTCTTTGGTACAGATGTACAAGCAGCCCATCACACTACGTATCCCGATTCTGATGTCCGCATCATCGAATGATATCGTCTTCCTACCTCAGTCAGCATAATATCTGGTAAGATTGGCGCTTCGCCAGATACGAATGGCAGCTGACTGTCCGCCCCCTCGTTGAGGCCGTAGGACATGACGTGAAATGGACGGTTGGTGATCAATTCGTATATAATCCTACCTGGATTCTCGTCAATTGTCGGACTTCTGTCCTTAATAATTGTCCCCAGCCATCTCCACTCGGCTAAATAGCAGAGCCCATAACTTATCATCAAAAAATAACCTTCGTTTCTTCTATATATATATCATATTTTCACTACAGAGCATATAATTATCAACGACAATCTAGAAGAAAGGAAAAACATATCTTCAAAAAAAAAATCAGAAAATGCCTGGTTCAGCATCGTTAAGATCTTCGCACTCATCAAGCGAATCTTCAAGATTTGTCTGGCCTTTCACACTCAAAAGCGCCAGAAAACTGGACCAATATCGACTTCCAGCATTTGTTTCTACTGCTCGACGATCGCCTTCTCGACCAACATCTACGAATACATCTCTAGAAACAGGATATACAAACGGCAGCATTGGATTGGGAGGGACCAGGTCTCTGTGAGCGCATTTGGGGGCTGCGTATATTTACGCCATAATTACATCCACTGGATAGATTGAAACAAGCTATTTACAAGCGCTGATATTGTATATACCTAGTACATATATAAAAAGCTGGTCACTTGAAACAGAAAAGGATGATGGAACACTCCTTTTTGTTTGAAATAAATACATGACTCTCATCAATGGTGAATGCAGTGGTTTCAAGCAATATTTAAATAAATGCCCAATTATATTGTAATATTTCAAAATATAGATTTTGAGATTGTGATGTGCTTGTCGTCGATATTCGCATAGTACTACGCTAATGAGGCTCTATTCACGACCCTTGTCCTATCCGTGTGCACGGAGCAGGTGTTTACCGCGGAAAAGTTGTCCTGACTCCCGTCTGTGAACCCCTGGAAGAGAAACGTTACACGGTTGCCGATAATCTACCTAGGTATGTTTCGGCGAGAAAGGATAAAAGTGTAAGATAGAGAGGGGGGGAAATAAGGATTATATAATATAAGTCAATTTTTGAAGCCTCGATAGTACCCTTAAACGACGTGACTTGCGCCCGTGTTTCGAAGTGTGTACAAACTTCGCCGATATGAGCTCCCTCACTTGCAGTATTTCCGACCCCACTCGGCATTTTCATTTCAGCTGACGGGAATTGGGGCGGTTGCAGCTTATCCCCTTTGAGACAGCTGTGGGGGCTTAGACCGGGGCGGAGCGAGGCCAACTACCCACTAAAGGGGAATATTCCGAGCCGAGCCCTACAAGATGGAAAATTCCATTTTTCTAGAATGATCATGCTGCTTAGATGACATTTTTTGGTCTTGTGGTTGGCGAATATGATGATGTTTTACTAGGACTCCTAATCAGGTGACCCCTATTTGCCAACGGGGATCACGGTTATCCCGAAACATCACCTATATCCTTTAAGTACTAGGTATGAGGTTATGACCACTTGCCACGAATGAATTATAAAGTCCATAACGGATTTTACAGACAGTGCAGTGCCGTATATGAAAGAGAACGTGCCTTTTGACCTCGGCTTAAAAGGGATTACTGCCTAGCACTCAACTTCGATGACCTACCCCTTTAATGAGTCACTACCACTTCTAGGCTTCACGGCTTATATGCGCATCATAATTGGTAATACATAGTCTTCCCCTTCCCATCATAGGCCTGTAATAGGAGCATTAATGAACTGATACCTATGGGGCCTCCACTGACAGTAACAGAGAATCGCCGAGAAGATTAAGAAAATCTACGTTCTCAAACAGACTATGCGGCGTAAGTTACTGAGTCTGCGGGTCAAGATAGTTCATAGATTTTATACACAACGTGTGTTTTCCAATTTATTTCCGTGGTGCTACATTCAACGAAACTCTGCCATCCGCTATCCTACAGGCAAGCCCAACAGGCTCTCGTCAGCTAGTAAGCCGATGGATGATGATACAGTATCCCGAACCACTAACTCCAGCCCTCTCTTCTCCCCTCCGTGCTCGATGTCCGGGATATACCTACTAGCTACCAACTTATGCATATGTACCACCAAACGCCGCCAATATCAACATCTAACCCCCCAGCCCCATCACAGCTCAGCGCCCCGTTTCTGTATCCGTAACTTAATACCCGCAAGCCTACTCTCCGCAGCCGTCAGCCGCCGCAGAAGCGATTTGCACCCCGCGACAATCGGCACCGTCTTCATGACCTGCATCATGGAGCCCAGCTGCTGTAGCTGCAAGCTAGCCAACGCCCGCATCAGCGCGCGCCATTCCTGCGGCGAATCGACCTCGTACTCGCCGACCAGCGTCTCCCGCCCATCGCCCTCCCCACCCCCACCAAACCCATACGCGTGGAAATAATCGTCCGAACCCTCCCGCGCGCCGGCATCGCCATGCCGCGGAAGAGACGGCCAATCGTACCGGCCGTACGTCGCGAACGAGCGGTGGAAATGGGTTAACTCCGTATCATGCGGGTATTTCTCCGCGATGACCTGACATGTGTTTGCGAGGTGGGAGAAGAGGAAGGCGAGGATAGTCATGTTCTCCATCTTCGTCGTGCATAAGGAACACAGCAGCATGGCTCCGGCGTGGCTTAACGTCTCTTTGATCGACGCGAGGATCGAGTCGAGAGAGTGCCGGCTGGATATCCCCTCCGGGTTGTCGCTGGGCGATTCGAGCTCGTCTAGTAGGAGGACTACGCGGGCTAGACAGCTGCATTGAAGGATGGGGGCGCTGCTGGAGCTGTCTATGGATATGTTCCTGTCTTGCGAGTTTCCGGCGTTGGAGGAGGTTTCGGAGTGCGTGAATTTTAGGTTTTGGTTTCTGCTGCTGGATGGGGTTGTGATGTGTGATGTAGGCAATGAAGGAGAAGTGGTGGCTGCTTCTAGTTCCTCGCCTGTTTCGGCCCCTGACAGTCCTGTTAATTCGGGTCCTGGATCTCCTAGACTCACTGGTGATCTAATCCAGCTACTTATGTCTATTTCATCTGGAAGAGCTGTTGAAAGAATATCTGGAGCTTGGAGAGGGGGAGTTTTGTGTGACGAATCATGGTCCTTATCGGTGGATGTTATGGTGGTTCGAGGCGTTTGGTCTGGTGTAATATACTGTGGATGGGATTCCTGTATTATCTTGTTCTCGTGGTCTTCGAATTCCATTGCTATAGGTATTGTCCAATTCTCCGCAGCCGGTGTCCCAGGAGGGCATTCGTATGGCTCTGGTCCGGCATCCTCATTGATACCATCAAACGTCCAATCTTGGTAGTTGTTTGGCTTCTTTGAAGTTTGCGGCTTTCGGCGATATTTCCCGTTTTCGCTAGGCTTAGCGTATCGGATAATAGAGTTGAGGGTCTTACACCGACTACAACCCGTCTTCAACTGTGGTTCAGCATGAGTATAACAATTGATACTGCGAGTGAAGCCAATCGCTCTGCGTACGTTTTATCTTACCTTCTTCGCTCGGCAGTTTTTGCAAGACTGCTGGGGATTCACTCGGACATTGGCCGGGACAAACGATTGTCGAATATTCCCACCTCCTCGACTATCTGGGTCGTGTCTCCAGATACCAAACATGGTGTTATGCTAGGAGTGGCGCTCAAGATAAACAGGCTTTTTGGTTGGCATACCTATCTAGGTACCTAGACGATCAGAATATCACAGCAGATCGATCGATATTAAAACAGAAGCATGAAGGGTCTCGACTGCAGGATCATTCTGATCTAATGTTAGGCTGATTGTGGTCTGGATAACCTACCATGCAACATACCTGCAGCATATAATAGACGTACATGCGGGAGTAACATCGTGCTGACAGGGACGTTACTAACGATGTGCCATAGGCTGTAAGACAAAATGTCCGCTCCAATGGATGGAAGCTCGCTCCTACACGTAGATAGTCAATACTTCATGCTGAGCTAGATTTTATGCGCTGGATGCTCCCACTGTATGGGCAGAGAGCGTAAATATCTCGAGATAAAGCATGTCGAATTAGGCAGTCAGCTAAATAGCTCATAGCCGGAGATAACAACACACGATACTCGTGCATAATCTAATGTCTAGGTAAATACCCCCTTCTTGTCTAAGCGACGGTAGCTGACTTTGATATACAAAAGCCGTTCATCATGTCCCATAAAGCAACGCTATCCCAACCGTAAACCCGAACCCAAAGCCATATAGAAATCTTGTTTGAGGGTCAGTTCGGTTTGCGATTATACTCTTTATCCGATATGTGAGGGGGTCACTTACCTATCATAAGGTATTTGACCAATGATACACTTATCAAAGGTCAAATATGTCCAATACCCAAAAGGTGAATCATGTATTCACCGTACCCTGTCGACCAACCATGTCGCGCGCGCATCAAATGTACCGTTCTTGCAGCCGCAAGACTTAGATACGACCAGCTGAATGGGGTCTGCAGCTAGCTCGGGCATCAAGCCGCTAGTGAACGTCGAATGGAATCTCTCGCGTTTGTGAGAGCGGCTAACTTTTCACCGAGAGACCCTCCTAGGGGGTGGAAATAGATCCGGTAGATGGTAAAAGAGCTACCCAAGAATATGATCTGTCAAGTTAATATAAAGAGGTAGGTATTGGAATGCTACGTTCGAGGTGGGACTTACCGTTCCTAGAACAAGTAAAAGGATCTCCCGCAGAGTGTCACGACGGTACTTGGAGTTGGGATTGTCGACCCCTTCAGCAATCTTTAGTAGCCGCATGGTGGTTTAGTTCATGTACCTTTGGTCCTATGGAAATGGTGGGCGTGGGGTAATTCTATATTGTCGTCGTCATCGCAATATTTTCTAGTTTTTGCTTTTTTTCGAAGAAGCGAAATGGGGTTTTGTCTTACTTTTAGGATCCTTTGTGCTTATTTAGAATCCGTTGGAACCCAATTAGCTAAGCCCACGTCGGCCATGACGAAATAGGGAACCACCGTAACACATCCGTGGATATCTTTGCCAAGCCTTACTCGGCACCAGCTGGGGCATCTGGATAAAGCCATTGATATGCCTTCATTCTTTTCCATTTCTTTGTATGTGATCCCAGGAACGCGGTTCACAGATTGAGGTTAGTTAATTGATGAAGAAAGAAGAAACGCTACTAAGCAGCTAAGGTATTTTACGCGAGCGATCATAGCGAAGGTACGAGGTACTTCGTATTACACCAAGTTTATCGGATGCCATAGGTGGTCCGTGCAACAATCTAGGTACATCTTGTATGTACTTCCAACTTCCACGGCTGCAAGGTTGACAACAACTACATCCATATCGTTCCTATCTCTCAACCAAGTTTCCAAGTCACAGACCCGGATTTCTCTGCGGGAGTTAAACCGGTTGATTCGAATATTCCACCATAATGAGTCTGGCCAGCTCTACCATTAGTTACCACTTAAAGATCACTTAAAGATAAGTATACTCGGGATCGGATGGCCCACCTTCCTAATGAGGTAATCTCCTCATCCCAGTAGCTACATAATACGTTTTAGCCCTATGGCTTAATTGCATTAAAGAGATGAACATACCCCTGTCGATCTCTCTTTGAGAGGTGGTGGATTCGCGAGGACATCATGAATCTCAATTGTAGAGTGTTGGTTACATTAAAGTTTAATGGGTATCATCTTAGCCGAGCGAAACGGGTGAAACATCACTTTGTCCTGTGGGGGTCGGAGGTCGCAGCTACTCGACCTACACGCCATCAGAGTCTGTAATAACGAGACATACAAAAAAGTCGACTTGATTGTAGATTTGAGTAGGAAACTCCGAGTTTCTCGTATGTGCTGCTATACATTTTGTTATGAGATCGTGGTTTTTTACTTGCCGAAGGATCCTATTCACGCTAACTATCTCCTCTCCCATTTTCAAGTCGCATTTTTGAGCGAACGAACCCACTGTTCATGCAGGATTTTCAATATGGGCTGACGACTTGAATTCAGCTTCAGCCTCTAATGCAACCGCCTTGTAAATACGGCGAGAGTTCTATAATTCGCATTCGCTTAAGCGACTTAGAGGTCTAAACAAGTGGTTGTGAACTTTGGGAATGCTACTTACTCATCTGCTTCAATCTCAGATACCGACAGTGTGACTGTCAGTGTCGACTTCTGCATGCGATGTATCTTTGAATTATGGGAACTTGCAAGTTGTAGTAAGTGATGATCATAGCTGAATTCTCTAAGCTCGAGAATTTCTGTATCTTGGGTGTGCCTTTAACCATAGGTATCAATTGTTGTGTCGACAATTATCAGCTCAGTTTCAGTTTAGAGACACTACAAAAGGAATTCGGGCTTCTAAAGATATGTAACAGTATACTAGTATAGAAAAATTTACGAATGTCTCTTCATACATACATAATGCCTAGTGGACATGGAATATGTCCACGGTTAAATCACCGCTCCATTGCATACATGTATCGTTGTAATCATGTCGCTTCCTAATAATAACAGTCATGGCCTCTTTCCTTAGAATAATCTTTAGTATCCAGCTGAGAAAGTATATTGTATATACCTACTACCTAAAGTGTACCTAGTATAGAAAGCGATCGTTCTTGTCACAGGTACGTAGACTTCATTCAAATTTTATTCAATTTCTAACACAGTACCTAGGTAGGTACCTATCCAAACTTATAACTTCAGCCTTCAACTTTATTTCACTGCACCGAGCCATATCTCATCGATATAGCATAATTTCGCCATTTACTTTCGATACAATGGAACAGATATGTTATGGAAAATTCCTCAATCTACAACCTGAGTTCTTAGCATGAAATCTGATCACGTTCCTAAGAAGATGGTTGTTGAAATAATACCAGTCGATTCCACGTTGTGGTGAATGATTTAGTGAATGATAGGTGTGGCTTCCTTAAACTATGCCTTCACCGTGTTATGTCGAAACTTAATCGCCTCCTAAACTTTATATACCAACACATGATGAAAGAACAATACTTGTTACAAACAATTGGCTCTAAACCACTCACATTAAGGAAATGTTGTGTATATATTAGAAAAGCCTTTTACCCACTCTGCCTTATTGCTAGAAACCAAAACACTTACCCAAACCATCTCCTGGACTCCTACGGGTTGAATTCCGATCCTGCTAGATTCCTTTCCTAGACGTACAATGGACCAGATCTCTGGCGTTTCCGATGTGGAAACAATCTCCGAGACGACCAAATGGCTCCGAGAACTTATCGAGAGAAAAAAGAATGGCAAACAAGTTATAAGTCCATTTACGGAGGAGAGAGCGAGACAGATAATGGTCAGTTTGGAGGACATAAGTGAAGATCTCGACTCCGTAGACACACCGGCGGTCATTGCAGTACGAAACAATTTATCGCGGCTTAAAGCTGAGATGTCCCGTCGAATTCAAACAGATTTCAAGTATGCCGAGTGCCGGGAGAAGCTTGAAAAGGTATCCAAGGACGGCTTTTACTTGCGGTTTGGTGATTACTTCGCCAATGCGGTCGGGGACCTGAGGAAAGTGGCAGTCGAAGTCTCGAAGGAGGCTAAGAAGATGCAAAAGAAGGCGAGGAAGCGGAAGGGGGGAGAACTGGCCTGCCCATCTTCCGAAGCTGAAGCAATAGAATTATTTCTATCACAACCATGGAGTGAGATAGACAGAATCCTCACTGATGAGGAAAATTTGTTGGAGTCATCTCCAAAAGACCCGATAACGCCGATGTCTGATCTTGTCCAGACCCTAGCTCTCACGGCTAAACTTTTCGACCGCAAAAGTGTGAGGGTGGCCATAGCCATGTATGCCCGGAGAAATGACCTCGTCCACCGACATTTGGCCGAGTTAGCAAAGGCTGGGAGGTATTTCACACTAGCCTCAAGGATAAGAGACGACCTGAGAGCCCTTCTTCTTCAAAAATACATTACGCCGGAAGAGAAGGAGACAACCCGCGTCGCCATCTTAAAGTTAGCCGACCGGTATTTCGAAAAATTTAAAATAAACGAACATAAATACGAAGTCATGACTTTCCGGGAATGGCCGATGGGAAAGGATGGGAGACCTATCCGAAAAAAGAAACTATTGGATTGATCGTATACGTAGGTGGCGTTTACGGTAGTGGTGATCCGACAATTGCCCTCCAAACTCGACAATCGGATACTTTATAGGTCAAGAACAGCAATTCAACATCATAGAAGACGCTATATTAAACAGAATGAATACCATCATAGGAAGCTTAGAAGTAGTATCGTATTCTTGATACAATGTCGGTCTTGCCTAGATTTGTAATGGCTGTGCTGTGGAACACCCTCACTCTCCATGCCACTGCACTGTCGGATGATTGTATATCATTTCATTGGAAGGGAAGTAGATTAGAACGCCATATTGACGCATATAGAAATCATGTATTATAACCAACATGAGACTGTCAGGCGCTTAGAACCTGATGCATCCCAAACGCCGACTGGATAGATTGTTATTAACTAGGTCCCATATACCACCTTCAAAAGAAGAGAGAGAATATCATGGACCTTAGGACCCTAGAGAATTATATTAACTTGTAACACTCCAGGACGCATAGCCCCCGCAGCAAACTAGGCTGTGGTGAGAGTTTACCAGCGGCTGTACGGTCTATATGAAGTACATGTATGCCCAAGCAGGCAGAAATATCCTATACAATCAGAGCCTTACGAACAAAGATAAGCACGAAATTCCATCAATCGACAACTACCCTCAAGGTGTGAGATGGCGAATTTGGTCACAAAAGTTGACCTAAGTGCCGTGAAAAACAAGGCAGAACTCCAGGCCTCACTCGTGTCGTGGAACTGGGATTTTTCACTCGTCAAAGTGGAAGCTCCTAAGGAGTTCAACGCGGTGGGAAACTGCATCTCCCCTCATAGAAAGCTTGATGCCGAGACTGGCGACTTGCACAGGACCGCGCGTCGGCTCGGTGCTCTCTTCGAGGGCGTCTCTCCAGATGCACCTGCTTTACTACGGGCATACGGCACACGAGTTTCTGAGATCTGTACCCACAACAGCAAAGCTAACGATAAACAAAAACATGGAATCTTTACGGAATGGTATGGCCCAGACGCCGCCAGCATTTGGGCAGCAGCTACCTCCGGGAATCACGCCATCGCTGTTCATCTACTTGCCTGTATGATTGCCGAGATATATGACTCGCACACTCAGGCCGTGGCATTATGGGTTGAACTGGTTATCAAGAGGAAGGAGCAATTAGAAATCGAGATTCAGAACGTATATACAGACCCAATGAAGAGGGAGGCTAGAATGATGGCAAGATTACAAGATATATCACGAGCCGACCTCAATGCATGGGATAACAGTGCAAGAGCTTGGATCCGAACCGCGAATGAAGCCAAGCAGAAACAAAGGCAAAGGGCCATGCTGCACACCGAGAAAACAGGAGCCTCCGTGAACCAATTAGCTGACCCATATGCTAGTGTCATGTTGGCTTGGAAAGATGCTATGGTAGCTATGAATAGCCTCGTCAAAGGTATTCCAACGCGAGTTGTGAATGGCGCTGTCTCTCTCGGCATGAGCGCTTGGCATCTATATCCAAATTTGAACGTGTTAAGTCATGGTCCAGATTTGGTACTACAGAATGACCCGCTTATTGAAAAAACCGGCATCCTCACTATTGATTCCGAAGTGCTGGCCGAGGGACAGGAAGGGATACGATGGTCGTTACCCCTGTCTTACATGCGATATTATGGACCTCCCGTCAATACCGAACAAGTAATGGCCGTCGATAAAAGTCGAATCACTACGAATCAATTCAGGTTTGTTATATTAGGCTGCGCGATAGCCCAGTGGCATGACCTACTAAAGCCAGTCACTAATGCGATCAACTTGACAACGAAGCTCCTTGAAAAGCTAAGGTGTTATATCTCTGCCGACATATTGTCATTACCGGTAACATCATTCTCAATACACCCATTAACGGCAAGGTGGTCGTGGATTGGTCAACTTCTAAGAGCAGCCGAGGACTTTGAAATGACCGATGGCGAGGAACGTGAAATTGCACGGAAGCTAATTAATCATGGACGACGTTGTGGAAAGTTTCTCTGTGATGATAATGAGCATCCACCTCCCTATTTTGGATTAAGCGAACCAGAACTACTGCTCCCGATGCTGAATGGTTCAGAATCTCGAATTGCATATCTGCGGGCACTTGCGGAACACAGGAATATGTCCAATACCAACCATGTCATATGTTACCAGAGGACAACACATATTGTCGAATTCTGTAGCATCAAGCGATTTGATGCGGGATTTGGATGCGCGATAGATAATAAGGGGTATATACGGAGAAGCCCAGAAAAGCCGGTCCCCCAAAACGTTTTTTGTCGATGGCTCACCGTATTTACAAGAGACGAGGTATGCCATTGCGAAGGACCATGCGCCATTTCAAATGAACAACTGGCAACAAATATTAGGGAAGGAAGGGGTACGTGCCCCTGTAAGAGGTTTGGTGGATGTGGGCTAGCATGTCACAATTGGAACAACATAAAGGCATCTGACTGCGATTGCCTATTTGGTGTGAAGCTTTTAGATCGGCGCGACGAGATTAATAAAATGGGCGAGGTATGCATGATTGCACACAAAATCGAAGCAGACCAGGATCCAGACAACGGAAAGGTTGAGTTTGGAGTCGAAACTGACCTCGAATCCTCCATAATAAAATTTGCTGAAGGTAAGGCATTCATATATCAATCGACGGAGTAACAAATACTGACGTTTTGCAGAAATGGCAGTGAGAATGAGGTTAATAACTGAGAAACAAGATATTAGCTTAATCGGAGACTTCTTGCCATTGGAATTCGTCGCGGGTAGTAGAGGAAATGCCGAGCAAGAAGACGAAGTCGCTGCTATACAGTCACCTGCAGAATTCCCTAGCATAGGGATGAAAGCAAAAAAACATAATGTGTTCTTGCCATTCGAATTTATATTTGATGATGAACATCTTCTGCTCAAAAGGTTGCTACATTGGGTTCGAATGGAACTTCGAGAACAATATCCAAATTATGTCAGTTCCTTAAGAGCTAGCGCCACAGCAATGGAAATCTACACCAACCTAGGTGCAGATGCTACATTAAAAACATCTACAATAGACAAAACTACTCTCAAGTCGGCAAGATGGTTCATCAACAAGTACGACTACGATGTGACGTCGTGGATGGTCCTGCTGTCGAGATCGGAAGCCTTTTCATGCATTGCCATGTTCGAATCCGGGGGCCTCAACATAGATCCGCTGGGGCTTGAGGAGGTTTTCGCTATGACGTCCGGAAACTCGATCTTCGTATCGAGTTCTATGATATGCGACCCTCAATACGAATTTATTGACAACCAGATCGTGCGTGTTCCTGGAAACATCGGCGAATCTGGGTTATCATTCCTCGTATCGCCTCCAAACCCCGTGATAAAAACAAGACATGATGATGATTGGGCTGTGATCAACCATTCTCCTTTCGATGGAAAGCTTGAGCCTAATTTCGAGAAGACATCAATCCATTTGGTGAAGACGGGTTATACTTCCGAGATCCGCAGCATGGATGACAAAGGGTATTTTATCGAACGTGAAGCAATGCTTCGGGAGATCAATGTACAAGTCTTACATGGTGGAGACTGGATAGGTGACCTGAACATTCCCTCTGCTCTTAAAGGCGAAAGTATTAGCTGGGTTACGTGCGAACATTCGGAGTCTCCAATTCCCTACAGCCATGTCTTTGCAGAGGACGAGATTGTAACTGCAGATTGTTGGGCCGAAGTATTAAACGATGCTATGGATAGCAACTACATTATCGTACGGGCTTCTGGTGGACAGAATTCTGATGAGCAGTCTAACCAATGGCTCGCAAGACTTGCTGCTTCAGCTATATCGGTACAGCAAGGCAAAGAAACCGTCGTCCTCTCACAGGGCGTATGCTGGCTTTGCGTTAAAATGCATCTCGAAGAGTTCGATCTCGAAGATAAGGTTGTACTGATTGGGTAGCAGCTCAAATGCCATTCAGATGCTGTACAGACTCTTGCCAGACTGGGGAAAATACTGAGGGATATCAAAATGAGTAACAGAAGACCAAGTTGAATTTATTAGGGACTTACGCTGTCTAGATGTTGTATTAATATACCTCTCATACGTTAGGTTCAGGGATGTTTCACGACACAGCCTCAGAAAGACTCGTTCATTTACAAGAACAGAGTCTTGAAATATGATAAGAAACAGAAATTTCTTTAAACTTACACTGAATCATACCGTACCATTTCAATGTAAATTGGCATTATGACATCGTCAATATTATCAAAATAAAAATACATGTAATTCTACAAGGTACGTATCATAATAAGCGTTGGGGGATAATAATTTTGTGGAGTTGCGCATGAGCCAACTTATCTATTTACCCGGAAAGATCCCGACACCCCGGTCCTTGGTAAAAGTCGCTATCCCATTCTAGGCTAGCGTATTTGAATAACCCTTAACCCTTCATCATCTCACCAAGATCTTCTGTTAGCAAAACTTAACATGTTAATCACTGCTAGAAACGCCATAGAAACCTTACATCGGTTGAGTCCAACGTGGCTGGGCTTTTCTAGGTACCTAGTAGAGTGAAGGATGGATTAGAATGTCAGACACGATCCCTAAATCTCTCTTCTCCAACTCTCGCTCAAGCTTCGCGCTCATAGACCCAGCCACAGGGAATTTCCACCGCCGCTTCGATCGTCATGGCTATCTTACGAGTGGCCTCAGGCGTCACGTCGCCATCTCCTACGTTTGGAGCGAATGGAAAACCAACCCTGCCGATAGGTTACCTGACTGGACTCTTCTTCGCGAGCGTTTACTCGCCGTTGTGGGAGATAATGCCCCGGCCGGCCTAAGGAAGGAAACCTGGGGAGTGAATAAATGCTGGATCGACTGCAAGTGCATAGATCAAGACTCGGATTTGGACAAGGCCTATTGGATCCCCCGCATGGACGAGGTCTACGCGGAAGCCCGATGCACCGTCCTCCTCGTGCGCGACGACCTCTCGCCGCTTATGCACTTATCCCACGAGATATCATGTCGCTTCAAGGGTAAACTGAACTCCGTGGATGAATTGCTCGCGCCACACAATTGTCTGCTGAGCCAGAGCTGCACTCTGCTCCCAGACCTAGCACCGGAACGCGAGAATGTCTGCCTCGACGCGCTCGAGTCCTTTACAAGTGGTGCATGGCAGAGACGGGCGTGGATTTTGCAGGAAGTTCTGCTGTCGGAGAACTACCTGCTAAGCTGGGGCGCCAGCGGCTGGATGAGCCTGTCTGACGTTGGCGTCATAGCCGGTGCACTGTCGTTCCGCCACCCCACGAAGCTCTGGCTCCGCGAGTTCGCCAACTGGTGCCGCCGCTTATGGTACCTACGCCAGAATTACGGAGAAACGCAGTCGTTTGAGCTCTCGGATGCAAATGTATTACAGCTCGCCGCCGGTCTAGAGGCAACTGTACCGTGTGACAAGTTCTATGCCCTGTGCGGGTTGCTGCGACTCAAGAGTATTGAATACAACGCAGGGCATACCGCCGACGAGGCTTTGCAGAATATAGTCGCCGAATTGGTTAGGAACGGCCGGCTCTCGTGGCTTTATGCTATTCGGCCGTGTTTTCCGCCGGCGGGTGTGACCCTTCGAGCTAATGATCTGATGCCCTTCGTGCTCACGCGCCTAGACAGTCGACTAATGGCCAACCGTAAAGAAATGACCTTATCTGGAGGAAGGCTTCGATTCGCTGGATCGCCTATTGGAGTCATCGTTCGTACTAGTCCTCTGAAGGACTTCCTCGAGCAAGCTGCGGCGGCTTTCGATCGACACCGCGAGTTCAATTTCAGTGTTGAAGAAGCACATCTGGCTTTTGCCCCTGCAGTTATACGCCGTATAGCGGTTGATATAATAGAACCGCTCTTAACGGACGCGGTATTCGACACCATATGTGACGGTCTGTCTATCAGTCGAGAGATGAGCTCTCGCGGTCTTCGTGTGGCGACTATGGTCATGCGTCTCTTTACCTATCGCAGAAATGAGGGACAGAGCCAGTTAGAAGAGTATAACGAAGCAGATTTAAGAACTCGTGCGATGATAGAAGTTGCTGCGTGGTCCATACAAACGCGATTATCAGAGATGACCGACTTCGCCATAGTCGGATATAGTAGAGATACCGCAATCACCGGCGACGATCCTGCAAACCGGTCGGCAGACGGGATTGCGCTCAGCACTTCCGCTGTTGAGCTCGCCGCCTTCATATACAGCGTTGACGGTGACAGACAGCTACAGGTTATAGCGGGTGCGCCAGCCACATCAACATCTGTGATGGAAGCAGATGTATTGAGCTTTCAGGGGATGATGCTAGGTCTCAATGGCAATGAAGTGATCGGTCCCCAGCCGTCTAGGTTATTCTCGCGTGGGTTTTGGAGAGGACCTGGCCGCGACCAGAAGGCCTGCCAACTAACATTTGCATGTGAGTGAGGAAGAGCGTTGTGATTAGCGTCGTCGCACAACCTCCTAGTAATTCCTTCAAATGAGACAGCCGATTTATGAGTCGCACGTGCATAGGGATGCCATTTCCAGATCTCAAAACATCCAACACCGGAGGTTTCTATGCTGTGTAAGCATGATCTTGATGCAAAATCTAATTCAATATGCTTTCGCCCAAATAGGTTAAGAGTCAAGGCTCCGTTCCGTTAGCTTCGGGTGAGGCGTCGCTACGAGCTTCTAAAGCCCTAAGCTAAATCATCGCGATACCCACACTTCCAAGCTTGTCGAGCTTGCCAAGTTGACCGAAAGGCAATGGGATTGTTCCAACACTTGGCAGATCGTGCTTCAGGCGAGCACGTGGCGGTTCGACGCACAATGTTTCGATGTTTCTAACGGCGTTGGTTAAAAATATCATGAATTCCAAGACTTCATTTTTTTAATACGCCTACATCGAACCATCGCGTATGACGAATCTTAAGGTCGTTGAAAAATTCTGACAGTGGGGAGTATCAGGGAATAGGTTCGCCTCCTTCCTTCAGCTAAGAGAAAGAAAGGATATTTCCTGGCTTGGAATCGAAGCGGCGCACAGTGAGTTATCAACAAAAAACGTATCTGGTGGCTTGAAGCTTACAACACCCTCGTGATTAATAATGTTTCTCCCAAGCAGAAGTTACTGAGGTACCGTCGGCTTATCATGAATTCACTAGCCTTTACCTAAATCAAATAAGCAATGCAGATTTCATAATCTAAACCTCGTCGACATGTAGCCACGATACCATCGCATAAATCATCGTCGCACGGGTTCCCAGCTCGACATGCCTAGTACCTACCTACCTACATACCTTCCTAAGGTATCTCGCCTAAGATCTAAGCAGGAGGGAGATAAAAATTTCCGACCCCATACAGCGTAAATGATAAATCCTGCGACAACGCGGCCGCGATATCATGCAACGAATCAACCAATGACAAACCCCACCTGCTCCGAGGTCTTGTTTCCTATTGTAGATAGAGTAAGTATTATTAAGTCATAGTTCGCCGTTCTCCTCGTGTGCATTCCAGATGTAGGGCTGCGCTACGATTATCTAGCAGATGCTCTATTGGATATACCACGCGCAGCCGTTTCTCCTTCTCGTTCTAGAATCGTTCTTTTGCAGGAAGGCGACAGACCCTGAGATGATCGAGTGGTCCGACGTCTCATTAGCGTCATCGATCCCCTGGTCTGGCTGTACCCGGGCGTCTGGGCACGCAGGGGACCCCATACTCCACCATTAGCCGTTCACGACCGTCGATCTTCCCACGTGGGGTATCTCAAGCTTTCCATTGGCCGGAGAAGGTCCTAGGGTCCGGTGGAGTGCTAACCTCTGCCAAGAGCCTCAGCCGTCGAGCGCACGGCGAACCAGGTTCGACGATTCCACAACTTCACGTATCTTCGCGGATATTGGCATCCTCTTTGGCTCCCCGCCAAGGCTGCGGCCAAGTCTGCGCCAAGTACGGCCGATATCTGCTTTGACGGCGAAGAGGCGCGACACAAGCTTCCCAAGAGGTGAGATCAAACGAAGGGGGCCTGTCTGGCTTCGAGCCGAACGAGCTGGGCGGCCGACGCTTGCGACGGTAGAGTTAAGCGTGGCGCTCGGCGCTGCACGCTACAAATCATGCTTTGCGAAGGGTAAACGTTGCAGCCCATTAGTGAGAAGCATAACGCCTCGGTGACGGCCACGGGAGGCAAGGTACGTGAAGGAACAAGAGTCTTGGATGTTAGAGAAGATAGGTCATAGTGGATAGGGCGTAGGACGTATATAATCTCCCTATCTCACTTCCCGTCTTCTTCCTTTCCCTTGTTTGTGTTGTCTTGATAACCAGCGATATCAACGAGCCATCGAGCCATCGATCTACGACGTCGACGAACCATTCTCTTCACACTCTCACGTGTCAAGTTCAAAATGGCTCTCGATCAGTATACCTACATTTTCGTCATCGGCACTTTGTTTGCCATGCTCGATGCCTTCAACAATGGAGCCAGTAAGTCCTTATCTTCGTCTCATCCAAATCACGTCATCTCCTTTTCCTATCCATATTACTATACTATATCCCATGTCTTTACGTAAGCAATCGTTCAATCGGATCCTAACCATCCCCTAGACGATGTAGCAAACGCCTGGGCGACGAGCGTCTCGTCCCGATCCATCTCATATAGACAAGCCATGATTTTCGGCACCATATTCGAGATGTTAGGTGCCATCACGGTCGGCGCTCGCACAGCCGAGACAATTAAGAATGGTATTATCCCCACCGACGCATTCCGCGGCGACGCTGGTGTACAGATGCTCGCCTTTACATGCGCTTTGGCCGCCGCTTCCACGTGGGTGATGTGGTGTACTAGACACTCGGCCCACGTTTCGTCAACGTACTCCCTTATCTCGGCTGTAGCCGGTGTCGGTGTTGCCACTGTCGGTGCTTCTAAAGTTCAATGGGGCTGGAACGACGGCAAGGGCCTCGGCGCTATTTTCGCGGGTCTGGGCATGGCCCCCGTCATCTCCGGTGGTTTCGCCGCTGTTATCTTCATGCTGATCAAGGTTGTCGTGCACCTCCGCAAGAACCCCGTTCCGTATGCCGTGTACACGTCTCCGTTCTTCTTCCTTATCGCCGGCACAATTTGCACCCTTTCTATTGTCTATAAGGGCTCCCCTAACCTCGGCCTGAGCAAGAAGGCCCCTTGGTATGTCGCAGCTGTTACCATGGGAACTGGTGGCGGTGTTGCGTTGCTGGCTGCTGTTTTCTTCGTTCCCTACGTACACGCCAAGGTTATTAGAAAGGACCACGGTGTCAAGTGGTGGATGTTCGTTTATGGTCCCCTACTCTTCAAGCGCCCTGTGGTCGATCAGGCCGACCGCGCCGATGTTCCCAACTACGCCGTTGTCCAAGACGAGGAAGAGCACTCTTCGTCATCCACCCACTCCCCCGAATCCCTCTCCGAAATCCAACCCGTGTCCAAGGAAACCTCCACCTCGGACATCGAGAAGACGCCCGCCGATGTCGAATCCCGACAACTTACCTCGAAGGAAATCGCTGCGGCAGGTGAATCCAAACTCCACGCCAAGCTCCTCAAGAACCGCGGCCCTATGGGCTGGGCCATGCGTACGCTCCGTGACAACCCGATGGGCGCCGGCGAGATCTACGAAATGCACAACATCCGAATGCTCGCTCGCCGCATACCCGCCATGATCGTCTGCGGTGCCCTCTACGGTCTCCACTACGACATCCACGCAGCACAAAGCGGAGTCTCAGGAACCCCCGAAGGCAAGCGCATGGAGCGCGTATACGCGCACGCGGAGAAGTACCCGAACGAAGTGGAGCACACGTACAGCTTCGTGCAGATCCTAACGGCGTGCACGGCATCATTCGCCCACGGCGCAAACGACATCGGAAACAGCGTCGGCCCCTGGGCCGTCATCTACTCCGCCTGGTCGACCGGCAGCGCAGCTGCCTCCAAGGCCCCCGTCCCCGTCTGGCAGCTCGCGGTCCTCTCCGCCACCATCTCCCTCGGCCTCATCACCTACGGCTACAACATCATGAAGGTCATGGGCAACAAAATCACCTACCACTCCCCCAGCCGCGGCTGCTCCATGGAGATGGGCGCCGCTATCACCGTTTTGGTCTTCTCCCAGTTCTCGCTCCCCGTCTCGACTTCCATGTGTATTACGGGCGCGACGGTCGGTGTTGGCTTGTGTAATGGCACGTTGAAGGCGGTGAATTTTCAGAGGGTGGGACTCTTGCTGCTTTCGTGGATCGCGACGATTCCGATTGCGGGGACGCTGGGGGGCGTGCTGATGGGGCTGTTCCTTAATGCGCCGCATTTTGCTTCGTAGATGTGGGGAATGGGTAGGGGGTAGATCTTTTTTTTTTGTTTGGGTTGGGTGTATGAGTTGGGATGATGGTTGGTTGCTTAGGTACTTATAGAGCGTATTTGGGTAAAAGAAGTGTGGGAATGTGGACGCTTCATGGGTTCGTGTACGAGTGAAAGAATGGATGGATGGATGGGTTGAGATATCTAATGGTGTGTAGACCCTTGAGTTGCTATCTAGATTCTATCTACAATCCAACTGCCCTTTACCAGCCTTATTCTAGGGAGCACTCGCAAATATAAGGATTCAAACGTTCTTTTAGCACATTGAATCGCACGAAGCCTTTAAAAGCCAAGCCTCGCCACAATAGCCCGAGTTTAGGGGTCTTCGAGCACCGATTTTCCTTTATACTTATCTACCTACTGCAATTCCGCCGTGGCCGGCTCGGGGGGCTTACGCAATCACAAGCTTTAACAGGGCCAGGTCCTGGATTAGGTTATGTTAACAACGTTCAATATAGCTTCAATTCAAAAGGCGCGTTAATCATGTAGGGAACTCCATTTATGTACTAGGTAGGTATCTACATGGCTCTTTCAACTTAATTGGACGAAAAGTACTAGATTAGAAGACTATTGATTAATAGAGGAAGAAAGCTGACACGAGATCGTTGGGCGCCTGGAACCTAATAATTACTAGTAACCATAGAGATCATTGGTTAGACTGGATATAATGAGGATCTATAATCCCTTTCAAAAATCAAGAAATAAGATTGAAGGTTTCAAGCGACATGCAGAGGTGAAATAGCTCCAAGATCAGTACATTTATAGTTGCTATAACAGGGTTAGCAGGTGCTACTTTGACCCACACCTTCTAGTGTGACAGTTCTGTATGGTCTTGAGATCCGTTATCTTTCTTCTAGATATTGGGTTCTCAGAGCCTAACGAGTCCTTTTGATCAACTGTCTTCTAATGATATCGAATGTTCATTGGTAAAAGTCACAGCGTCGATACGGAGATCTCAACTTGCTTTTGTACAACTACTCCTTCGTTTTACAACTTTTTCGAAACTTCAGTTCCCATTCGGTAACAGGTTCAAAACACCAACCTACGGTATCAAACTACAGACACATATATACATACACGTTATAGTCAGCCCCTAGGTATCTGCCGTTTACTCTTAATACTCTACCTCTATCTTCCAAGGTTCCTACTTAACCTTTAGCGTACCTACCTGGTACGTATCTCACGATGCGCCTTTTAAATGTTCAAAGTCTGGAACTAGTCTATTTCAATGGCCCAAGTAGAGCTCCCGAATATGTTATTCTTTCCCATACATGGGGGGAGGAAGAAGTTACTTTTGCGGACATGTCGACGAAGAATTTCAGACATAAAAAAGGGTTTTCCAAGATTGAAGGCTGCCGGAAATTAGCTCGGAAATGGGGTTTCGAATGGTTCTGGGTTGATACGTGTTGTATTGATCAATCGAGCAGTTCTGAGCTGTCGGAGTCCATCAATTCGATGTATGAATGGTATGAGTGGGCTAGGTTTTGCTTCGCCTACCTCGCCGACCTCCCTCACCTCCCCCACTCAAACTATCCAGGCTCCCCTATACCTCTAGACGCCTCGGCCTTTCGGAGGAGTGACTGGTTTCGAAGAGGCTGGACATTACAGGAACTTCTAGCACCCAGATGGGTCAACTTTTACGATGCTTCGTGGGAATTTGTTGGGGATCGAGAGAATTTATACAGGGAAATAAGCGAAGCCACGGGTATTAATGAACGTATTATCCGTACCACCTCCCTTGCGAAAACCAAAAGTATCGCTATGAAGCTTTCATGGGCTTCGGGGCGGATGACTTCGAGACCGGAAGACATGGCATATTGTTTGATGGGGTTGCTAGAGGTTAACATGCCACTGTTGTACGGAGAAGGCTGCCTCAAAGCTTTCCGCCGACTTCAACTAGAACTTATAAAGGACAACTACGATCATACTATCTTAACCTGGGGGTTGAATTCGAAGAACACACGATTCAATTTTTCGGACGCGATACCTCTCCTGGCCCATTCACCTAATTCCTTCTACGATTGGGATTCGTCTGTCAACCCTTTGCCGCCCGAAGGCTCGCACTATTTTTCAACAAATCTGGGGTTACAACTCTCGCTTCCAATCATATTTCTTACAGAGAATATCGGGTTGGGGGTATTGGAATGTGGACGTGAGGGAGAGGGAAATAGAGTTGCCTTACCATTATCCATAAGGCATCGTAAGAATGCTTCCCCAGTCGGGGAAAGGGCCGTTGGTATCTCGCCAATTCTAATTCCAGCATCGGCTGTAGGTCACCTAAGCCCTACTACTATTTACCTGAATGATAGAACCAGGAATTTCAGCTCATACCTAGAACTTAAGAGTTGCAATTTGAGTTTGTACTCACTAGCTGATATCGGATACACACTTATCGACTACTTTCCGCCCAATACTCTCCAATCGCCAGTTATTTCACTTGAAGATCCTACTTATCTTGAGACAGACAAGCTGCTGCGATTCTCTCACAAAGTCCTCGATGACCTATATATCTTATATCGCTGCAACACAAATCTACCAATGGAGAACTGCCTAAAGATATCGAATAAATATGTCGCCATTGCGATCCGCCCAAACTCCCAGGGGCTGGAAAGGCAGAGAAAAAAATCGTGGGAGTTATTACTTGCCCCTGATTTTAACAAGATTGATTTTGAACAACTCGAAAAGTCTCTTCCGTGGAGCTCGTCGGTGGAAACTATGCCTATTGACTACACAGACTTGAGGGGCGAAACGCGGAGAACTCCAGTTCGGATTCAATTTAAGTATGAATATGATACATTCATTATATCGTGCTGGGGTACCTCAAACCCAACCCCAAGACTAGGGCGACGAGAACGCAGAGGGGATCGCAAGTAGTGGAACCCTATAACCAACCACTTGCAAAGCCCTCCCCTGGGGGGGCTTAGAATCAGGCCGACAGACAAGTAGTGATCGCTAATCAGGGAATGTTGAGCCCCTGAGGCAAGATTTGGCATCATAGTATCATCAGGATCATAAGTATCATGTATATACCTAGGTAGTAGAGCTTGCCACGTCCCATAACCCCTAGGAACGTTGCGAAGAGAGACCCACGCCCGTTCGCTTAGACGTTAAACAGAACAACAACAACAAAACAAGTGCCAGAGTATCGAAATCAACTCAAATAGTTAGCTTATATAACGATATAATACGTGCCCTGTCAAGTATCAGGTCAGATGATATTTCAACCCCAACATATGATAAGCAGCGAGGGAAAGTGACGCGAGAAACTATAAGAATGGACAAGCCATAAGGCCATTGCGTTACTTGCGGAACTGTCGACGACGGAGTCGGCCGAAAGGGGGCTCGTCAAACTTCACGGAGCGTAACCGCGATTAATGAAGACAGTAGCCAAAATAAAACAACGCCAAAGCCAATTCATAAACAGCTTAGGACTTCACATAGGTGCGTGCTAGCCAGATCATAGAGTGCGTGTTGTTATTATCATACCAGCTTTTAGAACGCCATCGGCTACGAGGTCAACTCGCCGGACCGCACTAACAAATCTAATTTGGATGTATACCACTAGGGAAAGGCATGGTTTCAGTAACGCAATATATATCAATTCTGCTCTCAAGTCTAGGTAGGTAGAAAATTTCGCGTATCGGACAAGCAATCGCTAAATATTGTATTGGGATAGGTTAAGACGTAGCCCTGGAGACCCTACCTCCACTGAGATATAGCGGATATCCACTAAATTCTAGGGGCCGAGCCACTGAAGAAGAACGCCACACTGCCACACTATCTCAACACACAATTTTGGCGCTCGAGCAAATATGCGAAATTTTTGACCCAGACCTTCGCAAGCCCGCGGTCTCTAATCATATCGTGCTCATACAGAGCCGCTTCGCGCACCAAGTACCTGAAAACTATTAACTAAAGGAGTGGCATTCGCCTGCGTGATGCGGAGACGTATCCTGTTTGTCTCAACAGAGGCGCTTAACCGATCAATACGTTTGTATCCCAATGACGTGCCTGTAGCGAGCGTCTGGTAGGTGCCGTTTACAACAGCGTCGATCGCGTACCCTCCTACTCTCTGACCTAAGGCGATATGCTCCTGCGTGATGAAGGCGTCGACGGTGTATGTACCATCTAAGTCAACTTCAAGAGTGCTGGTTGTCTCATTGTCATTGACAGCCCAGTATGTATCTTTATTGCCGTCGAGCACGTTGGCTGGTCCGTAAAGCGCGAAATCCTCACCACGGACGCTGCTAGCGTTTACAGGAAGCCCAGGGTTGAGTATTGTCCGGCTCAGAAACGCGTCGCGCTGAGACCCGAATTGAAGCAAGATATCCACATCACCCTCAACAATCTGACCAGTCGTATCGGGGGGAACGTCTAGCAAAAGATTCACGCTTCGGCCTACTGACTGCATGTACATAGTCATTAGCGTGTCGGCCGTCTTGGACTTCTCATTGGCATGGTAAAACCAGCCATCTCGTAGACGCGCATCTGCTTCCGCCGGCGTCCAGTATGCACCATCGCGGACCCCGGTTTCCAATTGATCTCCCGAATAGTGCGGTTCATCCTGCGTCCGACTAATCGTGTGCCAATTCGTTGCCACCGTCACGCCGTCCTCATTGCCTACCCATCGCGCATCAACCCCTTGATGCCCCCACATGATCGCCCCTGGCTGGTACTCGTGAATGATGTTGCGGAAGTCGGTCCAGTTAAACGTCTGCACAGTAGCCGACCCACTGTTCCCGTCAAGCCACAACTCCGATACCTGAATGGGCGAACCGTCGCTAAGCTTCATCGTCACCAGTTCCGTCAGCTGCTGAGCGTAAAACTCATTATAGTCCCCCGGAGTATTATCCCCGAAAATCTGCGGTTCGTCATAAATCGTCCCAGTCAAGTTCGTCTTCGACATAGCAGGATCGCGATGGATATCCCACGGCGACAGATAGATGCCAAATTTGATGCCGTACTTCTTCGCAGAAGCGGCTGCCATTTGCACAACGTCGGCGTTTAGACCTTGAGAAACACGATCTTTTGCCCACTTTCCGTTGCTGATCTTATATGTTGTGGTATTTGTATCCCACAGCGCCATGCCATCGTGATGTTTTGCTGTCAAGATCATCCCCGCCATGCCGGCGTCCGCGAACGACTTAGCCCATTGATCCGTGTCCAATGCCGTCGGCGCAAATACGTCAGGCGTACTCTGGCTAGTTCCCCATTCCTCATTTGTGAATGTGTTGGGGCCAAAGTGTATGAATGCATAATATTCGAGCGCATGCCATTCAAGCTGGTTGGCGGACGGTGTTCGTAAATATGCTGTAGGTGGGGCCTGGCTGTATACCACAGCTGATAACCAATTCACGGCGCCGACAAGATAAAAAACCCATTGTCGGCGCGATATAGACCACGCTCTTGTCATCATTGCTATTGTAAAGGTACGCAAGCACGTTAGTATATATGGCAACAGCGCGCTCTTGGCTCAAGCTCCAATTCGCGAATAAACAACATTAAAGAATGCCGCCCAGAATCATCTGGCTATGTAGCATTTTCCCGGTTTTCCATGTCCGTATCAAGCGGGGATTCTCTGTCAAGGCTCGTACCGAGGAGATCCATGACTGGTGGAACTTGGTCTTGAGATTTGCCGTATTCCATATCGGGAAGTTGCCTGGGATATTGAGCGAGAATGAAGATAAAAAGATAAGACCCTTTACTAGAGGAATATCGCGTTCTTGAGACGATGTTTATAGCTCAATGTAAAAGATGTAAGGAATAATTCACGTGGAAGTTGCAGAAATGAAGCATCTCGGGGTAGGGGACTTTTAGGAGTAGGTACAACAAGCAAATGTACAAGCCTCCGTAAGAGATTTATCCCAACAGGTCGTAATATCCATGATGTTATGTTATACGGTGATGAATATGGAGCTGCGACCACAATCGTGACTGCCAATTCCAATTGTATCCATGTATGTTAGAAAGTTCAAGTAAGGGCTACCGTACTTAGTATGCTCGGCACCGAAAACAAATGTATTTGTGCAACACAAAGCCATATTGGTAAGCAATTCTGATCTCGTTTGAATTCGTATGCCGAATCTTACACCATATCACGTGATGACGTCATCCTCCAGGATCGTGCCATCGGTCTTTAGAGCTCGTCCGACCTTAGCATCTTTAGCATGTTTTAGATCAATTCTTTATTTTAAACAAACTTTCGGATCTCGAACTCTTTCGTTTTCCGCCCAATTGAACCCTGAAGACATTTCTGTCGCTCATTATTCTCAGCCCTATACACAACATGTTCTCCAGATCAGCAATTCGCGCGGCCCAGCCGCTAAAGCGAGTAAGTTCATCGCACAACAGCTTCCGGAGCTCCGAGCTAGAGCTTCGAGAGCTTAGAAATCATACAAATTTATCAATTGGAGACTAACGGATACCCTCTGTGCTCTAGAATCTCCTATCGCGCTCCTATGCTACCGAACCTCCAAAAGGCGGCTCTTCTAACACCCTCCTCTATGGACTAGGCGCTGTCGGCGTTGCGGGCGCTGGTTACTACTTTCTTGCGGGGTCACCCAAAGTAGATTCGGCTGCGGCCAAGGCCAAGGAAGCTGTGAGCGGACCGGCAAAGAAGGCATTCACCGGCGGCGATCAGGGCTTCATTTCCCTGCTACTAAAAGATGTCGAGATCATCAATCACAATACTAAGAAGTTTATTTTCAAATTGCCAGAGGATGACCAGGTTTCGGGCATGCCTGTAACCAGCGCACTCTTAACAAAATATCAAGCTGAGGGGCAGAAGCCGGTTGTACGGCCATACACTCCTACGAGCGATGAGGGCAAGTTATACCTTAAAAATTGGGAAGAAGGGTTCTCTGGCTAATGCGGGATTATACAGACGTCAAGGGCCAAATCGAGCTCATCGTTAAAAAGTACCCTAACGGACCTATGTCCACACACATACACGATATGGTACCAGGCCAGCGCCTCGACTTTAAGGGACCGCTGCCCAAGTACCCGTGGACGCCCAACAAGCACGATCATATCGCGCTAGTCGCCGGCGGCACGGGCATCACGCCCATGTACCAGCTCGCGCATGCCATCTTCAAGAACCCGGAGGACAAGACTAAGGTCACGCTCATCTTCGGCAATGTCTCCGAAGAGGATATCTTGCTGAAGAAGGAGTTCGAGCACCTGGAGAACACGTACCCCCAGCGCTTCCGCGCCTTTTACGTGCTCGACAACCCGCCAAAGGAGTGGGCTGGTGCTAAGGGATATATCACCAAGGACCTGCTGAAGACTGTTCTGCCTGAACCTAAGAGCGAGAACATCAAGGTCTTCGTCTGCGGTCCCCCGGGTCTGTACAAGGCTATTTCTGGCAATAAGGTCAGCCCAGCGGACCAGGGCGAGCTGTCGGGTATTCTGAAGGAGTTGGGCTACTCGAAAGATCAGGTTTTCAAGTTTTAAGCATTTAGCGAGAGAGGATGCGGTTATAGACTACCTGATGTTGATATTGGCGCGAAAGTAGAAGCGAAGGCGTCGGCTTTGTTCTTGCTACTGCGAGTTGGACTGGTAGACAGAATCTTCTGCGGAAGAGATGGACGAGGCCTATTTGCGAGAGACGCAATTACCTAGATAGTCCACCGGATTGTACTCTAGTCAATGTGATACTGGATTGATCACGGGAATAAGTTCATGACGTTTGTTCCTGCACAGCTTATGATCTAGATTGCTGTGGCCATGAAATTCGCTAACTAAAGCTTAAGGCACGCCCTCTTTGCTTGTGATACCATTCGCTAAACTACAATGCTCGAGTGACAAATAAACCTTCAACGACGTCTTTGAAAGTAATGACGAAAGTGACACCATCGTCACGCCTTCGTCAACTTCACTAAGAGAGCATCAGCATCTCCTCGAGCTCCTCGGCAACTTTGATCCGAGTATATTGACATTGGCCTAGCCGACGCCCCTTCGCTTCTCCTGCTCTCGCTACTGGGCTGGTGAAGAATATCCTCGGTCGCATCCCCAAAGAAAGTAAGTAATTCGCGAAGAGCCTCGCGAAAGCACGCCTAGGAACACAAGGCCATCGCGATGACGGAAATAGTAACGCATAACTACCCGTCTTACTCGCATACTCACGGCGCATCAATATACACATCCAGGACTCACTACTATACTGAGGGTCTAGGTACGTATACACATCGAGCTCCGCATAGAAGCATCCAGCCAGCACAACAAACAATATACAACCACCAGCCCGCGTCAGCGCAATCTCGCTTCCTGGACCTCGGGTATATAGACGTGCGCGCAGCAGCGACACACTAGACGATGCGACCAAAAAAAAAAGAAAAGAAAAACACCGCGGCTCCTTACGCGCGAGGGGTTATGTTTTACGTACTCGATGGAACGGAACGCGGACGCAGGACATCGAGACACATCTCCGACGGTCGGTCCAGAATCCTTTATGGTTCTGGGGGCGGGAGGATCCGGGGCTGGGGCGAGATGATGTCTAGACCCTTTTTTACTACTACTGCTGCTGCTTTCACTGCTACCTTACGGCGGTAGAGGTTCATGCTTATTGCTTACGCACGCGCGATGGTGGTGCGCTGTTGTTGGTTTCTGGGGCTTTCTTGGCGGTGTCGTTTGAAGCTGTCATGGGAGGTAAGTAGGTAGGTAGGTAGGATCAAATACTTAGCCTTGGGGCTTGCTGAAAAAAGGCAGTAATAGGTACCTAGTAGGTAGGTATGGTACGGATGTGCCCAGCCCCGAGATGATGAAGGTGCGTTCCTCAGATCGCGAGATTCCGGTTCAGCTGGCTGCGCGCTTCGGGCTTCGGGCGTCTTGCCAGGAGCAGAGTTGACAGTGCAATATATGCTGTGGAACGAGGCGCTTCTTTTGACCTACACAGATACTAGTCTGCTTGCTAAGAGATCTGCTAATAAAACGTAGTTTCTGAGTCAGAAAAAATGCCTAGCTGCCTTTCCATTGTCACGCACGCCATATCTGCAGCAATTAGTTACGTGCTTAGCTATTAGCTAATTGATATGTATGTATCTGAAATACCAGGTAGCCCGACATCTCGCTAGCCACGCCCACGCTTCCATCGACTACCTACCTACCTACATACCTACCGCGCATAACGCAATGCCGGCTAAAACCGACACCCAGGCTGCGCGCCGACATGTGGCCGACTAGAACCTGGAGCCGGATCCCGCGATTCCATATACACACATGGCCCGCTACCCAACGTCTGCGTATGTTCTACATATACCTATGCCTACCTATGCAGTAAGGAAGTAGTTAGGTAGCAGGTAATAGATGAAGACAGCTCCATAGGGAGGATCAAGCTCTTGGCGTCGGGCGATTCGCTCGCGAATCCCACGTGCGAGGGAGAGGAGCTGGAGGTAGGGGAGCCGTCTATTGGTTTCTGACATTGGTTACACGATGATTGGCGACATCAGCTTGCCGATTGACGAAATGACTCGTCTAATTTTTCTCCCCCGTCGTGTATTTCTTTCCTTCTTGAATTGGTGTGGTTGCAGGTTAAAATGCAGATCCGGGGTATGGTATGCCCTGGTACGGTACTTTTTTCTCTCGCTCCATTGCTCCCTCGCTCTTCTTTACCTGGCTGCCAGGCTAGTGCTTGTAAAAGCTGCCAATCCTTCGGATCTGGGGAAAGGAATGCGGGAGCGAATGGGGTTGCATCGAGGAGATTTTATCCAGCCGCAGGGTGGGTTTGTTAAGCGAGATGTGCCGGGCTTGCCGGGGTGGTTGAGATGAAGCTTTTTGCCTTTTATTTTTTTAGGTGATGTGAATGATGTGTTAACCCCTTTTCAAGTTTGGATCGGGATTTTATAGTCCCTGATATACTTTCGTATACACGTGTTTTATCGCACATGTTGTCCTGATGAACAGCTTGGTCGCAACTCAATTTTGGGGGGTTACCACATGCTCGGGTTTCGAAGCACGACGTTGACGTTGTTACCTGTGAGCTTAAAGTTAAAGAAACCGTAACAGTCGCAAACAGAGTTTTGCTAGCCAGGTACATGAGGTAGACGCAGGAACGGCTGTCGCACCGATAGAATTGGGTCAGTGTACTCCATTTATCCACCAGTAACGCAAGAGTACATATAACGTTATATATGCAGAAGGAACGAGAATGAATAGTTAGAAGCAAGACCAATAGGGACGTAGCTGCGTGGTCTAGCATGCTCAAGAAATCAAAATATCACGAGACCATTCAAGTTCTTTAAAGAAAATAACGAGGAAAGTATCAAATCGCAGTTCCTTCACAGTTTGTCCGAACAAAAATCATGAGACAAAATGCGCCTTCCCAAATTTTCACGTAAGGTTACTGGTCTTGCCCGAATGTATGACGTCAATGCCGCCTGGACGGAGCTAAGTGTCCGTACAGTCCGAAATTCATCGTCATCATATAATTCACATTGTATTAACGTGATTTGTTTCAATTTTACTTGACAACTTTTTTGCAATCCGAATTCATACATTGTTTTCAATGTTCAAGTCAAGATCTCAAAATTGAGACCAGTAAAACAATATTCGTCTTTACACGCTTCTATTGAACTGTAAGGGGTATGTCGCCGTCGATATTTCAAACACCAATCACTTACACGCCAAAATGGAGACCGAAAAATCCCAAGATGCAGGAAATCGACGGCAAAAACCAGGTCGAAGTCCACCACGCACGTTCAGGGAACGTTTATTCCACGCGCTGCCAGATTATGTCGGCCCGTACAGCGTAGGCGTGATGGAGATAGAGATGCCGGTACGCGAGCCGCGGACGTTTTCACGCATCAAGCGTAATCATATGCATGCGTTGCGGATGGATACAGTCCTCTTCACTATTTTCTACCCCTGCGATGCTTCGTCTTACGTACCCGACAAGGGCAAGATGCCATCTAAAGCCACGTGGTTACCGAGGCCGCGCGCCTTGACCAGTAAGGGCTACGCGAAATTCTTCAGTGTGCCGCATTTGCCTGTTACCGCATATATTGCGGCTACGACCATGTTTACCAAGCTTCCGGCTTTCCGGAATGCCAAGCTGGCTGGTTACTACGCCGACGCGTCGCCTCCTTCGTCTTCTAGTGCTCACAGTCAAGACACATTGACGGAAAGGAGTGAAGGAAAACCCAGGTTTCCAGTTATCCTCTTTAGCCATGGGTTAGGTGGCTCCCGAACGTGTTATAGCGCGGTATGCGGAGAGTTAGCTAGTAACGGTTTCATTGTCGTTGCGATGGAACATCGAGATGGCAGTGGTGCGCGTTCCTATGTCAATATTCCGCCGAGTGGGAAGTTGGCCTCCGATCTAAAGCTCGACGATCCGAACCCAAAACGTTATTACAAGGTTGATTACATCTTCCCCGAGGACAATGCCCAAGATACGTCTCCGCATAATGCTCGAGGTGTAGACACCGAGCTTAGGCACGCTCAGATCGAAATGCGCATGTCTGAGATCGAAGAGGCCTATCATGTTCTAGAACTTCTTAATAATGGGCAAGGTGATCGGATACATGAGAATAATCTGAGAAAGAAGGGCAATGCAGGATCGAGCTCTAAGGGGTTAGAAGGCGTTGACTGGTCTGCTTGGAAAGGTAGACTCTTTCTAGGAAATATCACAGCGATGGGACATTCTTTCGGTGGGGCAACAACAGTCGAGATTGTTCGTCAGAGTGACCGCTTCCCCTATATTAGTCAAGGCATCTTACTAGACACGTGGGGACAAGCAACACCAAAACCAGGAGAAATCACTCACCAATCGCTACAGAAACCTCTTCTAGCTATCAACTCCGAAGCATTCATGCATTGGCCGGAAAACTTTGAGAGGTTAAGCGATATTGCCAGAGAAGCGAAGGACGGGGGTGCTTTTTGCTGGATGATGACTATCAAGGGTTCTACTCATTTATCCCAAACTGATTTTGCTATATTGTATCCGCGATGGATGTCGATATTCATGAAAACAGTGGTCAATCCTAGACGAGCAGTGTACCTAACTGTAAATTCCTCCTTAGAATTCCTAAGTCGAGTACTACCTCCCGAGTCTATTGCAGGCAATGCTTGGGTGAATGAAGGGATCCTTCAAACTAGAGCGCTTATCGCGGATGAGCTGCCACTCGGACACCGACCTGACAATAAATGGATGGCTTCTCGTCTTAGGATACCCAACGAGTTATGGATTCGAACTACCCACTGGTTTCAACCAAGATCCAAGACGTCAATGGTGGCTACTGACGTAAAAGGGAGACCACTGATAAGTTTGGCAAATTATGCACCCGGAAGTGAGGTTTGGATGCATGTTAGTCCAATTCGGGAAGAGCCGTAACATGCGATTTGATGGAGTTAAGGGGTTATCCCATGTCGTTCGCCTTGCATGGTGTTTGGTAGCTGTTCTTCGGTGCTCGGTGCTTGGGTTGTGCGAACACATGGCCGGATACTTCGGAGATACCTTTTGACGAATGACCTCCTGCAGATTGTAGGTAGTAAATAAAATTTGCATTTAGAGCAATGTGCTTGGCTACATGATATTGACGTTTGCAAGGCCGCAACCAGCAATGGCACCGAATCTCGATATGTATAATAGATCGGACCAGAACCTGATGTGATCGATGTACAATGTTCACACGATTGCTTATGGAACACAGTACATAAGCGTGCATATATGGCGTCAAATAGCCGCCCTCCCCTTACTTGTGGACAGGGATAATGCCGCCTGTGGCTGGGAAGCCAAGGACCCAGAAATAGAAATACGAGATGAGGCTCGCGGTAGTAAAGACGATTTCTTACGCCTCAAATGCAGCTGCCGCCAAGTACAGGAATGCAGGACTTGCTAAAATCGCTCCATCATCCGATCCAGCCAGGCCATTAACAATCGAACGTTGGTTCTATTGTGAATTTCTGGTAGGTAATAGGTATGTAGGTAAGCCACACATATGTCGTTAAAATATTTCCGATGTCGCCAGATCTCGCCCGAGGTAGGCATCGAAGCGGTCAGCGTAATACAAGAGCTCTTGCGACGGATCACGACATCAGGAAGCACAACCAGGATACCGTTCTAGAACAAGATCAGCTAGACATCACATAGTAATTTAAATATGAGGCCTTTGAGTTCTTGTAAATAAATAGAGTAGCAGCTCATGTGGATTGCTTGCGTGTCGCTGACTGGGAAGAGGTTGGTGGTTCACGCATGGGCACTGTCGGCTTCTAGCCGTGCCCAGATTCAATGTTCCGGGTCTGTTGCCATCTAGTGGTTGCATTGCGCGCAGGCACATGTAGGCCAAAACTGACAGGCGTGGCGAATGCGGAGTTGAAGCGCAGCTAGAAGGTCAAAGCAAGAATTAATTGAGAATGAAAAAAATAGTAGTAAATCAGGGCAGAGCAAGTGTAAGGTCATCAGATGGCTATTTCGGCCGGTTAAAGAGGATAACGCCGTTCCGATGAGATGGAAGCGCGAAGGTCGCATCGTGAGGGATGTATTATTTCTTTTCTTTCGGCAACGTGCCCGAAATGGGGAATTATCTTGGCACCTCCGGATGAATATTGATTATGTTGTCCATTCTTTACTAATACAAGAAAAGACCTGTCGATCATGACCTGAAATGCGAATAATAGGGAATGGGGCCCCTCATTCTAAACCAGGCTGAACCCATAGATTTAACGGCAATGATTCTAGCAGATGAACTGGTAATAAGGAGATCCATTGGTAATGAATGACTGCCTTGCTTCGTAGAACAGTAGACATGCGAGACAGTGTAATTAAATAACTCAGCATGAGCAGCGGTATTACAAGGCTCAACCATGATCGGACTTCTGAAGCGTCACAGTTTCGGTGGGAAAGATGAAAAAGGTCGTATAAAGAATCTGGAGAACTTCTGAGAGAAATACAGAGTTACCCAAAACTTGGAAAGCCCGTATTGAGTTTTCAGCTGGACAAATTGATGTAAGGTATAGCACAACACGTAGCTTCCATCCAATCAAATGAGAATTCTGTTCCTGGAAGTAGCCGCTAACAACGAACTACTATAGTATGCGCTACCACTATGAAGCGCTAATGTCACTTATATGCAGATACCTATATGTACCTGACTTCTAAGTAGTACCTACCTTAAAAAGACAACATCATGTCCCTATCACTAATCGCACAGTCGTTCCAATTATTGATGATTCCAAGGTTGTTCTCTCATCCAAACATCTATACCGGAAGGTACCTAGTATTTGACTCAAGCATCTAGTGCATCTAGTGGTATAGTGTGACACGGTTGGTGACGTCTTCACATAAGTCATTTAAGCCTTAAGGCTCTTCCTTCAAGTTGTGAAACTAACACGAGCTAAGAATCTTGAGCTTTCCGAATACCCATAAGTAAACCTGATGTTTATTCTATATATGTACCTATGCTGTGGCAGTGGGGGTTGAGGATGTAGCTTGCCGGACGGAGGATAGGTACATACATAATTTCTTTTGAGGAGTCATTGGGCACCTCTATTTGCCACCTGCGTATTTACATGTAAAAGCCTCATCATTGGTATAACGTAGCCAACATAAGGGCTAGCACAATCCGATTTCTTGGTAACGTAGCGTGCAGCGAACGATGACTTCAATGTTCAGGAGTTATAGGTGAAGAACACAACGCTAAGCGGATTGAAGATAGGTACAGATGTAGTGGAGCATATAGTTAAGTTTAGCGGACGGAACCCGTAAGGCGGTGCAATCCCTGTCACACGGTCCGCAACCTAACAGCCCTAAGCCGACAGTTTTTCTGTTTTTGGCAACAACTGCTGTTCAACTGAAGTCCAATCGTTAGGAAATATCGGTTTAGTCAATTGGAAACTAGGGAACTAAAGTTTACTTAGTTGACTTGTCAACTCCGACAGACCGTTTCTCTTTCCCATCTCGTGTATCTCGTGTCGATCGCAGGATCCACGATACTCCCTGGTCCTTTCAACTTTTACTTGTTTCTTTACTTGTCTTCGGTTGGCAACTTGCATACAATGTCTCTGGGCCTGTAAGTGAATGGGAAGCCACCAAAGATAGAAAACAAACGCCTCCACGTTCCTATCACCAATCTAAAAACTAATTTTCTTCTCCCTTTTTTCTGACTCTTACCTATTTCTTTACAAGCAATCCGCTTAATCATTATTTCAGTCGTTCGTTACTAGAATGTTTGCTGCATATCTCTTTATTGTCTACTAATATGGAACGATATTGTATCTATCTAATCTAATTCAATCCGATATAATCCATCAACTTTACCCCACGACAATTACGAAAATAGTGTGCTCGCTCGTTAGTCACGAAAACCACCAAGCTTTACCATCGTGATACTCAAAAACGCCTACCTAATGTCTTTCGTTGCCAACCTCATATCAAGTACATACTAGTTACCTACCTACCTCATTTCTAGGCTCCTAGTAAGTATGATCAGATTTTACAGGCAACCGAACTGACCTCACTAATCTCGGTACCACCAGGTCAGCAAGTCCCGGACCCCAGACAGAAACCCGGCTATACGGACATACGCATCTGAAAGCCAAGACGAATGGGATATATTCAGTCTTTCACATACCACCCCTACCTGAACGCGCACTCTTTCCTGCTGCCGGGCCTTCTATCGTTTAGAGAGACCGACTAGAAATAGTACTATCCAGTTGGCTTATTCTCTTACCAAACGTGGTGCATCTTTACCCCGGCGACCCGGCCCTTTTTCCCAGCGCGCGTCTTGCGTCTGCGTCTGCTAGTTCTCCCAATCAATTTACCTGGTAGCCGACTTGTTGACCCGAAGCAATTATTGGGATTTACCTCTGCTACTTACGAGTATACCAGTTGACGCGTAATCCTCAATATGCCAAAGGTACAGAAGTCAGACCCAGACCGTCCATCAAGGACTGATACCTTTTTACGGATGCTGGAGCTGGAGAAGATGTACAAGGTATGCAATTCTCGGCATGCAACCCTCCTTTCGGTCCATTTTCAGACGCACTATTTCCCCCTTTTCCCCCTTCTGCCCCTCCGCTCTCCGATCCACCATTAATACGCCGCCTACTCACATCTTAAATCTTATAGATGCAACGCATCCATGGTCATGCCCCCGCAACGATCGCATCGCCAAGTACAAGTTCTCCCTCCGCCCAGCCAAATAACCCTTTTAAGGCTCGGCGTGCGAGCGGACACCCTCCGCTTTCACACCAAACCCAGATAATGAAAGCCGTGCGGCGGAGCTCTGCCCTACCTTCGCTTTCGATATCTATACCACCAGAACCAACCGAAGACCCTACCGTGGGCACAGATGGAATTTCCGGGGAGTTGCCACCGAAGGAGGAACGTACTAAGACGGTGACATTCACGGGCCCCGATGAAGAGGAGGACGACGGCGATTCTTCCGAACAGTCTTCGATATGTCAATCGCCTAGCTGGGAGCAATACAACCGCAAGAAAGAAAAGAAGCCCAAAAAGCGAGAGACGGACGGAAGTAAGAAAAGTAAGGAAGACAAACCCGCGAATACTCTAAAGAGAAAGGGGAACAGATTGAGCAAGGTTCCGCCGCCGCACGTTCAAGGGGTTGAACCGTTGACGGCGAACCGCGCACAATCTGCCCCCGAGTTAGATATTTATCTCAAGTCTAAAAATGCGAGCCTAGATATCCAGGATTCCACTCGGTCAGACGCAATGGCGAACCACAAACTTGAAAGCAAGCCAAAAAGCAAAGGCTTTCTCTCCGGCTTTCGGTTACAACATGGAAATGTCGCTGCCGTTCAGAAAATCATTGATAACCAGCAGCAGAACGGCGACCCTAATTTCGTAAACCCTCGAAAGCCACCTTCCATTCAGTCAGCCGTCTCGAATTCTACTCGATCTATTTCCTCTCTGGATCAGCTACCGCCAAGCGCTCGAAACTCGTCTGGCTCAAGCCATGGGCGTTCTCAATCGTTACTCACATCCACTTTAAACAAGTTGAAGGGTCCATCATATCTTTACTTTCGCCCTACTGAACATGCCGATAGCACTCATTTCCAACGCCCCAATAGTGCTCAGGAACATGATATTGAGCCTAATTGGTTGAATGGACATTCAGCAGTGCACGCCGTTGAACGGCCCATGGGGCGACCTGTGGAGAAACCGCCAGTGCGTCCCAAGGAACGGCCGATGACTTCCGACGCAAATGACCAACAACTCCCCGAATTTACATTTCCACCTAAAGCTAAACGAGTTACTACTCAACTTACGCCCGACACGACCGCTCGTAGTGCTCGAGGCCATATTCATTTGGAAGAACCGAAAGATGTGGGTAGCGGTTATGAATCACAAGAACCTACGTCATTTCGGAGCCGTCGAAGTCAGGCGCCGAATGTACGTCCGCAGAGTAAAGAGCCGATTGCAGAGAAAGAGAGGCGACCGCGAACAGACCGCGTTTCCCGAGCTCCGAAGCAGAGAGTTGAATTCTCTAATAACGACGAAAATCAGCCACCGCAAGCTAGGCAGGTCAAACATCCGAACCGAGAAGTTGAACGCCAGTATCATACGAATCGACAGGTGAATGGCTACGTACAGCCGCAAGTAGAGGCTTGGGAGGAATCCTCGTATGAAGCAGATCAACCACTTTCCAACCAAAGAAATTTTGAGAACTTTGATAGCGAAAAGACTGTCCAGGCCGAGGTTCATTTTCGCACTGACGATGAAGACGATCAGGGATCCGTTGGCACCCATGCATCAACCATCCGGCCAGGGTCTCGAAAACAAGGTCGTAGCTCTCCCCCAGGACCGGATGGGAGAAAACATGTCACTTTCCCATCCAGTCCAAACACGATAGGGAGAGCTGTTACGTCTGATCCGGTTGATGAAATGCATGAAACACAGGTCAAAATCATGGAGCCACCAAAGCGAGAGAAGTTGGTTGCATTAGAAGAGAGTGCGCCCATACCCGGCAAAAAACCATTGCGAATGGACAAATCGGCCGATTACTTCTCTTTCATCAGTCAATCCTATGCTCCCCCAGCCCTTGATCTGAGATCACCTATGGAGGGTAAATTTCCATCTCCGCGGATTGAGGAAGAGCCCGAAGAAGATGACGATTTGGGACATATCTTGAGGCATATCTCAGTTAGGAGACAAGTTGAGGAGTTACCTACGCCACCCGAAAGCATGAATCAAGGTGTTATATCACACTTCAATGCCACTAGCAGAATCGCAAAGCAAAAACCACCTAAAGACTCGCCATCTTTATCATCACATTATTCCGATAGCGACATACCCGCCTTTGAGCGTTTAGGCTTATCGCCGAAAGCCGCCAGAATTCTCGCAGGAACGGATATATCCAGCATGTCCACATCTCAGTCAAATACTGACCCGAGTCGAACTAATTCGGAGAGATCTTCGTCTTCAACGTGCGATGATCCTCCTCCATCGCCATCCACAGCGCCAACACCAGACAGTCTACGTCCACAATCACACAAAGGACTTACGCGAGATCAAGCAGATGGCACGAGAGATACCACGGCACGATCGGGCAGTGAGGATGACGAAAGGACTCCACGAATGACCTACAAGCCCCCAGCTGTAGAATTGCCAACGAAACACAGCTCACGATCTACTAGCAGAGATGCTGCTGTTCAGGACGATAGTTGGAGCCGAACAGCACTGCCGATAGATCTCGATAATCACAATCCCTCGAATTCGTCCGACGAGAAGCAACATAGCTTAAACTCAAGCCCACAGCTTATTACAACTCCTTCGTCGGTTGCTTTCGCAGAGGATATAAAAGAAAGTCCAGAGGAAGGACTTGTCAGCAGGAATCCATACCAACAGTCTATGCCGACCAGAGCCCAATCCGCGCTAGATATTCATTCGACGAGCTTCTTACCCGACATGAAGCAACAGTCGCTATATTCGAAGAAAGCAAAAGCCGGGGTATCATCTGTTAGTCTCCCTAACTCGCCACCAGCAGACCCCGCCGATGGAGCACCGCGAAAATCTGCGTTGAGATCTCGCAAGAATAGTTCTAATAGCGAAGAATCTTCTACCTTGATCTCTCCAGGTGCAGCATATCTTCAAGAAGCCCGGAAAGGCGTCCCGATTCCTCCCGTTCCAACATCCCGAGCTATGCGACCGCACTACGCACACAAAAACTCGTCCACAAGTATCAAAAGTGCAGGAACTGCAGACGGCCGATCGGATCCCCTTGCAAAAATGCTGGTGGAATGTTGTAACTGCAAATTCTTCCATGATATGCCTTCCAGAGTATACGAATGCATGGCCAAACCCGATTCGCTCGTGGAGGATAAACTACTCGGCGTCTCTGCTACCATTACCACAATGGTCAAGTGTCCATGGTGTGCCCATGGAATGACGACTCAATGTTGCTCCGGTTATGCTGCCGTGATTTACCTAAAGGAAAAGCTACACGGAAAATAATTGAGTGAGATTCTTTTTAGAACCTTGCGAAGGTCTATGGCGGAGTTATGAATTACCATGAGGGGATTAGGCTCGCATCACTCATTCCTTCCAGTGAGAGGGACAAGACTTGTTTCTACAAAATTTCCCTTTGTACCAACCAAACTGCTTTCTCGTGCGTCTACGTCGCATATTCCTTGAGTTTAAGCATTGCGCTTTTCTATGATGTCGTATGTTTCACTGCGTTGCATTTGCTGAGCCCAACTACGGGGCGAGGTGGCTGAAAAAAGTTCGGCGGTTTCCATATTTCCTCTAGCTCTGAAAACGAATGATATCCTACCGGAGCCCGCGACAGGAGAGTGGCTTATCTAAGGCCTACCAAAGTTTGCGATGCATTTCATTTTATGTATACTAGACGAATAAAATGGGAAGTGGATGAGATGATGAGAATACGAAATGAGCATGGACATTGAATGAAGGATGTCTAGTATCTATGAAGACTGGGTTATATCTTGCTAATGTGACAGTGGAAATGAACGTAGCGATACATACGAGGTATGCGAGATTTCATCGGTAACAGAAATCAACATTACCTACGCTTGCTACGCTAATATCAGTAGGGCCGCATTGGAATATGTCTGGCATTTACATCAAGTGGTGTCGCGTGTTGGAAAGGTTCTACGGTAGACGCGGTTACCAGTGAGAGACTATCTATTGCTAACAGACGCCACTAACCAACAGTACTACATTCGACCTCTTCCCTCCAATTCCATCTCTCCCACAAATCCTTCCGAAACCACCTACCCAATTGATCCCACTCCACAAACCAAAAACCAATGCGTAACACGCGATCCTACTCAATTTAACTCAGACTAAGTAATTCAAAGCCAAACAGCCTTGTTCTCCTCAACGAAGTCCCTAAACTTCCGCGGCTCCTTCCCGGTGACGGTCCGCACGACGTCGTTGGTCCGGTTCTCGGCGCCGTTCTTGATATCCGTGTCCATGGCAGCCAGGGTACGGGCATACTCTGGCTCCATGAACGGCGACCACCGCGCTGCTAGTTCTGCCTCGCTCAGCTCGACGTACTCGACTGGCCGGTTTAGCACGGCGGAGAAGATTGCTGCGAGCTGTTGTGGGGTGAGTAAGGGTAATCATATGAGAAGGGACGAGAGATACTAAGGAAGTTCAAGAAATGGTTTAAAGTATAGACGGGACTTACATCGGAATACGAGAGCAGTTCCGAGCCTAAAATGATGTAATCAGTGTTGGGCGGCTGAGGCGACGTCAGGGCGTGGAAGCCCACGGCGGCGATGTCCTCCGCGTTGATGAACGGGATTTTGCCGCTTCCGCTGGCGGAGTATAGCTTGCTCTCCGACTTCAATGCGAAGACGTGGCCGCCTTCCGAGAAGTTTTCTGAAGCGTAGAGAGTTCGATCAGTTATGGATCCTATTAAAATAGGGGTAGGGGAAAAGGGGGGTTTGTGTAACGTCGGATTATTCCATAAACTAAGGTTATCCCTTGCTGACCATGACTTCACCAACAAATATCGAGATTGAGTGTCCCTGGTTTGGATGCAAGGGCAATTCGGTATTACTCACGTTGGAACCATGTCGGTCTCAATACAGCCCACTCAAGCTTCCCTTGGTCGCCCTGCTCACGCAGATACTTGTGCGTGAGACCCATCCACGGACCTCCCTCTTCTATCGAGCTAGCGCCGAGAAGAACGAAGCGCTTGGCACCCTTCGCGACGGCGAAGTCGACGAATTTGTTCATGATGGTTTCTGGGTGAGAACTTAACGGTGAGACGAGAAATACGGCCTTGATGGGAGTTGCGGAGTTCGCGAAGGTGGCCTCCCATGTTGATTCGTTTTCCCAGTCGAATTTGATGCCTGGGAGTCCTGCAAGCGATTTTCCGGAGCGCGAGGCGATGAGAGCGGGAACGTTGGCGGCTTTGAGGAGGGGCGCGATGCGGCTGCCTACTTTGCCAGTGCCGCCTAGGAGGAGGATTGTGTCGGTTGAAGACATGATTTTTTCGTGGATAGGTGTCAAAATTAAGGATCTGGTTTATTAAGAAGATGCAAGTGAACTGGAACGCATTTATTCGGTGTCACGGTTAAAACAATCAACGTCATCGCCTTGGTGCTTCTTTATACACCGTTTACATGTCAGACGTACCCAGGTACTCCCGGCGACGGCCAATTTCGTCAATTTCGTGATCAAACAATCGATTTAACAATTACATAAGATTTTTGTAAAGCCAACCAATCAGAAAAAGGACCTTGTCTCGATTCCGTAATTTTATAGGATGGTTATGCCGTCTCCGACTCTTGGTCTCTTCCTCGGGTTTAACCGGCTTTAGCGGACCTACGCGGGGAGGCGAATGCTTGGTATAAGAAGGATACGGGGTTACGAACTTACGACCCTCAACACCGGGTAGGGGGTTTCGGGTTTCAATCCCACCGTTCATGGGGGTATCTGGCATGGTGTCTAGGTAGGATCGCATGTATGTTGCTGACAATCCTGTGATGTAGCACGGGTATAGCGTGTAACACCGATTACATAATGAAGCTATAAATACCAGCGACAATCGTCTCTGTCGTTACCAACGCAAGTTACAAGTTAAATAAGGTTATATATATCTAGTACTTTATCAATCATCTTAGTAAAGACGACTCCTATCGAAATCCGTGGAAATGGCTGCTGCGTACGACACCCTGGCATACCTATTGGACAGGGCTAACATCCACGACTCGGTCACCCGACTTGTACGTTACTACCTAACTTATAATCTTACAATTGTCGAGAACCATCTAGAAGATATGGGTGACTAACAGAAGACTACCTAATTAGGGCTTAAATCTCGACTTGGGATCAACAGAAGGTCTCATCAAAGACGTCTACGCCCCGCAGGTCATCATCGACTACACGTCCATGTTTGGCGGACAGCCGATCGAGACGACGAACGAGAAGTGGGCGGCGGACCTTGATCCGATGATGGCCTCGTTCGATGGGAAGCAGCATCTAATCACGTAAGTCATATTCTATCTATCTCTCAATCTCATCGGGATAAAAACTAATATCCGCATCTAGGAGCTTGGTCATCGAGCTTCCGCAGCCCGTTCAAGGGGCCACTAAGCCGGACAAGTGCAGGGTGATCGCTAATGTCAACGGTCATTTATTCCGCCGAACTGCTAGGGGCGGGCCGATGATGCATAATGGGGTAAGTCTTCTTCCTTGCCTTACCTTCACGCCCGAATTTCGCTTTTTGTTACCTGTTCAAGGAGGGCAGCCAACATTAACTTGAGAAATACCTGTCTAGGGCCGGTATATTCTTGATCTCGTGCGATTACCTGAGTTAGAGAAAAAGGGGGAGAATCCCTGGAGGATCGCTAAACATGCCACGGTCTTGACTTGGGAGGATGGGAACTCTGATGTTATGACTTCGGTTTCTAAGGTTGGACATTAGGTGGCTTGAATGGACTTAGATGCATATCTATCTACGTGTGTATAATATGAATGAGTAGGTATTCTAAAGATCTACGTACGTACGTCGGCCTCGTAGATGATAACCAACCCCCCATTGCAACTCCATGGCAATGTTCTAAGAGAAGATTATATATGTCCTGCGCAAAGAACAGTAATTGATACCTCCAACCTATTCATGCTGTGCTCGTTCATCTTCATGCATCGATCATGTATTCCGGGAGCGAGCAGTTCGTCCCCAGTAAATACTCCTTAATTTCACTTTTGCTCATCAGTTTAGCTTCGTTGTTTTCAGGTGCCCGGTTTCTCGTTCCTCCTTTCGAGCGCGACCACCTTTATTCGTATCGCTGTATTTCGGTCTGACATGTCGTAAGTCGCTTCCCCTAAAAGACTAGACCGATTCTACAGGTCTCTGCTCGTTGTCGACTAGTGACGTCTCCCTCTCCTCCATGATCTCATCCAAGATCGTGTTAGGGGGTATCAACATATTTAATGGATGATGCGGAATTATTTGATATAAGAGTCCGACCACAAAAGAATCAACCTGATACGGCCACCCGACAAATTAGTCATTGAAGTCTGCGGTGGACTTAAATTAATTCCAGCAATTAAATCGGTTCTCTTCCGGTTATATTCTTGTGGGAGACTATTATGGATGTTATTTTGCGGATCTTGGGTCTGAATTCAGGTTGACTATTCTTACAATGCTGTACCCGTTCTGTAGGGGGCTTTTCAACCGCTGAATACGTCGGAGAAGTGAGATAAGGACGGGTCCAAAGAGGATATTAGACCTTTGAAATGATACACTATCAGTATCATGCTAGTTCACAAGGTAGCTAAGTCGTCACTGTAAGATCAAAGATTATGAGCCCTCCTCCGATACTAGGTGTACTACCATGCAGTTTCAGTAGGGATAGCACACAACTTACCTTGGCGTTTAGCATCAATTTCAGGATTTCTTCTAAGGGTTGAAATCATCCTTATGTGCTGCGTAGTTAATCTCACCGGATTACATCTTCGGTGGAAGCTGTAACCTAGGTACGCACTCTGCGCTCGGGTTTGGGCTAGCCGACCTATACAAAAGGGAGGACAAGAAAGTAAAATTTTCTAAGAATAGAACTTGTTTTGAAATTCTATCTATATATAATGTCTTATAATTCATATTAGAATAGGTTAGCTAGGTAGGTACCTAGTGAAGCCATCATAGCAGAAATATTTTGAAAAGTCTACTATGATATGGACGATACTTATAGTGGACAATACTACTCTCACCTAGAAGGATTCTAGTTAAGGAGTCATAGATCGTCATGCTCACACTGTTGAATGACTATTAAAATGCTTTACCAATTGGATAATTAGTATACCTACAACGTGCCAAGTAGGTGACCGCTTCGTTTCCTATTTAATTTTGTCAGAAAAGACAAAGCACCGAGCACTAAAAACTGTACGCAATGAGTAATAGGGGCGCCCACCAGATCACACCAATGCGACAAAGTACCAACATTCGTAGGAGTCTGATCAGACTGGGCAATCAGTTGTAAAGAAAGTCACCAGATAAAACTTAAACCTAGAGCAAGCAATACATGCTTCGACAAAATCGCATACCTACCGGATGATGTGTGCTAGAGGGACAAAGACTCTGTGATCTCTAGGTTAGAGAACTCAACATATGACCGTAGATGTCGTTTTGTCTCGCATCTTGAAGCCTAATTCAGGTCAATTAAAACACAGGCCGCCAGCCCTTCCGTCCCACATACCCCTCAACGCCCTCATCTCTCAGTACATCCGCGCCCGTTCGTCCAGTAACGATGCTCCTTTCAACATCAACCCCGCGGACATAGAACGGGAATTCAATCCTACCACTATCTCCCTCCCCGATCCCATTTTCCCTATTACCGTTATCTCCCTCCAACTCCCAGGTTAAGTGATTATTTTCCCGTCTTCTCACAAACCCAGATGCCTCTTTATCGAGTGAAAGGTACCACCGCCTCTGATGCACACTCCCCACCGAGTTCGTCGCGCCGGGATATGCGTTCGTGCGCCGCACCTCCTCGTCTTCGAGCTCGCGGATCTCACGTTCCATTGGTGAGACTTCACTTCCGCCAAGCTCTGCCTGTTCTGCTGGCGCATTTACGATTTCAGACTTTTCAGGTTCGTGGTCTGAATATAGGTCTGGGTCCGAGCTGGTGTCAGGCTCTACAATCTTGGCTTTCCCCTTTCTAGTAGCCCCGCCCCGTGGTAATGATGAGCCACCTCGCCTCCGTCGCCTTATAGGGGCGCGTGTACTCTTAGCACGGCCAGTAGCGTCATTTTCCTTGGTGAGACGCAGGTTCAGCGTGTAGTTATGTGGAAGCCGCGTGCCGTTGAGTCGAAGGCTGATTTTCCGCGCTTGGAATGCCTGGTGGAGTTTATCTTGTTCCGTGAGTTCGGGTTGCTGGCCATTCCCCTCCAAGGGGGAGTTTGAGCTGGCCCATTCCTTGCTTTTTCGTGGTGGAAGAACGGTGTATGTCCCCGTATCCCAGATAAGAAGTGAACCAGTCGAATTTGATGCTGTTTCTATGAGATGATTCTGTGTAGATTAGTGTTAGTAACACTCTGGTGTGTATGGGAGGTGGTTTACCCATAAGCAGTGAATCCTCGTCTCGGTGGCGTTCCTGTTCGGACGCCGGCTTTTCGGATCGCCTGGAAGGCCGTACATGATGGCCCATGAAGCACTGCTCGTTTCGTTAATCTGCAATCGCAGATCATAATGTGTTCCTGCAATGGGATGATCATGCTGATGTACGACGAAATGTGCGCCTCTAGCATTACCAAAGTTTGACTCATACAGATTCCTGTAATTATCGATTGACAACCTCGGAATATCATTAGGGAAAGGCGAGAGTGTAGCCTTCGTTAAAATCTCGTTGAAATAATTTATATGATCCTCAATATTTGCTTTCCCTGCCTCAATTGCCTGAGCATTTGGCCCATCATGCTTGAATCGGGATTCAACAACAAGGGCTTCTTCAGAATTGCTGCCTTCTTCACTATCATGCGACGGACGGGCAAGATCTAAACTCCATTCTAAATTTCTCTTCTTAATGAATGGATTACCGACAAATTGCGGACTGGGACCACGCTTCGCTGCCATTTTACCAACACAAGTTATCAACAGTTCCAAGATAGGTCGACATTGTTGGTGAAGGGAAAGGCCGGTGGCTTGGTAGAGTCTACAGAGTACAGTGGCTTAATAAGCATGGCTCTCTGCCAGAAAAGCAATGATATGATTGTCATCTGTGAATGAGTCTCAGCGAGACTTTTGAAGCTCATTTCATAAACAAGTAAATATCCTCATTGCTAGGTATCCCTCCTTGTTTAGCAATTGGATAGACCGATAACCGAGAGTAGGTAGAAAGCGATTGTTTGGTTACTTCGCCATAGAGAAATTTGCCTTGCAAGGTGTTAAATGGAAAATCGATGATGACGAAACTGCGTTCGGCTTAGGAATAAAAGAATTAAGGATTATTAAAGTATTATGTCATCTAATTTACCTAATTTTAGTTACGTAAGCTACACTTATGTCATCAACCCCGCGCTTTCCAAAATGATATCCCACTCAATTTTCTCAAATTTTGATAGAGAAGAGTTTGCGCTTTGAGATTCAAGTGCGGGGAAGCGACAGATAAAAACATACAACTTACCACATGGGGAATAATTCCCGCAGCCGGTCAACAAACAAGCAGTTTAGACTATAGAGTACTTTTAGCAGAGTTTTTGTCATCCTACGTCTAGTACGGGTTGTGTGGCCGAGTGGTTATGGCGCTGCGTTCAGGTTGCAACTTGAATTTACTTCTCAGTAATATCGCAGTGGAGCAATCCTCGTGGGTTCGAGTCCCACCGCAATCATGAATCATTGATTATAATCAGTAAACTGATTATACTTGACTTTTTACTATTTCAACTATTTTTAATTCTTTTAACCTTCTTATTTTTTTGTTACAGTCCGTTTTTCAATGTCTACTTTGCGACAAACGGATATCCGACAAAAGCTTCAGTTCACAGTAATTTTATGGCCTTAGTAATATGTACCCCGCATCATGGGAAAAGAAAAAGCAAAGATAAATCTGCCAGGCAGTCCAATATCTACCTAGGCTCCAGACTTAGAAGCAGGCTGTGAGCCTCATAACCTAAGCAGGACCTAGGGCAACTGCATGAGCCCTGTTTCGTAAAGCGTTATTATTGCCGTTACCAATTACGATGAAGATCACCCAGCATTGCTTACAGGAGCTGATGCCAAGCATCCAACTCTGGTCAAGTCCAAATATCAGTCAACACAAGCTGCACAAGTCCTAGAAAACCACCAAGGCACATGCTCACAACCCTTGTCGGTGCCTTACAATAGACAAGTCATACTGGACTAGCATTCACACCCTGATAAGCAGGGGGAATAATACCTAGGCAGCTAGGACTTGAAGTTTTACAATATATAACGACCCACCATGGATCTACTCACTCGACAAGACCATCATGTTGATCAGACTCTCCAATCTCTCCAAATGGCTATTGCCAACCACTTTTCTCCTCTTCGAGACCATGAGATCCGGTTAATCGACATTAAGCCCGGGAAGCCATCTGATAGTCTTTGCCTAAGGCTATACCATGCTACTCTAGGCAGGCCTACTTCCCCCCATTTCGAAGCCTTATCATATGTGTGGGGATCGCCAGCCGAGCCTATCAAAATAGTCGTAGAAGTTGTATTGCCAGATTCTACCCTTCGCAATGACGAATTCCCCATCGGCCGGAATTTAGCTGCAGCCTTACAACACTTACGTTATGTTGACGTACCAAGAACTATCTGGGCAGACGCGATCTGTATAAACCAGGAGGACTACGACGAGCGGGCGAAGCAGGTTCTGATGATGCATGATATCTATCACCTCGCTCGGAAAGTCGTCGCCTTTCTTGGCCCAGAACAGGATGACAGTGATGCTGCGTTCGAAGTTCTTGAGCGAATTGGAGGCAAAGTCGAGGTAGACTTTAGCTCTGGCATCGTGACACCTTTGTCTAGTTCCGTCGAACCCGAATGGGTTGATATGAAACAACAATTGCATCTTGAAAAGAGAGAGGCCGTATCCTTATACAACCTCATACGCCAGGAATGGTTTGAGAGGCTTTGGATACGACAAGAGATCGGTCTTGGCGAACATGAAGGAGTACTCCAGTGTGGCCGCAAGCAAGTCCAGTGGCGAGTATTCTGCAAGGCAATTTTCGTTATTTTTCGGAAGCCCCTAGTAGTAGATGGATTTGACGTGGCGGAATGGCAAAACTTCCAGAGGTGCCTCGGCCAAGCTGACACTGTCGCACTCTACTCAAAAAGGAGATTCCGATTCTCGAACCTCCGCCGGCAGATTAGAACATCCAAGTGCTCCGACCCGCGAGACCGGATCTACGGTATCATGGGACAACTTCGCGAGTCAGATCAAATCACTTTCATGCCAGACTATACTAAGAGCGTCGTCGAGATATACACGGACGTAACTAAGAAATACATCCAGCATTTTAACATGCTTGAAATTCTGAACCAGTGCGAGTTACGTCCATCCAATCTTTCCCTCAAGCTGCCCAGCTGGGTTCCAGATTGGTCCAGTAATTTATTGTCCTCGCAAGTCCACGCGGTGTTACCTGCAATTTTCGACCTTCTACCTACTGTTGCCACCATTGACGACCGTCTCCTCCGAGCCCACGGTATCCCTTGCGGCACTGTCTCTCAGGTCTTACACAAATACGAATTACAAGAAGATGCCAATCCTACCGAGATCATTCAGGCACTAAAGAAGTTATTGTCTGAAGCCGAGAAGATGTCACTTCACGAAAATGGAGAAACCCGCGAACATATCCTGGAAGCATATACCCATGCGCTATGGGTCGGCAATTTTGGTGATCGATGGTATCCACCTGTACCTCACGAACCCTTCTACGACAACTGTCTCTCTATAGTACGCTCTCTCCTTAATTGCGACTCGTTAGAACAGCCATTCTTGCAAGAAGAAAATTCGAAGAGGGGCCTCGGCCGCGCACATGATACCTGCACCAACCGTGCCCTCTTCATCACCGAGGATGGCCATATCGGACTCGGCCCAGCCTCAATTTCTGCAGGTGACGAACTAGGCCTTATTTTCAGCTGCTCCAAACCAATCGCGTTGCGCCCGTCCTCTAAAACGCCTCACGGCGAAGCTACGGAGTACAAGGTGGTGGGCGAGTGCTACCTAGATCGCAGAATGCTTGGCGAGGCTCTTCTCGGCGAATTGCCGAGATATCTCTCCAGACTTCTAAATCCAGACAACGTAACGAAACCGGGGAATTGGGGCTTTATCGACACACGGACAAACACAATTCTTCTAGAAGACCCAAGGATCGAGCCTTTTCTAGCGGGGTTGGTGGAGAAGGGGCTATTACCGGATCCATCAATAGAAAAGCTCGAGAAAAGGGAAGTTTTCGATGTTTTGGTGAAGGCTGGCTATCCTTTGAAGATTTATAACTTGGTATAGAGTGTAGGGGTATTTAATACTACTTTTGAGTATTAGGTAAGCCATCCGATGATTTATATCTACTACCCCTATATCATAAGAACGGTGATTCATTGCATAACTTGGAGAGATTTAATCAAAAATTATGGAATCATACTTACACAGCCAGTGAATTGTATGGGAAATATTATATACCAACGCATGAAACAGAAAAAAAGGGATATGTCATCGGCTTACTAATAAAATAGGAGTCTGACTTACGTAATCAGTTCATGAAAAGGGGTCCAAGTCTTCATCACACATCAAACAGGAATATCAATTGGGTTTACTCGCTTTTATTGACTCAAGGAAAATAATAACTAAAGTCTTTAGTCATCGCACCATGATCTCATACCATAGCTCATACCGAAAATCCAAAATTCCGCCCATCCTACCCAAAAGACGTACTAGGTAGGCTTCTGTCCGAATATTCTCCTCCCCTTTTCCTCCTTCACCAGACTTTCCCACGCAGACGACTTAGGCCGCTAGATAAAAGCAGGCAACCACCGCCTAGAATCGGCGAGGCAGCGGGCCCTGTCCGCGAATATGCAGCATGCGGACCTCCGTGATATGGAGATCGTGTTCCTGGCGAGCATTCGCAGTAACGAACCCAGAGCCAGCGTTACTCCCCGGGATCATGGCGCGCGACATAGCGCGCGATCGCGGCGTCATCGTCGACCCCGATCTGTACGAAGTACCAGTCATCCCCGAAGCGCCGGACACAGACGACCGGCGCGAGACACTGGTCACCTGCGAGGGCGCGTACGAGCCCGCGCGCGAAGGCGCCGCCAGCACTGTGTCAGGCGAGAACAGGGCCCCGTCCGCGTCCGCGCACGTGGGTGAGCAGTACATGCTCCCGTCGTAGGCGTAGACGGGCTGGCGCCCGTTAGTTACGACGATCGGGACGCCTGCTACTGAGGCCGATCGTCCTCGTGGCCCGGATGCGACGGTAGGCGGGCGGGAGACTACGGAGCCCCGGCGGGAGACCACGGAGCCCCGGTGGGAGACCACGGAGCCCCGGTGGGAGCCGGATACTGATGAGCCCGGATAGATTGTTGAGGGGGCACGCGATCCGGCGTGGCTAGTCCCGGCTTGGCTGTGTCCGGCTACGCTGTATCCGGCTTGGCTGTGTCCAGCTTGACTGCGCGCGCCGATGGCGGTGTGCCCGGCTTGGCTGCGTGCGCCGACGGCGGTGCGCCCGCCGCTGGCGTTGTTCATGGCCCATTGGGCGACGCTGGGGGCGCGGCCGCGGGGGGTTTCGCGCCCGATTGTGCTGAAGGTTTGGTTTCGGGAACTCATTGTTGAGGTTTATTTGCTTTTTTTTTTTTTGCGTTGGCTAGTTGTTGGTTTGGTTGGTTTTCGCGTTGTGGTGTTGTCAAGGTATTGGTGAAGTGCTAGTTGATGGTTGATTATGAGAATACTGGAGGATTGGCTGTTGTGGGCTGGTGAGGAAATGAGAGGAACTTTGGGGTGGGAGCGGTTGGTTTATATAGAAAGAATTATGGTCTTGAGATGCCTATGTTTGCAGTTGTGGTTCATCGTATTGATGAATGACGGTGATTCAATCTCGACGAAGAGGCGGAAATGAGGTTGATATTCTACATGTCTGCCGTGAGTGTCGTGACTTGGGGTGAGATGAGCTGGCATATGGTTCTTAATCCTGGTTCTTCAGTCATAGGACTCACGAACTTACACTTATCCGCCTCACTATCCTCTGTGGGATAAATCCAAGTTTCTCATAATACACATACCTACCTACCTTTTAGAAGCAGCTGGAGATACTTACCTAGTAAATAACAACGTCGAGGTGATTCACCCATCAAAAGGCTCCGGTGATAAGAGCGGTTTCCCATTTCAAAAATCGCTCGTAGGGGTTTGGCACTCTTAGGTAGGATGACGCGAGCATAATGAGTCTAGGAGTTGAGTTCAAAATATCGTTATTCATATGTAGTCTTGAGAGATACTATCACGTCAGGGAATCAGGATTGGAGTTAATAAAAGAATTATAACATTGCTTCTCGGCAATTCCCAACAGAATCGTACAAGTAAAGCAAATCAATGTACATTGTACAGCTCATAAAACAACATTGAAGCTCTGATATGCGAAAGCGAATTCGTCGTCTCATCCACCAATCATGTCAAAACGCCTCGAGTAGGATATCATAATAGCACACAAAATCCGTTGAACTCCAATTCTGATGCGACGTGATGAATGCGATAAACGCGTCTTCTTGTAGCCCACGAATCACCCAACATAGAAATTCCATTATTTGAATGAGTGAGAATCGTCAGGCTCTTCCATTGCCTACTATCCATATCTCATAGGCGCTTGGCCTTGAGGTGGTGCTTGTCCCCATCCTTGCGGTGGACCGCCTTGTTGTTGTGGCGGCGGCGGTTGGTTCTGCATCGGTATATTGCCTCCTCCTTCAACACCACGTTTCATGGCTTGGACATCTTGTCGGTTCTCTAACGGTTGCGCAAAGTGGCAGATGTTGCAGATAACATCGTGGTAACCATGAATGGAAAGAGGAACAACGGGCTGCTTCGCGTTAGTATCTGAACTCCTAGCAATTTCCGATGTGTGAGATAAAACTTACAACAAAACAGAAGGTGAACCAGGGATTGCTCTTGATGACATGTCCGGCCCAGTTTCCGCAGTTATGACATTGACATGTGATGCCCTCATAACCTTCAACTTCCTTGCGGAAGGTATGTTCACCACAGGTGAATATTAAACACATTATGAGTGATTCGAGTTAGATTCGACTTATGCGACAATGATTGGTATCGTTGACTGCGCGGATAGATGCGGTCAAATAAGGAAGTGTTTGCGCTCACGATGATAAATCCGTAATAGAATGATCGTGATGAGAGGTCGTGATAATCGCGAATATGTTAATGTTGATGGTATTAGGTAGAAACCGAGTCGCAAAATAAGAGAGAAACGTGTGTAAATTAAATTAAGGCTTTGTCCACGCCGTCGTTAGTTAAAGTAGTTTCACTTGTCTATCCGAGATTCGCGTCGACCGGGGCTGTGTTGAACGTGGCCAAGACAGCTAAGACATTTATTCCAGCTCTCACAGCTCGGCGCACCATTTCAACCAATGACGTACTGGAAAAGTTGCAGTTACAGCATCTCGGCACTATCGATAGCGGCTCATCGGCTGACGCTTAGTGTACCTGGTACCTACAAGCTCCACTAAATACGACATCTGGGTTGCACCTGCCCAATCTTATCAGAGGCATTCCCCAGAAAAAGTTACAGAAGTTACAATGACATAAAATTTACAATCCTACAACTTTATCTCATAAATCACCAACGAACTCAACATCCTCTCTAATTCATAACATGTTCGTCAGCTAAAATATCCGAATCAAAAGCTCGTCAGAGCCCCAACCCCAAACAAAATGCTCTACGACCTCAACATCGCCTGGTCGACCACAACCAGCGCCTCCGACCTCGAGCGCACCCTCCGATTCAGTTCGCAACTCGGGTACAACGTCGTCGCCCTAAACCACACCCTCGACGCACCTCTCCCCTCGCACCTCACCAACCCACTCCCCAAATTCTCGCCCACAAACACAAACTCCTCCAGCACCACCGAATCCCGCACCCAGCGCATCCCAACCGTCCTCCGTCGCCTAACAATAACCCTCTCCGACCCCTCCCAAAACCCCCAACTCCCCAAAGCAGCGCAACTCTACGACATCCTCGCGCTGCGGCCACAGACCGAAAAAGCGTTCCAAGCAGCGTGTCTGACCGTCAGCGCGACCGACATCAGCATCATATCGCTGGACCTCACAACCCGGCTCCCCTTCTACCTTCGCCCGAAACCATGCATGGCAGCCGTGAACCGCGGCTTACGCTTCGAGATCTGCTATTCGCGCGCGCTGGCATCCGGGGCCGATGCGAGGGCGAGAGCGAATTTCATAGGCAATGTGGCGCAGTTGGTGCGAGCGACGCGGGGGAGGGGGTTGGTTGTGAGTAGTGAGGCGGTCGGGGCGATGGGGTTGAGGGCACCGGCTGATGTGGTGAATTTGCTGGCGGTGTGGGGGTTGTCGACGGAGAGGGGAGGGGAGGCGTTGAGGGAGAATCCGAGGGGGGTGGTGGTTAATGAGGGGATTAAACGTAGTGGGTTTAGGGGGGTGGTGGATATTGTTGCGGTTGCGGAGAGGGGGGATGGGGGAGAGGAGAGGGGGATAGGGAAGCAGAGGGATGGGAAGGATAATAAGAGGAAGAATGGAGAGGGAAGTGGTGGAGGGGAGGGAGGAGATCAGCCTGTTAGTAAGAGACAGGCTAAGAAGCTTAAAGCTGCGTTGAGGAAGAAAGAGGTTGAGGGGAAAGGAGCATAGGGCACGATGATGACAGAAGGGGGCATTGGTTGCCCTGGGTGAGATTTGCATGCGGTGATGGCGTTTGGTACAAAAAGGCTGGTCATCTGAAGATACCCTCATAAAAATAGAATTTTCTCACTTCTGCTTATCCCTGGGCCGATCATTTACCCAGTCTCTCGTTCACTCACTCACTCATATACAACAACGACAAGCACGAATTCCCAAGTTAATCAAGGCCAGCCTCGACTCAATTATTTTCTTACTCGGTTTATTTTCCGTCGAGATTTTTTCGAGAAGCGAAAAGAAGGCTATGTACATTCCATTTGGGTTTATATTGCAATGCTCCTGGCAGCGTTCCGTGTTAAGCGTAAAACCGCGGTTCGGTATCCTCGTCCCCTAGAAAAATTCCTCCAGCTAAATAACAACCAAGAACCGGGCTACTAGAATCACGACACCTACTACAAATGTATATATATGTATGAGTTTCCGAAAGAGAAAAAAAAAGGTCATGGGGGAAAGTGTGGGAAGAAAGGAATATAACAGATTTGCGTGATGAAGTGTTGGTAAGGGGGGTGAATCATTAATTTTACAGCTCGAAAACCAAAGTCCGGGGACTTCGACTATCGATCAACACGGGGTATTTCCTCTCTTCCCAATCTCCTGTCTATACCGCTCCGCCTCGCCGGGCCTATACTCGCACAGTCCTAGCCTCCTTACACATCCTGTTTTCAAATTACCCCTAGATTATGCTCGGGCGCTTAACCGAGAAGTCCAAGAGTCAGGACATTCGTCAATGGGATTCCGCTCAAATCAATCGAGGGTCCTGCGTTCGCTCCGGAAAACGTAGTCGCGGCGGTAATCGCGGGTGCGGGTGCGCCTCCGGCGTTGTTGGCTACGGGCGGTGTTTCGACCGGTAACGAGAGCGAGGACTGCGCTGCGAGGGGCGTGGTGATGGCGGCGGCTTGGGTCGCGGAGGTGGACGTGGAGGCGACTTCGGGGAGTTGGAGCGAAGATGCAGCGCTTGTGGTTGCTGCGGCTGCGGTGGTGCTGCTGGTTGAAGAGGATACGACGGCGGCAGCAGATGTAGCGGCGGATGTAGCGGCGGATGTGGCAGCGGATGAAGCAGCAGCGGAGGTTGCGGCAACGGAGGAAGTCGCGGCGACGGATGAACTAGGGGCGACTACTACTGCTGATGAAGAAGAAGCCTTGGCTGCGGCGCTCGTACTTGCCACAGCGGCAGATGAGGTCGCTACCTGTGCGGCGGAAGTTGCTACCTGGGCAGCTGACGAGGCGGCAGCTGCTTTAGAGGAGGCAACAGCGGCGGCGCTGGACGCGACAAGTGAGGCCTGAGAGGCAGGGACGGCGGCGGCGGTCGTACCGCAGGCAATCATCTGGATCATGGTTACGGTAGACACTTGCATGATCGTCGAGACCTGAGTCACGGTCGAGGCGAGGGCTGTCATCGTTACGGTTGCCGCCTTGCCTGTCCCTTTGACGGTCGTGGTTACGAAGGATAGCTGGGCTCTGTTGAGATGATTAGTGGACTTTCTAGACCGAAAGGTACTTCTGTAATCATAGGAGTCAGTTTCAAGAGAATGAGCACTTACCGTGCATTAGTGCCAGCAGCAGCGCCGGCAACTTTCTCGGTCTTGGTCACAGTTACGGTCTTCGTAGCTGCCGCCGCCGTGCCATTAACTCCAGCGAGCGCTCCGGCTCCCACAGTGATCGTCTGCTTTAGTGTCTCGGTGATGGTGACGGCACCATTTTGTCCTTTGCCCTTCTTCGCTTGTCCATTGCCGTTGTTGTCGCCACCGCCAACACCCAGACCGCCGAGCAGCTGGTCCAACAACCCTCTCTTCACGGGTTGGTCATAGTAGTGATACGTGCCGGCCTATGTGTAGGTTAGTATCCATTGATCGTCTCGCTACCATCATTGTACAACGGTGGAGTATAAGCAGGTGGGCAGTGCATACCTGAACGAGCGACAATGAGCTCAGCACGCATAACAAGAACGTCGGGTGTGCCCTCATCCTTAGGACGTGAAAATTATACACGGAACTCTGGCTCCCTTTCCGCGACGCACTCGGCGAAGGTGTCTGGTCCGGAGAATAATACTGCGAGCGATGTAAAGATCGAAGTGAACAGACCAGCCGTTTCTAACTACGCGGGATCAACCCTAGGAGAATCGAAATGAGAGCGTGGCGAAAATAAAAAAGAATAATTTTCGCTTGCTTAAGCTTCGAGATATTATGAAATGTTAAGGAGAGAGAATTATACCGGACCGGGTCCGAAGAAACATCAGATAATGGTAATAGGATTAGGCGCGCATGCGACTTTCAGAGAGAACGAAAAGAGGGAACGTCGACGGCGAAGTCTCGAAACAAGCAAACACGCATCACGGGAACGTCAAGTGGCGCTTAGAAAGAGTTGAGGCCATCGAGAAGGGGGAAACACAACACCAGGTCGAAGGGGAGGGCTCGAGATTTGGGCGGGAAGGGGGAAGACAAGCTACGAATAAAGCGGTAGACTACACTGCAACGGGCTAGACGTCGTGCCATACCACGCGGTACCTAGATCGAAGAAAGTCCATCTAGGCAGCGAAAAAGAATTTCTGAAGCTCGTTTCGACCGGGGTCCCGACTCCAGTCCAGTCCCAGGCTTTGCCTCTCTTACACAGCACGTATGCGGTAGGCGTCCCGGCAAATTTTATGCAGGCTGATGCGGGCTGAAGCTTGACAGCGACGGCTAACCCATTCTCGAGGTTCGCGATAAGCTGTGATAGTGAGATATTGCAAGGGTGGCCGAGAAGCTTAGAAGCGAGTTTAAATTTTTACGTTGCAATGGAGAGGCTCAAACATCCCGCTCGGGAAAGGTGGCCGGGGCCAGGGTCTGAATGGTGGCAGGGGTTGAGACGGCGTCCTGACAAAGGGGGTGTTTGAAGCTACCTGGGTAGGGGTTCGAGATCTTCCCCTGACGAACTGGAGACTGGATATTACAGCAGGTGTGCAATAGTTCGTGATTCCCGGCAGATGTGATAAAAGAGTTTCGATTCCTCCTTTGTAAGAACAATTGCCGGGTTCGTGGGGATATCATAATTGACGTCGCAGTAGGATTTATCTGAGGGGGGAACAATTGAAGAAGGATCTGATAGATACCTATTAATTCTGAATATGAATGCCGTGCTGTAAATGTGTTAATCAATTCCAAGGTTTTTAAGGGCCTAGCAGAAGGATTTCGAGGGGCAAAATCAGGGCGGACTCAGGCCGCTATGCCGCTATTATCGTAGTGAGTTACGCAAAGACGCTTCGTTAGGGTGCAATCTTGGCGTGCGTTTCAAGAGGTAAGATCATGCCAATCTGCCTTCATTTAACGATTTAACCCTCGTATCGTCAACCGCGCAAGGCCTGCAAGTGAAGGTGACGATGAGACAGGAAATGCTCGATGAATCGAGATTTAACGTCATGGGTAACTCGAAAGGTGTGGTTGCTGTTAAAGTTCCAAGGTTACCAAGATCTGTCAAAGTAGGTTAAGCAGCGAAGATCCGGAACTTGACGATGGTGGGGACCAATAATTCGTGCATGATTGGAAGATCTGCTTTCTGTCCAAAATAACCCAATATCTTAAGTAGTAAGTAAACAGTGAGATTTTACATGCTAGTGATAGCCCTTTTCTAACCAATATATAATCCAAAAAGTACCAAGTTCTTCTAACATCTGCTGTAGAAGATCCAAGATGTCTGGGTAGCCGGGGAGGCGAAAAGCTTCAGACAATCCACATCTGAGAAGTTTCCTCTTCGTGATAGGCCTCACCTTGCATTATCCCTTTCACGAAGCAGTCGCCTTGTACCGTCCATTGCGAGCCCGCTGCTCTCAATATGAGAGGTAACTTTGCTCCCTTGACTACCACGATCTTATCGCCAACTTCCGCTAAGGCAGATCCTAGGCCGATATATCCTTTGTCGGTCCTGAACCCTCGGCGATCTGCTAAGGACGAAAGGTGTATCCTAAAATCCAAGGTCATCTGGTCATTCCGACGACAGAATAGTATAGCGTGGGCTAGGTAGACAGCTTTGTCCGTCAGCCAGCTCGGGAGACGCTTAGGTAGGAAGTTAAGCCACTTAGCTATTGCGGCGTTTCTCTCTAGGATGTCCAGTTGTTGGCGTAGTGTTTCGATACTTTCATTCGTCGATTCTGTCACTAGCGTCTGGACGAATGCATCGCGCATAGGTTCACCGGTTAGATATGGTTCTGGGCCGGTGAAGTAGAAATTTTGGTCGCGCAGCTTAGCCACACGAGACCAATCATCTAGGACGAAGGCGCATTTCGGAATACGAGTTCCGTGGTAGTCAGTCCGCGGGAGATCTTCCAATCTCAAGACTGTCCCAACGGCAGCAATGCGATCGACGCAGCAGCCTTGTACTCCGAGGGAACTAGAGTCGACGCCACCAAATTCGATTTGGGGCGTTGAAGATCCGCTAGCAGAAAAAGCAAGCTCGTTGATGTCCGAATAATTTGCCAGACCCAAAGGTGCGGTAAGTCGAGTGTTAGTCCAGTCAGGTACCCACGAAGGCAGATTCTTAGGACCGGGACCATCGCCTGAAAGTCGCCGAGGAACGGATAGCAAGTTAAGATCTGATGATTGCTTCAAGATCTCTTTGGCCACGGCGATGTACAGTTCGGTGGCGTCGACATTATAATTTGGTTGCAGAGCCTGACCCCCGGGAAGCTCGTTTTTAATCAACGCATTCAACCCGAAAATTTTATCTCGGGGATCCGTGGCGTCAAGTATTCGGTAACGGAACAAAATACTAAGAAGGCTTCGTCTCACGCCAGCGTTCCATTCCTGGCGAGCCCTTTCCAGGATAAAGACATAGGCGTTACGTTCATGGTCGGCAAGCCATAAGTTAAGATAATCCTGAGCTGTGATGGCATTCATAAGGTCAGTCCAGCTGATAGATGAATTCCCACAGAATACGGTCGCCTTGGTCGCCAACGCAAGCTCCTGGACAACCCAAACTCGAGTAAACCACAACCTTTTAATGATTTTAGCAAATGCTTCCAATCGTGTGAACTCGGATTTATCTCTGAATCTCCCAAAAAGTCTCTGTACAGGCGACTCATTGAAGCTTATCGTTTCGAGCGAACCGCCGCCTGAGATATACTGACGGCAGGCTTGAGCGATATCTGAGGCCACCGTGATACCTGCGTCGCTATCCTCCCCTTCTTCGCCCAGCCATATGAGGACCTCCATAGCTTTTGAGTATATGTCTTTCATACGACCGACTTGTCTTCCCCGCTCCTCATCGTCATTCTGGTTAATACATACTGCGTCTACCCATAGTGTCCTCTTGTCCGACGGGAAACGGAAGTGACGAAGGACCGCATCGAGATTAGCGCTAATGATTAATGGCTTGCCGTTACATATAATATTGACTTTGTCGCGGGTATCACCCCAAACATAGGAGATTGCTTCATAAGGAGGCGAGTTGCCTATATCCCCATGCTTTAGAATGCATTCCAATGGCTGCCCTCTCGAACCGGGGAGTAAAGTAAGGATTCGGAATTGATGGCACTCAGGCTCGGTACCGAAGGGAACGTAACAATATGAGTCCATTACCAAGTCGGCGATGCTTTACTACTGCACTGGAATTCGCTCTTTCTGTCGATACCTATCAATGAACCATAATCGACGAGACACAAATAAGGAAGCCAGCAACTTCGTGGCTTTAGTGTCGCCATGCCATAAATACGGCGGACAAGCCCTTCACCGAAATCCATTTTTTCATAGGCTTTTTTTTTTTTTTTTTAGCAAAAGTTTGCTACCCTAATATCTCCAAACCCCTAATGACCAGCAACTCTCGAAGCAAGGGAGCTCGAGATACGATAGCTAGCCAGCGGCTATGGCTATCACGTACGTAACACCACATCATGCACCACTTGCGAGAACTAGGCATAGTGTAGGGATATATGGAAGATCTAGAGAAGAAGTAAGTACCGAATGCCAGGTAGCAGACTAGATAAAGAAGGGGTCATATGACCAAGTGTAGGTTTAAATATTAATCATAGTACGTATAGTGGAAACATTGTGTAGTATTTAGAATATAGAGGAGGCGAGACATCAGGAAATATAAGAGCAAATACTTAGAACCATAGAGGCATAGTAGGTAGAAGATAGAGTAAAGGCAAAGTAGGTAGGACTTAGGAAGGTTAGAAAAGAAAGGGAGTACAATGGAATGGTACTAGATACATAAAGTTTAAGGCTATTTTAACATATATAATAACGTTCAATATGTTACTTTCGACACTTTCGCATAAGGTTCGTGATCATTACTATAGAATTTGGAATGGAATCCAATGCCAACCCTCATGTACAGTACATCGTTACAGTGTAAACACGGTGACAAAACTGGGGAAATATCGTTTGGTTGTAAGGCAAAGAAAGTATCTAATTGGGCGAAAATTTTAATTCTCAACCTTTTCCCAATGACATAATCCATTAAGTACTCAGGTACCTATTAATCTGTCGGTGGGCCAACGGGTGGGTCTTCTATCCACAATTCACGATTGCGGAAAGAGCTAGGACCAGGATAAATATAAACAAGGAAAACTAAAATCGCGGTGACCTTTACACCTGCCTTGCCTTGCCTTGACCTTAACTCACATGTTAATCATCTCAACGTCACAAACACATTTGAACGAAACTTCAACATAAACAAGTTCGGTCAAGACGCGACCAATTTGGCTATTGAAGAGTTACTTCAAGTATCCGAGTAGGTCATTTCTTTTATTCAATTGCTCGATTACCTAGTACCCTTTTATTATCTACTCTTTTACGATTACGATCCCGCATTTGCACGAGTTGCACGATTTTCTCCGATTGATGCACGATGGAAGGCGCAAGTCCCCCGAAGCGTATGACGCGTGCCAGAGCAGCCGCGAAGGATGCTGCTAAAGATGCCGTCAAAGCCAATGCCAATGCAGGAAAAGCTACTGCGGCCACAACCTCGACCAAAGCAAAAGCTGCATCTACGTCTAACTCTACATCTTCCTCTACCTCTACTCCTGCACCATCCACTACCTCCGCTACATCCACAAAGTCTACGACCACCACAAGACCTGTAACCACAACTACGACGCGCACTGCTACTAAGCGAAAGGCAAGAGATGACGATACTGAAGACGAGGACAATAATCTACAAGTTCAACAGCAGAACGCCATGAACAAGCCTGCACGAACACGAGGACGGCCGAAGAAGATCACAGAGACTCAGTCTGAACCGGAGTCTGCACCTAAGCCGGAGCCTTCGGTCGAAGGTACATCCACCGCTTCTACTAAAGCTTCACGTAGCAGAGCAAAGAGACCAGCTACAGCTGCGACTACGACTGCTTCTAAGCCAGACCCACCTAAGACTACACGCGCAAGCACGCGAACGCGCAAGACAACTACAACCACGACTACTGACGATGAAAGTGATGGAGAGCCAGCAGCCAAGCCGGCAACAACTAAACCAGTCAGAAAGACTACGCGCACCCGTGCTACAGCAAGCACCAAGGCATCAGCGGGTACTATCACTAATGCCGTGTCCACTGAACCCACTCCGGGTCTAAAGTCCGCCGTCTCTAGACCTGCATCTAGAATCGGAGGAGTTACTAAGAAGACAGTGACATTCCAAGAACCAGAGAAGGAGAACATGCTACCTCCTGCACCTCCTAAGACTAGAAGCAAGACTACCGAACCTGCCACGGGCATGCGCGCAAAGCCTGTTCGCAAGCCCGCTGCCAGCACGAGAGCTACCAGAGCTAGTGCAAGAACAGCAACGGCCAGTGAGAAGCGAGAAAAATCTCCTCTGAGCCCTAAGAAGGATGCGGAGAATCTCCCATTATCACGAGACGCAGACTCAGATGACGAACTTGCAACATTAGAGAAGACTCCACTCAAACCCCTGATGAAGAGCCCCGTAAAGCCGCCCAGCATGGCTAAGAAGCATGAACTTCAGCCGCCTAAGGATGAGGAGGACGACCTTAAGGACGCTCAAGAGCCGACAACTACATCAGTGTTCGGCAGCCCAGCCCGTAGACCACCTTCATCTCCGTTTAAGGATACGATGAAGTCTCCTGCTAGAAAAGTAGAGGCAATTCCATCATTACTCTTCTCCACCAATACCGATCAGCAGGCTACCCAGGCCCCATCCAAGCCTTCAATTCTGCAATCTCCTGCCAAGCGACCTCAGTTGCCCATTAAATCACTTCAACCCCCGTCACACGAGTCTACTGGCATTAATCATTCTCCAATCAAAATATCACTCTTGCAATCGCCGGCAAAGCGCCCCATGTCACCTTTTAAGTTACAGGGACACCCCGTGCCCATGTTCGACAATAGCCCCGATAAATTGTTTGCGCCGAAGATGTCTCCCGTCCAAGAGAAGGTACCGGCCAAAGAGGTGCAGCAACCTACCGAGCAGCCGGAGGCGATGGATACTGAGGATGAACTCTCAACGAATGAAGAAGATGAAGAACCCGAGGACGAGCACGCCCAACCTGAATCTCCATCAGTGCTCACTTTCCCAGGCCGTCTGTCAGCCGTCCTCCCAAGACACGCGGACCCAGCCCTTCGTAAGAACCCTCTTCCTGCCAAGATCGCAGAGACGACTCGACCTGAATCTGCTCCCATCAGCCCAGTCGAAGCACAGGAGCCCGTAGTCGACGTAGCTGTAAATGAGTCTGATGCTGATGCGATGGAGATTGACGAAGATGAGACGAAGCAAGAAGAGGTACCCAGCTTAGCATCAGCTACACCTCCATCGGCACCTGAGCAAGCTACAAAGCCAGCTCCCAGTTCAGCGTTTGGACTACGAGCTAAGGACCTAATGGATCACGAGGTGTCCGATTCGGAGGATGAACTTGCACCTAGCGAAAAGGCGGTTACCAAGTACCAGGATGACACAACTTTTACTCTAAGCGCCATCCCAGCAACTCCTACTCCTAGCACTTTCAAGACCTTCCGACCTACAATGCCATCTAGTGCAGCTAAGGCGGCAAGCCGTGCTATTCGATCTGTTTCTAAGGGGTCCAAGCTCGGTTTTACCCCTCTTGCCAGCCAACTGGGCAGTTGGAAAGCATCGAGCCCATCGAAGCAGAGCAGTTCTCAACAGACGTCTTCACCCGATCTTAAGGACGAGGGATATTCGTTGCTTAAGGACAGCGATCCCTCGACGACTGGGTCTACACCGTCTAAGGGATTCTTCGACGAAGAGATGAGAATCCGCGCGGAGATGGAGAACCAAGCCGCTATCGAGGCGGCCCTCGAAGCCGAGATTGAGGCGATGTACGGGGACACGGAACCAGAGTTCGATAACATTCCTATTTCTGATGAAGATGTCCAACTCGCTCATGAGGCAAACGAGATGTCTCTTATCGAAGAAGATGCTGTCTCGGAAGCTAGCCAGGAGTATGGAGACGAAAATGCAGTTCCCATTGATCCTGCTCTTTTTGGATCGAATGCGCGCCGTCTCGAACCAGTGACTCCGAGCCGACCATCTGCACCTAAGGCTTTCCACACCGTTTCGAAGGTGCCGCTGAAGCCAGCAGACGATTCTACTCCTAGAATTGTCAAGAAGCGCAGTGCCAGCGTGTCAAAGCTTCCTCCTACCGACCGTCCGGGTGGTCTCTTTAGAAATGCGACCGTCATTTCGTACTCTCCTACCAAAGATTCCTCTAAGATGGAGATCGATGGTGAAGATGACGAAGTTCAATACCCTCCGGTCACTCCTACAAAGACTGACATCTGGTCCTCCATGGGCACTCCTGCCCGCACTCCTCGCCGCGATCTTAACATGGCGCTACTCCGAGGTGCAGTTGTCTTCGTGGATGTACACACGAGCGACGGCGCAGACGCTAGTGCTGTCTTCGTCGAGCTCCTCCAACAGATGGGTGCTCGATGTGTCAAGAGCTGGCCCTGGAATCCTACCAGCCCTACTGGTCCCGATGGATCATCCAAGGTGGGAATCACACATGTTGTCTACAAGGATGGAGGCAAGCGAACACTGGAGAAGGTGCGAGAGACCAACGGTGTTGTGCAATGTGTCGGTGTAGGCTGGGTCTTAGAGTAAGTTGATCATTGCTGACAATACTACGATTACAATACTAACATTCTATCTAGTTGCGAGCGCGAGAACGAGTGGCTTGACGAGTCTCCATACTACGTCGACACTTCGCTGGTCCCCCGCGGAGGACACAACCGTCGCAAGAGCATGGAACCTAAGGCACTCGCCAATTTCAACGGCACACTGGTCACTCCGATGAAGCAAACTGGCGGATCAGCCCGTGAGTGTCAGACGGTACCGAACAACCACATCAGCCGCAGAGACAGCACAGTCTGGATGCACACCCCCTCGGACCACGACGAGGACGAGGATGCGCCTTGCGACCACGACTGGGATAGGGAGATTAGTATGCTCACCCCAGTGCCCAAGACGCCTGCCCCAGAGGCCGTCAGACAGTTCGCGATGGACGTCACACCTGACTCCTCTGCCATAGACGACAGCTACGGCGATTTCTCTCCGGAGAAGGAGCTATTAATGCGCACCTGCCCTCCGAAGAGCTACGCAGATCTAGGCGAGGGCGTATTGAAGCGCGAGAAGGATCAGGGTATCCTGATGCGCCTCATGGCGGCTCGACGCAAGAGCCTCCAGTTCGCGCCCAAGGTCGCGAGCCCCCTCTCAAAAGCTTGGAATTAGGATGAAACGATTAATTGATAAGGGAGAATGGAATTGAAAGGAGGGGTTAGCATTTTTCGGTGTTATGTTTGCGTTGATCAAGATTCACCACGGATTCACATTGGAGGCGTTTTAGGGGTTCCGGTCAAGGGTAATAATTATCCAACCTAAAAACACTCCCTACGGTGCGGAGGTGTCGTTCGTTGTTTTTGCTTTGAAACCAACTCGGGTTGTTAAGGGGCCATGGACTTGTTCCTTACATCATGGACTCGGCAGAGTCTATCCGGCGTTCGTGTTGGTGGCCGTGCGCTTTCGGCGCACGGCTGTGTTGAGTCTGTTTGTTTGCAATTCGCTGGTTTCGCGGTCAGGCTGCTGCTGTTTATGCGGTGGTGGTCTCGGTCGGGTTATGTAGTTGAATTGAAATGAGTTAAAGTATTTTGATGCTGCTATGTGTGTGATTAGTGTGGTGTTATTACAAGGCTATGGTGTTTAATGCATTGAACCGCCTACCTAACTCCTAACACCTGTTAGCTACTAGCTAAGCTACCTAAGCTAGATCGACAGCATCCTCGTAATCTTCACATGAAGTCGAATTAAGTTCCAGTATGTATGGTAAGTCTTTACCTAGGTATGTACCTATCCAAGCATCCATACACCCGTACATCCATCCTAACTGCCTAGCGCCTCGCGAAATCAAGGCAGATGGTGGGAAAGTACCGGTATCGCGATGTGATCTTCCAACATCAGATCCATTCATCCATCACATTCCTTCCGTCTTTCCCTGTCCTGGCGGGGGACTGGAACGGCCCGGTCAAATCTATCCTACATACCCTCGCGGGCTGGAGGTTTGGCTTGGATTTAGGTAGGCATGTATACCTAGTAGTAGGTAGGGTACCTGGTTTTGGTCTTCGGCGATTACATAAACTGTGGATGTCCACGGTATGTATAGGTAGGTACCCATGTCCTCCACCGTGGGTGGGTTTTGCTGCCAGGTACTAACTAACTAACTAGCTAACTCACATATGTAGGTCGGTATGTGGACAGAGACTAAAAACGAGGCGTTGCTACTTCGGACCGCGAGGTGTGGGCTAGTTCATCTCCCGATACGCCCCCCGGTTTTTGCCCGTTTGGCTGCTGCTGTGGTGGGAGAGGTAGGTACCTACAGTGCAGGTAGGCAGGCGTATAACAGCTTATTTCGTATACGTTATATGTAATAGTTTATTTGATTACTTATTATTATTTCAAAAGTGCCCCCCGTACCTATCGTGGGTATGTATGGATGTAGGTACACACATTAGGTAAACTACTAATCGGTCCGGCGAAACTGTGGATGGTCACGGATACAACGGCTTCTACGTGAGATACTTGTCTGTTACATGGCAAACGTGGGAAGTTACTTGTGGCGACGGATAATTGAAATTTTTAGCTGCTACTAGGTAGTTACGTAGGTAAGGTAATGAGATGGCGAGATTCGGATGGCGGTTTCGTGCGAAGGGGCGTTGATTTTGGCGGTGGTTTTTTCTTCTTCTCGGTCTTGGTATTTCTTGTGTGTTGTACGAAGGGCTGAAGAATGCTGGCTGGATGGCGGACGATAGGTGAATGCATGGGGAGTGAGATGAGATTCGGTCGGCTTCGGGATCCGGATCAGTCGTTTTTCTTCGCCTTCTTCATCTCTTCTCATCTCCTTTTTTTCTCCCTCTTTACATAGTACCTACTGTCCTACTATACACTCTATTCCCTTCTCTCTTTTTTTTTTATCTATTTGATCTTTTTAGATCAGGTGAACGGACCAATTACCAACCCCGATCCTTTGGGAAGTAAGCCTTTAGCCCGTTACCTATAAACATCCCAGCCAACCAATAGCCTTGCTTCGTATACCTGCTAAGATGCTGGCCCTGTGTACCCTGGACTGGTAGTTAGGGGGTCTGTTAGCGTATACCCCAGGTAGCCTACCTCATGTACAGATCCCATTCCATCGATTTCGACCCCCTAACCTAACCCTAATTGCCTGCTACTACTAATCCCCCATCCCCCATCCCATACATACTACCAAGAAAAAAAACAGAATACCAAACCAGCTTTCCCTAGGACCTAGAAGTACCTACCGGTAGGCTTTATTTTATTTTGTAACCAACACCAAAAACACTACCAACCGAACCTTGCAACAAGCCAATCGAGACGCCGGTGGAACTGAACCCACCAATCACCCACCCAATCCGCAATCCAAGTCCTGGAGATTATGCATAGTCCTTTGGTCCAGACGGGAAGGATGGGGATGTTACACTACATCGTCGACCTACCCAAGTCCAGCTATGACAATATACCTAGGTACCTATCCATACCTTTGGTGCTAGGTAAATATGTCAGGTTAGGTAGGTTGGTCAGGGCGTGTAGGGTAATACATACATACATATTATTACCTACATGTAAGTAGCCGCACCATTAACATACCATTTCTCCCACGGCTTGTGTAATGTACCTACTTAAGGTAATCAAAATCAATCACAATTGCCAGGTATGTATGTATGTATGTAAGATGCGTACATACCGAGGCACGCGCATGGTTTTTTGCATGTGTCAAATATGTGCGTATGTATGTAGGTGCTAGGTTAGTTAGTTGGTAGGGGATACAATAGGTATAGGCTGGTATACAATGTATTTTGCCGTCAGACGGTGGCGGCGCCGACGGTAATCGCGATGCGCTGGAAAACACCGCAAAGTGTCGGCTCTGGGCTGTCGGGTCGCCGTACGTGCGTATGGTCTATGTAGCACGACTTGCCCCGAAGGATTGGACTTACTCCCTCTCCTTCTCTCTCTCCCTCCTATGGTAACGACATACATACATACACATACCTATACATACATACCTAACGTCAGATAGGTAGGTTGTAAGGCGAACGTGGTGGGTGTGTGGATGGACACCATGAGCAGACGACACGTGCGAGTTTGGAAGCTCGCGACTGCTTCTAGAAGCCATCGTGGGGTGGATGTGGAAGTGTGGCACCGGGTACGTCGACGTCGATGGGGGGAGGGAAGAGATGATGATGGGTATGCACGTCACGCAACTCGCACAATCTAACCCATCCCTTACACACATCCATCATCTAGATAGACAGATAGATAGATACCCGTCCCATCGTTTACCTGAGTATGTATGTATTTGGTTGAGTATGAGTATGTACCTACCTCCTAAACTCGTTCGTACCAGGAACTCTTTAACCCACCATCTACCATGTCTCCAGTATATACCCAGATAGCCCTGTCACGGTACCATCGACTAAAGATCCCCGGCAGGCAAAGGTAGTTCGAAAGAACGCAAATATGTACATCCTGCTACTTCATCTATCTTACGCCACACTACCTGCCCAAGACAGATTGGCTGGTTTTTAAAGATCCGGCACATATAGCCCAGAATCAGCTTACCTAGGTACCTAGTGCCCATGGGTAGCTGGATAGCTACTAGGGAGGTCAGTAAGTAAGCCTAGTAGGTATTATCATATTACTAAATCTAGATCTAATAGTATTACATCCATCCGTTTACGATATAACCACATTAGCTATAGGGCCAAATACCTACCTAAGTACGTGTGGATATCTAAGTATAGCGATGGGTGGCGGCAATTTATATCCGGTTTGTAATACAATCTATTTTGTCTACCGATACGTGAGATGACTTAAGCTTCATGAACTTAGCAGGTTTTCTGTTGGGTATTTGGAGTTACTAAGTAGCCAGAAGAAGATACCGTATTCTGTGTCGTATATCGTATATCAAGTAGCGAAATACCGTAACTCGGCGTCGTATGTCGTATATCGGCCGAGTCGACAGCGAGCCGTATCTACCTATATAACCCGGAATATCGCATCCACAGGAACCATGAACCCTTCAAACCCACGCCGATCTTCCAAGTTCACGGCATCAACACTACGCATAGTTACGTAGGAAATAACTTCCAGCTTCCCAAACACGCAAACGTAAGAATTCATCATGTCCATCAAGAGCAGATAAGTAAGGGCTCCCCCATTTTTTATCCCATTGTAAATCCATCCCGCTATGTACCTAACCTAAGGTATACTTGTATATTGCTCCCACGTTCCCTCCCCACCCCTTTAAAGTCAGCCCTTCTCCCGACATGAAGTCCCGTGGTATCATGTGTACTAGATAATTAGTAAAATTCCAGAAACCACCCACACCCATCGCCATGCAGATCGTATTGTACAAAAAGGCAACTCCCAAAAGCAAAACAACAATAAGCCTTATCTTTTGCCTCGTGGGTCGCGCGCGTCCCAGATGCTACCTCGAAACGCCTGCCAAGTTTTTGGAGAACTGCCGTTTTTTTCTCTTCCCGACAGAAAACTAATTTGCCATAGATCGGCCAACGCCCGATCTTTACCCCTGGCCTAGAACCCCAATCATACGCGTACCAAGACGTTTTGTATAAACACTTCATCAGTCTCTTCACACGTCATGGCGAGATCTCTTCCCTGGCAAATGATACGTTTTTCTGCTACCCTTATCGTCTCCGTCGTATCCGACCCTGCCATTTCAGTTCTTAACCCCCTGTTGTACATGTCATGGTTAAAACAGATAAAAATCTATATATAGCAGATTGTAGATGAGTAAGAAATGCGTGGGGATGTGGTTGACGCTTGCCGTGGATTTGTCGTCAAACCTTCTCTTTCACCTGATCGCTAGTTGTTCTGAGATCCCTCGATCGTAATCGTTACCAAGAGAGAAGGTGGTATCTGGGTGGATGCTCGTCAGTTCGGCATTAGCTAGCTTAGCGGCGCTTGACTGGCTCAGAGATCGAAGTGCCGCTGTCGTAATCCCAACGTCGCTTGAGGCCACCCTCGTAGACGCTAGCAACCGATTCTTGCCACATAGCTGGCGTGACAAATGCTTGCATCGGAGGAGCTGTGTACTGTTGATGCGGCAAGGATTGCGTTACGGCCGGCAGTGAACCGCCTCCGAGTTGGATATCCTGAGAAGGCGAGATTTCGGGGGCACCTGAAGATGAACCAACACTTAGAGAACTGGAATGTGGAGCCACCGAAGTTGGCTGAGATTGGAGTTGAGGCGTACCGAAAGTCGTGTTCCATTGACTACTCAATCGTTAGCAACGAGGAACGCAAGTTGTCAAATTTTATAAGGCATCCAAAAAATTAGGTACTCACTCAAATAGACGCGACGGATTCCATGCGGAATGGTCTCCCAATGACATCCCACCCGCAAGGGCCGAGGCCTGCGAACTCTGGCCGGGAGTCATCAGGGAGAGCGACTGTGCAGAAGGAGAGTCACTCTTGTTGTCCGCCGAACTGGCAGAGATGGGTGTGATGGGATGGTTGGCATAACTAACTTGCTGACCAGCGTGTGGGTCCATAGGATCCATCGAGCTTGTCTGGAGCATAGGCGGCTTAAACGTGTTCGCCGTCGGCGGGCTCGAATGGTTGCTGGGATGCGGGCTTCCGTAGGGAAAGCTCGGCTTCAAAACGAATGGTTTCCTAGTGTCAGCCGAGAAGGCCTCTCGTACGGCGTCAATTTGTTTAATCATCTCTGGCAATGGCCACGAGTGCATCGTCTTTTCTAGAATTCTCATATGCCTTGTGAAGTAGTCTCGCGCATCATTGTTAAGTTCTGGATCAGGAGAAGTCAACGCAACCTATACAATCTGTTGTTAGTCCTCGGTTTGTACCTATTACCCTTGATAAAATAAGAAACCCGGTAGTAACGCACAATATGGAGTACGATGCAGCAAAGAATGGCATAGATCGTGAAACTAATGCCTCGTTGCATGCACTGGAGCCCGCTTAAACCGAACGACTGCAGCATCGATTCCTGAAGACGACACAGAGCCTTCGCAGACGAGTAACAAAGGCACATGTGCGATTTCCACTGTCCGTCGGGGGCCATCGGCTCCAGGAAGGATAGCTGGGGTCGGTGGAGGATAATGATACTCAAATAATAGTATGAATGCATATTCCCGATAAAGTGTGATGGGAGCCACGGCGGTGACCCATCCTGTGGAAACGTGAGACGTAGATCAGCCGGTATATCACCTAACCAGCCCGTTATGGTCGGGTTGAGCTGCACTAATTCGGGATCGATACCCCAGTCCTTCTTCCTCTTGATCTTCGCGTACACGGAATTTACCTTGTTGAGGTTGCGAGCGATGCGAGAAAGATACGCAAAATTTCGACTAGCATGATATTCGGTTTCCTCGCAATCAGGCACAAGTCTTGGAACGTTGAAGTCAACAGAATCCGGGTCTACAGAGGTGTCTTGTCGCCCTAAATCACGTTTAGAACCACAATAAACAAACGGCCAGAAAACCGAGTGGCCTTACCTTGAGGTGCAGCTATCATAGTCTCGCACACGAAGATGGTTTGCCATATACGGCTCTTCGTAATGCACTCAGCTGGTGTGGATCCACATGATCTTCCAGCTTTGTGATCGTCAAAATGTTCATCGAGTCCCAAATCTTTAGCCATGGCGACACAATGTACAATCGACATCCAAGATCTGTAGTAATAACCGCGCTTTGGCGAAGCTTCTCTTGCTTTTAGAATAATCAGTAGAGCCTGGAGGGTGCTCAAGCGCGGTACATCCATAAAAGAATCGGCATGTTCTACGTTGAATTAGTTAAATTTGCGGATTGATTATCGTCTTGGGTCCTTACTCGAAGCGAGGGCGATCCATTGCTGTCCTTGGGCTGGCTCATCAGCGAGACGACCGGCCACAGCGAAAATTGCTTCCAACAGCAAAGGGGAAATCGATTCTCGATTCGTATGCCACTGCTGGTACAGTTGAGTTTTATTCAGAACCGGAACATATGGGTGTACGTTAGTGAAATAGAGATCAAAATAATGCATGATAGTCGCGTCATCTGGCATTAGTTCCGGAGGAATGCGTATCTTGAGACCAGGTCCCGAAGGCATAGGAGGCAGCATGCTCTTAAAATCATCTACATCCTCGACAGCTGGCTCTTCATCTTGCCCCGCAAGGGACATCTTGTTGTTCAAGTATGGAGCTTAAAGCAGTTAGCGACAAAAATCACAGAAAATAAAAGACAAAACCAACCTGTTCCTGCATCATCAACTTTAAGCGCTCCTAGAATATCTGCAAGGTCACCCTGCCCGTATGAATCTTGGTGATAAGATTCCGGGGACGATTCGGAATGTGCAGAATGCTGGTGCATTGGTGGGGTCGGGAATACGCTGGCAGAAGCATAGGATTGATCCAAAACGCCCACTTGAGAAGCCATACCCGCATACTGAAGTTGATTTGGCGGTGGTGGCGGTTCGCCATATGGCATAGGAGGATAAACGGCTTGGTGGTCAGGATAAGGACCAGGTGTCGGATACATGACAGACTTCTGCTGAGCGCCCATCATGGAAGATTGCGCTTGCTGCTGTGGAATAGACATTTGTCTAAAACTACTTTGGCCAGACGCGATTTCGTACTCGGATTGTGAAGTTTCGTAAGAATCTGTCGGTGACCCTTCATACTGACCATTGGGCCTCACGCAATGGAGCTTTAGCCGGATACAGGCCGAACATGGCCAAGTATTTGTTGTTGCAGCATCGCATTTGATTTTTCTCCTCCTACAACCTTCACATGCTCTCATCACTAACAACGGGTAATCCAGTTAGTTACGATCGTTCGGTTATAATGTTTTTTTTCTTAGCATTCTGATATCCATACCCTTCAACCGTTTATGTCGGTTATGTTCGTCCACGAATACATAATCTACGAAACGAATAGGTTAGAACAACCGGTTATAATCGATTATAGGACAATTTCATGGATCGCACTTTTCTGAGTCTCCCTCGGTGGTTGGTAAGTTTGCGGCGCAAATGAGAATGAGTTTAAAGACGAGTTGGAGCTCTGAGGCAGCAGCCTCCGAACGGATTGATCGTTATTCGACATGACTGACTACTTCGTCTCTCGCTGGGTTCGGGGACCCTCGATCGCCGGATCCAACTGTGATCCTCCAAGTTAATAATTGAACATCGATCTCAAACTCGACTACGGATTGTAATTGACTTCGTCGGCGCCCGTCGACCTTCGGCTATTGCGCTTTGGGCGTAAGCGTGAGCGTGGGCGTAGTTGATCGCAAGTTAGGCGATTGATTAAGTAAGTAAGAAAGAAGAAAGAGGTTAAAAGTGTTTAGAAGCGCGCTGCAGGTTTGACAACATCAGGTATAACATATATAACATATATAACATATATGTAATATGTACGTATGCGCAACTGCAACTGCAGAAAATAAAGTAAAAAGGTTTCGTTAAGGTTAAGGAACCTGCCGTACCGCTGTACTGGTCTGATCTGTACTTGGAGGGAAGGCGGGACGGAGACATCAACTTCCAAGCAGCGCAGAGCGGCGGGCTGGAAATGGGCCTTTTTGCTCTTCGCAGGGAAGGACCCGGTATTCAGGTAGATGAGGGGAGAACCATGCTGTATGCCATGAGTCCAGTCGAAAGCGCCAACCCAAAAAAGAATGGGGGCAATATGCCTGTAAGTATTGCATTGTACTAATTGTGTACTATGGAGTTCGAGAGGGACCGAAGAAGGAGAGGAGGGGGGGTCTTTTGGGGGCCCCCCTACAGCGTACCCTCCCTACCTGCTCCCTGCCCATCAGCGCCATGCCTCCCAGTCTTGCACTTGCCTTGCCTGGCCCAGGTCTGGGAGGTGTGCCTGTGGCTCTGTGCTTCCTTACCTTGTAGGTGACTTCCTTGCCTTTCGCGTGGTTCCTGCTGCTGGACCCCAAACTGGAACTGGCTTACAGATTACGTATCGTACCTGTACTAGATTCCATGCTAGGTACTAGGTACTAGGGATTATGCTATGCAGCAGACACCGACCTTGGTATTGATGTGATTCTACCTTTTAGATAATCTGTGTAACCGTCACAAGACTTGATGAGAAACTTTAATGCCCCTTTTTTTTCTTAGCAATTAATATCGATAGTTTATAATTGATGATAATGATCTCGGTGAATTTCTAAACATTTAGTGACATTATGTCTAATACCTACCTCCTACCTAGGTAGATACCGACAAACAGTAACATATGTGGTACTTTGTATCTAGGGAACACTTCTTCGGTATCCGAAGCCATATACGCAATTGACATATGGATCAATAAAGTTATGTCTAGTCTGTAAATGTGGAATGGAACGCTCGTACGAATATATTAGGGTGGCTAGTCAATCTACTTGAAGGTCGATCGCTGGGTTTGGTTCGTAGGATGCAAGCTCGTCTTGGTGCGGGTTAATACCGCGCTTTAACACATGTACCGTATCATCGATAGCTCGGTTCCAGTCTTGTACGTATCTAGCTTACCTAGGTACATTAGCGCAGCAGACCAAGACTCTAGGAAGATTGGGAACCCATTCTACAGAGAGTCATGGCAGGAAGCTAGAGAATGAAGAGCTTAATAATTTAGAATTATGTAATGTTCTGGACAATGATCAATCCTTCGGACTCGTAGCCCACACTCGTAGTCCGCGTTCGTAGTCGACGCCAGTGCGCAGACTAGTCTCGATATGTGCCAAGTGCTGTATAATCCCAAAGCTAATCGTCTGTTATTAAGAGCCTTTTCCACCTTTCCACCTGCTGTCAATTTCACAATAGGCGCCGTCGAAGAATCGGCATAGGATGTAACCCGTTAGTTAGAGGAGACGCCACCTCATCAGAGGAAACGATGCAGGTACTTGGTAACATGGCACACGGTACGTTGAAATCAGCGACATTAAGAGACGTAATATAGGATGAAACGTCTGAAGGAGCACCAAGCGCATCAGATGTCAAAACCAGCCTTCCCATACAAGTAAGACTACCAGTCCTTAAGTAAAATGATGCCGTGGCGATTCGATAGCCGCCGGGTCTGTAATCAAGAGAATAGTAAGTTACCTCAGTGTACCATGGTAAATAGGAAATGGTATATTGATGAGTAGGTAGGTATGCGTTCCTGGGAGAATAGGGCTGCAAGGTGCGTGCATACCGACCTACCTACAGCATACATGCCACATACCTACATACACAGAGCTCGACGCGATGTGATGTGTGGCCGTCAATGCGTCTGGATATGTACAGTAGGTAGTAACTGCAATATAAGTGGGTATATGTCAACCTGCCTATCAGCAAGACCAGGGGCGTACATACCATACATACCGTACATAATACATACATGCGACGGAATAGCCAACCGGCAAACACCTCGGGATCTTTTCTAGCGCCTAACAAAAAGGTAACGACGAACCCGAACCCAAGCATCAAGCGTCAGGTACCTGAACATCTCCTTATTGTCTCTTGCGTTTCCTCGTTTCTCATTAGTACGCAAGTTAGCCCCTGCAGGATTTGCCTTGTTTACATGTCGATGGTCCTAGGCATTATTAGTTAAAGGAATAGCGGTCAGGTCCTGCATGCGCCGAAAGATCTACTAGGGGAGCTCTTGTGTGTTCCCAGTTCTCACCATCAGGTTGGTTGGAAGGAGTCGCAATAATTTTGCGAAAGAGTGGAAGCGAGCGACCTGAGTGAGTGAGCACTTGCATCTGCATTTGCAGGAGGCAATTAGAAGCGGCTATGTGAGAAAGTGACAGGCATGCCGGGCTACTCTCCTTGAAAAATCGATATTAATTGGTCGTCGTCAGCAGCAGCCTTCGCTTATCCGCATCCCCTTCTCATTGCCACGCAAGGCTCGGCCGATTGAAAAGTAATAGACCCCTTTTTTTCGGCTTTCCATGCGACTCACGCATGCATTGTCATATGCACTACTTTTCAGGTTAAGAACCCTAACCTAGGTGTACCGTATGTACGCTTATTAGTAGCATTATACCAGTACATGTACAGTATGTAGGTCGCGGCGGAATTTCCCATGATCTACGTGGAATCGGGTTAGGGACTCAACCTCCCGAAGTCCCGAAGAATGCTAGGTTGCTCCCCCACGGAGATCTACCCAATCAACGGAGCCATACAGTCCCAACTTGCCGAAGGAGGATTAGGCGCATCGAACTAGTTGATTTGTGAGGATATTGTCATCAATAATCATGGTTGCCAGAGTTTTTCCAGTCCGGTTGTATTTGCGAATGGACAGGTGCACAGGCCAAGTTGCTCTCCTTCGCTTTCTAATGATGTTATTTCCTTGCAGTGAATTGACGATTGCGTCGCCTCGTGACGATATCTAAATGTAGCTAAATATAGCCGGACTGCCAGATTTGATCGATCGCCGCATAATGTGATCTGCTTCTAGAAATACGGCTTCAAGCGAAATTCATGCGAATGAGGACGCTATCAAAAGTTGGGGTTTAAGGAAATGAGAGCATTGACAGGGCTGAATAACTATTCTTAGGTCGTTCTCGAACCAGATAATGGTTCCCGATACGCGTTCACGCGTGACACGTGCCGTATGCCTGTGGCGGCTGATTCCGTACATGTCGTTAACAAGCTTTCCCAATCAAGCCTTAGAATTGCCGTATTTCTGGCCTTTTCCGGTAAACTTGACCGAGCATGCGACATATTGGGGACTGTGCCTGATAACCTGTCGATCATCTGGTGCATGGTCCGGACCTGAGAACGGGAACGGCCAACAGGGTCCAGATCGAGAGAGATCCGGTATATCTGAAAGCCTAGCCACTCAGGTGGCGTTCAGCTGAAAAAAAGATAATATCACGACATGCGTTTTTCATGCCGTCATAACGTATGTTGGGGGTATGTCAAGTATGTCAGGTATGTCAAGCATACGCCACAAAGCTTGCTGCAGTGTAGACGTCAACCGTCAGCCGTCCGAAGGCGATATGACAATATGTTTCGATATTGCGACGACGGGATTTTCCACGTAAGTATGTACGACGGTAGGTACGACTCTAAACGTGTCGCGCATGAAATTTTGAAGCAGTGAAACAGCCGCAGCTCGCAGGTCGCTGTAACGGTTGTATCACATATCCGGTACTGTACCCGCCAATGCTTAGCCCCTGCATCTAGCCCTGAGTAAATCTATCGGGCTGCAACGAGTGATCCCGATGTCAAGTGTCAAATTCATATCGAAGATTATACATAGCAGGTTAGTGATCAGCTCTCAATTTCAGGGGCAATTGATCGACCGAATATTCTGGAGAAATCGAATGTGCTTTGATGTTCACGGGTGGCTTCGCCAATGATCGCCATTTAGCGCAGAGAAGAAATGACGACTAGTCATGGATAGTGGGAAGAAATATGAAGATTTTGAGAATTAGTTTGAAGGATCAGATATTTTAGATATTTCGAGAAATGAGCCTCAGTTGAACTTCTCTTTGGTGAAAACAAGGAAGAACCAATAGTAGCATTTAGAATTAAAAGTTGCTGACAAAAAGACAAAAACCCTATGTATCAATAAATTGATTAGATCGATAAGATAAAAAATCTCGGGTAAATCATGTCCCGTGATTGCCCCGCCAATTGGCCATCTCATCATTGAATCGCTTGGTGTACCTAGTATTTCGTACCGTCTCATCTGACCTGTGAATCTTTAAAGTTTACCTACTGCTCTTTGCAAACTACAATTAACTCTATTAATTCTCGTCACGACAACTTCTCACATACCTCGATATACCTAGCTATTGTGAATCGCACAGCCACCCGAGTCTTGTGGGACTAATCGAACAGTGAAACTTACCCATATTACGATTCACGACTACTAAGATCAAGATGGAGAAGGATAACGCAAATCCCACTATCCTAAATACTTCCCAGCTTCCGACCCGACAGCGCAAGAAGGGACGGAGAGTTCAGAGAACAGCCGAGTCTAAGATCCTTGACATCATGCGTAAACCACAATACCTATCAGACTCCTTATACAATTCTGGTACATCGTGGTCCGATGATACCGAGAGTGACGACGAATTCACTGCCGAACCTATTGACGAGCAGGAGGTTTATGGTAAGATAACCATACCTATATGTCTGAATTTGTTTTTATTTGGAAATATTTCAAGAAGAAAGTCATAAATTATCTGGGTTAGGGGTGAAATGATGTTGCGGAGTTACCGGGGTTATTATTTGTGCCTCATTGTCGCCTACATATTGGCACATCATGATACCCCATACCCATGCAACAGTCGCATGATCTTTTGTCCCCACGTCCACCTGTCAGAATCGTTAGTTTGAAGCCATCCCTTGGCTACGATCAAACATGAGAAAGCGAGCTGGACTCAGTCATTTACTGTTTAGTGTTTCCAAAAACATGACTAACATTTGGCAGATCTCATCTCTTCCATTTCTGATCCCGAGCATCCGTTATCGCTCGGTCAGTTAGCAGTGGTGAATTTGCCCGATATCCGTATATCACCCTCTCCCTCAGTAGATGCGGATCCCAACACTTTGACACAAGTACTTGTCAAGATTACTCCCACCATTACACACTGCTCGCTCGCAACCGTCATCGGCCTCGGTGTGCGAGTGAGGCTAGAACAGGCTCTTCCCCCCAACTATCGGGTGGATGTCGTGATCAAGGAGGGAACCCACAGTCAGGACGACCAGGTCAACAAACAATTAGCAGACAAGGAAAGAGTTGCAGCAGCATTAGAGAATGACACCCTCAAGGGAGTATTAGACAAAATGTTGGAGACTTGCGTTTGAGACACCTTCTAGTAGCGACCTGAGTTCGGAATAGTTTAAGGCCAAAGATACAAGATGCCATTAGACGATTCGAGAACAGTTCAAGAAACTATAAACGTGGAAGTACAAGCTGACGACGGTCCCTTCAATCTCTTAGAGATGTCTGCGCCACTCCGGTCAACTTTGGAATATCGAATGTTCGTCCAAGCTTCTCGAAGACAAGAAATTCATGCACACCGGTCTAGCTATCGCCCACTCAGAGACTAGACAGACAGCTTTACTCGTCTTGGTAGGCCTAGAAACGGCAACTATCATTTAAAGGTCCACACCGGTCTAAAACCGGTTTAAACCGCCGAGCTTTTGCTGTCAGACGCGGGATGGATATCAACAATCATCTCATAGGGCACGGAAGTTTATGGCCTGAGAAGCTTAAGAAGCTTGAAAGTTACCCGTCTTTGGTAGTCTGTTCAACGTCTAGACACCTTGACTAGCCCAGAATGATACCACTCATTTCTAGGTACATAAGTGTTCTTCAGAAAAGTCGTTCAGATACCTTCAACTACATTACATATGTACATAGAAAGTGAGACAGCTTCTGTTCAATGTACGTAAACAACAAATCGGTACCTCACGAACAAAGACTAGTTCCAAGATAAGGCTAGGTTTAAAATACGTTATTAGATTTCATGGGGCTCTATTAGATGGGCCTAGTCCTGATTCGACTACCGAGCGTGCTTTGACTAGGCTCATAGTCGTCGTCGTCGAGGCGAACCTTTCTAGAAAGATTATTAATGCGTTTCTGTAAACGGAAACCCGAAACGGTTCAATTACCCCTTGTTAGCCCCAAGAAATACCAGACAATACGTGAATCACGTTAAGATCAGCAACCTTTTTACCTTGATTTTGGAACCTTTCGGGCTTCGTATTCCCTGTGGATCCGCTGTCCGGCACGGCGGATACGAAGTGAGGCTGTCACTGTCGGAGCTATAGAACTAAGAGACCGAACCTGGATGACATCTATAACTCGATGATATGGCCCGTATGTTTAATTACTTCAAGATCCGATATACTCGGAACTTGGTCCGCGCCTATCCCATCATACCGAAATCTGGTTACTAGCACCGTATGTCTCGTCAATCTCAAGTCATGGACCTATGATACGCGAAAGTAAACTTAGAAACAACACGAAATTAGCTACGCGCCACGCCTGTCTTGCAAGTTTTGACAGGTTCTTTACGTATTGTGGTCCAGTCTTGGAATTAAGTAGCTGTTGATTATTACATGTATCTTTATCCCCTCTAGTTCATCCCCCCTTTGCCACCCTGAACCAATTATAGCTATTGCTACTACCATCATAAGTTTTCATGCGACTATACGACTACAAATCACCTCGGAATTGTGTTTTCTGCCATGTGTAGCTTTACAGAGGATGGAAGGCACATCGGAAGGACGCTTCCGATACAAGTAACGGATAGGAACCGATGCTGCCGGTCCCCCCAAAGACCTCAGTTCAGTGAGTCGATAGTAAGCTTCATCTACAGTCTTGCATATAAAAGAGTCATTGAAAGAGAATAATAGTAAACGATGGAACTTTTGAAGAAAGTATTGGGCATCACTGCCCCTTTTCCGGACAGGTTGCTGTCATGATACTCGAGTATCCTTCTAAATTGCATGTATAGCTCGCCCCTGGGTGTGTCTACTCTATTTGACATGAATGTTCCGGTCTCAAGAGTTCCATATCGAAACGTCCCTATCATCATTCAGATTTCTACCTTAACCTCTCCCACCCTTCCATTGAGGTAGCCAAATAACAACATGACCAATGGCCTTGTCGTCCCTTACCCGACGCTTCCATCCCGTCACTTTCCCGATAGAAGAGAAGAAATATGAGCCTATCATGAACCGCAACCATTAGAACGTCCGAGAATAAGAAGTCTTTCATTAGAAGTCTTACTTTTCCTCTCATTATCTATCTTGCTGGAAATGACCCTTATCATTATACTGCATACCCGCGGTAACCTTGTCGACACAAAGCCGTTTCTGATCAGAGTAAGAGGACAGATACTTTATGTGTCGCTGTCTTGATAGTGACGTCCCATACCCCCTTCATCTTCAACTTCGGCGGCCTCCTGATTAGTCAACGACTATACGATCATGCCCTTTACAATACTCAAGGAGAGTAATCTCATTTCCATAACAATTCCTGACAATCCGCCCTACTCATAACAAATCAGTCCATAACGATCAGTCATTCTAGCACACAGCATGTCAGACACACCAAATCGATTTAGGGGGCATAATTCTGCACCAATAAACTCCCTAGAAAACCCACGGCGCTTTCCATCGTCCCCTTTTGCCCCTCAGCCAACCATGTGCACAGTATCTAGGAGATGTAGGTAACTAGACCAAAAACTTGCTTGTCGGTTGATTGGACGATATATCTAACGCCGGACGGCAACGTAGCGAGGAAACAACTTGCGGGATATGGGAGGGACGACAGCGAAGATCTTCTCCTATTCCACATCAAACTCTTCTTCTGATTCTATACCCACCTGTCTACATACACATACATACCTCATACATACGCGTAAATGTAGTCTGCATATATTCCAATATTCCTCGCTGTTATGATCCATCCTTTCATTCCAGAGGTTATCTTACTTCCCATGACTTTCTCCTAGCATACCTCCCCCTTCCCCACGGAACTGCCCGTGGCCCCCCTTTTAACCCAGCCAATACAGCACTAATACCGACACCATCATCCACCTGTCTAACCCCCTACCCCTACCGTAGTCGCTATCCCCAACCTAGCCATTACACACATACATAATATCTACCTGTCATGGCCTACCTAAATCCACAGCACATACATAATACATGCAGTCACCATCGTTACCGGCATCCGGTTCATTCCGATACATCACATTTACGTCTCTATATCTCGCTTACCCCTACCGCTAAGCGTAACTGAGTTTAAACTCACTTGACACAATAAACATGCACCCCCCCTCAAATCTCTAGCTCTTACTCACACCTAGATAGACCAAAAAGTCCATACGGACGTAAGTCGTTATTCGAGTACCGAACCGCACTCAAGCCGCGTGGGGTTCGACACGGTACCATATACCACAAACCGCCCAAACTCGGTTCTCCCTACCTAGTAGTATTAGTTTTACCACGGGCTCTACTACTACCTACCCCTAAGCCACCTAATTCACACCCTCCCATTGGTCGTTCGTAAAAGAATCTAGCTCACCCATAGCTACCTACCCATCGCCCGCGCGCAGAAAACAAGTTCATACCTCATTTTCCCGCACTGAATTTACCTACCTACCTACACTTTACAGGGTTTGCTTTACTGTCCAGTCCCAGCATACCCATACCTCCATAACCGCCGTCACTACCACCGTTACCGTGACCGTTACTAGCCGCCGGCTCGTAAACCTGAGGCCCTATCAGACGCGGGACAAGGGGTTACACGCCTGTGACCAATCACCCCCCCTCCCCTTTCCCCTTTCCCCTCCCCTTTGCCCTCCCCTGTCTCCATCCCGAATCACTGGAGGCTCTTCTACCAACCTACCTAAAGATTTCCGCGCAAGTCGCCCTTCGACCATGTAACCTACAACATACATTTCCGTGAGATCTCGGCCTACGATCTAAGACCTGCCAACACTACAACTTAACGGCGTACTGAGTGAGTAAGTAAGTAACTAGGTAAGTAAGTAGGTACGTTCGTTTTCTTTATATTCCAGGAATAGCCTTGGCGTCGACCTTCCCCCCTTGTAGACTAGTAAACCGTAATAGCCTAACGCCCATCGTCTAAATTTTAGCACGAGGCTGCCCTTTCTTTATGCCGTCGATGGAAACGACCTCTGCTATGTGATTGTATAGTACAATAGTCGAATCTACCAACGTTGCCATATTGTCATCCCTTTAAGACGGAGCCTTCAACCGTAGCTCTAACTTACTAGACACAAAACCCTCCCATTCACGGACTCCCTAAAGTCCCGCTCTCCATCAAACTCTGATAGAACTCCGGCTCAAGGAACTTCGCAACGCTAACATCCTCGCTCAACCCCTTCCTCCTTCTCGTCTTGAGCACGAAATCCCTCGCTGTAGCCTGCGCATCGGCGGGCTGCAGCGGACGTAGCACGACCTCTTTATCGAGCGGATCGCCGGGCACCTTCTGCCACTTATCGAAGACGAGACTAACCATAGCCTGACCCTGCGTCTGGATCCTTACGTCCGTCTCGAACCCGAAGGAGTCGACGACGGGGATCAGTCCATTGACGCGGTATAGTGGAGTACCGGCGATAGGGCCGTCAGCTAGCACGTGTCCGCGACGGCGCGCGAGCACGTTGTACAGCACCGGGACCGCATCCTGCGGCCCAGTCATCGAACACGCGTATAGCGGTTCCATGAGTCTTGGCGACGCCATTAAGAACGAACTGTAGCAAGTGCGTCGCGCCGTCGGGATGATCTGACCGCCACCTCTGAATATGGCCTCCTGTGCTAGTGACACGTCCATGATGCGGAACTTGGTATTGCGAATCGCTATATTGAAGTTAGTAATCTGTGTAGAATTGTGTCGTATAACATGTCACTATTAATTCGCGTCTGCTTGGTAATGTAGAACTACTATTGGGTCGAAAACATGACGCGCAAAAATGTGGCGATGACCATTCTCGAAACGGCCCCCAGTGAAAGGCGCCGACGAGATGCAGTAAAATGAGGGCATGTGATGCAGCAACCGCTGAAATATGAGTTGCCGCGTACCCCCTGGCGGCCGAATCAAGGCAAGAGTGGGCTGCAATGCGCAAAAAGACGTCGCCTTATGGGATCGATAGACGAAGTCTGATCGAATCTGTGGAAATGCAGGGAGGGGCAGGGTTCCTAATCCCGCAGCTTTACTTGGCAGCGGGATGGACATGGGTTGTAGCCATGCCTCGGGATCTGTGAGGATGCACATCGTGATAACTTTATCCCCGGATTTTGCCATTACGCCGGGTTACACGGTAATCAGCGAGTAACACCTTGGCGGCCTCGAGTGGGTGGCATGAAATACGATTCCAAAAATAGCACGAATGCTTTACTACCATCCTATCGCATACGTCGATGCGACTTAGGAAAACGTGTGCCAAAATGACGACGACCTTGCCGACGTGGAATGTTGGGGGCAGTAGAGATATGTAGGGAGCATGTAGAGAGCATGTAGAAAGCAGCTTGAGCAACTTGGAGCTAAGACGTTCTAGATGGGTAGCGGTTGAAACCGTGGGGTTGACACAGGGGTTGGGTAGGAATGACAATATCGAAATGCGACGAGATGTAGGTACTCACGTTCTTCGCACAGAGGTCCCTCTCTGGTAGCCCAACTGAAGCCTTGGCGAATGGTCTCTCGCACGCTTCTCAGAAGCGTCTTATCTACCTGCCGAAATAATTAGGTGCCATCCAAAAGCTATCCAAACGTAGATGGGAAATTCTAGAATTCTGAGGCTGAAACTGCGAATAACTGCAAAGGCCCACGAAGGTATTGCCGCATGCAGCCCCGCGAGGTAACACTCCGCGCTACAGGATTCGTCTGTGTAGTAAGACGCCGAGCTTTCGAGGTCACAGTGGGTGGGGGAAAACAGCAAACTAGTCGACATACCTCAAGTGTGTCGTCCTGCAATATGTTAGGTCCTTTCTCATCCGGCCCGAATGCCCAAATACTCCTCGCCGCCAGTAGATCCCATCCGTACTTGTCCTGGAAGAACTTTCCCACTTTTCGGGCACCGTCCTGCATCTTGACACGGCCGCTCTCGATATCTTCCGCGATTCCGTCGTCGAGCGGCTCGGCGACCATAGTAATCTTATTCTTCTTGTTCGGGGTAATTGCGTAACATTTGGTAGCGGACATCTCGTCAACTGTCTCGCAGAAGCGCGTGACGGGATCCGATACCTTGAGCTCCATCGTTGCATACAGTCGTCGCAGGTCGTGAAGGACGCAGTCCATGTAGAGTTCGCCTGTGCCCAGGATGATGTGCTCGCCTGACTCCTCGACCTTGGTCGTGATTAGAGGGTAGCTCTTGTTGATCTTCCTCAGGCCGTCAAGCATCTTTGGAAGTTCCGACGGGTTGATGGGTTCGACTGCTACCTTCAAGACCGACTCGGTGAAATGTGTGACTGGTCTGAAGATGTAGGCTTCCTCATCATCTTCCAACTTCGGTGGTACTATTGTTGCCGACTTCACGATCGAGTTATCGACGCCGCTCAGCAACACCCAGTTTCCGGCCGGGACACCACTGGTCTGGACGTTATATCGCGTTTCAGCGATATAGACATCTGAGATGGTTGCCATAGCCATATCCTCTTCGTCGTCGATAGAATAGCCTTCTCCGAGAACCCTCACTTGCATCCCGGGTCGAGCAATACCGCTCATCACTCGACCGAAAGAGTAGAAACTCTTAGCATCAGCAGAGTTGAAGAGTTTTGTGATATGCACCACCAAGGGGCCATCCTGATCGCACTTCTTCATAGACTCGGCGACCTTGGTGTCTAAGGGGCCCGTGTAGTACTGTTCCAACTTGTGTTCGGCCGCCTCTAATGGAGACGGGACATTCTTAACGATCATATCGACAAAACCAGCCGACGGACCAAAGAACTGTTCACAGACTAGCTTCAGGAGCACTTTTGCGTCTGTCTTGTATTGTGATGGCTTGAGCGTTATGCCTAATTTTGCTAGAACTTCTTTGAGGTCTTCAGGGCTCGAACTGATGGTGTGAGAGAAGACTTTGTAGATGGGCTCAAGAACGAAGTGTATGAATGATCTCTTAGCGCCTTTCTCGCCAGGCAGAGGTTTCCTGCTGAAAGTCCTCTTGCTTGGGTTGAAGTAGATATCACCCCAGAGACGTTTTGCGAATTCCTCCATATTCACGCCTGCGAAGCCGTCTGCGTACATCTTCGCAAATGACTGTAGCGTAAAGCACCAGCCCATCTCACTGCATGCAAATAGCACATTTCCCTTCTCCGGACTTAATCGCCGTTGCTCTCCCGAGCCTGGGCGGGTGTTCTCGATGATAGTGTTCACCTCTTCGACAACATGCTTTAGCTTGAAGTAAGCATCGCTTGGTGGGAGTCTCAGTTCCAGTATTAGTCTATCCATCTTGTTGATTATTAGCGTCATCGGGATATCTTCGAGGACCGCGTGTTTGATGATCTGCTCCGTGTTGACTTGGACGCCTTCCACTACGTCCACTACTAGCGCAACGCCATCCACTAGTCGCAATCCCGCCGCGACCTCGTCGACGAAATTAACATGACCGGGGGTATCTATTATGTTAAATAAGTGTGACTTGCCCTTGGTACTTTGCAGCACCAAGCTCATCGGCGCCGCCTTTACGGAAACGCCTCTTTCCCTTTCCACGATATGTGTGTCTGTATATCGTAGTTGCTCATCTCTCTTTCTTCCTTGTCGCTTTTCTAATTTGTCGGTGATGTCATGAGTTTCGAGGACCAGCATGTCCATGAATGCGGTCTTGCCATGATGGAGGTCTCCAGCTAAGGCTATGTTTCGTATTTGGTCGGGAAAGTTCATGAGATCGGTCATGAAGTTGCGGTCGAAGTGGACGGGGGGGAGGTCTTCCTCTTCGATAGAAAACTTCTTCACGTCGACAGGCGCGACGATAGGTTCTGAGAGAGGTTGCGCATCCTCTTCTTCTACTAATATCTCGACATCTGGACCATAGACCTGTTCCGCCGACGGGTAGTACTGTTTATCTTCGTGTAATATCACCGCATTTGATGGGCCGTCGTCCAATTCCATTAACTCCTGCCCTGTGACTTCTGGCGCCTCCTCGGGGACATTGTCGTCGATATACGCGTCCAAGTCGACTCCACGCTCGGATTCCTCTTCAGATGCTTCGGCATCCTCCCCAATAAAATTTCCGAATCTGCACAAAACCGTTAGTATAGAAAAAACTTGTCAAATTATAGGCACACTAACTCATCGTAGAGGTCATCCATGGTGTCGAGTAGCGTCGGGAGTAGTTCAATTAGGTTTATGTGGTGTTTAAGTTAAAAGATTGATGTCACGGTCAAAAAAGTTACAGAATCTCGATGCAAGGCTGATTAGAAGCGCGTATCGAGTGGATCCGAAGTGGGACCTTGCTGTGGCGGAAAGTTGAAATCTGTAGTGGCAGAAGTGGCTAATGGCAAGGCTGGAGCCGAGTAAATTAGAAACTCTGGTCCTCTCCGATAAGCGGTCCTATCTCTGGAGCTTTCCTTCACCCCACCATTTTTACTCTGACTAGTCAACCAATCCCAGGAACGCGGTGACATACCCACTTCCCTATTAGGTAAGTCCCTGCCTTTAAACTCGGGAAGTACCTTGTTAGGCCAGTTCCGAGACAGTAAAGATTATCGGAGGGGAGGGGTCTTTAGCTACTGGGGCGGTGAACTTTTTATTTACTTGTGTTCCCAATAGCTCAACAACTTTTATTTCTTAGAGAAAACAAATACATAATACGTGTGTACGAGTAGAATTTCTGAAAATTAACATTTCTTTTTCCTCCAAGCTTCAAGGACCGTCCCGCGTTTAGTGCCTGTCCATCTCGTCTCCTTTCAACATGTCTGGCCTCCCTACCGTTTACATCGTTTCAGCTGCCCGAACGCCTGTGGGCTCGTTCTTAGGGTACCATCTCCCCTACCCTTAACCCCTCCCCCTTTTTTCACCTGTGGCTCGTGAAACTTACCCCTGAATTGCCAGAACACTATCGAGTCTCAGCGCGACCCAGCTAGGATCTCACGCTATCAAGGGTATGTCTTTCCCATCTCTAGCTTCAATTATTGCTTGCTTGCTTGCTCACACGACCAATCTACAGCTGCCATCGAGCGAGTCCCCCAGATCCAGCCTAAAGATGTAGAAGAGGTCTTCTTCGGCAATGTGCTGTCCGCCAAGTACGTCTCCACTCCCTCCAACCCAACGAAGATCGTTCGATAGACCAAACAGAGCCCAACTAACAAACCCACCTTTCTCTGCAGTCTCGGCCAAGCACCCGCCCGACAATGTGCTCTCGGCGCCGGCATCCCGGACTCCGTCGTCTGCACGGGCGTGAATAAGGTGTGCGCGTCCGGCCTCAAGGCCATCATCCTCGGCGCCCAGACCATCATAACAGGGAACGCGGACATCGTGGTGGCCGGCGGCGCGGAGTCCATGTCCAACGTGCCGCACTACCTACAAACTCTACGCAACGGCGCCAAGTTCGGCGACCAGACTCTCGTCGACGGCATGCTGAAGGACGGCCTGACGGACGCCTACGGCAAGAAGGAGCACATGGGTGTATCCGGTGAGCTGTGCGCCGACGACCACTCCATCACGCGCGAGCAGCAAGACGCCTACGCCATCGAGACATACACACGCGCGCAGAAGGCCACGGCTGACGGCGTCTTCGCCGCCGAAATCGTGCCCGTCGAGGTCAGCGGCGGCCGCGGCAAGCCGGCGATCAAGATCACCACCGACGAGGAGGTCAAGAACCTCAACGCCGACAAGCTGAAGACCGTGCGCCCGGTCTTCAAGCCCCAAGGCGGCACCGTCACCGCCGCCAACGCCGCCCCCCTGAACGACGGCGCCGCCGCCCTCGTCCTCATGTCCGAGGCCAAAGTCAAGGAGCTAGGCGTAACCCCCATTGCCAAGATCCGCGGCTGGGGCGACGCCGCCCGCGAGCCCGAGCGGTTCACCACCGCGCCCGCGCTCGCCATCCCCAAGGCCATCAAGCACGCCGGTCTCACCGACGCAGACGTCGATTTCTACGAGATCAACGAGGCCTTCTCCGTCGTCGCGCTCGCAAACATGAAGCTTTTAGGCTTGTCCTCAGATAAGGTCAACGTATACGGCGGCTCCGTCGCCATCGGCCACCCTCTCGGCTGCTCCGGCGCGCGTATCGTGACGACGCTGACGACTGTCCTCCGCGAGAAGAAGGCCAAGATCGGCGTTGCGGGTATCTGCAACGGTGGCGGTGGCGCCAGCGCTATTGTTATTGAGAGTCTGCAATGACTAGACGAAAGCAGTAGCAATGTCGAACAAACGGGAACCCACAAGAGAAGAGATTCTCGCATATAGCCTGGGTTAAGGTAGGAAGAAAGGAAGAAAGGAAGGAAATGAGGGTTAAACCGGACCAGACGGAATGTTTTCAACAGACACGTCGGGGGTAAATGAGGAAAGGTGGATGGATGGGATGAGGGGCGGAGAATATGTACGGATTGCCATTTGCCTAACGCTTACGCGAACGTGAGGGATGACCCAAAAATAGAGAGAAAGAAAGACTTGATATCTTGGGGCGCATATATCTTTTCCCGGTTCATCCGCCGTTATCTCAGGTACCGATGAATAAATACTAGATAATTTCAAAAAACAAGTTCGTTAGATGTGTGTTGAAGTGGGTGTACGTGATGTTGCGTTTTAATACCGTAAGATCGTAGCGTATTCTACAACTTGCAAATCACATGGTAAGGAAACATAAGGTCACATAAAGGTACTAAAGATAGATGCCAATTCTGTTTAATTCGTCGTCCTATAGTACAAGCAAAGTAGAAGAAAAAAAGCAAATAAAAACTTATGATCCTGTCCACCGAGGTCGACCTTGGCTTCTTCCCATAGTACTTCTCGCGTGTGTGCAAAAAACAAAACGAGACTGCCAGTACACGGTGGGAGGCAAACGGAAGGTTTACATAGGGTACTTCGCCAAACGCCTCCCATGATGCCTTTCGCTTATCATCAAAATTCGCCACCACCGTCTGATTACTCCTGATATATGCCACGTTGGCGAACCGAATTGAACATGCAAAAGTCAAAGAAGTTGTTGATTTATTCAACTCCTTCCGTGTTTTCGGGGTCATCTCCTCGGCCGTTGGTATTAGGCGAGACACCATCCTTGAACCACTTCTGGAACTTCTCGTTGACCTTTTGGACTTCGTCTTGACTGTTACCTCGCATCCAAGAGTTGTTCATGACCATCTTCTCTCTGAATCGCTGTCCGCGATGTTCGGTAAGGGCGCGACGATACTCTTCTGCGGCAATCTTTTCCTTTTCATCCTCTGGCTCGGTGGCATAGATGAAGTATTCGGATGTGTTCTTTTCCCAAACGATCTTGTTCGAGTTTAGACAGATGCGTAAAACCAAGCCCTCATCATATGCTAATGGCTTTGGTACATCGCCATCGTCCGAATCAGCTTCGCTTGATGGCAGATTGCGAGTGAGAACAGTCCTCTGAAGGCGGGATCTAGGGACGCCTTCAGTAGGCTCAACTCGCATATACGAGGAGATATAGTACTGCCATCTCTCACGAAGTTCCATCTCGTCCATGTAGAAAGTCGTCTCGTCACGTTGTAGCCAGCGGATTGTGGCCTCGTGTTTCTGGGGGAACTAGATATGATTATTAGCGACCGATCATGTAAGTATTAGGAACTAGAATTATACGTACCCAACAGATGACAAACATATCGCCATCCTTGATGCACTTCTCTGCGTACTTCCGGGCACTGATCTCAGTTTGATAACTAGTCTCTTCGTTGTGGCGACCGTTCAGGAAATGGGTGATAAGATCAGGCGTCTTTTCCTTTGAATCGGGGCTCGTGCAGGTGAGTGAAAGACGACATAGGGTTCTGAGGAGATCCTGAATCGTATACAAGGTCCAACCCTTCTTAAGGTAGTAATGACGGAGAACTTCTTGGTAACGGTTCTCATCGATCTCGCCAGTGATATAGTCCTCGATCAGTTCGACTGTCTTGGGCCAGAAGGAAGCAGGATCATTCTCGTCGAAGTAGTTGATCTCGTTGATCGCAATACCGAGCTCTTTGGCTGGCTTCTTGCTCTTCGATCGGATAATTTCCTCTGAAACGCTGTTCTTGCTATCCTTTACAGCCTTCAGGCGCTTATAAAGTGTCTGGAAGACAGTGAAGAAGACGTATATGGTCTGATTGCAGAAGAAATTGTACCACGGGCGAGGGAAGAATCCATCTGCCTTCAACTCGCCATCGGCGTCTAGCAATGCGTTGTCGCCCTTAACGACTGTCGCGCGTGGCACAACCGGTAGCCATCGTTCGTTAGACTGCTCGGTCGGAACAGAATCGTCAGGGGCGTCAGCCATTTCTTCTTCGTTCGCAGAACCAGCATCAGGCGTCGTCTCTTTGCTACCAGATGCAGCGCTACCCTCCTTCTGATTCCTGGTCTTCGTACCGTTACGGCCAGGATCTAATACACCACGAAGCAAGTCAGATTTCTTGCCGTTCCGTCTAGAACGGCCATTGGTCAGTTCCGCGGGGAGCTGCTCCTCTGCATCCTCCTCGCCAGATTCGCGATCAATGTCGTGAAGTCGATCTTGGACTTTGTCCTCGGGCAACTCGAAGAACTGGGGAATGAAGAACTCGAAGAAATCAACAATACGTTCTTTCTCGGTTGCACTGTGGTGTCCATTATTCGTGCCGTACAGAACCATGAATCGTAGCAAATCCAGAATGACCTCACGGTCGCCAAGCTCGTGGGTGAACTGGTATCGAGGGACCATGTTCTTCGAGCTACGTAGGCGTCGCTGTTCCTCGTGTTTTGTCTTGATGACATCTACGAGGTGCTTGGCAGAGAGATTTCGTTTGTCGTTCTGCTTAACCTGGATACCCATATGATCCAGGCTCTTAAGATGCATGATCTCTGTCTGTGCCTGCCACACCTTCTCCCATTCTCGCTGCGTGAATCGCCATTCCTCGTCCTTCTGCTTGAGACGTGCAAGAACGACAGGGACGACAGCGAAAGGGTCCGTAAACATGTCGGCCACAACATCGAGTCCTTTCTCATTCCCATATATCTTTTTAAGAACGCGCTTGAAGATCGAAGTGCTAGAGCCTCCAAGTCCCGGCGGCATCTGAAATGTCTCTCGTTCTTGGGAAGTCAGATTCAACATCTGCTGAGCGATCGGTTCGAGTAGTTGTATGCACTTGACATTAGCCTCGATGTTGAAGTCGTAATCGTGTCGTTCTTCTTCAATTCGATGAAGTCCCTCTTCAAAGGCGTTCTTGCGATGGGCCACGAACCCAGAGTCTTCAGAGGCCCAGGTCGGATGAGATGCCCATTCGTCATTGAGCACAGCATTGCACATCTCGTCTCGGCCGCCACATGGCTTTAGCTTCTCCTATAATATAACAGTTAGTTAACGGTTCGATTCTCCGATATTGGAATAGTTTACTTACCCTACGAGGCAACAGCCGGTAGCTTGGCCCAATAGCCCGACAATTACTCAACGAGACCTTTTCAACAGGCGGTCTAGGCCGATTCTCAATGATCTCGTCAAGACCCTCATAACCTACAAATCCCTTAAACCAGGTCATGAGTTCGTTGTTTCCGCCAATAAATTGGCTAGCTTTGTGGACCAGATCATTGGTATCGATGAGGCTCTGCGAGTACATATTGCAGAGCTTTAAGAACTCGTTCATTGTAGAACGGTTTCCGATGTACTTCTTAACCTTCTCGAAGAAACCCAATTCATCAGGGGTCGCGTTCGCCGAGGATGTGGGAGGTAATGGTTCGGGAAGGACAGGAGTAAGTGTCGGTTCGATGGATGGCGCATCTGTAGGCAAGGGCTTGTGGTTGAGCTTTGGGCGCTTGCTTGCGGGTCCGGCTCCAGGAATCGAGCGAGATCCCGGTGCTGGGCTATCGGCCATCGCGGCTGCGGGAGGGGGAGCTTGCTTCTCGTTGCGAGGTCGCTTTCGGTTATCTTTGCTCGCACTGGCAGGTGGCGCGAAAGCTCCAACGGGAGGCATCTTCTGTCCGTCTCTCATGCTGTGATTTGGTTGTGGGGTGGTCTGGGTAAGGCCAGCAGTCATAGCAAAGACGTCTTCAGGCTTTGGGCCATTCGCCTTGTTCGACGCGGCTGATTCGGGAAGAAATTGTTTGAAATCTTCGAGAAGATCAGGCGCAGTATTGAATAAGGTAGTGACTTGCGCATAAACGTCTTGGATAGGTTTTTGTTCGCGCTGGTATGTCTGCAGGATCTCGAGGAATTGTTTGTAAATCTCAGGCTTATCCTGAAAGCGGTTCTAGGCGCACAGGTCAGTAGATATTCTCCTAATACTGTACTTGAAGTAGTAGTTGAATTTTCTAAAATGCAAATTATTTGTGGGGTGCGAGTGTAAGTCAAGGTAGGAGGGGCTGCAATGTTATTGTTCATGTTTATCTCACCTTTATTTTATTCACGTAGCTTATAGCGTGGTTGAATTCAACAGGTCCTCGCTTCTCCATACTGCCTTGTTGGTTTCCGTTGCTAGGTCCGCCTTGAGAATTGCTCGGAGTAGGAGTGAGCGCGTTGCGGGTCGTAGGTGCGTTGGGTGTTGTCGAATTATTTTGTACTTGCGGCGTGCTCCGGTGTTGCTGAGAGGCGGAAGTCTGTCCTTCGAAGGCTGAACTTTGTGCTTGACCAGCTGCAAATAAGCTTGGACCGTTTGATACTGGCGCACTAAAAGAAGCTTCAGGACTTTCGATACTATGTTGTGGCTGTGGAGGTTGTTGCCAGTTGTTACCACGGTGATTGAAAAAGGGTCCATTCGTGCCTGGCTGGCCATGCGCGCCGTCACCTTGGTTCGCTCTACCCGTTATCGACTGAACTGTAGTTCCCATTGGCGTAGTCACTCGAATAGTGTTAGGGTCGTTGCCTGCACCACACTCGATTCTGTATCCGGGAGGAAGAAAAGTGTTGAAGCCTTGTATGAGATTTGGATGCCCCGCAAAAAGTTCCGATACACGATTAATAACCCCCGGCGTGTCAATGCTGGCCCTACAAGTTAGCTTCTTTACTATTCTACGTTTATTTAAGGATATGAACTAACGTTTGACTTTTGAAGTCTTTCATAATATCAAGAAACTTGTTATAGACATCGGGTTGGTCGGCAAACTGTACTTTGACTTGGTCTAGATAGCTCAAAGCATCCTGCGAAGACTGTATATTAGTAAATAGACAAATAAATATCAGTATCTGTGTGATCATAGTAGTCAATGAATCGGCGAACATTTTGCGTTCGAATCCAAAGCATCTTCACTGGATTCAGTCCAATCCTACGCGTTCCATCATAGCAATGCATTATGATGGATCGAGAACTACTTCATTAAAGGCAAATGAAGTAAATAGGGGAAATTTCAAAGGGGCTTATTTATAATAAGGAAAATAGTATCCCGTGTGTTGACAGGTCGTTAGAAGGGTATGAGATAGATCTCAATTTTCCTCATACATAACATTCTCCTATCTGTAGGAAAGGTAAAAGATGTTGAAGGAAAGAAGCAAAATAGAGTGGTGGTAATATATATAAGGTGCGATGGGGATGTGCCTAACAATGGCAACAACGACAATAACACAAGAACGGAAGGCAGGATGAGCTTGCCCCCTAGTACCCATCGAATAGAAGACAATCAAATACACGTATATAACTCACATTAAGAATAGGTTGTTGTCCCTGTGGCATGCTGCTAGCATTACCGCCACTAGGGATTGGGTGTGCTCCTCCAGGGATCGCACCACCACTACCACCGAACGGGATATTCTGAGAAGCGCGGTTACCATCTTGTTGTAGTGGACCGCCGAATAGATGGTTAGAAGGTGCGGAAGATCCAGATGGGCCTTGGTTGTGTCCACCTATAGCTCCAAACATTTGGTTCGAAGCATTCTGTGCATTATGTGGGATCGAGCGATTGGCGTCGGCTTGTAATGGGCCGCCGAAGGAGTTTACGGGGCCTGAGGGGGCGCCGAGAGGGATAGGAGGTGCTGAACCTCCGTGAGTCGCAAGTAGGCCACCGGGACTATGTATGGCGCCAGGGAGGCGCGAGGCGACGGGTTGGTGGATTTGGAGGGATGCCGTATTGCTCTGTCGTGGGGTTCCAGCTGGAAACTGTTCTCTTTGGTGCCGCTCAACCGACTCGCGGTCGCGGTGCGACATGTCTTCGGGATGCGAATTCATTTCTCTTCAAAAGCGCAGATCTAAAAGACGAGGCCGTTAGTTAGGGGATTCTTTTAAGTTGGATGTAACAACATGCGCGCGTCGATAGGAACGAAACTCAATGAAGCAGATTAGGAGATCGACGGTCGGGGAAAGTGATGAATCCAAGGGCGATCGTATCCAACCAAGAAAAACAAAGATTAATTCTACCGATTATTGGACTGGAATAGACTTACTTCCTACATGGATGGAATCTCGCGTATCATGTATAGAAAACGAAGGCGTAATATTGAAAACAATATCGACAAAGCTTGGTGGTGGGAAGAGTAAAAAAGCTAGACAGATGAGATCAAGCTGTCGCGGCTCTGGGGGACTTTCCTCAGTGCGATCGGCGACGCGCGATAACAATCGGAAAAGCAAGAGGTCCGCTATATTTCATGGGAAAGTCACGTGTAGATAAGAAAACGCATAAGTTGTCCAGGTGAGGAGAGCCACTAATTTCTTATTGCTCTTAATTGGGCTTAGCGTTCAGCTGGCGTGTTCCGTTTCGGAACGAAAAGGTGGTCTTATCTTATCAGCAGTAGCTCATACACATCACGTCATTGAAGCAACCCAATCTATCTTTAACAAACACTCATAGTATCGACCTATTTACAAATCAGAATTTTCTAACAAGCATGTTTTAATGTACAGTTTTCTACAGTTTGTGGCTAATTATTAGATGGGACTATCGTGGGAAATGTTGCAACAGAGCTGGCCTAAATACCTGGGTACCTGTTAGAAACCATTTAGCTCAAGATATCGTTTGACTAATAACTGGATCTTCATTGGCTTGCGTAATTTTAGATGAAATCGTGTACAGTTTTGTATAATGCCCTCATAGGTTTATGTTGAAGTTTAGTTGATGTTCAAGCGTAATATCTGCAAACACCAACTTAGATATATGTGCTCAAGATTACACCTAAGCTTAAATTCCAACGATGTCCAACAGGGTAAAACCATCCGCTTCCAAAATTCGATCTTGACACATTCATTCTTTGGCATCCGTTGGGATACCCACTAGGTAGATACCTCTTAAATCATACTATCGAGGGGGATATCAACTCCGACCACCAACCCAAATATTACCTAGGTAGATATGACATATCATAACCCTCCTAAACTCCATTCTGCTTTCCCGGGAAAGCTTAGAGAAACCAAGACCATACATGTATAAAGAATATACTCGATAACTAGTAGACCACCAATGACCATATGCGTTAAAGAGCCAGCCCAATCGTACAAGACAGACATTCATAAAGGTCAAAGTTGAACCATAGTCTTCCGCCCTCGGTATACCATCTCGTAAAAGCTCACGACCTAAGCATAATTCCTCACCCCCTTCAAAATCCACAACTCGCCATTCCCAACCGTACTAGCAACACTATCGACCTCGATCCCATCAGGTTGTATCTACGCATCATTAGCAAGCACCCCTTACCCCACCCCCATCACCAAAACCAAAAGCCAAAACTTACCACTTTCCCCCCCTCCCTCTCCTCCCACCAAATCTCCCTATCCCCCTGCAACAGCGACCTAACCCTAACCCCCTCCTCCCACGGACTCACGGGCAAAACATGCGCCTCCACAAACCGCCTCAAGTTCCTCTGCGCGCGGTCCTGGCCATCCTCGCCTTCATACGCGTTCGCACCCAGGTCCGCGTAGTCCTTCGGATCTTCCCAGGGCTTGCGAGGCAGCGCCTCGACGGCGGAGTTGCGCGGGGCCAGCACGGTGCTGTTCCGGCCGCTGTCGTCGAGACGCGTGGATATCGCGCCGATGTCCCGCGTGAAACCCGCGAATATGTTTATGCTCCGGTCGCGGCCCATTATGTCTGAGATGAGCACGCCGCCTTGTTGGGGGGGAGACGGGTGCGAGGGTTGGGAGGGTGCGGGAGGGACGACGGGGCCGAGGTCCATGAGGGGCTGTTGGGGGGTGTTGGGGTTCTTGAGACTGATGCCGTAGGGGAGGGCGGTGGGTTCGGAGGATGCGGTCGCGGTGGTTAGGAGGTAGGTTGTATATAGGGTTGATAGCTTCATATTTCGGAAAAGCTGGAGATGGGTTTTGTGGGTTTAGGTATTAGTTCTCGAGGTGATGTAGGTTGTGTGAAGGTCGTGCCATCTGAGTGGTGGTACGTCAGGCTCGGGTTTACGTTTAGTGGGGAGATGGATGACGTCACTGGTCACGTTGAAGAGAGTTTGTTTTCAGTGTTAAGCTTATTCCTGCCATTTCTTTCTGTAATTTTGTATCGGACTGGTATTTAGGTAGTTAGGCAGTTTCATGTTTAATCATTTCGATATGTAAAATACAAATCGATGCGAATTTTCATCAATTTTCTTCTTTAAATCTCTCACATATACGTCCTAAGTAGACCCCAACTCGAATCGATATAGAGCTGAGCGACTTTCTTCAACACCTAGGGCGAACTGGCTATAACAGATCTAATTATTACCTGTAAGGTGTATAGGTAAACAATCTTACTATGGTAGGCTGTGTCGTTACTGTTACTGCTACTGTCACATCATTGAGTACCTTAGTAGTGGTGGTATAGCGACCTCAATTATTACGGCACTAGGTAAACACCACGTAATATTTGGTAGTTTAAGGGCTGTACGACGTGAAAATAGTGTATTCAAAGCTCGCTTATTGGTAGATAGAAGTCATAAACGCCAGTACCGAAGATGAGAAGCGACATATGATAGTGTCAGCATGCTTCCCCGGTCAGCCCGCAGTTTCGTTCGGGTCGAATTTACCAATTATTATCGCAATCTATTTAAGGTAATTTCTTGTGCGACATAAGGCAACGACATATATAGAGAACCGTGTCCTGTGTTTCCTACGGCTAGAGTAGTATATAAGGAGACATGTGGCTCATCGACACCGAAACGTTAAAACTCGTAAATATCACGAATCCCTGGAAGGGCAGCTACGCTATACTATCACACACCTGGGACGATGAACAGATCACTTTCCAGAACTTCTCGGACCTTACGAAGGCCCGTAAAATACGCGGATTCACCAAGATCGAGAAGACTTGCCAGTTAGCCAGGGAAAAACACATGTTGCAATATGCCTGGGTAGATACTTGCTGTATCGACAAAACCAGCAGCGCTGAGTTATCCGAGGCCATCAATTCGATGTTCAGATGGTACCAAGCAGCAGCTGTATGTTTTGTCTACCTCTCGGATTTGCCTCCTAATCCACCCGGGATTTCCCATGGTCCCGGAGAGGGTATCCCGGGTACCAAAGGCTTCACTCATGCGCAGCTAGAAAGATGCAAATGGTTCCGAAGAGGTTGGACGCTCCAAGAGATTCTCGCGCCGAGAAATGTCGAGTTCTATGACGCAGATTGGGGTTTCATCGAGACTAAAGACTCGTGGCTCCTTGAACCTTTATCCGAGATCACCGGAATCAATACTGCCTGCCTGAGGCACGGTTCCCAGATCTGGGACCAGCCCATCGGTACACGGATGCAATGGGCTGCCGATCGACAAACCACTCGACCAGAGGATACGGCTTATTGTCTACTCGGAATTTTCGAGATCAATATGCCTTTATTATATGGAGAGGGAAGCAAGGCCTTCCTTCGACTTCAGGAGGAGATATGCAAGCAGAGTAACGACTTAACCCTATTCGCATGGACAACGCAACCTGGTCACGCCTTTTCTTTATTTGACAAATATCGTGGTATATTTGCCATGCACCCGTGCGAATTTGCAGTATTCCGCGGAAGAGGGCGACAGCCTAGTGAAGTCACATTCCGCGGCGAGCTCGCCGTCACAAATAAAGGTCTTCGTTTTGACGATGTTCTGCTATATAAGTCGGAGCTCGGCTTGATATTGCCTGTGGATTGCATAGGGCCAGACCCTAAAGAAGAAGGTCGAGAAGTCTCGTATGGGATATTACTGATGCTTACTTGGGATGGATATATACGGAGAGAGCCAGGTGTTCTCGCGGTATTACCGCGTAATCGCGTTTCGGATATACCACCTCATCGCATCTACGTCCAGAAACAAATGCCTCTAAGCTGGTCCGGCTTTATACAACCGGAACACCGATATTCTGACGCCATATTCTTCAAATTCCAAGGGGAAGTGGATCCCATAATCATGAATGTGATTCCGCAAGATTCTTTTGATTACAATGCCACAGCTTTTCTAACTGGCCGTAGAAAATTCTTTGGGTATATGCGCTTACATGTGAGTGGCCTTGAGATTTTGTTGATCTGTTGGCTTAGGTCTCCGGCAGGCAAAGAAGGAGATGATGGTCCTCCTGCGCCGCCCGAAGCTCAATACAGCTTTGCTATTGAAGGCGAGGATGGCTGGGATAGATTTAAGATAATGCTTCTAGAGAAGGAGATCACCAATCGCGCGGTTCAGGAGGGGGTCATTCCGTCCTTGTTACCGGACCCAACGTTACCATGTCCACATGCAAAAATGGTAGCTCCTCTTGGATCTACCGGTATTGAGATGGTATTGGACAGCACCATGACGTCTAAGCGCCGACACCACATGGTGGTCACGTTTCTGCGAAGAACAAAGAAAGATGCTGGTGACGACTCTTTTGACCGGCCTCGCCGCCTATCATCTCACCTACCTTTCATTTCCACAAGCAATATGACGACGGGTCGGCGTGGAGCATTTTCAGTCTGACATGACTGATCATTGGACCACACCGCCCTTCTTTTTGCTTCTTTTATTCCCCGAACAAACCAGAGGCTGGCATCGGGCTATGCTATCCGATGAGGAGGTGTAGACGAGGTGATGAAATTTTGAATTGTGGCTTCATGAGCTGAGTCCGTGTAGTTTTATCGCGCATATAATAGCCATGGAAAGCAATGTCGCTTTTTAGTCATACCCAACGTGTATGTGGCGATCACCCATTCGCCGCTTCTGTCAATATATCACACAGCGTCGCATAGCATCCCCCTTCTCGATATCACCATAACTCTCCCGCAGCCTTGAGGAAATCATCTGGAATTTAAGCTTGAATTATCCCAAAAATTCTTGGCTAACTCTTTCTCATCCACCATAAGCACGCATACAAAATTGCCCAACATGTCAGCAACCGCTCCACAGTTGCTCGCCACCATCAGAAGTTGGGCCAAGTGCGTCAACGAGAAGAAATGGGACGACTTGTCCAAATGTATGCACTCGACATACAACCAAAACGGCATCGATTATACGCCTGAATCATGGGCGGCGCATATCAGAGATCACGTAACCCCTCAACTAGGAGGCGATGTGCGCATCAACGAAGACAGCATCATGGTTGATGAGAGCGCGCAGTGCGTCGCACTGTCTCTATGGCTCAAATTCAAACCCGAGATGCCGCTACTAGGCTACCAACCCAAGGGTCGAGACGTCCTATTCATAGAGCGCGGATTCATCTGGTTCACAGATGGGAAGCTGTCGAAGGGCTTATTCGTAATAAATGACGACGAAATGCGCACGCAGCTGGCGAATCCCGGGACGGATTTTGCGCCCAGCCTAATCAGCGAATATCCCGTCCCTCCAGTACGGACGCCACTATCTCGCGAACAGCTAGAGGAGGTCTACAGGGCGTACGTCGACATGTTCAACTCGCGCGAAACGGATGTGGCCTATTCGAAGTACGTCCATCAGCCGGAGAAGATGCTTAACAACAAAACCCTGGCGCGCCGCATCATGGACGATGCGATGGCAGCTATCCCGGACCTGCAGTGCCAGATTCACACGCTGGTAGCGGATGAGAAATTGCAGCGCGTGGCTGTGTGGCTTAAGTTCTCCGGAACTCCGATCAAGCCGTACGCAGGTCTGGTAGCGAACGGCCACCCCGTCTTTTTCACTGAACAAGCCACCTATCAATTCTTGGACGGGAAGATCGAGCGGATATGGGGTATGATGGACTTCAGCGAGGCGAGACTGGCGCAACAACCGGAGTCTACGATGCCGCTTGTTATACCGGTGATTTGAAATTCGATATGAATTTTGGCATGGCGGAGGTGGAATCTCGGAATCTTATGATACCCATGGTGTCGCGATATGACACGGTTGAGGAGCTGATATAGATGGTTATACACAATGTTAAGGATCGGAAGGTAGTTTTGTTTTTTGGTTGATTGTTTTTATTTACCTAGGTACGCACCTACGTAATTATGAGTTTCTCATAGGTTGGATATTGGAAGTTGGGGTTTTGATTGAAGCTTAGGATAGGATTGGATTCTTCAGCGCACATAGCCGTTGCTCAGGTGCATTAGCTTATGACGCGGCTACTCTTGTAACACGTTTTAATACGGGATTTATTACTAGTTCTGTTCATCCCGCAATTCGCATTTTTCACATGCTAAAACCCTGTCCCTCAATTATTTGTGAAAACTATATTTACTATGTACAGCGTATCGTCGGCTAAGGAACCGACCCTGTCTGCCTGCGACAGTTAGAGATTCTAACTTTAATGGCCTGGGATTTAGATCAGCTGCCCCGTCTGGGGAATACATATGAATGGCGTAGTGTGATCATCTGACACGAGAGCTTTTGTGGAGGAAATCGCCGGTTTCGTCTTTGCCGTTCGGGGGCGCAGTAACTTTTTTGGTGCAGGATCACATGCATCCATGTCTTGTCAGGTCCAACTATTAGCAGCGCTGAGTGCTAGGGATTCGTACGAGAAATATGTAGGTACATTCATCTGTGCAGTGATTAGTATGTGTGTCAAATGTCAACCCTTCCTTCCCCAACAGTCACTGACAAGTGTTCCTGGCAATTCGACTCATAACCCCGTGGGATTCCCGCTATGAACCTAGACGTTTTAAAGGACTTAGCTCGTGACTGTGGGGAAGAGAGTTTAACACCGTTGATTTTGCCCCCTTTCTCTAAGCCGTCCCAATTTTAGTGCGGAGGAAATGTACAAGAAGAGAGCCTCGGCATTCTTTACCAGATGTACCCGGGTAATTCGGTGTACATTTGACATGGGTTTCCAAGTGACATCACTTCCTCGGCCGAACATTGTGCGAAAACCATGTACCTTTGACTCTAGTCCACGAATCCTAAGTGAGTCTTGAATGAGAGTATCCTCAGTTCTGGACTTTATGTAATACACTTACCTAAGGAATCCGAAGACTAGTACAGAATATGTGAATCATTATAATAATTTCAATATCCGAAATAGGGGTTTGTTGAGGCTAATGATACTAAGAGCGAATGGCATCTTTCTAAGAATATTGATGAATACGGTACCTCCGTCCTCCGCAAGGAGTTACTAACATTTTGTACTACGATACAAAGTACCTTGGTACCCACCCCCAGTATTCTAAGACTCGACCTCGGCTCACCTTGTGCACGAATCATCTCGTCAGCAATTCTAAGTCCAGGCAAGCTCGACTCTCGGTCCAGAATGTCAAGCTAAAAACAGTTGCAACTGGGAAATATCAAGCTCCGGCATTCCTTTCGCATTTTCTCCATCTAAAAACTCTTAAGCTTTTCTTCATCATCTTCTTTTCTCATCTCATCCTGCTTCCTCTATACCCCTTACCTTAACAATCGCAGGAGATCTGTCAACAAACAAATCCCATCAATCAGAATGGCTCCGAGAGTAATTGTCGTCGGTGGTGGCTGTAAGCATCAATTGCCCTCCCCACTCCAGCGACAACGTCATTAAGATCACAACAAAGAACTAACAATCACATGCAGTGTCCGGCTTGAGTGCTGCGCACACAATCTACCTTGCCGGCGGTAACGTAGTTGTTCTAGACAAGCAAGGTAAGAATTGAGCTTGTTTAGTATGCGCCATAGAATTAAACTTGAAATACTCACAATAATCTCGTAGGCTTTTTTGGAGGAAACTCTACCAAGGCCACTTCTGGTATCAACGGTGCCTTAACCCGGACACAGGTTGAGCACGGCATCCAGGACAGCGTAAAGCAGTTTTACGATGATACCCTGAAATCTGCACGAGACAAGGCCAGGCCCGACCTCATTAAGGTCCTAACCTACAAGTCCGCTGCGGCAGTTGAGTGGCTACAAGATGTATTCAACCTAGATTTGACCCTAGTTTCCCGACTTGGGTGAGTACAAGAACTATCGCGCATTGTGTATTATGCTTGCTAATTGATTTGACAGTGGCCACTCCCAACCCAGAACCCACAGAGGACACGATGCCAAGTTCCCTGGTATGGCTATTACATATGCCTTGATGCAGAGATTAGAAGAACTTTCCGAGAACGAACCAGAACGAGTCCAGGTTATCAAGAGGGCTCGCGTTACAAAGTTAAACAAGGATGGCAACAAGGTTACTGGTGTCACATATGAGTCCAATGGCGAGAGCAGCATTCTCGACGGCCCTGTCGTTCTAGCTACTGGTGGTTATGCCGCAGATTTCGGCGAGGACTCGCTATTGCAGCAGCACAGACCCGACACTATCGGTCTCGCCACCACCAACGGCTCTCACGCCACCGGTGATGGCCAGAAGATGGTCATGGCCATTGGAGGAAACGGAATCGACATGGACAAGGTCCAGGTTCACCCTACGGGTCTTGTCGACCCCAAGGAACCCGATTCTAAGTGGAAGTTCTTGGCTGCCGAAGCCCTACGTGGTGAGGGTGGTCTACTGCTTAACGCCGATGGTGACAGATTCTGCGACGAATTAGGTCACAGAGATTACGTCTCGGGTATGATGTGGAAGGAGAAGGACAATGGAAAGTTCCCCATCCGTCTAATTCTCAACTCCAAGGCATCCAACACCTTGGACTTCCACACTCGCCACTACTCTGGCCGTGGGTTGATGAAGAAGATTACCGGCAAGCAACTCGCCAAGGAGATCGGTTGCACTCCCGAACACCTCCAAGAGACATTCACCAAGTACAATGCTATCGCCGACGGCAAGCAGAAGGATCCGTGGGGCAAGAAGTTCTTCCACAACGGCCCCTTAGATATCAATGATGACTTCCACGTCTCATTGATGGAGCCTGTCCTTCACTTTACCATGGGTGGTATCGAGATTAACGACAAGGCCCAGGTCCTGAACAAGGAGCAGAAGCCTTTCGAGGGTCTCTACGCCTGTGGTGAATTGGCCGGTGGTGTTCACGGTGCCAACCGACTTGGTGGTTCCTCGCTACTAGGATGTGTTGTCTACGGCCGTGTTGCAGGTGACTCGGCAAGCAACTACTTGTTCCAAGAAGCTCTCTCGGGAGCCTCCACCGGTGCTGCCCAACGTTTGGGCCAGATCTCTCTACACATTGACCCATCTCAGCCGAACAAGGTGTCGATTGAGTGGGGAAGCGGTGCCTCCAGCTCACCAGCTGTAGCTGTAGGCCAGCAGACGAGCGCTACGGGTCCTACCCCAACCGCCGAAGGGGGTAAGTCATCCCAGCCAGCAGCGAAGCCCCAAAGCGCTAAGAAGTTCGAGGTGCCGAGTAAAGAATTCACAATAGAGGAGGTCGCCAAGCACAACAAGAAGGATGACCTCTGGGTAGTCGTTAAGGGTGTAGTGATGGACTTAACGAACTGGCTAGAGGAGCATCCCGGCGGCCCTAACGCGATCATGAATTTCATGGGACGCGACGCGACGGAGGAGTTCGAAATGTTACACGACGACGAAGTCATTCCCAAGTACGCCCCGCAGCAGGTAATAGGACGAGTCAAGGATCAAGAGGTCACACTCGAATTCTGAGGCTGGCTAGCGAAAAGACTTTTATCGGGCGGCGCTCTAGGGTTAACGGGAACGGCTGTTACATTAGCAATATTCTTTTTGATCTACTACTGCCTCTCCCCACGCGAGGAGCGGGGGCAGGGGCAGGTAAAATTTGTAGCTAGGCATGGCGCATCTGTTATCGCATTACACCGATGTATTGATAAGTATCTTGGATTTCACGATGGATGTGTTGCTGCTTTTAGGTATATATCATCATATCTTTTTCGATTTACTTGTGCTGGCTTCTGTGTTGTGAAGGTAATATATATGTTATCCGGGGGTAGTTATACCTACTCTAGCTATTAATTTTAGGCCGCGAGTATGTGTTGGTTTGATCGGTATGTCGGATACCTGTCTGCGGTGGTGAGCCATGTCCGGACTACGCAGGAACCCGTCGGGAAGGGATTCGCGTCATGGCTGCGGTTATGGGCGCGTGCAGTTGTAGCCGCTACGAGCCGAGGAGATCTCGTTCTGGTGGCTGGGGTTTAGATGTGGTGGCGTCTATATAGTGGACGAGTATACGTCAGTGGCGCTTCGGACTGCGGTATTTATGCCGCGGGGGTTTACTCCCAGACTCCGGGGTTTGTCGTAGGGTTTGGATATGATATCCCTTACCTGGGATTTATGACGGCAATTCCGACTAAGTAGGGATATGGATACTAGGGTTGATGCTTTGGTGATGTGATGTGAGGATATGCTTAGCGGGTTAGAGGTTGGGAGTTGAGATTGCCATCTAATGTATGCTCGCTGCTCTTTAACTAGGTGGTAGATTTGATGTATCGTTGAGGTAGCAACTGTCTACCTAGGTAAATAGCAGGTCAGAAATTACCTAGCATTCATAATCTTAGTCGATTATCAAGGAACATGTATAACATGAGGCTATATCAGTCCTCGAAGTCGTCAACCTCTATATTCAAAGGTTCATCAGAATGTCCATAGTAACCAGATTTGCATAATCTAGGTAAGGATAACTTGAATTTAGCTAGATAATACGTATTAGATAAACTCATGTATCTCTGTTTAGAGGCTACCGTCGGTTAAGGGGTTCTTCACATGATAAGTTCTACTAAGAGAAATCTTTGGTCGCTACTTGGTAGCTTGTGTTGCTTAAGATGATAACTGTGTGCTAGCTCGTAACATCACGAGTTTTCCTCGAGTCTTGTAATATGACATTTCATAACAGGACGTTGCCTTCGACAAGGAGCACTACAGTAAGGCTTGTGCCTGTGTACCTTATCTAGATGAGTTGAAATCTAGTATTGACTCAGAGTAGAATACGGGTGTTTTTCATGTGATATGATTCATCATTTTAGTGCGACAACTACACTCTTTGACAATCATTGTATCTAATACCTAGGATAGGTAGATGCAGAAGACGAGAACTTCTAGGTAGGTAGGATATATCTATGGATACTTCAACCCCTTACGACTGTAGCCATATCTCTATACCAGCATAATCTTGCCTACATACCGAGGCATTTGGTCGTATTTCTTCTTATTGATATCCATTTAACATTGTACTTGTACACAGCATTTCAAATAAGAAACCTTGAGAGACACTAGACTAGCAACGTGGTACACCCATATGCAAAGCAGTGGATCGTGTCTTAACCAACGGCAGTTGGTATCCTGGGAAGATATCTGTACCTACCAAGGTAGGCATGGGCGCTTCACGAGAATGCTGTAAAGCTTATCGTCGACGGCCTCGTCTAGCCGACTCAAGCCACAACAAAGGTCTACTCTTCGGATACGACTCGTCTTAACACTACTGATTACACGATATCCATTCTACTGCTGGTCTCGAGGGTGAGGCGGCGGTGTTCTACCTACAGGAACATAGCCGGATATTGATTAATCGCCGTTGGGTAGTCGAGGTGGCTGGAGAAGGTGGTTTCCTAGTGCGCCATACGTAAATCTAGTGATAGTCGGGTTCCAGTTGTCTACCTGCTTTGGGGAGGTAGGTGAGTAGTGGATCGTATTTTGGATGTGAGGGAGTAACCTCGTTATCCCCGTTCTCGTGCCTTAGAGCGATCTCGTGGATGGGTCGTTGATTGAGGCCCGGAAAATTGAACAATAGTTTCGTCATGACTGTGCTCATAGATGATGCTCGTAGCTAGTATATCGACAGCCAGTTCTATCGTCCTCCCTCGTTACCTCGCAAGTTTGTTGTAAGGGCGGCGATGGGGAGGCGCCTATTTTTAACTGTCCATCTCTGCTAGTTGTATTCATATCACAGTAGCCATATTGGCCGTGCTTACTAGTTATTGACCATCATTCCTCCCTATTAACCACGGCAGTCGAGCGCCGGCGCGCATGGTGAAGAGGGAGTGGGAAGCTTCCACGGAAATAGAAATAAGTCACAGCGACGACGTCGCTGGCTATGTAAAACTTCCACCCATGGTAAAAATATTACGGAATCGCAGCAAAGTCTTCCATTGAAATAAACTATCCCGAGTTAATAGAAGACCCGGCACAGAATGCCGTTGGATAGACAGGGTCACAGGCGTAGTAAGCTTCGGGCCTCCTCCTATGACGGCTTTCGCTGAGACGTTGCAAAGCAAACTCCGAAAGATCCTTTCGTCTGGCCTTTCCCTAACCTATACGGGTGAAACCAAGAACTGCCCCGGTCCGGAACCCGAGGGCGTAGGAGCAAAAAGGATCCTACTTGCCTTTCTAGTAAGCGATGTCTAGGCACAAAAAAAAGCTAGCAAACATTTCGAGTTATGATTATCGTCATACTTATCATAGGAATAATATGAGGTCGATTTAAAGTTTCTATAAAACTCCGCGATATATAGCCTCACTTGACGGTATAGACGCGATTGTTGTAACCTTGGGTCTGAGAGTTGCGGTCGGAGGAGTCGTCAGTCTATGGAGATACTTTTGCCGTCAAGGTAACCCCTGGTTGGAGACGCAACAACGTACGACACGAATCACGAATCACGTTTCCCCTTGCGTTGATGTTTGATTTGAGACTGGGCGCCTAGGTGCTAGGTAGGTTGGTGCGTATTATCACTTGACGGCTGAAGGATATCTCTTTGTCATAAAATCCGACCCGGCCAGACCCGGGTTGTAGGAGAGGAATGCTTACCTACGTTACGAATGATATGTCCCATCAAAAGTCCTATTTAGGGGCGCCGACTCTTACGGCCGTGAGAATACATTTTATTAGACGCGGGCGTATGTATCTGTGGAAAGCCAGTCAGCAGTATGACCCGACAGTGCCTCGTCATCATCCCGCCGATGCGGTTCGGGCTCGCCTATTGTGTTTTCTCAGCGACCAATAACGGGAGAGGCAAACCCTCCCTCCTAGAGTTTCCGTACATTGATCTAATAGCCTACAGGAATGCGCTTTCTATAGATATCTAGATCGTAATGCCTAGAACGAGTGTTTGCATCTGTCATCCGCACAAAATAAATTACGAGGTCGTGACTTGATCCAGGGAATAGGGAGAGTGGTTGGTGATAAAGTGAATACGGTAGAACTTTGGCCCCTGTGGTGTATTACTCCCATGTGGTTATCCATGTAAGATCTCGCCATAAAGTAGGAAATAGTTGGCAGCGCCGGTCCTCATTCGTAGGCCAGACGCAGGATCGAGTATTAATTGCCCTGCGCATTTGCGGCGAGGATAGCACATGGAATAGTATAATTGGATGGCGATGACTTGCGTCCATTCCGGGGAACGATTGGTTGCTGATCTCTTCGGGATCAGAATATACTGTCTCCGGAATCTTGGCTCTATGTAGCTCTAGGGTGTCCGATGCTGTTCGAATTCGTACCTAATATTCCAGCTCAATGGTATGGAAATTGTTATTAACATAACATCTACTTACGCAAGTTTGACGCTTCTTGAGGCTCAGAGGCTGCGGACAGGATCCTTCAAGTGTAACGACGGCTTGATATCGATCCGATGCCGAATACGCCGGTACGTATTAGGGGCTAGCGATAATAGTTATAGCTCGCTAAAAAATAACTAGAACCAGTCCACATCTTGCTTGTGAAAGAAAAATAAACCAATACTCATTTTCGTGGGCGAAGAAATGTACTTGGTGACAATCACATATAGGGACTCCCTCGCTATAACATCCTTTAGACAATAGCAGGGAAAGAAAACCACTAAAGGATGGCTCCACTACTCGTACGAAAGAATTATCGGAAGGATATCGGGATTTACCGTCAAAATGTTCAAGCCGATTATCTTGGTATCTTGGTAGCTGGTATGTAGTTGGTAATGGATGAAATGTAGAGATTTATTAAATCGAGTTCATCAAGTTAAAAAACAGACGATATAAATGAAGTACTTCGGTACATGTATCGAGACCCACAGGTAAAAAGGTTGAATATTCCAAATCTCGACCCTGGGTAAGAGCAGATGGTAAGAGACGTGCAATGCACCTTCTACTTCAAAATACACTTGCATTGCCTGCACTTTACCTCATGTACCATGTATTCTTCTTGTATCAGATGATTTCGGAATGGGAAAGACTCCGGGACTCGCTTCCAAAATTTTATTCATCACTAAGAACAAGAAATCAATCAATCTAACAACGACAAGAAGGCTTGGCTAGGCACGTCAACTGAAGAGCCTCCAAGCCTCTAACATGGAAAAAAAAAATGACAAAAAATCCCAGGATATCATTCTAAAACTACCTAGTATCTAGTACCTAGTACACTACTAGTAAAAGAGTCCTAAAGTGGAAGAAGCTTGGGCTTTCAATTCGCGTGGAGTCTCCACGTTTGCTGCCACACTATTGCTCGTCGCATCGTGGAGGCTTGGGACGACAAGGAACGACTAGGAGGGTTGAGCGATCATTTGAGGAATTTCCCCGCAAAGGTCCTCCTTGTGATCCACGGCTACTGTTGTTGGCTACTGCTGTTGGCTGCGCATAGTACTAACTATTCACCACCCCGTACGATAAACCATGCTTAGCTCTCTAAATAGTAAGTCGAGAATGACTATTCGAAGCTCGTCCTGCTCGCCGTGTAAGGGGGGACCCCTGGATTAGCTGTCAACCATCTAATCCTATGGGCTATCACACATCGACGGCTTCCATCTTCGCATCTTACCCAGGAACCTAGTCCCAATGGAGCCACTTCTGTGGAATCACCGCCATTTCTCGATTCTCTCATCCTCTCATCTGGTCTAATACCTAGCGTTACCCCATGGCTTGCTTATGACGCTAGGGAACTGCAGGAATTGCAATCTTTCTTCGCTTATTATTATCTAATTTAGTCACATCACCGACATCCAGCTCCCCCCCCCTCCATGCTGTGTTACAACAACCTAAGACAACTCTGCAGCCCAGAATATGGATCAGAGAGTTTCCGGGCTGAGAATACTATTCATTGGCCTGCTAAGACCGCCTTGTTCCTCAACCTTGGGCTGAGGTGTAATGGAATGATGTATGACGATGCGGTGCCATCACACTATCTCACTCGTTCTACGAGCTCTTAAGGGACGGCTTGGTTGAGGAAATTTATCGACCTGCCTGCCTGCTTACAAGGTATCAACTTGGTTGCCCGTGCAAAGTACTAAGAATCCTTCCCGAAAGGAAGAGAAAACCGTTCATCTCTCACCTTGCAAAGGTACTAGAATCAGGAAAAGGCTAGCCGATATATTGGCGTGTAGCGACTCTTTACTATCGAACGCCTCCAACAATGCCCAAGAGGCTAAGGTTCCTATGATGGCGATAGGGGGTTAGTCTTCTTGTCCTCCCGTCGCCCGAATTTCAATATCCGAGTCGTCTGTTGGCACATGGATAACTGCAAGTGTAGATGCCAAAAGGCTACTAAGACTTGTCAATAACGTACCATGTACATGGCCTTTTGCTATGGTATGCAGGGCTTCATCAGCTTTGTGATTCAACCATTCGGAGCCGAGTACCTACTACCTACTACATATACTTCGTAGTATTCTTTTTCCATATATGTTGCTTAAGATGCGCGATGGCGCGGCCTTGTGAGCGGATGTATCTTTGCGCAGCGGATTGGCGCTCATCAATGCTTTTCTGACACTGGAAGAGTCTACCGATTGGAGCGCCACAAAGTCGCATCTCACTCGCCTTACTCGGGGTACTGTACGACTATACATACATACCTACATCGCGGAACGAGGGTAACGACGAGAAAGGAATGAATAGGGGCTATCACTCTTTTTTCTCTCACCCACTAACACACCTATGTAGGTGCTTAGGCACCCGTGTTGTTAGTGGTGCTGTTAGTGATCCTTGCTTGCCTAAGCTGCTGGTCTTAGCAGCCATCTCATACGATTGAAATCCCTAGGTGAGGCTAGTGCGCTAGCAAACTGGTTCAGCCCAGAGACAATTCAGCGAGTCGCAGCGATTGCCTAGCTAGAAGCTAACCCGAAAGGAGTCGGGGACACATAAATAGTACATCCCATGGTACATTTACAAGACGCTGCCTAGGTGGCTTGATGCACGGGTCTCGACTGATAGGTCTGGCAGGTCTGGGGGGTTACTGGTACTGGTACTGGTACTGATACTGAAAGTATGGTACCTATTAAGGCCTGCAGCAAAGAGCAAACGATATGCTGGACGCTGTATGCTGGATACTACTAGGTACTGACGGTGCTGGATGCTAGATGTTGGACATTGGCAGGCTGGATGGATGAACCAGGATGGAAATCCAAATTCAATGTTCAGCAACAACTCCCCCGGGGGGGCGTTGAATCGCGACCCCATGGCTGGACTCGCTTAGACACCATCCACTCTAGCCTCAGACCAATCAGATTTAGTCGACCTCTTGGCCCTCGCACGTTCTTTCTCGTGCACCCATTGCTCCCCGGCGTCCCCCCCAGTTCTGCGTTCTGCCAGTGTCGTGCTGATCCTGACCCTCTGGTTCTTTTCTCCCGCCTTTTCCCTCTCACTGCGCTCCTGCGCTCCAGCGCTGCCCTTTATTCTCCACCCTGCAACTCGCACTCTATTATTACCCACTATCCTATCGATTCTCATCGATTCCCACCCACAGTGTCCTATCCCAAGGTATCCTCTCAATCAATGGGATACCACAAAAACCGATCGAGACCCTCAACATCGACATCGAAACACGAAATAGCAACCGACAACGCTGGTTTGACGTCGAAACACCATTACCATGGCGATAGCCATGGGCTGGCACAAACCCGATAATGTCGCCGGCTCTTCGGCCCCGGCCATCATGGTCGGTCTTTTTGTTGCAACAGGTGGTCTCTTATTTGGATACGATACAGGGTGAGCAACGACGACATGACCCTTTTCCGTCCCGCCCGATCGCGTTTAAATGGCTTGGATGTATTGGATGGAATTAGGTTCGCGGCGCGATATGCTAACTTGATGATTTTTAAAGAACTATAAATGGCATCCTCGCTATGGAGTCATTCAAGAGCCAATTCAACACCGGCTATCGAGACGACCACGGCGAACTAGAAATATCACCCTCCCAGACTTCCATCATTGTCGCTATCCTAAGTGCCGGAACTGTCGCCGGCGCACTCTTCGCAGCCCCGTTAGGTGATTGGATAGGCCGTCGAATATCGATTATCGGTTCCATTTGCGTTTTCAGTTTCGGCGTCATATTTCAGGTCTGCGCCGATGCTATTCCGATGTTGTTAGCGGGGAGGTAAGTCTACACAATTGATTTCTTCGATATGATCTGCCGGATCTTTGATGTTGATGACGACATATAGGTTTTTCGCTGGTGTTGGTGTTGGATCCGTATCCGTTCTCGTTCCTTTATATCAATCTGAGATGGCTCCGAAATGGATTCGTGGTACGTTGGTTTGCGCATATCAACTTTCGATAACGTTTGGTCTATTGGCGGCATCTATCATCAACCTCATAACTCAGAAAATGGCTGGCCCGGCTGCCTATCGGATTCCTATGGGTCTACAACTCACATGGGCCTGTGTACTTTGTCTTGGTCTAATCGTCTTGCCCGAAACACCACGATTTCTCATCAAGAAAGGCGACAAACATGCCGCCGGCCTGGCTCTCAGCCGCCTTCGTCGTCTCGATATTACTCATCCTGCCCTCGTCGAAGAACTTGCCGAAATCGAAGCGAACCACGATTATGAACTCGCTCTGGGACCCGCGTCGTACCGCGATATTTTCATCGGATCACCTCATCTCGGCCGCCGAACGTTGACCGGCTGTGGTCTCCAGATGCTCCAACAGCTCACTGGCATCAACTTCATCATGTATTACGGAACCACTTTTTTTACTAGTGCAGGTGTTTCGGATCCCTTCTTGATATCTCTCGTTATGAATGTCATCAACGTCATCTCGACAATCCCCGGATTGTTCGTTGTGGAAACTTGGGGCCGTCGAAAATTGCTCATCGTTGGTGCGCTGGGCATGGCATGCTGCCAATTAATTATTGCGATATTTTCAACAGTAGCGAGCGACTCACAGAGCCAGTTGGTTGCCAAACTTCTCATCGTCTTCGTCTCCCTATTCGTTTTCTTCTACGCAGCCTCATGGGGTCCGGTTGCTTGGGTCGTCACTTCAGAAATATTCCCTCTTAAGATTCGCGCAAAATCCATGTCGGTCTCGACGGCGTCTAACTGGTTATTGAACTTTGGAATCGCCTATGGAACGCCGTTTATGGTAGAGGAAGGGACTGGTTATGCCGCTCTGGGGGCTAAGGTGTTCTACGTATGGGGAGCGTTCTGTATTCTTGCAGCCATCTTTGTATACGGCATGATTTACGAAACAAGCAAGATCAGTCTGGAGCAGATCGACGAGATGTATGAACGTGTGGCCTTTGCATGGAAGAGCAAGGACTTCGAACCGAGTTGGAGCTTCCAACAACTACGCGACGACGGATTCGCGGATAGCGGCATCCCTCCGCCGGAACACGAACTACAGGCGTCCCGGACGACTACGACTACTAGCGAGAGTGTACAGACGATACATACAGAATCTAGCCCGAGCGAGAGCCAATCAGAAGAGGATAAGATAATCAATGAATTGGGTATGGGTAATGTTGACTTCAGCTACTAAGCCAGGATCTGCTTTTTTTCTCTTCCCGACAGTCACATCACGACCGCTCATGTCTTTGGCTATTTTTGCAACCTCCCCTCTAGAAAAGGAGGCGTGAAGGTTTTCTGTTCTTTGGCGTCATATCGGATATATCAGCGTAGGAGTTCAACGCGACGGAGTTTACGGCAACTGGGGAACATTGGAATACCGGGGAAATCATTCACACTTTTGGAATTTTTAGGATAACGGCGACTTTTTTCGGTTTGGCGACGGTGGCGGCACCACGGGCGGCATCTCATCTACGATCAGGTGACATCACTTGGGAACAACAATACCGGTTCACACAACACACACATACACATATATTCTGGGCACAATACGGCGATCGCCTTAAAAAGAAAAGGCATAAGGCGTATCGCTACGGGAGCCGCAACAGGCCTACCTTACTCCACCCCTTTTTTCTCCCTACCTACCTAGTATAGGAGCTCATCATCATTACTCACCATCACCATCCTGGATCTTTATCCGCGCCACCGCCGCTGTGTCGTAGTAGCAACCCCGATCTACGGCTACATCACATTACCAGCGATCTCCCGAGGGAGGGAGATCTGAGCTTAACTCTTTCTGCTGTCGTATTCACCCCCTGAGGCTTGGATAGATAGATAGGCGGTCGTGTTCGTCTGTCCGTTCACGCCTGGCGAATCAAAAAAGTTTAAACGTTCCAATTTCTTTTCTCTGTCTCTTGCTTAGGGAGTTTTCTGTACATGCGTGCCTAGATGTCTACTGGTTACTTAGTGGGTATGGATCGATGTAGGTACTCGGTGATTTGGCGAATGTGCTTGCATGCTGCTAACCTGGTACTATGTAATTACCGTCTGTACATGAATCACCTCTAGCTTGTGTAGGGCTACTGCTCCGCTCTTCGTATATCGTTCCATAGACATGTGTTTCGAGACGCTTTAGCGAAAGGCTAGTACGGGTGATTTTCATCTTGTTATTCCTTACGTAGGTGCGTGTGTATGGATTGAGTATAGAGCATGGAGCATGTACGCATGTATGTAGAAAGACGGACAGACAGGATGCAGACAGGCGAGACGTACGTGTGCGCATGCACGCCGGTAGTGCTCTCTCCAGGGCCCTTCTAAGCGAGGTTGTCAAAATTTTTCTCGTGACAGTGTCCGGACTGACTACCTATACCTAGTCTCTTTCCTGGACGACGCTGCATATGGTATAGGGTTAGGAGAAGCTTGTTTCCCCAGACCCCGGAATCGCGGAATTATCCATCCATACATATCTACGAGGTGGGAGGGTAAGGTATGGGATGTCTGCGCTATAGAATTGAAGGGCCGTACTTAGCTGCTAGCATCGATTCTGGATTCTAGGGTGGCTATGCACGAGATGTGTACCTGGTGTGGTTATGGTATGGTATGTTATGCAGGTTGCTAGGAGCTCCGGAGGTTTAGACATGTGCTATACGCTATACGCAGGTATACAATATACCTACCTAGGTATCTACCAACCTACCTATGGAGTATAGTGAGTAGTAACTAGTACATGGCTAGACTCGTAGCTAGATCTCCAAACTACCAAGGAAGCAGAGGCTGAGATCGCTCGTGCGAGAGGTCGAAAGAGAGCAAAGTGGAGATCACGCGCGCGACACCGCTGACATATGCACATATGTAACTAGACCAAGCGAAGGAAATGGCACGAGCTGAGAGGCTGAGGAATCCGGGTTGGTGGACTTAGTGCGAGGCAAGGGGGAGGGCACCGAACTACTCCCGCGGTCAGACCGACGGACCCTGGAGACGGGTACTTGTGCCTCACGCCATTTTTGCGTGCGGGAGGTTGTATATTCTGGGGTGAGTAGGTAGGTAGGTAATCTGATGCGAGTGCCTACATAGGTAGTAAATCTCCTAGACTTGAAGCGATTTATTTTCCCTAATTTTTCATGTGAGTATTGAAAAAGATGGAGGACTAAGATCGAATAGTACCTAGTCTCCATGCGCCCAAGTGGACGACTATAGCCTCCCCATACTATACTATCCACATGCGCTAAGCTTCACATCTGATACCTCGGATTACTAACCACCCAACCCCATACCCCAAGCCCAAGTCCTATATCAACGCCCGCCCAAGCCCTCATATAGGGACCCAAGGGCCGGGTTGGCATACAAACCGTAGTAGGATCGGCCGTCGAGCTCCCCAAATACGGGCCGCGTCGGAGTAGGGAAGGCGGAGTTGGAGGCTCGACGTTGGAGCGTTCGCCACGGGATACCCCATACCTTTTACCCCAGCCCGTGGCCCGGTGCTGTACCCCATAAACCGCAACTCTGGTACAGAACGCGGCTCTCTGTATCCCTACTTTCACACAATACCTATATCGCAGTAAAAAGACACTACATATTATATCCTTACCCAGGTAAACAAAAGAATAATAAAACGAAGCAATATACCAAGACAGGCACTCAGCACAAGGGTACATAAAATCCCGACACCCAGGACTCAACGAATCCCCACACGCCAAACATAAAACATAAAACAAGCAGCGCAAAACGCGATTCGATTCGTGGTATATTAAACATCCGTCCACCCACCCCTTACCTTACCCTGCCGTGCCCAGCCTCGCCATGCATCCCGCCTCGTGTCTCGCCTAACCATTAATTTACACAAGGCTCGACACTTACTTACTTCCTCGCTCGCTAACTCTACGGCACGAAGCGTAGTGCATACGCATACATACATATATGCGCGCTGCACATGTACGTACGTATGTACCTAGGCATGCATGTGTATTATACAGAACACAGTAAACCAGACCAAACCCGGACCCCAACCCATTTCGTCTCATCCCGTTACCCGTCCGGGCCGATCGAGCAAGACCGATCGTTAGTTCTCCCCCCATTCGGTCGATCGGCCAAGATCCCCATCTCGCTTACTCTCTGCCGGTCGTATGTCATATGCTGTCTTATGTTCATCTCGTTCCGAATCGGTAGCCTAGCCCGGCGCTTGCTTACGACGATGAAGAGATGGTTTATCGCCACCTATGTCATTTTCACCGGTGGTACCATTAAGAGTGGCGGAGTAGTAAGTGGTGAATCGATCCCCCTTTCTTTTCATATCCTTTTCCAACCCCCCGAAATTTTATACGCGATCGCGCTTGGTTCAGTAGTCGATCTTCATCCCTTATATGTGAGGTAGGCGAAGAACAGCAGCACCATCCAGGCGACTCTCCAGCTCGTCGTCCATATCTCTGTGCCGACCACGCCTATCCTGCTCCTCGACCGAGACGCCGGTTTCCACGCGCCATTCTTATCGTCGTAGTACGAGTCTCTCCTGATCTCAATCCGCGGTCCCCTATTCTGGCCCCATCCCCATTTTCCCGGGCCAACTTTGCCCTTGCTGTTGGGTGATGGCGCTCGTACTTGTGGGTTGAGTGCGCTTGAGATGGACTGGCCTCGTGTCCTTGCAGACGATACGCGGGCCGACGGGAGTTTAGTTGAAGATGTCCAGGGAGAGCCGGACTTCGCATCGTAAGGGCCCTCGTCGTTTTCGGCCTTAGCCTTAAAAATCGGAAGAATGGCCGATGACGAGCGTTGATCGGGGTCCAGAGCAAACGGCTGGAAATTAAGAGTAGAAACGAGAAATGCTCGCGCTATTAATATTAAAACAGTCAAGATCCCTAAAACAGCGTATGTCATATACGTCGAGAGTTGTGTAGGGAGTAGGCAGAGGTGAGTCTGCAACGTAGTCTTTGGCGATCCTGGGATGGGATTTCCTTGGTCGTCGATTGGGTTGAATAGAGAAACCATCTGGAACCCCGGTGTCGGCACTCCCATGGCCATACTGATACTCTTGACCGTAATCTCCCGAACGTTTTCTTGGTCCGGCGTATGTACAAGTTCACAATAATCGTGGTCGTCTCCGGAAAATGCGTGTGTAACATTACCGATGCTCTTAATTAGATTAATTGAATCCTCTAGGCTCAGAACATTCTGATACTGATATCCACCTGAGACGCTGATGGCATTCCGATGATCTGGGATAACCGGCCAAGTTTGCCCCTTAGGTGGTTTCGTCGGAGGCCAGTGCTCTCGCATCGGTCCGCAGGGTGTTCCCGGATCTCTCCATAGCGGTACGTGCGTCAAAAGAACCGTTGGGAAATCAGGCGCCTTTTCTCCTAGGTCTAACGTTGGCAGATTACTGTAGTCAGCAGTGCTGAGCTCCTCAACCTTTTGCTCAAAAGGTACTTCTTCAACATCTCCCCTCCAGAATCGCACTTCTTTTTGAACAGCCCTTCGCTTCGTCGCCTTGACCTCTTTCAAGAACTCTTGAGCAGGACCGTAGATGGGTTGCAAATCAATTCGATCCTTCATATCTGACGTATCAGCACTTAGAGACAATGTATCCACCGATACAAAGGTGTGGTTTCCGATCACATCAACTCTGTTCACCTCTCCAAAATATGTGGCGAATCGATGTCTTGCAGGAATCTTGACCTCGGCTCCAAAACCCAAATCGTGATTTCCGGGTAGACTCGATATCAGTTTTCGTCCTCGCTGGCCCGGACTCGGGGTATAACCTGCAAGCTTCCAATTTTCGAAGAATATGTCGCCGAACCTCATGTATTCTTGAAGCCAAAATTCTTGGCCATATTTCCTATGCCACTCTTTCAGATATTTCTTCTCTTCCGCCGGCCTGTGATCTTTCGCCCACTCGGGATCGTCGAAGTTTCCGTGCGCCGTCTTCCACTCTCTCCCACCGTCGAAAAGGTCGCCTAGGAAGAATACGGTGTCTGGTTGTAGCTGTTTCTGTAATTGTGTGTATGACCGTCGCATATAGTTATCGGTTATAATGACGGTTAAGGGGTCGAGGGGCCAGGGACGGCCGGGGTACGAGTGAGGATCGATGATTTGAGGGTCGGCGACGAATATTAGTCGATGCGGTGTTGCTCCAGCGGGCTGTGGTGTAATAGGAATATGTCAATATATCATCGTTCCACATCCCCCAAACTAAGTCCGGAGCTCGTAAGGTTGTCCAGAGCCCAAAAAACTCACCCAATCTTCCCAATGGTCCCAGTCGCAGCTCCGTACCCGACTCGCGAATATCCATCGCTCACCCCAGAGCATAACAAGCATCCAAAACACCACAAGAGCGTGTGGGAAGCTGAGAAGGCGCCGTCGCGTCATATTCTTCCTGATCTGTTGTCCCCCTCTCACTGCCAAGCCCCAAGCCGTATGTCGACCTCGTCCATTCGCGTACCCCCATGCTCGCCCCAACATATTCCTACTACTAGCATATATGTCGTCGCAGATGGATTGGAAATCACCGCCATAATTGTCGTCGTAGGAACTGTTGAGGGCTGTGACGTAGGCGTTGCTATAAGGCGCCATGGCGTTCGATGCGGGTAGCCATATGAGGTAAGGTAGCTTAGCTTAAACGCTGGTTCGTATGGATGTAGGTCTCTCTTTTTTTGGTTCCAGGGGTTTAATCGTCGGGGGTATGTCTTCGAATAGGTAAGAAAATAAAACACCAAGAAACGTGAGACCGTTTCTAGAAATGTGTCAGGACGTTGAGATGTTGAAAGTCAAAAGGTGTTAAGGTGCTAGGTAATTAGGTTACTACTTAGTAGTTGAAGAATATTGAACGGACATCGCAAGACGAGCTGGAGAGACCCTTACTTGGGTAGCGTTGTGTCACCTAATTACCTTAATTGGCTTAAAATGGCACGCTATAACTTTATTTTTTTCTGTCGGAACTGACAACTCGGCGCACACACGCGTCCCCTTTCCGCACGTACCACAAGTACCACGGTCTATTTTAGTGCCGGACTCCGGTTGTGTGCTCTTATCAGAGCCTATGCCGTTGCTATCTAAATTATTGTGTAACTCCCCGTACTTCAACTTGTTTTCCATACGTTTATACCTGAATATCTGAACACTCGAGTTTCAAGATTCTTAGTCCAAAGAACCAAGCTTTTTTAATTGTCTCAATACTACCTAGTAGGTATTTGGAATGGTTAAAATGGCTACTAATCCAGATCTTTAAAGAAATAATTCCATCCTACCTAATCTACGGGAGAAAGTTAAGACATGATAGGTCGTATTAGTTGAAACATTGTCTTAGAGAATCGTATCCATGGTTCTAGATGTCTTAGGTATGCAAGGGAGACTGACGAGCTCTTAGTAATCTCAGTGTAGAGCATGTTCACAACGCAGTCACGATCCCACGCATATACAAAAGAAACAAGATTAGGTAAACGAAGGTCGAGAAGGTCTATAGATGACGTGACAACAACACGATCATGCTCAGATATACACAGTAAGTTCGAAGTGGATATCGTATATCCACTTCATCTAACGAATCAAATATCATATTTCAAACTGTTCACGAGCGATAATATGGCATATATATTAAAAGCTCGTGTATTCTCTATAGAGAAGTAATTATATTCGTATGCGATTACTTGTTCAAGCCTAGAAGCTTGGCGATTAAAGGAGTGTACCAGCGACCCGATATCTCTTATATGTTTCAATGAGCCCGGTTGCACTTTTGATACAGCGCAACCCGGGCGGGGATCTTAGTAAATTGGGAATATACCATTAGTGCCCATACGCCAAATCGCCGATTATGATATCAAACCCAACGAGGATCCATATATGCCAATGCAGGTTCATAGCGCTCCTGCTAAGCGCATAAAGAACGAATTAAATAAGATACGCATGTTTAGGGTGTTGTTTATCTTTGGAAAAGATGGGAAGAGATCGGGATTAAAAAGTCCAAGTGAATGATTCCTTGACTTCGAACGGGACAGAGTGCCTAGATGTTAGGGCGATGATTGTCAGTCTCCATCAACGGGATAGGTAGGTCGTAAGGGGATGAACATTAAGCGAGGAGCGGGGGTTACTCACCTGATATCAATCGCTGACGCCCCTATCAGCACCTTAAATGTGCCCTCTTCTGCGATCCATGCCGGTACCGAGTCATCATAGTATCCCACCGCATACTTATCCAATGCAACGATGATGTGTTTGGTTTCTTCCGGTTCCAACGACACCTTCTCGAATGCTACCAGTTCTTTTTCGGGCCGAGGTAGTCTCGACTTGTCATCTCTGACGTATATCTGAATCGTCTCCGAGCCGGCGACTTTACCGGTATTAGTGACTGCCATGATCAGATGGATCGGTGCCGTTTCTGTTAGTGTCTTCCGGCTAAGTGACGGCCGGCCGTATTCGAATGTTGTGTATGAAAGCCCATGGCCGAATGGGAAAAGGGGTTCAATGCCTGCGCGGTCGTAGTGCCTGTATCCAATATGCAGGCCTTCGCCGTACAGGACACGCAGATTCTCTCCGGGCCAGTTGTGGTATGCAGGCGTGTCCTCGAGACGTCGAGGGAACGTTGTCTACCATGATTAGCTGATGTTGGTAATTCGAATACAAAGAATCCTGTCACTTACTGGTAGTTTGCCGCTGGGATTCCGTATACCAAACAAGACATCTGCCAACGCATTACCGGCTTCTTGGCCTTGGTACCAGGCTTGAATAATGGTCGGCACCCTGTCTGCCCATGGCATTGTCACAGGTGAGCCGGATTGGTTAACAACCACTGTTCGAGGATTAGCCTTCACGATAGCTTCGATTAGTCGATCCTGGCTTCCATCTGCAGGTAGATCCATCGTCTTTCTGTCGTAACCCTCAGATTCCCATTCGGCATCAAGTCCAACAATGACGATAGCGACGTCGGCGTCTCTTGCCACATCTACAGCTTGTTGGAGGTAGTCGACCTGATCTTCCTCCTTGAAACCAATGCGGCAGCCACCATACTTATGTGTCATATTGAAGGTCTTCTGCTTGGCAATCGGCCGAAGCTCGTTGGTCATCTCCACTCTTAGTTCGACCGGAGTCCCGGCTTGCATCTCCACATTGACCATATAGTCGATTGAGCCGTCAAACATCGCCTCGCCTTCTTCCGTCCAGTCCCAGAGATCGAGGGCCAAGTTTCCATCAACGTATAGTCTTCCAGGGCCGACGCTCATGAAACTAATCGTGTGTTTTCCGTTGGCCGTTGGCGTTATATAAGTTGTTGCAATGGCTGACCATTCCGGGCCAAGTTGACTTAGCGGTGCAGAGTCCCACAAGAAGAGGTCGGTGTTGGTTCTTCTCTGTGTGACGACGACATCACCCTGGAATTTATCGCCGCTAAACCATTCGAGAGTGATGCCTTGCTCGCCCGATTTATCGGTGCAGAAAGGAGACGCGACTGGAAGCCATTTATGAATATGACATCCTTGGGCGTATACAACTTCTTGCTGTGCGGCTTCTCTAATGCTATCGAGCGGGAGTGTATTGTAATACGGGTTGAGACTGGCGCTTCCACCGCCCCCGGCGATGGCTCGGTTAGCATTAGGACCAATAACAGCAACTTTGGTGGTCACGGGATCGAGCGGCAGGATCTGCCCTTCGTTCTTCAATAATGTTAACCCCTCGGCCCCTAGCTCCCGGATCAAAACTCTCGTTTCCTCCCGGTCATCCTCACGTTCAGCTTCTTCGGCTGACATGTCGTCTCCTTTTGTGCGTTCTACGAGGGTCAAGACATTTTCCGCTGCAATATCTATGTCATCCCTCGTAAGTCGCCCCTCGTCAATAGCTTTCAAGGTTTTCTCAAAGCGCCATTTAGACGAGAAGGGAAATTCTATATCACATCCCGCTTTTATGGACTCGACGGTGGAGTTGACGCCGCCCCAATCTGACATTACGGTGCTAAGGCGCAACCATTAATCATTTATCTCATGTTTGAAAAGGGGTGGGTTACCTACCCATCGTATCCCCATTCCCCTCGGAGGATGTCCTTAAGTGTATGGATGTTCATGTCAGCATGGACTCCATTGACCAGGTTATATGAAGACATCACGGCCCATGGGTTGGCTTCTCGTATGGCAATCTCGAAAGGGCGGAGGTATATTTCCCTTAGGGGTCGTTCCATCGTCACCGAATCGACGGTGAGCCGGTTAGTTTCTTGTTCATTCGCCACAAAATCTACATCACCATCAGCCGATGTCTTAAATAGTAGTAAGGGGGTAATGCGAACGCTTAATGGTCGCAGCAATTCCTTTGGACTGAAGGCCTTGAATGTACTTCGAGGCGAGTTTGCCAGTGAGGAGCGGGTCTTCCGAGAATGATTCGAAGTTTCGGCCCCCCAGAGGGTGGCGATGCATGCAAACTGTAGGAGCGAGTAGTACATTGCCGGACCTAGCCTTGACCTCGTTGGCTAAGTGTTGCCCAACAGTATATAAAAGGTCTTTATTCCAAGTGGCTGCCAGCGAGATACCACATGGGAACAAAGCTGCCTAAACAGAAACGGTTATCGATGGGGTTTTGGGAGCTTGGGATCTGCTAGGTACCAACCTTGGTACCTCCGACAAAGATGCCTCCTCGAGCGCCGTTAGGGCCATCACTCGTTTTGATAGCTGGAATACCTTTGGCGGGTATTCCCTTCGTTCTCCAGAAATCCGCGGCCGTGAGTAGGGAGACCTTAGTGGGCTAGTAAGAAATATGACCACGCTTAATTTTCTAGACCGCATACCTTTTCCTCGAGAGTCAGCCGGGCAAGTTTCTCTCTCGCCTGAGATCGACAATCGTTAAGAATAGCGGTCTTCCGAATTGGACTGCTGGGAGGAGAGAATTCGGTATCGGGAGTTGTGTTGCTGCCGACGCTCTCGAAAGGAGAGGCACTGGGGTCTATCCCATCGAATTGCGCGTCATCGATATGCTCCATGGTTGAATAATGGCTTGCCATGCCCCTTATAATTAGTCCTTCCGGAGGAAATGGGCGTATACGATCAACAACGAGCTCTGCTCTCTTAGAATTACGGAGCCAATTGCAAGATTGATATTAGCAAATACGACTGCGATAATTCAACACGCGTGAGAATATTGTTCTGTCGAAAGAAAGCCTTATAGGGCAAAGCAAAGCTCTCAAACGAACCCGGTCCCAAGATAACCTGTTACTCCACAACGATAGGAGTGATATTGAGGTTATAAGTTAAGCACGACTTCAATGCCAGATGCCAAGGTCGAAGTGGTCTTTCTTATGTATCAACAAGAGAGTAGAAAATACAACCTCATAGCTGAGATGATGACGGTTATCTATCAAAATGCATGATGAAGAACTTCGGTACATACACCGAAGCAGGGGAACGGAACCCAAACAGCGTTATGCAGGACCAAATTGGCCAAGAGGAGGATACGGTACTTCCTATAACGGATATCTTAGGGCTCTTGCATAGAGGTTTATGAGGCCGATGAAGGATCGACATGTTATCAAGCGTTACTAAGTCTCGATCAAAGGCAGATGCCGCGAAGCCGCCGAGGAGTGAGGAGTGGAGATAGATTGTGCGCCCCGGAATTCGAAGACATCTCTGGGTAGCCTTTAGTGCAACCATTGTCACTTGACAAGTCCGCCTGAGAGGACGCTATATTGATGGTCCCAACTAGGAAATACCCACATCGGCAGGAACGGACCGGAGCAGCGTTGTTTCAGGGTACTGAGGAGAAAAGACGAAACAAATTCCACGCCCACGCTGGAATCGCACGAGGAGAGTGGGGGGTCCGCTACGGGAAGTCTTATCCAGTCGGACGGGGAATACGGGGGGAGCAAGGGTCGATCTAGCAGGCGAGGCGGTCTAGTGAGTTAAGAGTACTGATGGATCCCAGCAAACAGATCACGAACTGAAAAAAGTGTGGAGTAGACACAGGTGAGGTTCCTAGTAACCTAGTTACATCCTCTCTTTGGCACGATACGGAAACACGACTGCAATTCTGATTAGCTGGTGTATAGTGTATACCGTGGTAGAGTGGCTGTATATTAGGAAGATCCACGACCGAGGGAACTTATCAGTAGTGACCCTCCTCTATTACATGATATATATTCATTGGGTCTTGTACCGCTGTCCTGGCTGCGTGAGCTGTATGGTGAACAAGATGTCACCTCACCTCTGGCCCAGATTTGAAAAGGATTTGGCCGTGAGGAAGGCCAGCAGAGAAGAGGCATACGGAGTTGAAGGCGATTTGAGAGCGAATCAGATAACCCTGAGCTTCGGAGACGCTAATGTAGATGTGACTCTCTTTAGACAGAGTAGAGTATTGGCATCTACAAAACCGCCGCTCTGTCCAAATCCAGCTCGGGTGCCGGCAAGCTCTCGTTATACACTACCGAAGGGTCTAATTGTATCAATAATTGGCGCAGGGTATGTATGTCTTCCGCTGACCCGGTTTTGTACGATCCGTACGATGTTTGCTGTGTGTACTTGCTAAAGTACTATGCGAAGCATACAAGTGTACCGAATTATCGCACAAATGTCAAACCATTGCAGATCAAATTGTTTCTCAGAGCTGAATTTTGAATTTCCAGGAATTCAATTGAGTCAAGAAGACCCAGCATTGATTGTCGCATAGTGCGTCGAAGATCCTGTGGTTCAGGTATTAGGTAGCGGGCTGCATGTAAGTGATCGTGCATAGGTTCAAGGAAGGGATTTCTAGGTTAGGAAAATATCTGAGAGGGTTTACCAATCGCTGTTGGTGCTTCTTTCGCTAAGAGAAAAACAGGGTCCGGGTCCACTCTTAAGGGTCCCGATTAACGCGTCGGATTTACGGGCCGTGACGACATATGGTCGGGAAAAGTTAGGATAGAAGCGCCGGTCAACCAATAACAATCTCGTCTCAGCTAAACCTTATTTCCGCAATCGAACAATCTCTCTCAATTTTTGAGACATGTCGGACAAATTCTCAACTTTTGCACATTTCAATATCCTAATCTGGGTCGACAGCTTCTCATCTTATTAGGGCCCCTACAGACACGCGATAACCAAATTTATCGTCATTTCCACGTGATACCCATACCATGGTTCGGTCCCGATATGCAAACAGCCTCCTACGTGCTCCTTTCTCTCGGATATCAAAAACCGACTTCGGTGCTTACGGTGGAAACTATTTCCATCAACCAGTCTGCCAGCTCGGTTCTGTTCAACTATAGACCTCGAAGAATCTAGGTACACATGGTATGTAGGTACTAAGCCATTACACGTATCGAATATGCCTGAGGAGAATCTCCAAGTCTCGTTAAACCAAGTCCGTTTCTATATGGACCTACTTACCAATGGCCATTCAAGGATATCCATCAATATGAATAATCAATCTGAGAATATCTCACCTAGGTGTACAAGAAAATTCACCTTGCTAAAATTCGATACCCCTATCGAAGGAAGTCTTGGCGGTTCCTGACACTATCAGTTTGGCCTGCAAGACAAAAAAAAAATTCCTGTGGCTTGAATAAATGAATCTAGGGCCACGAATGATTACCCGAATTCCCGGGCGCTCAAGATCGCTACGGTGTATTACAATGTATCGTCGCGTATCGGAAATGGGATTGCTTGCTACCCAGCTGGTACTCTAGGTCGCTACATTCTGTACGATACCTATTCAATCGAGACGAGTAATAGCAGGTTATGATGAAGTCTAGATTACTGTTAAAGAATTTCTAGGAAGTAGGCTAACCGCTCAGCCGCCTTACGATATCATGACGCAACCCGCGCCGAGATCCGCCTTGGGGCTACAAAGTTGAATCCGACGCTCCTCGGCGGCCCGTCTGGCCAACTTTCGATCTCCGACAGATCAACCTTTCAAACTTTCCCCCCTTTCTTGTCATATTGCTGCCATTTTTTATTCGGATTTTTGTTTTCGTTTCCCGTTTTAATTCCAAAAAATCTATTCGACCACGCACTCTTCAAGATATTGAGGTAAGCCGTCCTTTTCTCACGCTTGATTTACTACTCATTCATTTTCAAGAAGCACCTATGATAGTAGTAGTCACCATGCGATATACAATATAAATGGAGAGCCTGAATGCATATGAAATCGTTTTACTAACTGCTTGGCCGCAAAGCTTGGTCTACCATGAGCTGCGGTCTAGACTCAATGATCGTATTCTTTTAGCTGATCAAAATCATTCCTGGTTTACTTAATCAAGCAATAAGTTTGTCGAATTATAGCTGTCATTTCGGATAATACCGAGATCAGAACTAAATCCAGTGAAAACGAGACCCCGGCGAGGTTCCTTACGTTCCAGAGAGAGTTCGGAACCTTAGCACTCTTGTATGCGTCGACGTCTTCGCATTAGTACCGTTGCTTTGATCGACTTGGCTTCGGCATATGGCATATATTTGAAACAGGTCAGTAGATGCACAGATGGGTTCCAGAAACAAGTTTAGTCGTTGCGATTCTCGATCGTACAGTGGGCCAACACGACCACGAACCCGGCACCGTTCACATCGCCATGCAGGAGAGCAAGGAGTGGGGCTGATCGACCTTCCATCCGGTACACAGTACCACTGTTCCTTCTTCTTAGGCTCGGCCAGAAGATAACCGAGCTGACAGTCGAACGAGGCTCAACTCAAAAAATTCCGAGAGCAGAAAGTCAGTCTTGCCATGGGCCGCGAAGCCGGTCGCGATCACCTCGGTACATCCGACCGAATTCATTCTTAATTCCCCCTTGACATCGTTATCTTGATCTGGCAACCTTCTAATGCTCATCATCAAGCTTGTGTAAACCGGTATCAAATCGGGACCGGATTGGCCCGGAAGTTACCATGGGGGACGTACCCACGGGCCACCCCCCAACGGGCCACCCCATCTCTCACCAAAACACCTTGTTTTCACTTACACCAGGATCAATCAATAATAAATCTATTTAGACAAGGGCCTATTCACATATAGTTTCGAAGGCGAGCTATATGATGATACTTTTCTGTAATCTATACGATTATTATGGAACGAGTTATGGGGTTACAAAATAATGGACCAAAAAGCGATTTCCTAAAATTTCCCAGATTTTCACCCTAGCGAAGACTTCAACCTATTATACAACATATAAACACTATTACAATTAGATTTTTTAGTAGTATAATATTCTAAGGATTAGCTATCTAATGATATAGCTTATATTATTATAGATGATGTTGTTGTTTAGATATGAGCTTGAGTATGTATTGCTCTTCCTCGAACTTCGAGAGCTCGGATCAAAAGCTGGCCTACCCTCAAAACAACCCGTACGCCTTCAAAATAAAAACTACAACTACTTAATCGACTCTAGGCTTCAATTACGAAGTCTTATAAATATTTAATATGATTATAATAATAAGATCGGAGGAGATCAGGTTCTTGGGGGTCTGGCTAAAGGTTTTAGGGGGAAAGGTCCCTAATTCAAGCGCTAAAAATTTAAGAATTAGTGAGATACTAGGTAAATTATACATGACATTACTTTGGTCCCGACTTTATCACCATTGAAACGGCCGCGCACATAGAAAAATATATCTTCTGATTCAGCTTTCAAAGATCTTTCGATTAGTTTTATTTATATAATTCCACATATTTTCTTGATTTAAATATAAATATTCAAAGATAAGGTGTTTTGGTGGGAGATAGGGTGGCCCGTGGGGGGGTGGCCCGTGGGTGCGTCCCCCATGGTATATCCGTGGCCTGCCACTCAATCTATTCTACCTGTAGCCTGCATATTGTGGCTGAAGAGGCGTACGCGACTCCTACCGGATAGGTCTCGCTAAATTCTACAACCCTTGGGGGTCACATTCAAAGCTCGATCGGTTCGCTGACCGACTAATTGTGCCGTCCGTAGTTCGGGCTTAAGAGTCTTTGAACTTCTCGCGCCACGTGGTGCTTATCAATCTTATCCCAACGTCTTATGGCCCTTAATACAAATATTAGGACTCGCCGATATGGATCAGATATAGAAGAATCATTCGACATTACGGTGAAAAGTCTTCGTCCAAAAGGGGCCAAGTACATGCGGGAACGGTTTTGATAACCATATATGAGATTCGGAAGCAGTATATCAGAATTGCCTTGGCACTCGCCGGCTGACCTATCCGGTGCTGAGGTATCCTCCAAGCAGATATCCCTAGATGAAATGGGGATGTCCTCATCGCTCGTTCTTAATAGAGGTCTATTTGCGCAGTCAAGTCCATTGCAACAACAAGAATCAGACGTCGGATATCCCTACATCGGGAACCTCCTTTCCGTTTTCTTACTACGCGTCCACAATCAGGTTGTTTTTGTCTTGGACTTGCTATGTCTGGGGATACCAATATATGCTTGTCCAAGGCCTTGCGTTATCCGGTGGGTTTGGATGGACCTTAGCGACTCTGTTATTTTTTCAAGGAGTGCGGAGTTTTCTAACTGGCTAGCATGCTTTGTTGTGTATGCCGGCGGCTGATGCTCCCTGGGTGCAGCTCTTGGCCAACCTCCTCTACTTCGTTGTTTCTATTGACACGCCACGGCATCCGTCGCGTATTGTCTGACTAGCACTCAACTCCAAGCTTAAACCCCCACGGCAACTCGGGAAGGCTAGGGGTTACACTACTTCGAGTGACCACATCACAGATCTTCGCGATGCCTACATCAGCATTACGGAATCGAAACATTATAGGTATAATTCCTGAGGTAGGAAGTTTATTATGCGGTGAATCTGTTTCGCAATCAGGAACATCTGGCCGTCGGTCGCCACTGCCTTCTGTTATTTTAAATTATCGATCTTTGACTCAGCCAATATGTTCTCTATTTTCGCCTTTAAGGGGCCTAGAGAAACATATCGAGATCAAAGGTTGATGGAATGTGAATTATGAACAGGCTTGACATATGGTAAAGATAGATGATGTCCATTTTCGCGTGGAGGTATCGTCGAAGCGATTTCCAAGGGGTTTGGAAAGGGATATGATGTAGACCGTGGTATACTTTCTGATATCGTCTCGTGCCTTGTCTAAGAGGCCCCTTCCACCGGGATGAGCGACCCCTCTTTCGCCATCGTTCTCAACTGCACCTGTTCTCGCTTAGGTGTGCAGTAATTCACTTAACAATAGCCGGAAGTTGGTAAATACCTGCTCCCCCCGCATGAATAACTTATCCGTCGCTCAACCATATAACAGTAACCTAAGGCTCGTTTGGACTCGGACATACGCTGTTCAAGTACGTAGACGCATCTGCAAACCCATAATGGTAGATATAAAGTGGTTAACTAAGGCGTGTTAAGCTCTTCTTCTCGATCTGGGCTTTACACCGATCTTTGCCACTTCGTACACCCTATAGGAGCCTGGGGATCGCCCCTTCACAGCAACTTCCAATACATTATTAGATCCCCCGCATCTGCGTCGCTTCTCATGACGGGAGCATCACAGGAGTCACATACAGTACCGACATGCATCGAACTCTTGGCAGGAGATTGTCCTTAGCGACCAGATAGACCGTTTCCTCCCGGGTCTTCCGCGGTCAGGACCTCAGGTGATAACCTCCATGGTGGCTGCTTCTTAGACGCAGGTCCATCCTTCGACAACACCCACAAGTGTCGGTGAGGATGTGTTTAGGTAAGTTTCCCCGCCCCTAGGTAATGATCGGGTAGTATACATCATGAAGCAGTCTACCGTTAGCGCAGGCTTGGGTAGCTTTACACGCAAAGAACCCCAGACCTTAAGTTGATGTTATAGTCCATGGAATGGGAATATCACCTTCGGTCTGCCCTGCTTGGACATCGGCTTGACGTATCTAGATATATATCACATGTTCTAATGACATGTCGTTAAACTATGCCTAACCTAGCCGACACACGACATATAATGCACGATCTAGACGCGGAAGATTTCGAATATGCGTGCGCTACCAGCGCTTCCTAGGTTATTATGGGCCATAACTCGGAACAAGAGGGTATAACGAGAACTAGAATAGTAATCTGTCACTCCCTAAAGCGCTTAAGATCAACAATCTGAGCCAGAAGCATAACTGTCATACTAATAATAGTATGCGTTACCCCATCCCCGAAACCCGTAGAAGCTACGGTCTAATCAAAGACCATACGTAGTATGTACTCGAGACTCTTATACCAGCCGTGTTATTCCCACTGAGCGCGCCCTACGATGATCAACCTCTTCATTTAAGAATCTCTATTCATGGAAAGACATCATCAAATACTTCAAAGTCATGGATATAGGTACCTATATCTACCCCTTAATTCGAAAAGAATCACGTCGACATGATCATTCCAAAATCCCTGCGATGGATTTTGCTTAATAAGCCCTTGGCGTTCCTATCTACGAGATCAAGCCTGATTGGCATTCTTGCCTACTATTTGTGTTATCTGATACTCTTCACTCCAGCTTGAACCCCTTATTCTCTATCAACTTCTTAGATGAAATAGAACTGACATTATCATGATATCTTACACTGGCTACCATCAAACGATACCGCGATTAGGCATTAATTGGATTGAGAATTCGAAAGGGGCTTCGTGTGACATGGCTATGGAACATAGGTAATTACAGTTGATGTGCGAAGTAGAATGGCTACTACCAATTACTGATATGTTCAAATAGGATAAAGTATGTGAACTTTACATAGGTAAAGAGACAAGTATTTAAAACTTGATTTTTAGAAAATGATATGAGTTATATGTATATTCAAGATTTGGAGAGGTTGACATTTTGTTCGAAGGCTTTCGATGTATAGTAGAAAAAGTATTAAAAGCCCAATGATATCATAGGGCAGATGGAGATGTGGCTTGATAATCCCTGACAGGGAGACCGAAACCGCAGCATCCCTTCCTTTCGCACTTGCCCTTGATAGGATCGGTTGCACGCTGCTATTAAGGTTATTTGGGCTAAGGCATCCGTACATACCATCTGATAACTTGGACAACCTGGGTAAGGTATTTCAATAATATTGGAAGATCCCTAGATCCCTGGATAGTGGATAGTGGATGTGGATAGTACTAGTAGTTAGCACGCGTTTTTAAGTATTAAAGAATAATTCCATCGAAATGCCTTGAAGTTAGGATAGGTACCAACATTGGTCTATACATTCCAACGGATGAAGGATTCGACAGATCGGCTGATGAGCGCTTAGATATATGTACGAAACGCCATCTTCCTGAATAAAAAGAATTTTCTGACCGGTGAGCCCGACCCGACTTTTGATGAAAACTCCGACAACTCTGTGATACCTAGGTACCTACATACCTAGAAACTTCAAGCACCATCCATGATTCAGATATCTCATTGGATTTAACTATTTTTTCAGACTGCTTGCTTTAATGGAAAATAGGCCAATAAGAATATCGAAAACCGAATGGGAGGAGCAGGCGGCGAGCATTATGACCCTATGACATAATAACGTCATTTCGTTCCTTCAGATTTTTCCCTTTCAAAATATTGAGACGATTACGCGAGAACAAAGCTCCAGGGTTCTTTCCATCTGATAAGCATCCCCCGCGATTTCGACTCCGAACAGTGCTCCGAACCGAGCAACGCGTTGTTTTTTCAGCTCCACAATCGTTCAGACATGGCAAGAGCCCCTATGCCTGTATCGGTAGATTGAAACGTCAAAACGTTAAACAACTGCAACGGTTTCGACCCAGGATAAACATCTTTTTCTGTCTCTCTCTCTCCTTTTCTTTTCCCTTTTTGACTTTTCCTACCTTGTTTGCTAGTATCACGATAATAATAGATATTGAGCGAATTGGGCGAATGCATGGTTGCAAATAAAGGAGTCTAAAAAGCCACTGGGCAGTAATTAGCTTATTAGTTTAATTACGTCGTCGTCTGCTTTTCCTCTTTTATCGCACCATTAGCGCTGGTCCGATTTTAGGCCGTCGATTGAATTTACAGCCTTAACGACTTATCGCCACTAAATTTCATCTTTTTATCTTCCCTTTTTCTTTTATACATAATACGCGACCACCTAAATCCGGTGTCTGTCGTGCACCAGACTCCATCAGATCTCATCGCCGAATTCCCATCGATTGGTCCAGTGCCATCCGATAATCGTCGCGATGGCTTGGTCCAAAACTACTCGGATCAGCATTATGCTGGCCATTGATATCACTTTCTTTCTAGTGGAACTGATATCGGGTTTTATGGTCCATTCCCTGGCTTTAATGGCAGATGCATTCCATATGCTGAACGACATCATCTCGCTAATTATTGGTCTGTGGGCTGTTACTGTCGCTCAGAGAGCAACTACCAACAAATTCTCCTACGGATGGGTCCGCGCCGAAATCCTCGGTGCCGCTTTCAACGCCGTCTTCTTGATCGCCCTATGCGTCTCTATCATCCTCGAAGCATTGACTCGATTCATCGAGCCCCAGGAAGTCTCGAATCCGAAGCTCATTCTTATCGTCGGCTGTTTTGGACTGGCCTCGAACCTTGTTGGGTTCCTGGTTTTGGGAGGACATGGCCACGACCATGGAGATCATTCGCACGACGACGAGCACGATCACGAACACGGACACGAGCACGTTCACCAACATGACAATATTGCTGCGGCCGAGGAGGGTAGAGCAACTGCGACGCAAGCATTGATAGACGAAACTGGTCCTGTGACGGATGTTCTGCCCGAGGTTGCCTTAGCGCGAGCTCGAGCCGAAAATGCTTCCCCCGAGACTGTTCGTCATATTCAATTCAATCAGCCCGATAGCGACCAAAAACCACGAGGTACTAGCCGAGGTGCCTTGCCTAGGGGCAGAGAACGTCGGCGCGCGGGTAGTGTTAAGCATAGCCGCCTTACTAGTATTGCCGACTTTAGCATTTATCCAGCCAGCTTCAGACAGGACATTATCGAACATAGCAGGTCGAGTCGCAACGATAACGAGACAGATGACAGCTCTAACGATGATAGTTCCATCGATTCCCCAATTCGCGAGGAATCGGCTATAGATGAAACCACGCCCCTTATCTCGAACGAGCGTGTGTCGGACAAGAGTTCCGCGGACAAGGACAAGCACATCTGCCGGTCAAGAAGCTCTCATCATTACCGTGCTAGACGTGATTCGGGAACTCATCTAGATCACCATCATAATAGGCCTAAGTCAAAGTCGAGGAAAGGTCACAGCCATGGTCATAACCACGCCGATATGGGCATGAACGCTATGGTCCTCCATGTCTTGGGCGACGCTTTAGGAAATGTGGGCGTTATAGTTACGGCCTTGATTATTTGGCTTACTGAATGGTCAGGACGGTATTACGCCGATCCTGCCGTCTCATTGTTTATCACTCTTATCATTCTCAAGTCAGCAATTCCTCTGACTAAGGCAACGGCAAAAGTGCTCTTGCAGGCCACGCCTGACCATATCAACCTCCAGGATATCAAGGAAGATATCCAAGCTCTCCCAGGAGTGATTAGCTGCCATCACGTACATATCTGGCAGCTTTCTGACACGAAAGTTGTTGCTTCCTTGCACGTGCAAGTAGCGTTCCCTATTACAAGCGAAGGAGGAGAGAAATATATGAAGCTTGCTAAGCAGGCACGGAAGTGTCTTCACGCATACGGCATTCACAGTGCCACTATACAGCCAGAGTTCTGTCTAGAAGATGATTGTAACCACGTCGATGATGGCTCGATGACGCTAGATGGACAAACATCGCCGCGTTATGGAGGCGACGTGTGCCTGTTGGAGTGTGTAGATGACTGCGTGGGTCAGGGATGTTGTGCCCTGCCATCGCAGGCAGCTTCAAAGGCAGGATCAAGTCGAAGGTCCAGTCATTCAACTCCTCATGATCATAGTGGAGATCATGGTCACGATCACGACCACGACCATGATCATGACCATCACCATCACTAAAGGGGTTCTGTTCAAATATTAATTGCTGTATTGGGCAATGGGTAACGGCGCGTGTGGCAGCTAGATCGTTCGGGTTCGCGTATCTCTTTTGTCTCTGATGCGGGCTTTAATACTATTGCGCAGGGCGTTACGGAAAAATGGACTTGTACATCACACAGTGGATCAGGATTAGAGGTGCATGTTTATTGACATCGCGATGCATTATATGATCGGCTCGGTTGATTACGAGTGACATGGATGAGACATTGTTCGTGAAGATCGAATTTGTAATATGATGGATGTACATACGCTTCTACACTTACACGGAGACTTTGAAGGTTTTGGCGGTATGGATGGTGCCGATAGCGACAGGTCTTGCAAGTCATTGGGGGGTTTACATAAATGGCGAGTCTATCGCGAACCTTTAGCTCTTCTTGTACCATGCATGTCTGCGGCGTCGGTTTACATACAAAAATGGTCGATGGCACATCGAAGTTGTATTTCACGTGGGATTTGAAACGGCAATTCTCCCTGAGAATTTAAGCATTAATGCACGGACTCCGCGTTACCAATTCATCTCATCCTCGCGCAATTCAATCGAACGCTTCATCTGATCTTTCCGCCTTTCCAATTGGGATTTTGGACAGATTATATCGCTCTATAGTTTGTGTGAAGAACCGTGTTCTGGTGTCTATATATTGGTAAGATGACGATAGCAATTAATTACCTACCTATTATTACTATTGCATACATACATCGCATCTGGTTAGGTATTGATTCTCTTCTAAGCATGAATATCTCACGATATCCGCAACCCCGGCTCGAACGAACGAGTTTGATTTTCCCCGTCTGAGGCTGCCCGCATGTCCGCTTTGGGACGCTGTAACAGACTAGGCATGAATGATCTCCCTGCACCACCGGTCCAGCGTCGAGGCTCGCTGTATCAGCCGCGCTCGCGACACTATTGCTCATCTACCCCGGCGTTCATCATGCTGCCAGCGGTGTGGTAAGTGTTCGGATCCCATGTTCGAGGGATCAAGCTTTTTGCGCGCGCGCGCTCGGATGGCTTTCCCGAGGGGAAGGCGTGAAACGAATCCGGCAATCGTATGGTTGCTCTCTTATTACATACATACCGTCTTCCTGGCCGCCCAGCCGGGTCGGTTTCTCTTGGTCCTTTTTCTTCTGCTTCTTTTTTTGTCTTGGTATTTCGATGTCGCTGTCTCCTTCCTCTCTTGTCGTGTGTTCGCTCCTTTGATAGTGTTTGCGCTCGCTCTCTCCCTTCGTTCTTTTTTTATACACGTAATTTTACAAGTAATTCTTTTGCGCTAGCCGGGCTTGCGGGTTCGGGGTTCCTGCGGTCCACGTCTTCTTTTCGCGTCGTTCCTTTTCGGGGAGGGTTTATTTATATACATAGTTCAGAGATATACCACGCCGAAGTCCTTCACGATGAGGGTTTCGAACACCGCCGCCGCTGTCGCGGCGTACGTTCTCTGCTGTCAGGACCTGGCGTCCGCTAGTCCGGTGCAGAAGCAGAAGCGCGGGGTGTTGGACGAGATGCTGCAGATCACGACGCTGGGGGGCATGACGTTCAAGATCAACCAGGTCCAGAATAAGAAGTACTACGGCGCGCGGAAGGGCAGGGGCGCCATGGCTATCGCGAGAGCTTATTCCAAGTACGGCGCTGCGGTCTCGGACGATTTGCTGTCTTCCATAGAGGAAGTGCTGAAGGAGCTCGGTCTTTTGGGGAATACGGGAGCTTCGAATAGCACGGCTAATGATCCTAAAGGTAGGTCTTGGCGGTGGCTTGCGCCTTTGCTTTGCTGTTTCATTTTCGCTCACCGGTTTCTAGGCGAGGTGGCGGCGCTTCCGCAGATGTTCGATTCCGAATACTTATGCCCGGTCTCTATTGGCACCCCACCGCAAACCTTGCAGTTGGACTTCGATACCGGTTCATCTGATTTGTGGGTGTTCAGCTCCGAGACGCCGAAAAATCAGGTTATGGGTCAGACTGCTGTACGTATAGCCCTTTAGAGCCGAGTTGATTTCGGATGATATCAGGCGGCAAGAGTTATGATCCTTAGTCATGCTTGAGTCTTACAGAATTAGCAATTACTAACTCTATATGCTGCAGTGGAATATCCAGCAAAGTTCAACCGCGAAGTTACAGACAGGAGAGACATGGTCGATCAGCTATGGCGATGGTAGCAGCTCTAGTGGTAATGTTTACTTGGATAAGGTGTCTGTAGGCGGAGTCACCGTCCAGAACCAGGCAGTTGAATCTGCGAAGAACGTCTCCTTGTCGTTCACGCAAAGACCCGATACCGATGGTCTTCTCGGGCTGGCTTTCGGCACCATCAACACGGTCAGGCCTACGAAGCAGAAGACTTTCTTCGAGAGTGCGACGAACGAGCTTGCGTCGCCTCTTTTCACGGCGAATTTGAAGAAAGAAGCCCGTAAGTTGATTATGAATCTCACAATCTGTGTCGTGTAGAGGGCATATATTAACAAGTTCTAGCGGGCAACTATAACTTCGGTTTCATCGATAACACCGAGTTCACCGGAGATATCAGTTTCGTGCCCGTCAACACATCAGCTGGCTTCTGGCAATTCACGGGGGCCGGCTACAAGATCGGTAACTCAGCCGCCGTCTCTTTGCCGCACCAAGCTATCGCCGACACGGGAACCACGCTTCTTCTTGTCCCTGCCCAGATTGCCGCCGCGTACTACGCCCAGGTCCCAGGGTCGGCCAACAACGCGGCGGCTGGTGGATACACCTTCCCGTGTTCTGCTACGCTGCCCGATTATACGGCTGTCATCGGAAACTACCAGGGCGTGATTCCGGGTGATTTCATGAAGTTCTCGCCTGTCGATGGTAACTCGTTCGCAACGGCTACTACGTGCTTTGGCGGTATCCAGGCTTCGCCTGCGGGTTTTCCTTTCGCTATCTACGGAGACATTTTCCTGAAGGCGCAGTTCGTCGTGTTTCACGGTGGGAACCAGCAGCTTGGATTTGCTGCTAAGCCCCTATAACCATTTATAGGGGTCGTGATGTTGGTGACAATGTTGGGTGTAGCTAAGTGTGTATATTTCATGACTTTGGGTTAGATCCGGTTGAGAGGTCCCGGGATAGAAAGACCTGTGTATGGCGGTTATGATCGATTTTGCGAAATTTGGATTTATAGGTAATGGAATTTATGATCGAATATCCAATTCATATGGACAATCCTAGGGATTCCCGTGATTCTCGCTTCGGAGTTAATGACGGAAACCAAGTCCTTGCTCGGAGCTGCGTCGTAGCGCTTATTCGGGCTGAGACATAAGATGTATATACCTAGATGTAAGTAGGCTGCATACATAATACATATGCGGTCGGTAAGGATCCTCATGTACTCGGACTCGGTACTTCGGTCGTTGGTCCCTGCCGATGTGAACGGTATTAAATCTTATTCGTAGCGACGAAGGAGAGCTCCTACTCATTTCCACATTTCGATATCGACTGGCACGAGGCTTGTGATTGAGGCCAACTTAATCACCGTCGCCATTGGTCCGCGTCGTTAAGCCCTGGAGACGTTAGGTCTTAACTCGTCTGACATCACACCACTAGGATTATTCCTCTGAACCGAGTGCCGACCAACGCGGTCTTTTTCGTTCGTCTTGTTGCGGAAACATTATTTGGTAGGGTTAGACGAGGCTCTAAACAGTCGAATATCGAAAACGGGCATATCTTGCTTTTATTATATACCTACCTACCTCTAGTACCTACATAACTACACCTGGGTACCATTTAGGAAGCTACCAACCACCCCCCGGCTTACGGCACTACCCGGAATTCTCCAAACTTCCGGACACTACGACCCGCTCCGTTACATTCACTTTTAGGTTCAATAGTTCTATGCAGCAACCGTAGAACCGTGTTCCGACTTCAAACGGAACTTACGACACCATCGTCTATCTATAACCCATCTTATAATTCAGATTTCACTCTGACTTACCTTCCAAGCCCTCCAACTCCCCTAAACCCAAAAAGCTCAAACCCACAATGTCATCCCTCCTCCAAAGAAAATTCCCCTCAATCCTGCACTCCTCCACCCTCCCCATCCCCCATTCCTACCGCAAACCCCTCCTCCTCGCCACCAGCGCCGCCGCCATCTCCGCCCCACTCCTCACCTACGCCTACAACAGCTACACGGAATGGCTCGCCCTCGGGCGCGGCGGGGTCCCATACCACGTCTTCGGATGGCTCGCGCAAACAACCCTGCACCTGCTCGCACGAACCGATCTCCGAGAGCCCATCCCACGGACCTACAAAACCGCCATAGAACTCGGCTCCGTCTACGGCCCCGCCGGCACAAAATCCTACCTCTCCACCCCTAAAGCAGAAATCCCAGCCCGCAAGCCCCCTCGCCCCACCGTCCCCAGCTTCGTCGCGCCGCAGCGGCAGACCTCGGACCGCGGGCCCCCGCATACCGTCGCCACGCTAAACGGGTTCCTCGCCGCCCTCGCGTCCGCGAACCCGGGGCTCTTCGAGGTCAGGGAGAGTAAGCTCGAAGGACCACTTCACCAGGCCGTATGGCTGCGGTATCCTCTATCCTCCCCTTCTCCTTCTCCTACTACAGCGGCGGAAACGCAAGCGCAAAAAGCCCAACGAGAGGAGCTGAAAACGCGTCTAGGCCGCGGCGCGACAGGGGAGATCGCACACGTGCACAGGGAGGGCAGCACGCATGTGATCCTGAGCCCGGTCGACGCGGCGCAGGTTATCGGGAAGGGATGGGGGGAGCGGCATGCGATGAGCGGGGTTGGGGGCGTGCGGTGGGCGATGGCGCCGTGGGGGTATGTGTTGGTTTACGCGCCGCGGGACGAGGGCGAGTTGGAGGTCTGGAGAGAGGTTGTGCTTGCTGGGGCGCGGTATGTGACGGCGGGTTTGGGGAAGGGGGTTGTTGTTCCTGGGGGTAAGGAGGGGGTGTAGAGAGGAGGGGGAGGGGGAGGTTGTGTTGTGTGGATATTTGGGCTGTGTTGTGTATGAATAGGTTTGAATGGTGAGATAATGAGGTTAAGATGTATTCTGGTGTGGCGTTAAGGGGTCTTTGGGTTGTTTGAAGAGTACCTATATAAGTATTTATTACCCCTCTCAAATCGAAAAAGGGGTAAAGATATAGACGAACCGAGGTCTTTTGGTGGGTGTAGTATGTCAGCATATTCATGAAGTATTTACACATATCCCCCCTTATTAGGTACATAGCTTTTAAGCCGTTATCATTACAGAACATATCCAATTTGAAACTATTAGAACGATTTATGCTAGTCTCTTAATACATAGTCGCCCCTGCTCGTACATACGAATGGACTACGCCATTCATTTCCTCGCTTTATATACATATCGCCTTAGTACGTTATAGGGAAGCAAAATGATACGTTAGTGTTCACAGCAATTAGAGGAGAAATTAAAAATCCGCCTCCAGAGAATATTATACCTGTGCCTTAGGCAGCGATTCGAAGCCCGGCACGTTAATAAAACAGCATTTCAACAGCTCCGCGTCTATTTATCAAACAGCTTCACTCCATTTAGTCCTACAACTCCGCGCCATAATTCATCCCCATTTAAATTTGGGGAAGCTTCATTCGAAACTCGCTTTATTGGTATATCCTGAATGAATCCTCGGCTATGCCATATGATAACAATCAGCCGGGGCACGATGTATCTCGATGCCGAGGCATAAAAAAAAGAAAAATCTATTCGGGACGTAAAAAAACGTCCATAGCCACGGCTGCTTCTCCTGTACGCCGTAATAAGATAGGAGACGTTAAGAGGGGTGGGTATGGTATAATGTATGAAAAGAAAAATTCGTCGTCTGCGCCTCTAGCCTCGAATTATCTTTCGTAAGATGCAACAATAAAATAAAAATAGTCTTCGTAGATGAAACATGACGATAAATGGTAGATATTAGATGACAATCTGTCATCAAAACGTAACGAGCAAGAATTTTCGCTCATCCATTTCCTTCCAGGCGTGTCGCTCATCGTGGTCTCGTGGCCGATTGACGCATTACATAGGACAAAAAAAACGTATTTGGTCGGAGACAGCGTCACCTAAACGTAGCGTATGGACTTTCGACTTTTATGTCTTTGATCCCTTCAGGCATCATTCGAAGCCATTCGGCCCAACTCTCAATGTTGAGAGCCTCATCCGTCAATCGCATAGAAAATGTCAATTGAGGGCCATGATGATTCTCCGGGCTGTAAATAGTCCGGGGTGGTTGTGGTGGAGATAACGTAATTGATGGTAATCTCGAGTTACTGGATATTTGTATGTGCAACGGCGAAGGGAAGCCCAGCATTATTCCCTTTTCCTGGTGTTTGTCTTGGATGATCTTGGGGTAGATGGATAGGAGTTTCGAATGCAACTCGGCGGCTGATAACGGATTCGGAAGTCGTTGGGTGGCCCGTGTTCGAAGTTGATCGACTAGCGTTCTGGTGAAGCTATTCCGGTCCAGCACGTCGAAGTACTCCTCCGAAGACGACGCCGCGATGACCTCCAGCACCCCCTTTTGTCGAACCATCTTCGATGACGGATAATATGCAGCATCCATCATAATCAATGTGTCTGACCGGGCTTCCTCCAAAATCTGTTGAATACCGCTCCATCGAATAGTCGAGGCCTTTGCTCGATCCCGAGAACTACCTTGGGTTAGAATCACCGCCAAAACAAGCCAGCCAAGAATCTGGGCAAACTCGCCTCGCCAAAACCATCTCCCTATGCTCATCCAAGTAACTGTACCCATTATAGTACACAAGTTTTAAAACGTCTCGGGTGTCGCTCTTGTCCGTAAATTCGTTTATAATACGCGAGAGCCACCTCCACGAGTTGGTACAGCCGTCGGAAGCAGATGACGGTATCTTGAGGATTTCAAACGCGTATCGGTAGTACTTGTCGAAAACAATGCCAAGTTCCTCCACCGCGGATGCCACGTCGGGGTTTTCGTCATCCTGCCAATAGATTAAAAGCGCGCAAACGCTGCTGTAGCGACTGCGGTGAGGTGAAGCGAGGATCCTAGATGCTGCACTCTCTAGTTCTACCTTCACGGAATCGATGCTCGACAAAGGCGTGTAATGATTCGTTGTAGCGGCCAGCGGAGAGTTAGACATGGGCTTCTCTAGTCGCGGGCCTGACGGTAGAGGCGTCCGGATCCTCGCGTCGTTGAGCGGTGGACGACCTGGCGTGCTCTGAGCGTTATTGGGAGCAGCGGGGGTGGAGTCAATCTCCATCTCCTGGGGATCTTGGGTGAAGTGATGTCTGACATGGTTTGGCGCGGGGCTGATCGGTCGACCAGCCAGGGGAGCCAGATCCTGCAAAGGGCTAGACGAGCGATACTTCCGCATAGCATCTTCCCACGTCATATTATGATGGTTGGGGTGACACTTTAGATGGTGGTCATGTGAGCATCATACTAACGATGGGAGATGGGAAAAAAAGGAGGGGGCAGATCGCAATATTGTGACTTACAGCAACCCTCCGCCTTCTGCAGTCGGCGCACGCGCCTAATTTCCGAATCAACGCAGCCTTCTCTCTCTGCTGGGCTGACAGGGGCCCCGTTCGCCGACGGCTGGCTCGACGATTGTGCGAGATCTCCGACCCATCTTTCACGGAGAAGATGGACTGGGACGACTCTACACTATAAGCTGTCGAGTTCGTGTCAGTGGTGGCATTGGATACCGCCGTTGCATCGGTGGCGGTCGTCGAGGTAGAAGAACCTGTATCCTTCCTGATGGGAGTCGCCGACTGGCTTGGTGATGCCGGGAGACTCCCATGTTGCGGTTGCACGTGCTCGGGATGTGATCCTTGGTGGGGTTGTTGTTGAAGTTGCGGCTGAGAAGGTTGACGATGATGCCCACCAGACGACTGCTGCTGCTGTTGCTGTTGCTGCTGCTGGTCGTGCTGATGAGAGACGTGCTGACCTCTATCTTCAGTCTTGCTGTCCTTGGGAAATGCTTCCGACAGACTGGGTGCAGGATGCATGTCGTTCTGGGCGCTCGCACGACAATAGCACGGCCTACCTCATAATGAAAGGTGACTATGATGGCTCGTCCACGAGCGCTATACTGAATAGACAACGCACGGTGAAAAAAATGGAGGACTCTGGCTCCCAAGGGTGGAGAATTAAACGAGGGTGATAATGAAATTGCCGCGAAGTGAAGAAAAGAAATATGTAAGGATATGTATGTAGTTAATAGAACGGGACGAGTACAGCTGGTACCGTAGATCTAGGTAGCCTCTAAGGCATAAGCGTAGGCTGATCCACTAGATATGTATATGTAGGTAAGGTGTATGGTGTATGTCTGGTTGTATATGGGGGTGTATTAGTTTGAATGAGGTATGGTATGGTATGTATGGTATGGTGATGATACGGTGATTATGCGACTGAGAGAAGTTGGAAGTACAAATTTTAAATAGAAATAAATTTCCTAATCTCCAATCTCTTCGAGATCTTCAAACCTCTCTTTCTCCCTTTTCTCTCACCATCAATGGGTTCTTTCCCCGGTTGTAGGTTGTAGGTTGTATATCACCTACCTAGGTATGTATGTACTCACTATAGAAAGACGAGGATCGTGTGTAGCTTCCGAAACTGCTGTAATACAAGGCTCCAATGAGCTAGCTTTCTTGCCCGAGTTTGTTGCAGTGCAGTGCAGTTGCTCTTAGGTACTTGTGCTATGTAAAGATTTAGATTTAGTGCGGGGCCGAACTTTTTCTCTTTCCACCATCCTTCCACCTTCCCACTTCCCAGCTCACCTAGATACATGTACCTAGCTAATCTTGTCTGATCCTGTCTGCCTGTCTACTAGACCTGCTATTAGAGGTCTACCTGAAAAGTACCTCCGCGCTCTAAATCTTAGGTGGAGTACATTAGCGAGTACATTAGTTCCAAGGTTAACTTTAAATTATTCAATGTTCCCTTCCATTTTTTCTTACATACATCATACATGTATACATTTTCCAGGATTGAGAGAGTTTAGGGCGGGGCCGAGAAACATCTACTAACAGCTGCTGCTGCCAGTGATACCACTATAATGATTATTTTTACCTCATTTTTGTTTGCTACCTTCTTAACTCAAGTCTGCCTAGTCCCATCTCGTCTACAAATCTCATCAAGTCACCGTTCCATCGTTCTTTTCTCTCTTTCTCTCGTCGAATGAAGAAAAAGACCGTCATGTCTCATTCCCCGAAATTACAGCTTACCCAAGGTCAACTTATTTTATTATTATTTTATTAGGTATGCAACAATCTAAAATCGCAGATTACCAACCGACATAATCTATCGTCGGTCAATAATTATTACCTAGTTACTAGAGGTAATAAAAGAAGAAAGGAAGAATAGAAACAAAAACATGGGGGTGAAAGGGTGTAAAAAACGCCCAACTGCAACTCGAAAGGGAGCACTTTAATGTTGCTCTCATGTATCGTTTCAATCTGATTTTGGCCGTGGCTACGGCGGATCTCAGGTAAACACGTGGTAGTCCATTCCATATCCATCTTCCAAGTCTCCAGCCAATGAATCCTTCCGTCCGCCAATCATCTCAAGCGCCAGCGCAGACGTCGCAGACATACAGCCCAAAGACGTGACACTCCGAAAGTTCCCACTCACACACCCCAGGCTTCCTCGACCGTAGGCTCTCTTCGGTCAAGAGGCGAGGCGATGCGAGGCGACACAAGATCAGACACGTCTGCGCTGTGAGGCCACACACATTACCTACGACCTAACCACCTACCGACATTATTCCAATGCACGGGAAAGGAAGAGGAAAAGGGAAAAAAGGGAAAAATACCTAGGTAATTCTAGGTATTTACCAGCTTTTTACCACCTTCTGTGCTTCTGCACCTCTGCGCCTCTGCCCTGGAACTAGAAAATCGAATTTCATCCTCTATCGTCCTTCGCCCATCATCCACCATCCACTTACCAAGGTCCAAGGTACTACGCCCACGTCCTTTCGCGCGCAGGTACCCCTTGTTACTCCCCCATTCCTATTATTTTTTTTTCCCTCTCTCGCTCTTTTTTTTTCTTGTTTGTGGCCGTCTGCCGCCCTCATCCGATGCTGCGAAATGCAAATCTGTCACAGGCGAATATGCATCCTTCACTCGGTCACGACGCGATGCCATGGATCATCAGCCCATGCATTCTGCCCCCGGGTTGACTGATTTGTTCAGCCGATATGAGCTTTTATGCAATTGTTTGTCATCTGACGTCGATTTTCGATCTACGATGTGCTCTAATCCCCGTGACCTATCACTGCTTTTTATTTTTATTTATTTTTATTATTTTGTTATTATCTAGCCGTCCTTTTTTCCTGATCCACCTTTGTCCAATGGCTCCAGTTACGGCTGAACAAAGATTTTGTGTTACCCTCATACCGATCCGAGTTTAGGGGGGTTTCCTATTTCCCTTCACCTTTCCCGCTCTATCCTCGGTGGCTGGGTTAGTTTGGTAGGTCTTCTTCGGTCAGACACGGTCCAACCCCCCCCTTTTCCGTAGCGTCCCCCTCCTTTACCGTTATATGCCCTCGACTTATTCGACCATCCTATCCAACGGGGAAATGGCGTCAATGAATTTGCCGAAATATTATAGCTCGGACTATGCGATCTGCACCACTCGAAAAAAAAAGAAATACCTATGCGCAGCACTTTTTTTTCTCCCCTATCTTCAGCCCTGGCACGTCTTTCGGTCACAGTCCCTGCAAGACTACGTCGTCTTCTTGGTACATTACCACATTATTCATTATACTCCTCCGTTTCTGGAAGGTCGGTAGAAGGTGACTGGACGGAAGGCTCTTCGGCATCCCCTCACCGAACCCCCGAGCTGGATTAGGCGCGATCTGATAGGGTAAAAGTCCTCGCAAACATGTTCTTCGTGGGGACCTCGAGCTAGGTATGTTGGAACTCTTGGCGTGCTTCCCTCCGCACCAGTACCGGGGACCGCGAGAAAAAAAATCAGATTATTATTACCTCGTCCCGGTGATAATGCCAATCAAGAATTCTGCATGGGGAACCCAAGGCCGCTGTAGGAGCTCTTTTTCTGCTCGTGGCTGGTAACTCGCACAACATTCAAATTATCCCCCTGTCAACGTATCCAGTAGGATTCTACTATCAGGCATTTGGGGGCTGAATTGGAGAGGATTAAGGATGTTCCTGGACTCGTCATACCAATCCAAGGTTCCCCCGCAATGGAAGGCTTCCGATAGAACTGCCTCAATTCCGGTTCGGGGTGGTTTTCGCTGAATGTTTCCTAGCGAGTTTCCTGACGAGTGGGCTCTCGCCTCAAATTACTTTGCAAGTCTCAGATTAGACCGTCGGATAAAACGCGGGAGCTACTATCGGAATAAAAACCGATCAGGGCCGTCGAGCTTGACGCATCGGCGCTTGCTCCTGATATGTCACAGTATTGGGACCTAGGAATCAATATATGAAGTGCAGCTCCTCACGGTAGGAAAAAACCAGCTACTCAGCGATTCGTATACGTTGGGCACTCGAATCATCTGTCATCACGCCATTGGCCAGCGGCGGCCTTGCATGTTGATAGGTAATCATTTCCTGCGCCAATAAAGACGCGACGAGAATTGCGAACTGAGGAGGTAAAAAGCCCGAACGACTGGTTTTCAGCTTTGCCCTTTCCGGCTCTTGCCGCATCTCTTTGCTACTCTGAGGTGCAGCATGGTTTTCTACCGGATTACATTATATATATCATAAGCATCTTAAGAGCACCCTTTTTCACGAATCCGATTTACGGGACTGGTTATCCTGCAAACTTGACTTGTAGTAGACCCCTTTTGCGGCCGCGGATTCGCCTTTGTCAGCTCAATGTAAGCCATCAAGTGTCGCCGTCGACATAATGTAGGAGGCGCTGGTGAGCATATCGCGTTTCCCCTAATATTTCGACGAAGTCAAGTGAATCTAGATCTATTTATCCACCACAGAGTTTCTTTTTTGGATACTACACACACACACGACATCAGTGACCTAAAGAAATGTCGTACCGGTGATTTCATACCGTCATCTTCAGTCCCACCCAACGCTCCCGCTGTTTGCCCGAGGCTCGACGAATAGGCCTCGCGTCACTGCAAGGGTTCTCCATGGAAACACACCGGCAAGCGAGTGTTCAGACTCGTGCTCCAGCTCCTGGTACACACGGACTAATATGACCGGTCACCCAAGTGTACAACATTAAGCTATTGCTCTTCCTGAAACACCGGTGACTCTAACATTTTGTGTATCCACCGAGGCGGCTTCACCCACGCCGATCAAGGGAGGCTATGTTGTCGAGGCCTGCGGCGCTTCGGAGGCTGACATTTCCTTCTCCATCTTATCTCCTTCTGTCCTATCCCGTCCTATCTACATAACACACATCCCACCCCTTTACCACATTCAGAACCAGCACAACAAGGCCACCCCCGCTGTCCGAGGCGACTCTACCGCTGCCATAGTATGTAAAGCCATAGTCTAAGCATAACTGCTTATATGGACCGCACCTAGGTAGACCCGGCCAATTACGTGCGTTTTTTTTCTTCCTTGGTATCTTAAACGTGACGCCGCTGATCTCTCTCCAACCGTCCTGCGTCCTGCGCTCTGCCGCGTCTCTTTTTATGGGGACCCGGCCTGACCTGACCGGGACAACAACGCCTTTCGAGGCTTGACCTGATCCTACTCTCATGCTTGTACTACCTACCTAGGTAGGTACAATACCATACCTTGCTTAGCCTCCCCGAAGCTCGTTCGCTGTATCTGTCTGTCTGAGAGCCTCCCGCGTCGACCCAGTTTCGCTGGCGTAGCCGCCGTTACCCCTTTGGGACAAAACTCGCTTACGCGGAGGCTCGGCTAAGACACGGGGGATGGGGGGGACTTTGTTCGACTTACGTATGACTAAGGCCCCGTGGTGAGTTGGTTGATTAAATAAGGTTAGAAGCGGGAATGGGTAAGGCTGTTGCTGCCTTACCTTGCCTAGGGTAGGTGTGTTATGGCTGTCTTGTTATTGATGTTGGTACGATACGCGCGCCGCCCGTATGACACGAGGGTATCGTGATGCGATGGACCGTGCTAAGGGCTTCTTACCTGGATAGCCGTTTACTGCTTGTGTCTACTTACATCGCTAGTATACTCTTATACATGTACATACATACCCGGACAAGTACCCAACGTATGTACTTACCTACTGACTACCTACTTATGTAGGTAGACTAGGAACTTTTGGATACGGTAGATACTTACCTACTACCTACCAAGATTTGCGCTTAGACTAATATCTACTAACCTGACCCAAGCTGAGGAGAAGAGGAACGTAACGTATGTATGTATGTAGGTATGTATGGATGTAGGTAAGTGTGTAGAACATCAACTCCACACGCTGCGTACGTGGGTTCAACGTCGACCTGTCTAATCTAACAGGCTGTCCGCTTACCTCTAACCTCCTCAGACTAGGTAAAGAGACGGATGTTCGAGGTCTGTTTTGGCGAGCTCGAGATACGGGTGTCATGAGCTCATTGGTTTGGCAAGCAATATGTTACATATAATCTCCGCCGAACCTGAGACATGGAGCTTGCTGCCCGCTCGTAGCTGAACCGGGTTTCGACCGGAGGGGGACGGCGGTGCTGTTTCCTCTAGACCGTGGTGTAATTATGGGCCACGACTCTGTTTCGAGGCCTTGGGCTGTAGGTGTTGGACTCTAGTGCGGGATGGCGATGGTGGTAGATGTCGGTACCGTACGTTCGTGTTGGGATGCCGAGAGAGGGCGGAGTCTGGGTGGTCTGCTTGGTCGAGGGAGATGTACGCCCCCTGTGTTTTCTGGGGGAGATGTAGAATTCTGTCGATACGACCTGCTGATACAACCTGTGTACATGATCGGGAGGTAGATCAGATAATAATAGTCACGAAACCTGATGGCGAAGTCTTGGCTTTCGAGGATCAGACCTATAGACTGACCTTTTGTCAAGATGTCTAATTAACTGTAGCGTGATCCCGCGGAGTCGGCTGAAATATGGGGGTTGTTGGAATAGTCACCAATAAAGGGGCATACTAATCATTAGACCTAATAAATCCTACCCGCTGAACTGCCGTCTGCCTATCGATGGTATTGGCTTCGTGGCGGGCAGGCTAGTTTGAAGGAGAAGTAGTTTCTTCGGGTATCAACTCGATTTTGGCCTGTCCGATTTCTCACGGTGTAGTCTTAACTGAAGACTCCATTTCTCTACTCCCAAGTTAGAGTACACCGAATCCCGAATATTGTATGTTTATGTCACGATGAGGACCTTACTAACTTTTGATAACCAACGAACTGCCAGTAAGAGAAGTGAGGTGTGGTTGGCCAATTGATCATTACACGGGCAATAGACCAATTACATATCCCTATCCAACAAGACCTTACTTGCAGTGGTTATTCAGGAACTCAACCAACATCACCACGATAGGAGCTACAGACCAACATACTCTACTTTGATGGAAATAGAGAGACGAGTAGCACGTAAAAATCATTCCATATTTCAAGCACTATCCATGAATGACTCGACGTGAAAAGCGGACAACTCTTGATAAACACGAGGCCCTATCAAATGACCGTATCCTCGGGGGTATCGGCCCCGTCCATACGCTCAATCTATGCTAATGCAAATATACGCCCCAGATCATTAAAATCATATCGTCAAGTCCGTCTAATAACCCCGTCCATCCATCCATCCATCCGTGCACAACACGGTGGAATCAAGAAAGGAAGAAACAAACAAACAAACATCCATCATAACCCAACCGCCCCCCCTTAGAAAGCGAGGGCCAAAGCCGCAATCCCGACGACCCCGAACACTAAACCCTTTCCGGCACCGCTGCGCGGGCTAACGCCCGAGCTCTGGGTGTCGAACTGCAGGATCGGCGTCGGCTCGTAGCTGCTCACCGGCCTGCTGTCCGTGGTCCCGTTCCAGCAGTAGCGGCTGAAGCAGCGCTGGCACGTGGCGCTGACAGTAGTGCCAGTGCGTTCAAGACTACGGCTTAGCACCGCGCACGCGACGCAAGCAGTCCACTCGGAGTCGACGGTGCCGTTGCCCATGGTAGCGACGTTGAAGCCGTTCTTGATGATGGAGTTGCGCTGTGCGTCGGAGTAGCTCGGGTCGAAGGTGGATACGTTGCTGGCGATTGTGTACGGCGCGTTGGGCACGTAGACGATTAGAGGCGGGATGTGGCTTGCGTTGGAGAACTCGGATGTGTTGCATCCGAAGAAAGTCGGCCGCTTGTTGAGCTCTAGGTTGATGAAGGTCTCGGCGTCTGGGACGGCGGGGAAGACGGTTCCGTTGGCGATATCGGTCTTGCTTCGGTCGTAGGTCGCGCGTAGTGCCGTGCCGTTGGGGAAGTTAGTACCCGTGTCGGCGGATGAGTCGACCGCAAAGATGACGTCGAGGCCTCGGGACGGCTGGAGTAGAGGGTGTAGTGGAATGTTCTGCAAGTCCAAGCCACCGTCGACGAGAGTCAGCTGCTCATCATCGGCACTAGCATTGGTGTCGTTGTTATATCCGAGGAAGGGGTTCGGGTTCCAGGCGGCGATATCGTCATTCTCATCGCCGATATGGGTAAGGAGATCCCTGATCGCGTTGGTCACAACCGTCGGAATATCCGACGATGAGAGGTTTTGTAAGAGGAAAGCGTTGAACAGCGAACTGCTCGTACCCATGACATAGCTGTAAGCGTCGAATCCTTCAACACAATGACCACTATCAGGAATGCTGCCACCGCTGAAGTTGGAGCCTACATAGCGGATGGGTGCAAAACCATAGACGGTTGGGTCGTGAGACCCGATTTCCCATGGGTTAAACTCATATACGGTTGAATTCAGCGAGATCACTTTTGTGTTCGGTCTACGCTCATCAGCCACCAGAATTGGCATGGGTGTGTCGGCACTCTTGAAGTTGGAGGCATCGGCGATTGACGAGAACGTGTAAGCAGGTCCGCCGTCGGTTGCATTGATTAATTGAACAGAAAGAGCTCGCCCCCAGTAATCCGTAATAGAGACATCATATCCGGCATTCCGCTTATCATCGACCTGGTTCAAGATATCGTCCCAATACGAAACGGTGTTAACAATCGAGATTCCTCTGCTTTTGGGACCCTGGAAGATGGAGTTAGAGAATTGCCATAAGGCAGAGCCTTGGTAACCGTCACGAAGTTGTACGACGGTAGAGAAGTTGTTGGCGAAGATAGAGCCGACTAGCCAACCACCTCCGGATAGTCCGGCTAGGTATGTGCTACTTTGTAGGAGACCTCCGATACCTCCGGTATCCGTGGAGCCAGGAACACGACTGTCTGCAGCAGCGATGAAGCCGGCACCATTCATCAGGGCGCGATAACCACCGCCCGACACGGCAATACCGATGTTAGGTACAACAGAGAAATTCTGTGAATTGGACGTGATATAACCGGCATAATCATAATCGGTCAAGTTCGATTTGCGCAGAAATTGGACCAAAGGATCAACAGTCTTACTCCGACGGTTTTTCAACCAGTCTTGTTCCGACTGTGATAGAGATGATGCACTGCGAATTGTCGGTCGCTGTTGCGGACAGTCGACGAATGCTGGAGCGTAAGTGCCGGACGGGTTTTCCGGGGATGCACGACCCAGCAAGATATCTCGAGCCGCTACTTCGCCGAACCCATCGCTGCCGCCCGTGGGAGATCCGAGTGCAGCTGAGATAAGCGAGACCAGGGTAACAGGTAGGAAATGCATGGTCCCTTCCGTACCATACAAGGTTCGGTATCGATTTGATCTAACTTATCGAGATGGCCGGGGGAAGGGGGCAACGGGGAAGGGGAAGGGGAGGTAGATATAACAATGGAAGGAAGGGAGTGACAAGGCAAATTGGTGATTATGGGTTACCTAACGTGCTAGGAGAATTAATGTTCTAGTTATATTCCGAGGGGAGTACGACTAATGTAAGCTTCACAAAACGGGTAGAATTCCTGGGGGTTTGCGTCACCGCCCTAAAACATGAATAAAGGGAGGACAAGCAACAAGCAACAAGCAAGCAACCATCCAACCACCCTAACCGCCATTACCTGTTACCAAAAAAGGAAATGCCATCAAGCCATCGTCAGCCGCAAGCCGACTTGGCAATCTGCTAAACCAATCCGAGTTTACGGTAAGCTGCATGCCAGGTCGCCGGTGGCCTCAAGAATGGGGCGGTGTTTGGTTAGGACGGATAGGACTTGGTGAGAGTGGATGGATCGGATGGATTTTAAAATGAGTTGTATTGAGTAAATTGGAAGGCCATTGGTAAGTTCTACAATACTGACAATAGGTCCCTGCCTTACAAACTAGCTACTAACTTGGTACCTAACTGGTGCCGAGGTTCCTGTTTGTCTCCGTCTACTGTCGTATGAAGTGTCGGATAGCCTACCTAGTACCTAGCTTATGAGACTAAAGAAACTTTATATAAGCTGACTACATGTTCGAAAGGGGGAGGTACTTACATAATTTCAGCTCATCTGGGATCCACGGTAGCTGAGAGAATCGGAATAAAGTATTGTGGTGCCTTGCATAGGTACCGGTGGCTAGCTGACTAGTGACGTTTAGGGCAGAACTTAAGAAAGATCTACGTGCCGAAGGACCGGTTTATGAAGATCTGACGGCGATTGCCGTCCGAACCATCCGGGGCACTTTCCCTTATTAATTGAAGATACTACCAAGACTGCAAGAAACAAATAGCATGTCAATACAATTTACGGCGTATTCAATTATTTAATACGGCGTACACATAATTGTATACGCCGTATTAAATACCAGCCGAAGTCTTTGCATAATTCTCAAGTTTCAGGCTGATTAGAAATGCGAGTTAATTTTCGTTTATTGGCAGGGAGGGTGCCTGTATGGATGTGATAAAGAACTTTAAGTGGTAGGCAGGAGTGCCAACCCTGAAGCCACATGCCGTTACCCGTAGATATCGATTGTGTAACTTGAAAATCCGCACAGACCACGTAAGAAGGAAGACGGAATCGGGAGCTGGGAATCGGATTCGGTGCGGAGCTTCTTACTCGGAATCAACAACTCGGGTTCAACATAGACTCGTATAGCCAGCCAAATATTCAGAATTCAAATAAATAAAACATGTCTACTTATTCGGCTTCCAAGATGGCGTGTCTTCATATAACCACTAATGTCCTAGAAATCACGATTCTAATCTCACTAAGAAATCCTCAACGTCATCTCCCCTACATATAAAATCCACAAAACATCAGAGCTCCGTCAATGGCTCCACTCAAAATCCTCATCTGCGGAGGCGGCATAGCAGGCCCGGCCTTAGCCTTCTGGCTCGCCCGCTCCGGGCACCACGTCGTCATCGTCGAACGCCACCCGGCTCTTCGGGCGACAGGAGCCCAGGTCGATCTCCGAGAACAGGGCATCGACATGGTCAAGAAGATGGGACTCGACGAGACTTTCCGCTCGAAACTCGTTGACGAAACTGGTTTTGCGCTGGTGGATTCTGAAGGCAGGATTAGGGCTACTGTTTTGGCTAATAGGTCTGGTAGGGGCGCGCAGTCTTTCACGTCGGAGTATGAGATCATGCGTGGGGATGTGGTGAGGATACTCTATGATGAGACGAAAGATGCGGAGAATGTGGAGTATGTGTTTGGAAAGACCGTGGAGAGCTTTGAGCAGGACGGGGATAATGTCGTTGCTCGTTTTTCAGACGGCTCGTCTGACAGGTTTGATATACTGGTCGGCGCTGATGGCCAGGGGTCGCGTATTCGACGAGCCATCCTTCCACCGAACACCCCGGAACCTTACCGCCGATTGGGCATATATATTGCATACTGGTTTATACCACGTACAGCGGAAGACACTATCCTCCGCCGGACCTATCTTGCCCCGGGGGGTCGCATGGTATTTCGTAGAAGCCACAACCCGACGGAGACACAGGTCTATTTCTTTCTCAGAGACGACAACCCAGAATTTCAGAGCATTCCGAGAGCCTCGGTAGAGAAACAGAAGGAGTTCTGGGCGGAAAAGTTCAAAGATGCCGGGTGGCAGATGAACCGGTTCATCGAGGGCATGAAGACGACCGAGAACTTCTATTGCCAAGAAGTCGTCCAGGTTATCACAGACACCTGGTCTAAGGGCCGAGTCGTCCTTCTAGGCGATGCGGCACACTGCGCCTCTCCGTTTAGCGGGATGGGCACCACAGGCGCTCTTATCGGCGCATACGTTTTAGCTGGTGAGATCGTGCAGAATCCAGATAACATACCGAAGGCATTTGCGAACTACGACAAGAAGCTACGGCCTTTCGTTGATACGATACAGAATATACGCACGGAGATGTTCCAGCTGGGGATGCCTAAGTCGTGGTGGGGCATCAAGATATTCTACTTCGTCGCTTGGTTACTCTGCCTCCTTCGCATACCCACTCTCGTCGCGATGTTTTCGAAGGGGGAAAGGGGTGGCTGGAAGATACCGGATTATCCGGAGCTAAAGCCTGCCCGGTAAGACCATGGGACGCTCCGCCAGCAGTAGCCTATGATGGCCATCTCAATTGCCCAGGCGCATATCCACTCAACTCAAATCTTACCGTAAGGCATCACCCGCTCCTTAAAATGCTTGACTATATTCTAGCTGCGGATAAAAAATGACCCCGTTAAGGAGATTCTATGTAAGTCTTATACATGACACGCTAGAGCATGAGAATCCTTCTCCAATGTATACTAAAAATACGCCAATCCACTTTATTGGTGAACGGATTCCGAATATGCAGATTGAAATATTGTACTATATTGCTAGCTTCATATATAACTGGATTCAATTCTGCATCTATTCAAAACCCTCGCCGCATTGTATTTATATCACTTGCGCCATGCTCTATCGGGAAAGGGGGAGCTAGAGCCAGTCCAAAGATGACAATATGTCGGTGTGGCTGTTCGGCTAGGAACTAGCGTACGTCTAAAGCCTTACATGCACTTTTATTTATCGACGTTGCAAGACTCATAAATAGGGTACTTAAACATCATGTCCGCAAGACGGGTCACTGGAAATTTGTTGGGGCATATGCCGAAGCGGACTGAACGCCACAGGACCCCTTGGATCGTCTTCGAAACGTGGCTGGCGTCAGGTACTCCCATGGCTTAACACCGCCTGACGAGTCCGACACTTCCGCCATGTTCAATTCCGAATATCCGTCGAGCTCTTTGATACTTCGGAATAGGGTGTCGGCTGTGGACTTGCTGTTACGAAACCCGAGGCGTCCCGGATGAAGAGTGGTACGCGGGAACTCTTCGATCAGATCAGTACCTTCTTGAGTTACACTTGCCCTCGGTAGTGATGTCTCACCAGATATCTGTACGACATGTCTTCAAAGGGTTTAGTTACCACAGCGGACTGGTTTATGATTGGCCACAAGGACAAGTACCGACATAAGACATACGATTGAAAGGGGACGATATATGCAGGAGTAAAAAGGAAAAAGAAAAGCAAAAAAGCCATTGAGGCGTTGTATATTGCGTGAGTCGAATCTATTTCCCAGCCTACCAGCCTACGTAGCAAAAGGTGGCGTAGTGCGCGATCCATTTCGTCGCAGAGCATTAACCGATTCCGGATGAGACGTCTCAGGTGCATCGAGTTGTTTACTGAAAGGTTAGAGTATCCTGTCGTACAGATAGACTGTCTGCTTTGCAGAACAAGGTCCCGATACCTTCACACAGGGATTCGCGCTGCAGAAGAAGACCGGTCTATGCATGGCGGCCATAGCCCGCCTCGAGGGCTTTCGTGGCGTAGAGAGTGACATGCTTCGCCTCGCAGACACGAATTTTCGTCGTCATCGCGCTGGACTTTTCCACGGACCCGGTGCCGGTCTTCCGCTTCGGAATTACGACTCGGAGTACGTGACATAATTGATAAGGGAAAGCCATGTCCGAAGGGGCTCTGAACGATACATTTGCTACGGATTTTAAAGGCTATTGCTTCATGTGCGTGTAGGAGTACCTATGCTATATGTTGATGTAGATGAGTTACGATCCCACCGACAGAAATATGAGATCCGAAAGCAATTGCTCTGTGTTCAGTATATCCAATCTAGGGGGCCGAGTAAACCCAACATATCAACGAAGCCGCGATTGTCAGTGAAGGTCTTATTGCCGTTTCTTACGGAAACTATCAACAATATAACGTAAACGGCTATTAAGATACCAGTACTCACTACCTACATTGGACATAATGATCAAAACCACATGCTAATATATTTAGGCGTAGCCCCTTGAACTTTACGCTGATACTCGTCTGATTTCCTCCTGCCGTAGCAGACATACGACGAGGCCTATCTAGCTGTCTGACTAACAAACAAACCATCTACACGCCCTAAGGGCTGAGCAGAAGCCATACGTTGATCTAAACACAGCGCATGTAGCTAGTAGCATACACCATACCACAACACAACACACGACACAAGAAGTACTGTAATCACAGCATCCATTACTGCCCTAGCAACCCCAATCCCAACGCCAGAGGCCAGCCAACCCTCTCCACGGGGAGGAGTGATAAGAGCGAATTGTAAAAAAAAACTGGCTCACTCCGCGGCGGAAGACGTTATTGACGACCAATCCGCCAATCCTTTCCTGACCAGCAAACCCAACAAACGATCAGATCATATCGTATTTTTTCGAGTAGAAAAAAAAAGACGACGTGGCGACGTGCCAACCAGTGCTTCCCTATAACTCCAGCAAATCGACCACCTGCATGATAACCTTCTTGTTGATACATGTCTTTTTTTACTCCTTAACCCGCGAGACCACGAACGATGACGCTCCTTATGCTTTGGGATCAGTAACTAAGGTTGGGGCGATCCGACGCTTCTTCGATTGGCCACCCGAATCTTCATCTTTCTCCGACGTGCTCGCTTCTCGCTTAACGCCCACAACTGTGTTAGTGCTCCCAGGTGTCTCGGGTGGTGTTGTCATGGGTACACCCGTCACCTTTCCAGAGCTAGCGGCAGTGATGCTAGGTAAATTCCCACCTATCAGAGGGGGGTTGTTCATGACTGAGACTTGTGTTGCAATCGAAGATGTTGAGTTTGATCGAGCAGGTGAAGAAGGGCGTGCGCTCACGAACGATGTTGTTGGCGGAGGAGACGGGGCAGCAAAAGAAGTAGCCGAGTTTCGGTGCTGATGATTGGGAAAGGGTGAAGGAGGTGCAAATATAGATGTTGGTGTAGGTTGTGGAGTAGCTTGGGTCGAAGGAGCCGTGATAGGGGCAGAGGTCACCTTAGGACCTACAAGCTCGCCCTTGTACTCTTGACCAAGCTCGCCGGGTAGAAACGAGAGTGTTGAGCAAAATCCATCTGATGAAGTTATGAGAAGCGTAGCTCCATCACTTGACCTAGAAGGACGTCAGATATTTCAATATATTTATTCAAGGGGGAAGAGAACATACCAGGTAAGATCGGTGAAAGTAGCTAGGTGTAAGTTGCTAACTACACATATAGGAGTCACCTGTTGAGTGTCATAGAGAAGGACGGAATCCTGCGTTGCTACGGCGTATACCATGCGATATGGCAGAGTAAATCCCATCTTAGATCCCGGTGTTGCTGACCCTGTCTCCACATTTAGATGTTGAGGTGTCCACGACTTCTCGGGGTCTGGTGCAGAGGATGTCGGCGGAGGAGGAGGATCCATAACAGCAGATGAAGGTTTTGAGATGGGTTCCGGGAGAGCTGGGATGGGATCTTCCGCTGAAGATGTGTCGATGGTGATATATTTTGTTACTGGTGGTGACTGCCGCAACGTGTACATTATAGGCGAACACTTGATTGCCACCGATGGCTTCTTGTGACCGGGGAGATGAGCAATAGGGGGCTTGTTGATACCACCTCGGGTATAGATATAAACGGTGTTGATTATTTCATACGATGGTTTAGGGCCATCTTGGTGCTGCACATGATATTGACCGGCAGGAGTCAGGAGTAGGCTGCCGTCGGGAGTAAAGGTTAGACGCCTAAAGAAAGATGTAAGGGTCTCATTGGCATAGAGACTTGCGTTCTTCACACCCAGACCGAAGCCATGGTTGAGTTTTGGGGACGGCTCGATCGGCATTACTGCAGGCAGAGGCAAAGATGGCGCGGGAGACACGGATCGCCGAGATGAAAATGAAGAGCGTCTGCTATGGCTAACAACACTCGGCGGATTCATGGGTAGAGGAACTGACTGCGGCGTTCCTGGTGCAGATGGTACTGGCGATCCGATAGAGGCACTGGGCGTATCAATTGCTGCCGCAAGCTGAGATCGGTAGCCCATGTCAGGCGGGGCTGGGCTGTTAGACGAAATACGCCGAGGGGGGAGATCTGCTTTGATGTGGCTAGCAACCTTGAATGTTTCGTCATCGCGACCGGTGAGTGCGTACTGTCCATTCTTGGTCTTGAGGGAATATATATGGACTGATCGATCCGACGACTGAGTCGCAATATATTCGTTCAGTGGATCCCAGGCGACGCCTTGCACGTAGTGACTATGTTCGGCAATTTGTCGAATTAGAGCGCCTATAGAGACATGAGTTAACCGAGTCGGACACGACGAGGAGGGAATGTGTCTACGAACCTGAACCTGCATTATATATTCGAGCAACATTGTCCATGCTTCCGATGATGAAGTGGGTAGCATCAGGAGACCAGGCTAGATCATATATTTCCGCAGCTGTAGGACGGAACATATGCTTCGCACGCCATGTCTCCTTATCCTCTAACCCTTCGTTTCCAAAAGTGGTGGGGTTATGGGTTTCGTTAGGAACCCATAATATCACATTCCCATCATCTCCAGCAGATGCCAGAGTCTCACCTTTAGGTGCCCATCGAACAACATTTACAGCTTGAGTATGCTTGGCAAGCGTCGATAAGTAGTCAACTCGACGAGTATCATCATCGGCTTCGACCTTCCAGATGCGCACATTGTTATCTCCTCCTCCTGTAGCTAACCTTCCTTTTCCATGTTGAGGTTCAAAGTGAGCAGAGTAGATGGGAGTGTTTTTGTCGTGCCAATTAATGATCAAAGGTGTTGACCTCATGGTGACGGTTCGGCGCGAGACATGAGACTCTGATGCGTATTCGAGGAAGATGCGCAATGTTTAGTAAGTTTTATGTAATGGTCGTCAACTTGGTGGAAGGCGGCGAAGGTATGGGTAGACGAGGCTGCTTCAGGTCGGCCCTCGAGGTTGCTAGGTGTTGGTGGAAATTGCGGATATTTATCGAGTCAATCGGACAGGTCGTCGCTGCGGAGGGAATGAAACCAATTAAGTAATGTGTAATTTACGTTGAACTGGAGTAGGGAAGGATAAGAACTTCCGGTGTGTGGATAATTCAGGTGAAAGCTTAAAGAAGTTCAATGTTGTGAATGTTTGTTGTGAATGATTGGAGTTCTAGAAATTGCGAAGAGGCTTTGAAGCATTGACCAAAGATGAGGTTGAACTTGCCTAGGTAGGTCCATACCCCCAGTGTTGCAGAGTTACAGAGTTACGGGCCAGTAATTAGTCTCGTTACAGGGCTCCCTAGCACTTCTGGCTGTTTCCGTTTGGAGCAGTCTTTTAGGGCGATTAGCTGATACCTTGGAACTGCAGCTGCCCGTCAGAACACACACGCATGTGCGGATCCGTACCCCTAGGAAGGTGTTAACCTGCTAACTTCCAAAACTTTTGACGGCAACTGGGTACCTAACTTAAAACAAGCGTAAGCGGTTTATTGATTGGACAATCTGAATGCGACATATGTAGGTCTGTATAATTCGCCACAGCAAGTATAAAATTTATGAAATATAAAAAATTGTTTAACTCTTATCTTTTCTTCACATTTTACAAATGCTTATCTTTAAACTTTTCATTAGAATTCTTATGCTATCTGTTTGCAAACGTGGGTGAGATCCTTGCATCGCTATTCCTGCATACATAGAATGCGGGATCTTACTTGAAAAGTAATTTACACGTTACGAGAAATGGCTCAACTGTAAACGCGTTTAGGCGCGTTTGGTCCTTTGAGCCAATCACGATAAATCTAAAGTCGACTTTAGTAACACCCATTTATATGGCTGTATGGATAGGATTCTCCGAGGTTACCATTACCTCGTTGTCTTCAACCTTGTTGTGATAGGTAATCGTTTACTTGTTTTATTGAGGCATTGTCGTGTTGACTCATATCTTGGAATAGACGGCTGCAATTGAATTTCAGCTTGAACATACTAGGTAGTGCATAGGAAACACGAAGTTTCTGGTTGGGTAAATGTTTGGCATGAAATATGAATCCTGGCAGTTCCTATTGCATAAGAATTGGATCTTCCTAAGAACCACATTTGTTTATAGTATTAGATCTACTTGAAGTCAACTGCTCTGTTGCTGGATTGGTTTTGTTTCTTGATTGCTTAGTACATAAGTGGCTGGGTATTAAACATTGTAGTCGTTCAACCTTACAAAGGTACTTGATGGATTTGGTAGATAAGTACCCCTATTCCAACCATATGGTGATGCTTCGAATCTCATCTAGAAGCTTTCTCGTTGAGCTGCATCCTTCTCATTAATCTGTAAGAGATATAGATGAGTTAAGTGAAGGGGAATCATCAATGAAGTGACGTATTCGCCTCGTACAATATTTTTTGGATCGGTAGAACTCGAACTTTACCAACTACCGATTCATACTCATACTACGTTTACCCCTATCCATACCAGATTGTACTCACGCTGACGTTGAAAATGTTTCTCAGTCCCCGTGATGATATTCACGGTGTAAAGCGACCAACCTCAGACTTTTCAAAAGTTTTCAACCTATCCGATTGCGGCTCTAAGTTGGAGACAATCCATGACTGGATACCTAGCAACTAACCAAAAAGTTCTTAGACGAGCTTCTTGTCAGCACTACTTCAATGAGTCGTCCGATTTGCGATGCAGCCTCGATTGGTCGCGTAGCAGCCCGCAGGATCAATTGGCGGAAGAGGCATCCAACCACAAGAGCGGTGTGATGAGTTCAATGTTCCATCTGCATGCGGTCCTGAAGTTGTTGCGCGGTATCCATGATTGGCTACTCACCTTTCTCAGCGGAATAAATACCGATATGTTACCTATCTTCGCCAATCTTGGTAGATCACTTGATCGGGTATGGCTGTGAAACAAAAGCTTATAATATCATCAATGCATGTGAATGGAATTCGGAAGCCGATCGTCGACTTCAGGTCGGTTGAAACACACCACCAAGTGGGATGCTTTCTTGTTATACCTGCTGCCTGTTCACCTCAGAGAAATAGGTATTTGAAAGCAGATGCCGAATGACTAGAGCTTCGTGCTTAGTTTGAAGTGGGTTGAGTAAGGATTAGCTGACGTGATGCTTTTTGACCTATGCCGTTGAATCATAATGACAGCGATAGGTAATAACAATGAAGGTTTATGTACTGAAAAGAGTGGCTTAAACAACAGATACCTATACGGTTGCGGGATGTTTTTATACGCGTCCGGTTTTGAATATTTCCACATGCTCCTTCTCCGAACCCGGAGACTGTGATGTTGATAAAGGCAAGAACCGTCTTCATGACATCTACGGTACGGACGGATCGGGGGTCGGGTAACGTGGCTGATTTAGCGCATATATCGCGTATAGATAGTTTTTAAGATAAGTACCCCGCGTCCTCGAGTAATTTCCCGGTTTGTCAGTTACAACCCGCATGATTCATGTGCGTGTCGTACGAAATCGATGTTTCTATTTGTCTACAAGTATGTAAATATTTGGTTATATCTTCTCGAATGTAAGCTGACGCCGATCTGTCGAAAAGATGTCTTACATGCACTCGTATGGTCATCTGCTATAACTTCCAAGGTTAACTTTCTTGAGTATCTACTCCGTGCTTAGGACCTAAGTAGGTACTTAACATTTAACGTTATAGAGGACATGGATGCATGGATGTGAACAAAGATGGGATACTTAATACATCCATAGTACTAGGTACTACATGTAGGTATGTACATACATACATATGTAGGAAGCGACGAACGGATATTACGTGTAACAAAATACCTATTCAATTATAATCCTCGTCGATGACGTGCGACCTGTTCTAGTCCACTAAGTTATGTTGTATGTTGCGAAATGCGAAATGCTACATCTTCCTCCATGAACCATCATTTACTAGGTACCTAGGTATTGACCATGACCACCAACCCCCCACCAACCACCCTCGACACGGCTATACCATTACCATGCTAGACCTGCAGTAATATGTACTGCAACTGTGCATACACCTTCTGATTTTAGATCTAGCCAGCCCTAAAATGTAATAAAATCGATCCTTTTGCATAAGATTCCTAACCCCCTTCTGTTATCCCTTGTCAGGCGATGAGTCTGTTCATTAATGACGCCCCGAGTTCTCCCTAACGAGGTACGCGCTGTTCGGACCGTACTGCTCGTGCACACCGATGGTTATCCCGGAATAGGATACGGATGCAGGACGATGGGTATAATCCCATTGTCTCCCCCCCTGTGGGTCAAGCCTTGCGTCTGCCATGTAAAGGTCCGGGCGAATCGGGATCGGCCTATCGTGCAAAACCCACTGCTAACAAGGGACTCTTGCAGGCCTGGTTGAAATACGGGGGAGTTGACAGAAGCTAATGTGGATTTCGTCAACAGTCGCCTCCTCCCGGGTCTCCTCTGTCATGAGCAAGCCACCAAATGAGTCAACCGGCGAGCCGCTAGATGACATCCGCACTCCCACTAATGATCCATGCGAGGAGTCATAACGACACTACCTACCTACATGTGGTAGGTAGGTAGATATTGTACTCATTCTTGTCTTCTATTGATTAGCAAATGACGTGCAATTCGTCTCGGTCCCCGTTTCTATGTTGCTCGTCCAACGGTCTCGAACTCCTTCAATTTTGACCGGTATCACTGGTGTAAACCATTCCTTTCCTTTTTCCGACTTTCATTGTTCCACTCCCTGCATCGAACATCTCTTTTAAGTCGAGTTAATCCTATCGGCTTTTCGACATTTTTCCTTCTGCGCTACATGTCGCCTTTATACTTCTGAAAGCTCTTGCCATATATTAGCTCTAGAGCTTTCTAGATTTCCGAGCTTAGCTCCGAAATTATATCACCACAGCATGCCCGACAGGACAGTGGTGGTTGTAACTTCAGCTGTCGGCTTGGGCGCTGTCACAGCACTCACCATCCCAGCTGCATTGAGCCTGAGTAAACTGCGTAACCGTGGTCCCAAATTCGCGACTGGAGTTTACGAGGATGAAGATGGAAAAAGTACACGAGATGCTGTTGAAGCATTCAATAATAGGGCCTCGAAGGCCGCTATTCTCATATTTTCTCTAGCTGGTCTCGGGATATCGATTGCGCTTGCCGTGATCTCGACGTTGGGCACACGAGGGGGGATTGATGGCGGTTTGTTCCTCGAAGATTGGTTGGCTGTTCCAATTTGGGTACGTAAGCTCATCGCTCATCGTTACACATAAGACGAACTGAAACGGTCGGATTACTGACATATGCTGTTTCACGTGGACTTAGGCTCTTCTAACTTTACAGGCTACCTGTATTACGTGTAGTCGGGATTCGGTATCTGCTTACGATCTAGGTATATGGTCATTCCTTTCGTGTATCATCCTCACCGCAGTTCTCGCGATCCAGGACGACGACGTGGTCGTATTTTTGCTAGAGCACAATTCTACTGGAATATTTTCCTTGCGCACTGCAGAAATAATTGCCGCCATCTGTCTAGCCGTTTCGAGCCTTTCAATTCCTCGTCGCCCTGATGTATTTCACGATGGACAGCCGGTGGATAGGTTGTACACGGAATCCGCGTGGAGCCGATTCAACTGGAGTTGGCCGGCTTACTTGCTTAACAAGGCTTCCAAGCATGGCAACCTTGATCTAGAAGATCTCCCCCGGCCAGATCATTATACAAGGTCCAAGGAAACAACCGCTGATTGGGAAAGTCGAGGTTTCACCGGCCCGCTCTGGATCTCTATTATCCTCGCACATAAGTGGCTCTTCGCGCTGCAATGGATATTAAGTGCTGTTACTGCCTTCCTCAACATGGCACCTCAGTGGGTTGTTTTACAACTTCTGAACATGCTAGAGCGACGAAAAAACCACGAGAAACTAGGCTACGAGGCTTGGGTTTGGGTCATTCTGATCGCTGTGTCTGTTCTTGTTCGATCATGGGTTGAAGCATATAATTACTGGATATCTTGGGCGCAGATTTCTATACCAATTAGGGCACAGCTATCAGCTCTAATCTTCCAGAAATCAATGAGACGTAAAGACGTCAAGGAAGCTAACAAGAAGAAATCTACCTCGGAATCGCCCGAGCCGAATATTGCTGGTCCGGTTGGCGAAGCGTCTACGGAGGACAGACCGGATATTAACGATTTCGAGGAAGACGATGAGCAGATCCTGAAGAGCAAACAAAGTACTGTCAACTTGATAGGTGTCGATGCTAAGCGGGTGTCGGATTTTGCCGCGTTCAACAGTATCTTCCCTGAAAGCCTGTTCAAGCTGATCGTGTCGCTAGCCTTCCTCCTAGAACTCCTTGGATGGAAAGCTCTTCTCGCAGGTTTCTCAACGATGCTTGCCGTCCTTCCCTTGAATATTTATTTCTCGAAGAGGTATTCTGATGCCCAGGATCGATTGATGAAAGTTCGCGATGAGAAGATGGAAGTTGTTTCGGAGGCTCTCCAAGGGATCCGCCAAATTAAATTCTCCGCCCTTGAACCCCAATGGGAGAAGAAGATTGGTGATATCCGAGAACAGGAATTGAAATGCGTTTGGAGCGCTTTCTCCAATGATGTCATACTCATAGGTTGCTGGATTACGAGCCCGGTCATGCTTGCTGCCGTTTCCCTCGCTGTTTATGCAACCTTGCACGGAAATCTATCCCCCTCTGTTGCATTCGTCAGTCTTGGTGTATTTAAGGCACTTGAAGTTACTCTATCTGTCATCCCGGAGTTAGTAACTGATCTCGTCGATGCTTGGGTTTCCGTGAAGCGGATGGATGCCTACCTGAACGGTGCAGAGATCTCAAAGGTCACCAAAGAAGCTGATGAGGTTACCTTAGACAATGCATCTATCGCCTGGCCTTCAGACAACCAAGACGAGGAAGACATCGATCGATTTGTCCTGCGCAACGTCAACATCTCGTTTCCTAAGGGCGAACTATCCATCATATCAGGAAAAACTGGGAGCGGGAAAAGTTTAATGTTGGCCGCTGTCCTGGGTGAGGTCGATATTCTTTCTGGGTCCATCAGCGTGCCCCGTGCACCATCCCAGCGCCACGACCAGAAAGCGAACAAAGACAATTGGATTATTCCTGGTGCTATCGCGTTTGTTGCACAGATACCATGGATTGAGAACGCGACTGTCAAAGATAACATTCTATTTGGCCTGCCGTACGATGCATACCGATACAACACGACGGTCGAGGCCTGTGCCCTTACAAAGGACATGGAGATGTTCAGCGATGGGGAGAACACAGAGATTGGTGCCAACGGTATTAACCTAAGTGGTGGACAGAAATGGCGAATCACGTAAGTCCAAGGTCACATTCTGACTTAAACCCTTTGTATAAGAGGATATTAGGCCGTTCGAATAGGGTCTACCCTGGGGTGTTGAAACCGGACCTGCAAACCGTAATATGTATTCGCTAACATAATTTGTATAGTTTGGCGCGAGCTATCTACTCTCGTGCGGGCATCCTAGTTCTCGACGACATATTTAGTGCTGTTGATGCTCATGTTGGCCGCCACATCTTCGAAAAGTGTTTAACTGGAGAACTTTGCATCGGACGAACGAGAATCTTGGTTACACACCATGTTGCCTTATGTGAGCCAAAGACAAAGTACCTTGTCGAGCTGGGAGATGGTCGTGTGTTGAATGCAGGGCTTGTGTCCGAATTAGAAGAAACTGGAACTCTGCAGCAAATCAAGAGCCACGAGCAGACAGACCGAGAAATCCGAGATGATGGAACGTCGACCGTCATTAATTCTGAAGATACGTCCCAAATTGGCATTGAACCCGATGGGGAGCCCCTAGCAAAGGTTCCCTCAAAGACACCTGCACGTAAATTCGTCGAAGAAGAGGGCCGCGAGAAGGGTGCTGTCAAGGGCAAAATCTACGCAGCGTATCTGAAATATAGCGGCTCGTGGTGGTTCTGGTCTACGATTCTTTCCCTCTTCCTATTCGTGCAAGTACTGACGGTTGGACGCTCTTGGTGGTTGAAAATATGGACAGGATCGTATGACGAGCATGAACAGAACATTAATGCGCAAACAGACAAGCAGGCATACGTATACCAGTTCGCCCTACCTCAGTTTACGATGAACAGCATGGTTCAGCCAATGGTTCAACCAGAGAACAAGAGCTTAGGATTTTACCTCGGCATATACATCTTTCTCTCGGTTTTCACCTCCGTGGTCTCGACGTTCCGATACTACTACGTATTCTACGGTTCTATTCGTGCTTCTAGACAACTATTCGCCAAACTCAACTTTGTGGTACTCCGAGCTCCACTCCGATGGTTAGATACTGTCCCCTTGGGTAGAATCCTGAACCGATTTACGGCCGATTTCCATTCCGTGGATACACACATGGCATATTCGATGGCATTTGCGGGAAGCGCATTCCTCAACCTTGCAGGCGTCGTTGTCGCTGGACTATTCGTCTCGCCAATAATCATCGTCATGTCACTAATCTTACTTTTAATATGCGCGTTCTATGCAATTCGCTACATTCAAGGGGCCAGGCCGGTGAAGCGCCTTGAATCAGTCACCAAGTCTCCCGTGTTTGAACAATTCGGATCAGCCTTGACTGGCGTGCAGACGATCAGATCATTCGACAAGTCTCATACTTACATCGAGCGCATGCACAAGAAATTGGATGACTGGTCCGTCGCAACATGGCATCTCTGGTTGTTCATCCGTTGGATGGCGTGGAGAATGGCAGTAGTTGGAAGTTTATTCGCTTCATTCGTTGCCATTCTTATCCTTATAAGCCCCGAGATTGACGCGGCGCTCGCTGGTTTTGGAATGGCATTTGCACTCGAATTTTCGGGCCACGTCATGTGGACTATCCGTCATTACGCCAATGTCGAGCTGGAGATGAACGCAGCGGAGCGAATCGTCGAATACACCGAACTCCCAACAGAAAGTCTGGAAGGCAAGAGCCCGCCAGCGGCATGGCCAACAGAAGGGCGAGTCGAGGTAAACGATCTTGTCGTCAGTTATGCGGAGGACCTGGATCCTATACTTAAAGGGCTTAACTTCACCATCGAAAGAAATGAACGTGTCGGTGTTGTAGGACGCACAGGCGCAGGAAAATCGTCTCTCACACTTGCTCTCTTCCGTTTCCTCGAGGCTCGGTCCGGGAGCATCCACATTGATGGACTAGATATTTCCAAGATCAAGTTACACGACCTACGAAGCCGCTTAGCTATCATCCCACAGGACCCTGTTCTATTCAGCGGCACTGTGCGATCCAATCTCGACCCCTTCGACAACCACACAGATGCTGAGCTTTTTGATTCACTAACTCGTGTGCACCTAATCTCTGAGGAGGAAAATGAGGCTCGTAACAGCAATGAGTCATCGCCTACCGCATCCGGCACCTCCACCCCAACCTCTAGCCGGAAAAAGAACGCAAATATCTTCCTCGACTTACTCTCACCCATCTCAGAGGGCGGCCTCAATCTATCACAAGGACAGCGACAGCTACTATGCTTAGCCAGGGCAATTGTGTCCCGTCCTAAGGTTATGGTGTTGGATGAGGCAACGAGCGCCGTGGACATGACAACGGATGCGCTGATCCAGCGCAGCATACGCGAAGAGTTCGGCGATAGCACCCTAGTCGTTATTGCGCACCGATTGAGCACCGTAGCAGATTTCGATCGCATCCTGGTCCTAAGCGATGGAAAGGTAGCCGAGTACGGAACGCCCAAGGAACTATGGGAGCTGGAGAATGGATTGGGGATGTTCCGAGCCATGTGCGAACAGAGTGGCGAAAAGGAACATCTGAGACAGATCGTTTACGGAGAGGTTTGAGTGGGGGTTTGAGACATGCAGACGTGGGGATTAGATAGGAGATACGAAAAGACCGAAGGGTATGAATTGACGAACTATACATGGCTGGACGAGAAAAAAAGGTAGAGATGAATGCATGGGAGTCATTTAGATGGGCTGCTATTGATTGATTGATTATGAGGGCTTGGACGAGGCTATCTACGGAGGCTTTGTTGTATGTTGTGCTTATACTGTTGAATACCTAAGTATCTAGTAGATAGGATACTACTAGGTAGATAGGTGTGCGTGGCACGGTGGATGGTAATAGTAATTGATAAATGGCCAATTCTTTTTGCCTTGGTTGCTTCTTTGATTTGAGTTGTGATGTTTTGTCGAGATGCATTGTACAGACAGATCGCTATCCCACTAACTCATTTTCGCATCGTAAGATCAAGATGGATCCACTAAAGTCGTTGTAAAATACAGGGCGCTTGGGGACTTTCAGGCGCTAAAGCTGTAAGGGATTTAGCGGATAATTACAGTGAAGTTCGACCCAAAAATTTGGGGCAAATGCTGATGGCTCAAAACCACCTGAATCGAAATATCTGCGCACCGTGTGCTTTTTTCTTCAGTGGTTAAGCTTCTAAAACGGGCTTGAGCTATGGCGATTATCTACAAGAAATTTAGCGGATAGAATACTGTCAGGTCTCGATTTAAGCCCAGTAGATGCCTAGGCTTAATACAGTATGAAGGGATTGCTTATTGAATTGCGTACTGGGTAAGGGGCGCGGCCGATGGCCCTGTATTTATTATTTAACCGCTAAGCCCCTGTAAATTATAGCGAGTTTAGAGGCTATCATATGCCAAAGTTATAAGGGATTTAGCAGGCCATGACATCACATAGCCACTTACCAGGCGGCTTGCCTACAAATAATCGCCATATTCACGTAGTCAGTCCATTTTATTTCACAGTTCGTTTCATTTGCCAATATGTGCAACTATGGAAACCATCTGGTTATAAACTGTGTCCCTATCCTTTCATCTCCAATGACTGCTATCAATCAGAGTCAAAAGGTTTCACGAGATCCTATCCTGCCTGCTATGTTATCCCCAGAGATGATAAGATCATCCTTAACAAAGGAGAGCTGCCGTTGTCATTCGTCATGATTGTTATCGTTGCCGGCGTTATCATTGGTGATCGTAAACCCCAATAGCACAGGGTTCTCGTCGTTTCTCGTCGAATCGTGATGAGACAGAGGGAAAGAAAGAAAAAATTGCTGCGCATCGGCAGCGCCCAGATAAAGAAAAGGAAAATTCAAACAAGTATGCACTTTGTTAGTGCTTCAGTACCAGCCCAAGTACCTTTCCCAAACGCCCTTGATGAAACTCCGTTTCAACCCATTTCTAAAATATTACCAATGCCTGGAGACTTAATCTCTATCCGTCGTAGTCAAACTCTACGATCTCTTCACGTACACCGCAATGATTGTCGGTAACAAGATCATGAGAACACAACACCATGCTAGGAACATGTTCCTAACAATGTTGTGCTGACGGATGGTCAGTCGGCGTGCTTCACCACTAGTGTACCACAGCAGAACAGGATCAAGTATTCCGGCCATTACGAGGATTGCGATGAATGGGAAGAGTGCAGACACGCATGCGGCTGCGGCGAAGATTCGCTGGCGCTTGACACGAGCACCATAAGACAGGTAGGGCTCCGTCATGTCCTCGATGGCAGCGAGGCTCATCTGGCTATCGTTGTCCATGCCAACATGGTGGATCACCGTCATGTTGGAGATCTTGCGCTGCACCGAATTCTTCTTGTCTACAGCATGAGTCTTCATTCTTTCGATCCACGATGGCGCTCCCAGAGGGGTCAGAATTGTGTCCTCGGTTACACTTGGCGTACGAACTCTGGCCTTCGCGGGCTCAGCGAGGTTGGGATGGGTGGTGGCGGAGAAAGGAGGGGTTATGTCTAAGCATCTTATGTTAGCATTGGCTATTAGATGAATTGAATGTTGGAACTTACCTCGGAGAGCGTCTGTATAAAAGACGCTCGAGGGGCTGAAGTCGATGGACAGCTTGGGGGCATCTTCAATTCTTCGCGTATGCTTGCGAAGGGGATGCGGAATTCGAGCGGGAGTGTTCGAAACCGCCCGGATCGACTTGACATTCTCAGCTCGTAGACAACGCTTAATTGTCGATTCAGTCTCATCCGTTTCGCCACAGTCGCGTTGCTCCTTGTTCAGACGCTGAGCCTCGTCGAGTGGGATGAGCTCGAATTCAAACTTCGAACGAGATGACATGAGCTCTGCATTGGAGGTAGACGGTTCCAGGTCAACCCAGTTTGGATCCTTGTCCTTGCTGATCTTGCGTGAAGCCATGCGACGGTTGGGATAATCTTGGTCAACAAGGCAAGGGTCGGATGGTTTCTGGGAAGAAACCTCTACTACCTTCGATGAGGTCTGCTCAGCCAAAGAGTCGTCCGATTCGGACTTGACTACAGGAAGGTTCTCTCTAAGAGGGACCTTTTCGAGAACTCCATCTCCGGATTCAGTCGGTGCCATGGACAAGCGAGCGTTCGACGGGTGACGCTCCAACGTCTGGGTAGCGAACGTTGACACCGAGTCTCGGAATTCGAAGCGGGATCGACCGGTGTAGCTTGTTGGGAGAATAAGGCTTCCCGAGTCCATGTTGCGTCGATTACTATCGATTCGCAGGAAAGGGTTCGTGCTAGACACGTTACGCATAGGAGATGTAGGGTGTTCGTTGCTTTCACCAACCGTGAAACAGCGCGATGAGTTCTCGGGATAACCTCCCGGACGAGAATGCTGACCCTTCGGAAGAAGCACAGGCCATTTCGATGGCTTCATGGTGTGCATCTCATAAGACTCCTGCTGGCCCTTCAAGCCTGGATGCTGTATAACTCGAGGCCGATATCTAACTGTAGTGGGCATTCTCCACACACTTTCCTCCGAGTTGCCTGCAACACTGCTGCCGGTGGGTTGGATTATGTTGGGGTGGTTCATCGAAGTACCCGAGACAAAACCAGCTTCACTGTTCATCTCTGTAGTACACCAATCATCGGTGTTCGCAGAATCGCGCATAACCAAACCCTCATCCTGCTCGGGAATATTGGGGTTCTGGTTAATGCCATGGTCCCTCTGGCTTCTTAAGTCACCATAAGCACTTGTGGATGGAAGACGGGTTGCTTGGTGTCTCAAAGGACTGTCTTCGTCTTCGGTGACAATGGTGGCCTGGCTTGCTTCGCTCACTAGGCCCACATGGCGCATAGCGAAGCTTACATCTCGTCCTCTTGCGGGTCTTAGTGTCGCTGAATCACGACCGCCGAGATAGTAAGATGTGTTACACGCGTTCATGAACACATCCTCATAGGATGAACCACCCAAGCTTGCTCGAGAATCATCATTGAGCAAATGTTGCAAGTCACTAGCAGTGGCGTTGTTCTTCGAACTTCCGAAACCGAAGTCTCGGATTGACTTGGATCGCCGATGGCCACGGCTCGCGCTGGGGGGACTCTGAGGAAGACCTAGAGGGGGGCCACTGACTGAGCCAAAGTGAGCGGCGCTGAATCCATTGTACATTCCCTCGCGGCGCATCTTGATCTGAGACTTGGACGGATTGCGGAAGGGGGGTTCAATATCCGTCTCAGGACGATCAGCAAAGACTTCTAGGATGCGGTTAATCGTGTTAGAGACGTTATCGTCCGGCTCTTTGTACTCGAGCTCGTTGTCGTCTTCTTTTTCGAGTACGGGGGAGTTCGGAGGCGCCTCCAGGTAGGGCATCTCCACCACATCGTGAAGACTTCCTTCTGACACAGATCGTCGGTACGTGGTCGGAGATTCTTCAGCAACAGAATCATTCGACGCTGCCTCCTTCACACCAGCATCACTTACACCAGAGGCGTTGCAATTAGGTGATGAGATAGTGATTAGGGGCAGTGAAGTCTTAGAGGGCGTGGATCCATTAGGTTCCTCTTGGGAACCTCCATTGCTGCTTCCAGATACGTCTGCCATTAGGAAGTGCTATTCTCTAGGGTGATATCGTTAGTAGATGAAATGTGAAACAGTGGCAGTGACGAAGGGGTGAAGTATTATTTTTGTGGAAGGTGCGATCCTTAGGAAAAGTGAATGAACGTAATGGCGTGAACGAAAAGTAAAATATTGGTATAAAAGGGTAGTGGGTTAATAAGGAGTGTTAAGGAGATGTAGTGAACCGTATCAAAAAATTGTACGGTATGGATGGTAAAGGGGATGATAGGAGAGGTGTATGTTGGTGATAGACATAGCACGATAGATGGGGATAGTATAATGTACATACCTTGGTCAAATGAGAAGGAAGAAAAAAGCGACACAGAACAGCGTGAGATAGTAGTTCGATCTTTTCGGCAAGAGGAATTATGTGCTCAAAAAGAAAGCGTGGACGCGACTGAGTATTTAAAAATTAGTAAGGGTATATATGAATGATGGGACGAAGAAAGGTTGGTATGATAATACGTGGGTGATTTTTTTTATGTGGGGGATATGGAAAGGAATTGCAGAAGGTATTATCTGTTGTGAAAAAAAGAACGTTGGGAAAAGAAGGTTACTTACCTGAGATATTTACTAGATGATAGAAGTTGTGCGATTGAAGGGTGAGGATTGGTGGTGGTGATCGATGGTGGACGCAAGTTAGAAGGTAGGTGACGAGAAAAGATGAAGTTGGCTAAGCGCGAGGGTGATAACCTAAGGAAGTATCGAATAGGTTACGATCAAGTGCCCCTTTGAACCGCGTCTGAAAATTGGTAGCTTAATAGAACGCGTCGGTCGAGGGAAAGAAACGGACGGGTGAAGTATTAGGATAGAGAGGCCGGTTGAGTAGCTGATCACCGACGTAAAGGGAAAAAAGGGAAGAGTGCGTTCTGTAAGAAAAAAAGAAGAATCGTAATTCACGAGAAAAAAAAACCTACTGGGATATTAAGAGGAAGAGGGTTCATGATCGTGGAGCAGGTGGGTAAGAAAGGAAGAAGGTAAGAACGTCGCAACGATCCAGTGCTGTAGATATCTTCTCGCAGAATCAGTAAACCGGTGAAGCTTGCTAAACTATTTACAGGGCCACGATTTGGTGTTTTAGCCATTGTACAAGTACTAGGTATTGTCCTGAGCTGCTGATTTGACGGTTGTCTAGGTACTTGTAAGGTACTTAGGCATTTGACCGGACTCGATGGTATATCCCGTACCCATTTGAGAGGTAGGTTAATAGAGGCATGTCATTGGTATTGGGCAGACTAAAAGACCAATACCTTAAATTGAACAAACCAACTAAGTGTCCCGTCGCCTAGCAATCCAACTAAAATATGTGTACCAGAGAATGATATGGATATCTAGAACCAGTTTAGCTCGATTTTACACAACGAAATAAATCAAATACTGTACAAGTACGTACATACGTACCTAGTCAAAATCATTAAAAAATATTTTTTCGTCAGTACTTGTTTGTATTTCGGACGATGCTATTATCATGTACCCCAGATTGAGGTTAAACTGCACCCATTCTACATAGAGCAAATGGCGTATTTGGAAATACAAAGAGCCAGAAGTTGAGTTCATTGTAGAACTCAAGTACCATACAAGAAAGGATCATCTGAAGCTCGAATTGGATATAACATCGCTATATATATTTTTTCTTGGGTATGTAAAATAATATCGAGATGCCAAGAAACTTGTATAGTAGGACCTGATCTTCGCTTAAACCAGTTTTGAATCATCTTGCCAGAAGAATGAAAACTTTTTTAATCACTGTAGCAGGAAGGCTTAGCTCTAATATTTGTTATTGGTTTTGTCCAGAATACGTTTAAATCATACTACTAGGTAGGTTAGGTAGCAAACTGGGTATCCCGCTGAAGCGTCTCTTAGGAAAAATCATCATTCAACGATGTAAAGAAGTATCATTGCTATCATAATAGTACTGTGGAATCCTGTTTTATGTCACATGAGACTATTATTTCTTGTCGCTTCGACATCGTGTCGCTTGATGGTAGGTGAGGTGAGGTTGAAAGATGCATTTCAAGAGTTGTGTGTCGTTAAATGCTGTCACCGCCACAAGTGGCGCATTCCCAGCTTCAGCCTCAAAGTAGAACCTCGAACTTTCCAAGTTTTGCACATGCTCCTTCCAAGGTTGTTTGCCATTTTGCGGAGTATTTGCCCAGATCTAGTGAAAACATGCACGGGCCTCATCCCGAGGACTCGGACTCTATGGTAACATCGTTAGGGCTGGATTCAGAAGGAAGACCCTCCCAACCAGTAACCCCGCGGACCCGTTAGGTAGTGATTATCTAGCGCGCCTTCTAGTGCTAGTGTAGTTCTTTAAAGGTTTGCTGTTGCCCAGGTGTTACAGCCTACTGGTGCTATCAGAGGCAGTAGCAACAGAAGCGGCGGACTTTACATCAATGTGGGCGGAGTTAAGTAAATACATAAGTATCTAGGTACCCATGTACCTGATCAATTATTTCAACGTTCGTCATTGAACCCGATAAGCTGAGGGGGATTCTACTCATAATTCCATCTGATTCGAAAGAAAAGCATCATTCCTATCTTTGTCAAATTATTATTATCCACTATCCTTAAATGTCAAATGAATTCATAACCCCCCCTTGTCTTTATTTTTCGGGTCCTTCGTCTTATCCTGTGATCAGCTAAGAGCTTGTATTCATATACTACTTAACTAATAGACACAATTAAAATATCCTCCGGATCATGGTTGGTCCTAGTCGCCTCGAAAACCTCCCCGATGAGATCTTTCTCCATATCCTGTCTTGTAAGTCCATCGTCTGGGTACTGGTACTTCACCTTCCAACCTCAATATTTCCGCTAACTATTAGCTCCTCACATTTATTAGTCCTAGAAGCCCGCGATGTCGTTATCCTCCAAAGCCTGTCGAAACATTTCATGAGATTGTGCCGAGACGGCAATTTCTGGCGTAACAAATGCCTCTCCACCCCCGCCGTTCGCGAACGTATTAGACTCTTCTGGTCCGGATCTGATTGGATTGATGAGGAGGGTGCGGCATTAAGTGGCGCGCTCGCGACGGGGCAGGGAAGTCTAATAGAAGACCAAAATGAAGTGCATTGGAGCCGTCTCGAGAGCCTATCCCAATTATCTGCTAAGAGGAGGAAGAGGGAGCAGATTCGCATCGCTGCAAACTGGGACCCGACATTCCCGAATGAAAATACAAACTGGTATAATGAATATTTTCAGAGATATGGTCCTATTGCCGTCAGCTGGTTCGAGCAACCTCAAATTCCAAATGGTTCCCTAAGGGACCGAATAGATGCCAGTGGAGTTGCATTATATAATCCAAGTTTGATCGAAAATGAACTCTTTGCCGTGTCGCCGCTGGAAGATGGCTCGATCTGCTTATGGGACGTAAAAGGCACTCGGTGCAGGCAAGGATCGATTCTGGCGAAATCTAATCCTGGTCTTTTGTGCGCTGACGGCTCTGGCGCCGATCTGTCAAGGCGCTCCAAGATGATCAACACAGGGGTAACCGAGTGCGTAAGTGTCGATAGCAAGAAAAACATGGCTTTCTTCGCAGTTCAGAGTCGTACGTTTTTACCCGACCAAAATTGAGAGGATCCTGGCTGACTCGTGTTAAGGTCTCATCGAAGTCGACCTCGAGACGTTACAGGTCGTGGGGAATCATCCTTTCGAATGGTCCATTACTACGCTCTCCGCCGCGGATCCTGGCGTCCCTTTGACGGTTGGAACGCTTCATGGCTTACACTTGCACGATTTTAGAGCAAGATCTAATTATCGCGAAGAATATCAGATTCGATTAGATGCTGTTAGGAAAAATGGTCTGCGGGACCTTTCTCACGTCCTAGACCCTAGGCCTCTTGATCCTTATGCATCTCTTGCGCAATCTGGACCGCAGAGTATTCTTCATCTCGAGCGTTCCGGCGACGGTAGCCAACTTTCTGACGACATATTCGTAGCCGGCCGGTTCTCCAATATTCTACACTACGACCGGCGCATGTTTCCGGCAATTAGAGGCTCAATTCACTCGGGCGCAAAGCTCTGCAGCCTCACATCGCTTCCTTACCCTTTCTCTAGCCTCAACAGTGACCTGCGTCGCCGTTTTCAACTATCCGAGGAACAAGTCGAGAAATCTAAGAGCGTAACTGGTGGACGAACCTTGATAGCGTGTGGCGAATATAATACGAAAGGGTCACTCGAGTTGTACGGCCTATCCTCCGGCTTTAGCAATGTGCAGCAGCCCCGGGTTATCCATGAGTCTACCATGAAGAATCGGCAGACAGCTTCCCAATCGAAGCTGCTCTCCGTCATCAACCATGGCACTCGACTCGTCTTTTCCGACGGACAAGGATACCTGAAGTGGGTCGAACGGGATGGCTTTACGGAGGTACGCCGTCACAAGATTGGCAAATCCGAAAAGATAGTCCATCGCTCACTGTTTGAGTCTATGCCTGGGTCCGATGAAATCGCCAGAAAAATCCTCTCTACGCGGACATGTGGACAGGATGGTGAAGTTCGGGTCAACGACGACGATATCCTATTTTGGACCGGAGAGAGGCTGGGGCTGCTCAGCTTCTCATCTGAGCCTGGATTTTCTCCGGAAGATTTCGATGAGCACCCCAGAACGCCGGAAGAGATCGCGGCAGAAGAAGAGGAGCATATGTACGGCGAGAGGATGAGGCTGGCCTTGGAACGACAGGCGAGAGACGTCCGGTTTGTACAGAACCTTGGAGCCGGAAATATCCACAGCGGAATCTAAAATCCTGGCACCTGATTTATTTTCGCCTCGAATCATAATCGTCTCTGTCCGTTCAACCATGCTGAGCAGGGGAGGAATTCAACCACATCCACGTCATGTCGTCTAATAGGCGAGTAGACGGGCTGACTGGCTGATTTTTTGATTACCGCACTCTCTACTAGAGGTAGAATCATGATCTCACTACGTAGGCTTAATGAGAAAAGGATCGGCGGATTCGGAAGTTGAGGCGGGATGCGTTATCTTATCACGATATCCCATACACCATTGGTTATCCAAAGTCTCGGAGGCAAAATTGTGTCCCTGTTAAATGCAGGTGGACCGTTAGCGCTGGACCAAAGAGGACGTCAGCTAGAGAAAAAAGATGGGGGTTATGAGGGGGGTTTTTTAGAACTTGGTACATACAACAATCCCGTGATATTTTTTTTGAACTATTTTGTTTTTCAACGTAATTCTTCATTCTTTTTTTTGGGTTTATTTTTACGCATGATATATGGATCCTGAACATGTTTGTCAGTTATCCCTTCTCCATTACTCCTCCTCTTGGCATACCCGCGTGACCATTTTTCTTCTTTTCCTTTGCGCATAAATGTCTCTCGAAGGAAGGAAAAATGGAAACGTGTGTTGTCGTTAGCCTCAACAAAAAACCAAGATGGCATCAGAGCTATTGATTGACGCATCAAGCCAACTGAAAAAACATGAGGCAGCAAATCAGAGGATTGGTTCCACCATCTGAACCAGATAATAGCCAATGGAAATTGATCCAGATTACTACTAGGACAGGGGGACTTCCACTTGTGGTCCCAGACCCACTCATCCGAAAGACTAAAAAATACCAGGACAGCTGCAAGAATACCTAGGTACAAGGGTACATAGGGTAGTGAGTTGCACCAATTACAACCAATCATTTCGGGAAAATTTCCCTTCGCCTTCTCTCTTTTCTTTCATCATCAATGTACCCACAAAGTTGCTTCAGCCAAGTTGCATCTCTTGCATCTCTCGCTCCCGGAGTCGCTCAGCATTGACGCAGAATTGCCACTTGCGCTGCAGTGGATTGCAGGATATTGCAAAGTCGAGGAAGTCTAGACTTATCATCCTACCATCGAGGTTTGTTGTCCGATTTTTTTACTCTCGAAATTTATATGGTATGCTACCAAACATACTACGCAATATGTCCTAGGTTCCAAGCAGATGAGGCACGTATGCCGAGAACCACGGTTCGTGCTGCTTACTTGCTGCGTTGTCAAAATTGAGACGACGGGCTTACAGTGAGTACTTCCTTTCGTCGTACTCTCCGAACCCTCTCTATCCTCTCTGCACCTCTCTATCTCTGCCGATTCTGCCCCTCGAACCACACACCTCTCACCCAGGTGTTGGCGTACCATACCTGACGCTCGGCTCTCTCGCTCAACCCTATGTTTTTATAATGGGTAAAAAAGAGAGGTAGGCAATTCAAAGTAGGGAAAGGCAACCGGTTACGCCACTGCGCTACTGCGCTACTGCAATCCGTCCCTCGAAGCTCGCATGTAAGCATTGCATTCCTGCATACGGGCTCTGCCGGGTCTCCGTCGTATTTTCCCTTTCACCGCTCCCTCTCTTCATCCCAAGTCTCGTTTCGGCTTTATTCATGTACCAGCCATCTATGTATGATCTACTATGCTAGAATTTCCCTATCCCCATCCCACACATCGTGTCATCGAACTTGGACAAGCAAATTCCAAGCAATCCCATCCCTTGCTTTCTCCACTCTTACGTCCGACTCTTAACTTTCTAGAGGTAGGGCAGATCGGGAAAGAAGGAAAGAGAAAATAAAAGAGGGATAGGTCGGAGATTTCTTTTGCTAGGAACACTTCGGTCTCAAATTTGTCAGCCACGGTCTATCCCGTCCAAGCAGGTCCTTGGTTGCAGACACTCCCAAGAAGTGGATTATTTGGCGTTGCCTTGTCTTGTCCGAGGGGGGGCTGCAACCTTTAAGACCTCCACATATCACTGCTGTCCTGCCGGTTACAGGTCCAAACCAGCCTGTCCTGGGAGAGTGAGGCTAACGCCAGCTTAGCCGCTGCGTGTGTAAACCAAGACCAATCCGGATCCGACTTTTTCAAAAGGGATCCTGCACGTCCATTGATTGTCGTGGCGTTCTTGCAGTCGAGGAGATTAGTTCAGCTGTTACTATATGGGTTTTGACATGAAGAATCCGAGAGAACATCGGTGATGATTCGCAAGTCTTCCCTTTTGACAACAAAGACCGAGCTCGTCACATCTATCTTCTACGACCTCTGGCGTGGTACCACGTTCTAATTCACCTGTGTTTCAACATTGATCAAGGTCTTGCCCAAGCATGTCAAATGGCTACCTGGTACGTCGGAGGGACGGAGATGTCGCGCTCCTCAAGCGACTCATCTCTTCCTTCAGACGGTCCATCTCGTCAACGTCGTCGATATATCGATAACAAGAAACGACGCCCTAGCCATTCTGGACTCTCTACTCTTCAGGACGACTTCAAAATGTTTCAACCGTTCAAGCGGAATCGGTTCGTTAACAATCACGATACCTTCGAAAGTGTCGATTTTGATCAAAATCTGGCCCGACCTGCTTTCTTCATTATCAAGGAAGCAAACCACGGGAGAGGCTACCACGGATTCGACCCGGTCATGGTTGAAAAGACGTTTACAGCTCCTCACTACCCCGGAACGCAGCCTGGTGTACCTTGCCAGCATTTTAGGGTGCACCAACCATCAGATTCGCCCGATATGAATCACCAAACGCATGCGAAAGATAAAGATCACGATGATGCGGCGGAGTTAGTTGCGGCCGACTTGGCGGATTCCCGTAGACGGAGCAGGCACTCCCAGCACGAGCGGATTCTAAGGAGCCTCATCAGTCCCAAGTCCCCCGATGCGGAGTTCGACATAGACGACGTTGCTCTCCAAGGCATATTTTACGCTGCGAACGAAATATTCTTCCATGGGAAGTTGAAAGGTCGGGTCGCATGGTCTTGGGTGGATCTCCCGAGCTGTCTAATCGGCACGACGGCACTAAGACAGTCGCCTTTAAATCCGGGCCTCGAAACACTGATATTCTTATCGCGGCGGATTCTCAAGGACAGAAAATACAATAGACGCCTACTCATTTCGACATTTATTCACGAACTTATTCACAGCTACCTATTCGTCGTTTGCGGATTTCAATCGAGAGAATGCGGCGGCCATACTAACGGCTTCCAAAGGATTGCCGGACTCATCGATAAATGGGCCGGCCCGGATCTCCTGTATCTCTGCAACATGGAGGCCGAACTGAGCGATTTTGAGACGAAAGCTACGGTCCTGCCTAGGGACCCAGTTTTCGACGGTTGGGACGTGCCGTGGTCGCACGACCCAGCAGCTGGGGACTATATCTTGTTGAATCGTCCCCAATGCAGGTTGAGGCCTGCAATACGTTGACTGGACCGGGAAATACTATGACATGTCGGAGGACCCAAGCCTCCGGCGATGTTTCATTCGATGCTTTGCGCCCAAAAAGCAGCCCAACGTTACCCCGCATAGGGCTAGACTTTTTCTATCGTTACTTTTCCTTTGTCATATACAGGCATGGCGACGGCGTATCGTTATATACCCTACTTAGATTCGGATGAAATTACCGGGCTTCGTGATACGTCGAGATGATTTATTATATCTAGATCAGCATAGCGCATGAACTTTGGTGTTGGAATAGCACATATTGGTGTTCGGATTTTTTCCCCTTCGGCTTTTTTTTGTCACGTCCCCTTACGCGTTATGGTCATTTGCATGTTGGGAAGGAAAACGGGATACATACGACTTCATGTTAATATTGCTGATCCTTCGGATCGAGTACATACATATCTAGGTAGCCATTCTATTCAACTCTAATGATAGATAGGACATACATATCTCCGCTTCGATATATTATCATATACATACATGATTTAATTTCTAATACAAGCAAATATTGATACCCTATTACCTATTGCCTATTCCTAACCCCACGCGATCTGTCGAGTTGGCCAGGCCGAAAATGGCCACCCCCATCTTGACGCCCTAATGCCGAGCATCTAGCGCCCTTTCCAACGGCCAGCGGCCGCGTTAGGTACGAACCCGAAACTAGCCCGTGCATGGGGTTAATATCAGATTAGCGACCCGACGATTACGATCCCGAAGCCACGGTGCTAGCTGCAGGATCGATAATACATACCTACCTCTTGCCTTACCGCCTCGCAAGCCTTGGCTGTTTGTTTTCCTTATGTGGTGTGTGGCAGCTCGAGGTATCTCGGTACATGTATGTACTTGAGTACATACGTGCATCCTAAAATGGAAGGCTGGGCGTAATCTTATTCTATTGGATGGCTGTTGAATAACGATATTCCGCGCTTGGGACCAATCATTCAAATGGGCGAGTCTGACGGAAAGAACCTTATGTTGACTTATCTTATTCGAAATAAATCCTGTCCTCTACATCTTTCAGGATCGGTACGAAAAACATCACACGCACGTATGATTCCCTTTGACGCGTACGACGTTGGAATCCGGCTTGCTCGGTTGCGATTCATCACACCGTAATTTTCACATGATCCTTAGTCTCCTTAACCCTACATCAACTAACCCGGCAGCCTAGCAGTTTCCCTCCTAGCCTCTTACCGACCGCTAGGTACTGGGTATGTAAGGTAGGGGCAACCCTTCACTCCTTCACACCTTCTCGCGCACTAAAAAGCCGCGCATACATACATACGCTCTGTTTCCTAGCGTTCGACACCACACTAACTAACTCTAGATGGCACTTACCATCGAGGCGCGCTAGATCTCGCTAGATACGAAGCAAGCCCTGGCCTAGAAGCCGCGCAGAAGGCTGATCGCAATCTCATTCGGTAGCGCTGCGTTCTGCGGTAGCTTCGTTTCAGCTTCATCGCGATTCCTGGCAGACCGCGCCCGCGAAGGATTGAGTGAAAACGGCACTTGTGTTTTTTTTTTTCTGCGCCAGACTAGCACGGGTCGGTGCTAGCTCCTTCCGGCCCGGGGTCCCGGGCTCACCGGTGATCGACAGGACCCGCTCGGGGAAGGTGAGATCCGGAGGATCTAGCTTTTTTCTTCTTGATAGATTAGGTGGGTGCGTGATTACATAACCACCTATTTAACTACATGCGTCCTCGCGACCCGGTCCCCATGTGGTATGGCCCGGAGTTACTATGTATGTATGTATGTGAGTAGGATGTATCACGAGACCGCCGTTTGACGCAGACACCCATACCGACTCAGCCCCGTTTATCGCTAGTTTTTAGGTGATATTGATGTCGAACAGGGACATGGAGGGTTGTGTCTAGGTCACGACGCGGTGAAGCACAGAGCTTGTGCGTTAATTAGTCGCGTTATAGGCTCTGCGGGGGTGGTGCTATTGTTGGCATATTTCAATGGTCTTTATGACGGTAATTACTTGCGTCTACCCCTGGTAGCTTTGGGAAGTTCGAGCAATTTCGGGAATTGGAGTTTCTGAATATGGTCGCCGAGGTCTCTACCGCAACAAGAGATTCTAACAATACCGCCTGACCTTTCTTTTGCATCTCATTTCATTAGAGCTACTGCTATCAATCGCAGCTAACTCCAATATAGGTAGGCTACAGAGATACGTAACATATCTAGGAACAAGGATATTCCTTCTAGGGTTTGTGGGTAAGCGACGTTTTGGAGTCAACAGTTTTGGGCATAATCACCATATCAAGCTCAAGCAACAGGCAAGCGATGTTTCGTTGTAACCGCTAACAAGAAACTGTCTTGATTCATATAAGAGCAGCGAGTCAAATCTGCCAACAATCATTCAACAAGCATTTCTACTAATGTTAGGTCGTTATGACAGTATTAAAATCGCGATGACTACTAGGTACCTACTTGGATACCATAACTCAGGGACTGAATCATCTCCATTTCGGGCATTCAATGCCATAGGACTCAATATATAAATACGTGTATCTATTGAGCTACCTAAATCGTCTCACGCTCTTGGGATAGGTAACCGATAAGGTCAATATATAGACATCACTTCTGAAGACAGTTCCTTTCTCCTTTTCTTAATTTTTTACAATTCTAGAGATAACCTAACATTCAAACACGCCAGCAACTTTCAACGGCCATGGCCATACGTCACTGATAAGCCCCCCTAATGGTGAGCGGGGTAATGGCTATGGCATCTATCACAGTAGCCGAGTGCGGCCAGATGATCACGACCATAAGGCCCTCAGGTCGCGACATGCAAGTATGGCCGTCGTGTTAACCCCTAGAAGTTGATTTCCTCTGACTATACATAGGAGATAAAGTTTTATTACAGAGAGTGACGCAGGTCCTTATCTAGTAAACGCCACCTTGCAAGCGACTTAAGGAGACTTGGTGTCATACTAGCACTCGGGGCCAGAGCAGCGTCCAATGGACCTACATATTCTCCGCGCCTACAATCGCTGGCGCGGGTAAGGCGAGGAAATGGCGCTCAATGAAGCCTTCTTTTCCTAACCGGTCCACATTTTCGTTGGAATCTGCTCGGGCAGAACGGTCGCCATATAAGAAGTGTGAGGCTCGAAAAAATAAGGCAGCGGAGGTATCAGAAGGTACATAAGGAGGAGTAAGCATGAGGAGCTAGCTGACTGGTCTGAGAACAAAGACGTCTTAGCGCACCACCAGCTTACTTGCGCATGGTATTGTTATAATTATTCTAGAGTTCGAGCGAACCTTTTGAAATGACATAGAAACGAAATTCAGCATGAGGAGGGGATGCAATGGTTGAGAATTAGATTAAAATATCGTAGGGTTCATTATTTATTTACCTACCTGGGCACCTCCATATATGTGACATGGTCTCGTGGGGTTTCTAGTACCTACCTGTCGCAAAGTATACTGATATCTCAAGATACATCCGCATCAAGGATACACGTGGACACGATACGTCTCAACGTCGCATCCGATTCCGGTCCGTCCCCCTGTCCAGCTGCCCCATAATGCTCCGCCGTCTTGTTAAAGAGGCCATTATTAATCATCGTGTTGAACTCCTCCAATCGAGGTCTGGTGAGAGGATCAACAGCAAGACACGCCTGAATCAAGAGCCGGAGGTCAGGATCTAGGTCAGGACGAACGTTGAGGCTTCGTGACCATATACGAGCCTCGTATAGCTGACCGATTATGTGCCCACTCATAACTCGAGCCATTACCTAGAAGTTGCGCTAGTTAGTCGAGATTCTCGAGTCATAAAAGGGGGAGGGGGTGAAAGAAGAGGGAACTTACAACCCCGATATCGAGAATGTTGAAATCGGTGCCTTCGTGTCGTCTTCCTACTGGTTCCCGCCTGTGATGACATGTTAGCAGAGTTTCCCGTATGTAGGTAGTTGGGGGTACTCACAGGTTCGGCAAACCTAGGAAAACATCATGTTCCTGATATAAACGTTGATTTAACTCCCTGGGGGATTGTGGGCCCGTCTCTGATGCTAGACCGAAGTCGATGAGCTTCAATGGCGGCAAAAAGGCGTGTTCGTGGAGATACACAGTACCGTTCCTAGATAGAAGCCTCGTCTTTTCGACCATGCCAAAAACGACTAATGAAAGTTAGCGGCCGTATAAAACAGTTAGCAAGGAGTTATCGTGGATGTTACTTACAGTTCGCTCCATGCATATCGTTATGGGTGAGCCTTGACGGCTCTTCATCTCGAGTATGCTCTAGCTGTGTATCTGGCCCTTTGGGAGGGTAAGCCATTGCAATGCAGCCTCGTACCACTGTTTAGTAGTTAGAAAATGCTCATAAAAGTTTGGATTGGATTGGTTCTTACGGCAAAGAAATATGGACCACAGAATCCGGTTCGGTAAGGGCAATTTAGCTTTTATCGCCCTTTCTTGGAATCGAACAAGCGTCCCATGTGGGAGATACTCCGCTATGAAGTAGGGCGCTCCAAGGTGTAGAAGCGGAGTGTTACTTAGGTGAATAGGGTTACTCACGTGGGCGGCATATTCAAGTCGGTTTACCCATGCGCTCTCAGCCCTGATACTTGCATCGGTGCAATTGGCTGCTGCCTTAAGGACAAATTTCCGTTCTTCACCATTGGGTAGTGTCTCCCTGACGATTATTGCCGCGCCATTAGAGGCATCGAGCAGAGTCTCGAACGTGAAGCGCGAGGGCTGTGTGCCGAGTAATGTTTTAATCTCCTTGACAACTTCACCCGATCTTCTTATTGTGTTTAAAGTCTCTTTCCAATCACCCGAGCCACTGTTATCGGTGCTACTCGGGTTTCCATTGTCGGGAGACGATGACATAATGGTGAGTTACTGACGTCTGTCTAGGTAGTTAAGCGTATATTCGAATTATATGGGCGATACTTACCACTCAGTTCACAATCACTGTTTCGATATGATCTTATCCTCAAATTTCGATCGGGAGTAGTAGTACTATTATATCCCGTACAATGCTTTGTTTCCTGGTTAACCTACCTAGTCCTTCAAGTCTGAAAACACGATGCATTTCCAACAATCATTTGTTGTGGCTTTCTAGTTGATTTTCAATCACCAAACAAAGAAATGAAGCATAACTGGCCTTTTTATTACCTATTTCATAAAGCAATTGTTTTCTATGTCCTTTTGATCGTATTACCACCACCTCTGCCCCACATATACCCCTTTTTATCTTCTTGTCAGGGGTACAATCACCTATTTTCGTGGATGACTAAGCCGAATGAATTCAGGAATGGCAGTTGGTATTGACGAAGTTTGTCTATAGACAATGGCCCAAGTATTAGACCTGCAATCCACCTTAAATATATTGAACTAACCATGAGGTCGTCGAGGTGATGAGTACAAGTATGGTCATTCAGAATGTGTAGAATTGTTCTCCATTCTACCTGTCATGTCGCGATTGTGACGGCATCTTTGCAGTTGCATCGTTATAGGTCTGTTTGGGGGTGATGATTACACGATCAGTAGAAGTTGAAGTGCGCAATATCTGAATCTGCCTACGCTAGGCACTTTTGAAGAAAGTGGCGTCGACGTAATTCGGGCTTCCCCAATATTACCGAGCGAAATGGCTTGCCATGTGTGGGCTGGATATCATACTGTAGCCACATGTACCCATCTACAGATCTGGCTGGGGAGGACCCGTTCCACGATCGACATATTTCGAACAGCTTCTTCACATCCATACCATCCTCCCAAAGAACGCAATTCGCCGACGATAGCCCCCACGATCGTTCATGAACAAATATCTAAGCTATTGAAACCATACCGACTCCGCTAGTAGCATTTTAATATCGCCTAGAAGAGATGTGTCCTTGATTTGGTAGCCTTGTGCCCCCGCCTTCAACCAACTCGAGAGATATCCCATCCGGAATCAAAATCAGTACTAAAAGGCTTGATCTATCTCGTGTAGATAGATAGGTATATTAATCGAACTCGATATGATAAGCCGTAACTAGGTTCACTTGGAAAGGGGAACCTTCGGTGGTCTTAATACGCAGCACGGACTATGATGCCCGCAACGAGGTAGAGCAACCATTCAAGCTGGCGGGTTATTAATTCAACTTCAATGCTTCGGTTCACCTATTGTGGGGGAACCACTCTATTATATTACTCTGTCTAGATGTATTATTGATTTAACTGGTCTTGAATGCGCATTCGAATCGATACCCCAGACAGAAACTCCGAAACAGATACCTCGACGACACCTCTCTACCTGCCCTGATCTCGACCAAATAAGCAACCCGATTCAAATCACACTTTGGAAGGTTCCAACCATCAATTATACTTAGAATATTATTGCGCGAGGAGTTCTAAACTCGCATAGGAATGTGGTATACAGACGAGGATACCCATCTTCTACTGTGTTCCAAGGCCAACCACACCAGAAGACGGGCCTCCTACGGGTCGAATGCCAATCCGGACAGAACTCCGACAATTCATATCAATTCCGATTCGCAACTTTGTACAATTCGACCTGGGAATACCTAGTCATCAAGGTCCACGATTGGAAAGGGGTATAAGTGGGTCTGAATATCGTGGTTGGAAAGCAGTAGAAAAGAGCGGCAAACTAGTAACATGGTCATATATTTAGGTACTTCTATTCGAGGCGAGTATCAAATCAGCTATAAACACTAAGAAACACTCATTCTATCCGCAAAAATCAATTACCTACTGAGACGAGAGGGGTATCGCTATACCCGCAAGGCCGCGTCGGAAGATACTGCCCTAGGACATCATCGAGCATGACAAATAGAGCAGAGTTGAAATCAGACTTACCATGACATATTTCTTACATTATCAACCGGCAGATGCATTCATTAATATCTTCAAGCCTTACGGCGCAACGTTAGAGATAACGTGTCTGTAAGGGGATGCTTTGCGGATGGTAAGAAAGTAATTGCTATATTTGTCGCGCTGGAAGATGAGCTGGCCCTTGCCCTCGTTATTTTGGCATTGAGAGTGAGGCTTTTTTTATGTGCTTACTAGGTAGTCTATGAACCACTGCTTAGGTAGGTAGTCGCGGTAGCTGAATCATTCTCTAGTATACCTCCTGTACGCTATAATTTTACGTCCATCATTTACCTTAGGACGGCGTTGATATAATTAGCCAGTGTATCCAAGGCAAGCCATCGCCCACAGAGAAAAAAATCACATGAAAGGGAGGCAACCAGCTGAACGTCTCTACCAATTCGGCAAAGCGGCATGTCCAGCATTCGCCATCGCGCCGTTGTCGACACAAGTGCCGTGAGCGAGCCTTGTCCTAATTATACCAGACGACCACGGCGGAGCGCATGCGCACGCAGGGCCAAGTTTGGCCGTAGCCCAATATGCAGAACCCCAGTCCCAACTTGGTGGATAAATGTCAAATGAAAAGTTTCACCCTTCGAGTGCCGTCTCGCTCCGGGCCGTTCGTGTCCGTGTCGTATTGCATCTCCCCCATACATATATACATACATACATACTATACCATATCATATCATATCGCGAACGCGGCCAGTGTCAGCAGTCATCTAAATAGAGAGGTGCCTATTGGACGGTCGTCCGCGTGGCCTTGCAAGGAATGGGGAGCGCAATGCAGTTTATTTGGTATTATCGTGCTCACTTCGTTTCCCTCGAACGGAAGAAATCAAGTGACCACTCAATCAAGCGACTCGGCAAAGGGGGGGCCTGAGCCAATCACCGCCGCTGTTCGGCCAAAAATTGCTATTTAGCCCTTCCCCCTTTTTGGGAAACCGTCTCGCTGTGCGTCCGGCACTTCGTCCACTACCCTTTCCCATCGCTAAGGCGATGATCGGCGGTCCGCGACCAATCAGAAGCGTCCGAATTTAATATACGCGACGAGAAGGACTGACAAAATTGCCTCTCTGTATATTGTCTTGTTAGGTAAATCTTATGTCCGTCCTCCCTGGAGTTTTATGTCTTCGTTTGCCATGTGGACAGGGGTTCCCCACATTTTTCCATTCTGCCATACTCGCAGCCTGGCGAGTCTTGGCGGATAGGGGTTGTTGATTGAAATAAAAAAGTAAGATATAGGAGGCCGCATTTCTTGTCCTCTTCCCGAGAGGGAGAGCCAAAAGAGTAGTCGTTGTTGCAACTGTTGCAATGGGCTTCTTCAAGCAGCTATTGACGACCACCCTCTTGGGCGCGTCCCTTCAGGGGCTGGCTCTCGGCGCCGACTACCCTCAGGCGGACATCGACTCAGGTAAAGCTTTGAAAGATATGGGCAAGTTGGCTTATGACACTGCCCTTGCTCGTCTCGATGGAACTGGAAAATGTACGAAGGAGAATGTGAGGGTGCGCAAGGAATGGTGAGTTAAAAGAAACACCCTTGATCTTGAAACTGAGAACTAACCCTTTGCTGAATAGGAGATACATTCCCGCAGCAGAGAGAATAGACTATGTTAGGGCCGTCAACTGTCTCATGACATCGCCAAATGTGTATGAGAACGTAACTGGTCCGAAGTAAGTTGCAAACCCTGGACTTCATATTCTCGCGCAAAGCGTGCCTGAATGCTGACTAATATGTGTCTGTAGGTCGATGTTCGACAGCTTCGGCGTTCTGCACTACAAGCTGACGCCATATGTCCATAACTCAGTACGTCAATCCCATAAAGCAATCGCTTCCTAGCAACATCCCCTTCTAACAAAAAGCCAGGCATACTTCCTCCTCTTCCATAGACTCTACGTCTGGACCTTCGAGGAAAAGCTAAGGGATTTGTGCGGGTACACCGGCACATTCCCATACTGGGAGGTAAGCGAGCCGCCACCCCCTCCCTAAACCCTAGATCTAACATTTCTTTTCTCATCTAGTGGGGTCTCGACGCCACCACCGGCGTCGAAAACTCGCCTATATTCGACGGATCCGAGACTTCGCTCGGCTCTAACGGCGAGAAGACAAACTCGTCCAACACCTTCTTCCCTGGCGGCTCGGGCGGTGGATGCGTGACCGACGGGCCCTTCACTAACTACACCGTCAACTTCGGTCCTAACACCGCCAGGGACCCGTTAGCTTACAACCCGCGGTGTCTGAAGCGCGACCTAAACACGCAGATCTGTGCGCAGTGGGCCTCGATAAAGAACACCACCGAGACCATCCTGCAAGCCCCGGACATCGCTCTATTCCAGGCGAATCTCCAGGGAGACTTCCGTTGGCCTGCGGCTCGGAAGTGGGGGTTTGCCGTCCACGGCGGTGGCCACTTCTCGATCGGTAAGCTCTTGCTTTCATCTATTTCTCTTTACTCTCAGTAGGTTAGAAGAATATGCTAATACTTACTACCTCAGCCGGTGACCCGGGTGGGGACTTCTACTTCTCGCCTCTAGAGCCCGTCTTCTACCTGCACCACGGACAGATCGATCGCATGTACTTCATCTGGCAGAACCTTGACTGGGAGCAGCGACAGGTGAGCAGATTCAACCCCCCCAACCTCTCTGTCTTGGAGGCCGATACTAACCATACATAGACTATGGCCGGAACAATCACCATGATGAACCAACCCGCAAGCCGCAACGGAACCCTAGAAGACGTCCTCGACATCAGCCCAGTCGGCGAGAAATACACGTTCCGCGAACTTCTCGACACCGTAGGATCCTCACCCTTCTGTTTCGTGTACGAGTGAGCAGGAGACTCGAGCTCGGGGCCGACCCGCAAGACTTGGGGGTCAGTCAGTGAAGGTTGGCGTTGGGGAGGAGCGGTAGTCTAAGGCTGTTAGTTGCGAAATACGAGTAGTTACCTTCGATGGGGGTATGGCGATGAATCTAATAGACCGCAAATAGGCGGTGCGGCTGGGGATCGCTTCCCTAGGTTCACAACCGCACTTGCTAAATACATAGTAGTAGAGAAGAATACACATCAAATTGCAAATCTAGAAATCTTCGGAAAACTTTTATGTTGTAGACAGTAGGTAGGTGGGAAAAAGGTATATACGGATTGATGAAACCATAATTGCCATGATCTCGACTATACACATTTCAATAAGAAGCGTAGGATCACCATTCGGGAATCTCGCCGGGCTTCGGTTTTTGTACGCGGACAACTTTGTCGGCGTTAAGGAGGCAGAGTGGGTCAAGCGCTTGCTTGATCTTTCTCATAGTGTCGACTGTGCTCTCGCCAAGTTCATGAGGTAGGTAGTCCCTCTTGACTAGGCCGACTCCATGTTCACCCTATTCTTGTTAGTTTAAATATTCTTTGTAGACGTTGGAAAGCCGGAGAAACGTACCGTAACAGTCCCTTCCAATTCAACAGCCCTCTTCACCATACGGTGTACCAATTCCTCAGCGGCATGTCTCTGCTCGTCATTCGAAAGTAAGATAATATGGAAGTTGCCGTCACCGACGTGTCCAACAATAGTACCATACATCCCACTCTTCTTCATATCGTCCTTGGTCTCCTCGATTAGCAACGGCAACCGACTCATCGGAACCGCCACGTCGCCTGTCCAAACTCGCTCGCCGGGCTTCGCGACCGCCATAGTGCTCCAAAGAGCCTCTTTTCTCGCGCTCCACAGCTCCGCCTTCTCCTGCTCAGAGCGCGCGAACTCGAAGCTCTTGCTCCCCGTCTGCCGCGCCATCTCCTGCACGATCTGGATCTGCTCCTTGACGCCGCGGTCTGTACCGGAGAACTTGAAGAAGAGCGTGGGTACCTCCTTCCATTGTTTCGCTGTCATGCCTGCTTGGTTGATACATTTCATCTGCTCCTCATCCAGGATCTCGACGGCTGCGACTGGGACGCCTTGGCCGACAACCTTGGCGACGCAATCAGCAGCTTGTCGAATTGTGCCAAAACCGCAGACCGCTACACTTGTGCTTGCAGGCTTTGTGGTCAGTTTTAGTGTTGCTTCTGTAACGAGCCCTAGAGTACCTTCGCTTCCAATAAAAAGCTTGGTTAGATCGTAGCCCGCAGAGCTCTTCCGCGGTCGTTGGCGGGTCTTGATTACAGTGCCGTCAGCCAACACAACGGTGAGCGAGAGAACCCATTCTCTCATAGTGCCGTAGCGGTAGGAATTTGTACCGCTGCATCCCGTACCGATCATACCCCCGATCTGAGCACCCGGGCCTGGGTCAGGCGGGAAGAATAGATTATCTTTGCCAATCACTTCATTGAGTAGCTCCCACCCAACAGCCGGTTGTACGACGACATCTAGATCTTCCTTATGCAGTGCAATAATTTTGTCCATCCTCCTGAAATCGATACATATGCCTCCCCTAGTCGGCGTAAAGTGCCCTTCCAGACTCGTACCGCCGCTGTATCCAACCACCGGTATCCGTCTCGTATGGCAGATCTTCATAATCGAGCTGACTTCATCCGTCGAACTGGGATAAACCACCATGAACGGTTTCTGCGACTCCTCATTGCGATAGCTCGACCAATCGGAATTGGCATGTGTATGCAGGTCGTCCTCCACCGTACTCACATTCTCCTTGCCCACGATAGCCGAGAAGTCCGCCCACGCGGCCTCGAGGTTCGCCTTGTCGGTCTGGTATTTCGGGTCGCGGATCTGGGAAAGTGGGAGCGTCGATGTAGGTTCTGGGTCGCGAGGCGCTTGGGTGCCTAGATAATACGATACACCGGCCGCAGCGAGCACGACTAGCAATCAATGGACGAGCGTCAGCACCCCACCCCCGCATTCTCGTTATTATCAGCATTGCTATTGGCACTTCTTACCGAACGTCACAGCCCACTGCCTCGACGCCGCAGACTCCTGCTGCTGTTTGGCATACTTTTCGCGCTCCGCCTTCTCTCGCGCAATGCGCGAGCTAATGCTCTCTAGCATCTGGCCTTGGAATGTCTCTTTTTTTCCCTTTCCATCCTTACTCTCCGTGGCGTATAGCCTTACGCCGCTTCTGCCCACGTACGTATATGCACATATTATGCGTGGCGAGGCCGTCCGAACCGGGAGTCTAGGTATACTGAGGTTTCGGAGTGCGGGACCGGACGATCGAGAAGCGAGGAGGCGCGACATTGTCTTCTTCGTAGGTTACCTAGGTGTAGGTGTGATATATCCCTAAGGGAGCGACCGTGTCATCTTAATATCCAATGCTTGAGTCTGCCGAATTGAAATTGTGAAAACAATTCTCCCTTTTAATTGGCGAGGAGGGAAGTTTTGTATGGCGGGAGAAGAAGGTGCGATAGCTTTGCCGTTTGCAAGCTTAAAGATTCGTTATCGACAGAAGGTGGAGCCTTCGGCATCGGAAGGAACTCCCGCGCCCACGACGCCCTTTCTCCGACGGTCCGATATTCTCGTTCGTCATTTCCAGCTTTGCTGACGCGATGTTGAATTGACCAATAATTGGTAAAATAACTAATATTTTGAATATAATATCTAGCTAGTTTCTACAAGATAGGGGTATATCCGGTGCTTTGTCAGCTATTTCTTCTACGGCTGCTCCGTAACCGCTATTATTCTTGGAATCGTCATGTTTCACATTGTTACACAAAATGAAATATTTAAATATTTTTGCAATTATATTTACAGTCAAGTTGTAGCTAGCCAATACTTTCTATTTACAACGGTAAGTTGAGTATAGTGTCAATAAGATAGTCAGAAGCCCATAGACTGCTGATATGCCTAATCATCGATGCCGCCCCATTCTCCGTCTTCTACTGCCTGGGTATCACTAACGCCCTCCTGAATCTTCCTTTTCTTGCTTCCAGCAATAGCTCCGCGTTTGTTGTTTTCCTTTCGCCTCTCCCAAGCGCTCTGGGTTGTGATCTTGGCCTTATCTCCCCGTCTAGACTCCACACCTCGCTTCTTTAGTTTCTTCTTTTCTTCCTTGCCAACTTTAGGAAGTGAATCCATCAACCACTTTGGAATACCTTCCTCGCTAGCTTTTCCAGCTTGCTTTTCGCTTAGAGAAATGACGTTGGCTATGCTCTTTAGGTATGCGACATCCTCGGTAGTATAAAACGTCACGGCGACACCACCCTCGTGGCCGGCTCGACCGGTTCGACCAACGCGATGTACGTAAGCTGCCGCGGACGTTGGAACGTCGTAGTTGATAACGCCGTTAACTCCACGGAAGTCAATTCCTCTCATAAGAAGGTCAGTCGTGATTAGAACCCAGATCTCGCCAGCTCGAAAACGGGCAACAATGCTGGAACGGGCCGAATCTGAAAGTGATGAATGAAGAGCCGCGATGCGAGATGAACCACCGGCCTCGACAGGTATATCGAATTTCAATTCGTTATGTAAAGCTGTAGCGCGATCGATCGTCTGTGCGAACACTAGGAAGGGAAGTCGCATATTTGGCATAGAGTCATCGGAAGAACTGGGATGTAGAAGCTGGCGGAGCGCAAATAGTTTGCCTTGCTCGGTCGCTGTGTAGATGAGTTTGTGGTTGATGCTCGGAACTGCCGTATCTTTGAGTCCGACAACAAGGCGAATTAGAGGGATAGAGGAGTGAGACTCTCGGGATTTCAACTGCTCCAATATCAATCCCTCGATATTAGAACCCATAGTTGCGGACCAGCAAGCTACCCGCAGAGAGTCGCTGGTACAAGCGGTCCATATTCCAAGGGTCTGTTCTCTGAATAGGGGGTCGAGGAGAACATCGGCCTCGTCTAGGACCAAATGTTTGACTGTTGGCAACTTCCTCGATTTTAAAAAGTTTCGTAGTAACATCGGTGTTGTGACTAAAATGTCAGTTTTGGTTATTGTAGTCGCTTTTTGAGGTTTGTTGTCTTGCTTGTCATCCTCAGCGTCATCGCCATCATCATCGTCAGAGCTACCTGCTTCTTGATCGTTTTCCGAGCCCTCTTCTTCTTTGTCAGAATCGCTGTCTGGTTGACCTTCCGCGGGTAGTTGCATCCCCCGTTTCATTCCTACGATCTTGACTCCTGTGCCTTGCGCAAGCTTTCTGCCCTCATTGACGATCTGGTGAGCCAATTCCCGCGTGGGGGCAACCACTACCACTTCTAGAATATGATCCTTCTGCGCCGCATCACCGGCTCTCCTACGCAGAATACTATTGATAGCTGGGATCAGAAAAGCCAGTGTTTTGCCACTACCGGTAGGGGCAACTGCCAAGAAATCAACACCATGTTTGGTCTTGAAATTCGATTCCTTCGCAGTGGATGATGCAATTGCTCTTTCTGGCTGTAGCAAAAGTGGTAGACTACCCAGTTGCACTTCGGTAGGTATCCGGTACCCTTGTTTCGCAAGATTGTCCCCCAGCCGAGTCGAGATATTATAATTAGACCGAAGCTCAGAAAACGAGGTCATTGGTTGCGGAAAGAGTTGTTTCTTTCCATCCTTTTCCTTAGGTTTGTCCTCTTCCTTCTTCTTTGACTTCTTTACTTTTGACTTTTTGCGCTCGTGCGAGGAAAGGAGAGTAAATTTTAGACGATGCGATCGGAGGACTTGTCGCACTTCTTCATCGTCAAGAAGGGGCTTTGATGCATCTTCTTTTGATGTCTCACGCGTCTCGGGTTCGGGAATCGGCTTTTTTGCTATGTGAGGCGCGAAAAAGTTGATCTCTTCTAGATCATCGTCGGCTTCTTGATTCGATGAGGGTTGTTCCTCATTCCGTTTGCGTTTAAGTCCTCTAGTAGGGTCATTGTAAAGCTGAGGATTGGACGGTTTGACAACAGGTTTTGGAATTGTCGGTTGAGTAGCTGACTTTTTTGTCCCTCGGGACAAGATTTTCAAAATATCCATGGTTTGCGACAATCAGTTCCAACCACTTTTTTTGAAGCTGAGAATTATGAAGAACCATTATTTCCGAGGGTCCGAGCGGTGTGGAAAAAATTATTGGCGGTAAGTTTTCTGCCTGATAAAAGTCGGAGCTAAATCTCCCCCGCACCTGCCCGCACTAACCTGAAAGACCCACGTAACCCCGCAAATTGCTATCTGCTGCTCCCCTATATTTTCATGTAGGGGCTGATACCTGCTCATTTCAACTTCCACAGATGCCGACAACAATATGTTTGCCGACGATAGCGAGGTTGACGATAATAATACCATTGCCGACACAAAGGCCCACCACAGGTCAAAAGGGAATTCATTTATCTCCCGTAGCGAAATCTATCGCTACCCCACCCAGCACTTGTCAACACCAAGATTCATCCGCTTTCCACCCTCCTCGCTAGCTAAGTGGTTCCGTATGACGTCCAGACCACCAATTGTGGATAATGTGGTCGAGTTGATTGGGGCGGCTGAATGTGTCAGTACCTATAATAGTTAGGCGCTCAATAGAAGCTGTGAGCTGCGAGCTTCAAAAAAAAAAAAGACCGGGGGCGAACCGGGGATGATCCCCCCACCACAGCTCCATACCCCTCGAATAGCTGTTCGTTACGACATTTTATTGTTCGAAGAGATTTTAAACCTCTGCGGGGGCTATCGTGTGAGTTAAAGCTCTCACGAGATTATCGTACCTTAGCTACAGCTTAGCTCTCCGAGTACGGGGGATCAAATGAAAGAGTGATTTTATTTCTTATCTTCTTATTTATCCCATTTTCATCTTTAACTATCATCAAGTCTCATTCTATTTAAAGCCAAGTAGCTTTCATCGTATACTCAACATTTAATTTCATATACCTCATCTCATCTCACATACCTACGTCCTCCACCCCTAATCCAAAAGACAAAATGGACCCCAAAACCGCCAGCGTGCGTTCTCTCCCAACCCCCACCCCCTAACCATCTCTAACCCTCCCTCCAGAACCTCTCCTTCATCCTCAACAAACCCCACGACGTAACCTTCTCATCCAAACCCGTGCCCACGCTTAAAAGCTCGCACGATGTCCTCGTCGCCGTAAACTACACCGGCATCTGCGGGTCCGACGTGCACTACTGGGAACACGGGGCAATCGGACACTTCGTCGTGAAAGAGCCCATGGTCCTCGGCCACGAGTCCGCGGGCACCGTAGTCGAAGTCGGGCCCGCGGTCAAGACGCTGAAGAAAGGCGACCGCATCGCGCTCGAGCCAGGGTACCCGTGCCGGCGCTGCGAGCCCTGTCTCAGCGGCCACTACAACCTGTGTCCCGACATGCAGTTCGCCGCGACGCCGCCTTACGACGGCACTTTAACCGGCTTCTGGGTCTCCCCCGCGGATTTCTGCTATAAACTGCCAGACAACATGTCCCTGCAAGAAGGCGCGCTGATCGAGCCCCTCGCCGTCGCCGTGCACATCGTGCGCCAAGCGGCCGTTTCGCCAGGCCAAACCGTAGTCGTAATGGGCGCGGGGCCCGTGGGTCTTCTCTGCGCGGCCGTCGCGCGGGCCTTCGGCGCGTCGAAGGTCGTATCCGTGGATATCGTGGAGTCGAAGCTCGCCTTCGCGAAGAGCTTCTACTCCACGCACACATACATGAGCCAACGGATCCCCGCGGAGCAGAACGCGGCGAACATCCTCGCCGAAGCGGGCATCGACAACGGCGCCGACGTCGTCATCGACGCGTCTGGTGCCGAGCCCAGTATCCAGACGAGTCTGCACGTCGTGCGCATGGGCGGGACGTATGTCCAGGGCGGCATGGGGAAATCCGATATCACGTTCCCGATCATGGCTATGTGTCTCAAGGAAGTTACTGCGAAGGGCAGTTTCCGGTACGGCAGCGGTGATTACAAACTTGCCGTCGACCTTGTCGCGTCGGGGAGGATCGCTGTGAAGAAGTTGATTAGTGGGATTGTGAGCTTTGATAAGGCCGAGGAGGCGTTTAAGAAGGTTAAACAGGGCGAGGTTATTAAGTTGTTGATCGCGGGGCCGAATGAGAAGATTGCTTGAGGGGATGGGCGAGGTGGAATGGTAGGTAGGGTTGTTGGGATGGGTGCGGGTCAGTGAATGGATCTGGCTGAGTGTCGATTGGATATCGAGGGCTACATCGTGGCGTCTGGTTAGTATATAGGGGCATGGTAGTGGCTGTAGGCATGGGCGTCGAGGTGTCTAGCACGGATTATATGTATGGAAGAGCAGTATGGGTAATAAAAAAATCACCTACTTATTCTACTCCCTCGCTCACACTTACAATGTAAGTCTGTATCAAGGCATATAAACCCACCATCGCTCACACAACTACAGGCCTCGTAACACACAGCTCCGTTTCAATCCACCTACATAATAAACACGAAAGACAAAGCCTCACAACCTAGGAAAGCCTTGCCTACTATTATATAAGTTAACTAGGTAAGTAGTAGGCATCTCCCACCGGAACCCCTTCTTTCCCCGCGAAGCATGCCGCGTCTTCCCGGCTGAATACGACGTCGACAGAGCGCGGGTGGACTCCTATAGGATCGATCGTGCACGCGGTTGCATGGTCTCCAACGCGTACATATATACCTAGCCTTACCGGGGTAGGTAGTATGTGGTTATCCGGAGGTGATCGAACATACGATGGGGTTCAGCCCGGTATTTTATGATTTGGGTTAATAAGGGGGGTAATCTCACGACCTTACGATTCTGGTAAAGAGAAAGCTAACCTAGTAACGGGAACCAACTGGACCACAACAGCGTTCAAGTAAAACTAGCCGTCTAGTTCGGTCTATATGCATTTCCTCTAAACTGAGGCTCACTTGTATATACCTTGGTAGTTAGTTGTAACCTCTATCGTAGATTAGATTATACATCCCTTCGCCATGAGAAGCAAGTAGACGCAAATCTAAATCATACCCAGATATCGAGTCTCAATAACAGTCCCCTCCTTCGCACCACGCACTTTGATCTTCACCACCTCACCAGGCACAATATCCACCAAGTTATCCTCAAACTTGACTGCGTCATCCTCACACTCGAGCGCGACGCCCTTAACGGGGACCTCAGCCGAAACTTCCACTACAGCATAGTCGCTGGTCAGCTTAGCGCTTAGCTGCTTTGGCTTCTGCAGGTGTAGGTATTTCAAAGGCTCCGGCCAATTGACGTAGCGGGCGAGCTGAGAGCCGTCTGTAGGGTTTATCAGGTACGTCGCGACCACGGTGCGGTTAGCATGAATGCCGTCATCCTTCTTCGGAACCGGGACGTCAAAAGCGGCGATTTCTGTCGATTGGTTTTTAGGCAGGACGATGGGTTCCTTGTTGATGGTCTCGCTGTATGTTTCGAGACCAGTCTCGACGTCCCACGCCTTCACCAAGCAGTCTACTGTTAGGTCTTCGAGTGTCAGATTGCTGCCCCATATCTCGATCTGTACCGTTGTGTCGATGTCTACACGCGTGTATTTATTGCGCGGATGTTGGTGTTCGCGCCGTGTCATTCCCACGGACAAGGGTGCCATTTCGCGCTTGACGGTAAAATAGGCGTGTTTGGGACGCAGGTAATAGTCGCAGATAGCCCAACTAGTGACCGGCCAGCAGTCGTTGATCTGCCAAACCAGCGCACCAGCACAATATTCCCGCCCTGGTCCCTTCCATTGCCGTTTCCAGAGCCGGTATGCGGAGGCTAAACATTCGGCCTGCATCAACTGCGTGCAGTAGACAAACTGTTCAAGCGGGTCCGGCGCATACCGCATATTCTCGACTAAGTATAAAGCAATACGCCGCTCATGCCCATCTGCCTTGTTGTGGAAATCCACAGTAGAAGATTGGGGATAACGGTCTGGGTCATCCTTGCCGAGTGGAAGGTAAGCATCGATAGTTTTAACTGAAGGAAATGCTTCCATGCCAAATTCAGATACAAAGCGCCCCACCAGCTTATCGAAATTTTGATACTTTTCCTGTGAGCCATGCCATACATTCCACTGGTGGATGTCGCCTACAGTTGGATCACGCGTATCAACACCACCCCAGGGACTTCCAGGGTGGTAGTAGATGGATGGCGCGAGTTTCTGACAGGCATCGGGGAGGATCTTCTCGTAGATATATCGTGCCGGAAAATCAGTCTTTAGCCAGCTTTCAGCATCCTTGTTATCCTGATCCCAAGTAAGGCTGACGCTCTCGGCATATTGGTAGTCCTCATTGTTGCCAGCGAAAATTACGATACTCGGGTGATGTCTTAGCAACTTGACATTCTCTTCTGCCTCACGTTTGATTGAGGCTAAGAGGCCTGGCCAGGCGGGGTAATTCCCGCAGCCGAACATGAAGTCTTGCCATACCAAGATACCAAGTTCGTCACACGCGTCATAAAAGGCCTGCTCTTCATATATACCCCCTCCCCATACCCGAATCATGAATTGGTTTCCGTCTGCGACTAACTTGACCCAATCATAATATCTCTCCTTACTAATCCTTGGAATAAAGTTATCTGCTGGAATCCAATCGCTGCCGCCGCAAAAGATAGGGATGCCGTTAACCTCAAAGAAGAAAGATGTACCAGGCTCCCCTTTTAGAGGCCTCTGGACAAGCTCCGCTTTCCGTAGGCCAGCTTTCTTGGAAATTGTGTCTAGAATTTTACCATGGTCCTCTAAAGTAGCCGATATTGTGTATAGGGGTTGTTCGCCATATCGAACTGGATACCATAGTTCTGGGTCAGAAATGGTAAAGGTGGCGCTTGTGCCAGGAAGTACTCCCCGACTAGCAACCGTCGTGCCATTCAAAGAAATATCGAATTGAACCTTCGTAGCTTCGCCTTCTACCGGAGCATGGGTAGTTATTGTAGCGGTTTTTAGCGACTTGTCGACATCGATATCGAACCAGAGATCGGATATCCGCGACTCATAGATCTCAAGGTTGATCGGTCTCCAAGGACCACAAGTCAACAATGCTGGACCCCAATCCCAGCCCTACGCGCGTTAGTCTTTCCATGTTACTCAGATACGATCAGCCAATTCTCAGGCTACTTCTTCTCAGACGTACCCAGTGATACTGTGTTTTCCGAACAGCCAATCTAGAGTTGTCGCCGTTCCAGCAACCCCATTTATGGTCAGGGTACTTCTCAACTAGCTTCCATCCTCGCAGGTAGGCGCTATCAAAAGTGATGACCAGTTCGTTTTCCCCGTCACCCTTCAGATCGGCTGTAACATCGACACGTTCAGGAATGAACATATTATCAGTCTCGAGAATCGTTTTTCCATTGAGTACCACAGTCGCAAAAGTATCTAAGCCATCAAAGGCTAGAATTGCTTTTGCAGAGCTCTTGGTTACAGGGGAAGGGAAGCTAGTCCGGTAAACCCAGACCGCTTCGCCAATCCATTGAACGTCAAGCTCATTCTTGCCGATATAAGGGTCCGGAATGAGATTATGGGAAAGCAAGTCCAAGTGAACATTAGTTGGAAATTGACCGACGGGAAGGTACTTGCTACCCTCCTTGTCGGCCTGTTTGAATTCCCATTTCTTGTCGATTGGTATCACAATGCGGGGTTCCATCTCGCGGAGTTGGGGATTGAGGGGAAAATCCGATCGAGCTTCACGAGAACTGGATATAGGAAGGGCACAAGAAGATGAAGAGGATATATTTAGGTTTATACCAAGTTTAAGCTTGCTCGGATCAAAAGTTCCTGAATAAGCTTCATCTGATGATTGGGAATTCTGACCGAGTTCCACAAAAGAAGACGGGGAATGAATCCGCTTGGATGTCTCCCTGGGCGACATGAAGCAATTGGAAATCGGATAGAAATAAGAAGCGAACGAACAGGAAAAACGAGATCGACAAGGAGATTCTTGCTATTTTATTGGAGCGCAACTGAGTAGATGAATTACCTACTATCGACGATGTTGACTTTGCAGTAAGGTGTGAGAGATCAATAGCAACCGAGACGGCGCGGGATGAGACTTGCCGAGAATAGCTTGGGGAAATGCCTAGTAGATTAGGTCATGGTCATGCGTTGTTGCTATGCGACACAGACACAGGCGTTAGGCGGTAAGCTGCAGCTATCACTAGGCGGATCATCCGTCGGGAAGGTACCTATCAAGGTACCTACGTATCACTGAATGCAGGAACATCATCCCGAGGTACCGGTAGACGGAGAGTTAACGTAACAGCTACCTGTCGTTGGGGATGAAGTCCGTACAACATTGGCTGAAGAGGATTAACGATAGAAATTCGAAAGAATATTGAAGTGGGTAAAAATTAGATCAATGATCAGATCCACTCCCTAGACAAGCCTAGGTCGCCGTATCCGCGCCAGTGGTTCCATGTCACGGAAGGTATCACCCCGCCTCCATATCGGGCTAGCCACGTGTGGCGGAGCGGGAGCCTCTTCGGGGGACATCCCGGATATCAACAAATTTTATAGAAGATATGGCTTTTAGGGATTTTTCGTAATTCGGTATTAATTCGGAAAAGGGCTATCGAAACATGATTTATTAGAAAAGGCGGTGATCCGTGGCCTGATGGAAGATGATCTACCGAAGTGCAGGGGTGATGGAGGACTGTCCGCCGAAAAGGACGGAGCCTCATCTCCCACGCCGCTTATCGGTGCTCGTCTCGGCATCGTGGGATAGATCGGTGGATATCACCCGTTGATAAGGCTCACGAATATCCAATCTTTAACGTCCGTGGCCTGTACATCCTTGTAAATCGATAACGCGACAAAAAGAAATCTTATATTACTCTATCAGGTCTGGTCTTCTTGAGGATCTTCCTGATGCTCGCCTCCAACTCCTGACAGAAGACAAAAAAAGCGAGCGCCATTGCAAAGTAGGTATCATCGTAGTGTTATTGCCAGGCCAGTTCCATCCGGCCCATATCCTTCTCGTTGTCGTTACAGCCGACCTCCGACATATCCTCCACCATTTCGTATTAGTAGTGGCATTAGCAGCAATTCCCCCTATTTCGTCCGCGATTGAGGGTGAAAACTTCCTCCCACTCCCGCATACCCCAATTCTGAGAGCGATTCTTTCCCTTATGTCTTCTCCTCATGCCGCCGAGGCCCACTTCGTCTGCCGTCATAGAGCTCTTGATGCTGCCTCCGTCGCTGGCTCCAGCGTTCCACATGCCTCCATCTCCGTACTGAATTCCACTCATCGGATCATCCGGATCGATTTCTCCAAGCTCGATCTTCGTTAGGATCATACGTGCTAATCTTCCAAAAACCTCATCCACACCCTCGCCCGAAAAGGCCGATACTTCCATCGTGACGGGAACATTGACGCTACTCGCCCATCGAGAGGCTTCTGTCGTTGAGACCTCCCTACCCTCTGGCGCAACCGTAGCTCTCAGCTGCGTACCGAGACTAGCGCCGGCACTAGCTGTGCCAGCAGATGTGCTATATGGTATAGAAGAACTCGTACTCGACGGTGTGGGGGGTGGTAGGCTTGTATCGACGAGGGTGTCGTTCGCAAGGTCTAGTTTGTTTGCCACGAGCACCATCGTCAAGTTAGGTGATGCGAGCGCACGCGCATCGTTGAGAAACGGTTGTAATGCTCGGAATGAATTGTGCGATGTGAGATCGTAGCATAAAATGGCACCAGCAGCACCTCGATAATAGGATCGGGAAACGGAGCGGAATCGTTCGGTGCCTGCGGTATCCCATAGCTGAGAGCAGTGTCAGTTTGTCCCACTTTCTTCAGTCTCGGAGACAGATCGCCGTACCTGTAGCTTTATCCTCTTCCGTCGTGCACCGGTGCCGACCTTGATAATCTTGCTTGCGAACTCGACACCGATCGTCTGGGAAGAGAGAACTCGCCATTCGTTCTTAACAAAGCGGTGAAGTAGACATGACCTATCGGAATTGTGCCATCGTTAGCCGGTTGTTCGTAGCTAATCAGAATTGGATATCCATCTTCTTGCGCATGATTCTCTGCGCTTTGGCTCCGGGTCCTCCGCCAACATGAATCGCAGATAACCGATCGTACTCACTTTCCCGTTCCGCTCGGTCCTAGCAGGATAATCTTGGCCAAGTAATCGTACATGCTTCCGAGCTCCTATTGACCCATTAGCTGCCATCCCCGCCCAGCGTCCGTCCTTCGCCGGCTACTTCGGCTTCGTTGTATCATACCTGGTCGCCCGCCGTCCCCGTACTCTCCTCACTGGCGGCCGATAAGCGGCGCGGACGCGTCATCTTTTTCTAATCTCTGATGCGATTATCGTAAACAAAGCGGTATTATTTACAGGAATTAAGATTTATAAACAATCCGCGAAGAACTGAAATAGAAGCAATCAAAACTATCGTCGGGTATGTAGAATGGAATCGGTATTTCGATCAAGATTCTGGATTATTACTGCAACTGCTAGGCGCCTTACTGTATTAACTAAAACGAGTACCTGAAATGCGCTAGTTTCAGTTATCCTTATCAGTATCGTGATCAGCCGGCTTGTGACGAAATGGAGATGCGGCAGCCTACCATACAGGGATAAGCCGGCTTACCTTATTAGTCAGCTGCAAGCCATCCAACGCTGTTTCCGAGTTCACGATTGGTGTACCAAGTACTTTGTACTTTTTAAATAGGTACTTCGTACCCATACCAAATTGCCGAGGCTCATTCTGCTCCACATTTATCTATGTAAGTGGCTGATATCTACTTTCGGACATTCCTAAGTTCTAACATATCTTCTCATCTCATCTAATTCGTCTGTACCTTATTACCATATTTCAATTCTTTGTATATATGCATGTATATCATCAATTCTAATCCGCCATGAAGATTGAAGGCAGAACCTTTGTGGTGTCTGGCGGGTACGAAGCCCCTGAACTCACCAAATCACATGAAGACAAGTTAACCTTTTGGAAACAGAGCTTCCGGGCTTGGCCAAGCATGTGTAGAAGAGATATGTAGGAATGGAGGCAATGTAGCCGTCTTAGATCTGAACGAGGAGAATGGTACTTCAGTGGTGAAGAACCTTCCCAGCGGATCCGCGAAATTCTTCGTCTGTGACGTCCTAGAAACGGACAGTATCGCAGCAGCTGTGAAGGGGACTGTGGAATGGATACAGCAAACTGGAAAGCCATTAGGCGGCATCATTCCAGCAGCGGGTGTGGGAAATCCGGCTACGGTATTATATCCCTAACCGCTGGGCATACTAAGTTAAGCTGTGGAATATTAATCAGATTGGCAGATCCTAGATCGAGAAGGCAATGCCTTTTCCCTAGACAGTTTTGACTTTGTTGTCAACATAAACTTACGAGGTACGATTGATCTTGTACGGCAGTGTCTTGTCCACCTAGCCAAGACGGAGCCCGTGGGTACAGATAAAGAAAGAGGTGTCGTCATCATGGTAGCATCGGTAGCCGCTTTTGATGGGCAGAAGGGGCAAGTTTCATATGCTGCTAGTAAAGGCGCCGTCACAGCGATGACCTTGCCCATGACGAGAGATCTAGCACGTTATGGTATACGCTGTATGACTATTGCCCCAGGCGTGTTCGAGTCACGAATGACGGCTGTGATGCCTAAAAAACTATTCAAGGGCTTAGAAACGGTCATGGAGTTCCCACGACGGGCAGGGCAACCTGAGGAATTCGCACAGCTAGTTCGACAAATTATTGAAAATCCGATGCTTAACGGTACCGTTATCAGGTTAGACGGAGGCTTAAGGATGCCCAGCAAGATTTAGCAACACGACAATACCATTTATTACATTCGATGGTAGTTATGTACAAATTTCTATTTCAATGTATTCTATATAGCCTCACAAGCCCTTTCATAGCATGCAAGTACTTCAGGTGAGTCTCGAGGCTCACCGTGACCGAAGGAAGACTGTCAAAAATAGACCAACAATCACCCCTGATGATTCACATCTAGGACCACGTGTAGATGAAAAAGAGAACATAGTCCATCTCATAGCTCAGCGGGTCTTTCTGGTCTCAAGTACATTCTCCCATTTAGAATTATGACAGCGGTCATCTCCATAAATCCGCCATAATCGGAGCGAACGTTGCCGACTATGGCGAGTTGGCAAGATTTGTGAGTGTTACGGTTGAGAAACGAGGGTTCTTCGGAACGACGGGGAGATCGCCCCAACTCAAGCTATTCTTAATGCATAGGTAATCATAGCCACTACACTCCTTCCGTGGGTCACCGATGAGAACTCACTCCACGGCTCGGGGAGTGTCAGGTCTAGTCCATTGAAAAAGACTAATGACTAGGGGTCTGGTAGGATCAGAATTCGGCCGCAAGGACCCCGACCCCGCAAGGACCCCAAGGAGAATTGTTGACGGCTAGTTTGGGATCCCGAGTCCGGGATAATAACAGCCAATAATTGCTCGAGACCTTCGCAGGTTCCCTCCAGATAGGCTTACAATGCCATTATATCGTCCACCGTATCCCACTCTACGGGAATGGGTATGAGTATACAGCCAATTAGGCTTGGGGTGGACCTCTCAGAGCAAGATTTGTCGGTCCTTTCCCCTAAGGGTGACGGGAAATGTAGGTAGGTATACTGAGATCGATGTCGTGGGCAAAGGGACTGAGGCTCCTTTCTAGGCAGCGCTCTGTCTTCCCACTAGGCAAGTACGCGTCACGCAGAATTGGAATACTCTAGTGTTCATGACGATATCTAGGTCGACCCCAACCCATTAGGCTGTATGGCTGGACTACACAGATCCCCACCGCCACCTAGACAATATTATCCGAGTAGACTGCTGGAATATTAGGTAGCTGAAAGTCTACGTCCTATACTTAAGGGGTATATATGTACTATTTACGAATTATTACTTAAAATTAGCAACTTAACTAATTAATTAATATATATAATATTTATAATTTACATTTATTTTAATAAGTTATAAGCCCGGAAGTTTTTAATTATTAATTAAAAATTTTTATTATTATAATAAAATTCCCGAATTAATAAAAAGGTATAAATGTAAAATATTAAAAAATAGTTATTATAATTTTTATTACGTAAAAAATTCGAGGAAATATAAGTTATTATTATATTTATTAAATATTTATATAATGTTTAAAGGAAATTTATAATAATTTTATTATAATATAATGTATTAAAACGTTAATAAGCTTTAAAGTTTAATTAATAAAATTATATTTTAAGGTTTAAATAATAAAAGGTTTATTAAAACGGGTTATAAATATTAACGGGAATTACGAAACCACGATATTAAATTATAAGTTTTAACGTATTTAAAGTTTTAAGTTATAAACTTTAATAAAATTACGAAATATTTTAAATATTAAAATTATTTACGTAATATAACATTTTATTAAAACTTAATAACGTTAAAATTAATTAAAATAATATTAATATTAATAAAATAAATTTATTATAATATTTTCGAATAATTTTTTAATAAGTTTTAAAATTATTATTTAACGAAATTACCGTTGTTTTATTTTAATTTTTTAAACGATAAAAGAAAATAAATAAATATAATAATAATATTAAAATTAATAAAAAATTTAAAATATAATTTTCGAAAAAAGTTAGTTTAAAAATTATTTTTTATTAAATTTTTTAATAAAATAAATTTTTTTTATTTTACTTATTAAATCGAAAAGTTAAAAAGTAATTATTTAAATTTTTTCGAAAAAAAAGATTATTTTTTAAATTTTAATTATTTATTTATTTTACGTTTTTTTAAGTTTAAATTACTTTTTTTTAACGAAATTATATTATTTTTACTTATTAAAAACTTTAAAATTAATTATTTCGATTTTAAAGTTATTATTTTTTTACTTTTATTAAATTTATTTAAAAAATTTTTTTCGGGAAAAAATACTTTTAATTTAAATAAAAATATTAATATAATTTCGTATATTAAACTTTTAAAATTTATAATAATTTCGATTCGTTTTAAAGTTAAGTTTAATTTACGTTTTATCGTAAAATTTTCTCGATTATTTAAACTTTTAAAATAATTTAATAATGTTTAACGATAATAAAATTATTAAATTTACGATGAAAAAAGTAATTATTTTATACTTTTTAAACGAATGAATTTAGTTTAATCGGGAAATTTTTAACTTTTTAAAAATTTTTAAGTATGGAAAATTATTTTTTAACGAAATAAAAACGAAGTTTTTAATAACGAAATATTTTAATTTTATAAAATTAACGGTTAATAAATTAAAAAAAAAAATAAAAGTTTAAAACGATAAAAACGATAAATATATAAATATTATTAAATATAAATTAAAAGAAAACTTTAAAAATATAATTAAAAATTATAAAATTATTTTTATTATATAATAAACTTTAAAAAAAAAATATAAACTTAAAAAAAATGTTATTTTTTAAAACTTAATTTATTAATGAAAATACGTTATTTTAAAGTTTAAAAAAATTATTATTACTTTTTTAATTAAATTATATTAAATATAAAATGATTTTAAAGAATTTAATAAAACTTATGTAATTTTTAAACTTTATTTAATTAATAAATTTTTTTATTTATTTAATTTTAATTATAATATTTTTTTAATTTTTTTTTTTTAAAATTATAATATTATTTTTAAACGAAATAAAAATAAAATTATTAAAAAGATTATTATTATTATTAATAACGTTATTAAGTTTATTTAATATAAAAAATAAAGTTTAAAAATTCGAAATTAAAACGGAAAATATGTTTTTTTTTCCGTTAAAAATAATAAACGAAAAATTAAAATTATTTATACTTATTACACGAAAGTTAAACGTAAAATCACGTTTTATAAATTCGAGAAATATTATTTTAAATATTTTAATTAAATATTTAAAAATTGGAAAAATAAACGTTAAAAAATTTTAAAAATATTAATTATAATAAGTTTCGTTATTATTAAACTTAATAAGTTAAACGTATACGTAATAACTTTTTTAACTTTTAAACTTTTTAACGATAATAAATTAATTATTTCTACGAAATTTAATATATTTTTACGAATTTTTAATAAACGTTTTTTTAAAAAAAAGTTTATTATATAATTTATATTAAATTTATTAATAAATAATATAACTTTTAAATTTATTAATATTATCGTTTAATTTATTTTAAAAAATATTTCGAAATATTTAATATTAAAAACCATTTTAAAATTATTTAAATTTATGGTATTTTCCCGGGAAAAAAAAAACGAAATAATTAAATTATTAAGAAAAATTATAATGTTAAATAACGGGTGTAATTAAATTATTTATTATAATTAAAACTTGTTTATTAAATTTAATTTTTATATTAAATTATTAATAATTAAAATTAAAAAGAAAATAATAAAAACGAATTATTAAAAAATAATTATATTTTAAATTATTATAAACGGTAAATTCGAAAATATAAAAGTTATAAATATTATTTATTACTTTAACGTAACTTGTAATTTCTTTTTAATTTTTTAATTCGTTTAAAAAAATGTTAAATTTTTATTTAAAAAAAATATAATTTATAAAATAATAAAGGAAAATATTTTTTTAATTATTTCGATAAAAAACGACGTGTATATAATAAATTAAAAAAATAACGATATTAATTTAATAAACTTTAACGTAACATTTTACTTTTATTTAATTTTTAATTTTTTATTAAAAATTTAATATAAACGAATAAAATATTTAAATAATTAAAACTTGGAAAAATTAATAAAAATATTTATAAATATTATTTATTAAAACGAATATTATTTATACGAATAATATATATAAAGTATAATAAAAAAAAAATTATATAAAAATAACTTTTAAAAAAATATTTATAAATTAAAATTTTTATATTTAAACGAAATTAAAATATTTATTAATATTAAAAGTTACGGCGGTTATAAAAAATAATTTATTATAATTTATAACTTTTTTTATATAAATTAAATAATTTTTTTATAATAATTAAAAGATTAATTATTAATTTTTAAAGAATTTTTAAATTATTAAAAAAAATTTAAAAAACGTTATTATTTAATTATTTTAAATAAGTTAAAATTTTATATTAATTATAAGTTTTAATAATATTATTATTAAAAAAAAATAATTATATATTATTCCGTTATAAGTTAATATTAATAAAATGATATTTTAAAAAATTATAAAGTCATTTATATAAAAAAATAAATAATGGTTATTAAATAAGAAAAAAATCTAAGATAAAATAAAAATATAGGAGAAAATTTCTTATGTTAAGTCTCGAGTTACGTATGAAATGTTCTTTCCTTTCGTATCATTCATTATGTTTTATCAAAAATATTATTAATAAATTTAAGAATAAAACTCGAACCATGTTTATATAAGTTTAAAATAACGGCATTTTCGATAAATATTAATTTATTATTATCGATATAATAATTTATATTATAAATAAATCTTTTAATCGTTTATTAAATAAAATTTTTTATAAAATTTAATACGATAATTTATTTAATTTAATATATATAATTATAATAAGTTTAAACGGTTATTATTTTTTAAATAAAAAAGTAAATATATTAAAAAAACGGACGGTAAATTATAAAATATTTAATTACGAAAATAACGACGTAAATTATAAAATATTACGTTTAAATAATAACATTATAATAAACGTTAATAACGTAATATTTAAAAAAAATTATTTATATATTTTTATAAATAATTTTATAATATTAAAAAAACATTAAAAATCGAAATTTTTTTTATTTTAATTTATAATAATTTAATATAAAAAAATAAGTTTATTTTATAAACATTTTATATAAAAAATCCTTTAAAATTATAATCGTGAATTATTTTTTAAAGTTAATAAATTTTTTAATGATTTAAAATTAAAATTTATTATTTTAATTTTAACCGTTTTAACATTAATTAACTTAAGTTCGATAAATTTAAAACCCGATTTAAATCTTAATTTAAAACTTAATTTTATTTTTAATTTTATTTTTAATTTAACATTTAACTTTATTTTAATTATAACGTTTATAATTTTAAACTTATTAAAATAAAAAACCTTTATTAAAAACGAAATAAAAGTTTTAAACTTTTTCGTATTATAATTATTAATTTATAATTTTAAACTTTATATTTAATATATTTAACTTATTAAATATTAATTAAAAGTTATTTTAATTTTCCATATAATAATAATAATATTTTATATAATAAATTTATTATTTATAATAATAAAATTTAAAAATTATAAATAAACTTTATTAAACTTTAAAAAATTTAAATAAAAAAAAACTATAAATTTAAAATATAAATTATTAATTAATAATTAAATTTAAATATTTTACGAATTCTTTAAAAAGAGAAAATTTTTCTTTAAATAATAAATTTATAAAATAAAATAAAACTTTAACGATAAAATTACACGTTATAAAATTAAATAAGTAATTAAAAAATTTAAATAAATAAAAAAATTAAACTTTACGAATATTTTCGTTTTAATAATAAAATTTATAAATTATAAGGTAATTTTCGTTATAATTATTATTTTAAACTTCGAATTAAAATAAATAAACGTCGTTATTATTTTTTTTTATAAAAAAATAAACGAAAATATTTATATAAAATAACCTTTAAACTTTAATAATAAAATACGAAAAGTTTATAAATTAAATAAAATATTATATAATTTAAAATAAACTTTTAAAATTTAATATAATATTTTATTTAAATATTTTAAAACTTTAAATTTTTTACTTTTCGAATTAAACATTAAAATCTTCGTTAAAAATTATATATATATCGTTATTTACATTAATAACTTTTTAATTATTAAACTTAATAAAAAAAAAATAATTAATTTTAAAAAAAAATTAACCGATAAATTTAAAATAACGAATTTAAAACTTTACATTTATTATTTAAAAATAATTATAAAAAAAAATCGTATTAATAAAACGATTATATTAAACTAAAAAACTTATTTAAAATAAATTATTAAAAAATTTAAATAATAAAATATTAATTTATATATAACTTTTATTAAAATTAAAAAAATATTTAAACTTTTAAATAATTATAAAACTTTTTTAATAAACGTTAAATAATACGTTAAAACTATAAAATACTTAATATATATTATAATAAATATTAAATTTAACATTATTTATATTATTTTTTATTTAAATCGATATATAAAAAATTTCATTATAATTTATTTAATCGCCGTTTAGAAAGTTTTAAAATATTTAAAAAAAACCTTTAATTATAAATTAACTTATTAAAATAAATTTAAAAACCTTATAAAATAAACGAACATAAATTATATTAATTATATTTAAAACCGTAAATTTATTTTAAAATATATTTTTAATATTAATAATAATATTATAAATTAATTTTTTAAACGTTAATTTATAATAATTACATTTATTTATAAATTAAAATTTAAAAACATAATAAACGTTATAAAAAAAGTTATATAACTACGAACCTTATTAAATAAATTTAATAAAAATAAAAAAACTTTAAAAATTATTATAATTTAAAAAAATAATTAAAAAGCTTTAACATTTATAAAAAATCTTTAATTTTATACTTAAATTAAATATATCGAAACTAATATTTACTTCGCACGAAAAAAATAAATTATTAAAAAAATTAATTTTTAATACGTTAATATATAAAATTAAATAACGAATAAATTTACGAAACTATTTTTTAAAAATATTTTTATACGCTTTAAAAATACCTTAAACTTACACTTATAAAATAAAATAAAAAAAAAAAGTTTATTAATTTTAACTTTTTTCGTTTTAAATAACCATTCACTTTAATTAAATTAATTATAAACTTTTTATAAAATACACGTTATAAAATAATAAAAACTTTATAAAATAATAAAAACATTATAAATAATAAAAACTTTAAAAACTTTTAAAAAAAAAAATATTATAAAATAAAAAATTATATAATAAAAAAAAAACTAATAAACATAAATCCCCTCGTACAATTTAAGTAAAAATACTAGAATATTAAGTAGTTAAAAATCTACGCCCTATACTCAAGGAATATATATATACTATCTACGAACCACTACCTAAAACTAACAACTTAACCAACTAATCAACACATATAATACTCATAACCTACATCTATTTCAATATAAACAACACCGTCTTTGGGGTGACGGGATAATGGGCATGTATAAAAGCCGCCCCCCGTTTTCTGGTGCACTGCTACAGCTGCTACGAATTATTAGCGTAATGTTAACCAACGGGATAAATACCAAAGGGATTATGTTACTTACTGCTAGCCGTGTGTTTTAGAAACGGGTAAATGTAACGGAGCGCATTGCGTGGCTGGGACGCGTATCTTGTGGAAAGGTCCTAGAACGAAGAGAAGAGGGAGAATCGAAGTTCACACGAGTTCCTGTTCGTGTGGGGTAGCGGTGTTGGGGTCAGGAGGATAGGTAGAAAGTAGAAAACCCGACCCAACTCACACCCCACGGTTGTGAACGGATAGGGAGCGTGTCGTCACTCTGAAGAGGGGGTCTAAGTGTTGGTTGACGGAGAGGTGCTACCACTTATGAGGTGCACGTTAGGTGAAGTTAAGTATGAGTACGAAGTTATTTCTCTTAATAAGTTCTCTCGACAAGAGATCTCCTTTGAGAATTATTCTTAAGTAATCAGCAAACTAAGTGCTTGCGATCTGTTCCTTGATAGGGTTAACGATGTGCCGTGCTTGAGTGAACGACAACGTAGAGATATGAAAAGAGTCACTAATGATTAATCTTATATAAAGAAAATTGTACTCACATTCCTCTAGTAGTTGAGAAAGACTCGTGGTATCGTGAGCCATTATTAGGAGGGAAGTCCTTGGATAGGATTTGGTTGTGGAACCTTTGTCCGTGTTGTTTTTTAGAAGTTCAGAAATTGTTTTACCAAGCAAGATAAGTAGGTAGGTACTAGGTATGAATAAAAACGAGAAAAAACTTTCGTGGGTGAGCAAGAAAAGGTATTGACGATAGGAAAGGACAAGTGACTCATGAAAGTTGAATATTCGTCTGTCTGCCTACTTATGTACATACATGTAGGTAGATACAGTACCTAGCTAAGTACCAAAAAGCTTTAGCCAAGTCAACCCTCACTATATTTCGTCGCTATAGAAACTTAGCATGCTTAAGAAGTGACTTAGGTCTACCTGTCCTGGTACCTAAATCATATACCTTTCAATATGCTTTAATCCTTGACTCGTCCCGGCCTGCTATGTTCAGTACCCGTTATCACTGTATACGATGGTCATCGCCTCGCCTTTGTGCCACCGTAGTATATTTTCGACCTGTTTCTTGTACATGTCGATTATTGTATCGTCCTGGACATAGCCCATATGTGGCGACAACACTACCCGAGTTCTACCCTCTTCTCCCCATTTTATCTTCCTCCATTCACTCGACGTGGGCAGCGGCTCGATTTCGTACACATCCAATCCTACACCGCGGATCAATCCCTTCTTAGCTACTTCGAGCAGGTCTTCCTCAACCACGATCGGTCCTCGCGCAGTATTTATGAACAGCGCCGAGCGCTTCAATTTTCCTAAGTCATCCGCTGTGATCAAGCCCCTAGATCGGTCTGATAGTACCAGCTGAACGCTAACCACATCTGCAGAACTGAACAACTCGTCCCGGCTGACAACCTTGAAAGTTTTATCTCCGTTCGCGTCCTCAACCGGCAGGCCGGAAGCCTTGGCCTTCTCATCGGCCGCCTCCTGGGTTAAATTCGTGCTCCAAGCTATGACTTTCATGCCGAAAGCTATGTGCATGATCCTCGAAACGGACACCCCCAACCTACCCAGCCCAACAACACCAAATACTTTCCCTGCCAGGTTAGTGGCTGACGCCGTCTGCCAGCCTCCGGCCTTCATTATTGCGTCGTCTTGCGGAATGTTTCTCGCAAGGGCAAGGATCAGAGCAACACAATGCTGAGTGGTACTATCGGGGTTCCACTTTTCTGGAACAGTGCCAGCCACGGGGATTCCGCGCGCAGAAAGTGCGTGTACATTGATGGATGCGTTGCGGGACCCCGTCGTTAAGAGTAACTTGAGGTTCGGAAGCCGGTTAACGAGTTCAGCTGGGAATGGTGTCCGTTCTCTCATAGAAGCTAGATCTGTCAGACACCCTCATAGCTTCCGGTGCCTAGCTTCCTTCGATAAGACTTACAAATAATTCCAAAAGGCTCGAGGCGCTTGACCAATGCGTCTTTTACATCTTGCGGGGTGTCGGGGTGGTTGTACGGAAGAAGTGTATCAGTGAATGTCGTCACCTCAAAGCCAAAGGTCTGTAGCTTCTCGAAGAGGGGTACAGACAACTTTTGATAGTCGTCTAATACAGCAATCTTTACCACAGCCATGATGAACCATCCAATTGGAATATTACAAATGATTCTTCGGAAATAGGCTGGGTGGTACAAATAGAGACTTTTAAGTTGTCATTGTACAGTTCAAGTTATTGGAGTCTTGGAGACATCCCCGACTGCCCGAGCGGAGATGATCGATCGATCACGCCTTCGCTCCACTGTAGCGTCTCCACTTTATGCCGGTTATAGCTTCCGGCGCCCTCCCGCCTGTCCATTGCCTCCAAGTTATGACTTAGAACACTATTTTCTCATGTTTAATGAGTGGAAAAGAACGTTACAGGCGATTATCTACTATTTACGGTCGTATGAGTTGTGAAATGGTGATAATAACAGAGCTAGTGAATAACTAGCCCATGATATGTCTCAGAGTTGAGTTAATGCGAGGGTTAGGGTTGGCTCCCTATTCCTGGAGGGCGTGATATCTACTAAATGAGTGGCCAGACCTTTTGTGTATCCCCAGCCTCCTCCATAACGGGACTCGCCATCTTCGCCACTTCGGCTTCTATCCTACCATTTGTCTACCCTCCATCAGAAGGTAAGCTCTTCGAGCGCCTTACCTTTGGTCGTAAAAAACCATCCATCCACAGTAAATTTCTAGAACCAATTAGATTGATATGTTGATTCACCGGGAAAGCAATGGGAAAATATCTGTATTAAGTCCCTTAACTGGCAGACTAGTTGGCAAGGCATTCGTCGGATAGCGCTAGGCAGAGGCGTTCGTGGCGTTAGTAGCGAATACCAGTTCCCTCCCTATCCTATCACACAATTAGTCACCCGCATAGGTACGTAAGTAAGCATATATACCTGCATTAGTGATATGCAGCAGGGAAATGCAGGTTTGTACAATAAAGTCTCCCTAAAATCTTCAGAAACTATCGATATTTATATTAGTTTGAGGTGAACTAGTTAAATCGCTTAAAAATGGTTGATGGTATACATCAAAGGTACCAATGGACTTTTTTTAAAAAATTAAGTAATGATGATAGCAGGCGATTCTCTTACAATTAGACGCGTAGGAGAGCTGTAGTGTTGAGTTCAATGGGAGTTCTCTAAGAGTCGCGGTAGACACAGCCCGAATTCTGCCTAGAACATAGAGTCATAGACTGCGTTTTGGTTTAGCGCCATGGAAGAGTGTTTTCCTTCTATATCATAGAAGCCTATGCTACCCTATGTTATTAGGGAGGAGTATTGAGACAAAGAGAAGCAAATCGAAGCGTCATTAAAATTTTCACTCTGCAGAATTTAGAAAATGCGCCAAAAAAAAGAAAAAATGAAGAAAAAAAGCCTAGTATCCCCATGTTCTCCAGACTCCGAAACCCCCTTTTCCCACTGTTAGGCGCACAATAACCCCACAATAATTTCTTGGAGGGCGCAGAGGGTGTGGAAAAGACTTCTTATCATCAACTTTCACCGAAGAATATTATGATATTATAATATTATATTCGGTAGGTAGGTACTAGGTAGGTACTAGGTAGGTAGGTACCTAGGTAGTGATCCAATCTCAAAATGAGTTTAGGCTTTTTTGAACCAAGTGAAGGATGAAGGTAAGGATGAAGATCGAAGAGACGAGTGCTTTAGTTTTTACTAGAATACCAAGATCACATGACTCCCTTATCCTCACCTCGCAAATTTTGTGGTTTAGCAAAATCACCACCCAGCCGCCTCCTATTCAAATGAATAGAATAATTCTTCATGGAATAACAATTTGCGATATCTGAAGCGTCGTGTTGTTGAAATGCTTAATGTTGTCTCTTTTTAAGAAAATTTGGACCCCAGGCAACAGTGATGAGTTGTTGCCTTCCGCGATGACAACATCTCTATCCTACCTAGTAGATACTCGGTAGGTATGTACCATGTTGTTCCCGCGTGATCCAGTTCCATTTTTCCACTTACCTACCTAGAACCTTTTTAACTCTCATTGCAACCCTTTCGAGGTAATTTCATAAGTTCCTTCTATTTAATATATTCCATCGTCATCGACAAAGCTTTTCGCTAATCCCGGCTAAGCTTCTAAGTAAGCATCAAGTAGCTCCTCTGAAATAAGGTGTACCTACCTATATATTACTGCAAAGTTAAGACCTTCGACCATATCTGTTAGTTCAGTACTTTCATTTCACCTACATGATAGCAAGTACCAGCCTCTATTCATCTCATAGAAGTCAGGTCGGGGTGGTGTGCATACAACGTTTACTTTACAGTTAGGGAGAGCAGATATCACTAGACCCCCACGACGGTCCTGTCACGGAAATTCTGGTATCCCTTCAACTAGCACAAGGCAACCTACTTATTCCGGTAGTAGTACTAGCTGCAACTTCTAATGACCGATAGCACCCACATATTTCGACTGTGGTTCGACGAATGCGGGTGTCTTGAGGGTTACAATCAGAACTTATTAACTTAGTAAGAGGGGTGTTCGTCAGTCGCTTGATCATACCCCAGATTAGATGCCTATCCGAGTGGTACCTGGGGTAGACCATAAGCGCCATAATCGAGCACCAAGGATCCAAGAAGTCATCCCAAGATATATCTACCTACCTAGGTACCTAGGTAGACACCTATCTGTCTACGCAAAAGACCTCGCGGGTGCGGTGCTTGAAGTTGACGTTGGAATCAGACGTTTCTCATTAATATTTCTACGCCTTATTACCGACTAGGTATCTAACATAGAATGGTAGTGAGGAGCAAGCGTTAGTAGCAGATATACAGAATATCCCATATGGAATATATACTAGTTAGGTACTTACCTACCTATCTAGTTTGTACCCTTTTAATTAAAGATGTATACCTAGGCGGAGTTGTTGCGTAACGTAATATACCCAAGGCAGACTCTGTGTAGGTATTGCACATTAGCTAGGTCAGTTAAATCCTGATATATAAGAGGAGAATTGGCTACGCTAAACTAACCTATGTTAAAGCATCTACATGGATACTAGATTCGTGCCTACCAGGTAGTATGGATCCGCTTAGCGGTGTTTCTAGTATATTCGCTGTCATCTCACTTGCCATCCAGCTAGGCAAAAATGCTATCGAGTTAATAAAATTTATTGACTCCATACACGATGCCCCGGCAGAGATAATACGCTTGAACCAGGTCGTCCGCGGACTCCAATCAATTGACAACGATGTTAGGAACGCACTCGAATGCCAAAAGGATTCATATGGTCAAAATAATGTTAACATATGCACCGCATTAGAAAGATGTCAAGCCAATTTGAACTCGATCAAGGGCATCTTCCATATAGCGGAAAAAATGAAGAATGGGAAAACTTCCCTAGTACGAAATTTCGCACAGGCCCGGCTCGCATACAAGAAAGACGAGATCGAGAGGTTTGAAAGGCAGCTTAACAATTCAATCACTGCCCTTCATGTGCATCTGTCTTTAAACTTGATGTAAGTTATATATACTATGAAGAATTAGCATAAAATATATTCATCATCTGATTATATATTTACGCTGCAGAAATTCCAATGCCATGCTCAACAATGAAGTTGGACTTTTAACGAAACAACTTGCAACCCATTTTTCATCAAGCAGGTCATGGGTCCAGCAGGGAGCGACTGAAACCAGACTAATCCCCCCAAGAATGCCCAGGCTGTCGGAAATCGCTATTCACAAGACGTTGTTGAAAGGTAGTTGGTTCCATATATACTACCATAAGCTAAGCGGCAAATATAGAAGACAGTCCGTTCTACTTCAAGCGAGGATTTGCAGATCGTATATGATTATGGTGCACCTATGGAGGCCCTTTCTTGGTATGGGATACTCATTGCCCTTCAACCTATCGATACGAGGCCTAATTCCCCCGGATTCGGAAATATTAGAGGCATGTAAAAAGGGGAACAGTTGCGAAGTTAGGCGACTCCTCAGTCTGGGGTCCACAAGACCGGATGACGTGACACCAGACAATCGAACACTTCTTAGTGTAGGTTATTCAATCATTATATATTTAAACTAGCGAGAATATTAATGCCTCAAGATTGCGATAGAAGAAGGCCATGCCGAAATTGTCCATCTCCTTCTTAGAGAAGGTGCTGATCCAAATTCCCCTTTTGGGAGATATGAGAGGTAACTAAGTCTCGAGATAATGCATCCCAAGGTACTGATTGATAGGACATAGGTCTCCATTACAGCATGGGATCTTCTTCGGAAGGCTTGATATCATTCGGACTCTCATTTCACGAGGAGCTGACCCAGATTACTGTTCGGCGCAAGGTTGGTCGCTACTTCATTACTTGTTCGACAGGACCAAGTCTATAACTAGTATCGAGTGCTTCTCGATCTTGGGGGGTGATATGATATTTGACGATATTAAAGACGGAAGGGGCTGGACTTCGCTGCACAGATGCGCGGCGTTTGGCAACGCGGACGATATCAGATTTCTCAATCGTATAGGGGCGTCCGCATTCTCTGATCGATATATCACGAATGACGGATACAGTCCGATCCACGTGGCGGCTGTAACAAACAATGTGTCTACTCTGGAAGAACTCTTCGAAATACGAAGAACACAGCTACCACCACAGATACAAAAGAAAGGGATCACTGATATCCTTGATCTTGTCGATACCAAAGGCTGGACTCCATTACATCTTGCCGCGTATAGTGGCTCGGTGAGCACATTGAAATGGCTACTCTTGAATGGCGCCAATCCGCACTGCACGACGTATCGCACTGCCGATTGGTTTCCTGAAGGTCATGAAGGAGAAGCCTTCGAAGTTGCAGACCTAGTATTGCTATCAAAGGGGAATTGCCTCGAAGCTTTTATCGAAACTTTAAGGAAGATGGAGTACGACGTTACCACAGACGGAAATGATATATATTGGCTATCTGCGGATCAATCAACTTCGCAGGAGTCCTAAATAAGGTTCCTCGCCCGACGTCATTACTTCCTCACTTCTTAGGTCCGTTTCATGATTTGTAGGAATAATGAAGTCTATTATTTTCTAAAATGAAACTTCTTTAACGCCAAACCCCCTTTTCCATATGCGTCTAGTGCCGCCCCATCTAAACGCTTCTAAATCTATCCGTCTAATAGCCCTTAGCCGAATCATTGATCTATAATCCCTCAATACTTTTCAATCTTCAACTCCCAATCAAACATATTGTCAGTCTAAATTATAGGAACGCCAGTCTTCTTCGACGTCTTTCAAGGCGATCGGCAACCCTCTCCAGGCTTGCATCCCGCCAAACATATACAACCACCATCTCCGTCAGAACTATATCAATTAGCAAGAACATATATTTAGGTAGTAAACCTCTCAGGGAATGCTTACTTTTCTTCAGTCCCATCACCTAGTACCTGATTCTTCACAGGGGAGAGCGCTGATGTTGCTGAGGGTCCCATAGTTCTTTCAACGTTAAAGTTGTACCGATGATAAAGAGCTGCTTGGGGCTCGAAGGTTGAGGATGACAACATTCCGGCAACCAACGAGAGGATGCTTTCGACAGAAGATTCTGCCAAGTGAGGTGCAAGAAATAAAGCAGACATCATGAAAGTAAGAGGGTTCTCGAGGCTAGAGCGTATAGGCTGTTTGTGATGAGGAATTGGGTAGTTGGATCTTGTTTGAGGCTTGATGAACAAGAGGAATGAAGAGCCATGATGGATAGACGTCAAGTTTATAGGAGATGTTTTGAGGCAAAGAGAGGAAAGAAAAGGTAGTACTCAATAGGACAATTGGAGTTTTTCGGCCAATTTCTTCTTTGGTTTCAAATGAAAAGTTTATTTAAAGAATTCGAGGTCAGATGGGTAGAGATGTCCACCAAGTGACTATAGTTCGGCCCCATCGTTGAGTGGCGCTGGCGTGGAGGTCCAGAAAGAACAGTTCGCTCAGTCCGGGATATCTCGCTTAACTCGGAGACCAGATGGGACAGGAAATTAACAAAATAGCAAACCTTGTTGAAATAGGCGCCGGTGAAGGGTGTGATAATAGTTAGTTACATTAGAAGATAAAGTTGCAAAAAACAAGCGGAAGTTAGTAGGTAGCACATGCCCATACTCCTCGAATATAGGACTTAATTTACCTCCCAGATTTCCAGTTGAGTATTCAAATTCCGTTTTCTCTCAGACACACAGCTATACACGAATAGATAGAAGGAAAAGGGGAAATATGCTATAAAGTCACTACAGCTTTTTTACGTTGTGTGTTATTGGTCAAGTCGTGGTGGGATCATAGATGGTTATGGTATGCGATTGCGAGGAAGGGTAAACGCCCCTCTACGCTATTTACACCCTTCTAGGTACACAATGTTATGTATACCTGCCTGAAACATCCCCGAGGCTGTTATGAAGAAATCGCAACATAATGTTAACATTGATCATGGTCAACTCTAAGCAATGCCCACTTCCCCCCAACATAAGCCAAGAACAAGTTGTCGTATGAAGGTTAGGCTATTAAAAGTATCTACACCTACCTACCTACTTACCTCACTAGTAGGTACCTACTTTTAATAGCCCAGTTTCGTTTATAGACCTCTTTTGTCATTTATGCATTTAATTATCCTTACTTCCGATTTTAGAAGTTTCGAGATTTCATTTGTAATAGGATTATTCAAGGTAGATATGCCCCGTCGTAAACAGTATGCAATGAAAAAGAAGAGCAGTAGATATGAGGTGATAGATGCATACATGCATCTTACCACGCCTCAAATGTGGATATCTCTCAGTACCTAGTAAGCGTAAGAACGTTTATGCTTATCATACCCCTAAGAACTCTATTCTCCTTATTGCTTACGATTGGTAGCCCTACGGTTTTATGGAGTAATCCGATGGGCGAAGCGCGCTGTGCTGTCGAGTAAAGTCCCATCGCGCGACCTGAAGTTTTCAGCTTCAGCGACTAAATCTGACGTAAAGCGATCAACGGTAGAAATTCTCATACATCTACTGCATGTAGTTAATTTCAGCCTTAGGGCGAACGATTGAGCCTCTTAGATCTAAGTCAGGGTCCTAATCATTAATTAAAATGTAGGGGGTGGATGAGAAGTTCAAATCTATGAAACCAGACAGGATAGAAAGAGAAGCATGTGAAATATAAGAATAGTAGCGATAGAACATATAGAGAATACCGACCTACCTATATAGGCATTGCCTACCGTCACGCTAAGGCACAGCGCCATCGGCGTACCTACATATGCACGTATGTACATGGATATGTGCGCAAGCTTCCACGTGGAAGACATTCCTTACAGGTACATGTCACATGGATGGCACAGGTAAGATTGAGGGGTTATAGTATAGCGGAAATGGTCCATAGAAAAGCGTCTCGTACGCGGGGCAAAGACGCCACGTGCGCTAGCGTGTGTTTTACGGGTCCTCCCGAACAGCTGCCGAAGTATATCCATAGTAATAATCTTATAGCCCGGAGGCTTATGCGGCAGGACCCACTACTAGGTACTACGTCCCAGGACAATGGATCACCCCTGACTTGGGAAATTATCCCATTTATGTAGGTGGGATCTGCGTGAAAACTTCACATTCAAAAGTTTCGAAGCCTAAAAAGAATCCCCAAATATCACCCTGCAGCCCAAGCGTGCCAACAGGAGTCACTATCAGCCCTATCAACCTGGGGCCTACCAAGGATTTCGGCCGTTTCCGCACCTGCGATATTAACAACGTGCGCCATCGATGCATACGCCACGTGGTAATAAGGCAGATCGTGGAGTTCCGTTAATTATCTGCAGGCGGAGTTCAATAGGGGGGTTATCACGTACTGTCGGGGGCTGATAGGAAGAACGCCTTCCGTACGAGTGAGTATATAAGCGGCCGAATGCCCTAATAGGTATCGGTGAATACAATACTATTCTGCGAGCCTAATGCGCGCCAGCCTACCTACTATTACCACTCACTCATCGATAATCTCCAAGTACAAGCCCAATCCCCGACAATTGTTCCTCTAGTCATTGAGAAAATTACAAGGGCATAGAGAATTGAAAGAGATGGATATGCGATTGGCCATCCAACTACTATCTACAGAACATGATTCCTATTCTATAACCGTAGCTAAACTCGATGTGAAGGAAGAAACCTCAGAGGATGTTATGAAACGACTTATAATCAATTTGCCTTACCAGAATTCAAGGCATCCAGAGGGATGAGATCAGCAGGGTATAATTCTCATTAAGCGATAACTTCAAATGAGTTCACGAAGAGAAGATGTACATTTGTTACGTCATGAGATTTTTATAGATTCCGAAATCTAAGACAACATGAAAATTAATTCCATATTATAACACAACCCAACTCTCACACTCGTAGTGGCAGCTAACTCCTGAAATCTAGATACCGGGCCTAACGAGATTGTTCTAAATAGATCGACGTGTTTGTCGGCCACCTTAAAAATTGAGATTTTGGCGTTTCGGTTGGCTTAGAGGTACCTATCTAGTTGAGATCTACTACGAGTCGCAAATACCTACGCTGCCGGAACAGCTTTCGCTCATCTTTCTATTCAAATTGCCAAAGAGAATGATGATATTCAGAGCCAGAATCAATACAATGCTACGAGAGTCTGGGTAAAAAGTTTCGCACATTTGCCTAAGAGCCAAAACCGTGTAATTCCAAATATCCTCGTACCGTGTAACGTTCTTCTCCAGTGGCTCAGCCCCTAAAACACACCCCCACCCTCCGCTAAGACCAACTTGGACTTTAGAAGATGTATTTGCAATTAAACAAACACATAATCCATTTGATTGGCTGAAAAGCGCTGCTTACGAAGTACAATGATGCGCTAAAGCCCTCAGCCACAAAGCAATTAAATACAGTGCGGAAGACAGTCCTGTGTGGATGTTTAACTTTAAATTATGGTTATTATGATATCGCCCACTAAAAGTTTATTTTGAAGTCTTTAGAACCTTTTCTTCTTTAAAGATAGCAACAACATCATAACTAAATCCTACATCTAGGCAACCTCCACCCTTCACGATCTTTTCTACTATAAAATTTAAAAAAACACAATCCACTTTATCCGTTTCTATATCATTAAAGAGCATTCCGACTCGAATTCTAGCACTAAGCAAAGTAGTTTGGAGAGAATAAGGAAAGAAGAGATGGATAAGATATTCTGCGAGGTTAAGGAAGAGCGCGCATGGATTAGTACTAGGTAAGTTATGATTTAAAGCACATTTCATTAAGAAAACTTTATAAATTGCTAGACTAATATCATATCTATACCAGCTAATCAACTGGTATATACTAGAATTAACTAACTATCCAACCCATTTAACTAAAGCAACTTGGAGTCTTGACCTTTGAGACTGTATCCCCTGTTTGCCTATATAGGTAACTCCAACGTTTTGTAGGGTCGTCTGTGTAGCACAGGGGATAGCGTTTTTACAGTGCTTTACAGTGGGATTAGCACATGGTTCGCATTTTCTGACTCTATTCGGAAGGCGTAAATATAGCTGGAGACCTGAATAAGTGGCAAGTTTCCGTTTCTCCGGTTCATTTCTGAACCTAAGAGACCTCCATCTTTTGATGGACACTTTATACAAGGCTCTCGGTCAAGTCGTGCATTTCCCAACTACCGTAAGACGGTGACCGTATGAACATATTTCACCTTCCCCCCCTCGAGCCGCACTTCATGTGAATCAGGCATGTCCCCGAGTGAGTCGAAAGAACACAGCACATCCACTGACCCCACCGTTTCATCGATGACGTATCGGCGATTCCCGTTCGGCTTCTGGCTTCCGCCATGTGGTAATGTCGCACCGCACGGTCGTGTGAGTGCAGATCCTTCGACGCGCTCACAGTCTGTACCCCACTGTGGCGTTAGGAGTTAGTCTTAGCCCCTGCGAAGAATGTCATCGATAATTCCGTATCTTACTTACTGGTATCGAATCAGCCGCCTTAGCATCCGTCCACATGTCAAGGTAAGCATCACCAACGCGCTTGAGCTCGTCTCGACTTGCCCTCTGCCCTTCGTCCAGCGTGTCCCAGTTCTCCTTTTGGATGTATCCTAGTGTTTTCTGTGCGTCGAAGAAGAGCGCGCCGGTCGTCGCTGCGATCGTATCGATCAAGGCAATGGAGCTCGTGTCATTATCTCGGTGTCGAATCTGTGTCGAGATCACGTAGGGCTTAGAGCCTGTCGCCGAGATCAACATCGTGTAACTTGCACATGCTATCGTATCGGCCGTGGATCGGTTGAGGTCTATCTTCAAGGGCTGGCTTAGCACGCCGGTCTTGATGTCCGTTACTTTATTGTTGAGCTGGTATGTGAAGTTGGTGGCGGATAGCTTCAGGCTGTCAATACTCCCACTAGTCTGCGCAGCAACGTAACTTTCCGCCGCCGCAAGGAGTCCTTCGCGAGTGCATTCCGCTGACGCTACAGTGATGCTCAGTGTTAAGGCTGTGATGACCGTGTTGGTCAGCTTGGTATTGAGACCAAACATGCTATAACGAGAGGCCGGTGTTGGGGCAATAGGACTTTACAGTTAAAATGATACTCGTGATGCCTAAAACATTCTAACAAATTCATCAAGTGGCGCAAGCGATTGATATAAGCAACACCAACAGCTAATTGAGAAATGAAGCACCGAAATGATATGCCGTGCCCAATGCGGAGGTACCTCCTTGCTATATTGACATATTGACTATCCCCGCGGGAAAATGTATCAATGCAACGTCGATATTCAGTAGCTCGAAGAAGTTATACCTGATAAAAAGCGTGTTTCTTCTAAATTGATCCATCTGGTGATGATGCTTATTCTTTTGACCATACCTACGCATAATAGTTTGATAAATTTCCAAGTCACTCTAGTTCTCTTTCACCCCTTCATGTTAGTTGAAGTCGTAATAAAAGGGGCAAAATAAAGCGGGTCCAATAGGGGTAACAATGATAGTTACATATACTGCTTATAGATATATTTATCTCGCTAGGCGATAGTTTCAATTAGCCCGATTACCCCTTTTTAATAGGGGAACACATCTATTCATCATTTCTAGTCTCTTCAATTACGAGATCCAAAAGATTTCCAACACAGCAGTTACCCTCCCTACTTACGTTAAGTTGGCCAAAAGTCGGTTATGCGAAAGTCTAACCCCGCCGGTTTCCAAAAAGCTCATCACCCCACGCGATATGCTAATCGGCTAAATGACCCTAGAACATTTCGTGAGGAGCATGCAGGTGTAATAGCATCGATCGCTACTCTGCAGGTTTTCACGCAGATAAAATGAGCTGTCACAGCAGAACCAATCATTTTCATGCTGATCATAGACTTTAGGGAAACGGTGCGTCGTATTTCTCCATCGTCTATGGAATAGACGAGCCAATTGTTCTCTATAGGAACAGACGCACCAATTGCCTATGTCTGTATGAATAGACGGGCCAATTATTGGAGAAACGCAAGTACACAAACTACGTAGCTCGGATACCAAGGTCTAAGCAAATCGCATCCGTTAGGCTATTTACTGGATTTTTGTTTAGCAAAGGGTTACTTACAGTCTTCAGATATGTAAAATTTATCGAAAGATCCTAGAATATAAAAGGGCTTCGAACATCATGTCGTTAGGTTTGACTCGTTGTTCTAATTCAAATCAATTATATCTTTGAACTTTTGGCATCATGAAGCATCCGGTAAAGACACTGGGATGTCTCTCAATCCTCAGCACGCGAGTGCTAGGGAAAATGACTTTTCCTGACTGCGTCGGAGGGCCGGAAATCTTGACGACCAATCTTGTCTGCGACACGAGCGCTAGTCCATCAGAAAGAGCTGCCGCACTCATAGGTGCTTGGAACATCACTGAGAAACTAGCTAATCTTGTTGAGTATGTGTATTCCGTTGTCCGACTCCAATCTCTTTCAAGCTGATACCGTACTAGCAAGAGTCTCGGAGCACCTCGCCTGGGATTGGATGCGTACGATTGGTGGAACGAAGCTCTCCACGGCGTCGGATGGTCTCCGGGTGTCGCCTTCGCGCCCTCGGGCGAATTTTCGCATGCGACATCTTTCGCCAGTCCGATTCTACTGTCGGCCGCCTTCGATGATGACTTAGTCCACGCTGTCGCCGATGCTATCAGCACGGAAGCTCGAGCCTATAGCAACTCCGGACATGCTGGGCTTGACTACTGGACCCCCAACATCAATCCTTATAAAGACCCAAGATGGGGCCGTGGTTCGGAGACGCCAGGAGAAGACCCCTTTCGCATCAAGGGATATGTCAAGGCTTTGATAGATGGCCTACAGGGAAAAGAGAATATCACAAAGGTCATCTCAACATGCAAACACTACGCCGCTTACGACCTGGAGTACTGGGGCGGAGTTAAGAGATACGAGTTCGATGCGATCGTCGGGATGCAGGATCTAGTCGAATACTACCTCCCCCCGTTCCAGCAGTGCGCGAGAGACTCCAAAGTGAAGTCGATCATGTGCTCTTACAACTCCGTCAACGGGACGCCCGCTTGCGCGTCAACGTACTTGATGGGGACAGTGCTCCGAGATTTTTGGGAGTGGAATGATGAGAGCCAATATATCACTAGCGACTGCAACGCCATCCTGAACTTCCATGAAGACCATAATTACACGACTACCGCGGCACAATCAGCAGCAGTATCCTTGATGTCTGGGACAGATAGTATATGCGAAGTCGGTTCTAACACAGACGTTATCGGAGCCTGGAACCAAACCTTACTACCGGAAGAGGTGATTGATCAAGCACTTCGACGCATGTACGAAGGACTTATCCGCGCCGGATTCTTCGATCCCGCGGACGCGACTCCATATCGGTCATTATCTTGGAAAGATGTCAATACTCCCGAACATCAAACCCTCGCCCTTCGTTCAGCAGCAGAATCAATTGTGCTCAAGAAAAACGACGGAATCTTACCCCTGAAAGTTGATAATACGACTACGATTGCCCTTATCGGGTTCTGGTCGGACGGGTTGAGCCTGGCCATGCTGGGCGGATACTCAGGGCTTCCACCATATATTCGGGGGCCAGTCCAAGCGGCGCAGAATCTCGGGTTCCGCATCGTGAACGCTACTGGACCCATTAAGCAAAACACCTCGGATACGGATACCTGGACAGAAGCCGCACTAGAAGCTGCAAATCAATCGGACATCGTGATATACTTCGGTGGCAACGATATGACGATAGAAGCGGAAGAGCTTGATCGCTTTTCTATCGCCTGGCCCAGTGCGCAGTTAGCTTTGATCGAGAAGCTCAGCAAGCTAGGGAAGCCGTTTATCGTCGTCGAGTTAGGAGACCAGAATGACGACTCATCACTTCTGGACGATGATAATGTCTCTGCCATCTTATGGGCTGGGTTCCCTGGACAAGACGGCGGCACTGCTATTTTTGATATTTTAACTGGCAAAACTGCGCCAGCCGGTCGATTGACAACTACTCTTTACCCAGCGAAATATGTCGATCAAGTTCCGATGACCGACATGAGTCTCCGACCGAGCGAGACCAACCCCGGCAGGACGTATAAATGGTACGACAACGCCGTACTACCCTTCGGGTTCGGATTGCACTACACCACTTTCAAGCCCTCCTTTGGACCCGACGCTTTTGCTGACAAGATATACGATATAACTGAGCTACTCGATGCTTGCAACGCGAAATACCTGGACCTCTGCCCCTTCGAAACAGTAGGTATCTCCGTCGAGAACACAGGCAACGTGACATCAGACTTCGTTGCCCTCGCGTTCTTATCCGGAGAGTACGGACCAGCTCCACATCCGATTAAGGAACTTGCCGCGTACGCGCGCATCAACGACGTAAATCCGGGAGAAACAAAAGAGGCCAAGTTAGGGTTGACATTAGGGGATTTAGCACGTGTAGATGAAAAGGGGAACACCATCTTATACCCGGGGACGTACAGCTTCTTACTCGATGTGCCCACGCAAGCTACGATCGGGTTCGAGTTGACCGGCGAGCCGGAAATGCTCATCGAGTTCCCGCAGCCCCCGGCTGATCTCGGAGAAGGCAATGGACATGAGAAGTACACGCCGAAGTGATCTTCTCAAGGCCGACTGAATGGTGTGCCGTGCGATATTGAAGGGAATTTTCCGCAGGCTACATGTGATTATCTAGGTACTAGTTAACCTACCTGGCACTCGGGTATGATTTCATAGTGCTAAGGAACCTGTGATGAATAAGAGTTCTCCACGGCACTGACAAATATACTAATTGTCTATTTTTGCAACACTAATCCCTTGTAAGGATCTAAGCTATCGGATAGTAACATTTTACCGCTAGTAACCATTGGTAATCAGGTCCGAGCCAGCTAGTGTCAACTAGAGGTCTCTAAAATATATAGTGCGATAAGTCTCATAACTATCACATACGACCATAGGATCTGGAGAACTCGGGATCCCGTCCGCTCTCCCCTAGATAAACCAGATACCGCCGGATCAGTAGTTGGGTCGGTGACGACCAGCGAATACCTGGTGTTGTATGTATTTATTTTTATTTTTTAATTCATATTGCCCCTTTTCATTCTAGGGTTGTTATGTGGGGTAAAAAAGGAGCTAGCATCAAGAAGAGCTACAGTAAAAAGTACCCTAGGTTTTTACCTACTTGAACTTTTTAAAATTCCTATTAACATAAATACTAGGTAATTTGGCTTCTGGAGCTCTAAGATATTTCCGCGAGATCATAAAAGTGACTCTAGGAATTGTTATTCAATCAGGTAGTGAGTTACGTGACCGGGTCACACATCTGGATTTTGCCAAACGACTTATAAATTTACGATTAAGCCGAACTACATACTTCCTAGGTAAGTAACTTGAGTAAATGCTGGAATATTTTCATAAGTCTTTGTGTGAGCTTCGTACAATAACATTCAGGTTGTTGAATAATTGCTTTAATTTCCGCGGTAACATGAAGTGAGGACAAAGGAATTGTTACGACGCGCTACCATTCACACTTTTTTCTTAAGGCAATATAAATATACTCATAGGCATTCTACCTACCTACCTTTACCTAGTACTAAAGGCACTACTATTTCTTCTTTAATTCGAGTTTGAATACGACTTCCGAAGAATTGATTCCCATACTAATACCAGAAGCCCTATATAAAAGAATACACTCCAACCACACTTCATAATGGACCCTCCTACCTTGAGCGGAAGACCAACCTCATTTTGGAACGCCTTGCAGCGAGACTTGCAAACAAGCCTTGACAAAAACAATATGATAGTCTACTTCAGGGCTTACGGATCAGCTAATGGTGTCTTTCCGGGCCACTGGCGACCAGTGTATTGGACTCTCGAGGACTTTGCATATTTTTATGATTGTCCGGAGAAGGAATCAGCTTTCGCTGCCTACGTAGATGAATGTGTCTCAAAGTCTAAAGAAGATTCAAATCCAACATGGTGGCAAGTCGTCGATGTCATGAACGAACTATTCACTCGTCCTGATCTTCTTGTAAACTACCTAGGCCTCCGGCCTGCAGACCAGATCGACAAGTCTAATTGGCGCAAAGTTGATCACGCTGTCGCTTTCATCTGCCGGCTTCTCAATTATCGGGATCATCTCGACTCAGGCACACCGACTACCCGAGATGATTTCCAAACTCGACAAGCAGCCTATGCCAGCTCTTACGGAAGGAATAACCCTTTCTATGCCCGGTGGGATTCGACCGATAAATGGGCAGCTGCCTTTCTCCTCTTTTGTATGCTCACGTCTGAGCGAGAAGACTACCTTAGGTTGCGAACGATATCGTTTCTATCGAAGTGGTAAATCTCTAAAAATGACATTTAGAAACTAAATCCGATAACGAAATATAAGTTTAAGTTTTACGGTCTCATGGATAAAATGTAAAATATGCTGGACTGTACTATTTTTAAGTTGTCAGCTGGACGAATGTGTGCGGCCTTCGCTGGTGGTCATCAATTGCGCTAATCGCCGGATTTACTACGGCTCGGCATTCTGCTATTACGCAGGACGAGAGCTCGCATGGTCAATATGTCGAATTTGTAAAGATGAGACCAAGGAGTTCCTTCTCCCTCTATTTCTTGGCCGTCGACTGTTGCTGGTACTATTGGAATCCAAGACTGGTCCGAGGGCGTACACTAGAATGGGTCCGTTAGTATATTACGATGAAGCAATCGGATGACTCGGTACATGTAGGTATGGAAGGGGAAGATGGAAGAGCTCTTTGGCGGGGTTCAAGAGATCATCAAAAGCTTGATCAGGCCTGAATAAAGCGGCAAGAAATGATACGGAGGGTACCTACCTAAGGTATGCAACAGCCCAAGCTGCAACGACCAGAACAATCACTTTCAAACTTACCTACATAAGGCAAGTAGACTTAGATTGTTTCTTTTTGTTTGTGTACTTGTTTCCCAATTTAATTGAATTTTTGGCGCACTTGCTACATACCATAGAGATACTCATTGCGTGACTTCCGTAAAGTACAAATAAACACTATTGTTTCCCTCTCAAGTTTATTAAAGACCCAAAGCTGAACAATAGGTCTATGTTTAAAAAGTGAAAGGACGATGGGAAGTTTATTAAAAAGAAGCTGCCTCTTATTTATTTATTTTAATATAAGGTATTTTAAGCCATTAAAAAACAAAGAATTTCCATTCGTATAACTAAACCACATTCATCCCAAGTATCAATAACCGTCTCCCACACAAATCAATCAATTAACGAGTATTCATATTTGACAACAATCAATTCTCGACCATCTACAAAAGATTTAAGTACTGGGGTTATCAATTAATTCACGATGGCTTCACCGAAAATGTGTAACCCCGACTTGGACAACCCGGCGGAGACGAAGTATCAGGTCCGACAGATCTACAAGAGGAAGCCGGCAAACATAGAGATGGCTTCACGCGAGTTAGCTCCCATCTTTGGTCTTGGCAGCGGTTTTCTAGCCCAACAGAGGGCCCAGACCCTGTTCACTCATCCAGCCTTCCGTGAAAGCTTCGCCGAGTTCCAGTGCAACTACCTCAAAGGACAATGGGATCTTCCGGTCGGCAGCTTTGTAAGGGTCCACGAACTAGCTCACAAAGTCCGCCGAAATCCGATTTGGGTTGACGAGCAACTCCCCGACTGCACAGAATGGGACGTCACCCACTTCTACACTCGATTCGCGCTTCGAACATGGCACGGGATCAAAGAAAGCAAGTTGGCTTTGGCTGGTTGGCTCAAAGATGTAGAGATATGCCCTGCGATACATGTGCTTGTATTTGCTCTTGTTTATCTACAGCTCGAGACCATGCGAGACTGTAAGAAGGAAGCCCCTATCAGGGACCGCATTCATCACTTCGTCGAGTCGTGGAAGGCAGATAAATAAATCTACTTAGGTAAATTTACAGTTAAATCAGGCCATCTACGAATAGACTTTTCTCTTTGAGGCAATATCTAGTAGTCAACATGTTAGTAATTCGGTAAGTTTATTTTGATAAAATAGAAAAAAAAAAGATTAATCTAGACTATTAAGATACTTCAACGTATTTCAATTGCGTGCCTGAAAATGTGGACGCGAAATCCATGTTGCACTGACCTAGACTTATCATGAATTTAAAATCAGGGAATGATTGTTTGTGGAGTAAATGCTGGCTTAGTGACATTGAAGTAGCCTACTGCCTGCCTAATGTCGACCTACTTTATTACATAATTAGCTCATTGGGACGCGAAAAAAGGGAATTCCTGCCTTAAAAATTTGTAAAATGGAAAGAATACGAAATGACTCACTCGCCGTTTGAATTGGTGTACGGATCATTTTACTATGTAATCATCTGATAGGTGTTGTTTTATGCGGAAACTAGGTGCCGGCAGGCAAGAATGTGTCTAATTGACCAATGAGAGACTCAACTGCCAGTCCCACATTTAGCCGTTCTCGGTTTCAGAATATGTGCCGTTACAGCACTTTCCTAAATCTCTTTAAGCTTCATTTTCTCGCTCTTTCGCGTTTATTTGTATTAGTACTCCGAATATAGGAGGATTACCAATTCATCCCACCAGGGTTCTTATGCCACAATCCGTTTCGTGCCATCCTTTATGTACAATATTTAATTAACTACCTCGAATTTCACATGACGAGAAAATGTTATTCTCTTCAATCTGCAAAGACGATTCTTGTCGATGTGCTCCATACCCTTGATTTTTATGTACCATGCCGCTTCTGCTTCTGCTTCTGCATATTCGTATCGTACATATTCTTTAATCTTTTTCTGGGGTCGTTGAGAAAAACCGAACATAAGCATAAGACCGTCATCGATCTGGTTCTAGCCAAGATTCCACCGATTCCGCTATTACCTACCCTTGTCTATTATTGTGCGGATCACCACTAGCTTGCTTAGCTCCAAAACTTACAACTTTTGAACTTTTTTTTCTCCTTTTGCATTGTTCTTTTCAACATCTTACCTTAACCCATATACTTAAAAGGGGTAGCAACCCTTTGTTTGCAGTACTGACAAGAGAGCCCATTGGATCAGGACGTATTCAAACGTCCAAACGGGATAATGTCGGACCATGACACCACCACGTTGGATATCCGCGATGAAGAGAAGCTCGACGACTTAGAGCAAGGTGTAAAGCCATCTAACAACAACACCACTCGCGCCAGCTCCTCGGCAAGTACCGCACGGGAGGAAACTGCGCCAAAGAATGAAAATACACCTGCTCCTGTTATCGCGAATGAGGCAGGAACTCCAGCCGAAGGTGCAGCCCCGGCTCCAAACAAAGCGGAATTCGAAACGGGACGAACGCAATTCGAGACGACCGTCATCGTTTTCGCGCTCTGCTCGGCACTTTTCCTCGCCGCTCTCGACGTCACCATCATCACGACTGCGATCCCGACGATCGTCGAGCAGTTCAACTCTCCGGCGGGATACACGTGGATCGGCGCAGCCTACTTACTAGCGAACTCGGCCACCGTGCCCAGCTGGGGAAAGATATCGGACATATGGGGGCGTAAGCCGGTGCTCTTGGCAGCGGTGGGAATTTTCTGGATCGGATCGCTGATATGCGCGTTGAGCGTCAACATCGGGATGCTGATTGCCGCCCGCGCCATTCAGGGTATCGGTGGTGGTGGCATCGTCGTACTCACTAACATCTGCGTCGGTGATTTGTTCTCCATGCGGAAGAGAGGCATGTACTATGCTTTCTTCGGAATGGTCTGGGCCATTGCCTCTGCCATCGGACCTATCCTCGGAGGCGTCTTCACGTCCAAGGTCACTTGGCGTTGGTGTTTCTACGTGAACTTGCCGATCAGCGGCGTCGGCTTCTTCATACTCCTATTCGTCCTGAAGTTACACAACCCGCGGACGCCGGTCCGCCAAGGTCTCACCGCTATCGATTGGTTGGGCAGTCTCCTTATCATCGGTGGGACAATTATGTTCTTGTTCGGATTAGAGTTTGGTGGTGTTACTTACCCGTGGAATTCGGCACCAACGATATGCTTGATCGTGTTCGGCATTGTAACAATCGGAATATTCGTCGCGGTCGAGAAGTGGTACGCCAAGTATCCGGTCATACCCCTTCGACTCTTCAAATTCGGGAAAAATATATCGACGTTTGCAATCTGCATGGCCCACGGCTGTGTTTTCATATCCGGAAGTTATTATTTGCCCCTGTATTTCCAGGCCGTTTTGGGCGCCTCGTCGCTTCTCTCCGGTGTTTACCTGTTGCCATATGTGCTCGCGCTTTCATTCATGTCGATCGGTTCAGGTCTATTCATGAGGAAGACGGGTAAATATCTCCCAGCCATCATCTTTGGCATGTTCTTCATGACACTCGGCTTCGGCTTGTTTATCGACCTTGGTCCCAAGGCCAACTGGGCCAAGATTATTATATACCAGATCATCGCGGGTATCGGTGTCGGACCGAACTTCCAATCGCCACTTATCGCGCTCCAAACATCCGTTGAGCCCCGTGATATCGCAGCAGTGACGTCTACCTTCGGCTTCGTCCGCCAACTTTCAACCTCTATCTCTGTCGTTATTGGCGGCGTGGTATTCCAAAACGGGATGCAACGACAGTACCCAACTCTCCTGGCCCAGCTCGGCCCAGAACTTGCCGCTCAACTCTCGGGTGGGAGTGCAGGCGGTAATGTCGCGCTAGTAGCCTCCTTACCCGGAGAGCAAGGCGAAATAGCTCGCGGCGCCTACTGGAACAGTTTGCGCGACATGTACATCATGTACACGGCTATTTCCGCAGTAGGCCTCCTCGTGAGCCCGTTCATCAGCCAGAGGACGCTCAGCCGGGAACACCAAGAACACAAGACGGGGCTCGACAGTCTTCGTCAAAATGGCGAGGGCGGCGCAAAGGCCGAAAAGGCTAAGGAAAAGAATGGTCAATAGTGCGAACTAGATTTTGATTTTGATATTGATTTTGGCTGGATTTTTTGGGCCGGTAATTTGCAACGATATTAGTAATGTTAGTACGGCATCTACGTGTATAAAGAATGAGCGCATGAACGGCGCGATTGGAGCGTGTCGAGTTTTTTAGGTAGTGAAGGATGAGTTTAACATATCCGGATCCCATCACATCATAGAATATAGAGACGATCTACCTACTTATATGGAGGGTTGATGTTTGTGTGATTGAGCTGTTCGGTCCAAGTTAAGCGATACGTACGTAAGAATGTTGGAAACATTTATGGGAGCCGCCCTGGTGTTAAGATGGGCTGTTGGGCTAACAGACACCAAGCCTTGCCAAGATTCGTAGATAAAGCCCATGTCCGCTATACCGCCTAGCGGACCTAGTCCGCGGGCTTGGAACTCGCGCGATAGCTCTTTTATAGCCCTACGAGCCCTTTTCTTAGTTCTATGCAAACTAGAGCACGTCGGGATGTAACAGTTTGAACTGAGATTGGACTCTGCATGATCATTGAGTACCTAGGTAGAATGGGTTGAAGATAGATAAATATTGCAGGGTCCGGAACACCAATTCCGATGGGGTAGTCCGATGTGCTATCTATGTGACTAGGTCCTTGATAAGTGTACATAGGGTGGGATTTATCGCTGTTAATAACGGGATGCAGAGTGGCTTGTATGAAACTACGTCATCTATACCCAGGACAAAGGAAATCAACAGTCACGATAGCTTCGTAACTAGGTGAACTTGGCCAGGCCCCACATCTTATCAACGATGACCTAGCCAAATTCTCCCTTCGTACGGATAAAGCGTTTAACATGATTGGATCATGCTGTTAGTATTTATATTCAAGATCCCGTTCATGGTTTATAAAGGAGATCAGTTATTAGGGTGTTTAGGTTCAATTCATATCAGCGCTATCGGTATTTCTCTGGTAACCCTCTTCTGAACAACCGTACCTAGCCTCTTCAACAATCGTCTTTCTAAAGAGCCTATCCCCTAATAATCATAGTGCCCAGCCAATCGCAAATGTTATCATAATCCCTTTCCCCTCGAGCGAGAACCCGAGCTTGTCTCAGAACCCCACCCTATAATGATACACAGTCAAGCCGTCCAAAAATCCAGATTACCTCCCTAAACGCCCAGCCGCATCTCTCCCCGCCTCACAACAACCCCAACTTCGTCCAAACAAGCACCAATATCTTAAAAAACACGATAAACAAAGTCAGCAGCCCACCAATCCCAACCGCGAACAGCAGCATCGACATCAAACACAGCAACACCCGGACCGGCACCGACTTCCCCTTAAACGGGCTAGCCTCGCCGTCGGCGTTTTCGCTGTCGTCCTGGTTCTCGACGTAGGCGGGCGGTGCCGCGGCCTCGATGTCGCGCTCGGAGAGGGTGATGAAAGGCTGGGACTCCGCGGCCGCGGCGGACGAGGCGTCCTCGGCGTATGCTGGACAGGGCGGGTCTTGGTCTGTGGGGTGCAGGGGCTTTAGGGGTACGTCTGCCATTTTTGATGATTTGTTTATTTATTTCGGTTGAGGGTTTTTGGGTGTTGTGTGAGGACGGTTGATGTTAAGTCTGCGAGAGAAGACCAGTTTCGTATCTTCTATTTCTGTCCGTTGAGCAATGGCTTGCTTGGTTGCTTGTGCGGGAGAGTGGGTGGCTGAAACGTAGGATCGTCCCGGACTCTTAATACGCAGACTGAAATCGATCGATTGCAATGCGAATATCCCAGAACAATATTCTTCCTTTCCACGTCAATTCACACAAGAATTTTTTGAAAAGAGTAAAATTCAAAAAGAAAAGCAAAATCTAAAAACTTAAAAACCAGTTTGAAGTCCAAACCCCTCAAGTTAAGGTTCTCTTACGCGTCGCATCGCAGCTGAGCCGCAACACCGCCCCCTTGAAGGAACGAAGCACTTTGACTGGCTTATCGGTCTGATTTACCGATACGATTAGTATTTGAAATACGCCGTAGCAGCGCAGCTGCCCTACCCGTTCCCACCTTCCTTGTTCAAGTACCCTAACCCTGTCACCTATCACAACCCTAACCCCAACCCTAGGACTTACCTACCTAATCCTAACAACGTTCTACTCCTTCGCATCATCACCACTAGTTAAGGATATTAATATCCAGGTCTTCCACTCGATGCGAAATCCTAATTAACACTTACGGTATAATTCCCAGCTAGAACTTATAGGGAAATTACAGTTCAAAAACATGAAACATAGGACTAGACCTTGAGATGACAAGTTGAACCCGGCTGTCAGCTCGTCAACTAAGCTGCCCTGGTCCCTGGCATCTAGTAAGCTAGGTACCTACCTACCAATGACAACGCCCGACTTTTGTGCTACGCTGTACTCGGAGGATGCAGCTGATCGATCACCCAGGCTGCCAGGTATTTAATATAGGACCATATACGGCGTATACTGGGAGCCATCTTCATCAAGTCATCCTCGTAGCCTCGAAGCTGAGGATAGGTATAAGTTGCCCTCTATAAATCTATTTTATCGCTAACCAAAAACGCGATGCCCTCCATCTAAATACCCAGCCCTAATATAAAACTTGCCTAGCGCCTTGACCTTTTATTCACATTTCTGGAAATCGTGAGTGAATCTTTTTCGTATCTGAGCTCGCTTGCCCTAAATGTATTTCCCTTCCTTTGCGTCGGGACGCAATCGTGTATTTTAGTCGCTGATGCGTAGAAATCTCTTAAAAGGGTTTTTTTTTTAAAAAAAAAAAAACCGTTCGCTCCTTAACCAAATAATTATCTCATATAACCCATAGCATACGATGAGGACGCATCAGCAGTCGGGCTGGCTAACGGGGATGTTGAGAGGCACACTTGTAGCCAACCCGCTAAGACTCGTCTCCTTGAATTCGTTCCGCATTCCTTGCGCAGTGACCCGCATGGCACGGATAGCATCGTCAAGTCTGACCTTAGGAGTGCCAGTCTCACTGCTTAGAGCTAGATTTGCGCTCGAGATAGCTTTGACAGCACCTAAGGCATTGCGCTCGATACATGGAGCCTGAACAAGACCCCCGATGGGATCGCAAGTCAAACCTAAGTTGTGCTCGATGCCAATTTCGGCCGCTTGTTCGATCACCTCGGGACTTGCGCCCATACAAGCTGCGAAGGCACCAGCAGCCATCGAGCAGGCTACGCCCACTTCAGCCATGCATCCCCCTTCAGCTGCCGAGATAGTCGCGCCACGCTTGTACAACATTCCAATGGCGGATGCAGTCAAGAGGAAGGTAAGAATATCACGCTCAACATCGTCACTGACAAACTCGACTGTATATTTGAGTACAGCAGGAATGATACCTGCCGCGCCATTAGTCGGTGCCGTCACGATTCGCCCACCAGCTGCATTCGTCTCATTAACGGCAATGGCATAAACGGATAAGTAATCCATTGCTGGGAATGTGGTGCGGCGAGGAGGCGTTGGTCTGATTGGGTGATAAACATCGCCATGTATACGTAGAGGACCTCGTCTACCGATAGCGCTTCTTCGACTTAGTGCGGCGATCCCTTTTTTCGGCAACTCGGATATAGCTGTACCTGTTGATGATGATAATGATGGTGTTGAGCTAGTTTCATCGTTTGAGGCAGACAATTGCGCCTGTGATTGGGTCGTGCTCGGTGATTGGGTATGAGAAGGGTAGAGGCCCCTTGTTAGTCGTTTGTAAAGTGCCGGCGCTCGCCTATGTAGCTTTAAGGAGCCCGGCAGTGTTGCATCAAGAGGTGCTTGTACACCTTCCAAAATACTATCGTCCATGACCTCCCAGATAGTCATCAACTTCCTGTAGATTTCATCATCTGTGTACCCATGACCCTTCTCGTTCTCGTACACTAGCTGTGCAATAGTCAAGTTATGCTTATGGCATAGTGCTAGTAAACTGCGAGCATCACGGAAGGCATAGCGAGGTTGTGTAGACGTTGTCTCGGTGCCTGCAGCTTCAGTCTCCGAGGTTGCGGATGTGACAGGAGAGCTAGCTGCTCCCGCTTGTGGGTTAGTCTTAGCCAGAGCGGTCGATTCGTCGACATCTTCATCCAAGGGCTTAATTTCGGAGCCAGTCCTACGATCTCCCGCCGCGTCTGCTCTCCTGATTTCTTTATAGAACAGATTTTCGGCTAAATCAGCTGGATGTCCTCCGCTTCCCTCCGTTTGAAGTTCGCTAGTATCGGCAGCAGCGAGCTCCGCTGCTTGACTTTCTGCTGCAGCCGTAGCGGCAGTTGATAATGCACCATTAACGACGAAACCTCCACCCACACTGAAAAAGTCGTTGGTTGCAAGTAACGTTCCTTGGTCGTCGAATACCATGAAGCGCATTCCATTACTGTGAACGGCTAATTTCTTGCCCCATTCCCATTTAAAATCTTTCTCGTAGTCGAAGTCGATCTCTTTGCCTTTACCCTCTAAAAGTCCGTGGCCTAAAAAGAGTTTCTTGTCCTTCTTGATCTGTGCAAAGCGAGTAGGTACATAAGATGTGTCAACTGTCTCTACATTTGCGGACTCGAGACCTAATAACAGTGCAGAAGGTGTCATGCTACACAATGTCGAATGTCAGTATGTGACACAAGTAGTTTTAGATCTCATATGGTATCTCTCAAAAATGATGTTTGTTTGTACTAATTGAATTCAATGCCAAGATAGTTGAACAAGGAATGATTAAGTATTGAAGAATACATACTGGCCCTCTCCGGTGAGCGCAAGACTGCCATAGATCGAGATGCGTATCTTGTGCACTTTGTCTAGCAAATCGGCTTCGACTAGATCGGCTACGAAGATACCGCCAGCCCGCATAGGCCCAACCGTGTGAGATGACGAAGGCCCAATGCCGACAGAGAAGAGATCGAAGGTCGAGATGACCGCATGTTCGTGATCGGTTTCACTATAAGTTCCAGAGTCTGCATCTTCTTTGCTATCAAAGCTGACCGGTGTCGTGCTAAGAGATCGAGTCTGTAGTTTGTGCGATGAAATTCCTGCTATACGGCTCCATCTGAGATGGTTGGTCCCGATCGTATTAGTCTGCCATCTAGTTGTCACTCGCCGAGATGTTATGCCAACAGCATTGCGAAGCAGGTTGAGCTGCTTCACCGCCGCACGGCTCATCGTGAGCTAATTATGCTAGTAATGAGTGGATGAGATGAAGGCGAAGGTGAAAGCGAATGAGTAATATGACTATATTGTACTGATGAACATCCTCAAAAAGGTTGACCAGTTGAAAATTAGTGAATCGAATTGACGAATGTATCCCCCGCAAATAAATACAAATAAATAATGAATAAAGAGAAATGGTTATCAAAAATGGAAATTCGGTAACTAGAATTGAATTGTTAAACGTAAGCACGATCCAATGATGTGAGTGCGATTTCCAAAAACACGAGTCAATGGGGCAGATTATTGGATGTTTGGGGAAGCTTAGACCCAGGATCTGACGTCGAACCTTCCCCCATTCCCTGAAGAAGATCTGTACTGTACTTGAGATGGTACTTAAGATACCCGAGGACAAGATAAATATACGGTGGGGTATTCCAATCAATGAAAACTTGCTTAACTTCGTAAATACCCGGACCTATTGATGCTTAAAATATCACATGGAAACCAGCGGTGAAAATCTTTGCGGTAAGACATTATCTAGGTGGGCTTGAACGTTGGATGTTAGTTGGCAGCTGGTTGGTTGCGCGAAATGCGAGCACCCTGCTTCAATATTTGATCTTTACCGACAGAGATAAGAGCCGTCCTAGTAAAGATTACTTATATGTAAGTACCATGTAGGTACAGATTTCCCTATCTTTACTTGCTCATATTTGAAAATTTTCAATATGTGTGTTGGCCTTATATGGTTCCTTGGATCACCAAACTCACTAATACAGGGCCATTCCCTCTAATGTTGCTGCAAATTAGTTCTAGTAAATAGTCGTGGTCTATCAGTCAGCCACACAATTTTACGACGTGGGGTATACATCTCGTGAACCTCATAAACATCAGGTTATAATAATCATACCCAAAAACATTCCTCGATTCTCATTATTCGTGCGTAGCAATGCCCAGCATGCTCATCTTCAGGCTTCCATCATAATTATCAGCGCATCGCAGACCTTACGGAAGACACGTTCCGCATAGCAGCCTCCTAAGGTTGCCATTCGTATCGTAAGAGCATTCAAGCTTCTGTCGATGATGTTAAGGTAGGCGTTCGGTAATGCTCGCGTTGCATGCATAGGGAACTTGTCGCATCTATAAGTGGACTCGTTCTCGGTCGTTGGATCTTGACAATATAGGGCACCTCTGTGTTCTCGTCGATATGGGGCAGTGTTGGTCAAAACGCAGTGTGTCAATCGAAGGTCAACAGTCCTTGGTCGGTTCTACGAGTTGAGCTCCCTTCAAAGACCTGACCAAGCTCCGCCATTGGATTTTCAATACCCTCGTATTGCCTATCCATTCGCCCCCACACCTTTCGCCCGATGGATGGACGTGGTGGAACAGACACCAGAACTTAGCATGGTCATTGGCGTCGACGTAAACGGTCTTCGGGATCTTAAACTCTTCCAAAAATTTGAGAAAATTTTGGAATGGTGTCTTCGTGATGAAGTTGGGCGCTAGAATCACCATGTCCTCTCCCTGCTTACCCTTGACACGGATCTTGTCGCAGGCAAATGTTTCATCTGGAATGCCCCAAAATTCAAAATTGGGAAAACGGCTTCCAATTTCTAGTTGCAAAAGTTGAAGTTTTCCTCCATCAACCATCTCTCGCAGCGCAGTTCCGTATGACTCCCCGAAAAGATAGATTTGGTCTTTCATGACAAATCTGATGGTCAGGGTTTGCACGTATTGCCGAGGAGCGATGCCTGTAACGGATCCAGTCAAGAAAGGGTCGGCTGTCCCTCTAAGATGCATATTATCGAGGTAAACTTCCCGATAAAATATTGTGGCGGCCTCGGCATATATTCGTTGGCATGATAGGAATAGGTGAATGATGTCTTTGTTATTAGCATCCCAATTTAGGATTATGATCTTTAAGATATAATCTCTCAACTCCGGGGGAAGGTCAAAGAATCGAAAAGGACCTTTCCAGCAATTTGGAGGAGTATAGGTTCTCTGATGTGGTTTCGGGCGGAATGCAATAGATCTGCTCCCGAATTTCCCCGTTGTCCGACCTGGTCTGCCTGGTCTAGTTTTCATTGAGGTTGTTTGATGATGAAATATGTAGTCTTAATAGATGCTAGGTATATGTTTGACAGATAGACGAGTCCAGCTACGAGTTTGTATGTATTAAGGTTATGTTTGTGCTGTAGATCAAGTATTACTGTTGTATGGAGTTAAAGTACTAGGTAAAAGCGGTATGTCGGAGGTACCAATCCCTACTGCCTTATGTAATCTGTTCGGGGTACCTAGCACGGAGGTTAAAGCTTCTAATGGCCGGGATCCGCTTTAAAGTGCAGTGCAACCGCGCTCGCGTCCCCCCTACCTTTTTGGGATCCACCCGTAGTGCCGGACCCTTGGCTATCGAATCTCGTATCGTCAATTGACAATTTGTATTTGTGCATAACTTCAATGTGACCTAGTACTCCTTTTGAGATTTCGTGATGCTCGGGAGTATACGTTGACATTGTCGTTGTTGTTGTTATTATCGCACATATCTAATTCTTTTCATGTCTTCATAGTAGTCTATACATTTCTCTGGGCAAATCTGCCTGTCCTTTTTCTCGCGATGGGTGTTTTCTCCTTTTTGCGCAATATCTACGACCTTGACACCCTCGACACTCGCTTTACGATATCGACCTCGACGCCTTATAAAACTGTTATAGAAGCACGCAATGATCCGATAGCAAGCAAAGAACGTGCTGCAAAATTGAATAGCAAAGCGCATACCTCACGATGGAACACGTCGGAGTTTTACCTCTATTACTTGATCCTCCTCTGGGTCATACCCTATATGTTCTGGGTAGCCTATGATTCTTCAAGACGTACGAATTACACCATTCATAAAACAGTTCGTCATTTACATATCGGTTGACTTTATTCGTAGCGACGGATCCAAAATACAGGAGATATGAACATTTACTCTCGGAAGGATGGATTCCAGGGCGCAAGATCGTAGGCCTTCTCCTTAATCCGAACTACGGCCATAACTAATATTCCGAAGGACGCCTCAGATTCCCAATACCGCACTTTTCGAAACAATATCCCGTATATGGCAGCGCTTCTCATTTTCCATCCTCTTTTACGCCGACTATATAATTCGATCGTATACCCGATAAAAACGACTGGGCAGTCTACGCGACCAACCCCCGAAGAAGCCGATCAGAGACTTAACCAACGAGCCTCCTTCGACTTCGGCTTTGCGTTGATATATCTAGTTGCGCTACATGGAGTTTCGGCCTTTAAAATCCTTGTGATCCTCTACGCGAATTATCAAGTCGCAACAGCCTTGCCTAGGAAGTATGTGCCAGCTGCGACATGGATATTTAACGTCGGTACTCTATTCTCGAATGAGTTATGCAAGGGTTACAAATTTGGGCATATCGCAACTCTGATCGCGGGTGCCCCTGTTCAAAACTCACTACTTGATTCAGGCTCCGCATTGGTATCGTGGGGGAGATGGCTCGATAGCTACGGTGGACTTATGGGTCGTTGGGAGATCCTCTTCAATATTACCGTTCTGCGCTTGATCAGCTTCAACCTGGACTATTACTGGAGTCTAGATCGTAGAAGCTATAGCCCTATCGAGGTGAGTCCCGCCCTCCCGACTTCATAGATCATACCAAGCCACATACTGATGCCCCTAAGAAGAAACAAGTCGACCCCGCCTCCTTGAGCGAACGAGATCGCGTATCCATTCCAGCGCAATCAAAAGACTTTTCATTCCGAAACTACCTCGCCTATACCATCTACGGACCTCTCTACCTCACCGGCCCCATCATCACCTTTAATGACTACATATCGCAACTGCGTTATAAATCCTCCACCATTGAGGTCTCCCGTACCCTCCGCTACGGTGTACGCTTTTTACTGACCCTCCTTGCGATGGAAGTAATCCTACACTATGACTACGTGCAAGCGATCTCGAAAGCGAACCCAGGCTGGGGTGAGTACACAGCTGCGCAGCTAAGCATACTCAGTTACTTCAACCTACACTTAATCTGGTTGAAGCTTCTCCTCCCCTGGCGCCTCTTCCGCCTCTGGGCCCTCATCGACGGCGTCGACCCCCCAGAGAACATGATCCGCTGCGTTAGCGACAACTGGAGCACCCTCGCTTTCTGGCGCTCCTGGCACCGTAGTTTCTACCGCTGGTCCTTACGCTACATATATGTGCCACTCGGCGGCTCCAGCTTCCGGAGCCCACGAGACGCCGCACGTTCGATTCTTACCTACGTCTTAGTATTCACATTTGTGGCACTATGGCACGATATCCAGATGCGTTTGCTGATTTGGGGCTGGTTGGTCGTGTTCTTCATGCTGCCTGAGATGGCGGCCGGCTTCTTATTCCCAAAGCGCAAGTGGGAAAGTAGGCCGACCGCTTACCGCATGTTGTGTTGCGTGGGCGCTGTGGCGAATGTCTTTATGATGATGTCGGCGAATTTGGTTGGTTTCGCGGTCGGTGTGGAGGGATTGGAGAGGATTATTGCGGGGATATTTAGGGACTTTTCTGGTAAGTTACTTCATTCTTGCAGGGCTAATTTTCTGAGACATTCTAACGTGCTGTTGTAGGATTGACCTTCCTCTCTGGCGCTTGTATAGTGCTTTTTGTGGGCGTACAAGCCATGTTTGAGATTAGGGAGTCGGAAATGAGGCGTGGGATCAATTTAAAATGTTGATCATCACGCAGTATCGGGTTAAGGTAGTTAATAATTAACCTATATCAGATAGAAGAGCTTTAGGCTCACTCATGTTATTGTACTGTTGAAATAGACGAAATTGTACATACATATTCGAGCTAGTCATGATATTACGTATATTTACCTAAACCTAATGCCAATATTTGATGATTCTCACAATGACATAATGCCGCCAACCCGCACACGAGGGTATTTGTAAAGCATTCCCGCGATAATGTCCCAATGCAATGTCCCAAATCCCAACCCACTCATTCTCAAGGTCTCATCTATTATTTTGACTTTAGACAAGCCACACATCATTAACATCCCCTGCCCTCATATTCGACCAATCCGTATCACGGATTACTTGCCCGCAAACGCTTCGGGTCCAACCATCTCCACCCCTTCCGCCTCGCTCCTAAACATAAACTTCCCCTTCTTCCCCATCTTCTCCTCCGTAACATAGCGCCGCCCCCAAATCAGGAACTTCACAATCCCAAAAATCAGGACCGCAGCCACCGCAATCCCGAACACGTACGCCGCCACAAGCGACCCCTGCTTTCCCGGGTCGAGGAAGCTATACGTGTAAAACCCCTTCGTCGCATGGGTGAGGTAAGCGAGGGCCAGGTACAGCGCCAACATGACGATGAGCCAGAGCACATGGATCCAAGGCTGGGGTTCAGTGCGGGGAATGAAGATCTCGAAGAGCGCGAAGAAGCTGTTGAGCGCGTGCTGGCTGATATTGGACCAGCCGCCGTAGATAGTGGGGAACCACGCGGAGCCGTACGAGTAGATGACGCCCCAGTACACGATGGTGACGAGGAAGGGGTAGCTCGTGACGCTGCTGTAGAAGAGCGCGTGCAGAGCCTGCAAGGACCGCGGCCATCGCGCGAGAAGCGGCGCGCCGTACCGCGCGTAGGTGAAGGTGTGCACGGCGGCGAAGGCGAGGTAGAAGGCGAGGCCCCAGTACGTGAGCACGGTGAAGTAGGAGAACGAGGCGCGCGAGGCCTCGCACCCGCCTATGTCGGGGCGGGCGCACTGGTAGCCGATGTTGAAGAGGAGGGTTAGGAAGGCGTAGAGGGACTGTGTGGTGGTTAGCTACGTGGTGTACTTACACTTAGTGTCGAAGACGTTGTTGAAATGGACCCCGAATCCTGCGGTGCTACGGCCGGGACTCGAGCACGCGACACCAGGGCCGAGACACCGGGGTCTTGTATCCATTCCGCAAGCGACGGTAGCACATTCGCACAAGCTCGAATCCTTCTAGCTTAAAAGCAACTACACGCAAAGCCAAGACCGAAAGCAAAAGCAAAAAGAGAAGATCAACTCACAAACAACGCTCGCACTGCAGCTAACACGTATGGCGATATCAACCAGGACGTGACGAAGCGATTCGTCGGGTCCCAGGGGTCATTCCCCAAAGCAAGGACGCGCGGCAACATCTTCGTTGTCAGCTTCCCGCCTGCGTTCTCCTATCTTTGAAACGACGCTCTCGCAACAACAACAACAACAACGAGGGTATTATAATATAATCGAAACAAGACAGAAAACACAACAGGTACAATATCGTAGGTATTATCGACTCGTCCGAAAAAAAAGGAAAGAAGAAAAAAAAAGAATTCAGCCCCCAACCTCAACAAAACGCAAGTGCGAAAAAGAGCATTTTTCTTTCTTCTCTGCTAGCTGCCGGCCTTCTAGCTAGGTACCTAATTAATACCCTTTATGCAGCGAGCTAGAAAGGCTTAGACCCTCGCTAACCCGACCGTCGGGCGCGCCAGGTAAGCGAGGCGCAGCAAATAAACCCAAAGCCGTTCCTGCCACTACAGCGTTAGGGAGCGCCCGGAAAAGGCCCTACCTTGCCAACTTGAGCGACGTCAGCTCCACCCCCAGAGAAACCCGGGACGGGTATTGACGCTAAATCCAAGGAAAGCGGGGAGGGCGAGGTACGTTATGATTGCGCTTTCCTCCTATTTCGAGGTCCTCGCATTATTCGGCCCGCGTTATACGTCCGCGCGTACTACTTGTCGAGACTACATCATGCTTATGTATTTCAATATATATGTCAATACATGCTACTAGGTATGCATTAGATGTGACGAATTTGGGGTCAAGTGCGTGATGATCGTTTTCACATGGTAACTCACCACGATTACTTCGGAATTGGGTGATATGATGCAATAGTCATCCCTTTTTATCTTCAAGACTTCTAGACAATTAACTCGAAAGTACTGTAAGTAAATATGTAAAATATATGAATTTCATTTACATATTAAGCGCATTGAAGAGCCTCATCAAATAAATATAGAAGCAATCCCAGGGTTATGTGAACAGGGAAAATGATGCACATCCCTCCCTTCATGCAACATGCGCGGGGAGCATCACGAGATCGGATAATCTCCGAGTGCACGTGGCTGGGATCAGAGACATCCAAGTAACAGGCCTTCTAGAACGGGAAACAAGGCCTGTATGTGAGGAGCAAGTTGAAGCAAACATCTTCTTCATTGATGAAGACTGCTATGTACCTAAGTGTTCGTTAGTTGAAACGAAGCTTAGGTACCTATGTATGTATATGAAACAAATTATTTAATAAGACAAACAGATCGCGCAAGGATATATGTAATTCTTAAATATAAATGTCAACTTTAAATGCGTTTTAATAACTACGATTAATTCGACAGCAATGAACCGCTGAATGCTAGATAGTGCTTTGATGTGCCGTACCTCCAAACTCCGCAAGTCCTTGAAAAAACATCGCTATGCCATGTGATTACCCGTATCATACATCCGTACATTGTATACACATTAACCCAGTATGATAATGAGAAAATAGTGATACCTAGTATGAAGAAGACATAAATGAATTCATACTCGGAAAGTATAGAAATAATTCCCGTCGGGGATGGTGATGATTTGGGCTCTGTTATTGCAATCAAGAATAACAGTCCCCTTCTGTTCCACTGACACACTCTAAATCCTAATAATAGATCGCAAGCTCTAACCCATCCCCGGATAAAGTAAGACACGTTAAGATATCCATGGATCAGATAATACCTATACTGAAACCCCACGGTGTCATATTGATATTGTAGAAGGTCAGATATGGCTTCTAGAATGATCGATCTTTGTTAGACTCAATCTAGATTCGATTGCGGCGTATGGCGGGGCGAATCTGCAAATATTGTCTCAGATTTCTTCCCACATAAGCTGCGGCGTTCCCTAACATATTAAGGTTGTAGGTACCCGTCGATCCCAAGTTGCCGATCCATCGATCGCCATCTATGACGCTCGACAGCTCCATCGAAAATATCTGCATGCTGACGATTGCCAAGTCTGACAATCCTAAGCAGGTTCTCCAGTTCCTATTCAATTTTTTTTTCAATTCAATTGTTAATGGTGCCCGTACTCCGGGAGACGTTTTCCGTCCAGATACCGTGGACTTCGGCTCTCGTAGTACGGATTGGGAGATTTCTGAGCCCTTCTGGCTTCGAATTCGGCTCGCTCTTCGTCGTCAAGCGAAAATGCCTTCTTCAACCATCCAAATGCACTTCTCTTTTTCTTCAGTGTCTTGTTTTCTGGACTTAGCGTCGTCACATTGCTTAACATGCTCATCCCCATAGCCGATGGTTGATTCCGCACGTGGTTTTGTTGGATATTTGTACCCGACGTCCATGGTCTTTGTTGCAGAGGCGAATGGGGACTCGCTCGCACAGGGAAATAATGTTGTTGGTCAGAACGTGGAGAAGGTATCGTGGTTGTGAAATTTGGCAATGGCGGTATCTCTGTGATATCACCATATTCTGTCCTTGCACGCACAGGTCGAGCCTCACTGTCAGAACTATACGCAGAGTCCGGGCCTTGATATAAGCGTGGGGATTGATGGTGAGACTGATTCTGCACAGCTGGGTACCTCGGTCGCTGGAGCTCGGGAGCGTTACGGGGAGGAACCTGTATAGCCTCCGGTAGATTGCTCCCCCTCGAAGATAGTCTCTGGCGTAAAGACGTTCGCTTCTTCGGTTGCTCCTCCTGCTTCTCAACTGGCGGATCTTGGACTCTTGGTGAGGGTATTGGTGCAGGCGGCTGCGGTGTGTAAGTCCGCGGCTGTAAAATGAAAAGGCCTTCATCCACGGGAGATTCTTTCTCTGAGTCGTTTTCAGGTTTCGGCTCCTCCTCGATCGTCACAATCGGATTCGGGACACTATCCGCCTCTAGCTCTACAGGAGACATTGGCTCTAGCGGAGCGTTAAATTGAACAACCATCACAGTTGATCTAGTAGCAGTTGAACCTGACGCAGATTTCTGAGATGCGCCCCTCGAAAGCTCAAGTTTGGGTGGGCGCCTGTCGGAAGATAGAGTTGATGAAGTTCGTGCGCTGCTCCTTGGCGGAGGTTCTATAGGGCTGGAAAAGGGCGCAACACTTGCCTGCTAACAAATCAGCCTACTTATAACAAAGAGCCATGAAAGAATCTCCTTACCCTTGTCCTGCGGCTTACTTCACCCGCGCGGTAATTCATTTCAGCCACCATCCGATCAAGCTTTTTCAGAAGACTGCGCAAAGTCGATGTTGTTCCCTGCAATTCGAGGAAGGCCTTATACCAACCCTGAGCGTTTCCCCTCATAGCGTCGAATATGTCCACGACATCTGGGAACTTTTGAGACCAAGCCCGACCCTGCTGCTCACCAAGATACGTTGCAAACTGTTTAGTGGCTGCTAATCCCTCATTAACGTCGCCAACGGTTGCTTCGAGGGAGGTGGTCGTCCGAGAGATGATATGTTCGATCTTCTCGTTTCCATTTACTATCTGCAAACGAAAATTTCGGTCCTCCAACATCTGCTCAAACGTTTCGATATTTCCCATGGGCAACTTGAGAAGGTCAATGCGTTCCCGAATGTCATGAATTGCGAGATTGACATCCTCCAGTGTCGTCTCTAGAAATTCATCAACCTCGTCGATGTGATCTTGAAGTATGTTGACCACCTGTTCATTGCTATTCGCAATTCCATTTAAAAGCAGGTACACACCAAACGATATTTGGGCCATGAGCTTCCAGAGCTCGTGATACCGCTGGCCCGCCCGATATCGCCATAGCTCGCCATATAATTTCGACCCCTTTTCTCCGTCTAATAGATAGTTCCTGCGCTCCCTCGCCTCTGCAAACCTGAGTTTAGGTTTTGCCACAGCGGGCACATCGGTCGCTTCGATCAAAGACTCGGCAAAGGCCGGCTGCATGGCGGGGATGGGGTGCGTTGGGATGTTGGCTGCCGCATCTTTAGTCTTTTGACGCATGGCCTCATCGCGCTCCATGGAATCGGATCTTGTTGGCTTGCGGGGAGCCGGGAGTAGGTCGTCATCGTCGTCGGAATCTGACAGGAGGATGGAACGATCTTCGTCATGGTGAAGGAATAACGGCAGAGCCATTTTGCAGGAATTCGTGAACCACGCCCCCTCCCCTCTCCTCGAATAGCGGCCAGACGGTTCGGCAACACAGCTAGTTAATTAAGTCCCGGAGTAGGCAACCAAGTAAATATAGACCCTTGCAGGACTATGCTTGACAAGCTGACAGCCCCGTCTCGTACAACCAGTCCTGGCACACGAGAATTGGGTGTGACCTAGAATGACACCACCCAACGACAAACGACAAGACAAGCGATGCTGCAGGCTGCCGAAAGACTAATATAAGCAGTACAACTTAGAGGATTGGGGTGACAGCCAAATAGGATAATAGAAAAGGTGGAAAGGTAGTCTAGCTGTTCAACGTTGGAAAGCAGCGCGGCGGGGTACCGATCAAGTTGTCGAACCGAGCAAAGGGGGTATCACAAAGCGTTGTCATAGAGGAATGCCAAGGTGAAGGTGAAGGGGAACGGTTAAACCGGCGCCTCTCTCATAAGCCACAACGTTAAATCGGGAATTGAGGACACAATTGGTGTTTCAGCGGATTAAGAATTATCACTACGATGTCCCACACCAAAGGATAATAATAGTGATCGGGTAGGAAATATCCTAGAGTTAATGAACGACGAGAAAGGACAGGAGGGCTTGAGTGAGATACGATGTCGGAATCGAGATCGAGGTCTAAAAATTGAGACCGGGCGACAAAGACGACCTCGGCATTGGGAATAAGAATAGAATAGTGAGAGAGAAAGCAAAGGAGATAGGATAGTACTACTAAGTAGTTAAGAAGGGCGTCGCCGCTACAGAATGTAGCAAAAGTAAATCATATTCAAATGGATGTTATTAGTGCATGTTTGTTTGTATATGTTGTACGTAGTAGAGGTAATAGAGGTGGTATCGTATGAATCGTATGGTGGGTAGGTGAGGAAGATCCTACTAAAAGAAAAGACGAGCTGAGAAGAGGAATTGACTTTCTTCCACGAAGACTTCCAGCGCACTAGGTACCTGTACCGTACCTGCCCCCCAATTCGACAATCCACCAGCCCAAAGTAGAGTGGTCGGTTTTACAGGTTACGCCACGCCTACATACCCCCAGATAGGTACATCCGCCGATCCACCTTTAGCGCCCAGGGATACAGCACAGTACATGTGTACGCTGTACGCTGTAGGTACCTACGTGCGTGACGGCGGCAGGCAGGACAGACGGTGACATGAACCTTGAGCTAAAGCGGGCTCCCAGGGCTCTGGGGCAATCTGAGTGGGCATCCGTGTGGAACCTTCCTAGCTACATGTGGCTACCATGCCCTAGTCTATCCGCTAAAACTGCGAACATCTGCTAGGGTTTTCCAACATTGCTAGGATATGGATGGAAGCGACTTCTATCTTTACACACATTTAATTCCTCATCTGGGAATCAAAGTCTTCTTTTGAGGATTCTTAACCACTTAGAGCCAATCGGGCATCAAATCGAATTTAACATTCTTACAAAATCTTTCCAGATGTATATCTCCTAAAACCTCACAGACCAATTTGCGGTCAAGCTATCTTTATTGTCTTATTACTTTATTACTTGATAAATATCAATTTTTTCCAAGGCGTGAAAAACATCGGCACCGGTTGTCGCTATCGGAGCTATCTTCCTATCTGACCTACTGTACCTTAGTAGTAGCTCCCTATGCATCAATGGGTGCAGCACATGCCGGTTTGGCCGAATATATTGACCTGGTAATATCGGAGACGAATGAGACGATTGGAACGATTGAGCATTTGGAGTAAGGTAGCAGAGAAATCTCGTCGGATGGAACTTATCATACCGAATAATAAACTCCCTACCGCTCGATTGTCGACCGCTTGTTTTCGGACTCCAGACTCCAGAGAACCCTTATTACAAACCCCTACTTGCTACTACTCTCAGTCTTACGCATCAAGCCATAAGCTACGCAGGACCTAGGTAGGTGCGGGTATATGTGCTTGGTTTATTTATTACAGCCTCTCTTCGAACCAGGTAATTGGGCATCCGATCTTCCACATCTGCCGGCCAATTCGTTCCTCTTGCAAATGACAAAATAAAAAAATCAGATGAATTGAAATTACTAATACCTGCGCAGGCCGTCAGCGAGCTCCTTTACTCGGTATTGGAAAGTCTTACTCTGTAGCGAAGCCGAAACGTTCCTTGCGTTATCTTGTCTAGTCGCTTCTCCCTTCTTTGTACCTAAGCAGCTAAAGTCCTACCTACCTACTTAATACGAGGATCCATATAGCGCACACGAACAAAAGATCAAACCAACAACTGACCAACCTCCATTACCAGATTACCAGATTACTACTAGGCGCATACAGAGTAGGTATGTACTCTACTATGTACTAGGAAGTTAATAGTTTTACCATAGTATCTAATACCTATTTCTAAGTACAACCCGCCCAGACTGCCCCTCCACAAGTCTCCACGCGAGCGGATAGCTCCATTCCTTGTCCTCCTTGTCTTCCTTACCTCGTTGAGATCCTCGCCCAGCCGCTTTAGGCCTAACCCCCTCGCCTTCTCCTGACTCCTGCATCTTTTGGTAACATTCCACGCCATCCTCGACGTATCGTTTCCTCGTAAAGCCTACTCTTCGAGTCTCATCAACTGCCATCTGCAGAACCTGCAGATTCCTTCGTTGCCGCAAAGGAGGATTGCTGCTGATCGCTGCAGAATCTAAGCTGATCTAACTGATCTACGTAGCTGAGCTCGAAATGTCCGCAGGCTAATGTCTGTAATACTGACCTACATACAGAGATCGTACAGGCACAGCAGAACCGTCGCATGCACGTTGATCTCGGTGTAACCCGAAGTATTCCGCCCGTATGGATTTGATATTTGATAGTGTCATCGCCTAAGTGACCTACGGTAAGTTACCTAAGGTCAATAATCCCTTAGCTACCTACTAGGTATCTTTAGCATCGCCAAGACAGCTTCGCGGGATTGTCACCGATCTTGGATTATGTCTTCCAACATCAATCATCATAATATATATTAACGTCAAGTCGAGAAAAACGTGTTGGCGAAGTTATCCCTTGCCTGCTTACCTACCTACTTAATGTATGTATTTAGCATGATAAAGACCGCAGCTAAGAACTTCAACGACTATGTTAATATGATTCGGAGTACAGCTCCTATTACAACGTCTCATCGTTCTAAGTCGATATTAGCCGCTTGGTGTAAGCAACTTACCTCATTGTGTCAACTTTTTCCGTTGATCATGTGTAGACGTAAACGACGGCGAGATATAGTAAGGAAATTCAGAATCAGGCGATGAAGGATTAGATTACCGCAGATCATATTACTCATGAAAGCGCATAGTCGGGAACTTTTTAAGTCGGCACGCTCCATCAACGGGAGACAGGATCCCGGCCACGCCGTCTCGGTGCCGAGTTCGATGGCCGCGAAAACATATACTCCGGACAACGACCGATCAACTTCTCCGGAAAATATCACAGCCAAACATCCAGAGAGATTATGATGTAGTCACTATAGGGGAGCTAGGGCAGATTTCTATAAATCCCTACATGCAAGGGACAATGGTGAAATGAAAAGACGTCAATCATCAGTCGAGAAGTTGTATATACCTACGTAAGTGTCCTTCCTTCAACCATCTACCTATCTCCATAAAGCAGCTGGGTTATGTGATATGATGCGATTTTGGACATGCCAATATTTCTGGCTGGTTGCTTTTTGTGTCGTGAATATGGATCTATGCTTGAGCATTTGGGAGTATTCAAAAGAATACTAAGCTCAGCTGGAAACCGGAAACAAACGGAGGGAAACGGCCACAGTGTATGTACATACATAATTCTTTACATCGTAGTAAATTACGGCCACCGAATTCGACTGTGTAACCCTAAGGGGTAGTTTTTACCATTTCCCATTCCGCTTCTTTTTTGTCTCACCAACAAAGTCAGCGTATAGATATGTATCTGTTCGTTTTCTCTCCAGTTTCTTCATTCAAATACCTACTTTAAAGTTAGGTATTGTACAGGGCATAGACACACTATATGGATCATCTCAGTCCCGAGATAACAGCTCTCATTGCCACACACCTCTGTACAGTACCACGGACTCCGTTTCCCGTACTGGGTGCGCCACGCATCTCTCGCGCTCCCTACGCCGTTCTTTCGCGCAGATGGCAGAGTGTCGTTGAGCCATGGACGCTTTCATCGATCAAGCTAAAAGACACCGAGCTTGATACATTCGCCGCAATCTTCGCCGCAACACGCCGGCGTGCTTTATTGCGTCACCTCAATTATAACGTCTCACTCCCGACGTACGGGGATTCTCGTTATGGCTTTGCTCAGAACCAGGCCGCCTTGGAAAACAGCATCCTCAAGCTCCTTGATATCTTGAAAGACTGGGACAACGTCAGTGCAAGACTCGAACTGCAGATCGTCGTAGAATGGGACATCGACACGTCTCAAGGGCCTATAGATTTCGGCTTTAATGTCTTGAATTCAAGCTCTTCTCGGCGGTATCTGATGCTCGATGCCGTGGAGCTACCTACCGTACAGTGCGTCGCGTCTCTTCATATCTTGGCAAGTCCCGGTCGTGCGCTACATCCAACAACTATGTGCCAGCTTGCAGGCACGTTGCCGCAACTGGGAAAGTTGGAATTGGAAGTTCTCGACCCTGCAAACAAACGGAGGCAGATGCGTAAGGAACATCGCCTTGCACTGGCCGCTGGCCTCACGACGCTCAAACTCCCAAAACTGACACACCTTTCCATACATCGTAAAACTACCATAGACGTCTACAATCACAGTTTTGAGTGTAGTGATCTTGAGGAAGATGGCTTTGACGCTCTAAATGATGCTCTGAGAAAGCTATCGCAAACTGCTCCGCTGACTGACCTAGTCCTCACCGGTGCTCTCGTCTCACCGGACCTCTTTCGGAGTCGCTGCACGACTGATCTTGACTCATCGATATGGCCTACATTACGGAATTTCAGTGTCAAGGCAGATATTATTGCGCCGAGTGGCCTGTGGTATTACACGGGAGTTCCGGACGCGATGGAACTAGCCACGGGGTCCGACTATGGAGATGAAGACGAAGACGAAGATGAAGATAGCGAATCATCCGACTCAGACGACAATGTAGACCGGGACGCGGTTGCCAATGGGGTCCGGCCTTCTCATGTCTGGCGCACTCGGCCGGATCCGGATCTCTTCAACACGCTGGTGCAGGACATGGCGGGTGCCGTACTCAGGATGCCGCAGCTTCGGACGGGCACTCTGGATATCGGCCCTAGGTATGGCGAATTAGTCGATATCATCCTTAAGTGTGCCGAAGCTACTTGCGCTTTCGATGATAGGCCCGATGGGCGATGGGACGAGGATGAGGAGAAATCTACCCGGAGATGGCATACTTGGGTTGGGAGTGCGACGGAGTGGGAGATGCCTGAGGACGTGAGGGCGCTGTGGGCGAGATGGCTAGGTGATAGTGGGAGATATGCTGTTGGTCGCTGGCCCCCTGCTGGTCCTGGGGTATGAGAGAAAATGATGAGAAAGATGAGAGCCAGTCCTGGAAATCCAGGGAAGAAGGGTGGTATACGTCTAACCCAGACCGCAGCAGAGACCCACCCTCGTTCGCAACGGCGTACGCTTAGATATGATCTTGCATGTTGACACTCGCCATTCTCTGTTCCTCTTGGAGCTCGATCGGTCACCCGGTATTTTTCAAAACGGTTCCTTGGGTGGGTACGGTAGCCCGAGAGCGCCGAGACCAAAACGGAGGTGTAGCACATAAGAGCCGGGGCTTTAGTTAGCGGAGACCCCATGCCGCTATCAGGTTGGTGTTCAGCTACCTTTTAAACGTGCTTATGAACGAATTTGAAGTATGCTATGACTACCTGAGATGAAGTGGTAAGTATGAACAATCTAGACAGGCATACGATACTTCGGGCTGGTAGTGAATAACTGCAGTCCTCCAAGATGTCGGCCGTCGCCACAAGTTCGCCGCCCGACACATCAGGACGATTTATTGGGGATTGGGCTTTTATTAATCCATATAGCCCCCGTTCGGCCTAGAGATATTGGTCCACACGTTGATGGGTTCCATCGTGGAAACCATTGATGTTACCGTGAGTCACTAAAGAGAAGGAAAATGGAAGCGTGGAGGAAACCAAACCCTTTTCAAGGGGTTGTAACTTCTACGGCAAGTTTGTACGGATAAGTTTCCCCAGGGAAAAGGGGTAACCCCTCACGTATCAAACGCATTTACCAAGTTGTCCAAGATCACCTATACCTAATTCTAGGTTATAAAAGAGACCCCCCTGGCTCGATCACGGGGAGCCATTTACGCTGGGTGTAATTGATAGTTCATAAAGGAAAAGCAGAACGCATATAGAAGATTTAACGTAGTTCATTGAGTAGACGACATTTAGATAGATGTCTTCTATATACAACACCATCAGCTTACAGTTCTATGTCATGAGATAAGCATCTTTACTAGGTAAATATCTAAGTACCTACGTATATACGAGTACCATCCAGTAATTCCAGAAATTTCTCCTCTATTACGCTATTTCTTATCTCCCCGACAGTCAATCCAAAGAAAATTTTAGAAAATACCCCTTAACACATTTTCCTATCTTTAGGGAATAGTGATTTTAAGCCTTTACGAACTACCTAATAGACCACCGAGGATTATAAGAGCCTTGGAACAGAAGAGTGATGCTAGACTATGACGAGGAATAGGCGCCGAGAGGGGCGCTCCGTCATAGATAAACATCTCTTAACTTGGTGTAGGAAACCTTGAACTTCATCATCATTCTCACTTCAGGGAGCGGCAAGCTTTCGACATCCCCACGAGCTAAACCTTTATTTACCTACCTATACAGCACTTACCCTCTTCACCCAAACAATCCACAAAAACTCCAACTTCAGTCGAGGCGAAGAGGAACAGGGATATATTGTTAGAGGTAGGAGAAGAGCTATGAATAACTATCCCTATCATTCTTTGACAATCAATCGCGGGATTTATCCCCTACCGCCATCCGGTGACAACAACCCCTACAGAAGAGATCCTATAAATCACCAGAAGCGAACACCCGAGACTGGGATAGGGGGCTTGATAAAGAGGGTTCACCCCAATATCCCAAGAGCCTACAATAATACACATAGGTTCAGTATATCGTGTCTTGCTGAACGACGATACGAATAAGCCGGGAGGGGGGGGTTGTACCCAACTTACAAAACCACGCCGCTATAGAGGAAGAGTCAATGGAATAGGATAAGAGCTGGGGTTACCGGTCCGTCTAAAGGCACGGTGACCCATACCAATTATACCTAACCTAGACTACCTAGACTACCTAGGTAGGCTTATGTTTCTGACGAAGTTCTGGACATCCATCAGAATTAAGTAAGATGCTACAAGCACGCAATGAAACTACATTAACCCCCTAAATCTACTCGCCATACCTCTTCATTATCATGATACGCGTGAACGTCCATCCTTATCTGAAGCTGACCTACACCCCTAACCCACCACATAACCCCCCTCACCACCATCCCCTTTCCACTTCCCCTTCCCTTTCCCTTCCCATCCCCCCCTAAACCTCCCCAACACCATAACTCCTAACCCGACTAAAAAAGAACGGTTTATAATGCCTAAGCGCAAACTCCGCCCAATCGTCCGTCTCGCGATTATAGCTCCAAAACCCCTTCCAGCTAACCTTCAAACTCCCGGGCTTCACCTTCCCCGCACCCGTGCCCTTAAACGTAAGTTCCATGCGGTACATATACTTCGGCCCCACGCCCTCCGTCTCAACATACAAATCCCCCTCCATCCCCCCGACCCCGCCCTCGGGGTCGTCCCCCTCGCCAGACATCCTCCAGCGCCCCATGAGCGCGTTCCCCATCACCGCGCTGGGCAGATGCGGGCCCCCGCCCCCGCGGTGCAGCGAGAGGTTGTCTTTCGTCATGTGGTGGACCACGTGGGCCGGCTCGTCCGTCGTGAGGAGACTGATGGCGGAGCCGTCCCGGAATAAGCGCAGGTACCGGTAGTATGTGACGATGTGCACGGGGCTGTTCCACGTGATTTGGTGCACGGAGGCTTGGCCCGCGCGGATGTAGTTCACGGTGCTGATGTAGCACCCGTTGAACCGCACGCGCGGACGGCGGCGGAACATCGTTGCCCAGGACCCGGAGTACAGGCTGTTGAGGAGCACGGTAGTTGTTGCGCGGCGCTCTTCTAGACGTTGTCTGGTGAGCTGGTCTAGTGTGAATACATCCGCGGAGGTGGTGGTGTTGTCGTCGTTGTCGCCGAGAACTTGGGCCGCGGTGAGCGCGTCCCAGGTTATCCCTAGTTGCCAGTGGAAGTGCATCCCGCCGAACCCGAACTCCGATCCTAGACACACGCGTCGCCAGATCTGGTCTTCGGTCGCGATGAGGTAGGCTAGTCGTTTACATACTTGGGCCAAACGCACGAAGTCACCTACGTCCGCGATGGCTACGTCGCGTAGGATATGGACGAGGATCTCGTCTGGGAGCGCGGCTATGGGGCATGGAGGTGCCTCCACACCTTCGCATTCTGGTGGTACGCCCTCGATTCTCAGGTCCGAAAAGCTGGCTATCAGATCTGGCAGCGACAATGTGGGGCCTTCTAGGGAGTGGTGGGCGGTGTTAGGAACCGTCGCGGGAGCGTTCGACGGGTTGATTTGAGCCGTTTTAGTCCAGCGGGCCGGGAAGTGCTTGTTGCGGTAAGACTGATCAACGTTGTCGTCCATCCGGAAGGCCTTGCGGTATAGTTGCAAGCTATCGCCAAGCTTACCGCTTGTCTCCATCTCAACGGCTTTCTCGTAGAAGTCTAAGGCGGTCTGGGGTTCCTTCTCCTTATTCTTAGTATTTGTGGTAGAAGGGCCATCCTGACGTGAGAGTTTCTGGCCCGTTGTTTTACTCAGGTCTGGTTCATCAAAGGACTGTGTCTGAATGTACTCGTCCTCGTTTTCTATATGAGAGATGATTCTTGAGCCGGTCTTTCTATGAGCAGGTTCACTTCTTTTCGAAGGCTTGCTTGAAGTCGAGGGTCCTGCTTGAGATGAAGTTGTTCTCTGTTGCTGTTGTTGAGACCCAGCCGTATTCTTAGAACGAGCTGAGACCTCTGCTCGCCATTGTTCCCTAAAGTTTTCTAATTCAGATTGTATCTGCTCAGTTGGTTGATCCATCTCGGCAATTCAGTTAGTCAAACGGTCACAAAGTCTAGGGATAATAAAGTTCAACGATTAGTTGTTGGTTAATGAATGGTTGATTAAGGTTAATCTAGGTGTATTTTGTAGGTGATTGTAGAAATTAGATGTGAGTCAATGCGAATATCTAGCGGTGACGAGCTGGACGATTTCCAAAGTTATGAAAGTCTGGGGCTAAATTATGGATGAAGTCAAAGATGCGGCCAGTAATGATGTGCTCCGGTACGATGGATCGGAAGGTGCGAGATGCATTATCTAAGTCCATCTTATCGCCGAACATTCCCGGGGAAAGAGTCACACCGCGGGCTGCAGGCAGGCACGTAGGTGATGGTGGGGTTACAAGGTACCTCAGAATTAGAGCATCCGATTGGCTGTGACATCATGATAACGCACCGCGTTTTGAATCTCAATGGAGTTTATCAAATTCCGTCTTATCGGACTTGAAAGCTCGGTCTCGGCTTGGCTTGGGGTTTGGTGGACCGGCAAAAATTCTTAAAAAGTTTAGCCTCACAACCTCTACATAAACGAACGCCCTTATGTACATGTATGTATTGATGACGCTAAACTATATCGCCCGCGATATCGCAACCCCGATTCTGTTTTTTTAGTTATTCGCCTCCTCAGCCACCTATACCTCCACAAATAACATTGAACCTAAGTAGAACCTTCTTGACAACGTTGAATAGAATCACTTCATCCCCATCCTTTATCCTAGATTCAAACAATCTTCTTATCTACTGCATCGAGCTGTGCCGTAAAAGCGCCCCCGGGACAACCGGGCTAGGCGCAACACAAAATGAGCATGATGGCATCTAATCACACATTCGGCGGCCACAACCATGATCGATTGGGAGAGGGTGAAGACGCCTTTGTAGGGCAGACAATGGTGTCGTCACAGGATGACGGCAACGACGGTGTGGATATTCCGGTGGGCCAAAAGATGATCTCCGCCATTTCTGGTAGTCTTTTGACTTCGCTACTTGGTAAGTTTTCATATTATATTCAGTCCCATATTATACATATAGCTATTATGGGATGAAATAATGCTAACATAACTTGTATAGTCACCCCTTTAGATGTCGTCCGAGTCCGATTACAATCGCAAGGTTCGTCGCAGCCCATCACAGAGTTCCAAAAGCTTGCAATTTCGTCACCTAGTGCTTTTCGGCCTTCGAACCTTGGGGTTACTGCGTGCTGTCGAGAAGTGTTCTTCATGAATAACAATGCCGAAGTCTGCGTCGCCGGTGGCCCGATCGGAAATATAGCTGCGTCTGGAGAATGCGCCGTAGAGGAGGTACAGAAGAGGACATTCAACTCGACTTTCGATGGAATGAGAAAGATCGCGCGTCACGAGGGCTTCACGACCTTATGGAGAGGTCTTTCGCCGACCTTGGCTATGGCCATTCCGGGCAACATCATCTATTTCACAGGCTACGAATGGTTACGATTCAACAAATCAAGCCCGGTCAATAGACTTACTAAGGACGATTATGCGCCCTTAGTAGCGGGATCCTTCGCACGAACTATTGCTGCCGCCGTAGTAGGTCCTATAGAGCTGTTCAGGACGCGACTTCAGGCGTCTCCGGGCTCAACCGCTACGGGACATCTAGCAAATACTTTCACGGGTATTCAAAAAATGGTACACGAAAACGGTTACCGCTCCTTATGGCGGGGTCTAACTTTGACTCTTTGGCGAGACGTTCCCTTCTCGGGGATGTATTGGTATGGTTACGAGACTATCAGGGGGAAGCTCACCGACATACGCGAAGAGCGAGAAGGTCGGCCATTGACTCGGGATGATCACGGCTCGAAGACGGGAGCAAGGAAGCGATCGCAGAGCAGGGAAGGTCGTACAGCAACTTTCGCAGATGCATTTATTGCAGGTGCTCTGTCAGGTGCAGCTGCATCGACGGCTACCATGCCGTTCGACGTCGGCAAAACTCGTACACAGGTCTTTCACGACGCAGCAAACAAGGCTTTACCTACTACGGATAAGGCGTTGGCACCGGAGACCCAGCCGATGTTGAGATTCCTCTGGCATATATATGCTACGGAAGGCTTGGCAGGTCTCTGGAAAGGATGGCTACCTCGCACTCTCAAAGTCGCGCCATCTTGTGCTATCATGATTAGCAGCTACGAAGTCGGAAAGAGGGTGTTTAGGGGTATGAATGAAAAGAAAGCCTTAATACAACAGCAGGGCAAATCTGGCGAACCTTGACGTGTATCATGATCTCTCTCCTCTCACTTCTGATTTTGTTGCATTAGCAGGCGTTGTTTTATCATGATACCTTACTCAGAGGCCGAGGGACTGGAACCAAAAAATGGGTTGGATTGCATTAAGATATGATGATATCATAGATCAGAATGGTTCTGTATACTACCAACCTACCTCATGTTACGGGAGAGAGGACAAAAAGCAAAGACTTAATAAATTACAACTCGCCGCAGGGGCTCAACGAGCCCTATATGAATAATATGAGCATTACGATCGAAATCCGGTCAAAGTCCTGGCGATCTAGATAACTGAATTGCGCATGGCCATTGCTAGTTCTTACCCCAATTTCAGGTAACCGTTCTAGAGTGCTCCATCAGTTGATCTATCATTTTGGGGGGCTTCAGTGCGCTGAAAGCCAGCATGGCACAAGCCACTTTACGCGCTACCGATTTCGCGTTGATAGGGGTTTTAGCGGCAAACGCGTCTCCAAACGCGCCTCAAGTCAACCCCCATTTAACAAGGTTACCAAATTTTCAGCTTCTCAACTTTGACCTTCTACAATAAAATTGTCTTAAATCCAACCCCTTTTATATTCCTGTGTCAGCTCAATCGAGTTCGAATGGTTTCCCACACATTATTCATGATTTGTTTAAGAAACTAGTATTGTGCAACATTGCGAGTAAATCGTTCACATTGCCCTCTTTACGTCATCTCGAACAACGGGATTTAGCCCGAGTTCTAGCTCGACTCCTACCTCCACATCACCTACGACCACACCTACCATTTCCCTCGAATCTCGCAAATAGACTATTCACGATGTCGTCCCTTAAACGCAAGAACAACTCGGCCCCAGACTCGAATAAGAAACCTAAAGTCAACGCGAGCATAACGTCCTTCTTCGGAGCCCCGAAGAGCTCTCCCGGCGCTCCCCCCTCCTCGCCTCTATCAGGGGCCAAACGACCCGATGCGCCGGCCCTCAAGTTCGACAAGGCGAAGTGGGTAGCGGGTCTGACGCCCGAGCAGAAACGCCACCTGCAGCTCGAGATCCAGACTTTAGATTCCAGCTGGCTGGCCCACCTGAAGGATGAGATCGTCACCCCGGAGTTCATCGAGCTGAAGAAGTTCCTCGAGAGCGAGGTTAAGAGCGGACAGAAGGTGTTCCCGCCTAGAGAGGATGTCTATTCTTGGTATGCATTTTCTCTTATACTTACCTGTCTAAATACCCCATATACCTACCTATCTTTCCTCTAGTCTACAGCCTACAATCTACTCTATATACCTACCTCCACCACAATCCCACAACCCTCACCACTAACACTAACACCCCTCCCAGGTCCCGCCACACCCCCTTCAGCAGCGTAAAATGCGTAATCCTAGGCCAAGACCCGTACCACAACATAAACCAAGCCCACGGCCTCGCCTTCTCCGTGCGTCCCCCGACACCATGTCCGCCCTCGCTGCGCAACATGTACATCGCGCTAGGCAAAGACTACCCCTCGTTCAAGCCCCCGCCGAACAAATCCGGGCTACTCACACCATGGGCGGAGCGCGGCGTGCTGCTGCTGAACACATGTCTCACCGTGCGCGCGCACGACGCGAACTCCCATGCGAAGCGCGGCTGGGAGCGGTTCACGCAGAAGGTGATAGACGTGGTGGCGCAGCGACGGACGCGCGGGGTCGTGTTTCTGGCGTGGGGAACGCCGGCGGCGAAGCGCGTTGCGAAGGTCGATGTTAAGCGCCATCTCGTCCTGAAGAGCGTGCATCCAAGTCCGCTGAGCGCGTCGCGCGGGTTTTTCGACTGTGGGCATTTCAAGGCGACGAATGAGTGGCTTGCGTTAAGGTATGGCGAGGATGAGGTTATTGATTGGGGATTAGGGAATTGTAGTACTTTGGTTAAGAAGGAGGTGGTGAAGAAGGAAGAGGAGGTGAAGGAGGAGGATAAGGAGGAGGCTACGCCTGATGTGGTGGTGGGGGAGTTTGATGATGATGATTTCGAGGAGGAGAGTAAGATCTTGCAGGAGATGGGTGAAGAGGGGAAGGCGGATAGTGTAAAGTCGGAGTAAACCTTGCCGAGTGAGTGTTCTGGGCTTGGTATTCGGAAATAAGGGGTAAGGCGTTCGGAGACCTTTCGTCCTACCTGTGTAGTATACTGTCTGGTGTTCAATGGTCTAGATGGGACAGGCGTGTCCTCGCGGCATATCAAGATTGTACAGTACATACGGGATTAGTTAACATGCCCTTCCGAGGGAAGTTGTTTAAGGGAGTAATAGTTGCTTCAAAGTCCTAGGCCGCACAATAAAACAATGATTGTGAACTTGAAGGGTTGTTAACTGTATTAAGGGTGCCGATATTTGATGGTCACCACTATCGTGGTTGATAATATGTAGTCCATTATTGAACGCCTATATTCGATGTCGTACTATTATATAGGCCGTAAGACTGGATACGCGTCGGAGCTGAATAAGCACGTCTGGGCTGCAAAGATATTACGCAAGAGGAGGATTCAAGTGTCTCCTCGGCGGATTTGACGGAAATTCTCTCAGGGTGTCGTCTAACCTTAGGAAAAGGAGGCCACGATTTTTCAGCCTGGACTTGGAAGTTGGAAACGAAGAGATCGTGTCTCAAAACGTATCACCTGAGACACTCGTGACCAAGCAAAATAGTGCTCATCTAAACGTCGTTATTACTCACTGTAGATAGAGATTCATAATTGCCGGGTCTAGCCTTCTAAAGATGACTAGAAGAATGCTTGAGAAATAGTTGCGCAAGGGGTTTGGTACTCTGGTAGTTAATAATTGCAAGGCCAGAGTCAAGAGACTGCAGGATCGATTCGATATGGAATAGCAACCATGACACCGAGATCTTAGCGCATAAATAGATCCGCGACAATGCGCAATTACTGCTTCGTATTCTGCTATCCGTGCTAGTTCGCAAGGCTGTTAGAATAGCGAAATGTCATCATCGGCATTAACTTTATGGAGACATGGCAAGGCTGCTGAAGGATCTGTCTCGGGAACCGGTAATGGACAGACCTGGATACCCCACCCGATATGTATTGTTACATGCCGTCGTTGCATTGGGCGGGGTTAAATAGGACGTTTCGGTTTTTGTGGTTCTGTTCCGCCAGAAAGCATCTGAAAGATATTTGCTTCTGATAGCAACGATGGGGAATATCTCGAAAATATAGCCCATGGATACTCTTGGATATGTTTCTGCGAACATGTTAGATCGAGAGAGGCTAATGTACATCAGCATGCGTTCTGGGGTTATCGTAGTTGTGGGAACAGTTAGAAGTGAGATCACACGCTAAATATGCAGGTCCCTTGGTCCCCTGAATTCCGTATGCAAGGCGTGCCACACCTCTGCACACCATCTTGTCATCCTGAAGCGAGTTGTAGATAGATCCAAACATGGTTAGTGGCCTACTCTAGGCTCCGGACGGCTCAAGCAGACCTAAGTTTCAGATTTAGGGCTTCCAGAAGCTGTCGTTTTTTCTATAATCCTTTGCATCAGCGCTCCCACCAGATGAGCCGTAAGATCCGAAGGATGGATAGGCTGAATCAAGCAGCAGTTCAACTGCACTATGCAACTGATGCTAGTCGTACCAAGTCTCTTGAAGAGTAAAACGCCGTTATTGGATGCGAAAATAGTCGCGGCCACTGTGGACACGCAGGACACGTCTTCAAGGTCCGGAGATCCAATCGTATTCATCTTCACTGCACCAATGGCTCGCAGACAAGTCCGTCCAAATCAGGCTTCGCCTTTCCGGTGACTTCACTACATTGCCAACTCATCCAAACCCTAGTTTAGTAAAACTGACTGGTCGAGCTAGACCCAATGGTTATCGCGAATTAATTGGCCTCGACTCCCGAATGATGAGTTGTGCTTATGCAAGGTTGACGCCTATAAAATAGATGAGCTGGATCAATGAAAGGGAAAGGAGGCGCGAATAGATATTGTCTTGGCATTTGTTTGAATCATTTATCTTAATGATTGATGACCATGGAAAATACCAACAGCATTTTCTCCAACGGGCTGACGAAGCGAATTTCATATTGATAGAGCACATGTTCATTCGTGTTGTTTCAACATCGATCGTTGCACAGCACGAACACGACCACGGCCACATACAGGACAGGATCCAGATTGAATACAGCTTCAAACGACAGAAAGGGGGGGATTAGGTAACGTATGTTGGACGAATCCGGAAAACGGTGACATTGAAGGTGGTGGCACTTGTATAGAATTGCCGATGGTGTTCCGATAATGCTCAACCCCTTCTGCTCAAATCTCAATCTGCAGGACAAGAATCGAGTTGGTGCCGATCGATACTAGCTCAGGTGGTATTCCATATCACAACCGGCGGTAATATAATAAACGTCCACAACGGTGAGATGCGCCCGATTAAGCAGGAATATGATGGTAAATTCCCGAATGCGTTCCTAAAAGAGTTCCAGTTCAGGTGTTGAAGTGAAGCCATCGTCAAGGTTTTATTTGACGCAGAATCAGCTGTCCGGGTCCGATAATTTGCATGCAGACCTGAGACTAAGCTGGAAACCAATTTACCAATAGCCTGGTAGTGACATGGTCCTTGGTCCAAAAGCTACGGACTTAGTTTTCGTGCTAGCGAAAAGCAAACATGGAAGTTCGCAGGTCAGCTAGACGAAAAAAAAAAGGTGAAGAAGAAAAAAAAAGTAGAGAAAAAAAATACACAGGTGGAACATTATTGTTTCCGTATTATGGTAAATCTTGACATTCAGATGCGGGCGAGCGAGTAAACGTAGCTGAATGTACGATAAGGTGCATCTCGAATGTGAGGGTTGAAAAAGAAAAAGGTCGAAACTGGTCTAGGTCCTGGGTTCCTACATACCAAAGTAGACGGATGACCTCAAAGAACGACCTAGGATAGCGGTTGACCTCTCAAAAAAGTCTGACCGGGCAGTACCCGGTCACCACTTCCCGCCCTGTAATTAAATTAGAGTTATTGAACGCGGACGCGAATTTGACAAGTATCATCAGCCCTGTTAGAGGCATGGAAGTGACTTTCGAGATACCTGGATATCCTAGCTCCAATTTAGTTCAACTCTTAAAATCCAATGGTGCCCTGACCAAGTTGACCAATGCGTTCCTGCTTCACCTTCCCCACCTAAGCAAGCCCAGAGCTGATATACCCAATCACACCTCTTAGACCAAGCAACTCCTACCTCACAAGCTAGAACAAAAAGAACTAAAATAATCTCCCTAAACGACGCTTCTCCTAAAAGGGATAGTCCAGGCAGGTGCACTAATGTACGTTGAACTAGCTTGGAGGTACGTGTTGTATGTACCCTAGGTAAGGTAGTATCGATGTAGCTTGAGATTTGGGGGGGAAGTCGCGAGGATGGGATTGATGGGTTGACTGGCTTCCTTGAATAGATAGTATGCTATCCTCGTTGAAGTTTGAAGCGGCCCCTTAATAATAATTATTTTTTCCATCTTCTCCCCTTCGACTGACGATTAGAAGTTTTTGAAACCTTTTCCCATGCGTGCATCTTGATACCCTTCGTTTTACTACTTCACTACTTCAGCACTTCACGCATTATCCGTGAAGTCTTCAATTCTAATCGTTTGATATTTTCGTTCTCTTTTTTTTATTTTTCATTTTTCCTTTTTCTTTCCCGTCCCCGTCGAGGTGTGTGGTGCGCCTCCCCCTATTAATTCCATACCCTGGAAAGTTGAAGTTTTCCCGGCAGAGAATATCTCAATCATACCCATCGTACCCATCAATATCCCCGTCTGAACGGTGTCGGTGTCGAGCAATAACAATTTGATATTATTACTACTTGATACCCAACCCAACCCCCACCCCAGTGTGCGCAACTTGGTCCAAGTCCCCCAAGTCGTCTATCGTCTACCGTCTTTCTCTTCAAACATCTTATGCGTTAGCCTGTGCCAGACCTCCCACTATCAAAACACCCACTCGGCTATCTATTTCCAAGATTCTTCAATCTCTAGACGTGTCGTCTCGTATCCATCTACATAACTACCTCCTCACAACCAATCACCATGCCGAGCCTCTTCTCGAGAATAAGGGGCAAGGATGGAGCGAAACTGAAGTCGAAAAAGAACGCCCATCTTAACGACTTGACGCATCAATTGTCCAACAAGCCGCGCTGGGAAGATGCATACACGCGAACAACCATCGAGCCAGAAGAAGTCCAAGAACTAATCAAGATTTGTACAGAGGAGCTTAAAGCAAGAGGTACCCAATTAATCCATATGCTTTTATTCTTTCACGTTAAAATAAATTACGTACGCTAACGTGTTCGCATTGGATAGCTCTCGATCTACCCTTTCTTCTTCTCCCATTCCGCCCAACTTCTGACCCTAGCGCTGTACGCACCTTTATCCGCCACTTTTTCGATGGCAACCAAAACTTGCGCGGTGAAGCCCTCCTGCAGGAGCTACGGATGACCGAGCCTATGGTATGTCTTAATAGAGCGAAATGCGCTGGTTCGGTAGACAATTATTAATATAGATACATTCAGGTTATATCCGGTGTTCTGAAATGGTGCTGGAGCAGACTACAGGGTGGCATCGTGGGATGGGATGCCTACGAGCTATTCAAGGTTGGAGAGCAAGGTATGTTTAGCTCGTCTAACGAATATACGAGATACGTGCTAAGAAATTGCCTTTTACTTAGACTCGAGCATGGCGCGCGACTCCTTCTCGACTTTTATCCCATTAAGCGTTGAGAACCAGGCAAGATCCCAAATCATCTTCAACTATTTTGATTTACTCTCCGCCATCGCAGCTCATGGCAAATCCAATGGCTTTGGTGGCCGTAAACTGTCTCGTATGGCGGCATGGTGGGCCTTCGACCATAAGGATGCCGGTAACGGTTTTGAAGGCGGGTACAAATCGTGGTTGAGGTTTGTACAGCCCTAAAGTCGCGTCTTTAACGGTTTACTGATAAATACTAGCGCTGCTGATGCTACGAGCCACATGTTCTTTGCCTACTTGAGATCCTTATCTCCCCAGCAAGCTCGTGCGGGCATATCCATGCTCCCGATGTCCCTGCAGAAACTCCTGCAGGAAACCGAGTATCCCCCGCAAACTCCGTCGTTATTGATGTCATCTACCTACAAGGTTGTCATGATTGTTGATACCGTATCACCGACACCATTTGCACTCCTGCGCCGTGCTAACCATTTCCAATATCGCGATGAAGATCAAGCGCTTCGTGAATTTTCCGAATTCGAGGATCCCGTAAAGGCTCTAACTGAAGAATGCCGCAGAGTTCTCAAAGCGATTTCTCTCGCAAATCAATCTCAGGTTTCTAGCTCGAAGCACTCAACTAGTCTACGAGATGCTTCATGGTCGCGATTCGAGGATATCGGTTTTGGGGATACCTTAGAAGAGGAGGAAGAGGATGAGGAGACAGTTAAGATTAACCAGATTCGAAATCCACGCGGGCTACGAACCACCCCGGCATCAGGTGGAAACCTTGGAAGACCAACTACACCCTCTTGGGCCGATTTCCTGTCTTCCGGTTTCGTCGATGATGCGCCGAATAGTCCGTCGAACCTCTTGCTACCACCAGATAAGATCCTGCCACCTATCGAGACGGTTGTCCGACAACGTAGTTCGCAATCGCACCGCCCACGATTGGAAAGCACGACTCAGCTGGAACCCGGTGAATTAGCTAGCATTAGTCGATTTGACCTCGATGACGCGTTTTGGTGGGTGTGGATGAGCAGTTTGGCCCCCGAGGAGACTGCTGAGCGTAAATCTGCGTTTGGAAGATGTTCCGTAGTCGAGACGCTCATCCGCCAAGGCCGGTGGCTTGTGATGGAAGAGATGGTGAAAGGTGCCGCTCCGGAACCTGGTGCGAATGCCTATATTGCAGAGAAGAAAGGCTTCTTCAGTTGGACTAGGCGTGGACGAGGCGTGTCCCGAAGCAAATCAACCTCGAAACCGATTGCCGGTGGCCAGTCGAACCCTGGTACTGTTACTGGTGCTGGTTTAAGCAAGACCAGCATTGGACCCGACCAGCATGCGAAGATTCAGGCGGCCGCGCAAAAACTTCAAGCTAAACAGCTCCAGGAACAACAAACACTCCCAAAGGCGGAAAGGCGTGGACGTACGGATGCCGATGTTCTCAAGGAAAAGACCAACAGCATTCTTACCCTACAGCCGGGCGTGGTGAACGTGGCCTCTCCGGCTATGAAGTGGGCGAACAAGTACGACAAGGAAGCTATTCGTGAGGCGTATCTCGGCAACGCCTTTGCCGGTCGTGGTATATCACAAACATCCCTTCAGTTGCCTAGCCATCCACCAGCGAACGGACTCGTGACAAATGGCAGTAGCCTAAAGCTAGAAGCATCAGAACATGCTCCATCTCCGGCCGTTGCCCCGCCGCCCCCACCACCGCAACCGCAGGCGCAACCCGAACCCGAACAAGAATCCCCGGTCATGATCACACCTGTTGCGACTTCGCCACCGGTCGCGGAAAAGAAGCTTGAAGCTCCGCAGGGAATTCACCCCGCAGAGCGATCAGGACCCACGGGTAGAGATTCGCCTTTGCCCCCACCTCCGCGTGAAGAGAACTTAGAAGCTGCTCGGGAAAATATGCTTTCCCCGGTACCGAGTAGCCCTGAGAATAAGAAGCACAAAAAGCTCCACAAGGATGACAAGAAGACCGGCGGATTTAGAAAGTTGTTCGGCCGAAACAAGAATCGACAGTCCAAGTTGCCCGAGAATGCAGCCACCGACATCAATAGCTTCCTTGCTTCGGAACCATCGCAGATAGCGCGAAGTGCTTCGCCAGCGCAGAAACCTCAACCGGTTCCTGTTGAGTCAGCTTTAGAGGCACCGGAAGAACGACCGGAAGAAAAGACGCCTACGCAAACACCGGTCACGCCGGTGCCCCAAAAGTCATCCTACGACCCATCTATCGATGACAACCTGTCTCGCGTTGATACCGCAGAGGCCGCAGAGGCTCATCATGAGTTCTCTCGTTTCGACCAAGGGCCGCTCGTAGAGCAACCTGCCTTTGTCCCTGACGAGGATCAGAGTGTTGATTCGGCCGCACCGCCGCCGATTGCTAGACATCCCAGTAACCACCCCCCTACCGACGAAGACGACGATGCGGGCGCACCGTCACCCTCCGTCCCGATGCAAGATCGATGGGCTGCTATTAGGAGGAACGCAGCCGATCGCGCCGCACGACAGAGTGAGGAGCAGAGTCGGGGTGCGTATAGCAAGACCACGGATGGTGATGACGACACCAGTGGTGAAGAGAGTAAGAGTCACATTCTTCTGTCTAGTACTATGCAATACACCTGCTAACATGTGACAGCTATTGAATCTCGTGTAGCTCGAATTAAGGCCCGCGTTGCCGAGTTAACCGGGAATATGGATGGTGCCGCTGGACCCGGAACGCCTCCTAGTCGCCGCTAGGGGCGGTATTTTAGATGAAGACTTGGGTACGAAACAATACGGATATCAGCATTAAACATTCGCCTACATCATTTCGCCTAGAAGCCATGGATTCCAGATGCATTCTTCCCTTTAGTAGCATTTGGCACGTGTCAAATGTTCCTTAATACAACCAACCAGCCTTGTGCGCTTTTTTTTCTATTTCAATGATACCACTGGAACATGCCGTTTCATGTTCCCTTCCCAACCAGGACCAGGACCAGACTGGGATTTAGTTTTTCGCTAATTTGAACTTCGGCGTTTGAAATCAAACCACCACCCTTTGGGAATTCGCGAATGGGAGAATGGTCACGGTTCGGTCTCTTAGCAAAAATCGTTTTCAAGGCGATACAGTAACCCTGGACGAAGGAGGCATAGCTTGGCTATGGATCGGATATTCTTGGGTTGCTGCCTACGCCAGCCAAAAAAAAAAAGAAGAACATCAAACATGTGTTATTGCAGATTAATCCTTTCGGTCGTTTCTGGTTTTTCGAGTTCGAGGAGTAATGAGACGACTAGGGGTAGGAGATACCCATTCGCAAACAAACGGGGGACGGAAAGAGCTTGGAAGATACCTAGGTACTTTATTCGATAAGAGTGCCAACGCATTTGCGTTCTTTTCTTTAATTACTTAGACGATGAGTCTTTCGAACTGCTATATCTTGGTGACATGTTCGGTTCGTGAGTTGTTAGGTAGATGCTATTTTCTTAAGCTATGAGCCAGCCTCCAATGCCTATCGAATTAAGCTGGGTAACGGCCAACTGGGTATATTTGCCCACACAACCATCATTTCTGATATTCAAAGTAAATATTATATCCTCCCTTTCTCATCTCATCATCATGTCTTGAAAGGTGGAAGGGTAGAGCATAGGACGCCGGTTAATGTTTTTGCTGTGGACATGGTAGATCAGATGTTGAATTCAATAGCCAAAAATATATACCTTATTCTCATCCATCTACCTACCTACAGTTTGATATATCGATATAATACCATTTAGGATGATAATAACACAAATTCGATCTTAACTAATCCTTGGGACATGGGAACTCATGGATTAGATTTATTCAAGCAGGTACCTAGTAATACTTAACTTACCTTTCCCATATCTTCATATCTCCATCTGTGTCCACACATTCGTGTAGCCATTGAAAGTACTCGATGAGGCTATCCAACGTTACCTATATAGGTATAGTAATACGCAATCGTGTTATTGAAACCCCCCATCGAGTAAGTTCGATCTGAGTCTAGATTAGTATAATCAGTGAATCTAGGATGTTGCTATAAGATTGAGCCACCAAATTCAGAGCTCGTTTCCCTGATTCGGAGTATCTCTTTTTTTTTTCCTAGCCGTGTGGATTAGATGGCGTTCTAGTATACGTAATCATATATTATATCAAACGTACTTTGCATTATGCCGGTGGGCTTTTTGGCATCATCAGACAGCATGGTTGAGAAATTTAATGTACGATGACGTGCTCTTGACTCAGCTCCCTGTTGTAAAGGTTCTTTTCCATCCGTACAGCACGATGCCTGCCTACTAAGTCTTCGGGCTTGAATCTAGACAGATAAGAGGTCAATGGACCTTATTTAATCTAATATGTTCCTCTCATGACCCCTTACTCGTTTTTCGCTTCTTCACTTTCTTCCTTCATAGACCTAATGTGTCCTTAATTCAGTATCATATCTAATATATTGTATTAATCAGATCATGGTTGACCAATGGCTATGTCTTAGAAGTCGTACAAAACCGAAAGCCACAACCAGCCATCGGAGCTCCCTGCCTATTCGGACCACCGACATGGAACCATGAGACAGGTGGCTTATAAAGGCTTTCTTCTACTTTCTCATTTGCTAGCTTGAGTATGGCAGGTATGGGTAAGAGATAAGGAGAGCTTCACAACATATTTAGGTACATATACGGGTATAGTACAACGTCCCCCCACGTATCTCCCGGGTGGTATAACACCCGTTCCCGAATCCCTATCGTTCTATTCCCCTTCATATAGGGTATGAGACATAGCCACGCGTCTATTCTTGCCCTATCCCGCCCCTATTCCATGAAGATAATAGCCTACCTACGTGATAGCCTAGAATGACCTCACCAGCTAGGTATTTGGAAAGACTCGAAACCAGCCCTACAGTTGGGTTGCACGAAGTTACTGGTATGTATGTACACTATTATCTTTCACTGGTTGGTGAGGATCTACGAAGTTTGCACTAAAACAGCCACCGCTTACTTTTTACCCACATCGAGTTAAAATAGGGGTAATTTACTTGACACCTTCAATGTGGCTACATACACGCCAAGTATTATTACACACAGTCCTTTCGGGGAATAAAGACCACGGCGTGACTTGAGAAAAGCAGAATAGGGGCGTGGATGTATGATAATGTACGATAGATCGACGTATGGGGCTTCTAACATACATACCACGGCACCTACTCATCTGGTTCAACGCACCAAATCGAGGATTCGAGTCAACCTTGAACACATCGTTCGAACCATACCTAATCTCACAATGCACGACATCCATCCCCTACCTACATCGAGCTTACCCCCAAACCACCGTAAACCCCCCACCCCTTTCTCACCCATAATCCACCGGCACGTGTAATAGCCTACTCCAGGAGCGTCAACGTCAGCCAGCCCTACCGATCCCGGCAGTGAACAAAGTGCCAAGACCCCGATCCAAGCCCCTCAGCACTTCTAGTACCCATCCATGCAGGTCTAAAACATTACAAAAGCACAGCAGCGTCGTGGGCCACTCAACGTAGCCGTAGAAGGATAGATGCTGCGGGACCTGCATGCTAGCTCAACCGCCTACCAACGCGGGACTTCAGCTCGACGGGTTGGGGGCCGTTTACCTTTCCCGTCTGGGTATTCCGTTACGGAGATACTTATGGATGGATCTATGACTTACATCTAAGTACCAACTTACCAACCTACCAACAATATCCACTCACACGTGTCTCTCTGCACTTACATACATATATACATACATACATACATACATACATACATACATACGAACCTACATTCCTACATCCCTAGGTACCTACGGCAGATAGGATACTGGTATGACCGCATAGCCCGCCTTAGACTATTCCAGATCCAAGCCCACGACCCGCGCCGCCGTTCCCAGATCCCCGGTTACGTGACCACTAGCCCGCTTACCTAGGTACCTTCTTTCTCCCACACCTCTCTCTGCCTCTCTACTCTCCACCAATACCCGTCTCCCACCCGTTTCCCTAGGCAAGTGAAGAAGCAGAAGCCAGTTCCAGATTAAACTAAGCCCTCATCCTCCTTCACCTAGGCCTTACGATGCGGCTCCGGAACGTCTTAGCAATACCCGGTATGTATTACATACATTCCCACAACCTAGGAGGTGGAAGGGGGGAACACAAAGACCGGATTTCAAACCCGCCGCGTCCGTAGTCAGCAAGGGATTGGCGAAGAAGCCGTCGTCACCACTTAACACGAGAACGGGGCATACACACACGCCTACTTACCTACCTACCTATCTACCTACATATAGTACCTAGAACACGGTAGCTGGAGCCCTACCTACTACATATCTGCCATATACCGAGCAAAGACGCTTACGAATCCCGTAATCCCGAAAAGAAGACAAGGCAAGAAGAACACCCAATCTGCCTCGTCCCGTGCGTCACCCAGGCACCCAGGCACCCCAGCTCACGTAGGTCAAGGGTCACAGCTCAGCTGAACTGCCTCTAGCTAGGACCGGGTTACCTACCTAGTACTTACGCCTACCTAGTATTGGCTCCCTCTCACCCTCCCCAGCTCCCACGACGTCATCGCTGACCCGTAGGATTGGACCAGCGATCGTCCATTGGTGGTTGCTCCCATCCTCCATCAATGTCAATATCAACGTCAAACGTGATTACCTACCTACGCTGTACACATATACATACCTAACTACACAAGCAATATCACCAACCTTGCCAGAGTGCCATTGAGCCCGAGCCCCTTTTCGTACATACCTAGTCACAAATCTAGAAATCACAGGAGAAGCGGCAAAAGGTAAAAAGTAACAGCTTTCAAAAGTCAAATGCAAGTCTCATTCAGGATCTGGTAACATGTGCCCATTACCATCCGCCTCTGGTATCTCTAACAACCTAGATAGTATACAAGTCCGTAAAAAACGCCGTCCCATGTTCGCCTCAAAAAAGTTTCCTCTCAAACTTTTTTTTTCTTCCCGGATAGAATGCGATGAAGCTAGTTAATCACAAATTCCATTACTCATTCGTCATGTCCGTCTCTCTAAATCAACCGGCATCGGCAGTAGCGAGCTGTCGAGTCGTATAAAATTTTGAGCTTTGAGATCGAGGGTAAAACATAAAAAACATAACCATGATAAAATAAAAAAAAACACCGCCAGAGCGCCACGCCGATGCTGTGGAGTAAAAACAAATTGCATGGCGCAAAACATAAATGAGCGAATCCGCCGCAGTTTGAAGTTCAAGCCAGCAAATGCTAGGTAAAACACACAGGGAGGTATCCAATAGCTTCATGATCCAGGTGCAGATGCCCTCCGATGCTCTCTATAAGATGTTGTACAATTGCGAGTCGCGGTATAAACAAACTTGTAAATCAAAGAATAATAATATAAGGGGGTAGTCGGATGGCGTCAGTGAGATAAATGTACACTCGAGGGCGGCTAGCTGTCAACCCTAATCCTCTTGGGCTCACCGCCGTCCGGTCCGTCCGGATGGCCAGCGGTTATATCTGGGCTCTTCCGCTTTGTGGTACTCGGGCCATTGTCGTCCCTTAGAAAGGAAGGACCTGAGCCGACCACCGGCGTAGCAAAATTTAGAGGACTAGGAAGGGTGTTGCTGTCGCTACCTCGAAAGTTCCACTCGGGATAAAATGAACTAGGGCTTGGCAGGAATTCATTATTGAGGAACCTTGATGGAAGGGCCGAAACGGGAGTATCGATATTCATGGAATTATTGTTCTGGGTCTGAGGATGGGGTCTAGCGAATGGGTTTGGCGGCCCAGTTGCCCCTGCAGATAGCATAGCCGACGCCGAAGGTGAAGGAGGCGGAAGAACTACACCGGCCCCAGGACCTTCCGCACCATTCCGGCGAGCGGATTGTGCGGTAGATTCCGTGGTGGTGCGGGGAGAGGTAGCCGTGTCGCCGCCGGCAGTGCTACCGGCTTCAGACTGCTCCTCGGGAATTTGCACCTTTAGGCGGGGCCGCGAACCACCACCGACCTTCAAGCTATTAGAGCGAGAAGGGGGGGTAAATGTCGTTTCGGGGATTGTAGGTATGGAATTGCGGGAATTAGGCAGGTTGGAGGTGTTAGAACGTTGCGGCAGAGGTGGAGATGAGTTGGATTTGGCACGCGATACAGCGCCAACATCCACAGATTGAGACCGATTCACATCATCCTTACTACGGGGTTCCGCGTTGAAAGAATCCAGATGCATAGACAGGATCGATTGATTCTCATCAATCGGAGTAAAAATGCTGTGTCCCTTACGTTGCGGTAATTTTTTAATCGCCGATGTCGTATCTAGCAAACGTTGGCCGGTCCTCTCCTGGAGTGGTTCGTGCTTAGGCTCTATAGGTGCAGGAAGTTGTTGGGGTTCTGCCATTGATTGCGATAACTGTGGCTGTTGCTGCTGCGGGGGTTCCAGATGCTGAGGAGGCGGCTGGGGAGGAGACATATGAGGAGTTTGCTGAGGTGGCATTTGATGAGTTGGTTGCGGCGGAGAAGGACGCGGTGGCTGGTTCTGTGGAGGACCTTGCGGAGGGTAGTTAGGAGGCACGGATGACCGGCGCTGATCTTCCATATACGACTGGACCGGACCGTGCTGTTGGGTAGAAGCGTATTGATATTGACCTGGAGCTGCTGGCGGAAGACCGTGGTGATAGGCAGGCTGGCTTTGCGGGTTGTAAATAGCAGGCTGAGGCATGTACGCGTAGCCGTTGGTAACTTGCTGAGGTGCGCCTTGTTGAGGGACACGTAGATCGCGGCGGAAATCGTTTCTGGATGAGGGTCGGGATGCGATTTGTGGCTGCGGGGTGTGACTTCGAGGCGCGAATGGCATTCCGTTAATGGGAGGCGACGCGGAAGGAGTGTGGTGCCTAAGATGAGGGAAAGGCGGTTGGCCTTGGAAATGGGGAGGAATCATTTGAGGCTCGACAGACCCTTCGTGGCCGTGAGGGGGAGTACCGTCGCCGTCTTCGTCATCATCGTCATCGCCACCGTTGAAGTCGTGAGGACCTTTGTGCTCGTTCGGACCGCCATGCTATTTTATTTGTTAGTGATATTGCCACCGTATATTCTGCGAAATGGGTAAAACCGACATATTGGTATCTTGTAATCAAATCTCGCATATCGCCCGAAGAGTACTCGTAGAGCTTCTTGTTGCTACCAAAGATGAATACGGCGACATCGACAGAGCAGAGCACGGACAGCTCGTGCGCCTTCTTGAATAAACCGCCCTTTCGCTTCAGGAATGTGCTATATGGTAAATATATTAGCCGCTGACGCGGGAGAGCGTAATCAGATTGAGGGGTCTCAATCGCTAGAAAGAAGCTTACACAGAGCGGTTTCTGTCATCCTTAATGGCTTTGATTTCAATCTTTCTTCGTCCCATCTTGACTTAATCTATATATTTGCGATAAATAGATAGAGAAAAGAAATAATATAGAGAAAAAGAGAAAAGAGTCGTGTGTTAAGTGATAAGGCTTCGCCTCCCAATTGCCGCCGAAGGATTCTTAACTCGGCGATTATAGATCCCTTAATTCGGTTGATAGTGACACCGCGATATGTGGTGGCATGAAAAAGCGTAAAAGAGTGTTTCTTGTCGTCTCCCAAAGCTTCAAACGGTGAGGATTGAGAATTAAAAGAAGGTTATTTCTGACAGGCGGGAAGAAAGTTCGGGCTAGTAATAGTAGCGGAACTAGTAGTAGTATACGTAGTATAAGTAGTATGTATATACTAGACTTGCGATTCGGTCGATGACTTAATCTGACGTGAAGGGGGGCTGGAGGGCTGAATAGTCCAAATGATGGTTGGTTAATGATGATGAGTAGTAGTAATAGTGGTAATAATTGTAATAGTTGTAATAGTTGAGTAGTATAGTGAGCGGATATGTAGTTGATCGAAGGGAAAGAAAAGGTTGAAGGGACTCGATGATAATAAGGATATGAATGAGGATGAGGAGAGGAATAGGCCGGTTTAAAATTTTGAAACGGCTGGCTCGCCGGTGATATTTGAAAGGGTTTATCCACAACGGAAGAGGAGTAGGGAAATAAGTGCTGGAGAAAAGGTGGAGGTGTCGCGGTAGAAGTATCAACAGAAATGTCTCTCTTCCTATGTGCTTGTGTGTAGTGCAATGCACTCGAAGTCTGATAAACAACTAGGCTATGATGGGATTTGTCGTCTTTTCTTCAGTTTCCGAAGATATACATTGATACAATACATCAATCGCTGCACTACTTGGGACTTGGGACTTGCAGCACGATGGGGCTGAATCTGGCGTGGATTTCTAATAATAGATAGAATCGTGTTCACTCGAGTTTTTTTTTCTGTGTGCGGGAGAAACTGAGAAAGTGGGAAAGGTTCAAGGAATTTGGGGGGGAAGAAAAGAGTAGGAGGGGGGATGGTGTCACACTCTTTAGGACAAGCACTTGCCTAACATTGTTAACAAGCTAGACACTTGCTAGTCGAGTACATCCATATCCGTACCCTTTTTACCTCTCGACCTAACCTTTTTCGCTAAGAGCGGAACCCTTCTTAGGTAGGTCAACCGTTTGTCGGCCCACTCTACAATCGCTGCAGCACGTTTTTCTGCTTCCTGTGCCACACTTTACCCACACTACATCAGAAAGTCACGTACAAACGTACCTATCGGGTGTCAACCAGGCTGGAATTCAGTAGGATAGATACATGGAGCAGAAGTACCTAAATCTTATGTAAGTCTGATGGTTGGGATGGTCAGAGCTTCCAAACTCGAGGGTCAATTAGGTCGATTAGCGTCAACTAATGTACGGGTATGTACCTTCCTAGCAGCCCAGCCCTAGCTGTGTAGCGCGACCAAGTCCCGCAGGGGGTCCTGGCCGCTTCTCCTGTAGCCCATCAAGCCTGTTGCTCCTGTTGTTCGCACTTGGTTTCTCTGCCCAGAGCTGCTTCTAATGGATAAAAAGGCGGAGGCTGCAAGGACATGCAAAACCAACGGTCCACGGTCACCGGGCACCATCGGACCCTTGGGGCTTAGACGAGCACAAAAGTCTCCATTATTCCAGGGCTCTTTACAAGTCCAGCAAGTCGGATCTTTCAAAGATACATTACATTGGACAAAGTACCATCCATATTGTTCAACAGCCTAGCAACTCGGCAGCCCTAGGAGCAAAGAGTAAGTAAGGTGCAAGGAGCAAGGGACATAGAGAAATCGAGATCTGAATAAAATTCGATCATCATTGTTCGTACCAAGGTGAACAATCAATTGGGTTCGAATTTCGAATTTCGAAGGGAAACCACAACCATAACCACATGCACACAGTGTTTGTTTTCTCCTGTCGTCATCGTCATCGAATTACTACATACTAGTACTATCAATGGTACTATCCATCACTATCGCAAAGTCTCCGTCCCCTAGCCATCTCGCTAAACCAATAACCTTAACTGCACATGGACGATTTGCCGGTTACGAACTCTACCAAGATCCTTATCCGCAGAAAAGTTTCAAGACTTGAAACGGCCCCCAAATTGACTTCCCATCCTACCGTATTTGGTAGAGCCTCACAAGTATATTGTTAGGCTAGTAGATGTATAGTGCGAATTTGAGTAATAGCAGTGGCAGAAGCAGCAGCAGCAGTAGCGACAGAAGTAGCGAATCGTAACTCGCTATGTCAACAAAGAATCCTTTGTCGAGTCAAATTCTCGAACGCCCTTACAGAAGATCTTCGAGTCGCACGACGTCGGCGTTCAAATTGAAGCCAGGGTCATGTGTTCTCATTCTTTGAAAAAAAAAGAATACTAACCTAAGATAAATTACCTACTCAAACTACCGCAACTTCAATCAATTTTGCCGCTCGCCAAACCCGCTAATGGCTCACTAAAACGTGTAAACTCGTACGTTTGTTCCTTGCGCCGTGCAGTTCGCAGCTTCTCGGCTGCTCTCCCATATAGCGCTTTTCCCTCTGACTTCATATGGATAATATCCGTAGGGAGCGAAGGACCCTTGTGGAGATCTGCGAACGCCGGATCCGGGGAAATAAGCCCAGAACGGTCTACCTAGGTCCTACATCCCTCATCAGGTTGGTGGTCATTGATGGTAATTGGTGGTTACTGTTTTGGTTCCTGGATTCTGTGTCTTACATTGCAGAATTGATTTGCTGCCCGCGTCTCCAAGTTTAGAACGAACCATGTATGGTAATGGTTGTATATTGGAGGTAGTATAGCATCAGTATAGCTCTCTTCTCGGGCTTACTCCGTGGCTAGTATACTATGTATAATCGACAATGCCTCCGTCAGGACGTCAGAACGTCAGAACAGAGATGAAGCCGCAAACGCGACACGTTATGAAGGAGAGTGACAAATTCTCCGTCGCCATTGTTACCCAATATCTATGTTTCTAACTTGATCAACCATTCATGAGCATAAAAAATGAATCTAAGCGCGACGGCGATTTGTATCGGAGCTGGCTATTCGGTACCGAACTTTCTCTGCACCAACTTGCGTCAGGTCTTAGGGCTGTTACAATCTCCCGGTAACACGAGCACGACAAAGACGACAAATCGGGACGGTCGAATAGACGATCATAGGAGAGAAATTCGGATAAAAACAGTTGGAGAGACGGTAGGATTCATGTTGCTCGACGGCGCAGCCCTCTTTGGAATCGGAGCCGACATCGAAACACATCTAACAAGATGTCGATTAAGCGCCCGGACTAGAAAGAGCACGCATACTTGGGTAGGTAGAGTATAACCTTTCTCGATCGCAAGGTCTCGTTCTATCTGCGAGAAAGATGAAAGTGACATGTAATTGGACTATCGATCTATCTGAACCTTGAATGCTGCGGGCAATATAACGAGGCTGGGCGGGGAGAAGGTACAACCAATGTCTATTCGTGAATGCAGTTCCTGCCATTCGTGCTATTTACTATTTGCTATTTGCTATTTGCTATTGCTATGGATTGCATTGCTATTTGGACGTGGCCCCCCGGACCCGGAAAGGCGTGTGTAACTCGACCCCCATGCACAACAGCCGAACGGAAACGCTAAAAATAGCTATTTATAGCACTATGCCGTAAAGCTCCACTCAGGTCTCCGCCAATTCCTCACCTTGCTGCCTCTTCTGGCCAATTAGCCCACGACTTGCTCCACCAATGTGGGCTAATGCGAGCTAATATGGGCTAATTTGTCACGGATCCATCATAATTAGCCCGAATTACTGACCGAGCTAGAGTAACTCGAAGCAGTTCCAGTGATTGGAGTGACATAGTGGCATAATTTACCCCCCTTCTTTACCCCCTTGAGGGATCTTCCTTGCTTCCTACGACCCGGGAACCTTGAATGGAGTGTTCAAAGTTCCCGGCTATAATCACATGGGAATTAATAGGGTTGATAGGGTTAATAGGGAACCGGCATCTTGTTTGTTGCAGTTTGTGGTATGTTTTAATCTTTTCATGTTATTGTACGCTGTTAATGCGGCTAGTATTGTGGATTCTGTGGATTGTTAGCACCGGAGAGGACGAACACGATGTCACTGTCTTTATGCCATTAGCTGACTAGGTCTGACAATGGAGAAAAAATTCGAGAAAAGTGTTTCGAAACTCAACAGAGAACCTGATCTACGGTCTACCTGTTCTGCTCTGCTCGGCCGAGTAGGAATCGTTACCGTCAATTTCTTTGTTACTGGAACTTGGATCGTTGCTTATTAGGATTATTACATACATACCGCCTTGTACCTGCAGTCTGCAATCTGTACTGTAGTCTGTGAGTTGCATGATCACGATTCCCCCCCAGTTCGAAGAAAAGACACGCGCTCTCACGTTGTGCAACACCCAACATTCCAACACACGAGCTTCCAGAAGAGCGCTGGAAGGTCCAAATCCAAGATGATGACATCCCAGCTTTCCTTTGCAGGCGATTATCAATATCTGACAGAGCGTCTGAAGGAGTAAGAAAGACAAAAGGGCGAGTCTCAACCACTTCTGAGTCGTTCGCTTGACAATGTGCCTACGTAATACGGCCTGCCCTGAACCTGAAGGAATACCGCGCCATGTAAGTCTCCTGCATTGGGCTAATTAATTCCATCCTATTTACTATTTCGTCCATACAGATTTTATCTTCATGATCTTAGGGCCGATTGGCGTCTCCTCCCATCTCGATGAAGATAATGCTCTTATCAAGGAAATTAATGCTACCTAAGACTTGAGCATTGCATCTTGTACTTTCTAGACTTTCAGCTTCGTCCGTAGGAAGCCCATTGTCATAATTAACATGCGATTGGCATTAAACTATTGCTTGGTAACAGCGAAGACATTGTAGGTATGTAGGTAGGGCAAATAAGGAAACCGGACAGCTACCGGGATAGAATCCATGGCTCGTTCTAGCTCTTCTGTATTGGAACTATGGATCTTCTAGCGGAGAATTACAAGGCAGATTCCATGTCGACCCCTTATTCTAGTATACCCAGATATTCAGGGGGGATAATTAGTTCGTATCTGGGGCCATCCTGCCATCGTCCCGCCCTTACGGTAGGAAACATCGCGAACCATACTCTTGGCCTCCGGTATCAAGCGCCGAGCCACAGCGGGAGCCACTACGGGGGCCGGGATTCTTTCAATGCCAAGCCAGCTTCGAATTATCCTGGCGGTTCGGGTCGATCCACCTTAGTATGTAGAAATGCCACGAGCGGCGGCACCGAAATCTCACAATTTCCATTATCAAACTGGCTATGTGTAAGATCGCATACCAGGATACGAAACCTCAACGTCGCAATATCGATAAAAATGTTTTCAAAAGATACCAGGTAAGGAGATCGGGTCCGGAGCTCCGGAACCGATCGCACACAGCCTAGCCAGCCCTTCTTGTCTTCTTGCCTTTTTTTTTTCTCTTCCACTGCCCGCCCCCAAACTTAGACATGATGGATATGCACGTAAATGTTACATATTCCCCGGCGAGATGGTTTCCTTTAGCGATTTCTTACGGGTAGCGCTACTACGTTGCTCTCTACCTAGTTGGTGTGATACCCAGGATCCAAGGATGGTGTTTGTGCCACGTTCTGCCCTACGAGTCCGCAGCAGGCAAAGCGTGGAGGTAATGTAACTTGGGAAAATAGCTCTACGGTTAGACGGTCTGGAAATCTGGATGGTCAGACGAAGAGATAATAGAGTATAGGGCTGGATAGGTGCACAGCATAACAGCACAACACAAATTCCCCCGTCGACGGCAATCCAACGGCACATCCCGTTACTATCCGAGTAGACGACGCCCGCATCAGTCCCTTTTTGATATAGTGTGTATGACATGCAGTCACTAATTCCGCCCTTCATTCCCTCCCATTTCCTTAATCGGTTCGCCGCCTTTTCATTTCTCTAGCTTCTTACTCGCTGATGACGTCGCAGTATTGAGTCCATGCAGGTCACCGTCACATTCTGATTACCACCACCTCTAGCTAAAGCGAAGTGTGTCTCTTACAAATTTTCCATTGTGACCTTTTTACCCCAATTTGTATGTACACGATCTGTCGATGTTATCGAAGGAGGGCAAAACATGAAGATCGTCGGGGGAAAAAAAGGAAGGGGAAAAGTCTTTGGCTTGTCCTCCCCCTCCAAAAGCAATGGCACATGTCATCCACCTACGTAAGGAGAATAAAACAAATGCAATAAAATTTCAAATACCTCACATACTTAGCACGGGATGCGCTCCAGTATTACGCCTAAGGCTAGCAGGATAGCGGTCACGACCTACACACCAATGCACCCTCGCACCACACACCCTTTCCTGCTGGGTTGCTACTAAGTATAGCACATGCAGGCTCTCGCGCACATGGCGACCATGTTATAGAACATTTCTAGAATACGTAGATGGTCGCTTAGTGTTGATTAGTTTGTCTTGCCTAACCGCTCACCCACTTCCCAAGAGTTTGGGTGGAGCAGACGACTTGCATTGCAGAAAACATGTGCCGTTCAACCACATGGCAGTGGATAGTTGCACTGGACTTAGTACAGTATCATTTTATTATCATCGAAAGCAACATGTATTTTTCTCCTTATGGACGACGAAGTAGGTACAAGGGGTTGTTCCCCAACCTGAACGCCATGCTAATGCTGCCAAATTTGGCCCCTTCCTTAACTGCTCTCTGCATGCCGTTGTAAGGGGGACCGGGCAAATACCCCGGAGAAAAAAAAATACATCATGGACAAAAAGAAACATGCCTGGTGCCTGAGCCCTCATGCGGAAATGGCGCAGTATGCAAGATGGTGACGAAAGTAGCTCATGCCTACTAGGTACTAGGTACCTTAGCCACCTGCGCCAAATGTCCGAAGCTCAACCAAAACCCCCTTGCCCAGGTTATTCGTTGGCAGACGGTGTTCCGGCGGATGGACCGACAGACGTCGCACCGAAAGAACCAAAGCCTCCGTGATCAGCGCCACCGTTGGCCGTAGTGATCGTGCCATTCAAGAGAGGGCATTTACTAAATCGAAAGAGTTAGCACACAGCACTAATTGCTAGATAATGTGCAGATAAGCTCAAGGAGACAAGCCAGTAAGTATTCTAGGATGCTCTAAAGTAGAGCGGCTGGGACAAGCAACAGTACAGGTCCAGCTCGGCTCAGGTTATAGTTTTATCCTCGGTGTAGGGTGAATGAACTTAAAAGGAACAATGGTGCCAGTACCTCTTGTTTGTCTTGATGTGTCCCACCTGTCCGCAGTTCGCACACTTGCGGGTTGTGCCCGCGGTGGACTTGTCAGCGCCAGCTGGAGGAGATGCACCAGCGTTGGCATCAGCGTTGGCGCTGCCCTTCTTTCGCTTGCCTTTGCCCTGCTTCTCACGGATTTGGCGGCGATCCTGATTCTTGAGTAGTCGAGAAAGCTCCTTTTCAACGCTGTGAAGATGTTAGCACATATTGCGAGATATTGTATCCTCTTTACTGACAGCTTCTGTCTCTCGCGATTCTCGTCGGCATCGCCCGTTGGCTGCAAGCTATAGACACTAGAGAAAATGTGAGTTAGTACGATTGTAGCGCTGTGGTTTACGACCCATTGAATGAACTCACTCTCTGTTCTTATCTTCGATTTCTCTACGTTGCTTGAGGTAATTGCGAATCACCACTGGGTCGTTGAGAATCACTGTCTCCGTAATGATCTCGCCCGCCTCGTTTAACTTCTTACGAGTGATCTTGAGCTTCTTCTTCTTGCCAGAACGACTCGCCGTGCTAAGACGACTAAACTGGCTTCGGCCGTCGTCCATGGGTGCAGGAGTAGCATCAGGTTGTCTCGAGTCAAAGCGATCATCTTCATTAGTCGTGTCAAGAACATCTGTGTCTTCGTGAGTAGTCGGGTCGCTAAGCGTAATTTTCTGTCGCTTCCAGATATCTTCAATGCCTTTGTTGTACATGTCCTGCTGCTTCTTAACGTTGTACGAATGACCGCCGTTCGCCTTACGTTCGCGTTCAATCGCATCCGTAGAAGTGGCCATAGGACCTTGGACAGCATTGATATAACCGCCCTTCATAGATGTTTTGATGAAACTAAATCCTAAGCCCTGGCCAGTAGGATCACCCTCACCATGAAGGGCTACCATGGCCTTGCCTGCACTGGCGTCGATGAAGTTTTTGGTTAGCTCCCAAGGGGCCATCCTAGCGACCAACGGCTCTTCGACACCATCGTCGTCGTCGAGTTTATCCTTGGGGTCGTAACCAGCGTTCACCAACAGCTGCTGTCCTATCTGCATGGCTTCGATGAGGCAGGCGTCCTCCGGCTTGATCATGGATCGTATGGCAGACTCGTCCATCAATGTCTGATCTTTTGGCAACACCCACGTCTTCTTCTCCCTGTGATACGTGAGGAATTCCTTCATCTTCTGTCGATTTTGGGGGTCCTGTTTCTCAAAGACGTGGGGTGTGATCTCCGCAAGACCAACGTCTTGCGTCTCCTTCTTCTTCATCATACGATAGGCAATCATCTTAAGACGATTCTTCGACGTATTCGTGACCCTTCTAGCATGAGGGCCAGGAACTTCCAACGAAGGGAAAGTCTGGCCTACCGTGTACACGTGGTCGATCTTGCGAAGGAAGAACTTCGGGCCCTCAAGGGAACTCGTGGTGATTCCGAGGAGAAAATCGGTCGGTCTTGGCTCATGTTTGAAGATAGGAGCACGGTACATCTCGTTGTGCAAGGTCGGAACCATCTCTCCAGGATCTACGGTTCCAAAGATAGCGAAGGGAGATCTATCCTCAGGTAGTAGCGCATGGCCTTCACCAAGATCGAGCTTTGGCATCTTATCCTCATCGTTACGATCTTTGCGGCGGTAGTAGTTGATAACGCGACTACCCATTCCAAAGTTCGACATCATAATAGGAAATTCTTCGCAGTACTCGAAGAGAACAGCCGTGGAGTTATCATTCAAACTGAGGTCTCGAGTCGTCTTAAATATTTCCTGGTTACTTCGACCCTTGGTCTCCTTACGCCTGATTCTAGCAGGCTTACGCACTCCGATAGCATGCTTGACAATCTTCTCGAGGTCAAATCTCTTTCGGTGGTGCTCCCAAGGCTTCCCCTGAACCTTCGTTCGGTAGAAGGGGAACGTGAGCTTGAGGGCGGGGAGACTGTGCTCGACAGCGAGATTGGAAAGAGTAGCTCGGACTTTGCTCTTATGGTTTACCTTAAGAGCATCGTATTCGCTATCGTTGGACATGTTAAAGTGATGCAAGACATCCCTTCTCTGCTGGCCGTTTGCCATCCGCACGGTCTTCTCCTCATGCCTAAGACGCTTGGGTGGCCGCCGTGAGTCATCGTCGACAGCGAGTAAGAGATAGGGATCAGATTCATCGAGTCTGACGCGTTTACCATAAAAACGTGTCGCTCTCAGGTAATCATCCGAAGGGAAGGTATCAAACATCGGAATCTCTGGGAGGCTGGGCTTGAACTTGACGAGTTCCTGTGCCTGTTCCAACTCCTTAAATTCTTTGTCCCAATCATCCATCTCTTCGTCGTGAACTTTAGCGGGTGTGGTCAAGGTGCTAGAAAGTGCGGAAGGATCCCATTCTACACAGATCGCGGTGAACTCGTCCATGGTGTAACCCCCAACGAGCGATTCGCCCGATTCCGAATTATCCGAGTCATCTTCTGTAGCTTCCAGACCCCAGTCATCATCGCCGTTAGTACTTCCCGCTGATGTGGTGACAGGAAGCTTGAACAGTTTGGCAGAGTCGGCCTCGAGTTCCAGGTCAAGCTTGGTGGGTATAAACTCAGGCGGATCTCTGTCCTTGTGGGGAGGCTGCTTGTACATGTACTCGGCAGGCCACGCGGGGAAAAGCTTGTTGAGGTAAAGTGTCTTGTACTTCTTGAAGTGAGGAAACTTCTGCGCTAAGAGCTCATCCTTATTCTCCGGAGCCTTCTGGCCCGATAAATCTTCCTTGCTCACCTGGTTTATCCATTTGTCGATGGATGGGGTGTATGTTGGAAAGTTAAGCTGCTGTCTCTCCTCAAAGGACATGTTATTCCAAACATCATCCGAGACTTCGCCATCTTCCAATACCTTGGGCTCGACCTTGGGTGCAGGTAATGGAACTGACACAGTTGAGGTGCTAGGCATAGTCAGGCCACCAGACACAATAAGGCCAGTAGGCATAGTTAAGCCCGCGGACAGTCGGCTTGCCGAAGTTTCGACAGCAATGGGCGAAGATGGGAGAATGTCGTGTTCATCGGAACCGAATAGATCCTCCAAGCTCTCCATATTGTCGGTATTATGGCTGGTGCCCTCATCCTCTGTGAGGCCCGGAACCTGGGAGATACCCGCGTCCACACCGGCATCGGAGCCAAGGTCTGAGAGGTCGCTATCACTAATATCCTCAAAGTCGATGGCATCGTCTGCTTTGCCGGTTTGATCAATCTCTTTGTTAAGGAAGGTGGCAAATTCCTTAGGTACTCCCATTCCAGTGCCAGCCCCGGACTCACCATGGCCGCCGGTTAAACCCTGAATGAGTTTATCGTCTTCCTCCTCCTGAAAGGCCCAATCGACATCTTGAAGAGCCTGTCCGTTATCCTGATCAAAATCGGATTCCTCTTCCTTAATAGCGACTCCGGAATTGTCAGGATCTGCAGGGCTCTGGCCGAGGCCCAGCTCGTCGAAAAGAAAGGTATCCATCGTACAACACGTGATCGGGCGGCCTGAGGAAGGCTGGAGTATTTAAAAGACTTGTTAGTATTGTTGTGGACGTTCGCAAACGTGAAACAGCCAGTTTGGCTACTTCATGCCAATCGAAGGAAATGGGGATCACGATTTGGATATCATCGGAAACAAGTGCGAAAAGCGGGGTGCATATAGCGAAGCCCACGCGACTGAAGAATTCAATAGAAAATGTTGTTCTGATGAAGTGGAAAGTGAAGCATTTGGATTGAAGATGGAAAAGTTTAAGATTTGGTGGCGCGAAGTTGGCCAGGCGGAAGTCGCGTTAAAGTGGTAACCAGGTGAGATGTACACCTTACCTAGTAGCGCCGCCCAGCGGGGTACATGGGGGATGAACTTGCTTACCTAGATATACGCCCGGGCGTGTATTTAATAGACTTTGCTCCGTGCCAATGGATTTGATAAAAGTTGCGGATAAATAGTGAAATTGGGTTTCTAATGAAATAACGATGAAAAAGCAGCGCGAAAATATCACGTTGTGGTAATGTAGAATAAAACGATCGAAAAGGTTGATTGAATGTTTGGAATTGGATCAGCGAAAGAAAGTTGTTATATCTACGGTGAGGGGTGAAATAAGAAATTGAAAGGTGGAAGATAACATACATGTAGAGTTGGTATTATAGGTACCTAGGTATCTACTGATTACAGGTCTGTAGGTCACGGGATATGCTCAGGGTCTTGCTTACATAATGTTCCGAAACGGAGCCTACTGTGGCTGGGTGGATCACTGTGCAACCTTGAATTACGGATCTGTGGCTGTGTGGCGTGCAGGGATGTGGCTCAATGCATAGTACTGTCCGTGGGGGTAGTTGGGGGTTCTGGGGTTGTGACTTTTCTAGGCTCGGCACCAAATTCTTCGAACAGAGGAATTGTCAAATCAATTCAAATCAAATGCTGTGGAACGATTCTTTTCTAACTCCATTCAGTATTTCCTAGCGTCTTCTATTGATGAGCAGGAAAAGAGACCTTTGCGAATCTTTTACACGTACCTGCCTCCTATCAATAACATTGATATCTATTATTATGGCTGCTCGTTTCGAATGTTGCTTTTGCCGATTAAGATACTGTGGTTTGTACTCTCATCTATCATCAAGAAGCAGATTCACGTTGGTTGGAAAGATAGTACTTCATTTTGGCCGGTCGAAAGTTAGAAGCTTCCTTCTTAAACGACTTGCCAAGATTCGACCTTTCACCTTCACTTTCTCCTATTTAAATCAGATTTCTAGCCTATCTTCTGCTCCTCTGTATATCACGAGGAGTGCCAGAGTCGTACCCGCCCCGCAGTATCAACCTTGTATTCATGGGGAACCCAAGACCGGAGCCGTACTGGGGAATGACTCTCAAGCCATGGACTAAGAGAGTACCTACACCTCTGTCCGCACCATCTCTAGGAATCCTGCATTAGACAGTCAGCGCGACATCGACTGAGCAATATCATCTCGGGATGCTTAGTCCAATACGTGCAACAGTAGCAATTTATCGACGATACCTACAACCCTTAAACTATGAAGGACTGCATATTCGGCTGTAGCTTACCGGAGTCATGTGGATAGAAAGCATTGGTACCAAATCACTGTCAACCACGTATGTAACGGAACCATAAAAAGTCTTCACGATATCACTGCTACCTCGGGGATTTTAATCGTAAGTTTAACTAGCAGGCTGAGGAGTTTGAGTAGCTTCTTGCGCTTAAGCTGAATCTTCCCCTTACCCCCTTTCTAGCCTAACTATCTACGATACTAATCTTCTGGCTATGTCTTCCTAAACGGCTCCAAGACGCTGTTTTTTTTTTAAAAAAAAAAAGTCCCCTAAATACATTATTAACGTTTAGAGCTACGATAATTACCGTTCTCGGGGCAATTGATAAAAATTTTCCTTAGAAAACACATTTATTCCTACCGACAAGTCACCCCCTATTAGAGGAAGCGTCACAAAGTCACGATCCCATCCCCCCCAACATGTAAGTTGGGGGTCAGGCTCCAGTATAGTTACCAGCTCTAACCCTCATGGTTTAAAACAAGATATGCACGGATCCGAATGTCCCACTAGTGGCGTTAGTTTAGAAAAGCCTTTGTTACCACTCGTTAATGATAACCGCTTCTGCATGCTTTGTCCCGAAGAGGTGGAACGCGAGGATACTACGTAGTATAATTTCTTGCTCGACTATTTTCGTCTTACTCGGTCTGCTAGGTATGTACAAGGGAGCCTCGTCACCGATATACGAAAAAACACGATGATGTTATCCTGACGACAGCGGCTTAGGAAAGGGATAAGCAAAAAGCAATGGAAACCCAGTTACAGTAACTCTTCAATACTCGCTTGACGGCCTTTCCAATATGACGCAACACACGAAACTCGTCCTGTAGGGGCCGTTACATCGTGATCCGCGCTTTCGATGCAGGTGGTCCGTCGACTCCAGGGCTGTGCGTGCATGAGAGCCCAACTAGCGTAAGTTATAGTATACCGAAGTATACCGAACTTAACTAGTGGGTCACGGGCTACATCCCGCTCTCGGCGTCTCCTAGTCCTGGTCTAACGATGTAAGGCGCCGAGCGTGTATAAGATAGCCCAATATATATACTTAACCCTTTGCCGAACCCCTCCTGAGGACTTCGATCCATTGAGAAACACTGGATTGGGGATCTATAGATCTTAGAGAACTTGTACGGTGGCTGAACCTCATAGAATTGATATCAAAATATAGGTCGAAGGATTAGAAGTAAGGAAACATCACAATGGCTGTACAACCATCCAAGGATATCCTCCGCGATCAGTTCGTGGGAAAGACGCTGAACGATGTCGTTACTCCGCAAGTCGTGTTAGACCTGGCCAAAGTTGAGGCCAACTGCAACTTGATGCTCGAGGCTGCGGAAAGGCTACAGCTTAGCTGGCGGGCACATATCAAAACCCATAAGGTAATACCTATCCGTCATATTACCATCTCATATCCCAAGCAGAGAATAATACTGACTTAAAATCACAACCCGCAGACGGAGGAACTCACGAGACTCCAAGTAGGAGACAAGAGCTCGTCCCCGGTGAACCTAATAGTGTCCACCATAATCGAAGCTGAGAAGCTTATCCCCTTACTCAAGGAGTACCAGCAAAACGGGCGAAAGGTTAACGTGAGCGGAACCCCCACTCCCCACCCCTTTCCCAATCTAACACCGCCACAGGTCCTCTACTCCTTCCCCCTCTACCAATCCTGCATCCCGCGCCTCGCCGCCGTCTCCGCCGCCCTAGGCGCGGGTGCGCTGTCCGTAATGGTCGACCACGTAGACCAAGTCCCTTACCTATCCACGCTCACCACCAGCGGCGGACACCCACCCCTCGTCTTCCTAAAAGTCGACGTAGGCGGCCACCGCGCGGGCGTAATCCCCGACACCCCAGCATGCAGCGCCCTAATCTCCGCGCTCCTCGCATCAGAGACAGCCGGAACCTCAATCCTCCTCGGCGTATACAGCCACGCAGGACACTCCTACGCCTCGCGCAAAGACTGGGAAGCGATGAACTACCTGAGCCAAGAATTCGAAGGGCTGCGGCGCGTCGCGGAGCAGGTAAAGGAGAAGCGGGCACCGGGGCGGGATCCGCTAGTCCTGAGTGTGGGTGCTACACCGACGGCGACAACGATCCAGCACCCGGATTTAGTAGAGACAAACGGTGTCACCACCAACGGCACTGCTACAAACGGCACTCCTGCTACTAACGGCACCAGCCACCCAAACATCCTAACCCCCGTCCCAACAACACACCTCAAATCCCTTCTCAAAAGCCTCAAAACCTCCAACTTCACCCTCGAAGTGCACGCAGGCGTCTACCCCACGCTCGACATCCAACAGCTCTGCGCGCACGCGCGGGACAGCGCCTCGCTTAACGCATCCTACATCGGCATAACCGTGCTCGCAGAAATCTGTTCCTTATACCCGTCACGCTCACCAAACTCCTCCACCGAGGCGCTAGTAAACGCCGGCTGCATCGCCATAGGCCGGGAGCCGGTGGCGGATCTGGGGGCCGTGAAGGGGGAATCGTATGTAGGCTGGGGCGTGCTGATGCCATGGGGTGAGCTGTCCGGACTACCCGCGCCGGGGAGGGAGTTTCCGACGAAGCACGAGGGGTGGGAAGTAGCGAGCCTGTCGCAGGAGCACGGGATCCTGCGGTGGGCGGGGAAGGCGGAGGACGAGGTAGCGTTGCGTGTGGGGCAGCGCGTGCGCGTGTGGCCGAATCACTCGTGTATCACAGGGGCTGCGCATGCTTATTATCTCGTTGTCGATTCGCGGAATCAGGGGAGGGAGGACGAGATTGTGGATGTGTGGGTGAGGTGGAATGGGTGGTGATTTCTCTAGCTGTTTACCGGAGATAAACCCATATACATACCTATACACCTATAGAAAAGAGAAGAAAAGATAAAAGAAGAGAAAACGGATAGGGACGGGGTGGGGGACGGGGTAAAGGCGAGACGATTTGGATGCTTAAAACATTTTCTAGCTCTCCCGGACATTATTAGATGAAAAATTCAGACTCTTGATTTTTTTTTCGTAGTTACAGAAAAAAAAAGCTATCCCCTGTTCCTATTTTTTCTGTCCCTCTAAAAGAACAATCGTGCCTAAGCCTACCTGCCTGCGTTGGCTATCTACCGACTCCGGACGCCTAGGGGGAGATACGTGTAGCTCCGCCTCGATCAAAGTGAATTCGCAACGGGGGTTGGAGGAAAGTTCCGTAGAACGGTTAGGCGATCATAACGATTACTTACATCGCTTATCAACGATGCCGACGCCATTTTCCTCATACTCCTTGCGCGAGATCCACATCTGGTGGAATGTACCTAAACTTGCTAGAATGCTTCCTCCTATCCAAGCACCAAAGCGCCTCTCGGTAGTTAGACCAGCAGCGTGAATCTTAACCTTCATACCAGGATACATGATCGACAACTCCTGGTTAAGACGGTCATTGAATCCATTTAGCAGACTTGAACCTCCTGTCACCACAATGTTGCCCAGGAGGTTAGGTCGTAAGTCCACATCTACCGCATTTACAGCGGCCTTAATCAGCTCGGGGATTGTCTGGGCCTTGGTGACAGTCTCGCCCGTCGGTAATGCGGCCGCCTCATCCCACATGCCCTCCGAGACTCTGTATCGTTGCTCTCTCCACATCTGGTTCGAACCGTTCGGCATCTCGAATACGCGGCCGGGCTGTGTCTTAGATAACTCTTCATTGTTAAGGAATTTACCGGGACCTCGCCAGACTTCGACGACCGATTCTTTGAACTCGGTTAAAAGGCGCTCTTCTTCGTAAGTTCGGAAAGACTGGTGGAGATCGAAGCCGAACTTGCGCAGCGTAGCCTGGGCAGCAGCGCCTGCGTCTACGGGAGTCTTGTTTTCTATCATGTAAGACGGGATGACGTCGATTTTCGGGTCGCTGTTTTCCCATAGATGTCGGACTTGTTGCGATAGCCACATGCCTCCGATTGGAGACTTCTGGATAGAGCGCTTCAAGATCATGCCGTCGTGAACAGCGGTGACACTCGTATTCGCACCTCCTACATCAAGCACCAATGCCGAGGCCTTGCCAGCCGCAAAAGCAGCGCACACCGGTGTTCTCGATAACCAGAATGCAGGACATCCCCAGTTCTCCATAGCGATTTCAATAGCCTTCTCTCGCGACTTCCCGACATTCCACGGCGCTTCAGTCATCAATAGAGGATTCTCAGCCAATGGTTTCTCCTGTTCCTCTGCATCTTCCATCGCGATATCTCCCTCGCCATCTTCAAAAGGATCGTTAAGCCCATTCTTACTGGGTGGCGTAGCTTTCTCGCCCTGTAGACGCTTGATGAGGACGTGCTCCCACATCTTAGTGGCAGTATCCCAATCCTCAACTATGCTTTCGGTGCGCGACATGTAGTTCTTTACCTCAAAGCCGGCACGGGGGACTAGGTACTCATCACCGAAGACCTCGTGGCTGGTGGCACCGTCGCCTTCGCCGGATTTGAAACTGCCATAGAAAGAGGGTATGACTGATTTGGGAACATCTTCGCCGGCGAAACCTGCTCGGGTGTGGCAGTAACCGGCATCGAGGACGAGGGCTGATACTTCATCTAGTGGGCGCGTTAGTATAAAGCAAGTAATCAGTATAGACTGAGCTGGAGCTGGAGCTGGAGTCTAAAGCTCAAGACAAGGCTTGCAACTTACCACCGCCGTAAACATCGAGGGGTTGTTGAGAATTGGGAAGTGGTTGTTGAGCCATGATGTCAATCCCCAATGGTAAGGGCGGACGAAGGTGGTGGTGGGATGAAGGTTGGTAGGAATTGGGAATTGGCGAGTGCAATCTGAGAGCGACCTCTATTTTTTGGTTGGTCGCGTTCCAGCTGAAGCTTCTCTTTCCTCCAGTCGCGCCTGTGGCTGGTGATGCGGGCGGTACCTGCCTATATCTTGTGGCTGGGCGGCTGGGGTAAGTAGAAGGGAAGGGTCCACTAAAAAGACTCCCGGCGCTTTGGTCGCTAATACGCAATACGTAATGTGAACTTTTGAACTATAAACTTCCAAAGTTGATAAAGCTCCTACGCGACAGTGGCGACAATTGAAAGAGTATAAATCACGAGCAATGATCCAAATCTATAGGATATGTTATAGCTGGATTAATCGGGAATTTTTATGATAAAAATCTAGGTATACCAGCAAAGATGTCTCTCATTTCGGACGAGGAAGACTTCCTCTCAGATGATCAGTCCGACCTATCCTCTTCTTCTAGCGATGAATTATTACCACCACCTCCGCTGCAACAGAATTACTTCGCTCCTCCATTCTATGGGAGACCTCCAACACCCTTACCCCCATCGCCATCCTTAACATCGTTGCTCCGCCCATCACGACCTACCACACCCGATGCTTCGGACGACGACCTTGAGCCGGTGCCGCGCGCATCCCCGAAGGTGCCCACGTACGAGTATTACGGCTTCGTCTTATATCTCTTCTCGTCCTTGACTTTCCTCATCTACCTGCTATGGTCCTATCTACCGTCTCCGTTTCTGCACGCATTGGGCATCTACTACTACCCTAATAGGTGGTGGGCGTTGGCCATTCCGTCATTCCTAGTCATGCTTATAGTATACATCTACGTTGCACTCGCGGCTTACAATACGGAGATTCTGACTCTCCCTCTGACTTCGCTGGAGACTATCGTAGATGAGGCAGCTAAGATCGCGACGATCGATAGTAAGGGCAGGATACGGCTAGGCGAATCTAAGAAACCCATCCCGGAAGAGAAGGCTAAGCAACTCGATTGGAAGAATATCTGGAACGAAGGCACGGATGCCGTTATGGATGTGCCCCTTGCCGGCGTATGCGAAGTCTTATATGGTGATTTGGAGGATTCGGAGGACGACGAGCAATTCGAAACACATTGATTTCTACATTGTAGCGACATTAGATATTATGGACAGCGACTTGAATTATTATTGAAGCGTAAAGAACACCTTTCTAGCTATCAGCTCAGTTGAAGCAAGCGAATTTGGCAAAGTCTCTGGTCAAGTCTCAGTCACCCAGGCCATAGGCTTGAGGCCGGTATGAATATCCCGGATGAAAGGTTTCGCAGTCTTGGCGTTTGATACATACAAGATAACCAAGTGAAAGAAGGCTACAGGTTGGGCTCAACGCTTCACCAATCGACGACACAAGTAGCACATCCCGGAATATCATCAACAGCCCTCACCTCATCTTTATCATCAAACACCCCCTGTGTCTCCAACAAGCCATCCGGAAGACTGAAATCAATATTTTCCACCGCTCGGTCCGCCGCCCCATAATAAACCTCGGGATTCTCCTCCGGGTAGAACAAGTAACTGCGCAGATCGCTCAAGGCCTTGATCTGCATGGCGTTCGCCGCCATCAGTTTCGTGAGCAGCGCATCGGCAACGGCACCCTGCGTGGCATTTAGGGCATTATTATCAGCAGCCCGCTTGCTCGCGTCGACATAATGCTTGCCGATACGGCCGCGGTCGGTGTTTAGGTTTGCTTCCATGAGGTTGAGGGAGAGGGCGAGCTTGGCCCAGGTTGGGGTTAGAGCGGCGAGGGTAGTGGTGGCGGAGAGTGAGAAAAGGAGCAAAGAGCAGCGCATTTTGAATCGCGAGTTTCGGTCTTTGGCGAGGTTATGTTTGATACGAAGATGCTGGTAGAGATCAAACTTCCACTTCGGTATCTTAAGAAGTCTATATCGGATTTATAACTAACGCGACTCTGCCGTCTTTCTCGAATAGGAGAACACGACCTTTAGTTTACTAGGTATATCTCACGGCGACATAAACGATTCCGAGCCGCTTTTGACCGTAACCTTGGAAGAATTTTGAATTCTCATGAGCCTCAGAGTCCGTTTAGATTCTAGGCTAAATTCCCACACCTTTTTGATATACGTGGTGTGTAAACCATCTGCAGGGCAGGATAAATACGTTCGACGTGTTACTAAGCCGGGAGCCATCATCCGTCTCCCAAGAAGAAAATCCTAGTCTACGTCATAAAGCGATCTATGAATATGAATTGCCGATTTGCCTAGAATACCACTCACGTATCTATTCAATTCCACGATCTGGGCCACATTCTACTCGAAGTAGGGTTGCTTCGAATCCCGCCTTGCAGATGTGGCTACGCTGCTACTACAGCGGTCGACTACTCGATTAGAATGGTTTACAACAGGCAAATAGAAACTTATTCTCCATATCCAAGCCGAATGAGGGCATCACAGTGCCGTCGTGCTGCCTTGTAGATAGACACTTCAATGACATACGTGTCGCTAGCCTAGATATGGTAATATGCTGATCGAGATAAGCTTATGTGGGATTTATATCGAGTTTACTCTATATCTATATAATGGCAAGTATCACGATGAAGGTAGATGCAGTATATTCTTGGGCTAATCTTCAGCTAGGTAGTAATTTTTCGAAGGCAAACTCCCATGAAATGTGTAAAGATTACCATATCTTGAACTAAAGATGTCGACAGTGTTCACCACTTTGTTATTAGATACCTATCCATATTAGATTGTGAATACTAATATCCAGTGCTTCAGGCACCTACACAGACCACCTCAGGCAGCCTGCCAGGCAAGTGTACCTATATAACCTCACCTTGGATACCCCATACGTAGATAGTTCTTACTTTTTACACACATTATCGATCTACCGGTCAAAGGTCAGAAGATTTCTCGCCGCTGACCATCCTACCAAACTTACTAGGTATTCTTGAAAACCTCCTGAACCTATCAATCAACCACCACGGCCTTTTCATAGATGGCAGACATGGCTAGATTCAGAAAAGACTATGATGATACCATCGAGGATGCCCTCGACCAAATCGAGTATCTTACAACAAAGTTCAACGACAAATTCGATAAACGAATGAAGGAGCTCGACCGGAGGCTCGAGGAGCAAACCGAGAAGTTTGAGGAACAAAATGAGAAGCTCAAGAAACAAATAAAGAAGTTCGACAAGATATTGGCGGCATTGGAAGCGATACGTATTGCACTCCCATCCAAAGAAGCCACGCCGCCCTCGATACCCGTCGAGTCACCTATAAACTCTTGTGTGTGCCACCACCAATCTAGCGACTCAACCAAATCACCGATAGACGCAGACCAGTTGAACAAGGTGAAGAAGTTCCGATCGGAGGTTAGTCGGCTACGGAGTGAGTTTGGAACGATGCGCATTGAAACCAATGAGGAACTGGAGGAAATTCGGAAGGATATAGACAAACAAAGCCAAGGAGCGAAACCATATCACTAGGTATGGATAGCTTCAATCGCTCTAGTTTCTTTGCAGCATAGCCTTAAGATCCCGCATACGTAGCAGGGATAGCTACCAGTGCTATAAGCCTACATAACCAACAAAAAGGGTTATGTCGACGAGGATTGTGAGGATATCAGGAGGTAGAGGATAACTCTGGGGAGATTGGAGGTGCTATAGATCCATAGCAACACCTAGATAGTTTCCTTATACGCAATACACGCAAATCTCGTACAATATCATGGTGTAAAGATGTTGAAATGTCTGGTAAATGATTTAACGAAAGGGTATGTAACTCGAGGTCGAGAATCGACCGATTATAGTTCCGTCATCGTGGTGAAAGCTCCTAAGATACCGTCTCGATACCCATACCGAGGATTACGAATACCCAAGTAGAAGTTAACATAACACAAAACACACCTTCCAAAAATCCTCAAAAAATCCTCGCCGACTCTTACCTCCCAGCGACCAAAAGACACAAGCCTCCGCTGACGAATCCCAGCATGAACAACGAGCAGCCGCACCACCCACATCCCACACCCCCACGCAAAACCAAGGCTCCGCAGCGCCTCCTCGGCGACCTCCCCAACGCCATCTAAGACAGAAAAAGGAAAGAAAAAGAAAAAAGCATATACCGCACATCCGCGGCGAAGCCAAGACATGTCTCTAGCAACCCCATCCGATTGGGCACAACCCCAAATCGGGAGGGCGCAGCTAAGCTCACCTAGGAAATGCCAAGACACGACCTGCATATAGGGCTGCAGGCTTGCATTTTTCCCTTTCAGCTGCCGTGCGCTGCAAGATCTGAGAAGGAGGGGGGAGGGGGAGGGGTGTATAGATCGATCGGATGGGATTGCCTAGGTAGGTAAATACTGTAATTGCGGGAATGGGGGAATGGTACAGAGTAGAGAATATATGTAGTATTAAAAATTAAGTAGTTAGATATGATGTAGTTATATTAGAATTAGATATTACTTTCCCTCGCTTGTTCTATACCTGTGATGTTCTATGCCTTACCCGCGACTGCTACTCTCATCGTTGCTCTTACTCTGTCTAAAATAACCTCTCCGTCTACGAGGCTCCGAAGTGGAAGGAACTACGCAATTAAGCTCCTTTTAAAGGAATGGGGTTACGATTACGGTGTGGTGCTGCTGCCGAAACGGAATTCCGTAACTGAACGTGTTAAGGGAAATCTAGCAATAGCTAACATCCGTACATTTTCTGTAGACCTTCCCTTCCGTTCCGTTTCCTTCCATGTTTCCTGCAAATGCGACCTAACAGACCTATGCCCCAAACGCCTGACCTAGAAGCCGATTTTCCATACACACCCGGGGAGTTAGTGGTGCCATTCGATGCCCACACATGCGAATGCTTCCCCTCTGTAATGAAAGTAGACCTTTGACAAATCCTTCCAAGACAGTGTGTGATGTCATGACTTCCATCCTAACACAAGTTCCTTTCCATGCAAAACCCTCCGAAATGCTTCCCTGGATAAGGACACCTCCGTCCTTATTCAATGCTATGATATGCCCCGATGTCGTGTTCTCATGTGATTTTCGTTAAAAAAACGCGACCAGGCGCAAAAAGGTGTGAAGAAAAAAGTATGGACAACGAATCGAAAGTTGAATATATACAACCGAACTGAATGCGAATTGATTTTATAGAGAATGGGGTATCATAAAAGAATAAACGGAAACGTCATAAGTGTCATGATCCTGTGAGGGTTAAGATATTTGCGCCCTTAGGATTGGTCATCCCGGCGTGCCTGTCCTGTGGCTCGAGCTCGAAGAAACTTGGAGATCGTACTGACGGGGACGACAGTTGTAGGTGCGGCTGAAGAACTGCCAGTCGAAGAGGCACCGGCCGAAGCTAATGCCGAACTCGAGGCCGAAGCCGAAGCAGAGCTTGAAGCCTGTCCTACCGACGCAGAGGCGACAGCTGAGGACTTGTGATGCTTACCACTTCCGGCTGCATCAATAGTAACGGTCTTCCATGCCGTGGTTGTCATAGCCGCTGCGGTAACAGTAACTGTTGTGACACCTCCCTGATGTCCCTTGTGCTTCTTCGTCGACGAGGAGGTAGGCTCGGCAGAAGCGCTTGTAGCCACAGCAGACGTTGCGGCGCTGCTTGGTCCCGCCAGCGGAGCGTGGGTACCGATACCCAGACCAGTAGCCTCGAACTGGGTAGCAAGCTGAGATGCGATACCGGCACTTTGGATCTTGTTGCTACCGGCATACTTGACCTGAGCGTTCTTAGCGCTGTTCTTGGCAGGGCCAAGTTCGATCTCGGCACACGAAGTATAGATCTCGGTCGTGTTCTGGGTGTCGGTGGTGATGAGAGGCCAGTCCCAAACCCACATGACGGTGTAAGTGCCAGAGTCGGGAAGATCTTCGGGAAGTTGGAAGTCGGTCTGGCAGTAAAGCTCCTCGAGTCCGTGCTCGTGGAAGCGAGAGGCGTAGATGGGAATGGCGAAGTTGTGTCCGGCATTCTGGTAACACTGACCGTCATCGTAGTAGTGCGTTCCGAGGAGCTTGCCCTTGCCGTTTCCACCCTTTCCATCGGCGGTCCACGAGTTGAGAACATCGTTAATGCCATCAGAGTCCTGGTGGTTAAGAGTGCCGTAGACGTTGACAATACCATCTCGGTACGGGCGAGGGGTCAGGTTCGGCTGGGTGACATGACCGTTCTCCTGATAAATCAGGGCAACGTAGTCGCCAGCAGCTGCGCTGAGACGGTTGACCTTGTCGTAAGCACCGGCCTTGGGCTTGCAGACAGCCGGGTTAGTCGCCGTGTTCAAGATCTTGTTCTGGGCCAAGCTGTCGTTAAAGTTGGGAGCTGATCGGTTCATGTAGCCGATGGGATAGCCCACGTTGCCAGTGAAGGCGCCGGTAAGGTCGATTTGGCGGACCTGCTCAACCCAGGAGTGGGCGTTGACTGCGGGCGCAGCAGCAGCGAGCAGGGTGACAGTCTTCAAAATGTTGCTCGACAACATCTTGGATAACGTAAATTGCAGTAATGGTTTATGAGACTCTGTCTGAAATTGACTTGGGTGTCTCGCCTGCGAGAATAGAATAGAAAAATAAGAATGCAAAGAGTTTGAAGTGGAAGAAAGGGTTCGATGGTTTTTTATGTCTTGGGAATTGAAGAGTATTGTTTCGATCAACAACCAGATTGTACCTAATAGTTCAATATCCGTGACGTGTTCTAGAAGGAAGTAGAATGATTAAGTGAAGTTTGACGACTTGCGTAAGAAGAGAAAGTACGAATTCGTATGTGGATTTCCTGATGGACGAAAAAGTACGGCGCACCGGCGCGTGGGAGACCAGGCCTTCTTGTCTAGTAGAAATAAGTAGAACTATCGTCTTTGTCGAGGGGCAATAATACGATGGTGTAAGAGAGTGAACAATTGTCCCCGTTGTCGAACAATCGACAAAGGCGAACAAGTAGACTTGAGTTGATGGTTTGAAGGTTTGATGGTTTGACGGACTGAAGTGAACAAAGAAGTGTGAGAAGGTGAACGAGGAAGTGAGAGACACCGTGAATTTTGTTGTGTGGGAAATATTTTGGTGATGGCGGCAAGGTGAGTGTTAGGACCCACCAACAAGGTGAACGAGTTGGCAAATGTCAGGTGACAGTGTCTACTGATCAGTCGTTCACCTTATCCATCCGTCGATATCGAGTATAGAGATAGAGTTCTGGCGTATTTTGTTATTTGTTCGTTGTCATTTAACCGTTGACTCTCGATAATCTTTAGTGACTCAAAGTTGTACTGTGGTAAGAACAGGAAGTTTTGAAAATGTTGACGCCTATGAGTCAAAAGTAATGATACCCTAACGTCGAAATCTAAGGTATCCAACTAGGGTTAGATAGCCGCTTGATTTTTCTAGGAGAATAAAGATCTATAGTATCGTTTCGTACAGTGTACTATGCAAGCTTCATGCACGACATGGGACTTCTGTTTCTGGAACACGGTGGCCCGCGGCCATATGATATAGCCAGACAGGCCATTAGCTATAATTTCTAGCCTCATCTTAACATGTGAGTATTCTAGCCACTCAGCTGTATTTTCTATGTAAAGAATTTTCTTGTCAGGTTGGAAAAATGGACATCGTGGAGCAATTCTGGTCTGGGTTTACGGAATTGGTGTTGACCAATGCTGATGACGAGATATACGATAGGTTGACATTGTTTGTAGCGGCTGCTTTGTTTGGGAAGATGATTCATGCGCGCCAGTAGACGGGAAGCAGATCTAATTCCTGTATAGGTACATAGTATAATACTGGGTGGATGTATGTTAGAATACTGGGCATGCAAATTTTGTAACATTCAAGTTGAAGAGTAGATGCGATTTACGTGAAAGGTTGGGTTGAAGTCCGGAGGTGGCAGGGATATTTGCAGTGTTTGTGGCACAAAGACCTCTTAGCGTGGATGTGTGGGTATGTACACAGTACAAGAGTATGAGATCTTCCCAGGGTTTGTTGAGGACTGATAACGATAAAGCTAAGTATTCTTTGCACAGTCCTACCGGCAAAAAGTGACTTTGTGGATATTAATTAGGAAATATTCGCGTGGTATCGAGAACTTCTTAAACCCAGCCCAGCCATTCGGCATCAATTCTCCATTCCCCACAGTACCTAAAGTACAGTCTCCTTGTTCCATTCTTCTCTATTCTTTGCATCATGACCAATCAAATGACGACTCCCACCCCGGTTTGCGACGAAATGCAACAGAACCTCATTGCATTGAGAGGCTACCAGAAATCCATGATGCGGCGGCTCGCCAGCTATAACCGTTTTGTTGTCCATGGTCTTTTCTTTGTGACCTAGGTAATCTTCAAATCTGAAGCACGCGAAACCACCACTAGCCGAGGCCACATGCTTTTTTATCGCTATCAAAGATGACGATAACAGGATTCCGTTGCTGTGGCTGTCGCATCGGTCTTTTAAAAGTCCAACCTGGCCGACACGGTTGGCTGCATTGCCGCCGTCTCGCCAAAGAATTTGAGCAAATATTTGCATTCTTCTTCTTCTCCCGCCGGCTTCCTCAATTTCGATACCGCCGATTGTCTCGTGTTCCTCTTATAAGCGCCGCATCTCGAAAATTGCAGGACTCTTTTTGCCCATATTGAAGCGGGAGTAGGCGATACTTAGGTACATACCCACTCGATCAATTGCGCGTGTAACCATTAAGCGCCGCATTAACTCTGAAACTACGATGATAGCCTCTGCTTGGCAAAGGGATAACCTTAACTTAAACACTCTTCCGGGAGTATAAAAGACCCATCATCTCATGTTTAAAACCAACATTCACGTCGAGCCACCAGGACACGGTATTATACTTTATACCGACAGGCAGATTCTACACATGACAGCCCCTGAAGTCCTCATACAAGGTTGAATGATTTGAGATATTTATTGAATATTCCAAGGTTACCTCAGTATGTACAATTCATTGTCTTTAACAATGGTTTGGTCTAGTTTGGTCTCCTCTTTGTCCTCTTACATACCACAGGCGATGCGAGGTCCAAAGCTGGAACTGTCATCTAAAGTCTCGTATCTGAGATAGACTGAGATAGCCCCGGGGAAGGTTCAGACGACTTCTCCAATATCTTAACCTCCACCGTTTCAAATCACCCTTGTCAGCCTTGTATCGTTGCGTAATCGATACAATCACCCTTGATAGTCGAGGAGTTGTCCACTCACTTTAAGTATTTAGTGCTCCGCGCTGCCAGGGGTAAAGAGATAACCACCATGTTGTCGATCCGCGCGGTAGCATCGAAGAAACAGCGAACTCCAATTGAGAAGTTTCAGCTTGCCAAGACCTCACGATGCCCTTGCCAAGAACTCGCTCTTGAAACATCAGATCTTACAACATAAGTTCATCTCCTCGTCTCGGTCGATCATTTAATCGACTAGTCCTATCCTGTTGTCGTAAGCCTAATCTACCATGTAACATATTGCACGCGAAGTTTTCGTCGTATGCACCGTTCCTCGTGTCTATACCTGGCTCCAAATTTTTCCAAAATCATCCTAGTCGAACAGTGAAACGATCTCACGATCCCAATCAACGAATACGGTTTCAATGTTCGTAATCACAATTAAATAACGCACTGAACTTTTAAGTGTAAATAGTTTGATATGTATTATATATCCGAAGCTCCCATGAACCACCAAAAGAGCCCGCGTTCCTTAAATCCCGTACCTAATTTTCCAAATCCCAAGCCGCCAGCGGAGCTTGATCAAAGCCCGGAAGAAACCTAAACAAAACCCATTCCAGCCAACGCCCCTTGACGAAACTCCGATATATAATACAAATACAAATACGAGTGAAAAAAATGAACCGATACCCTAATCCGTATAAAACTCCAAAATGGCCGGCGCCAATGTGTGTAGGTATTGTAATGAAGATCCGATGTAGTAGTAAAAGGAGTCGGCGATGTAAATGGCCGTAGTAGAAGTAGCAGTAAGAACGAGAGCCATAACCCCTCACAAAAACCCTTGTCCATCGTCCATAACCGCCGTCGGCGCATTTTGCTGTACGTGACCCTGTCGTTGGCGATGCGGATGCGGATGCGACAGCTTACGCATAGAGTGAACGGGGAAGACCGTGTCCCCAGCATCGACACTCTCTTCGCGCGAGCGCTTGCGTCCCGCAACCTGGGCACCACCGTGATGTTGCTGCGGATAAGAGTGCTGAGCAGACCTAAGGGGCGTCAACCCCGTCCCACTGCCAGTCCCCAAATTAAGCGAGAAGTCCTGCGTATCCACGTCCCAGGCAGCGTGGTTACCGCCCTGCCATGTCCAAGGGTCCGGAGGTACACCGGACGATGATTGTTGATGTGGGTGGTGAGTGTACTTATCCTCGCTCCAGTGCCCGGTGCTTGCGCCGCTAAGGCTATTATCGCGGGACTCGTGGCCGGAAAGGCTGTTCGGAGCCGTAGCCCATAGCGCCTCTCCTCCGCTGGCACTCGTCGTCGCGCTTGTCAGGCCGGCGGTGTCGGCCCAGGTGACGCCGTATCCGGGGTTCCAAGCTGTGCCGCCGACGTTCATTCCTCCCACTCCTACATCGAGACCTAGCCCCCCTGGCCCGTGTGGCGCAGCCCAGTCTGTTCCAGTCGGGTCCTCATAGGTCGAGACGGGAACCCCAAGACCGGAGAGGAACGGGTCTGTAGTGCTGTTGGTATTGTGATTTGTAGGCGCCGGTATCTCTGTCGACCCAGCCCCGCTTGTCCCGTCGGATATGAAACTGAGATGATGGTTTAAGGCGGAATCTGCGCTGCCGCTCTCGTCGAAGCTATGCGGGTACCCGCCCGTCAACGAAGCTGTGGGCGGTGGCGTTACTAGCCCATTGTCAAACCCATCTAGTAGATCTAGGCCAGGTGGTATATGCGCATGCTGCTGGTGATGCCCTTGCCCATGCCCCTGGCTCTGGCTATGATGCCTGTGCGATTGTCCTGGTAGCGTAGAAGGCACTGGGAGCGGCGTATCGTACGCCGCGCTTAGATTCTCGTGCATGGCCGCATGGACGTGGGCTTGGAAGCCGGGGTTAGGGGACATGACGCTGTCACGGGGGATCGAGGGAGCGCCCGTCTGATAAGCGCGTTGCTGGTGATATTCGGATGTAGGGTCGACTTTGGTTAGGAATTTCCAGTTTGTGCCTGCGGCTACGGTCACTGTCTTTCCCTTATCATCTGTGTTCTCGTGTACGGGGGTGAAAGTCCAAAGGACGACAGCGCGCCGTGTCCATCCACGTTTGCTGCCTTCGCTACCACTAGTGGCAGTGGTGCCGTCGTTGGGAGCAGACCAAATTTCTTGGTACATGGCAACCTGAGACAAGAGTTCTTTAGGCGTCGGCATTTTTGCGCTGCCTGTCTTACCCGCAGCATCATCATCTTTCTTCATCGCGCGGTCTGTGCGAGAAGGCCGTTGTCCCTTGCGTGACTCTTGTTCACGAGCCCTACGCTCCCGCTCCGCAGTGACGTAGGGGGCTAACTTGATAAATGTATTAGCCCAGCTGGCAGCTGGGAATGGTACACCGATCGTATCTCTGCTACCGCGGGATGCACAATCGCATCTTCCAACGCCGTTGCATCCGACGCGGTGGGAGACAATCACTTCCACTGGGTTGCTCCGGTCCCAGAAGTCCGGCTCCGACCCGGAGATGTGCAGCTCATCAGGCTTTACAACGGAGGTCACGGACCGCCAATTGTGGTTGTGTAGCTCGGGGCGGTTGATTGAGAGTTCGACCATGCCGTTGAGCTCCGAACCGTCAGGGAACTTGGATGTCGCATGGAGGTCTAGGGTCACTTCGAACTGGAATGTGTCGCAGGGACCGACAACGCAGCGAGATGATCTCTCGTCTGAAGGATGCGTGTCGTCCAGTGCTGAAAGAAGCTTCTCCTTCAGCTCTGGGAATTGAACGTCCCATCTGTTAGAGATATCCTTGATGGAAGAGGATTCCTTCTGTGAAATTGATCTAGAGTATTCATGTAGAAGCATAGTTGGTTGATCACCGTTTCGAGGCAAGTCCTTATACTCCTTGCCGTCGTTAAGCTTGAGATGAGGGTAGTCAGACTCTCCCAACCATTGGCCGTTGGATGTATAACCCGTGACTTGTTTCTTGGTTGTTCCATCGTCCATCTTGACGTGTTTCTCCTTGAGACTAACTTGGGAAGATGAAACGAAGATCCAGCACTGTTTTGGACGTAAAAAGACATCGTTGTCGGCGCTTAAGAGGCGGGCGAAATACTCATAATTGGGTCGTTCGTCAGGTAAACGCCCATCGGCTATGGATATTAACACCCTGTTGTTCTTGAAAGATTCGGTGTCGTCGTCGTCCCTTATTAACTTTCTGTCTTCTTCCTTGGCATCTCTCTTGCTTGGGAAGATGAAGTGGACTTACGAAAAAGTTAGCTCGGTACCTTGCTAAATTTATAGAGTTGGCATTAGATTCTCAGGGTATTACTTACAGGTGACCAACGTAGCGAAGAAACCCTTCAAAACTTGGATGTGGCTTGATACCTGCTTTCGTCCTCGGTACATAGGATGAGGCTTCCCATCCGGACCCTTCTCCCTCTGTTGTCTATTTGGGATAACCTCGCCGTTCTGTGGAGGATGTAATAACCAATGGTAGATCCATAAGTATTCTGTGATGAGCATATTACGCCCATACAGAATAGTCTTTGAGCTGAATTTCTTCCGGCCCATCTGGGGAATTAAGAGAAGAGCTGTCGGAGTTAGCACTCGCACATTGTATCCATGAATTAGACATTCGCAGGGAGCAATGCTTACCATCGAGAAAGGCATCCTCCAACCACAAAGGCCATATCGGTTGTTCCTTCTCGAGCTCCTTTTGCATTACTTTATTACGATAATCGGCGAAATGTTTGTACGCGTAGATGGGGTTCTTGCTGCCCCTCGGATAACCCATTGGTGATTCTCGTAATGATACATCTCGGTGTAAAGAACGTCCGCCTCGAAGGCTTGTCCCATAACTTGAGGTAAGAGCCTGCGTAGGGACTATAGGTGGTGTTGGTATAGGATGAATAGGTGGTGATAAGGAGTGATTACAAAGTGCTAGAGCAGCAAGATTATGTGGCTGGATATTGCCCGTGGATTCGCCAAGGGGCGTTCGTGTTATGGGCATTACTTCGTGGTCTGTTTCATACGCATAATCCGATGCCGGCGAGTATCTCTGAGAAGGAAGGACAGGTCGTGGGTGTTCCATCTTGAATGATAGGTATGACTAAAGACAAAAAGAATGCTTCATGAAAAGAGCGAGAATTCAAGAGAATGCCTGGAGAGACCTCAAGAACGTTGGGAAGCAGAACAAGATATGTGGGAAGGAATGGCAGTGGCAAGAGAGAATGCCTATTACTATTAAGACTAAAGATGATATCTTGGACGAGAGTATTGGCATGGAAGAGAGGATCATCATATCTTATAAAAATCTCGTTGCACTCTTCGTGACTACTCGGCTATCTAGGAGGACTGCAATAATTGTGCCCTGAAGGAACACCCAAGCCCTAGGAGCCCCTCCTAGGAGGCTTCCAAGGGCGCCTTGAAGAAAATGCTCCAAATAGTATAGACGCCATGATCTACAAAAAGATCGAGATAAGAAGATAGATGCTTGACGTCGTCTGTATGGGGTACGCGTAGTTGGCACGCAAGGAAACTAGGAACAAGGTGATAACGAATAGCAGCAATAGACTCACCATGGGAATGTTCCAATTTCCTATTATGGAGACGTCCTCTAACCCTTCCTGGGCCGGTCGTTGTTGAAACCCTCGTGAGGTTTGCGGGGGGAATGTGACTTTGATTAACGTACCCATACAAGATCATCGAGTCTAGGACTTGTAGACATTCAATCGAGAGGGGTTTTCGAAGTCACGCAAAGGAGGGGTGGATTCTGGAAGCTATTGTAGTGCCGAACTCCTGGTGTCAGTTAAGCAGCCCCAGATTCGCCAATGCCGCCCTCTCCTTAACAAGGGATAACGCAACGAACCACCACCCCTAGCTCCCAACGTGGCAATCGCTACACTCCTTTGATGGCATAGTCAGGCACGGAGCTAGAAGTATAGACATTAATTACTCGTTAGATCTCCCCTTCGTCTTCATCCCCTCCTAGATTAACCTTTTTGCGTCCTCCCCCTGTGAGCTGTTGCAGGGCGATTCTGCTAGCTTGGCCGCCCACCTTCTTCTGCATCTTTGCGATTTCCTCTTCTGGATCAATTGCTTCTGCTTCTGCGTATTCAAGGATAAGTCTTCGTCCTAATAAATGGGTGTCTTGTAAGGCTAGCATCGCAGACTCCGCCTCCTTCGAAGACACAAACTCGGCGAAAGCAAAACCTTTGCTAGTTGCATTGAATTTTTTGGGTATGCGAACTGATTTAAGTTGGCCATAGGTGCTCAGAAGTGTCCGAATATCATTCTTGTTAGTTTGGAAGGGGACGTTCTTAATCACGATCTTTGTCCTCTGGTTTGCACTCTTTTTCGCATTGTCCTGTTGTCTTCGTTCTTCAGCAGCGTCGCGGCCACGATGTGAAGCTCTGACTTGAAGTTTGTGTGACCTGAGGGCGTGGCCATCCATGACCTTCAGAGCCGCTTCAGCAGCTGTCTTGTTAGCGAATGAGACGAATCCAAATCCCATACTCAACAATTGGCCGGGTTTCTTGGGATCTTTTTTAGTCTTCACTTGAGCGGATCTAAATCCTTCTAGATGGCTAAAGGCCTCTGCAAGTTCCTGGGTGGTAGTATCCCAATGGAGGTTCTTCACAAATAACGAGGTTGAGTCAACGGGCTCTTGAGTATCTTGTTCTAGCAGTTCCGATGCGGATAATTTCTGTATGCCACTAGGCTCTTTACTAGCTTCAGTCGCATCATGCTGGGGCTCCTTACCCACGAATAGGTTCTTTGGTGCCTTCTCGAGAAATAATATAGACTCTTTAAATCGGCGATATGCCAACTTTGTGAAGGCTGTCTTAGCCTGAGGGCCTTGCGCGAACTGGACAATAGCAATAGTCCCTGTAGGTGGCATAAGCACTTTTAGTACCTGTCCGTGCTCCTCAAAAAGGGTCCTGATCTCCTCGATTGAAGTGCCGTAAGGGAAATTTTTTACCAAGATAGATGTATCACCTCGCGGGCCTGACTTGAAAGCATTTAGATCGACACCGTTAGCTACCAAGTAGGCCTTCGTGTCTTGAATTGTCGAGGTTTCGGCGATGGCTTGCTTCACGGCCGCATCAGAATTGGTTGGATCAAGTAATTCTGCCTTGGAGATCCCCAAACGATCAGCGACCGATGCGTTCACAGCATCCTGATTCATGTAAAGCGAGTTCCAGTTGAACCGAGACTCGGCAGCCTTGGCTCTCTTCTTGATAAGATTCTGCTGCTTCAGCGGTAACTTAGACAGTGCGAACTCATCCAGGGTATGATCACGTTTTGCCGAAGCTGGTAAAACGTGTAGGATCCTCCCCTGAAAGGAAGACCGATCTGCTTGGAATGCTTTTGTTGCATCGTCTGGGCTAGCAAATAAAACAAAGCCAAGTCCCCGATTAGTGCTCGAGTCTTTCATCGGCACATGTACCTGTTGTCATTTTAGCAGGAATGAAAGATAGCTAACTGGCGGAAATTAATGACGAAGGGATTGGCTCTCAGACACGAAGCATCTACTAAAATACTGGCCCAGATTTCTCATCAAATACCATTTGGTATAAGCTGTCCCTATCTGGGGTTCATCACAGGAAGCGGGAAAATAATTCATAATAAAATGTGAAATCTCACCTCTTCAACAATACCATATCGTTCAAAGTACGATCTGAGATCGTCTTCGGTGGCTGAATATGGCAAGTTCCGTGCAAACAACCTTTTCGTCTTGCGAACTATATCAACGTCGTCGTCTTTTGGTTTTGTAACAAGCTCATCTGTATCAGAATGTTGATTTTGATCATCCATATCTTGATCTTCATTCACGGTTGCATCGATAACCTCGGGCTGTTCTTGCTCCTGGATTGGTGGTATGGGCGGTAAAGTCCCCGAGGACGCAACTGTAGGTACGATATCCTCATCATCAACCAAGTCAAGCAGCCTATTTGTCCGTGATCGTAGCCAATCGTCATCCGTAGCGGCTACATGAGTTGCGGTCTCGGCAAGGGTAGGTGCATCTGGCAACGTTTGCTCTATCGGCAGATCCTCAGTTTTCTCGATTTCCTCATGAGACTGTCCATTGACACTGTCCCCCGCACTTATTGGCTGGTTTATGGGCTCTATAGGCTTAACTCTTTTCTGTCGGCTTGGTACAACTTCGTACTCATCATCAGATCCTCCCCCGTCGATAGTAAGCGCTGGATATTTTGCAGGAGGCTCATCGGCAGATTCCGCGCCAATTCCATGTATTGTGCTTGCAGAAGCCTTTGCGGGTTGCATAACATTTAAGAACTCTTGGAGTTTTGGATCCGATTCGTCGAGTGCATCTCGCTTCCTCTTCTTCACATTCTCGACGGCTGCCTCTGGCTCTGTAGACTGTTTCGTAGCCTGGGATATCTCTAAACCGGTCGTTGAACCATATCTTTTGTCTCTCTCTCTAGATAATGAGGGATCTGTGATCTGAAAACGATATTAATATAATGCGACCAAAGTTACGACTGAGTCCACTGACAGGTTTGGCTAACTCAACATTTATCCTGGACATCCGTACAAAGGAACGGTTGAAGTATTTGACTGCAGCGGCAGCTTCCTGGGAGTCCTTGTAGCCCACATATCCAATCCTTCGATGAGGTATCAGCTTGACATCTGTGATATGACCTTTGGATGCGAAATGCTTGCGCAAGTCAGCCTCATTAAGATTTGGTGGCAAACCTTTCACAAAGATTCGAGATGAATCCATGGCAACAGATGATTAATCCGGTTCTTATTGATCCATCAGAGGTTGATAAACGTGTGTAAGGTGTGTCAGGTGTGTTTTTGTTTTTGTTTGGTGCTTTAGAAATGGTCGTTGTATTTACACATTATAAAGTTTTCTTGATGAAAACTGAAACTTCAATTCTTGTAAGGTGTGGAAAAAAAAAGTTCCTAATTTTCATATCATTGAAAGTTAAACGGTTATCATCACGTGGTATGATCTATCCCACCTGCGGCTCTTTAGCCCCACTTCCCCCATGATTCCGAATAACCCGATTATGTAATGGCTTATTGGTCTGTGCATCGATATTCGCCAGTGTAAAATAATTAAATGAAAGGAAAGACAGGGTCTATGCAATTCTCAGGTCCCAGGAACCAATAGCAAGGAATCGTCCAAGCAAAATCCGGGATTGGTTTTCAATTGGCAAACACGCAAACACGCGACTTTGGGCACTAACCAAATCATTCACCATCCACCGTCTACCATTTACGTCGACCATTTAACATCCTTCATTGCTGACCTGATATTCTCGACTTCACGACCTTGGAAATATTGAATAACTATCCCTACACTCCGTCGCGGCCTGGTCAATCTTTGTACGTGTTACTACTTTACTATTGAATCATCACTCCTTGTATGCTTGTCATTTTTTAGTCTTGATTTATTACCTATAATTCCTTAGCTGTACAACTGTCCCCTATAAACAGAGCCTTGTTTGCTAACTATCATATCTATAATAGAGTCGATTAATCATTACACCCTCAACGTCGGACCAGAAATATGGCAGAGCAACAATCGCCCCCGCCGGCTGGAAGCCGTGATAAGCTTGAAGGTCCGTTCTATCGTCGAATCGCATCGAGACTACCTAACTGACTAATGCCTTCGATCTATAGCCCAGATTAAATCGGCGGATATGGTTAGAAACATTAAATATTAAAAGAGGGTTCGATATGGGCTAACATACAGGTTCAGACTGAGGATATGCAGCAAGAGGCTATCGATGTTGGTACGTATTAATATTAAAGGGTTTCCGAATCCATATTCTAACGCCGTATGAATAGCCCAGGAAGCCATGGGCAAGTACACGATCGAGAAAGATATCGCACAGCACATCAAGCGCACGGTAAGTCGGTCTACGAAGCCCGATTATGAAACCTAAGCCTTAGCATCGTTGTAATTATCAGGCGGGATATTAATTCTAGTATGCTAGTTCGACGAGCGAAAGGGTCCGACTTGGCATTGCATAGTAGGACGAAACTTCGGAAGCTTCGTCACTCATGGTATATTCTCCCCATTATCCGCCTTACCGGTTTGGGCTCATGTTTGGGCTAACATTGTTGCAGAGACGAAGCACTTCATCTACTTCTACCTAGGACACTGTGCCATCTTGTTATTCAAGACACAGTAGAACGGGAGTTCTACAATGAGGGATCTTGTTGAATCTTTCGACCGCCTCCCCCTGTATCGTCGGGATCTCAGCCTCAGCCCTCCTTAGAACATAATGTTCAGGACGTTATGATTGCAAAATCGGGAATTTCGAGGGCACGAATTCGGAGATTACTCAACCCCCTAGCGTTAATATTTACGTAGCTCGATCACAGCATCGGAGTGGGTTGATGTACATTTGTCATCTCCATAAGCCGCCAATATAGAAGACATAAGGGTACACAAAAACGAAAGACGTGCAATGTGAAGCCTACTAAAACTTAGCCAGATCTAGGCGTACCATATAAGTGTAATGACAAACCTTGAGTGGCTACGACTATTCGTAAGGTTTCTATGTCTTTTTCTTTTTCTATTACTGCTGTCTCCAAGTGACGCGTATACTTAAGACGCTGAGTTACTTCTGTGCGGCGACGTATGTAACTTTGCAGGGTTCCCTTCCGGAAACTAGCAGCGGGTAGAAGTATTAAGCATTTTATATATCCCCAGGTTAAATACATTCATTCATGGATACATCAGGGGTATGAGATTAGCCAACTCTCAGTGACGTCTTTCCATTGAATTGCATGCCTACTTACGAAGTACATACCGGACCTTTTACAATTTGTAAGAGACGGGCGAATGAATATGTACCGATTACGGGCCACGGATCGGCACTCAGCACTTAGAATCCGGTGACGAATAACAGCCTTAGAACTGCAACAGGGCACAGGCTATCAGGCTATGTGACGTCTCACTTGATCACGACTTGTCCTTATCAAGGCTCTATGATTATAGCGTACCAACATAAGAAAATAGAAACCATCACATGGGCGAGACCCTTTTCGATGTGCGTGTTCCTGGGTCAGAAATACGTAAGCAATATATATTGCGTTTTGATGTTTTTTTGGGTAACTGAGCATAGAAAAATGTATACTCCGTGTTACTAATTAAAGTTTCTAGATTGGCATTGCGTGGACTAACTAATAAGAGGGGCTAGTAACATAAACCTGGGGATTTGCGTACCGACTTAAGCTATCCTAAGGACGCATGTATTATTCGCCTTGTGATGTGTTAAGATGTACAAAACAATCATACCACGGGAGAGGAACCGCAGCTCCCCCGGTGTCGCACTACCGAACCTTGCGAACTTTATCTATCACATCCATTACCTCCAGGGCTCCAAGGTTATTGCATGGTGTCCTTGATTGTCCTTGCCCAGTGGTGTCCAAGTGTCCATGGTATCCCTAGTACCTGCCTAAGTACCTACATGCATAGCAGGTATTATGGAGGTATCCATATTCTGTTCAGGTGATTACCTACTAGTAGTCGATTGTTGAAAGAAAAAAAGAAAAAAGCAAAAACGGCCTCAGTCCAAGTTCCAATTCCACCTTTTACAAAGTCGCACACCACCAACCTCGCTTCCCGAGTTCCGCCCGTCCGTCCACTGGCCTAGATGGATGGTTGTAACAAGGGAATTCGTCAACGTAGGTACGGCATGATTGGAATAAATATTACGCCGGTTTAAGAGGGGAGCCTATCCGATTCAACCGTCGATGATTTTTATGGTCGACCATGGAACTTATAAGCATAATACCGGTCATCGCTTGAGGCTACTCATCTTGGTAAGCGAAACCATTTCAAGCCATGCCAAGCCCAAGCTATCAATTCATAAGCAAACAAAGTTCCTGGACGACTACCTTGTAGCCAGCTGCTAGCTTAAGAAAGTGCTAAACCGTTCCTTAAGTAGATAAAAAAAATCGACTACTAGGTACTACATATGCAAGAGCTTACATAGTAAAGAGGGGGGGAAGGTGGTGTAAACCCGGTCTGTCGAGAGCTACACTACTACCTTCATGGCACCCACCAGTTCACACAGCTAAACCAGTCAAGCCAGTCCGGAGAATCCTGTAAGCCCATCTGGAGTTATCGGTCCTAGTGGGATGAATCGAGGGATGTGACGGCGGGGCGTTCGGACAATCTCGAACAAGAGCTTGCATTCCCGCAACCGCTTCCTTCCACTTACATGTGTCCAATAATAACTTTTCATTAATTCGACCTGCTTAGGTACCCGTCCTCCGCATCGTCAAATTGGGCCAGGAGGAGCTATTTCCTTGTGGCTCCGCCGTTGTCACGAAACTTAACTCTGACAGTCTCGTATTTATTTTGCAGTCTATTGCTGTTGAAACGAAGGCTTCGAAGGCTTCGAAGACTTCTGACCGAAGCTTCAAATAACTCGACAATAGGAAAATGTTGCCCCGGAGAAATAGTCTAAGATCTAGAACGCCGAGGAGCCATTGTGGACTCTGGATAGGTGGGAGCTTGTGGGAGTTAAGCCAAATACGTAGTAGCCTACTAAATCGTATCCGCTTTCTTTCCCGACTAAAGGCCAAGCGTCGGCCGAACTGAGATCGTTTCCGTCATAAGTTGGAGGGACAACATTGTTTATGAGGGAAATTGGGCACAGCAAGAAAAATATCACGCCGACGAAGCCTGATTATGGCATCTAACCTTAAGTAATCGACTGATAATCCTGATAATCTGGCGTATAGATCTCGCTTTTCGGACCTTATGGCTTGTTTCGAAGAGACGGACACGCACGGCAATTTAGCTAACGAACTTTTCTGCAAGATGCCCGTCCGGGATTCGTGGATGAGACTACAGGTAGATTGGGGAAAGGGTGTGCGCCTAGGTCCCGTACGTAGGCCATGGATAGGCCGTACTTAGCACGAACTGGCAGGCAAATTCCTCCCGCATACAATGCCGACCCTTCCAGCGCAGATGTCGTTGTTGCATCGCAACGCACCGCATCAACCACCCAATCTCGGATGGTCGTGGCCGCATCTACGCACTGTACGATGGCTCTGCAATTTGTCTTGATATGACTAGTGACGACATCTTAGCATTTCCCCGGAGGATATGTGCGTTGGGACGAGTCTCCCGATAACGTGGAAAGCCATGATTTGAGTAATATATGATCTTCCGTATTCGTCAACAGCGGGGACAGCAACATGAGCGGAGAGCTGAAAAGGTAGTCGTATGTGCCCTATGCTACCTCCTACGCTACCTAAGTAGGTCACCTACGTACATAGTAGATGCTATGTAGTATGAGTAGGGTAGGTAGGCATGGAAGATACATAGGATGTGAATAGGATGTGTGGGTCAGAACGCCACGCCCATGTTACCTACCCAGACGGAGATTCCAATTCCTTTCGGTCGTCGGCCCCTCGTGGCGCTTCTAGCCCGTGCAGATTCTCGCGTGGATGACCTGCAGCTAGTTACTTAGCAAGCGAGAGCGATGGGATGAGAGCCGTGGCACGTAACTGATATCGCACCGTGCCCATACATGTTACGATGTGAGAGATATTGATGACAATTACCACATATCAGGGTATATCCATCGACATGTCGATTTCTAGAATAGTTACCACGATGGATAGTAGCAACAATATAATAAAATAGTGTCTTATAGTATAGCCTTGATCGTGCTTCAATATCAGCTGAATGATGTCAGGGCAGGATGATTCTCAGCTAGCCTCTCGACAGCTCGGGGAATATCAGCTACTGTACAATACGTACCTCCAGGGCTACATACTACATACATGATACCAGGAACCTCGATTTTTCAGCATGCAGTTGGCAGTTGGCATCCATACATCGTACAGATGGATCCATAAGGTTGCCCAGGTGCTTACTCACTCACCGACGACTGTCAAGGTGTGTGGCGGTTTCATCGCTAGAGGCGCTGATTGTGTGAATATTATGGATATTATGGTTAACTGCTGACTTCCGGCTCAATGTTATCTACTGCCTCCTAGTAATTCTATTAGAGATTATGTGGTGTACGACACCGTTTCTCGCTTCAACAATCCCTTTTTGGCTTGGCACGAATTCATACTATTTTGTATCCGTCATTTCGAGATATCATAGGTACCTACCTACTCACTAGTAACTGAGACCATTTCCACCATCTACGTCTTAGATCTTAGCATGGAATTCCCACTCGCACTCTTGCGTACTTGGCGTCTTGGTGTTGGCTCTTCAAAATCTTTGCTGCCACTTTGCTGGTAGATACGTACGAATTCGGGATTGACGTTTGACACTTCTAATATGTACATGTATGTGTAGGTATGTACATATTGATGTATGTATGTTGGGGAAAAAAGGTTGTTAATTAATAAAGAACATTAAAAGTCCAAATCAGGCGAGATTGTCAGGTACAAGCCGCAGAACACGCCAGACCAAGAATCCCTCACATGTAATAGCTTGAAGATTCGGTAGGTACGACTTCGTAGGTTGGTAGGGAAGCTGGGAAGGTATGAAAAATGCTGGTAGGCTATGTGTTATCCAAGCTTGCCAAGAATTTAAGCATCCAAGCAGTGCAAGTCCCACCGCCCGGATACACTTCCATTGGTGGAGTTTGGTGGAGAGCTTCCCTCGGCTACTATTGGGATACATTGGCAGTACATTCACAGCTACCTTTTAGGGGCCGTTCCCCGTCGTACCTAGAAGTTCCGACTTAACCTTCTGTAAATAGATCCATCGCCGCCTCTTTTGGCTTTGGCTCTGTCTCTCTCCCGTCTCTTTTTGAGATATGTACTTGCCTAGGCCCTAGATAGCTACATGAGTAGGTACCTAACTCGGTGCATAAAAAACATTAGAAAAAAACATATTTACATATTCCCCTATTCTCCTAATAATATATCATCACGATAAAATTTTATCCCGAATCACCAAATGATCGTGCCATCCGAGATCTTCTCAATTTTCAATTTATAAGAATAAGAATAAGAATCATATCGAGAGGCGTCGAGACCCATTTCTCTGTATGTACGTGTGTGGTGGGATGGTCTGACGTTACGGGATGCCCGTCTATTCGGCTCCAGGCCTACGAGAGCTACGGTACAATACAGTCGAGATTGGGCAATACGCACAGTCGCCGCCACCGCGGAGACGAACAGAAGAAGAGAAAAAAAAAGAGTGCTGCAGAGCATAAGCTCTACTATTGTTTCAGTCAGATCTGGGACATAATCAGCATCCATATGTACACTACCAGCAGTACCAGACTGCCAGACTACCAGTAAATTTTATGTCTTTCTTATGCCGGTTGGACTCGCCCTCCATTGGCTCTGACAGTCATACTTAATGACATATCGTACCCAATCGGGATTCGAAAGCCCTGCATGTCAGCGCGTTGGCGAACCTCTTTGGGGTCCATGATCCATCGCCCAGGGAAATCTTATATCTGAGAAGCTCATTCGTACGAACAAAGCCCTGGAACAATCAGCCTGGCGGGGGTCGTCAGGCGCGCGAAGAATAGCTGCATTTTTGCAACCTGCTGACCACCGCTTCGCATTGCCTATTGAAAAAGGTACCAAAGCATTACCGTAGTTTAAAAATTGACACTATCAGACTATTAGGTGTTAAAAAATGCTGGATATCGCACCATATATACATACGTCTCTATCCACCTACCAAACTACCAATGTAGCTAATCTGACGAGGCGCTCTTCGCAATCATACTACAGAATACCTACATAACCGATCAGATACCCTCTCACGCAGTCACGTACGATACATCTCTACATACCTACCCTATGTAAGATAAACTTCTTAAAAGAAGAGAACATTTAGAAGATCTAGTGTTACCTCATAAAACAAAAGTGTTGTCCTATTTTTTTTTTGCCTCGTATTTGGACCTGACAACTAAGCATGGATGCACCAGTTTGCCTGTTGCTTCATACGCAGTGCCTGACCGACGTACGTATCAACCCAAGTCATTGTTCTTGACGAAGACATTCACCGAATTCTTTCTGCAAGATTGTCACTTATCATCTGATATGGATGGATACTAATGATGAGTTGGCCTGCCTTTTGACCACATCACTGCCTTTGTTTTACACACTAGTAGACAAAAGTATGAGCCGCAGCCGCGATGCTAGGCTACTATTATGTAGGTCAGTATTTGTGCTGGTATTGGATGCCGAAAATGCTACCGCCTTCTTCTGACAATTCCGGTGCTAGGCGGGCCCACTTTAATCTCGCTTTAGCCCTTTTCGGCCAATCAAATCTGGGGTAGATTCAATAACACACCACCAAATTATTTTCCACTTTACCTTCATTATTACCTTTTTATATACATCGCATTATATACCATAATAAATCGTATAAAATCGTATAAAATGATTATTATTTAAAAAATCGAAATAATTTATAAGTATTTTTATTATTATGTTTATTATATTAATACGAAACGTTTAATTAATTTATTTTTATTATTTTAAAAGTTACGTTCGATTTTAATAATAATGTTTATTTCGAACTTAATATTACGTATAATTTTACTTTTTAATAATTATTTTCATTTAACGAATTTATTAATATATTTTTAATTAATAAAAATAATTAATATTATAATTAATTAAAAAAAAAAAAATTTAAAAAAGTAATTATTTTATATTAAATAAAAATTCGAAATAAATTTTTAAATAACGTTAAAATTATTTATATAATTTAAAAGTTAAAATAACGTTAAAAAATATAAAATTTAAAATTAAAAATTAATCGAAAATTTAAAAAAAAATACGATATTATTAAATATTAATTAATTATCGTATAATTATTTAAATTAAATGTTTAAATTTAAATAATTTTTATTATTACGTAATAATTTTTTTATTAATTTAATTTTATTATTTTTTTAAATTAATTATTTATTTTTTAATAAAAGTTTTAACTTTTTATTAATTAATTTAAAATAAAAATTTATTATAATATTTACCGAATATTTTATAAATTTAATTTTATTCGTATTAATTTTATTTAATTTAAAAATTATCGAATTAATTAAAATAATAAAATTAATAACGTTAACGATATTTTTTTATTAACGTAATATATTTTAAAATTTTTAATATTATTTTTTAAATAAATTTTTAATTTTAATTAAATTATTTTACGATTCGTTAAAACGTATAAATATTTTAATTTATATAAATTTTTTACGTATAATTTATTAATATTTAAATTAACGAAAAAATTTAATTATTTATTAAATAATTAAAGTTATTTTAATTTTTTATTTATTTATAATTATAAATAATAAAAATATATTTTAATTTTTATAATTATTTTTTTAACGTTATATTTATATATCGTAAAAGTTTTTAAATAATTATTTTATTAATTTATTTAAATACGTATTAAAAACTTAAATGTAATTAATTATTTTTTCCGGAATTATAATTAGTAAAATTCGGGTTTTTTTAAATATTTTCTTTATAATTTTAATATTATAAAACCTGATAACGTTTATAATAAATAACGTTTTATTTTTTTTAATATATTGCGCGAGTTTAATTTATATTTAATTAATAAATATTTTTTCGTTATTATACGTATATTTATTAAATAATATTAAAACGTTTAAAAAATATAATTTTTTTTTTTTTTTATATTTAATATATTTATTTTTATAAAAAATAATTAAAAGTTTATATATACGTTTATTTATATTAATATAAAATAAAAAAATAACTTAACGTTTATTTTATTTATTACGATTAATTTTAATTATAACCGTACGTGTTTTTTTTATTTTATATATATATTTATCGAAAAATTCGAAAAGTATAAAAATTTTATTAAAATTTAAAATTCGTTAAATAAAAAAGCGATAAATTATTAAATAAAATATATCGTTAAAATTAAATAAGTTTTTAATACGATTATTAATTAATTAAAAAAAACTTTTTAATAAAATAAAACTCGTTATAAACGTTAAAAAAAAAAAACTTTATAATTAATTTATAAATACGAGATTTTAATTCGGTTTATTATTCGAAAATAATAAATATTTTCGAATAAAAAAATAATATCGTATATATATTTTTTTAACTTTATTAAAAGTTTTATTAACGTATTTTATTACTTAATAACGGTTAAAGTAATATTATTTTAAAAAATTCGTAAACTATTTATTATTAAATATAAATAAACCGTTAAATTTCGGGTAAATTAATTTAAATAATTTAATTAAATTAATTTTAAATTACGTTCGCGTAACGGTTTTATTTTTTACTTTTTTTTAAAAAAAATAAAAATATAAATTTTATTTTAATTTTAATTAATAAAAGTAAAATATAAGTTTTTTATTATAATCGTTATTTAAAATTTTTATTTAATTATATTATTAATTAAAAATAATAAATTTAATAATATTAAAAAATTTAAAAATTTCTTAATAAATAAATCGTTTAAACTTTAATTTTACGTTTTTAAATTCGTTGATTAAAATTCGATAATTACGTTTAATAAAATTTATTATTATAATAAATTACGTTAAAAATATTCGGGAATATATTAATTAAATTAAAATTTTAATTTTTTTTTTCCTTATATAACGTAATTTATTATTATTATAAAATATAATTTAATTAATAATTTAATTAATAAATGTTTTAAATTTTCGGTTAATTTTTTTAACGATTAATAAATTAATTAATAAATTATTTATAATAAAAAATAATTTTATTAAAAAAAAAAAAAATTACGCGTTTATTAAAAGTTAAAATATTTTAATATTAAAACTAGTAGAGCTTCATTTCTAAGCTAGCCGTAATTAGTAAAGCGTTCCAAAAGGGGCTAAAGCGAAATATAAAGTGGGCCCGCCCAGCACCGGAATTGTCAGAAGAAGGCGGTATTGCCAGTGCTCCGGCGCCCAAGCCAAAATGATGTAATTTAGGCCTTGGAGATTCCCAGCATTAGATCCCTCTTGGTCAGATTGTAGGTACCAACTGAACTGTATCTTGGGCCAGGGTTCCCTCGAGCAGTTCTCGTTGCTACTACTAGGTAGTAAGCTGGCCGATGATTCATACACACTCGCCATATTTGACAGCTATTGGACCTGTCTGTCATACTCTTACATTTTTGAAGTTGAAGGAATCCGTAGTCACGTAGGAGAGTTTCCCCCTTGTATCAAAATGGAAGACGGACAGACAAAAGAAAGATCGTATTCCAGAGAAATATCCATGTTGGGTTAGTAGATCCGCCTTTTGCTACGCACTACTCTACCGCGTACCACTTCATACCACCTTAAGCCTATGTACATGCCTCATCCATTACAGCTCAGACCTGATAGAATATACTACCGTACACTCATACAAACGATACAGTAGGACATGACAACCGTCATTCCTGACAATTGAATTGTAAATCGTTTTTTGCAAGAGATCAATTTCTCTGCCCAGCGTGGCCGCTAAGTCGGCTTTAATGGCTACACCCGGGGCACTGACTGGTTGCTTCGTCCAAGGGAAAATGCATGTATCTGCCCATCCGTAAATCCCATAACCCCTGTCTCACACAGCCTAAGTACAAAGTATCGTGGAAGTACACATTTTTACACACTCAGTGCTTGGGCTTGGTCCTTACAGCGGTTTGCCTTACATGCTGGTGTACCGTGCCCTGTACATACATTTGCTTCCAAGGTTCGTATCGTACAAAGATCTATCGGTACTATGTAATAATCCCTAGGTAATAATAGCGATAATAATAACAATAGTCATGCTGTTGTCGTTCAATTTTTCTATTACACCTAGTCAAGCAATTAAGTACCTGACCTACTTTACCGAAAACAGATTATGTGTAGGGATTCGTGTGTATGTGCGTATGTGTGTAATGTTTAATTACACAATTGAATATGATATTCATTGATGAATGTAGATTTGTTGTTATTGTTATAGGTAAAAAGGAGTATATTTTTAACTTCGAAGAGGTAGAACGTTCAAGGTTGGCTTTCTTACCAGTAAAATTACCTAGGGTCATTCTTTCTTGCCAATTACTCCTATTATCTCTTTCACAGTGTAAATTTAGACGGGTTAGTCTTTGAGTGGAAATAAGTGACTCTTGCACACTGACTAATAAGGTTTAGTTCCCTAGAGTTCACTAGGCTGAGGGGACGGGATGAACTAAGCAAGCGTGGTACTTAGCCAGTACTTTCTGGGACCACCCCCGTCATGCTCCACTACTAGGTACATCCCACCCCATCCATCCATTTGTGCCTTCATTTTCCATTCTCTTTCTCCTCTTGACCAAGATTCAACGAGACTATTCCGTACAACCTCGTCCTTCCCATACTCTTTCTCTTCTTCCTCTTCCCTACTACACAACCTCCTCTCCTCACCCATCTCACGTCCTATTACGGAATTCAATCACCATACTCTCTAACTGCCTTACAATTTACTCTGGTCTGGCAACCCTCGAAATCTAACTACATAGCCATGTGACGGAGCTGCATGAATAGTCGGGTTATTGTCAAGTTGGACTTTTAACGGTCTGGCTAGGTGCAGAACTCGTGCAGTTTGTCTTGCCTCGACTATTACTTCACGAAATACCATTGTCATAGTATTACATATCGATATTGACATTTCAAAGTCATATATTCTCTTAATTCTTATTAATCATCCACTCCAAAACCGGCATATACGAAACTCCCAATATGTCAGCTCTGGCGGTTCCTGATACCGGCCTCCTTCTGGAGAGCTCGGCTAACTCGAGCGACCACCTGCCCTTGCAAGCATTCGGCATCACCTTAAGCGACAGCGTGATTGAGGACATGATAAAATGTGTACAAGGTGGGCAGGAGATCGAATTGACCCTGGGAAGCACTCCTGTAAGTTTGTTTTTGTTGTTTTTCTCTCTCATCACTGCCATTGCTATTGCCGACAATCCGCAACACACAACCGGCACATACATGGGATACCACGATCCTTCAAGCTTGGGGAGGATAACAAATCGGTGGCCAACACACCACAACGACGAAAGATTAATTGTATACCTAAATAAATACAAATAAGAACCCAATTGAATAATATTTTGGATTATCCTAACACCGTTGTCTACAGAGCTTCCTCATCGGTTCGAGAGAACAGAAGGTCAAAACAACACCTGATTCATACAACTACGACTTGTATCTTACGAAACCTGAAGAAGCGGCAAATAAGGCCCAGCGACTACTCAACCCTACTATGTCTATCCTAAAACAACTTCCTTCCAATATCATATCGAATAAGACCATCAAGAGCAAATCTAAGGATGTGAAGCGAGGAGTTAAGAGCAGCAAACCTCTGCCTCCTGGAAAGTCTGCTATGGCCAGTGTATTATCAAATTCAGCCACTCGGTCATTACCTTCAAGTCCTGCGCTTAATGGAGTTTCTTCGCCGAACCCGGCTTTCTCCGCCTCCCAGCAACTTTTAGAGAAGAATAAGAACCAAAGGACTGTTCTCGTCCACGAGTTAGCGTCAAGAGACCAAACATTCGAGCACCTGGCGGATGTATGGAAGGGGACTGAGGCGGACCTTAAACCGACTGTAGAGAAGGTGGCAAATTTCGATGCGCCAACTAAGAAGTGGAGTCTGAAGAAGATCTATTGGAAAGAGTTGGACGTATGGAATTATGATTACCGCAATGACGATCGCGCTGCGGCCATAGAGAATGCCATCAAGCAATACGACAAGCAACGCATTTCGACATCCGCGCCCGAGTGGGAGAAACTACTGGCTCCTTCTGAACGAGGAAAGGGTATTGTCCTTAGTAAACTTCAAACAAATCTTGCGAAGGGAAATCTCACTCCGGTTCCTCGGGTATCATCGCAGAAGACCGACGACAGCGGGAACAAGAGTGATGCCGATGCTTCCAAGGCAAAAGGCGAGGCTATGGCTCGATCCAATTCGCAACCAGTAGGAAATAAGACAAAGAAAGTTAGTGAGCGCGAAGCCCAGACGAAGCGCCTCTTTTCCACGAGCACCAAGAAACCTGCGCCGAAGAAGCCTGCTCCCAAGCCAAAACCTATTACTACCGAAGAAAAGGGAAGAAAGTTCCTGTCTGAAGAGAAGGTCATCGATTCCGAGAGTAGTGGGGATGAGAGGCCATTGTCGAGCACTACGACCTCGAGCGCACCGAGACCCAAGCCCATCGAGAAGCCCGTTGAGAAACCTATCGAGAAGATCGCCGAAAAACTTAACGAGAGGCGTATTGAAAAGCCAGCTCCGAAAGCAGTGGAGAAGCCAAAAGAGAAGCCGAAGGAAAGGCCCGCCCCGGTCACTCTCCCTAAGCCTAAGCCTGTTGTCAGGGCACCCCGACCACCAATTAAGGCATCTGCCCCAATTTCTCAGAAGCGAGGTCGGGAAGATGACGACAGTAGTTCGAGTTCCGGGGCACCGCTCAGCAAGCGAATCAAGCCGAAGGAGCTTCCTAAGCCACTTCCAAGTACGACAGCTCTAAAGCATCGCCCATCCGATGCAAGTCAAAGCTCAAGAAACGCAGTTGTGGGGACGGGCTCTTCAAACTTTTCAAAGAGCAAGAACACTTCACCCGCCAAATCTTCGCCTCTTGCATCGTCACCGCCGACTAATGCCTCCGACATTGAAGAGCAGGAGAAGCCACCCCAGCGTAAACCGAAACCCCAGGCTCGAAGCGGGGAGAGGGAGACGAACGGGATGACGAATGGTGGTGGCTCCTTGGGCGTTCAGAACAAGAAGCGAAAGGAACGAGATGTCGATCAGTACTCGTCACAGCAGTCTACTCCCAACAAGAAGCAGCAAGTGCCGAGAGACGTCCTGGTAAAGGCAAGAATGTTCACGAAGTTTTACGAACGATACGAGGCGTTGCATTATGAAATATCCGGATTGAAGGAACCACCCGAGGACAAACTGGCGGACTTGCTGGACATGAGGGAACGACTCGCTACCATGAAGACGGAAATCTCACAGGCCGTTGCTGCTCATTAATGCTACCTGCCTACACGCCACGCAGGAGCACTTAAAAGCAATTGAAGAATCGGAGTTGAGACCTAGATCGTATCGATGATTTTATTTTTCAAGCAAGGAGCGAAAGCGGCCGCTTCAATTCTGGACAGCAGGCTTGCTTTATCTAACGAAGTCACCTTATATCTATAATGACGAATGAAAGCGTATCCAAAGGCGGCAGGTTTTGCATTTTTATTATTTATCGATGGTATTGACCATCTGGCGAAATATTGGCTATTGCATTTTTTGGGGCAACTTGCTTTTTTTTATACAACTGGATCTAGCATAGGTCGAAACAGGAACAGCATGACACAACTGGCACAGGCATTCGGATACTTATTACCCTGCATAGGACAAAAAACGGCGTGGATATTTTGATGCTCGGAACGTTTGAGAGCATGAGGAGTTTTTTTTTTATGGCGACTTAGCTACCTATCTAACAAATGTTGGCATGTACACAGGCGTGGTATGCGTCCTTTAAGTCTACTATGAGACCAACATGGAATGAATTATCCTGATCTTAAAACTGAGTCACTGTTGATCTATCGCTTGAGTGATCTGTATGCGTGAGGACATAGGTGTGGGTGGAGTAGATTCTATTAGATGCCTTTATTCGCAGACGAGAGTCACGGTGAGGAATCTTTTACTAACATATATCGATCAAGGTGGTGCAAGTGTAACAACGAATATTGACCAAGGTCATGATAGACTTCAGCGAGACTTGTTTACATACCTAGGTATTCACTAAGAGACACGGGCACCTGCCCAACAGAAATATGCCTTAGGAAAGGGGTAAGTATGGGAGTGGGATTTGAATTTACGATGCTGACGCGGCTCGTGGCACGGATATCGGCCAGTCGCGCAGTTGGTGGTGATACTTGGAGGAGTCATCGGTGTGCTTATCCGCTATTATGTAGATAGATTCTAGGTGGATATTTACGAGGCCCAAGCTATCGGGTGAACTCGAGGGGTGTGCGAGGTAGTCGTTGCGCCGTTCACACGCGACATATGGGTTACCGACGGCATGGTAGGTTGGAGATGGAAACCTCAGTATGGTGGGATAGCAGGCCGTTGGGGAACATGATGATAGGACTAAGAGATAGAGCGGGCGTTGAGGATGGGCTCTTAGCCATGGCTTTAGGGAGCGTTTGCAGGTGTGTATTCGTTTGGTTTGTACACTTATATCCATACGCATGTGTTTTTCTACGTGCATGCATGTATGTCTAGATACCTATATGTCGACGTAAAGCTGCTTCTGCATCTATTCGCACCAACGCAAAGTAAAACCTCTAGACGACCTACCTACCTACCTTCCCAGATAATTACCGCCCTGCGTAAATCGGCGCAAACAGCAGCAACAGAAATGATTCCAGCAACTAAGTCCTGCCTATTCCTCACCAATAACCAGGGTCTATCATCTACCGGTATCTCAGATAGGCCATCGTGTCCCGTCACACGACCACACAGCGCAGGCCAGTGGGCTCTGCGAACTAGTGACACAAAGCCTTTGGTTTCGGTGAGGAGAATTCTCGTGGGTATGAGGTAGATAGACTTGACTGTTGTGTGGTCACATTACCTAACTACATGCAAGCCGACATAACGGGCCTCATCGCCATCGCCACCAGACGCGGTGACATCGCGGCCGGCCAATGAGGCCGGGCACCGCCTCGGCGCGCCGCGGTGTAGGTCTGCCATCCCAACGAGCAACGTATATAACGTCCAACGAGCAACGAGCAACATGCGGCTACTAGTCGTTGCAGACCAGTGAGGGAGTAGTGGCGTTACATACATACATATATGTACGTATATCAACCCCAGCTCAGCCTTGCCGGGTCGTTTGACTTCTGAACAGGGATGGACGTCGTCTCGGGAAGGCAGGCTGCATATATACCTATTACCTCCTCGCATTAGGTAGGCATGTAGACATTATTGACATCATATCATACAGCTCGAATCGACTCGTCGTCTTTTCCCCCACAAACCGCTCACCCCAACAGCGTCGGCGCCGAGAACCTCGGAGGCGAAGGCGTCGAAAGAAATCGCAGTCCAGCCAGCCAATCCCCGATCTCGATTCTCCAACTACCGATCCCCAATCCCGCGCGAGAGAAATATGTGACTCCAGGTTCCCAGGTATCACAGCCTTGCAGTTTCGATTCGCGCCGGAGGCTTTTCCGCCAAGATTCCCAGGTTTGAGTTTCGAGTTGCACGTTCCCGGGTTCAAATGTTCCAAAGTTGTTGCCCGACTGCAGCTGCGCCTCAAAACGGCCTAGGGCTGCTGGACATCGGTCTAACTGGTCCGAGCACGGATTTGCCAAGAAAGGCTAGCGCTGAATGTAAACGTTGAGAGGGTGCTACCGAACCACAGTGTCGGGTCGGCTAATCGGTTAGCGTGGCGATTACGCATGGACCACCCATTCCGTTTTGGGCTGTCCGGGGTTTTCTTTTTTTGACAGGCGCAGAGGCGTTGGGGTCAATGGACTTCGAGATGTACAGGTACGTACAGTACATCGCACACAATCGTCCTATCTTGAGCGTCCAGCATGTCGTGGGTGACACAACTTATGCTGTGCAAACCTCCTATATCGCATTCTCGTTCCTAAACTAGCCGTGAATGTCACTTGTCTCCAAACCCATCTCCAAGTTGTCGCACAATCAATCGCATACCACCCACTCTAGCTATCACGCCGTAGGCCAGGAACCTGGGAAATGAAGGCATATCCAAGTATCTCTCTACGCTAAAGCCGCACCTATGCAGTAGATCGGGGCTTTCTGGTTGGACAATGGCAGCACTATATTAATACCAGCCTTGATCCAAGAATGGTAGATTCCGCCCCTGTAGGGATTAAAATAGCTAAGGGGGCCTCTATAATGAAGCTACCTACGCTACTGTACATGTAGCACGTTCGTGATCTCTCTTTTCGCTTGGATGGGTAATAGGTAGTTGCAGATGCAAATCCATATGGCTAGCAAAAGGGGAAGAAGACGTCGGTTAGGAAGAGAGTTCGAACAGGTACAATGAAGGGGGGAGATTTATTGTACCAGTACGGCCATCTTGAGAATTGAATGTATCACGATAAGCTTGAGGTTGTAGGCCTTGTGACCGGTTGCGATAACCAGTCTAAGCGTATATCCAGAGAGGGATAGGAAATGATTAGATGCGTCTTAGCAAACAAGTAGGAGAGATGAAGCTAGATTTGTTGCTAATACGCTGTTTGACCTAGTTATAGCGTTTGCATAGGTAGTTGATGCTGCAAATTTCGCTTTGTTGAAAACCGTTGACACAGGTTATGAACAAAGGATTAGCGATGCAATCTGCAGCACGATAGCCTCATAGATGTACTTATCAGTAGCCGTATCGTATACAAATGACCCAGACTTCCCAATAACTCCGTTGATCTTGTAATCGTCTGAATATCATTGTCTTGGAGTAAACAGAATGGGTAGGTCGAATAAAGACAGGCTCATTCGAGAGCCAAGGACTCTTCGTCATCAACAGGCAAGACATCTCCATGGCGGACCACCCATGTATCCCCAACCGCAGTCCCCTCACGTGGCCACGTACAGCCTGAACGGAGCAAATTACTTTCCACATCCATGTAGCTACCGAGGTAAAAGCTCAGATAGTCGGTACGGGAATTCCGACGGTAGTGGTCTAGGGTCACGATCAAAGCCATCCTCCAAGTTAGAGGGAGAGGGAAATTCCACCTCTCCTGTCTCCAAGACATCGAACTCTAGAACCAATGAAAGCATCGGCGCAGAGTTGAAAGTCTCGCTTGCAGCGAAACATTTAGCGGATCAGATCAGCGAGAGCAAGAAGTATTGGGTCAAATTTCAGAAGAATTTCGAAGAAGAGGTGGCTGGCATCAGGTATTATGTCGGTGATGATATCCTTCAACAAATATGGCAAAAGAGAATCGAGTACAATAGCAAGTACAAGAATGGGGAGACCAAAGACGACGAAGAGTTCAGCATTCAACGGATGAAATTGGAAACATGTCTAGACCAAGTAGACCAGGCTGCGAAGGCATTTACTCGATCCCGACAGACAAATGATCGCTCCAATCATGATCCTCGACATCTTGCTCTGGACAAGATTCATGGAGTTGGGGCGCTCGTTCTTAAATTGGCCACGAAGTCTGCATTGAACAGTGCGTCATGCGTAGATCTAGTGACGGAAGCATCTAACCTCGAGAAGCTCGTGAATTTGAAAAGTCCGGATGCTCAAGTGTTGCACCAATTCGACAAGCGAAAAGCCAAGGGCGCTGTGTCCGGTCACGGAAATGAAAGTGCAAACTCGAATGATCCAACATCTCGAGAAGCGGTGGAATTGCTCAACCAGGAAATAATGATCGAGACAGAGAGTAAAGAAGGAGGAGCTTGGTGCTAATTCACAAGGGCAGCTCAATATGCCCGGCGTGCTAACGTCAAATGACACAACAGGGCGATTATTGTTGTGGTTAAGTTCCGGCGTTTTTGTCGATGTATCGTTAGTAGTATCCTTAACTTAGATTTGGGGTTAATATTAGTATTCACTCACCTAAAAGAAAAAAAGGGTGAAGCATCGTCCTCATCAGAGTAATCAGAATCGAATTGTAGGCACATATTCCTCAGAAGAGAAACAAGCTTCCCACGCTGCGTATCGCACTTAAGTGGTCTCACACACAATCTCCGCAACGACTCTCCCATAGGAACATAACTCCCCCGTCTTCTCCGTGAGGATATACACGAGGTGCCAGCCCTGCTTTTCTGATGCCAATTTGCAAACGTGTGAAATCATCACGCCAGACCCTTACGGGCAGACCCGTCAATCCCACACCGGGCGGGCGACTAAGGTAGTGATGAAGATTACTCCGAATTTCTCATGAGCGGATAAATTCAGTCTAGACCCCGAAGAGAATAGGCTTGATGAGAAGCAGCTCGCGCGGCTTCTCCGTTTGTAGCTCAGAAACGCAGCGTTGATGAGGACGATGCTTGAGGAAGGAAGATTCAAAAAGCAAAGGCGGCCAGCGAATTTTTGAGTCATAGTCAAAATTCCCGGTGGGGTGGCTTATCGATAGGACCAACCAATCAGATTTAATTCAGGATCCACATTCAGCCACATGCATTAACCTTATTCTAGCCAATAGACGGTACAGAAAGCAAAGACAGTGATCCACAACGGGTAATCCCTCAATCCCTTTGCAGGGGTCAGGATGTTTTTTTTCTTCACGGACCCCGATAGTCCTGAATCGGCAGCATGATGTTATCGTAAACGTACCTGGCTAGACCCGTCCATAAAATATTAAATAAATCCATCACTGGTCATATCAGAATTCGGACTTTTCTTCCACTTACTACCTCTTCAACGTGATCTATACAGTATATAATGTCAGCCAAAAACTATCGTGAAATCCTCATAATGTCTTTCTCCCGGTGACAAATCTAATTATTTCCCTTTCATTTGTTCTATTTCTTTGACCCCTATTATCTTTATTAGACTTTTATAGACCGCTATAGACAATAGACGGAACATTTTCCCTCGATAAAATGTCCATTTCCATTGAGGATTTCCCTCAAATTTGGCAGAAGCCCTCGGCCGAGGAACTTCTAGCGTCTCTTAAGAAGCTCCAGGTAAAAACGTCCGAAATACCATGCCTAACAAAGCGGCCAAAGACTCACTTTGACTAAGGTCGAGCCTCCGATATGGAGTCCTAAAACCTCGCGAAAGATTATAATAGAAACTTATCAAAACGCTGCCCGGTTTCGTCTCGAAGTTGCCGCCTACTTGTCTAGTATAGTCTCGAGTAGTCTCGGATGGATTCAGGATGACGATGAAAAGGAGGCGTTGTGGGATGAGGCGAGCCGTCGCATTTCGGAACGTTGTGGTCGGGCGGGAATGGGCGAAATTACGCGGAGGTGGCCCTTAGAAACCCAGGCGTCGTCTCCGTTTGAACTCATCATTCGAGAGCCTCCTATCATTGGCGACTGTCTTGGCCTAAAAACCTGGGGATCTTCCTTTCTATTAGCACAGTCTCTAGACAAGATCGCGGAAAAGTCATTATTCCACTTACTCCAATTGGGACACCCGAACCCGTTTTTGGACGTTCTCGAACTCGGTTCCGGCACGGGGCTCTTGGGAATGGCTGCTGCAGCAATTTGGCAGACCAATGTGGTTTTGACCGATCTTCCAAGCATCATGCCCAATCTTGATTTTAATATCGAGAAGAACCGATCAACCATCGAAATCTTAGGAGGAGGAGTTGAGTCTGGTGCTTTGACGTGGGGCTCTGAGGAAGACAACGCCGGGCAATTTAGCGAGAAGAATCAGTTCAAAGTTAGCCATCCAGTCTCTAAAACAATAACAACTTCTCCTTTGCTAACCTGACTTAGATCGTTCTCGCCGCAGACTCTCTATACGACGATGACCACCCTGAGCTCCTGTCGTCAGCCATAGATGACCATTTGATGACAGACAAGGATGCCAGGGCCGTTGTAATGGTCCCCCAAAGAGATTTGGTCACTAAAAAATTAGTAGTAAAATTTCTATCACTCATGGCATCTTCTAATTTGGTAGTTATAGAAGAGCACACTTTAGTCGGGCAAGATGATTGGGATGATGATAGAGAAGACTCAGGAGTAGAATGTTGGTGGGCAGTCTTCGGGAGACAATGATACCCATTCGCTCTCACACATAGACAATGTTTTCAAGACATAGAATTATAGATCACTAGTAGATAGATGAATAGATAGGTAGGTAGGTAGATAGGCAGATGGTGAGTTGAAGGATAGATTGAGGAATAGATTTCTCATGTGTTACTCCTCACAGCGGATTAGGGAAAACCCCCCTTCAAATCCACTTTTCCCTTCATTGTTATCTTCCTCTTCGTCTTCTTCTTACTCTTACCCACATTAAGTCCTGGTCATACAGTTAATGATAATTGAAATACATGTGTACATCTTTACTCATTAGTACCGATACTTCTCTAGTGGAGTAAAATAGCGCAAGAAACAAGATGAATCAACTCACCTCCTTATCGATGAAGGAATGAATTAAGATGCTAGAACATCAATGGATTCCACGTCGCGATTCTAACAAGGGTCAACTGTTTTACCCCCCAATCTCCTAGAAAACAAACTAAGAACGAATTATCCCCAACAAGAAGAGCCAAGGGCCGCCTAACAAGGCATATTCAGATGATCAGGGAAACAATAACATACCTAGTTCATTTGCCACCTATTCCTATTATGAATCACGGGGGGGTGAGTATTAATGTTATGGTCGTTCTTAGATCCAATGGGTCAACCAATTCGCGCTAAAGAATAGTGTCCATACAGTATAACTATGAGTTACGCAAATCTTACCCCCGCGTGATTGTAATCTTTGAACTGTGTGTTCTCCATCGAGGCTCAACAATACAATCAGGAGATCGAGAGGCGCAGATACAAGCCAATTCGCTTTGTACCTAGTGGTCGTGTATGTCTAGGCCGCTATGGTTGCCCACACACTATAATCCAGGGGGTACTCTACCTAACTAACGTGTATTCCAGTAGTAGGGATAATCACTCATGCAGCGCAGAGAGTTAACTTATAGCTCTGACCCAAGAGAACCTAACATGAGAGTAACAGGTCTCCCATGCTAAGTTGTATTAGCTAGATTACCTACCGAGGACTTTTTTTTTAAAAAAAAAAATGATGACATTTATGATACAGAGAGGTTGGCATCATGGCTTGTAAATCGATGATAATTTATCCTTCGCCCTCTAGACACCTGATGTAGTTGGCAATGAGTTGGTTGTGATAAGTTCCTATTTACATGACATCCTTACCCTTTTTGCAATTACTGTATGGTTAAGTACTGAGTCGACCCCCTATGGACGTTGCTAGATTTACCTATGTGACAGTGCCGGATTAGTTACGTTTGGCCAGGAATATAGACAATTAGCTTCCATCATAGGAATACACGCCAGAAGATGGATCAAGACAGCCCCCTGATTATATATATTGAACTAGATACAAAGAAAAGGCCATCATGAGTTACTCTCTCTTCCTACATGGATGGAACAGCAATAGGAGAGTAAGAAGATACATCATCCCTTGATCCACACAAATAGCCCTCTGTCACTTCTTAGTATTTTGTATTACAGACTACCATTGGACTTCCCATGACGCAAATATTCCCAATTTCTCTAGATCTAAGGATGATTCTCTTTGAGGATGATTTTTAACTAACTCTACAATCGGATTCCTACATGCCTCCATCGTCATCAACTGAGGCTCCACATGAAAAGCTCTAAAAAACCCTTCTATTCACGAGACTCCTTTACTTATTTCATCGTGGACTCACTATGACTTGATTAATCTGAATAAATACCTCCTAAAAGTAGTATGATCCCATATGAGACAGTATCTATCACCCATAATATGAATCTCCCAACATTTCCCTCATAATGTGGCTCTCCTAGTAACATTCATCCCATCCTCCGTAGACGGAATCGACTCACCCAAGTCATCTGTATGAACCTTAGATGGGGCCCGGCATACACCAAGATGCCATTGAAGGCAATGGAATATTGTATTTAAGCTACCCAGAAAGCCTGGAAATATTTCCTTTTCTTTTCCTTTCTTAATCACAACACCGAGATTAAGAGAGCCTTGTAAAAGTCTGTCTCCATAGCAAGTCTCTCAAAGAATCTCTTTCCATTCTCTCTATTACAATACATACATTGCTATCATTCGTTAACGTAACCAATAGTTTTTCTCATTCACAATGGTATGTTTATCACCCTCGACCTTTGTTATATTGCAGTAAAACCTACCCTAAGGACTTGAATTTGGCTGATATTAAAATGGAAATAGTCTGGAACCATGGAAGGTGATGAACAGACTCGCATGGCTCGCCCTCGATGGAAGAATTACCCTGAGGCGATCAACTTCATTCTAAAGAGAACAATCCCGGCACACCCAGTACCCCGTGGTAGCTTTCGCCAGCTATATCCGAACGTTGCCAAGCAGGTCAATGAAAAATTCGATTTCGGAGGACGAAAGGCTGATGCCGTCGGCATCAAATATGTGACCGAGAAGTACGGTTCGGACCCTGTCTTTGGGTAAGTAATAAACGATAGCGGATGGAAAAGTAAAGGAGTCTAGATAGCTAACATTCACTTAGCAACCGTAAGATGCAGGTGGTGCATCCTGTCAAGGGAAAGGCCAATACCAGAGAAAAGAAGAACCTCTTGAGAGCGAAGCGAGCGGTCGCGAACGGCGGTGGAAGCCTCATGATTTGCCCTCATTGCGAGGGAAATGGATTCGTGGATACCAAGGAAGAGGCAGAAGACGAGGACGATATGTTCCAAGGGAGCCAGGGAATGGCAACAGATCCTCCAACCCCTATAGTTCATGGAGGGAATGGAGCTATGCAACCAGACCCGGCCAATACACTCGCCGGCGCGAACTCTTACCAGGGTTTCCAGCAACCTACTGGAAATGCTGGTAACATGTATGGTCCGTCATCCATGGCTCACATGCCTGGTGGTTATCCTGGCCCGTCGCAGCCTGGGCAAGTCTCTCAAATGAACTACCAATACCCACCACAAGTTCCGGCACCGGCCGTAATGGGCGACAACAACGCTTATGGGAATTTCCAAGGCGGTATTGAGCCAAACCAAACATTCCAGAACACCGGTGGATGGAATAGCGCAGGCAATGCAATCGACCAACAGTTCCAGGGTGGACAAGCATTCGGTTTAGGACCTGTCGAGGTAAGCTATTATATACCAGTATGGTTGACAAGAAACCAATGAGCTAATGCTTCTAAACAGAACCAGCAGGCTACCCCGATGCCTCCTCCCACCGTCCATTACGGATGGCGGGATAACACGACTATGGGCGCGGGTGAGATTGGCCACCAGAATTATGGGCAGATGATCCAAGGAGGAAACGTGCCTCAAACGAACGAACTCATCCACATAGATCCAGCCTTGAGATCCGGGACTGTTAATGGTCAGCTTTCGGCCGGCGGAGGGAACATCATAGCAAGAACACCTGGATCCGGATTGAGACCTCAGCCTAACAACGCCGGGGGCAATGCTGGCTTATATGGGAATTCGCAAGGAGGGAACCAAGCGACAACTTCGGCTCAGGCCCAGATTCAGCCTCAGCCTCAGCCTACACCTGTCGCAGGTAATCGACCTTCTGGACCGGTGTCCGCTGCCGGTGCAAATGTCAATCACCTCCCCAATGATTTTTCATTTGAAAATCCCGGGTTTAACCATGGTTTGCAATCTGCTCAGTTGAATGGTCCCTTGACAGACACCTCCAATGGCAACGACACCAATCTTGACAACCAGAATTTTACCATCAACGAGGACTTCAGCTTTCTGGAGTACTTGAACGATAACAGTGACTTATTCAAGGTTTGAGCGGTTGGTCTGTCCGTGTCCACTGTCCGTCTGTCTGGTTGGGAAAGATATGTCGATGAAAAACTGGTCTTGAAGTTGAACACATCGTACAACACAGGGCTGCCTGTTTCTTATGGGAATTGCTGAGTTTGATTTTGGAGTTACTGCATCATGGAGTCTGGGAAAGAAAAAAAAGGTTGAGAAGGAAAGGGACACTGAAAATCAAACCCTTGGAGTTCTGGTTTGATTTCACAGATCTATGTTGATTTCTGGTGTGGGTGGGAATTGTCTAGTTGATCCTGAAGTTAATAAATAAAAAATGTCATAAAGAACATGTGAATACTTGCGACTGTCTCCTAAGGGAAGGTTAGAGAGAGCCTCTGTTCACTATTTTGCCCTTTAACAATATCTTGGATCAACTGTACCCAGGGTACGTACCGGTCAGCTTAGTGTAACATCCACATCTAGTGCGATTTGATGAAATCAAACCTTAATTAGATAAAGTAATTATTACCTAGCAGCCTAGGTGGTAGGTACACTGTTGTTGAGGTCTAGCAAAGAGGAAAGTAGGCACATGTAAGGGGTTGTAACGAAGATAAGAAAGGATTCAAATGGTGGAAAGGGCGACGTGATCGCCGTGCCTGCCTAGTAGTACTGTATCTTGCTTACGTATAAACTTTAAAGGGATCAAAGATGATCAGCAAGAGCTTCCCACAGAAACGAAGATCCCTGGCTCCTACCGACGTTCATCATCGTCTAAACTTAGATTCTCACGTGGTTGACAAAGAACAAACACCTCAAGGTTGAAGTCGTGGGGTACGTATCGCGGAGTGTGGAGTGCATGGCTCCTGCCGTGGCTATCTCTCGGTTAAATAGCGGTAGAATATAGAGTTGGCTCGTGCGTTATCTTTAGTGCTGTCGCGGCTGCCCAAAGGGGGACCGTTCGCGGCTTTGAAGAGGATTCCTTCATTCTCGTTTTCATACTCTTTCGTAGCCTTGTCCGTCCGACCTGCAGAGGTCCTTCCAAACCGTATCAATTCCTCGAAAGTACGGTATCTACTTACACGTCACTTCACACCTTGACCCACCGCCTGCCAATTCGTAAAATACAAAACTTACGTCCCGCCTCCCACCTTGCAATCGTTTTTACTTAATCCCCCACCGCCGACTCTTTTTTATCGATCGTCGATTCTCCTTCCTACCTTTCATCTTGAAATCTCCGGTATTGGATATCGACCGCTAGCCATGGATCAACGAGAGCTAGAGTCGCGCGTCAAGGCGCTTCACAAGGCTGCCCAGTCTAACGAGCCTGCTTCTAACCTTCTCTCTATTATGGAATCGCTTCGTGTTGCTTCGCCTACCGAAGAGATGCTGCGCGTAAGTTATCCGAAGCATCTGATCAGATCTTACTACCTTTCTCCGAGACATACCTGCCCTATCACACACCCTTGCGATTATCTTGCGAAATAGCTGGTTGTCTAGTTACTCCGAAACATCCTGACCTACCCAGCCTACCCTCCCCTCCTTGCTAATGCCGTCATTCATGTATGTATGTTTCACTTACACCTGCTAACGACAAGTCCCTTGTACCAGACTACCAAAGCAGGCATTGTTATCGGCAAGCTCCGAGGCAACCCGAACAAGGAAGTGGCTAAGGTCGCTGGCGAAGTGGTCGCCAAGTGGAAGAAGGGTATCGAGGCCGAGAAGCGAGCAAAGGGTTTGCATCCAGCTAAGGCGGCCCAGAAGGGCTCCGTGTCACCTGCCTCTAAGGCCGCATCTCCCGCTCCGAAACCCCTCGTGGGAAATAACAAGGCCTACCAGGGCGACGTCGAGAAGCGCACGTTCAAGTCCGACGGCGTCAAGATCGCAATCACCGGCTCCACGACCCGCGACAACTGCATCGGCCTACTGTACAACGGCCTCGCCTACCGCTCGCGGGAGTCCGAAGACAACGTGATTCAGCGCGCAGAGGAGGTTGAGCGCGCAGCCTTCAAAGTGTACAAGGGCGAGACGAAGGAGTACAAGGAGAAGATACGATCGCTATTCCAGAACCTCAAAGTCAAGACCAACGCTGAGCTCGGCCGTAACGTCATGTCGGGCTCCATCACGGCCGACCGATTCGTCGTCATGGGTAGTAAGGAGCTCATGTCCGCGCACCAGCGTAAGGCCGATGCCGAGGCCGAGCTCGAGAACATGAAGAAGGCCCAGGTACCCATGGCCGAGAAGTCCATCAGCGACAGTCTCGAGTGCGGCGGCTGCAAGAAGAAGATGGTCAGCTACAGCCAGGCCCAGACACGAAGTGCCGATGAACCGATGACTACTTTCTGCGAGTGCATGAACTGCGGAAAGCGTTGGAAGGTGAGTTTACATTCTACACTTACGCTTTGCGTCCAAATAAGCAATTAAGCTTAATACTTAGTTTGCCGCTATGGATATTAATACTAATCTTGGTATAGTTCTCTTAATCGCTACATTTCTTCTGGCCTATCCATCTTGTCTCACTTAAGGGAGGGTCTTTCTTCCGAAGATGAGCCACGTTCGATACGGTTTTTCTCATGAGGTACATGAGGTTCATAAAGCATCACACACCATGCAGTAGAAATGGGTGGTATGCGGGCGTCTCGGAATCTCGGTCTTCAAACCGATGTAGGGTGAATTTTACAACCAACGGCTATGTTTTCTACGCGAGGAGTTTGGGCAATAGATGACAGGCATGGCACTTTGCTAAGGAATACACCCCCTTCTATTCTAGTAATACGAAATCATTCGATTTATGTTCGTAAGCTTTTATTCGTAGTTTCTTATTGTCCTTATTCTTTATATTGTTTTATCTATATGCTTGAGGGTATCATCGCGGCTTTTCAATACCTAGTAGTGTCAGTAAGTTGTCCGGCTTAGCTTCATCCTCTAATCCCGACTCCGCGATTTTCTTCCAGAATTTACTCAGGTGCCGCGTTCCGGAGTCACACAAGATCGTTACAACCGTGCTCCCCTCGGGCAGGCTTAGGGCCGCGACTACGGCGGCAGTGCAATTCACCGCACTACTACTTCCGCAGAATATGCCGTCGTGCTCGACCAACCATCGCGCCATCTTGCATGCTTGGGCATCCGTCACTCGTACCGCCGTATCGATCAGGTCGCGCCCTTCTTCTAGGTTCTCCGTTACTCGATTAATTCCCACTCCTTCGACAATAGAGTCGACCTGTTGCCGCCGCCGCGTCCCTTCTTTCTCGGTCGATGAGTACATAACGCCGTGTCGGATCTTGTTATATAATCCGCTCCCCTGCGGATCCGCGAGCACCACCTTGAGCTTGTTGAGTTTCGCTACTTCTTTTAGGTACTTGGCGACTCCTGACATAGTGCCCCCGGTCCCGGCGCCTGCCACAAATGCATCGATTTTCCCAGAGGTTTGGGCGTAGATCTCCGGGCCCGTGGTGCGCATATGTGCCTGGAAATTGAAGGGCGACTCGAATTGATCCGCGAAGAACCCGACGCTAGAATCAGCACTGGATTCCGTGTGCTCTTTTGCGCGGCGTCGCGCGAGGTTGACGAAGTGTTGGGGAGATGTGATGGGTTGGACAGGCACACGCTCCACTGTGGCGCCGAGATGGTGTAATAAGTCCGATTTCTCCATGCTCTGGTCATCTGGCATGCAGATGTGCGCGCGGTACCCCTTTGCGCGGGCTAGAGCCGCGATCGAGATCCCTGTACTGCCAACAGTTCCTTCGTAAATGGTGTCTCCACGATTCGGGACTAAAATGCCGGCCTCTTCGGCGGCCTGGATCATGTTAAGGGCTACACGGTCCTTAGGGCTGTTGCCGGCGCCGTTGAGGAACTCAGCTTTGGCTAGAATTGTGCGACCTGTGGCTTCTGATAGGCTGTGGATTCGGATAAGTGGTGTGCGACCGATGCACCCTTCGATACCTTCGCTGATGCCCTCGTCCCGCGGAACAAACGCTCCGGGCACGGCGACACCATCGCGCTCTTCACGGTCTTCTAGCTCGACGGGACCCCAGAAGAGGCTGGATCGCCGGCGGGCATCCGATGCGCGTCGCGGTGGTTTTGCTCGCCGCCGTTGCTGGAATCGACGTTCTAAGTCTGGATATAAGTCCTTGAAACCGAGGGTCACTAGGACGCCGGTGATGAAAGCCAGTGCGACTGCGGCGGTGCCGTAGGCGCGGGGATGATCGCTCAAAGCCATTTTTTTCTGCGGATCTCCGTTCACCAACTTGTTATGTCGATCCTGCGTGTTTCCAACCCATCGCAATCCAGCATAGACAAGTAGGAATAGTGTGCCCAAACTGTTGATATGTATGTAATTCTTATTACTGGTCAAGTGACTTATTGCCTGATTCGAGAGACGAATTACGTCAAATATGAAATATGCAACATACGTCAGTCACAAAATTTCGAGCGTTACTGCCCTGGTTAATATAGCGATATCCCACCATCCCACCTTTCTATACGTAGGTACTTCCACAGAAGCTTAAAAAAAGCTCAAACCAACCCGCCAATCAACTTAACCTTAAATTCGACCCCCCCTTGTAAAGCCGGCGATAACCCGAACCGTCTATCAAAAAAAGCTTCCCGCAGGGCCACCCGCATCGTTCTCTCACGCCACGAACAGTACTAAAGAGTTTCAAAAGTCCAAACTATGGACTCCCCGATCGTGACCCAACTCTTTCGCCAGTTGTTCAGGCATCCAGCTTGTCAATCGAGGAGGAACCTTGCCACGTTGTCTTCCTGTCTTCGATATGGACGACGAATCCATCAGCTTCAACATGAGCAAAGGCGGCACAAGGCCACTCGGCCGCACGTAGTCAGAGGAGCTAAGAAAGGATTGCCGGATAAGGAGAGGCACTGGCAACAGAGAAACGACTTATTTTCAATCGACATGTCGGACGAATATAAAGCCTTTCCGGCAGTAACGGCGAATGGTCTAAGGTCAAAGTCGGAACGTCCGCGGCAGGTCAAAATGCTCATGCGGGACTTCATTGAAGGTTTGCTTTTTACATATATTGCCATATACCATATATACCAGAACCCAGGACATAATAAACTTACTTGCTGTTTCTAGATAGCCTGTATAATCCAAACTATGGCTACTTCTCCAAACAAGTTGTCATTTTCACACCCGGCGAGCCTTTCGATTTCAACGCTATAGCAGACGAACCGGGTTTTTACTCTGAGCTAGGGAGGCGGTATACCGAATTCGAAGATGCGTTAGATGCTAAGGACAAGCAAGTAAACGACACGCGACAAATATGGCATACCCCTACAGAGCTTTTCCGCCCTTACTACGGCGAAGCGATCGCGAGATACCTCATGTCGAACTACCTCATGTCCACGTACCCCTACCACGACCTCATCATCTACGAAATGGGAGCCGGTCGCGGAACCCTCATGCTCAATATCCTAGACTACATCCGCGACATCGAGCCCGCCGTATACGACCGCACAAAGTTCAAAATCATCGAAATCTCGCCCTCGCTCGCGGCCCTCCAAAACTCGCAACTACTGTCAACTGCCGCTACCAGGGGTCACGCTAACAAAGTCGAGATTATAAACAAGTCCATCTTCGACTGGAACGAGCGCGTGCCATCCCCGTGCTTCTTCCTAGCCATGGAAGTCTTCGACAACTTCGCGCACGACGTCCTGCGCTACGATCTCGACACGGAGGAGCCGCTACAAGGCACCGTAATGATCGACGCGCAGGGCGATTTCTACGAGTTCTACGAGCCGACGCTCGACCCCGTCGCAGCGCGGTACCTGCGCGTGCGCCACGCCGCCACGCAGGGCCTCTACCGGGTGCCGTACCCGACATCGCGCGCGGCCCGCTGGGTAAAGAAGCAGCTCCCCTTCGCCCCCAACCTGTCCGAGCCGGAGTACATCCCCACGCGACTGATGCAATTCTTCGACATCCTCGAGAAATACTTCCCCGCCCACCGCCTGCTCACCAGCGACTTCCACACCCTCCCCGACGCCGTCAAGGGCCTCAACGCCCCCGTCGTCCAGACCCGTTTCCAGCGCCGCATGGTCCCCGTCTCCACCCCGCTCGTGCATCAAGGCTACTTCGACATCCTGTTCCCCACGGACTTCCGCGTCGTCGAGGCCGTGTACCGCGCTATCACGGGGAAACTCACGCGGGTTTTGAGCCATGAGCAGTTCATGACGAGTTGGGCGTATGTGGAAGATACCAGGACGCGCAGCGGGGAGAACCCTTTGTTGAGCTGGTATCGGAATGCTAGTGTTTTGGTTACTGTGTAGTAAGGACGGCGGCTTTGGTGCGTGATGGGGACTTGGGGCTTGGGACTTGGGTAAAAAGCATGGGGATGGTGTTATGGTGTCAGTAGATATGGACGCATAGGAGCGGAAGCGGGTATATCGACGGTGGCATATGTGTTTGTTCATACCTACCTAGGTAGTTACTTACATAGTATACGTATACCTGCGTGCCCGAGGTGTATAAACCGCTGGGCGAAAGCCTCTGCGATAGTAGAAATAAAAAAAAGCGTACCTACCTATTCACTTATTTGAAGAAGATTGCGCAAGAACATCGTGAACTATAATAAACTACTACTTGCATTGCACTCAAACACCACGATAAAAACATTTTAATCACAAACGCAAATACCATTGCATTGCATATCTCGAGCCGTCGCGACTCCTACTTCAGTGTCTAGCCTGGCATCTATAACAGACTTTTGCTTCCCATCCCCTAGGTAGCGTTTTTAGTTTCTTGGTATCTCTTTTCCCCCTACTCTACTTCACATCTTCTTTACCTCCACGTAGCCGTAAGTAGAGTTTCCTTTCCTCGTCTGCTTAGCTACCTAAGATAAGAGTCCATAAGGGAATTCGATGCCCGTGCGTAGTGTCAGCCTAGATAATTCGAGAAAGCCGACGGCATAGCTCGATGGTATAGTACATAAGCTGAACTAAACAGAACCGGTCAAACGGGCTTCATGCCGATGGGAAATTCAAATCTTCAATTTCTCGGCGAGCCACTTCTCGGCGACGGCAACCGCCTCGTCAATCTTATCCGCGTTTGTGCCCTGGCCTTGGCGGGTCGGCTCTTTTCCGCCAGACTTGCCGCCCACTACCTGGCTAACAGCCTGGGACCAGCTCTCGGCGGTGACGCCTTGAGATGCGAAGTGCTGTAGTGGTTATTAGTACTTTTCCTTTCAAGGTTGGCGAGATATTGAGCTTACCGTTCCAACATATACACCGTGCACGACAGTGCCTTCGGCCTGACTACCTCCAAAGATATACACCGACCTATCCTTGTCCTTGCTCTTGAAATGGTTGACCACATCGGCAACAGCCTTCGCATTGGCCGAGATCGGGAGGTGTCCAATAAAGTGTTTAGCCTCCTTATTCTCGTCCTTCGCAAAATGAGCGGTCACTGTGTCGAGCGCAGTCTTGCTCTCAGCCTTCTGTCGCTTCTTCTGCTCGTCCACAACAGACTTGACCACCTTAGCGAAACGTGTCTTCAGATCCTCCTTAGTGAGGGTCGAGACGACGAGTTGGTTAAGGTCGACAGTGGTTTGCTTGACTTCGGCCTCTTTCTCGGGGCCAAATGGCAGGGCGTCGATAGCAGAGATACGCTTGGAAAACTCTTCGGCCTCGCGTTGCACACGGTGCGCGGCGTCTCCCGTGAATGCGACAATACGACGGATACCCTTTGCAATACCACTCTCTTCGACGATGATAAGGTCCTTGATGTGGCCAGTCTTGTCGACGTGTGTACCGCCGCAGAACTCAACACTAACTTTTCGCCACTCAGGGTTCTCAGGTGCTTCGAGTAGCATGTCAACGTCAACGCCGACTGAGACCACTCGCACTGGATTGGGATATGTCTCGCCAAAGACGGCGCGAACACCATTGATCTTCTTTGCAACGTCAAGTTCGACGTCCTTGGAGAAGATATTGCAGTTTTGTCGAATATACTCGTTTGACATATTCTCAATCTTCTTAAGTTCGGGCAGAGTAACCGCTGCCTTGTGGGAAAAGTCGAATCGGAGCTTCTCCTGGTCGACAAGTGAACCCTTCTGGTTAACCTCGTCACCCAGTACCTCTCGCAGGGAATGATTGAGAATATGCGTTCCTGTGTGGTTGTTTCGAATGGGCTGTCTCCTTAGCTCATCATATTCGCAGATAACCTTATCACCTGCCTTAAGTTCTCCGTACTTCAAGAACCCGTTGTGAATTATGTAACCTCCGAACTGCTGAACGTCTTGGACTTCAAACTCGGCAACATCGTCAATGACAATTCTTCCCGTGTCGGCAACCTGCCCACCTTGCTCGGCGTAGAAGTTGGTTCGGTCGAGTAGAAGTCCAAAAGGGGTATTCGGTGGAAGATCCTTTGTCGACTTGGCGAAATCTGTTCCAGTGTAGATAAGCTGAACTTTTCCAATTGTAGGCTCGATTTTGCTTTTGAAGAACTTGGGCTCGTCGTCAGGAACAGGTATTTGTAGAGTGTCCTTTAATTCGGCAATTTTATGGACATTCAGCTTGGCAAATGTCTGTACTGTCTCCTTAACTGCTTTGCTAGCCTCGCGAGCCTTCTCCCTTGCGATCGCAATTTCGTTTTCGTCGGTTTCAAGGCCTCGCTCTTCGGCCATAAGCTTGGTAAGATCTTCCGGGAAACCAAAGGTATCGTACAATCTCCAAACATCTGCTCCCGAAAGCTTCTTTATTCCGCTGTTAACTGCCTGGGCCGCATACTTCTCAAATTGTTTCTCTCCACGATCTAGAGTTCGAGCAAATGCTTCTTCTTCCTCGTCCAATATCTCCTTGATATCTTGCTGCTTCTTAACGAGCTCTGGGAACTGTTCGCCCATTTGATCAACTAGCGCAGGTAGGATCCTGGAGAAGAAGTTACCGATTTCGGCGTTAAAATATTTTCGAGCATAACGTGAACCTCGGCGCAACACACGGCGGACGACGTAGCCTCTTCCCTCGTTGTTAGGTGCAGCACCATCGGATATGGAGAAAGCGAGCAATCGTATGTGATCAGCAACTACACGGTAAGCAGTGTCAATGCCGTCCACATCATCTTTTCCATACTTGTCGGTGTAGAGTCGTGCGCCCGTGACTTCCTGGATCTTTTCAAAGAGTGGCGCGAAGATGTCCGTCGCATAGTTGGAGTTCTTGTTCTGAAGTGCCGATACCAATCGCTCAAAACCCATTCCCGTATCGACATGCTTGGCGGGCAAGGACTTGAGCGAACCATCTTTTTGACGGTCGAATTGGATGAAAACGTTATTCCAGATCTCCACTACCAAGGGGTCGTCTTGGTTGACTAGGTGCGCGGCATTGCGGCCACCAACCTTGTCATAGTGAACCTCAGAGCAAGGACCGCAGGGACCTTGGTCGCCCATCTCCCAGAAGTTGTCCTTCATGTTACCTGGCAATATGTGGTCTTCCGGCACGCCAACTGACTTCCACAGGTCCTTCGCCTCTAGATCGGGTGGGAGGTCCATGGCTGGGTTGCCTTCGAAGTAGGTGACGTAGAGTCTCGAGGGATCCAGCCCGTAAACTTTGGTTAGGAGTTCCCATGACCATTCGATCGCCTCTTTTTTGAAATAGTCGCCGAAGGACCAGTTACCCAACATCTCGAAGAAGGTCTATAATTCTAGTCAGTTTCTGAGAAGGGGTATTGGTGAAGCGCATTCACCTACATGGTGATAACTGTCTTTGCCGACACTAAAGGTTCGATTAGCATACGTTCAGGGTTTTTTGGCAGCGATTAACCGGGGTCACCACCAAACTCACTCGTCGAGATCCTACACAGCTTTAGTTAGAGTCAAGTACATAAAGAAATTCATATCGTAGGATATCGTACATTGTGTTTGCCACCAGCGCGTATACACTTCTGAGTATCGACGGCACGCTTCAATTTGGACATATCATCCGTACTCGCAACGGTGCCGAGGAATATGGGCTTGAATTGGTTCATGCCCGCATTGGTGAAGAGCAAGGTGGGGTCATTGTGAGGGACAACAGACGATGAGGGCACTGGCAAAAACGAAGTAAATTAGTATTTTTGAATTGGTAATTATGTAGAGAATGTTCGAAATAATGGTATAGATGCATCTTAAAATTCACCAGGCATTGGGTGGTGGTGTTTTGCTGTCGCGTACCTATCGTGTGTCCTCGGTTTTCGAAGAATTCGAGAAAGGTCTTGCGAACCCCTACGCCGGTCCACTTGGGGTCACCCATGATGGCGTGGGTGTTATGGGTGTTGGGGGCTGTCTTAGTCGAGAATCGGGACGAGTTTGGGGGATTAGAATAAAGAAATAATGATAAACGTGACGAGGATCCGAATTTGTTCGTTGTTGTGGAGAAAGTCGCTTTGGAAGTTGCTTTGGAAGTTAATCGAAGAATGTTTGTAGTCGGACCTGCTGCTTGTGTAGAAAAAGGATAGAACGTTCTACAAGCGTGACTCAATGATGCGCCGCCTATAAACGGCGACGGTCTGCCGCATTGGAATTTCATTCGCCTTTCACACCAATTGACCCCTAAATAACCAAACTTAAAAAACTCAATTTAGACCCCCGTCTACCCGTCTCTTTTGATAACACTGATACGTACTCTGACTCCTACGAGCGCAATCGGATCTCGAATTTATGCATTTGATTGGTTACGAGAGAGAATAATCAATAGTCAGTTATTTTAATGATTAAGTCGGTGATTGTAGCTCGGTGCATCGATATATAGTACCGTGGTACTTGCAAAGAATAGCTGCTCAAGTGGTGCACATGTGCTGTCGCTGTGGCGGCAGTAGTTGAAAAAGAAATCGATAAGGGTGGAATTCGAAGTTAGACAAAGTTAGATCGAAAGCATGGACGTCGAAATTGGTCCAGGCTCTCCCGCAATCGCTCTTTCCGCCTTCCAGCAAGCCAATCCTAGAGCTATGTACCTCCCCGCTAACACCGTTGCTGCTGCCGCTGCCGGGATCAGTCTTCCACCAGTTTCCATATCCAATTATCCGAACCCCAATTCCAATGCCTCCCACTATTATTATCATTCCAATTCGAACTTCACACAACAACCGCGGCAATACCAACACCATAACCAGCACTACACTCTCGATGTCGGTGGAGGGATGCGCAAGATGCGCAAGAGGAAAGCCGAGTCTCAGGACAATGAAAGACTATCCAAGAGACTGAGTCTCCTCAACCTGGGTAAGTGTTTCACCTCCATTCACCTCTATTCACCTTCATTCACTACCATATCCTCTTTCACCAATTGCGAGAAATATACTTCTAACATCGTCCCTCCCACCACAGAGAAAAATGGCAACAAACTCTACGTCCCAGTCGAGAGTCCGAAACTTAGGCCAACCGAATGCGCACTGACGCAAATTCCCGAGGACGACACAATGCAACTCGACGACTCGAAGCACAAAGTGTACATCTACAACCTCGACGATGAGCTCTCTGAGAGCGAGTCCGACGGCGAAGGCCGCTTGGTCTTTATACCGGATATAGAGAAGCACCTCATGCAGAACCGCATCCCGCCGTCCGTGCTAGCCAACAGCGACGGCGAGCTCGCGGGCATGCAGATGGTCCTGTACAGTGAACCTTCCTCCTTGACAGTTCCAAAGGAGCAGGACAGCGTCAGAAAAGCCATCATCGAGGCGCGACAAAGAGTCAGGGAGAAGCAAAAAGAGGAGCGAGAACAAGAAACCTCATCCACTCCAATTCCTGCAAATTCACACTCAATGTCGAATGGGATCCCCAACGAAATATCAAACGGTTTCGCAAATCACAACGGGGTAGAAGCCATTTACAACGACGACCCGGATGCTATGGAAGTAGACTGAAGGGACGAAACAAATTATAAACGCGATATACGGAGTTTGGCTTGTTCTATATACCCAGGCGAATAGCGGGAACATCTTATTTCGACAATTGATCACTTGAAGGCGCAACCCGGAGTTTCACATACATGTTCTCTTAGCACGGAATGCAGGCAAAGCGGTATTCGTGAGACTTGGGTATGTTATGTAGGTAGTTTTGCAATAGGATTATTCATTCTGGCCCTGAATCGTACAGCACAACAGCTCATCCATGTTTTTTTTGCCCAGCCTGCTTGCTCTGTCCTGTACTACAGGCTTACTTAGCAGCTTAATAGGCTTCTAGTGTAACACATCCATAGGTCGTCCATTCATCGTACACGCCAACCCCACCCTTTTCCTATCCTCATTCCCATCCGCACCTCCGTCGTCGCCCGATCATCATCTATCGTTGCGCAGCCGGAGGTGGTCCGGGAGGTGGCGCATAGTCGCCCCCGGTAGGTGCAGTGACGCCGGTCTGCATAGGATCGACCTTGGTGCCTCCGAACGGCGGCGGGCCTCCCTCGTACATTGGTGGGCGGTTGTTCGGGTCGTAGACTGGAGGGGGCATCGCGTGCATGCCGTATGCACCACCCGGAGGCGGTCCGTAACCCGGCGCCGGGTAGTTGGTATATGAAGATTGGGGCCATGCGTAGCGTGGGTCGACGCCGGCTCTTTCTTGGCGGGAGAGTAGCCACTAGATGGGCGTTAGTTCGGGTCGATCGACGGATTTATGGAGTTAGGGTGGTGGCGTTTAGGGGGGGGGTAGGGAAGATAGAGATGGGAAAAGGGGTACTTACGCCGTGGTACGCCATCGGCTTCATTCCTCTATTCACGCGCTTCTTGGCGTGCATGCGTCCGAGGATGAGGTACAGCGCTAGTAGGATGGTGATACCGAGAAATAGAGACCACTTGACGATAACGCCTGTCTGTAATGTGGCGTTAGTCATATGCTTTTTACCAATTAATATAGATGAGTTGGTAGGCTAATACGTACCCGAGTATACCAGAACCAGACATAACGACCATTCTCCTCGACATATTGACGGCGTACCAGCTGGTCCGCCGACGGTGCGTACACCGGGAGACGTGTCTTTCCAAACATGATGACTTCTCTGCCTTCAGGTCTCCGATCCGAATAATATCAATAACAATTGCAAAATCAATAAAGTCGAATAAAAGGTTTGATTAGAAGCGAAAATTCAACGGCCGTCAATAAGAAAAATGCACCGCACTGCGATCGCCGGTATAGGTCCAGCCAACTCTCAAATAATGCGAAGGAGAAGAAGAAACAAAAGAATGCGAAGAAAAGATAGATTGAAATGCCAAGCCTTTCCCCAGCGGTGAAAGGACCAGGAGGTTGCTATTTCAATGGATTTCTTTAGTCTAGGGGTTGGTAGAAGGATTATCGATGATGGGAACAAGAGGTGAGGGAACCCAATTTTTCTTGGTGATTGTGAATGTGAATTGAATGGCTTTGTATGTATTTGGTGGCGTTGCTCGCAATCTGCGGCAGACTTGTTACAAAGTTGGCGTTTCAAAGAGGTCTCGGGCGACGGGGGGTGGTTGGCTGGCCGATGTTAGTTCATAAACGTTAGCAGGTTGGCAGGTGGGCTAAGGCTTGCTTAAGGCACCTGGCAGTTAAAGGGTCCGGTCAGGGGATGGGACAGATCGGGGAAGGAGAGACGCGTGTTACATCCATACGAACCGACAAGCAAGCTTTGAACGTCGTCAGGGTCGTATCATCAACTACGAATTACGTACAGTTTGAGTTCTCAAAACAAAACGCCAAGGGGAAATGGCGATGATCGGATCGAGGTTGCTTGCCCGTGCTCAGATCTCGAGGATCATTAGGAAACAGTGATTTGCAATATTTATTCAAGTCGGCTCTATTTCAACATCCTTCAGTTCCAATACCTTTTTTGTAAAGAAACGAGGTTTAATTTAATATAACACCTATGGATCCAACTAGCAAACTTATTAATAGGCGCAATGCAAAGCGGGAGAGTGGATAACAGGCAGGCTCGTATCGTGATTCACGATAACCCCTGACTTAGACCAAGCTGACCAGGTAGGTAATCAATATCACCACTTCGGATGATTTATATCTTGTTAGTTAAGGGTGATAAGCCTATATTTATTATTATATTTAATCCTGTCATCAATAGTGTAATGCCTTGTTTTATTGGTGTTACGTCTCTCTAATACTCATATATATAATAGGTAGGATAGGACGCATTGCAAAAACTAATGAAATAGTATGAGACTGTCCCTCACAAATTCAAGATGACAGTTAAGCTACACAGAAGACACTCAATATCTCCTTGGTCCAGGGAGCATTTGTGGCCTTATTCCCACGCCATCTTGAGTCAAGAGAAGACAAGTCGAAACAATCCAAGCGAATAGCCGATAAGTCCTCAACATCCACTCATCTATGTGTCTAATGGTAAAAGAGACAAATTCGTAGGCATAGAATACCCATGTTCCACCAAACCAACAGCCTGATAATCATAAGTATAAGTATTAAACCCTAGGGACATCTTAGAGGCTAGTTACAAGGTGACTTTGTAACCCATATACCATCCGCGTAATACATGTCGTGTCAATTACCAAATTAACACACCGAAGGCCTTCAAAGGACTTATGGTAATGTCAACATCATGAGATTGGTGTAGATGCATAAGTCCTCATTAATAACTCGTGGACTGTCTAAGTCAAATCTCCCTCCAATATGCCTAAGCCACATGGCACATAACACATGGTCTTAGCTTCATAGTTCCGTATGACGCTCTTCCAATCAATGTGGCGATCTGCAGTTCTGTGTTCCTGATTAACATTCTTCGTGATCTTTCCAGTCGGTGATACAAGTCCGACTCTAGTTGTCGTTCCATTAATTCAAAGATACCCCAACAGTGCAACATATTGCAAACGTAATAGTCCAAGCGCCATGTCGAACAGGTATGAATCCCTCTTAACGCCGTCAATATGCTGGGTAATTCCCTTCTATTGCTTCTTGCATGGGCTCGGTGGTATATGCTGCAGCAATTATTCGTCGCCTTTCCTCGCCAGCTTCGACGATCTTTCGTAACGTGGTCATTCGTCTTTCAAATTTGTCTACAATATTCGTGTAGTCTTCGGTCTCTCCCTTTTCACGATCATGATGACCGCTTCCACCGCCGCTTGCGATACCAGAGCCTTGTCTGCTTGCATCTCCGGAAGTCCCGCCCTCTGAGCCCAGAGCGCTAGTCTCTATACCATCGATCCGGAGCATCAGACGATCAACCCGAGCACTATTATCTCCGCCATCGTTGCCGTCGTTGCTTCCGTCTGATGAAGGCGGAGGTATATGGTCCAGTTGAGTATCCAACACCGCCCATGACGCCGACAAGCTTGAGGCCCAAGCAACGTTATAACCGCCTTTAGAGTCGGGTGCTAAGTCCAATATCATAGCCCTACTACGCCTTAGGGTTGGGTCGGAGGATGATTCGTCGGCACCGGTATCAAGTTCGGCTAGTGCTTGTGTCAGGATGTCTGGATCATCGTCGCTGAAGATGTAGCGCACATGAGGATGATGAGTTGTACGTGTTGATGTATTATTCACGAGGGTGAAGATAGGCGCAAACGGAGGCGGGTCGAGATCGAGATCTTGATCGTGGTCGTGATCGTGATTATAATCGTGGGAAGCATCCGCCATTTGCGGCTGTTCCGGTACAAGCTCCGTCATCTCGAATGTTGGCAAGCGGAGGTCATGAGGATGGTTATTTGTGGTCGGGAAATGGCGGAATGGTAAAGAAGTTAGGATGGAAATATTGAAAAGAAGGTTGGCGCATCGTGGCTCCAGGACTCCATATGTTGAGAAGTTAATGGATAAGAAATGGCCCCAAACAGTTTAAATGGTTTGCTCCGGAGTACCTTTAAGTGATCAATTAGAAGACTGCAGGTGCAAGTGTCCAAGTGGTGTCATGCAAGCTGCAAAGCAGTGACATCCATGGAAGTGGCAGAGTGGTACCTCCCCAGGTACCCACCTAAGAGAAAGCCTAGCTTGCCTAACCTTAGTTGTCTCTGCAGCCATTTACAGCCTTTAGAGCTTCTATCTTATCTGCATGTGGGGAAACAGGAAGCTCGGGGGTCTTGGCTTTTTTCGGTAAGAGATGCCATATGCAGGGACAAACTTCGTCGCGGGCAGCGGATAATAATTGATGTGAAGGCAAATAAGCAAATGGTGCATTAGCAAACCCCAATCATCAAAGCACCTAGATAGTAGACAGATCCATGATAATCCAAATTCTAAGTATTAATATTAGGTTAGATAATTGTATAGTGCGAGGGGTGAGCGCGTGAAGATCACTTACTTTCACCGACTAAACTCCATCATAAGTTAAAAGACTATTGGCATAAGGGTATAGAAAGCGGAAGAGATAAAAACAAAACACGTATGATATTGCCCAAATCCTGTCATCACTGATCCTCAACTATTGTGTCTTGCTGCTCTTCAATAGACTGTTGAGGCATCCCAGTCTCTGTTCCCCATTCGAACTCTGTATAATATGTTAGTTAATGACGCCATCATATAAAGGAGTTTCAACATACTCTGTCGACACATCGGACATTGGCCTTTAGCTGAGTCTTGCTTTATCCACTCCATGATACAGTGCTTTTTACAGCGTCAGTTTATTCGGTCTCTAAAGAAAGTCACATTGTTCAACACGAACCATGTGAAAGTTGTGTCCACATTTTCCGGACACTAAAAGAGAATCAGTTAAAACCAGAGTTATAGAGAAAAAAAATAGACATTATAAGACTTAATAGTTCCTCACAAAGACTACAATCATCTCCTGGATATTTGCAAGTTGGGCAAGTTCCATCAAAATGGACTTGACAAATACCACACACGTCGTCTTCCGGAAGATCCCACCTCCATGATGCAACTGCATTCCATTGCTTGATCTTGACCTTCATTGCGAGGTTATTTTCTCGAGTAACTTCGAATGATGCCCTTGAAAAATAGTTGTCAAAGCGGAGAATAAAAACTAGTAAATCTAGAGTGTGTTCTGACTTATTTCGCGTTACTGGTGTATTATTATTAGGATTTGTAGGGTGATGAATGATCACAATAGTCCAACTCCACTAGATCAAAACGCGATATGTATTAGCCCGGCACCGCACCCGATGCTAGCAAAATGTACCCCACCATTACAATCCGATGTCTGGTAGGCGCCTTTTTCGGTCAGGTAAACCCTGCTTATCGGCAACCACCAAGGCTACCTGGGTAAGAGATTGTAGAATTTACACTTCACGCCATCGCAAACTCTATCTGCTGTTCGTTCCCTCACCACCCATTGATTTGTTTACATATAAGCATCTACTCTCTTAGGATTGGATGCGACAAAGGAAGTGACGACTACAGGTTCTAATAAGGACCCCGCATTTCGCAATTTCATAACTGATACCAAGCAAACTGGGAATCATTCGTTCATCCGAACATCACTTTGTTCCATTCAATCAGAATTGCTCAACGGCATTTCCGGACGAGGTACTGATTTGAATTCCTCATTTCTGGACGGCGACTGAACCAGAAAACTTGTCTTGAAGAGTCGCCACACCCGAGTACGGATATTCACGATCGACATCCAAGCATTTACGTGCATAACCCGCACAAGAGCTCCCCTCTGAGCGGTCTAGCTATGGCTACGCTCGGTATATTCCGCTCCACAAGAGCCTTCCGTCCGCGACAAAGCTTTCAGAGATGCCAGATCGGTTTTATAGAGCTGCGACGAAATCTTTCTTCTTATCTAGTCACACCTAATGAGCTAGCAGAAGCTCTTAAGAAAAGCCCGCCCTCATCCATCAGCCCCGAACCCCGAGTTATTCCCCTATGCGCCGCCTGGTTCTTACCAAATGACGAACGAAAAGGTATTGAGGTCTTCCGAGAGAAGCGAATACCCAAGGCCCGCTTCTTCGACCTTGATAAGGTTATCGACAAGCGAAGCCCATATCCCCATATGCTTCCAAGCCCCAAGACCTTCGCCGAAGCGATGAGTTCCCTCGGTATCCGAAAGGAAGATACGGTGGTTGTATATGATTCAAAAGAGTTGGGAATTTTCAGTGCGCCAAGAGTGGGCTGGACTCTTAAAGTATTCGGTCATCCTAAGGTACATGTCCTGAATAATTTTAAGATATGGGTGGAAGAAGGACATCCTACAGAATCTGGCGAGCTCTACAATGTAGAGTGTAATCCGTATCCGATTCCGAAACCCGACGAAGTTAAGGTCGCAAGCTTTGAAGAGGTGCGGGAGGTCGCCCTAGACTCCAACAAAGAAGGTGCGGAGGGCGTTCAGATTATTGATGCAAGACCTAATGGCAGATTCACCGGCAAGGATCCCGAGCCTAGAGAAGGCCTCTCTTCTGGCCACATGCCAGGTTCTATCAATATCCCTTTTAGTGCTGTTCTCGATCCCAAAACGAAAGCATTCTTGCCAAAGGAGCAGTTACAAAAGTTATTTAAGGAGAAAGGAGTGGACCCATCGAAGCCCATCATCTCAACGTGCGGTACCGGAGTAACAGCGGTTGTCGTCGACACTGCTCTTGAAGAGGCAGGATATGGTACCCCTGAGACTCGAAGGGTCTACGATGGTAGCTGGACGTAAGTTAACCCCTGTTTTCTACATCTATGCTGTTTCCTCTCTCTTGTTACTAACAGATGAATAGTGAGTGGGCACAACGAGTCATTACTTCAGATTCATTAATTCGCAAGGATGAATAGGGGATGGAGGTTTGAATCGGAGACAGGAATGACGATGAGATACCCTCCTTTTTCAGGACTTCGTTGTGCTTTTGTCGATTTAAATACCTACATCCTTTACACATACCTCGTTATCCTCTGCATCGTGCATCTCTTGCATCGTTTGCAGCAAATATCCATGAATGTTACATGGTTTACTCCACTTAGTGTTGGGACAGTCAATTTGGTCCAGGGTTATTCAGGTACCAAAAATCTAATTCCTATTGTGTAAATATGACCTAGACCTTTACGATGCAACCGCGAGGTTTTCACGGCTACGGCGACATGGGGACTAGGTTATGAATTCTGTATTGGCGTATTGCATTAGAATATGGTAAATGAGTATTGATATATGCATTTTCATGATTTCGGTATGAGTCGTGACATAGTAACTTGCAACAAGCAGCCTTCACGAAATACCGCTGTGAACAGAAACCTGATCACCTAACATACCCCCTTGTACTTGACCTAAACAGCTAGCTAAATTTGGCAAGAAGTGGACCCTAAATGAAAGTCAATGATTGGCTAAATTTCATGAAAAAATTTACCCACCTCGTTCACCTGAGCCACTTATGTGCCGAGCCACTGCTTAGGAATACGCCACCGCACATGGGTCCACCTTTCTTAATTGGGTAGCAACTATTTCAACTATTTTTTTGAAATTACCCAACTAGTTCTAAGTCCCATAATTAATCAGTAATTAATCACTGATTAATGACTGATTAATCAGTGATTGATTACTAATTAATTACCAAAATAATAAAACCTGAATTATCTTAATTTTAACGTAAAAAATAAAAAAGTAATATAAAGGTTTAAATTTCAAAAGATATTACTAAACAGGAGGTCCCCGTGCCGGGAACACACATCCCGAGCTCCAAGCTTGCTAATTGGCTCAAAAAGTCGCCTTGACCACCTCGAAAGCCGCTAAATCCCTCTAGCGCCGCCCTAGCTTCAATTATTAAAGCTTTTTATTGGATGCATCCTCCAGTGCTTAGTGCTCTGATTGGGTGCATCCTCTAGTTTCTGATTATGTAATCCTTTCTTTGTTGAAAAACTGATTAAGTAATCGATCAGTTCAGTTCAATCAGTTCAATCAGTTCAATCAAAATTAAGTCCCTAGATCAGTTGTTGGATCGGTTATTCGATCAGTTCGTCAGTCAATAGATCAATTAGTAAATCAGTCCTTCATCCAGTCCCTAGAACAGTTCAACAGTTAGTAAATCGGTCCCTGATCCAGTTCCTTGAACGGTTCATCGATCAGTCCTTCGATCAGTCCTTCGATCAGTCCTCCGATCAGTTCAACTGTCAGTTGATTAGTCAGTAAATCAGTCCCTAGTCCAGGAACTAGATCAGTTGTTCGATCAGTTGAACAGCTAATGAATAAGTCTATAAATCGGTCCCTAATTCAGTCCCTAGATTAGTTATTTGATCAGTTCAAAAGTCAGTTCAGCAGTCAGTAAATTAGTCAGCACATCCGGAACAGCGATCAGTCAGATAAGTCCCCGATCCAGTTCCTAGATCAGTTCAACAGTCGATTAAGTGATTAGTCAGGTCAGTCCCTGATTTAGTCCCCAGATCAGTTGTTTGAACAGTTCAAAAGTCGGTCCGAAAGTCAGTAAATCAGTTCTTGATCCAGTCCCTGGATCAGATTAGAAGTCAGTTCAACGATTAGTCAGATCACTCCCTGGATCAGTTGTTCGATTAGTTGAATAATCAGTCAATCAGTCCCTGATCCAGGACCTGGATCAGTTCAACAGTCAGTTCAGCAGTCAGTAAATCAGTCCCTGATCCAGGACCTGGATCAGTTCAACAGTCAGTTCAGCAGTCAGTAAATCAGTCCCTGATCCAGTCCTTAGATCAGTTCAAAGGTCAGTTGAATAGTCAGTCAATCAGTCTTTAATCCAGTCCTTAATCCAGTTCAAAAGTCGGTTCAAAGGTCGGCTCAACAGTCAGTAGATCAATTCGTAAATCGGTCCCTGATCTAGTCCTTAGATCAGTTGAATAGCCAGTCAATCAGTCCTGGATCAGTTGTTCGATCAGTCCAAAGGTAAGTTCAACGATTAGTCAGATCAGTCCCTGTAATAGTTTAACAGTCAGTAATTCGATCAGTTCAACAGCTAATCGACCAGTCTGTAAATCGGTCCCTAGTTCAGTCCTCGTATCAGATATTCGATCAGTTGAATAATCGGTTAAATAGTCAGTCAATCAGTCCCTGATCCAGATACAGGATCAGTTGTTTAATCAGTTCGAAAGTCAGTTCAGCAGTCAGGAAATTAGTCAGCAAATCTGATTCGACGATAAATCAGATAAGTCCCTGATCCTGTCCCTGATCCATTTCCTGGATTAGTTCAATAGTAAGTAGATCGATTAGTAAATAAGTCTTTCGATCAGTTGTTCGATCAGTATAAGAACGAGTTCAACAATTAGTCCGATCAATCCAAGGATTGGATTAGTTGTTCGATCGGTCGAACAGTCAGTAAATTAGTCAGCAAATCAGTTCAACAGTCTACTAGTAAGTCAATCCTAAATTCAGTCCTTCGATTGGTTCGAAAGTTAGTAAATTAGTCCCCAATCCAGTCGCTCCATCAGTTATTCGATCAGTTCAACGGTCAGTTCGATAGTTAGTAAATCAGTCCCAGGATTGATCGAATAGTCAGTTCAAAAGTAAGTAGAAAAGTAGGCAGGTGGGTAAGTAAGTCAATCAAAGATCAGTAAAATCGAAGATTAGGTAATCAATTGAAGGGGATGCACCCAATCAGGGATCAGTCCTTAGACCAGTTCAAAAGTCAGTTGAATAGTCAGTCAATCAGTCCCTGATCCAGGACCTGGATCAGTTATTAGATCAGTTCAGTTCGATCAGTTCAGTTCGATCAGTTCAAGGTCAGGAAACCTGACCTTGGGAGGGGATAACAGCTTATATAATCGAAGTAGAAAACCCCTGAATCTAGTTGATCAAGCAGTCCTTTTAGGGGCAATTGGGAGGAGATCCACTTATTCAAGCACAACACCCAATCAAGTATCAGGGATTCAACTAGGGTGCTTACGAAATCTCTCTTTCAACGCACTGGCCACCTTTTAAACCCTGGTTTCGAATCCCCCCGCCACCTTTTTTATGAACTGAATTCGATTGATTACTTCGTATATAAGGTCTTATTAAAACTGCTCCCAGGTCATCTTCTAGGTCAGGTCCCTGACCTGACCTGGGAGAGGAGATCAGGTCAGGATGACTAAGTAATCAATATACTGAATTACTTACTTTCGAACTATTCATTCAACTGACTTTCGAACTGATCGTTGAACTGACCTGATTCAACTGGCCAAAATCAGGTTCCAATACGCATGGACCACCTGAATAGACGCTAGTCAAACCTTAAATTCATTTGCTTACCTGATTGGGTGCATCGCTTTCATGTTCGATTACTCATCTCTCAATTCAACCTTTTTTTCAACTGCTAATTCAACTGACTATTCAACTAACTGTTCAACTGACTGCTGAACTAGCTGTTGAACTGATTATTTAATTGACTGTTGAACTGCTTATTCAACTGATTATGTAATTAATTTCGAACTGATCGTTGAACCTTAAATCCATCCACTGACCTGATTGGATGCATCCCTTAGCCTTCAACGTTTTGATTGGGTGCACTCCCTAGTATAGCGGGTCCTTTCCAAACTGATTATGTAATCTTCTCGACGCACTGGCCACTCTTTCAAGTTCAGGTTCGAATCCTTTCGCACTTTGAGATCGCATGGCTGGATCGAAAGGTGGTCAATGCATCCTTATGTAATCCAGCTTTAAACTAAAATAACTTTCGAATTAATAAAGTTATAAAGTTAAAAATAATTATTTTATATAATTTAAAATTTTCTTAAATTTATTAAAATTAAAATTAAATACTTTTAAAAAGTCGACCTTTTTCGGTAAGTCCGAATATCCGGCTTGGTGGGCTGACGTAATGATATATGCGTCCAAAAATTACGTAATTTCAATGTTTTTAATCTTTATAATTTAATAACTTCATCAGTTTTTATATATATAATATAAAACTTATATGTTTCAAATGAGCAAAATCTGCTGCATTTTTTAAATATAATCACGTTCTATAAGATATATGCTTTTTCATAAATTGATAAGATTCGAAGATTAGCCCGATTGGGAACTCCGGAAACTCCGACAAGTGTTAATTTTTCCCTACGTTTCGTTGCGACACAATAACCCTCGGAGCTCGGGCATAAGGCTAATAGATGCGATTAATTCTTAATTGAAGAGATGCAATTGGTTGCACGCACTTGAGTATGACGAGTGTGTGGCCCAGGTGTGGCTAATGTGGCTAGAAGACTTTTAGTTGGCCTAAACGTGGCTATAGCCCACTAATTCCCCAAGAGGGCTAGTTGTTTAGGTTATGTACAGGGGGGTATGTTAGGTTATCCCCCCTCTCTACCATTTGATGACGATCTTAAGTTAGGTACTTAGATACATCATATCAGGAAGTATACATGTACATATCTTATCGTCTTATCGGAGACTTGGTAGTGGTGCACAGACCATTTCGGCTGGGGCTGTTTCCCACAAACTCATGTGTAAATTCCAAAATTATTATTTGGCCCCTCCACCACGTAAAAATACAATTTTCGACTTTAGTCAACCTCAACTCCGCGACCACGAAAAGCTCAATTCGGGAGCTTCGCATTGCGCAATCTTCTTTACTAACTACGAAACAGCCAAACCCTTTCCGAAAAATAATACAACATGGCTGACCGAGGCGGTGCTCGTGGCGGCGGATTTGGATCTCGAGGTGACCGAGGCGGCGATCGCGGTCGTGGTCGTGGCAGAGGCCGTGGCCGTCGTGGTGGTGCGAAGGACAGCGAAAAGGAGTGGATGCCTGTCACCAAGCTTGGCCGTCTCGTGAAGGCTGGCAAGATCAAGAGCATGGAGGAGATCTACCTACACTCTCTACCCATCAAGGAGTACCAGATTGTCGACTTCTTCCTACCCAAGCTAAAGGATGAGGTCATGAAGGTACGGTATTACCTGTGGAAATTTCGAAATTTTCACTATTTCACGAAACCTTCATTCCAAATATTCCAAATATCCCAGATAATCGCGCAATTTCAGAACAGGAGTCAAAATACTAACCAGAATCCCAAATACAGATCAAGCCCGTCCAGAAGCAGACCCGTGCTGGTCAGCGAACCCGATTTAAGGCCATCGTCATCATTGGTGACTCCGAAGGTCACGTTGGTCTTGGCATCAAGACCTCCAAGGAAGTCGCTACTGCCATCCGCGCCGCGATTATCATCGCCAAGCTTAGCGTCATCCCCGTCCGACGTGGTTACTGGGGTACCAACCTTGGTCTCCCTCACTCTCTGCCCGTCAAGGAGAGCGGAAAGTGTGGTTCCGTCACTGTCCGAGTATGTTGAAAGCCAAAATCAAACCAATAGCTGATCTGATACTAATATTTTCTCTAGCTTATCCCTGCTCCTCGTGGTACCCAGATTGTTGCGTCTCCTGCCGTCAAGCGTCTCTTGCAACTTGCCGGTATTGAGGACGCCTACACCTCCTCATCCGGTTCCACCAAGACCCTGGAGAACACCCTAAAGGCCACCTTCGCTGCTATCTCCAACAGCTACGGATTCTTGACGCCCAACCTGTGGTCCGAGACGAAATTGATCCGAAGCCCGTTGGAGGAATACGCGGATACTCTCCGGGAAGGAAAGAGATACTAAATGCAGAATTCTGGGCATTCGGCGTGGATTCGTTCTTGATTTCTAATTGCATCGGTGCCAGGTAGGCAGGCATCAGACTAGGGCAGCAAAAATGGCAGCTTCATTCTGACAATGAACAATTAACTTGACTTCATGCATTGTGCAACTCAGGGTATTACCGATAATACATTGTCCCTACGCGTGCGATAGAGACATGTCGTACGAACAAGTGTCTAACACGTCTTCAACTATCGAAATCGTAAGGGATAAGTTCTTCACCCCAGTCAATCATTATGTTCATATGAACTCTCTGAACTCACTTTGAAATATCAAGTGTTCAAAAAGGAGTAAAGGGGAAGCATCTCTGCAAGAAACTACGGTACTCCTATATCGTCTCGCTACTTCCCCTCTGATCTTATATCTACACTTAGATACTTCCTGCTATACTGACATCAAGTGAAGAAGTGGCAGGAGCCAATGTAACATTGGTTAAGGTATATACCGACGTAATCTTTGGACATATGCTATGATGGATCTTGTCTTCTCTTTATCCTAGCACTCTTTTTTAGTCCTTGTTGCCCAAGTCGTCCTCGTTTTTTTGGTCTGGTGTTTTAGCCCAATTATTTTGAACTGGATGCTTTTGGACCCTATTCTATCCCAATGATATCTTCACATTCTCAATACAAAGGCGTGGCGAGGTCTTTACACATCGCCGTTGTCTGTGCCTTCAGCGTCGGCTTCCTTACTGCTATCTACTTCCATACTAACACTCCCAATGTGAGATACGAGAAACGTGGCCTACTAGTTGAGGACGACTTGCTATCTGAGAAGTTACTCGCTCAAGATGTTGAAACGCAGCATGATCAGGGGAAACGTGGTCTTAGCACGATTGATATTGCCGGTACAACATCTGGTGGGATTGAGTTGTCATTGATCAGGTCGCAGATGGAGGACGATTTAACCAGCGTGACACTTGCTACAAACTCGTCCAGTATCAACCCATCGGAAAGTGCATCTATCTTATTGACAGATCAACCGATTCTCACCTTTTCCGCACCGCTGGAGACAAATAAAACGAATATTACAGCGCTTGTGAAGAAGACCGCCAATCTCTTCGAGAGAGATATTTCCCAAGCTACGTTTAGCATCGCCCAGAAGACCACTTCTACGTCTTTAAATTGGGATCTTGAGAATATTCCAGGAGTATCAAGAAGCTACACTTCTATAGTCAGCAACAATCGTGAGGGAGCTATATGCAGTACTGCAATTGTTGTTGATGGTACCCTTACTACTATTCCTGGAATATGTGTCGATACGGCTTTAGCAGTACTTGACAATGGGCCTATGACGGAGGCATCCGAAACCACCCTGTTCCCATTCCCAACCTCTACCCCAATAGCGACGGCAACAACTCCGACAGTAGTCCCTTTAACTTCCTCGGACCTTGAGACGTCTCAGGTCATCACTTCCGGGCCTATCTCACAGGCTTCTGTAACTCAAGGCCCTCAAAGTACTGCCAATACAAATACAGCTATTTCCGGAGGTAGGTGAACTATACTTTAAATATCAGTCGTTCAAATTATAATCTGTCAGCGATTCCAACGAGCTAATTCCTATATTAGAAGACTGTCCGTCCGTCACAACAGAAACGGTTTTCTTGTGAGCATACCCCGATAATACCTGAGACATCGTATGAAGTTAACAATTGTGGCAATGCAGAGCTGGTGAAACTTCGACTCTTACGGTGTACTCTCCGAAGCCATGCCCAACAATTCCGCCGTGCCCGACATGCGAGTCGCCTACTTGTCATTGTCCTAATGCCGGTAGCCCAACAACACCTCCTCAAGGAGGTACTGGAGCTCAAGGGCCATGCCCTGGAACAGGTTACACTTGCCATGACTGTCTTGACGGATGGTTCTGTCCGCCACCGCAAACACCGGCACAATCTGCCCCTTGTGGTTTTGGATGGCCTTGCGCTCATTGCGATGGGGGCTGGTTTTGTGTTCCTGGGCCAACACTACCACCGAGTCCAGAGACGTGTACAAATTCCAATGGACCAACAACCAATAGCGCTAGCACGACCTCATCGTCAATTTCCCGGTCTACTACCTCTTCTCGGCCAAGCCCAACGCATCCTACTGGGACAGGTGGAGCTAAACCTAGTCCCAAAAGCCCTAGAAAAGCCTCTGCCTGGGGCTACTGTGGCTGCTGGGCTGACCAACCCGACCAGCCAGCACTCAGTTTAGGACCTCATACCAATATAGGGCCTCTTACTAATGTGGCGTGTGTTCAACATTGCATGGCTCGTGGGTACCTCATGGCAGGTACAGAAGGCGGCGATAGCTGCTACTGCGGAAATTTCCTTAACGGCACACAGCATCTAGACGACTCCGTGTGCTCGGTTCCATGCCTGGGTGATCCTAAGCAAGCATGCGGTGGCAGTCAAGCTCTCACTTGTTACAGTTCTGACAATGAAGCTCACGGCTGGGCGAGTGTCGGTCCTCAACCTTTGCCTGCGACCGTTTCACCACCTGAAATCATCTCGCTGGCTATTGGCGGCATTGCTCAGACTGTAGTAACTCAACCGGGAGATGTATTCCCTCCACCTGGTGCAGATATGAGTTCGCTAGTTAGTCAATTTGGGCATAAAACGAAACAGCCCTTGGGCCAGTTGCCTAGCGGAAAGGGAGGTCCTGCTCCAGGATCACCGACGTCTTCATCCAACGGAGGCGGTGGTGCTGGTGCTGGTCCCGTACAGGGCTCCCTATCGGGCTCGGCTCCGAGTGAAAGTTCTTGCACTAATCCTGCTTCGCCTAGTGGTAACAGTGGCTCATCTTCAAATCCGAACGGGGCCGGAGGAGCAGCCCCGATCTCGCCTGGAGGCAATCCAACGACAAACCCAAACGCTAATACTAACTCACCTTCAAATGGCCCCGGTCCTACCAACTCAGGGATGAACCCTAACTCTGTGTCGAATAGTAACGGCGGTGGTCCAGCCCCTGGTCAAGGGAATAGTCCCAGTTCGGCTCCAACTGGAGGAGCAGGTGCTGGGCCGGTTTCCGGTCCCAATTCGAATACATCACCGAATCAAGGAGGAACCTCTAGTTCAAGTCCCGGTGGCGGAATGGGTGGCGCTGGTCCTGTGACAGCTGGAGGAAATCCTAGCTCGCCGACTTCTTCTCCCGTCGGTACCGGTGGTGCAGGTGCATCTCCAACTGGGCCAAGTAGTAATACCGGAAAGATACCCCCATGCGATGGCTCGAACCCGAATTGTACACCAGTAGGTGGCGACCAAACACAACCCTCGTCAGGCCAGGGCCAAGGAACAGCCGCTCCCAATCCTACGGGCAACTCTAGTCAGACGCCGTCAGGTGGAGGTCAGGGAACAGCCGCTCCTAACCCTACTGGTAGCCCAAGTCAATCTCCTACGGGCCAGGGTCAAGGTACTGCGGCGCCTGCTCCTGCAAGCGGCAGTAATCCGACTCAACCCTCCACAGGTCAGGGTCAAGGCCAGGGCACAGCAGCCCCGAATGGCAATCCTAGCACTTGTACGGCAGGCTCAACTGATCCCAATTGCAATTCATCGTCCCAGAACCAAGGGCCAAATTCACCTTCAAATGGTGGAGCAGCGGCTCCTAATCCAACTGGAAATAGTGGCAAGTTGTGCTCAATTGGCTCCAATGACCCAGCTTGTACGAGCAGAGCAGGTAATGGGGGCTCGTCGAAACCAACGTCGTCCGGCCAAGGCCAAGGGACTGCAGCGCCCAATGCCAACCCAAACTCCTCTAATGGTGGGCAAACCTGCACATCTGGTTCGAACGACCCGGCTTGCAGTTCACCAGGAAATGGAGGCACTGCAGTACCCGGCCCAGCTCAGGAAAGTACTTCACCGAATGGAAATGGTGGTGCAGGTCCCAATCAACCAACTCCTAACAGTACATCAGCGCCTAACAATGGAGCCGGTGGTCCTGCCCCTGGACAAAATCAGCCTACAACTTCAAATTCCAACGGCATTCCTTCCACTTGTACCGCAGGATCTACTGATCCTGCTTGTACATCACCAAATAACGGCGGTGGCGCCGGTGCCGGAGCCGGAGCCGGACAGAATCAACCAACAGGGTCAACTCCGAGCACCGGTACTACTACCTGTATGCAAGGATCATCGGACCCTTCCTGTACGTCACCGAATAATGGAGGGGCCGGGGCTGGTCCAGGAGGACTAAACCAGCCGACCAGCTCTGGTTCAAACAATGGATCTCCGAGCGGTAATTCGTGTACGCTAGGATCTAATGACCCAAACTGTACTTCTCCGGGTAACAGTGGAAATCCCAGCCCAGGTGGGACAGGTGGCCAAGGTCCAGTCACAAATGGTCCTACAACAACCGACCCATCTGGCAACGGAGGGGGGGCTGGCCCGGGTGGACAAGGAAATGGAAATGGTACCCCATCGACACCAGGCTCCAATCCGACTTCAAATCCATCGGGGAATGGTGGCGCCGGACCTAACAGCGGAGGCGATGGGAGTGGCAATCCATCGACTTCTAACCCCGCCGGAGCTGGTGGCCCTGCTCCAGGTCAAGGCACAAACCCAACCTCACCTCCTCCCGGAGTGGTGCCGTATAGCGCCCGGCCCTCCCCCTCGATGACCACATTCGCATCGATGATCGCGTGGACCGAGCCAGATGGTAGTAGGGGACCGGCAACCACTATACTACACCACGGAATAAGTAGTGATGTGGAATTCCCTGGAGTGCCCAAACTAGAATTTGAAAAGGCGCCTACTACAACTGCTAGCACTTCGATGTTGACAGATCTACGGTGGCAACGCATGCGCCCGGTAGTGGTATGGTAAGAGGGAAGCTTGGGCGTAGGATGGGATATGAAAAAGAGAAAATAAGAAATGGAATAGAAAGGATATTGAAGACTTGGGAGACATTGGGCACTATTAAAAATGAGAAGGCTATCCGACTATATACTAGGGAGTGAGGGTCGCTCGTTCTTTTTCTTGGAGCTTTTTGGAATTGAGATTTTATCTGTCAGGGGTGGCGCAGTCTTAGTTGACGGTTAGACTTAGACGGAGACATAGACTGACTGCTAGGGATGTTATGTCAAGATACTATTAGCAACTAATACATGGGAAATATTCATCCCTTTATTTTTCAGGTAACTAATTATTTTATATTTGTTCCTCTGCTACCCCAAAGCTAACAGGGAAAACAGACTTTATATCGAAATCCTCGGCGGTGGAGGGACTTCCTAATTACACATCCTAAAGCCATCTAGTTCTATTTTTCTTAAGGTGCTATGTAAACAATTCAAGAAGGAAACTGGATATTTAATACCTGGGCCTCACGTTACCTGATGGTATTACCTAGTACTTGTAGCGGCTCGCAATAGCTCTCAGTTCTAGGAATTGCGGCGCATCATTTCCCCTCTTCTTCCATTCTTCTACGATATACTGCGCTAGTAAGTTCGGGCTTAACACTACGCCCCCGAGACGAGTTGCGAGGCGAGTTACCTTTTCTTGGTCACTGCTGTTGCGCGTGAGAACCTGCGTCGTATTGATGATGGAGCGCACTTTTGTCGAGCTGAGGGTCGGGTCAAGCTGCTCGGAAAACAGGGCGCTGACGAAGCGCAAGGTGTAGGTTTTGTACAAACCGATGTACCTACATGTAAATACTACCCGACGGGGAGAGTGAGGGTTCGACGGCATGAGCTCCCACGGGGTGTGGTCTCGCAGAGTCTTTGGCAACGGTGAGTTTGAGGTGCTCTTGTAGAAAAACACGGGACGGCTGATATTCGTCGTCATCGTCATCGGATACCCCCAACCCACGTGAGTGGAATACTCACTGAACTTGTCCCCGCCAGCAAGCGTCACGAACTCGACGTCGAACCCGTCGCGCGCGAAATCCTGCTCTAGCTGCGGCTCTGCCTGGGACCACTCGCTTCGCATCATCACCCAGCACCGCTCAACCCAACCTTCGTCTCTGTTTCCCGCTTGAGCTTGAGCTTGGGCTCTCAGCTCCTCATCCCATAACGCTACTCTCTTCTTGATATCTAACTTAATCTCCTTGCTATTCACCCCGAGCTTCAGGTCGAGCATTCCGTTCGGGAGAACGATGATGAATGCCCCGATGACGTTTATCTCCTGCCCGCAGTACCGCAGCGCGTGGCGCAGGTGCCCCATGTGTCCGTGGTGCGGCGGGTTGAAGCACCCGTGATACAGCAGGATGCGGTTCGTCCGCCCCTTGCGCAAAGTAGTGTTTTCCGTCGGCGGCCTGATGGGTTTGGTCATCTGCCCCGGCACCGCGAGGCGGACGTACGGGTCTAGATGATTCCGCGCCGGTGCTGGTTGCATCGGCCTGAAGTCCGGGACGGCTTTTCCCGTCCCTTGCTGTGTGTTCTGCGCCATGGCTAGGCGGTGACAGGCTAGCCCTGCTAGGTTTCTTGTCCCTTGGTTGGTGGTATCTGTATGTATATGCATGCACTATATTATTATTAGGTAGTATCAGGGCCGCATGCAAGATCCGCCGCGATGCGTCTTCGATGTCTTTCTCTTCTCTTTGACCGGGTCCTGTGTGTATGTAGGTAGGTATGTATTTCGTATTTTAACATGAGGTCCATCTTGGCGCCTGCGTGCTGCCTAAATAGGTAGCCCTGGACAAGGCGGCCGGGATCTACGATTAGGAAAACAAAAAGAGGTCATGGCGGCGGTGAGATCTGGCTTCGTTCTTCTAGAAACTTGCCTCGTCATATGAGAGGTGCGCAGAACATGCTTCTATATCCGAGTGTGTCTTGACGGCTATATCTCTTCTCTTCCGTTGCCCTTTTTTTCTTTCTTTCTTTCTTTTTTTTTTTCTCTCTTCCTCTCTGGTAGATTAGTTAGGCTATCAGACTTGGACGAAACAAACGGTATGCGGTGTAAATGTAAATATGTATGTCTCGCATTCTACTTACAGGTTTCGTCGAAGTAGCGATACAACTGTTCTCAGACCTAGATCACTTGAGCAGTATCTATCCTTGACGAGTCATTCGAACATGATGTACATGTAATGAAAATTTTAGAACAGCCCAGTGGGCTATTCCATATTCTACCTATGTATCTCAGATAGGGCTACCGTATATGTATAAAGGGTTTTGACATTTTCATATCTTCGTCTAATTATCCGGAGCTGGGTTATGATTTAGATAATCCAATATCCAAAGACCCTTACAGGGCGGTCCGGACTAACTAAAAAAAAATATCGTAAGGCGAAGGACCCAGAGCGTTGAATGCGGCATAGTGATGCGTTGCAAATCGCAATATATGGTGCTTGTTTCGTAGTGGGACAAAACCGTCCGCCTGCATTAGCTCGCTACCCATAAGGGGCCAATTAGGTGGGATTTCCACAAAGACATGCAGTGGACAAATGCAGTGGACAAATGCAGTGGACAATAAAACCGAAGTCTCAATTCAGCGTCAGTAAGATTAAAACCTTATTCGATCAAAAGGGGCAAAAAAAAAAAAAAAAAAAGAAAGAAGACAAAAGAAAAAAAGAAGGTATTCACAAGCAAGAATCGAAATAGCATTAGATGAGTTTGAAGAGATTTTTACTCTTTTCCATTTATTTACGGGTGCTGTAGGCATACTATCATGCGACATAGAGTCGACCATGAGAACGAAAAGCCATCCAAGGTATCGTCCCATATGCCCCTAAGGTATTCCGCAGCAAAGGTCCTCCACAAGAATTAAGATCCTCCCGACTAAGGAGTCGATCGATGTATCGTATCGTGTGGCACGCCGTGATGCTACTTTCATAATTCCTCGACCACGCGAGGCCGAGAGTCAAGCGCCTCTCGACATTCCGAAAGCAATTGGCGATTCCACTCGCCCGTAAACGTGCCAGTGCGCACACACGCGCCCACCCCGTTTTTCATCATCCTCCGCCAAAAAAAAATAAAATTTGTTCACAAATTGCCAGTCTTTTTCTTCCAAATACGGCCCCACCCATTTTTATGTATTGCTCTTCTCCTTGCGCACCGAAGCTCTTGTGCCGATTTTTATTTGGGCGCCATCTTTTCGTCCTCGGATCGATGGTGTAGAAACGCCCGAACGCACAGAAAGGAGAAATCAGATTTTTTTTGGTTGACAATCGTTCGTTTTCATGGTTGGATGCAATGGCAGCACGCTCAATGGGTATGACTGAGAAAGAAAAGTAATGATAATAAGAAGAAACTGAAATCAAGCAAGTCGCTGATAATGCCATGGAGATGAGCCTAAACCGTCAATTATGCAACAATCTTTTTTTTCTTCCAATGATACACATCCATGCGATAATCTCAGAGATAGTTGGTGTCGTTCATATGTTAAGAGTTATATTGAGTGAATCTACGTTGAATCTGTAGAAGTGTTGGGCCGGGTCATCAGGATCATTACGAGACCATCGGGCCACTGTATTCATCGTACGAGTAGCCAGAGTATTGCTGCGTGTGTTGTTGATGTTGATGTTGTTGTGTTTGTTGTTGAGAATACCCGGTCATGCTGGGAGGCTGCGGCGTGGGAGTAACTGGGCATCGAGGCGGAACATACTTGTTCATCGGATCCGCAACGCCGAAGTTAACTCCGTCGGGGGTGATGGGCGGTGTGAGATATCCATCTGCGACACCCATAGCGGCACCGTGTCCTTTCTGGGGAGTGCTGTAAATGCTAGAGTGAGCCGACAGAGAGGACTCTGCTGGGGGAGACGGGGGACCTTGTGCTCGACGGGCAATGGCTGCCTGTTGGGCGAGGAACTCGGCAAGCTTTCCGGAAACGCGAGATAGGTGTTGCGACGAATACTTTCTTGACAATGTAACTGACGGTTGGTGCAAGTGTTGAGATAGGGCGAGGACGGTGACGTTCTCCAAGTGGTCCCATTCTCCATCGTTGACCTCCGGTCGTCCTAGTATCGCACGAGCGAGGGCGAGCGAGGCACGCGCCATGATCGAGGGCTTGGTGGAAACGAAGTCTCGGTGATACAAGGCAATCTCGCATAGGTAAGCGGCCATATGCTCGACCTCTCGGTCATCGGCCTCCTCGGCAACGATCAACTGGGTGAAGAAGTCAACAGTAGGGTGTCCGATAGTCCATTCAAGTGTGTTGAGGACGTGCATCTCCATCTGAGTGAACATTCCGGAGTCGTACAATCCACAGCACATGTTGTTTAGCTCGTTGATCTGGGGCACACGATCCTTCTTGTCGCCATACTTGGCAGCGATGAGAAGGGCCGCACATCCGACTAGTTGGTAGTGCTGCTTGTAGACTACTCGCTTAGAACAGTATCGGTCTAACAGATTGACAGTCAGAAACAGGGTCTCGGGAAGAAGTGCGAAGGCTGCATGGGCCTCGATCAAGAAGTCGATCAGGTAAGGTCTCATGAACCACTGGATCTCCCGTTGCATATCAATTAGATTAGCATCCGGCAACGTCTCGTCCTATTCCTCTGTTAGCCACAAAATATCGGTATACCAATCGCCATCCCAGTTTCGGCAAGGATAAACCAGATCCTAGTAAAAGGGGGGGACGGGGAGCTCCGGGACACTAACCTCCATGTGCCTCATATGCTGCATTATATCCTCCAGATATTCATCACCGGCCAGACGGGACAACTCGTTGGCAATCATTTCTTGTCTGTTACGTGCCAACATCTTTGCCGCATCCTTCACGCTGATCCGAGGTTGACGAGGCTCGTCAGACTCGACGAAGAAGCCACAATCTCCTGAGGTTGAGTATGCCATATTGACGGTGAGATGGTTCAAGGGGTTCAAGGTGTTCGAGATTTCGGTATGAGTGATATCGCGGTATTCGTTAAGAACTTGGATGTGTTCTTTAAAAGAGTGACGATTAGGTTCTCCAGGAATCTTGGTACTGAGAGAGCGTATTAGGGTGGTCGTTGCAGGTAGAAATCCGAAAGAGCGTATTATTCCAGCTGAACGAACAACACAATTATTACTATATTAAAGAGCGTGATGAACTGTATGCAAATAAATGCAGTAAAATAAAAAATTAATGAATGACTGTGGCCGAATGGCTACGGAAAGACGGCGGAATGGTGAGGTGAAAGAGGGCCGGAGAGGCGGCCGTTAAAAAGAGGACGTCGAGTGAGAGGGCTCTGGAGTGGAATATTATTAGCGTCAGGAACCATAAACCCAATTGAGAAGACCAGGAGAGACAATGATGGACCAAAGCCAGACTAGGCGGATCAGGGCACGGCCTTCTGGAACCACACGATCAGGGGCAGAATACCAGGCATTCTGATTCGACCGAGAAATCTGTGGAGATCGGTTCCTGGCACGCGGCCAGAGACGTCTGGCAGGCAATTGATTCTCGATGGAGCATTTAATGCAGCATACGTGCATACAAAATGACGTTGGTCTGTGTTATAATTTCGCTGAAGAAGGGTCTCCCTTACCGCCACGATTAATCACAGGAAATTAGCTTGATTCCTGATCGAATTGGTGGGAACAGCGAGTTAACGAGTCCCACGAAAGGCAAGCGTCTTGCTCGACGGTCGGATTTGAAGCGTGCGTGAGTGATCGAGTACACCGTTGGAACACTGTACCTAGGCAAGGTGGACCGTTGGTATGTACCTGCGAAGGGAGAAAATCCAATATCAGAATATTTTCTTCGTCTAATACACCTTTCCCCTCGCTCTCCATTCCCGCCTCCTTTACTTCTATAGGGGTATTGGGGGATACCAGCAATTATTGCCGATAAAAAAAACGTACCTCTTACACCTGCACGCTTCTAATAGATTATAGTCGAGCGACTGGGTTCATGTAGGGCTCGTTCGCGAGATCCTCGAATCGGTAGAAGACTCGTGTGGAGTCTAGTACCGATAAGTCTTCTGGAGTAATTGTGATGAGCCAGAGTCAGATTCCTAGTACCGATGGCACGAAGGAGAATTAGGAGATTCGAATTGCCTTGTGTCCGTCCAGCAAAGACAGACAAGACTACTCTCCTAGAGGAGGGGGGGAATGGGTTTATCGAGCGAAGGGAAAAGGGAAAGGACTGGTTCGGTGGTAGGAATGGAAGAAAGTTGAATCGACCGCCTCGAGGGACGAAAGATAACCCTAGGTAAGGCTTGAAGGCTGAAAAGGTCGGAAGGGTGGCGCGACGAAGGGCGATGAAGAGGTGGTGGGAGGGAGGCAGGAGGTTAAAGGTAGAGGTAGAGGTAGAGGGCAAATGTGTTAAGATTGGAAGATTCAAATTTCCTAGTCCCAAATAAAAGGCCGAGGAATTCGAATTCCAGAAATCCAGAAATATAGGTAGGTTTATTACCTGGAAAATATTTGAAGAGGACAATTATCGAAGTTGCTTTAAAGCCAAAAGAGATTATAATAATTATAATTCCTTTGCTTCTCTCTTCATTTATTTGACTTTTGACTTTTGACTTGACTTGCGTCTCTCTCTCTCCCTTCTCTCTTTCTGCTATTATCTCTCGGCCCTACCCGTTTTTTTCTTCGTCTAGTTTCTGGTCGTAGAGGCCCGGGATTCTCTCTCCTCCTTTCCTCCTTGATAAAAAAGAACAAGGAGAATGATGGTAAGGATGAGTTTCGAGGAAAGAGGAAATGAATGGATCGGATAAAGAGGATGAGGAAAGGAAGGAGAGAGTAGAGATGGCCTCAAGTTGGAGGAGGATGGAGGAGATGAAAAAGGATTGGAAGAGATGGATTGGTTAGTAGGTACCTAGGGTACTTTTAAGACAACCGGTTCCAGCACGGGTCGTAGTTTAGAAACGGGGAGTGAGAGTGAGAGGGAAAGAAGAAAAAAAGCACCAGTACCTAGTACGGTAAACCCACTGGTACGAACCAAGTAAGTGCACTAAGAAAGTAGCACAGTGGTAAGTACTTAGTACTACTAGGTAGGTACCGGGCTACAGATTGAGAAGAAAAAAAAAGAGCAAGAAGCCAGGGGGTCCCCAGGATGAGCCTAGCAAGGCACCGCGCTCGCGACAGCCTATTATATTCGAGTATGTAGCTAAGGTTCCAACTGGCTCTAGGTTGGCTGCGGTCGCCTTGCAGTTGTGTCCTATGTAGGTATGTACTTTCCTAATTCCCAATTCCCAGCTTACTTTGCGCCCCCCCTTCCGTCATTTTTTCCCTCTCACTTGCCTCTTGATTTTCTTAAGGAGGTACTTTCCCTCACTTTCCCTGACACACAAGAGCAGCTGCACCTTGCAACCAAGACCTTGTAAGTCGCAAGCAGAAGCAACAAGCAGTTTTTAGCCTGGTCTCTCTCTTTTTTTATTCCTTACATCTACATACATCGATGTATGGTTCCTCTTAAACCCAGTCTGCACTAGTATCCGCGTACTATGTATGGACCCTGGAGACTGGAGACCAGACGATTTGTGCACGCAGTATGTGTGTGTGCGTATACTAGTGGAGCAACACACGGTTTAAATGTTTCCAGAGCGTAGTATCCAGCTACCAAAAAGTTTTCGAAACGGCTGGCATCTTCGGCTTCTTTTGATTGACGGACTCGGGGGTGTCTCTCACACAAGGTACATGGGTTCAACGGCAAAGATCATAGACGAAGACAGCCACTGGCGATTGCTGCTGCTATTACTTTTTACTACGTAAATATCAGACCGCTTAATGGGTGAGCACTGCCCAACGAACCCGATGCTGACAATATCAAAGATGGGAGGCTGCCGTCCGTGGTGTAGACGGAACCAAACGGTGCGTTATACATCCATACATCCATATGTACATACATACTATGTATGTATATATGTAGGTATGTATGGGATGGGGGCCACGGTATGGTAGACCGTTGGAATAATCGAATTTGATAATGAATCGAACTAGGTATGCAGATGCAAATTTCAATATTGGAGGTATAATTGAGCATCTAAGGATCTAAGGACCTACGCTGTAAGGACCTAAAGACGGCACAACTATTACAAGCCTCCTTGGTGGTGGTTGGGTAGACCGACCGGTTGACCGGGTGTCTCGTCTCTCACGATTCGGTCTAGGGCCTGAATAAAATGTCGCTATGCTACTGCATACGTATTCGAATTGTGTTTGAGCCTCTTTCTTGCTTCTTGTTTATTGTCGTTGTATTTTACATTTTACACGACTCGCTACGATTTGATAGAGATCCATTATTTGTTTGTTTGGTAATGGAAGGTCTCTCTATTATAGACCTTCGATGCATAATGCATTGTATCCTCGCCTCTCATTCGAGATTTGATAGGCGTATGCACGTAATGTCATTCTTTAGGGCAGTTAGCCCATTTCGTAGGACGCCTCTTGTTGATGAAATGCCAGTAATAATCTGTCTGTATGCTTGTATGCCTGTATGCCAGCCTGCCCAGGTACATCACTAGATAGGGTCGCCAAGGCCATCGTCGAATGAACATCATGGAATTATGCCACTACGACCAGGGCACGATTTTGGCACGACAATTCGGATATGGGGTGTATGTGATACCTGGCTTACTTAGGGAACTCCTTAGGGAACCCCATAGGGAACTCCACTCTCAATCCTCAAGGCTCTATCATACGCACAGTATCCCGAACTGTGACGAGGCCTCAGCACAGTGAGAGGGAATTCGGAGGCACTGAGCGTGATGCAAGCGTTTCGGTTGAAAATAGAATGATGAAATAGCGGAGGCTCCTGTAATTCGGGTAAGTGTCGCACCGTGTTTGTGCATGCTCCAGTCTGAGTCTTTTTGCTACACAGTATCTAACGTTATTATACATACTAAATATGTACATACCTATTTAACGTGACGGCGTGAGTAGGTATTAGGTATCGCCTGTCAGAAGTTGAAGAATCATCCTCATCTATCTATTGGATATAGCTACGGAAGAAGCGTAAGATGTCACTCGTCAGTTGACACGTCCAGGACACAGCATTTAGTAATGGGCACAGCATACGACAGGCTACAGTACTTTCGATATGATTACTGCAGATCTCAGCCTACAAGGAAGTAGCCAGTTGAGCCGATCCGACGGGCTTGGTGAGAAATGATGCTAATGCATACCAAAAACGGGTGAAGAAGAAAAAAGAAGAAGGAAAAAAATTACGACTTCATCATCGAATCATCCGATGATACTAGGTAATGCTTGGGAAGGATAATAATCCTTAGTAAGGAGAATTATCACTGTACTATGTGCGTATATTGGCACACGGTATGGTCCTGTAGCTCCTTAACTCTTTTCAAATCTCGAGCAAAAATCCTACGCCCAGTTCGCATGGAGCTATGGACGGAGCTTGGACAGGGGCTATTCCATTCGGGCTAGTGTCGCCCATTCAGCCCATGAAAAGCTGCAGGATTACAAGGCAGATGTCGCGCCAGTAAACTAAATCATCGATCCCTCCTATCCAATCAAGATCTCCTAACGCGGTCTTACACGACTTGAGAATCAATTTATCATGCGTGTCATGTGTAATGGGATCCATCCCCTATTGCGTCCGACTCCCTAGCTGCTAGGTATGTATGTATTATTATCATTCGCATCAATCTAGCACTAGGGCTGTAAGTAAGTACATACCTACATACATACAATACGCTATGTAGCTGCGTACGCTTCACCTAACCCTTGGAGTTTTTGTTACGCAGAACACACCTTCTTGTTCCATCGATTCGTCTGTTTTGAAGACCGGGCTTAAAAGGGTCTATCTCCATTAGCACGCGATGGCTATGATAGTAGTATTATCGCACATACACGTTTGAAGGTCTAACCATGTCAGATCATCGCATAGCACAGGTTCCTCGTTACCAATAGGACATGGCACCGAGCAGGCTATCTGCGGCCACCGGCATACAATTGAAAGCCACCCACAGCCCGATCGAAAGACCAAGAAAACATAGCACAACACAACACAGAACGGCACAATACAACACGACAACAACAAAGCAGTACATGTCTAGGTAGGTAATAGGTAATAGGAAGATGACGATCATGCCTTGGTGCTTGCTTACACTACCACTACCTCCTGGCAGCCTAGTAGGTAGAGGGGGGAGACGTATCAATGGATACATTGGATAGCATGCAACGAGAGGCGGCGACCCAAAGAGCCGGCCCAGTAAGGAAAAAGACCGTGAAACCGATATGGTGGGATGCTGGTTGGCCAAGGGTT